AAGGTCCGGAACAAGGCACCCCCATCTACCCGCCCAGACCAATCTACGGCAGAATCAAAAGGTCCGGAACAAGGCACCCGCATCTACCCGCCCAGACGCAATGGATACACACACCCACACCCACGCCCGCACCCGCACAGACAGGACCACCTTCTCTCGTGAAACGTGCGGGCCAGAACAGACAAGAGAAACTACAACCCTCCCGGAGATGGCGAGAAACGGCGTAATGGGGAATGCGATGCGGGAGTTGCCAGAGCGATGTTCAGGCGCGCGGGAATCGCAGGAACCCCATGGGCCAAGGGACCAGGAGGGGAGGGGGTGGGTGGGCGATAATCTTGAGGAAACGGGACCAAGAATCCTACAGTGACTGGCTTGAGCAACGAACCGAGGGGTATTACACGAGACGAAGAGAGCAGGGGTTGGCATTTGATTGATATGATGGGTGTGGATGGGAAGGGATGGCGATAGACGAGATGAGACGAGACGAGACAAGGACGGACATTGATCACGCAATGGAGATGAGATGCAGAGATGCCGAAAGACTCTAAAGATGAAAAGACATGCTCGCACACAAAGAGATATCATATAGATGAACCCGCCCAAAAAAGGACAAATTTGCGTTCATCCAAAGCCAGGAACTAACTACCACAGAGCGAAAGCTGACGTTGCAAGGCATGGCAGATGGTCGTTAACGATGCAGAGACCCCAGAACAAGCCGGAGATGAAGGGCCAGTTCTGCAGAGAGGTGCCCGTTCCCAAACGAGGCTTTTCATCGACAATGTGCCGAGTACCCAGCGAGCCAGTTCCAACTACAGACTTGCCGAGTAGGGGATACTGACTTCGAGCCTGATGACCGGATGATTTGATTTTCTGAGTACCAATCAGTATCATGGCAAGAAGACCCGAGGTTGGCTTCAGTCGCACACTGGCTCGCTGTGCAAGGAGGTCGGCTGGCTGGGAGAGAGTCATTTGGCCAGACGACTGTCTGTCTGCTCAGGTGCTTCAAAGAGTGTCTGAAAGGGGGGCTGTGCAAAGGTTCGAGCAGGCTTCACTCAGTTGCGTCAGCTTGCCTCACAGGACCTTTCGTATTTAGCCTGTAGGTGTGCTCTCGCCCGTGGTGATAGTGAGGCTTGCGCCCCAAACCCAGTTTAGACGTTGGCCCGGTCTGTAGTTGTTCCTCCCACACCGCGTACATCAGCAGTCATCCTCCTAGTCTCCATGCGCGAGCTGGAATGACCATGGTAAGTTCAATCCAATGAAGGCTCTTGCCCACCGAGTGCCATATGGCGGGCCGATGTGCGCTTGTAGAAATCGGGCCTCCCACTCAAGACCATGAGCAAGACCAAAGGATGGATAATGCTTTTGGAAGAGTTCGCGGGGTAAAATAAGGCTCGTCTGCTCGATCAAGTCTTGGTTTGGTGCTTGGTGTGGGGGCGACTCTTCGCCTCGCAAGATGCCAGATACGGTTCTCGACATCCTGCTTGCGGTTTCTTGTCCCTGCCACTGAGATGTCACTCTGCTGCTATCGTCATCAGTATCCCCTAAGACGGTCCCGAACTTGTTCCCAATCAGACCAGCAAGAGGGTTTGCAACGAAAGATACCATGCGTCCAACCTTCGTTGGTCAAAGGTGATGTCGCACAAGGCCTCAGGGTCCATGGCCTGATTGGGCGACATCGGGAGAAGTCGGTGTGAGCATGCGCCCTGTTTGCAAACCGGTCCGGGGTAATGTCTGGGGCACATCCGGGGGCTGAACAGGACCCCCTTGACTCCTGATGGCTCGCTCAAACCTGTTTTGCTCAATGAGGAACAGTGCCCGCTGGTGCCCGGCATATTTCGCTAGGATCGGTGAAACTCGATCGTGCTTGTGATGGCACAGCAGGACCACCGGTTAGTTGGTTGCACCGCCCAGAATGAAAGTACATGCCCTGCAGCTACGCAGCGACGGAACGCTGTGGCTTCGTTCACACCTGCAATGAGCCTCGAGGGAATAGCGTCCTTGAAAGGAACGCCTGCTCCGACTAATTTGACCCATGTCCAGGTCCTTGACTGAGTCATATCATGGACTACCAGCCAGCTCCCTGGGCTCTTGCAACGGCCTCATTCAAGATTTCTTTGCGCTGGCCTTGCGCGATGATACCTCGTAAAATGTGCCCGCTTGACTCTCAGATGTAACATTCTGCCCTGCACGGTGTCTATCAGCTGTCGTCTGACTTCGTGGGCTTGCTTTCATAGAATGCCACTGTCCGTGCTGACGAATTAGGACCGATGCAGAATGAAGCGATTTGCCAGCCTTGCTTTCGCCCCTTCGACACCCACGCGTTGCCCACTTTGCGCGGGATGGCCTTGGACAGTCAACGGGAAGGGTCTCTGTGCCCCTTCGCACCCAGGACTGGCCCTCTGTGCCAGAAGGTTGCCCTCGCGCATGATGTAAGGCCCTTGAAGAGACGCGGGCTGTTGAAATGATTACTGCGGACGAGGCGAAGCCTGTGACGCCCAGGAAACATATAAATATCTGGATAGGAGGAATGAAAATCCCTGAACCTGGAGAAAGCCCGATATACCGTGCCTGACATGTACCGCACACCAGTAAGACCCAGCTTTGGTACTTGACTCCAACTCCAGCTTTACGCAAACTGACCACTCTTGTTGTCATCATGGCCCAAACACCGAGGCAAGCTCGAGACAACAGACAGACTCACCGAGGACTAACATGACATAGAATCAACCAGATCGACTCCAATACCCCCTTCTCTGGAAAAGCCCAGGATGGTGGCATGGTCAACGTCTTCCTCTACGGCGCGTCCAGCACCGTCATGGACTTCATTTTGCTCGGCCGCAACTCTAACGTACAGACCGTGCTCAGGATTCCAGCCAAGAACAAGTTCACAGATATCGTCGGGCGTTTCGACAAGTCCGAAGATCCAATGGCAGCGCTCGTGAGACGGATGGATGAAATCACAGATGCAAAGATAGTTCGGGAGGCGGAGGTGTACCGGATGACGCTGGTTGGTTGTGAGTGAACTAGAGACATGGAAAGGGAGGAAGATGAGTGGAGGGAGGAAGGACAGGGCAGTAGGGTGTCATCAAGCTTCGAGGGGGGAAAGGAGGAAAGGAGGAAGGGATGAGATGGTGGATGGATGGATGGATGAAACGTGACAGCGCGTCGTTTGGAGTCGCGTGCACCTGCAAGGTACATGCCGAAGATGCCTCCAGGAACTTAGCTGGTAGTGAGGGGAGGAGCGGGTGGTGCCGGAACGGCGTTCCAACCACTGACGAGGCTGAGCGAGGCTGCTGCTAACAAACTGGGCAACCCACGGGAAGGACGGAACCGTATTACCTAGATACCTACCTACCTAGCTCGCTATGTATTCTTTGTTGTTCTCCTTCGGTAGCATGGGTTCGCATCAAAAGTTTGGCGACTGTCTAACCTCACAAGGCAAAAGCTTCTATCATCTATGACAAATCTTCCATCCGTTCTAAATATATTGGCCTCTCGTCTTCCCCTGTAAGCTCGCCACGACGCCCAGTCCAGTGGATCTTTGATGCGATGCAGTGCGGGAAGCCGCAATGCCTGTTCATGGCTCGTCCTTAGTCTGTCCGCTGCCAAAAGTCCAGGATCTTGGCGACTATCTGGTCGCCTTTCGTGACCGGCACTTCGTGTCCTGCGTCGAAGACGACAAATTCCACATTGCCCGAGAGCACTTGGGTGGCATCCTCTTCGACCTCTTTCTGGATGATGATTGGGTCATTGGCACCCAAGACAACAAGCACCTTCTTCTGCGTACCTTTCTCTTCGTTGACGCGGTTCAAATGCTCTCCAAAAATTCGCCACCGGTCGTGCTGATGCCGCACAGGACCGTACCGAATGCTGGACATGAACGCGGCGACGAATCCCGGGTAGTTCTCTAGCTGATAAATGACTGTCTTCTCGACGGTGACGTGAGGCCGAGTCTTGGAGAGAACGGCTTGAGAATTGGCTTCGAGGGTGACTTCGGCGGCCACTGCCTCTGTTGCGTCAACCGTGTTATCCTTGTCTATTGGCTTCTTGAGTGGCGTGGCCATTGGTCTTCGCAGGCGCTGTCTAACCAATCGCTGCAGCAGAGACTCTGGAATCAGTCCTTCCGAGTAGATGATATGGCTTGTCCTGCTGATATGATAGGGCCTCAAGATCCCCGCGGGCGCAAATAGGATCAAGCTGTCGATCAAGTTGGGGAAGTAGGACGCAAACGTAGTCGCAATCCCGCCGCCGAGAGAATAGCCGATCAGAGAGAACTTCCCAGACTCCCTGCCCGTCCATGATATTGGAGACGAGGCCAGGACGAGCAGTATCTGAGTCGTAAATAGGCGGATGTCATGAAGTAGGTCCGCAGGGTTGTCAGAGTAGCCCCGCCCAAAAAGATCAAAGAGCATGACGCGACATCCGTTGTCCACCAGGGCGTTGGCAACCGCTCCCAGAGCGATCGCAGGGGTGCTGATGCCATGCACCAGGAGGACTTTTCGCCCATCTTCCGGACCGAACTCGTACACTCTGATCGAGCCGTAAGGGGTGTCAACATCGCGTGCCCCCGGGAGCACATCTGGCGGATAGGGAAGGTCGGCAATCTCCTCCGGGGACAGCTTCGGCAGGACCGTGACCCTCGGAGATCGCACGATTGTAGGCGTCTTCCTGTTCCAAAGCCCTCCAGCAATGACTCCGACTGAGAACAGGCAGGTGCCCGCCAGTACGAGCTTCCACTCGAGGGCGCCTGGAAGCAAAGACGACCTGGACGCCATCTTGCAAGTGGCTGACAAGTGCTGGACAGGGAAAAAGGACGGAGTTATCCTCAAGAAGCAGATGGGCAAACTAATTAATGGAATTAGTCCGACCGAAGCTCGATTCTTTATCGACAAAACGCGCCCAATTGATGACGAATCCGAGATCTGCCTCGGCTACGGCACGACGAGGCTGCACTAGCCTGACTGGGCTGGGTAGGCATCTCTCCTCAGCCTTGTCTCCTAGTAGTCGGAATAATTACTTCGTACATTACCTAGTAGGTACATACCTAGCCATCCCTACTTATCCCAATCAACAGCTCCGAATCTCGAGACCAAAAACATTCCTCCTTGGTCTGTAGTACCATGACTTGGGGTATCACCACGAACTTTTCCTAAACGCCTTTGCCCACACTTTTGATTGATCCCAGACCTCCCATCAAAGCGAGAAGTCCAACGCCTTGCCTCCGGATTTATCCTTTCCCTTGTTCCTCTTCCTTTTCTTCCGCTTCGGCTTTGATCGACTATCCTCGTCGCTGCTTGCATCCAGATCGGACGCATCGACGTCGTCATCTTCAGAGGAGGATAGATCATGCTTGCTTGTAGGAGCCCGCCCACCACCGGGGAGCCCTTTGGCCTCTGTCCAGACTTTGACAGTCTGGCCTCCACTGGTAATCATTCGCCCTTCGATATCGAAGCCAATCGCCATGACGCCGTCGAGTTCGTCGTGTTTGGCATCCATGTCGCCCAAGACTCCATTCCGGCCGACTCTGATAAATCGGACTCTACCGTCCTCAAGCCCCGCAGCTACAAGCTTTTCGTTCATCTTCAGTTTCCCACCACCGAAGCCGAAGGGCACTTCGGCCAGACTATCCACTCCCAGTCCGCCTCGTTCGACGACGATTCTTTCATCAAGGTCGCCCCATACACCCCTCTCCCACAGACTCACAATTCCGTCACTCTGACCAACGAGGACCTTCTCGCCCACGCTGGTCCCTCCTTTCTTGAGGCCCTGAACCAGGGCCAAACTCGTCAACTCGATCTCTTGGTCCTCACTGACCGCAATAGTGCCCTTACGGACATCTGTCACTGCCAGCGTAGTGCCACCGACGCTGGCCCACTGTTTGGGGAATCCACTTGTGCTGGCCTCGCTTGCGGGGAGCGGAACGAGAGAATTGATATGTTCTTCACCGTGAGGTGTCCAGGTTTGACTGCATTTGGCCACAATTTCCTTCCCGCCCTGCCTCAGGTCTTGTAGATGTAATTTCCCAGAGTCAGTGCCTAGCAGCAGAGCTTGCGGTGATAGGGCGTGCAGGACCGTCGGCCCATCGACCTCCCTCGATCCAACACCTTGAGGTATTGCAATTTTGCTGACGACCTTGCCGGTTTCTGTGTGAAAAGCTTTTACCAGACCATCTGTCCCTACGGAATAGCACAATTCTCCCTCGTGACTGAACGCAAGACATCGACACGATCCTTTGTGCCTCCTGGTGGACCACAGTGTATCAAGTGAGCCTAGGCCGCTCTCGGAGAGGCTTGTGGAAGAAGCTCTGCGCAGGGAAGGTAGTATCGAACCATTGAGGGAATTCGTGGGGTCTAGCGGCGGCGACGCGCTGTCATCTGATGTATCTGCAATGACCTCGGAATCGGAGGGGAGCTTGTAGGCGTACACATGGCCTGAAGACAAGCCGATAGCGAACAGTGGTTGCGTGGGATGGATGACCTGAGCAAAGATGTCGGACCGGACAGGAAGAGTACAGATGGTGTCGAACATGATTTTAAGGGAAGATCAAGACATGGTCAGAAAGGGTCTCCCCTCTGTTGGTGCAGCTGTGTGCGTTGATGGAAGCTTCAAGCAATGAACGACAGCCGTTTGAATTGGAGGGAAAAGTTGGAGAGAGCTGTGTCTGTGGGCTTTATTTGGTTGGTGCACTGCCAGAAGGGAAAATCCTCCGGGGGGCCAGCCTGGGCCATTGGAGGATTCTAGGGGCCTCTGGGGCTACAGGTTTTAGGGCATCTTTACCGAGAACTCTAATTAAACAGCCGTGTAACCCTCAGGCTTCCAGGCCCACGTAGCCCTAGTAAACGCGTAACGTCTCCATGCCTCCTATGGGATATCCGCCTGGCAATCAATCAGCATATAAGAACATTTTAACATGAAGGTAATCGCCTGAATAGCCAGGTAGACAGCATCACATTTGTTGTCAGGTCGATCTTTTGGTATATCCAAACACATGTATCATTTCATATTTCCCTCAGCGTCCCCCCTACATCCATAATGCCAGCAGCAGACATCACTCAAGACAACACCGACGCTCGAGTCGACGAAACAACCGCCCTACTTGCTCCGTCTGTCGCCGACCAACCCACTGCTCCCGAGGATGGCGATGATGAGAATCAAATCGCCAATGATGCCAATGGCAAGGGGGAAGACAGGCCATTGCCCAAGGATCAAATCTTCCTCCTCTGCTTCGCCCGCCTGATCGAACCCGTTGCGTTCTTCTGCATCTTCCCTTTCGTCAATCAGATGATATGGGAGACTGGGGAAGTGGCGGAGACGGATGTTGGTTTCTACAGCGGATTGATCGTGCGTGCATACTTGTCTCCTGGACACCTCCTGATGGGCACTTGATTGACTCTGGAGACGTAGGAGTCGTTGTTTTCACTGACGCAAATGATGCTCATGATTCCCTGGGGCAAAGCCGCCGACCACTTTGGAAGGAAACCCGTCCTGGTCGGCTCGTTGGCCGGCGAATCGGTGGCAATCGCCATCTTCGGAATGAGCAAGAAAATATGGCAGATGATCCTGTTCCGATGCTTCGCTGGAGTCTTTGCCGGGACGATTGTGTATGTTTTCATTCCATCATCTTTCTCAGGGTTTGACAAAAGCACACATGTCGCTGACACTCCGCGCAGGACTATCCGGACGATGATTACCGAGAACAGCACGCACAAGAACCAGGCCAGAGCATTCAGCTTCTTTGCCTTCACGGGTAATCTGGGTATCTTCCTAGGGCCCTTGCTCGGTATGGTCCCCCTCATCGTATGGAAGACCAGTCCCCAGTTGCGAGGCTGCTGACAACCCCTTGCTTATGTAGGAGGCGCGCTCGCAAACCCAGCGACGGAATACCCGTCTGTGTTTGGACATGTCAAGCTCTTCCGCGAGTACCCATATGCGCTGCCTACATTCGTGACTGGCTCGATCGGTCTGATGGCGACCATCACCACTGCGATCGGTGTCAAAGAAGTGAGGATATCCATTTCCATTTTTCCTACCCCTAGCCTGGCACGGCGGCCGAAGCTAACAAAGTCCCTTTTTGGGGTCTCTCGGCCCAGACACTCGTGCGCTCTCCCAAGAAATCGTCCACCGACTCTCGAAAGGAGATGTCCATCCTCGCCCTCCTCCGCTCCCCTAACGTCCCGATCACTCTATATATCTACGCGCACATCATGCTCCTGGCCTTCTCCTACACGGCGATCGCGCCGGTGTTTTTCTTCACCCCGGTCCACCTGGGCGGCTTCGGGTTCTCGCCCTTCCAAATCTCGCTCTTCATGGGACTGGGCGGCCTCTCGCAATCGCTGTGGCTGCTCGTGGCCTTCCCCTGGCTCCAAGGCCGGTGGGGCACCAAGCGCGTCATGGTCCTCTGCGCCGTCGCCTACCCGTTCTTCTTCGCCCTATTGCCGCTCTGCAACCTGCTCCTGCGGTACCACGTGACTGCGGCCTTCTGGACCATCGCCCCGATCTGCCTGAGCGTGGGAAGCGGCGTCTCCATGTCCTTCACCGCCATCCAGCTGGTGCTGAACGACGTCTCCCCCGGGCCCGAGGTGCTCGGCACTCTGAACGCCGTGGCCCTGACCCTCGTGAGCGGCATCCGGGCTTTCTCGCCCGCCCTGTTCGCCAGCCTCTTCGCGACTAGCGTGCGGAGCCGCGTGCTCGGCGGGCATGTGATTTGGATCTTGATGGTCGCCTTAGCCCTGGGTTTCACGGTCGTCAGCCGCTGGATCCCCGAGCCCGGGAAAGAAAAGGACCTGCAGCGGAAGCATGTTGATGTTGGTGCGAATGGAGCGGGCGATGGGGTCGTCAATGGAGAAGCGGAAGAGTGAATCATGTGCTGATGGTCAATACGAGGCACAGATGGGAGATCTGCGAATGCAGCTAAAAGGAGGGGCTCAAGGCTATCCCGGCCTGGCAGACTGGGGCTAGGCCTGACACATTGCGCTGGGAGTTGTGTTGTCTATTTGGCGCAGGGGATATAGACAAAAAAGAGGTATACATTGCTACACAGAGTTTGTCTCAAAGAGGTAAGGCCCTAGCAGAAAAATATCGGAAGTACAGGTTGTGTAGACAGGAACAGATGGATGGCGCTCGGAAAATTCCGAGGCGTGGACAAATATGAATTGACACCACACGAGGCCGGGTCACAGAATGTGCATACCTAGCGAGCTAGGTATATACTTCCAGTTTTAGACAGCGACCCTCTAAAACACAGCATACTGTAGTCACAACCGCAGATATAAATGAATTTATCCCCCTCTACAGGTCTGCCCTAGCCGGCTCCCCCGCCCACGCCCTTCTGATCAGCTCTCTAATCGGCTCCTTTTCTACTTTTCGCGGATTAGGATATTGATTGCTCACCGCAATCTCGGCAGCCTTGTCGATATCCTCCTCCTTCATGCCGAAATCCTTCAACGCGCGTTTCACGTGCAATTTCTCAAGCAGGATGTTCAGTCCATTGGTGGCATCGCCTTCACTGCCAGGGAGGGCGGAGGCGAGCTTCTCCATCGCGTCGGGGATGGCGGGGGCGTTGTAGGAAATGGCGTGAGGAAGGACGATAGTGTGAGTTTCGGCGTGGGGGAGATTGAAGGAGCCGCCGAGCGTGTGGCACAGTTTATGATGTAAGGCCATCGAAGAGGACCCGAGACAGACACCGCATAACCAGGCGCCATACTGAGCCTTTTCACGGGCGGGCTGGGACTGAGGGTTCTGGATAATCTCTGGGAGGGACTCGGCGAGAGCTTTGGTACCCTCGAGAGCCAGAAGAGAGATGATTGGATTTTTGTTCTTGGCGTAGAGCGCCTCCACGGCGTGGGCGATTGCATTTACTCCTGAAGTGGCGCTGAGAGATGCGGGAAGAGTCATGGTGAGGTCGACATCATAAATGACCGTGCCGGGAAGAATCTTGGGGTCGGTCCGAGTGGTTTTTCGACCATCTTGCGTCTCACCCAGGATGGGCGTCATTTCACTTCCAGCATAGGTGGTTGGAATGCAAATATGGTGTAGACCGGTGCGTACTGAAATTGCCTTGCCCAATCCCGTTGTTGAGCCTCCTCCTATTGAGACGACACAGTCTGCGGACTTGGATTGAATGAAAGCCATGGCTTCTTCGGTGATGTGTGAGGGAGTATGCATGGTAGCGTTCGTGTAGGTGCCGGCAGGTTCAATCGAGGCGGCGGTAAGGATCTTGGCCAGGTCTTCCGCTTGACTGACTTGCTGGGGAGTAGAGAGGATGAGGGGTGATTTGAAGCCTAGACGTCTGATTTCATCGGGAAGCTTTTGGATACTGCCTTTCCCAAAGACCACGCGGCCTGGGTTGGCGTTGTACTCGAAAGGATCCATTGTGGCAGATTTGACCGTTGTTTCGGACAGCAAAGGGTTGCAGGGTCAATCTATCTGGTGAGGCTCGCTCGCAGGATAGTAATGGAAAGGTAGGGAGAAATTGGATGGAGGGAAGTTGTGGTGAGTTTCGTTCTGTTAAAGAGACCCCGCAGTCGTTTGGCAAGAGTGAACGCGACGGAACCAACCGTAGCGCATGGGCATCGGAAAGGGGATTCTTGATGGTTGAGGTCCCCATGGGGGGCTTTGCCGGCAGATGCACCCAAATTGCTGGACGCTGAGCTCAAAACCCCACCGCCTAAGGGTGCCCCAATGGCGCGAGGAAACATTCCGCTTGGGGCATCATCCGACGTTGACTGCAACAATGTTTCATAAAGCTGACAAACGCTGCCAGTGGGGAGCCATGTGGGCGGCCATGAGGGTGCTATGAGATCCCGCTTCTTCAGTACACAATCGCCCTGAACAGGTATATCACCGTGGACGCCGCCCAGCTAATCGTCAATCCGCCTAAAGCTTGTAGCATTTGCTTCGTCGATCTGACGCCGTCATTGTAACTGGAGGCCAGAGGCACCGTGGGTCGGCCATGCCAGAAATTTGCAATGTGGTTGTACGCAAGGACAAGAGCGCCGGCATTGGCGGCACTGAGCAAGAACGGCATGCTGTTACGACCAGAGGAGACGGCGACCACGAGGATCACCGACGACACCAATGAGAACAGAGTCTGATCCATCACTCTCAGTATCTGCTATGACGGAAGAGAACATTTGCCAAATGCTTACAGCTAGTACACCACTGGCCTCTGTGGTTCTGGTTTTGTGAAGCTGTCGTGCAGCCGCATTGGAATAACGTGATGCGCTTTCAGTTTGTGGTTCCCACTGACGAAGATTGTAGATTGCCATGGCCGATAGCATCGCCACATAGACGCTGCCACAGGCTTGAACAGCGTGATATATTTCAAGAACGAAAGACATGATTGATTCGGGCGCAGCTGTTGGATGGCAAAGGTTGATGAGGGTTTTGTGAGGGAGAGCAAGACACGCTGCAAAATCGCCTGCGTCACAGGATGGCTGACTAAGCAGTGTTCGGTGCCAAGACATCTGACTGCCCAGGACCATGCACGATACTCGGTGCTGAGCAGAATGACTCTCGTAGTGATCTTTGACTCTGTCTAGTATCAGTTGGTGGTATTCCATTTGAGCGTGTGCGGCCATTCTCAAACATATGGCTCTGACGAGGCTGTCCGCCCTGCACTATGAACCCTGACAATTAGTAAAAGCGGCACCATCGCCACACCTGACAGCAACTTAGCCTCGTTTCTCGTCGAGGTTTTCTCTTGCGTCTTTCTTGCCTGGTGGTCGTCTCCTGCATCACTCGTACTCCTATTTTCTACGTCCCTGAAATATGTTTTTGAGGAAGCGGCAGCAAGAACCCAGCTTGCCATCCTCTAGGATGGCGGAGGAACTTTCGGCCCCGCCTGTGCTCTCTACCCCCGATGCACATATCTTAGAGGAGACACTTCCGGAGGCTGCTCGGTATCCGCCAGAGGCCTTGTCCGACGAGCAGATCAAAACTAGATATGAAATCAGAAGGACAATCAACGAGATCAAGCAGCGAAGATGGAAGCGAGTCGCCCTGCAATTTCCCGACCAAATGCTCCCCCATTCAGCAAGAGTCTACCAACTTCTGGCCAGGGGGTTGCAAGAGCAAGCAAAGACGCCGGCTGTAGCGGACACGAATGGCACAGAAAATGGGATTCCAGGTTCGGTGGATTCTGATTTGTCTGGTCTTTCCATCGAGGACACGAAGTCAGTTATGCTCACCATACTGGGCGACACCTCCTATGGCTCCTGCTGTGTGGATGAGATTGCTGCTGAGCACGTCGACGCAGACGCGGTCGTCCACTATGGCAGAGCATGTTTATCACCAACTTCGAGACTACCTGTATTGCACATTTTTACTACGATGGACCTGGAACTGGACAATGTGGTCAAGTCTTTTCAAACGGCATTCCCAGATCTCGGTGCAAAGGTGGTGCTAACAGCTGACGTCCCTTATGCTGCGCATGTACTGCCCCTCTCCCAGCTGCTGCAAAATGTGGGTTACTCGAATTTGTTTGCTGCTTCGATTGTCCACAATCCGTCTTCATCGATTCCGAATCGGACAGTTCCCCTTTCAGTCACGGAGGACCCTTCATCTTTGTCAGAATGGAATCTTTTTCACATCTCCGATCCACCTACATCCCTGCTGTTGACACTCCAATCCCGTATGGCCAGCATAAGAGTCTATCCTACTGGCAGCCCTCACCACCTATCAAATTCTACGACTAGTTCGTCCGTCCTGGAGACATCTACGGCTCAACTCCTCCGCCGGCGCTACGCCCTCGTCACGTCTCTCACCACCGTTCCAATTTGGGGAATTCTGGTGAACACACTGTCTGTCAAGAACTACCTGACGATTCTGTCCCACATCCAGACGTTAATCTCTAACGTGGGTAAAAAGTCGTACCTCTTTGTTGTAGGGAAGCTCAACCCTGCAAAACTGGCAAACTTCTCAGAAATTGGTGGGTGGGTGGTGATTGGATGCTGGGAGAGTTCTTTGATCGACAGCAAGGAGTTCTACAAACCGATCATCACTCCGTTTGAGTTGGAAATGGTTTTGCAGGGAGATGATCAAAGAGTATGGACGGGGCAATGGCGGGGAGATTTTCAGGGAGTGTTAGAGGATGCGGAGAGACGGAAGGAGAATGAACATGGACAAATTGGAACGTCGAATGGTCACGCTGGTTCGAACGAGAACCTCGAAGGCGACATTGATCCAGAGTCAGAGTCAGAGTCTGAATCTGAACCGCCCGAGTTTGACCTCCGGACGGGCAGATACGTCTCCCGTACACGGCCAATGCAGAGATCTCGACAGCCCATTGCGCCCATGTCTACACCGGACTCCCATCTCAATGGTGTGTCGCGATCTTCAACTGCACTGACCAAACGATCAAACGGCACCATGATTGCCGTAGGCAGTGTCGCTTCCCCTGCCGCTGAATACCTTGCACAAAACCGCTCTTGGCGCGGCTTGGGGAGCGATTTCGAGGTCAAATACGAGGAAGATGAAGCAGAGCTGGGTAGTGTCATCGAGGAAGGAAGGACAGGTGTTGCAAGAGGATACACGGTTGGAGAAGAGAGTAAGAGAAGTTGAATTGTGTACGGAAAAAAGGGAAGAAACGGCTTACCGTTCCTTCGACGCACCTCTTCTACGCCGACAAAGACAATCTCTACGAGTTCCATATATTCAAGGACAGAATCAGCATGCTACATGATGATAGACGGGAAAACTGATCTTAAGCGGCAGGGTTCTTGCATTAATGGGGTTGGTTTCACGTGCCCAAGGCTGGGCTTCTTTGATGTCCGTTGAATCAAGCGTGCCAACGCCTCGACTTGGCCCCTCTTCTGATTTAGTTATCTTTCCAAGTTATTCTGGCATTATGTATCACACAAGGAGAATGCTATCATACACGTTACTCGATCGAGATATCAACTTGCTGTTCAAGCCGAACTTTGCGTCATGGTCCCCGGATATCGATTCCGGGGATTGGCCTGCACCTGTTTAGGAAACGATGCTCCCCTTCACTGCTTCGCGTGGTATCTCCCATGGGCTTACATCGGTCTCCTAAACGTGAGAGTTGCGTGGCAGTCACCGTGATCGGCATGGCCCTGATGTCAATGGGCTTGGAGTCTCCTGCAGACCGACTTCATTCTGCGCATGGACGAACGAGTACTTCACTCCCTCCACCCTCAACAATGATTCACTCTTGCCCGAGATAGACAGCTACACGCTTCTATAACGACTAGACAGAAATAGCCTTCTGAATCTCACAATGGCAGCGAAGAGTCTGACGAGATTGCTCCCCACAGCTGCAAGGCCAAAGCTGTCGCTTCCCCAAGCACCGCAAACCCACCGCCTCTTGTCCACGAGCCCGGTTCAGAGTCAGGTGCAGACACTACTGCAGGATAAAGAGAATGGATTTGGATTCATACGGCACAATCCTCGCACACCCAAGCCTCGTACCAAGGGCGTCACCGAGATCCGAGGCCCTTACTACTCGTCGTACGGAAAGCGTCACCTCCAGGACGTGTTGGAAACCATGGGATACCATGTTGATGGACTCAAGTTCGCCGGAGGCAGCTTCTCGATGATGCCCGAAGAGCGAGTCCGAGAGCTGATTGACCTGGCTCACGAACACGACGTCTATGTCAGTACGGGAGGGTGGATGGAACACATCTTGACTCAGCCCGACTCCGGTGCCACGGTAGAGAAGTACTTGCGGAAGTGCAAGGACCTGGGATTCGACGTGATTGAGATCTCGTCTGGGTTCTTGTCCTTCCCACCGGACGACTGGCTGCGATTGGTGGACAAGGTGCACAGCATGGGAATGAAGGCGAAACCCGAATTAGGCATCCAGTTCGGGGCGGGGGGTGACACCTCTGCAGAGGATTTGGAAGCCACGGGTACATCTGACCCCAGCAAGGTGATCAATCTAGGCAAGAAGTTCATCGAAGCGGGAGTGGAGAGAATGATGATTGAGAGCGAAGGCATCACCGAGAACGTGAAGAGCTGGCGGACGGACGTGATCCAGGCAATCCTACGAGACCTGCCCCAGGAGAAGGTCATGTTCGAGGCCGCGGATCCTCCGGTGTTCAACTGGTATGTCCGCGAATTCGGCATCGATGTCAACCTGTTTGTGGACCACTCGCAGATTGTGCAGTTGACCTGTCTGCGGTCGGGTATTTGGGGCATGGCCGACACATTTGGCAAGATTGTGAGCTACAGAGAATGAGCACCGAGGAGGCCATTGTTGCGAGCTATGTCAGTATGTAGGCATGGACTAATGTGACACACCTCCGGCCCTGCTCAATACCGAACGGCTTATGCGACAAGATATGTATGAGTATCAGCATATTAATGCAAGATTGCGTTATTATCCGGCATGCCTGATAGAGCCTTATCTCCGGGAGTAGGGGTCCCCTAAGGACCATCCCACCAGTCGCGCGACGTAGCCTCGGCAGCCCCCAACGTGCAAAGGATCTCGGGAGTCATGCGCTAGAGAGAGCCTATTATTAAGTCTATCGACGCTCCCTTCTAGGTGCCTCGGTAGGTGCCTATTGCCCCCTGTTCTGGTACTTGTGGCTTACTCGTGCAGGCATCGGTGCCACCAGTGTGCACCGGGACAACCAATTATGCTAGCAACAGTCAGCCACTGCGCCGACCCTGCAGGTGCCTGGTGACCGGGTCTGGTGTGGCGGCCACGCACTCGTATTGTTTGCGATGGCTCCGTGTGGCTCCTGTTGGTCCATTATTTTCTACCGATCACAGGTATTATTCTCCATCATCATCATCCAACACCGCCCCGAAACAACATCATCCTGCCTGCACAACGGATCAACCGGATGGCACAAGATCTCAGCACTTGGCCTTTGTCCTTGGCCGAAGGAATTGACCGGTTGTACTCGTCACGAATCCTCCGTCCTCGGTGGCAGTGTGCTGCGTGATTTGGGCTGGATCCTTGACATCATGGCCTGAGTCCCTCCAAGACACAAACACGCTCCATACTAACCCGCCATGCAAAATTGTGGGAATGCCTCCAGCTCGCCATTATTGCTCACTTCAGTGACACGTTACTACTAATATCTCTTATTGTTCCATCCAGCCAGAGTAGTGACACGGTATGGTAATACCCAGAGCATCGCCACCCATCCCGTTGACTGCTCTGCGAAGGTGAATATTAGGCTGGCTCCTATCCTTCTTCTCCTTTGTATCTCACCTGTCTGCCGAGTGTCGTGTGCCACTCAGATCCGCACTACTTACCATTATGAAGTTTGCATTGCTAGCTGTCGTTGCCAGTACTGTCGCAGCCGGTGTGAATGGTGAGTTACCATGGATGCCCGAGTTCTGTTTCAGAGATCTGACGTTCGGTGCAGCACACGCGATCCCACTTGAAAATGACTATGTTGACACCATAGTCGCTGTCGAGAACCTGCGACGGTCTCTGCCCAACTCTCCTAAAGGATACACTCCAACTTCTCAGAGTTGCCCTCACAATGCGCCTGTGGTCCGAAGCGCCGCTTCCCTCTCGCCGAACGAGACCCAGTGGCTGCAGAAGCGGAGGAACAATACGGTTGCCCCAATGCGCAATTTGTTGGGTCGATTGAGCATCCAAGGCTTTAATGCGACGGAATACATTGATCGTGTGGCCAACAATGTCTCTGCTCTACCCAACATCGGCATCGCAGTGTCGGGAGGCGGCTGGCGAGCACTCATGAATGGTGCCGGTGCCCTGAAGGCGTTCGATTCCCGTACCGTCGACAACACCGCCAAGGGCAAGCTTGGTGGTCTGCTCCAGTCTGCGACATACCTGGCGGGCTTGAGTGGAGGGTCATGGTTAGTTGGGTCACTTTTCATGAACAACTTTACAACGGTCGGGGCTCTTCAGGCGGAAACGAGTGGTTCCGTCTGGGAATTCGGCAACAGTGTTATCGAGGGACCTAAAAAGAGCGGACTCCAAATCTTCAACACGGCCGAATACTATGCCAACCTGGTCAGCGATGTCGAAGGAAAGTCAGGAGCAGGGTTCGATACATCCCTGACTGATCTGTGGGGTCGTGCCCTTTCGTACCAATTGATCAATGCCACTGACGGCGGCCCGGCTTACACTTGGTCCTCTATTGGCATTTCGGCGCCCTTCATAAGTGCCGACAGCCCATATCCTATCATCATTGCCGACTCACGGGCACCTGGAGAAACGCTGATCCCGGGCAACACGACCATCTACGAGTTTAATCCCTATGAGATGGGCTCCTGGGATCCTACTTCCTTTGGCTTTGTGCCAATGAATCGTTTGGGGACCAACTGGACAGCAGGCCGAGTGCCAGCGAACGAAAAATGCGTGGTAGGCTTCGACAATGCCGGATACCTTATGGGAACTTCATCGACGTTGTTTAACCAATTCATCCTTTATCTCAATGGAACTGGAATCCCGGACTCTCTGCGGAATCTCGTTGCAGACCTACTGACGGATTTGGGTGACGACAACAACGACATTGCGGATTATACACCCAACCCGTTCTTTCATTACAACCCGCAGACCAATCCTTCAGCCAATTCGTCGCGGCTCACTCTCGTTGATGGCGGTGAAGATTTGCAAAACATTCCCCTTCACCCACTTATCCAACCCAACCGTCACGTCGACGTCATCTTTGCAGTCGACTCATCGGCCGACACCGATTTCAACTGGCCCAATGGAACGTCCATGGTGGCTACCTACGAACGGTCACTGAGTGCCATGGCCAATGGCACAAACTTCCCAAGCGTTCCCGACGTGAACACCTTTGTCAATTTGGGGCTCAACACGCGTCCAACTTTCTTTGGCTGCAACACGTCCAATTTCACCGGCGGCACCAGCATTCCGCCATTGGTCGTCTATATTCCCAACTCGCCGTATGTGACATTCAGCAATATCTCGACTTTCCAGCTATCAACCAACGATTCGCAACGGGACGCCATCATACTGAACGGGCTGAATGTTGCCACGATGGGCAACGGCACGCGGGATGCAACTTGGCCCACCTGCGTGGCTTGCGCGATCTTGAGCCGCAGTCTGGAGCGCACCAACACCGAGGTACCTCAGGCGTGCACGAGCTGCTTCAACGACTTCTGCTGGGATGGCTCGCTCAATTCGACACAGCCGGTCAATTACGAGCCTGAGCCGGTTCTCAAGGCGGTGAGCCTGCAAAGCGGAGGGCCCAAGCTCTTACCTAGGTGGGCTATTGCTATGGCAGCGGCGGCACTGGGCTACCACTCTCTGTAAGATATTTTTCGGATTTTATGAGCTCGTGGATGATCTTGCTTGGCACTTGATTGGGTCCAAATCATGGTATAGGCATCAGGTTTTGGGTGGGCAATCCAGGTTCAGGATACACAAAAAATGGTGCATTTAGGGGGGCACATCCTGCATATGATGGTTAGGGTTGATGAAGCAATAGCGGTCGCCATGTACGAGTAGCTCGGTGAATTCGGGGTTGAAAAGCAAGCCTGGCAATATCCCGAGCAGCTTTTTTGAGGACATGGAGGCGCAAGTTTCTGCATTTGGGGCATTAAGCGAACAGCGTGGGTTCATGTGTGGCAACAAAAAGTCGACAGCATTGGGGAGGAGCTAAACAAAATAGCGTCACTGGTGACTGCAGGAAGCGTTGGTGCGGCGGTGAAACTGCGAGACTGATAAGGCTGCGTGGGCTGGCACTGGTTTGGGTGCTGGTGGCGCTGCGTGGAGAGGCTCAAGGCTCATGCGTCTCAGGCTCATGCCACCTGTGCCCCTCTGACCCCCATCACTTTCACCTTCACCTCTCACCAGATTCAGCACAAGCAGCCACCGCACCTCCACATGACTTTGCCTTCGTATTACTGAGCTGAAGTGTCACTCTGCATGAATAATAATCCTTTAAGCTGAACCTCTTCACTATGAAACCCGAGGCAAGGTGTGATTATCCCCCTCTCACCTCTGAACGCGGAGAGCAATGACATGGGAATGCAGCCATTTTGGAGTAGACCGACGCCGGTCGTATCTCGGGGGATCCGTCATCCCACGCCCTTCCTCATCCCACGTACCGAATCATGAACCGATCAGGGTGACGATCCAGGGGTGAAAAGGCCCCATCTCTGCCATCTGACTGACAACTGATGCAACCGGGGCCACAGAAGCGAAGCCCAATTACGCAGTTTCGCGCTCGCCTCAACGCATGTGTCCGTTCGGCCAACCCTCCGGTGTTCCACTGAGCTCTGTGAGTGGCTCTGCGCAGCCCCAGGAACCAAAAACTTTTTGCTTCGATCCTCTCAGAACAGGATGCGCGCTCGATATGCTTCCATCATCCCTCTCGGAAGCACATCACGCTCCGCGGTGGGCAGGAGCCGCTGCCGTTATCCGGTCAGAGACTTGGGCACCTAAGCACCATGGGCAAGAGGCGATTTTCTGTTGGAGGCAAGGGAGCCTCGAGTGAGTCGGCTTTTTCTTTATCGGGACCTCGTTTACTCTGCACATACGCTCTTGACCGGCCTTGGTTTGTCATTGTCCTCCCCCTCAGCGTACACATCTGAACCCCAACACCCTCGAGTCATAAGTCAGAGGGTGAGCCAAAACAATGAGGGCGAATCTTCAGAGTCGTTCTTGATCCAAGCAAGCCAAAAATGGGTGAAAATATCGTCCTAGAATCGAAGCCCTCGCAGCCACTTGGGGCCAGCGATAATGTCAACAACACCACAGAGACCGACAGCCAAGCATCCTCCGAGCAACCCGTACCGATCTTAGAACCTCCTCCTCATCGCTCAAGTGCGAGTCCTGCCGATACGTTGACTGAGGATGGCACCACATATGTGTACCTGACATTTGACACTGACATCCCACTCGACGAGTTCTCGTCGGGCGCATCTTCAATACCTCCGCCAAATCTCAAAAAATATGAATCACCACTCACCTGGTCCGCCACGCACAAGACCATCATCTTGATATTGTCATGTGGCTGTACCTTTCTTGCTGCGTACAGTGCTGGTTCCTATTCCATCGCTTCGGGGCCTCAACGCGAGAAGTGGCACCTCTCTGGAGTCGCCTTCGAGACCGGGGTCACGACATGGGCTACAGGTTTCGCTGTGTCTCCCATGTTTCTTGCGCCATTTTCGGAAATCAACGGTCGCCGACCTGTCTTCATTGGTTCCGCGATTATGTTCCTGGCGGGTCTCATTGCTTGTGCGACTACCCCGACCTTCGGTGGAATGCTGGTATCTCGATTCTTTGTTGGGGCCGGGGCCAGCACCTTTGCGACTATGGTTGGCGGCGTCATGTCTGACCTGTACCATGCTGAAGACCGAAACACACCAATGGCCATATACAGTGGCTCCGCACTTGCAGGCACTGGTATGGGCCCGCTAGTGTCCGGCTTCATTGTCGGTCGCGCTAGTTTTCGCTGGGTCTATTATCATCAGATCATAGCCCTGGGGATCATGCTGGTTGTGGTATACCTCTTCTTTAAAGAGACGCGCGGCTCAGTGCTGCTCAGCCGCCGAGCCAAAGTATTGAACGCATACCTCGATAAGATTGAGAAAGCGTCGATCAACCCGTCCGAGGAGAAACCAGGCACACCAGTCCGTGTCCGCTACCGAGTTGCAGCGGATGAGAGTCGATCCTCGCTTGGCCGCATGCTGTACCTGTCACTGACGATTCCTTTCAAGCTCCTTACCACGGAACCCGTCGTGTTCTTCTTTTCACTGTGGGTCGCCTTTGCCTGGGCTCTGCTGTATATGACATTCTCCGTTATCCCCTTGGTGTTCCAAACGCGCCACAACTTCAACGTCGAGCAGAGTGGAGGAGTCTTTGCTGCCATTGCCATCGGGTCCATCCTGGCGACCGTGTTGTCGATATACCAGGAGAAGCTGGCAAAAATGAGATGGCCCAAACTCAACAGCAGCCCAGAAGGAAGACTGTACTTCCCTTGTCTTGAGGGGGCGCTTCTGCCAATCGGCCTTTTCTGGTTTGGATGGACGACCCCTTCTTCCATTCCTTGGATATCACCAGTCCTCGCCATTGGATGTGCCCAGATGGGTATCTTCGTTATTTACCTCGCCGTCTTCAACTATCTGGCTGACGTCTACCATCGATACGCTTCGTCGGCATTGGCGGCCCAGAGCTTCATGCGGAATATCTTTGCTGCCATCTTCCCGCTCTTCACGACGCAAATGTTCAACAATCTGGATTACGCGCCGGCCGCCAGTTTGCTGGGAGGGATCGCCGCGTTGTTGACGTTGGTGCCTTGGGTGCTGCTCTTCAATGGTGAGAAGATTCGTGCGCGCAGTAAGATTGCGAGGCAAATCATGTCGACGCAAGAGTCTTGAGAGAGATGTCGAATATGCGGATTTATCAAAAGTATTAGCGTCGGCGTTTCAAAGCCGGAGATCGAGTATCAGCAGCATATATCGCAAGCATTGGATATCGGAGTTCAACTGCAGAAGGAATCGGGCTCTGGCATATAGGCCAGTGTATTGTCCAGCATTACTATTGCAGAACATGAGTTACCACATTGTCGGATTCAACAGCATTAGGGATGGACCTTGAGCGAGGTGTTGTATATTCTTGAGCGTTGAGAATTCTCTAGTCCAACGGATAATATAAGAGAAAAGAAGTCATAACCGAGCGCCGCCGACACAGGCTTTTCAGAAGAGGGGCAAGAGGAGTCTGTATGTTTGTTCCAGGCGCATATTAATCTTACAGGGTCAGTATACCTAGTAGCAGCGAGACGCTGCTGAGGAGAAAGCGTATGAGATGGCCGTATGCATGTACCCCAAGTCGGAGAACCATGGTTGTTCCCATCCACCTGCAGCCAACAGCAGCCTCGCCGTCTAGTCTTCGTAACCTGGAGAGTTTGTTACATATGTTAGGTAGTCGTACACTTCCCTGCCTACCTACCTACCTACCTACCTAGGTAGGAACCTATGTAGTATTACCTGTGACACACGTACTAGTCACGAGGAACTTCTGTGGGGGTGGATGCGTTGGTATCGTTGCACATAGGGAGTACTTATGTTATGTACCACAAGAGGGCAGTAAATGTTCCCTGCCAGTGCCATGGAGATTTTTTTTCGATTGGATTTCTAGATTTTGTGTATTCTGTGGCCCTTTGCGTCGGTTTTTTTCGCCTAGGTACCTAGGTAGGTAGGTAGGTGTTCGAGATTTTCCTTTCCTTTTTCCTTTCACGCTTTTTCCCCTTTTCCCGCTGTGTCCCATCCGTACCTATCTCCGAGCACTCTAGAGCTCTCCTGCGAAAGGGGCCCATTGTATGACATGGCTATGTATGCGTGTGTGGAGTGCAGTTACGTTAACCCACCATATTATCCTCTCGCACCTATCTGGTCCCTGCCAACCTCCGCTCCTGGACTTCCGTCAACGCGCGGCTCCCGCTCAGGAACGCCGTGACCCCCAAGACGCCGAGCACGGGGAGGGTCTGGAATAGATTCCAGGTCGTGTAGTAACAGAAGAAGACGAATTCGATGCCCGCGATCGAGGAGATGAAGAAGGCGTGTGAGACTGGTGAGGTTGAGAAGGATTTGGGAAGGGAGGAGAGATTTAGGCCGAGAGCGAGCCACTGTCCGTCGAGATGGTTAGTGTCGAGTCTTCCGGGGAGATATGTAAAGTAAAGACAGAAAATGGCATAGAGGTTGTGAAAATAATGGATAGGGGCATAAGGGGAGGGTAAAACGTACGGCGCCCGCCAGCAACGGTAGCGTTCCCACCACGGCGGCCACAAATACCAGACTGATGATCGCGGGCGGAGACTTGGGGTCAGAACGGAAGATGTGGTGTATCTCTGGAAGCTTGCCGTAGCGGAGTGGTTTCTCTGCCGCTGGTATAGGAGTGTTTGAATCTGTCTTGACTTGCAGGGTGAAAGCCGGTGAGTTGTAGCCTGGCGCGGTGCCGAAGGACGCGATAAGGATAGATGCGCTGAGTCCTGATGTATTGTTCGTGAGGAATTGAACCGGGAGATCTTTGTGTGTCTGTCCACGCATCACCTGTTAGTTCTTGCTCATCCTCATTGACTGGCTGTCGCAAGGGGGCAGTAGGCTCGGATTTCTGCGTGAAACCGGAGCAGGCAGAATGGAGAAGGCGCCTCGGTTTTCAATCTGTATATGACTCTTCCCTCTCTTGGGTTTATCTCGGGCCCTGAACGATTGGCACATACCAGTTCGACCTTCGCTTTGCCAGACTCCTTCACACTGAAAGGATACGAAACGTCGAGTTTCCTTTCTTGGTCCTGCAACAGCAGGAATGCCTGATGCGGTCTTTTGGCACTCTTTCCCTCTTGCGTCGTAAGTGTGATCTTCAAAGTATCGGAGGAGCCGAGCAGGACGGGTGTGGAGAGCGGTTGGGAGGGGGTGAGTCTGGATGAGCGGTAACGAGATTGCAGTCAGTCACTTGAGCTTTTCCACACGTGCCCGACGTCTTCAGAGAGTCAATAGTCGACGCATTGGACGTACTTCTCTTTAATTCCTCCATCCTTCGCGGCTGCGGAGCCTTTGCTGGTTACGCTGAGAGAGGCGTCTGCGAACGTCCAAGTAGAGGCTGCTCCTACTGATGAGCCTAGCGTAGAGCAAAGAAGCAGAGCTTGCGGAAGAAATGAAAGCAGACGCATTGTTGCGGCCTAGAAAAATTGGCGCTGTGTACGCAGTGGGATCCCCAAAGATTCAAGATTCAATGAACATGCTTTTTGAGAATTATCGAGCATTGAGCGGAGGAGATACGTAGCCTCAGCCTCGCAAGCCTCAGCCTTGCTTCTCCAAATGCCAAGAGAATAAGGGGGCCGGGGTGAGGGTCGAAGTTGTGCTAGGTGTGGATTTATCTCCTCTTCCTCCCTCCCCCCCAAACGAACACCTACATGTCGTAAGCAGCGCATCTCGCTGAGACTTCTGATGCTTTCTTCTCTGTTGTAGCCAATTCGATGATGGTGGCTAGCATCGAGCTCCTGGTTGTATCTGATACACCGACACACGAACTAGGTCAACCCGGTTTTGAAAAGGTTTGTGTATACCATAACTAAATCTAACGTATACCCTTCAAACGCCGTCGGACACTCTATCGGCGATACTTATAACGGGAAAGGTATATAAGCATCGTGGCAGTGAGGTCGTGGAGTCGTCGGTTCCGTCGACAACGGATTGCCAGTTCGGACTTCTTCCGTTGCATTCCTCTGCATTGCGTATAGCCTCTGAAACATCGATCAACGACTCCAGCACAGCAGGATTCTCGGGCTTGGGGCTATCGAATCCTCCTCTGCGAAACTCGGCACATTGAGTGCCAAGGATAAATGGAACACCTTTCATTGCTTTCCGGCAAACACCCCCAACGTCGGCCGGGTCATCTTCCAATCGAGTAGGGTCGAGCACGATGTTCCAGTCCATGCCGGTCATTGTGGAGCTCACAATCCAGTTCTTCAGGTTCGTCTCCATGGTTGCAGCAAGCTCCTCGCGAGATGGAACGGCGTCCAAGAAACCTCCACTCTGGGCCAGGTTGAACGCGAAGTTGTCCTGTGCGTCAATTCCGACCTGGCCTGCCGCCGACTTCGGTCCTGTACCGAAGACGATATCGACCGACTCCGACATGCGCCTCTGCGAACTGTCAACGATCTCTTGGACTTGTCGTCGTAGCTGGTCCTTGGTTCGCTCCGCCAGATCTTGGATTGCCTCGTTCGCTTCAATCGTGCGAATCACGTCCAATGGTCCGCTTAGGGCCTTATCGTCTCCAGCCAGAGCGTATATTCGGTCAAGGTTTTTGAAAAGCTTAACTCCAAGTGTGAAGGCCCTTCCAAAGGGTAGGATTCCAAGAACAAATCCCGCAATCGCCTCGAACACGGCTTCCAGGATATTGCCTTGCTCCTCGGAGAGCCCGTCAACGACATCATTGATGAAGCTGGATTGCAGAATGGCATTTCCGGCATCTTCAATGGCCAGGAAGTTATTCGACACTCCTTGGTGGAATCGAATGAAGTTCTCCACTACGAATCCTGCCTGAGGCGTTATGTAGTTGCCGCACGGCGAGAGGCCGACGTTGGGAATGTCTTTGAAGGCGCAGTCGGTCCCTAGATTTGGTTTCACCCCGGTTGGATGTTTGCACAAATCGGACCCTGCACCGGAACCGATAATTGAGCAATCAAAGAGGAACTGTTCGCCATCCAAGAGGTTCTGTTGAACGAAATATCCGGGGAAGCCAAGAGTGGTGCTGGTCCCAGCGCCGAATGTTTGGACAAAGGTAGACAAAAAGTCATCGATCTTGAACGACGCCCAGTTAGCTGTTGTCAGGTCTGCCGCTCCGCATGCTTTGACCGGTTGGTCGGCAGAGTTGCATAACTCTTGGCGTGTGAAGAGTTGGGCGCTGTGGTTTCCGGCTGCAGCAAGTGACAGGAAAAGAGAGCAAAGTATAGGTGGAAGAAACATGGTTGGGAAACCCTATGAGGGTATGGATACCGTGGGGGACTCGATCTGGGTTGTATTTCAGAGAGAAATGGAGGATGCGAGTGTCTGGTCCTCTGCGTCGTTGACCTTCTTATACAAATCTCCAATCTCCGGAGCGTGATATCCTGGCCATCAGCACGTCTCAGACTGACCGCTTGCAGTAGCCGCCGCTGCACCCCAAAGTCCACAATAAGAGGGGGCTGCCTGTTCGCGCTTTCTGAATTGGACTCGCTTCATACTCATACCGGGAAAGATAGACGTGTCGCGAGAAAGAAAATAGCACAGTTCCCAATGCGGAAGTGCACTTGTCGGAACTCAGCGACAAGGCTGACCAGCAAATGTGACTAAGGGGCTTCGTCCCTCAGCCTCACAGCCTTGGCCCGGCTGTCAATTGGCCCAGCGCAGCGGATGAGATTAAACAGGGACAACGGCTCTGCTCGGCGTTGGAGCATCTCACGGCCACTACGAGAACCTAGCCACAGCTAAGAGCTACTCGTATGCAGGAGCATCACAACAGCCGCAGCAGACGACAAAAGGTCTTACGAGAATGGCAGGAGCCCCTTATAGGAGCATTGGCAGTCAGTATGTATCTCAGGCAAACGCTGGAAAGATTCAGCAGCTGCAGCAGTCGCTCCCTGTCGAGAGCTGGTTGTATAAACACCCCTTGCGATTCTTAAGCTGCCTACCTTGAACAGCATCTTGCGATAAAACACTACCGATATTGCGATGGAGCCGCTCCGAAGCCTCAATACTCACGGCCAGTCACCCCACCTCCGCGTTGACACAAGTTACGAACAAGTACGCAATGCGAAGAGAAAAGCGCTGACTCGACCCAATCGCCTTCGCGTGATTGTCAGGCTTATCACACTCACCGTCGGAGCATCTATTGTGGGAGTCCTTGCTCACGCAGCATTCGTCTGGTACTCGACGCGGAACTATATCCTCATGCAGCCGCACGGTATCCGCATGCGAGGCTGGCCGGCGCAGATGGATCTGATTCCCACGTGGATCATGTTGGCGGTGGCGGTGATTGCGATTGTCGTCCAGATAGTTGCGCTTTTGACGCTGCTTCGAGGAGTAAGTTGGCACCTCACCCGCCAATCTCCTTGTTCTTCTCCTTCGAGTTCGGGTAGTCACTGATCCTGTTCCTTTGGCCGCAGGTCTACCGACTCCGCGAATCTGCCTGGCACACCTGGGGTTTATTCCTCACTTCCATCGTGGGTATCGCAACATGGATCACCGCAGCGGTGTACTTCAAACTGCAGGACAATAAGGGAGAGAGAAACTGGACCCTTTGGTCCTGGTCGTGCTCGCACAAGGATCTAGTGAATGGGAAGATGTCGTTCCAGACCATGTGCGTCGAACTGGTATGACCAATTCCCAGCCGAAGGAAGGGGTTCTGGGGCCATTTTGTTGCTGACGATTCCCTCTAGAATTACTGCTTTTATATTGCGGTCATAGTTGCGGCGTTGGAGCTTCTGAATTTGAGCCTGTTCGGACTTCACTTGCGCAAGGCCAAGAGACAAGGGAGTTATACCACCATCACAGTCCAGAAAGTGTGATGGCGGTGTGTGTCTGGTCACTTCTGCCAGCTTTGACCTTCGCATCCACCCGATGACTTTCTGGTGATTTGGCTCGTCGATTTTTCCGCGGTGTCCGATCATGGCAATTCATTCAGGGTCCGACAGGTTGCCTACATACAGTGTACATTATTCGGGTTTGTGATTTTGTCTCTTTTCTGGGACATTGAAACGTATCAGGGTCTTCGGTCTCCATCTGGGTACGCTTTTGTGGCTACCGATGGCCGTGCGTGTTCGTCTATGCTCGTTCGAGCCGGTCCTGTCAAGAGGTAGCCTGGAAATGGAGACGTTTTCTTCGTTGAAGGTCCCACCAAGACCATTGGGTCTATCTGAACTGGTTACGAGAGTGCTTTCCCCATGCGATTGACTTTGGAAGCTGGGCGAAGCTGCTAGATAGGGACAGAGCACTCCCTACTACGCTGTCACCCAAGAATATGAAAAGGTTCGTCTGTGATCATGCTCCATCCGACCGAGTCCCTTCACCTCTCCGAGGGTCAAAGGTCCCTTCGAAATCCTGCAGGCACCCTATTTTTTCCGTCTTCGTCACGAACCCACCGCAAAGCATCACCTGTGCGACCCGAGGCTGAACAAGTATATGCGGGTGCCTCTATATGTGCAACTCCAAATATTCTCCGCCTCGCATTGAAAGCCGGGGGAGGCCATGAGGGGGCGAGAGCTTTGCTCCAAAAGCCCGGAGAAAAGAGCCCGAAAACAAATGGACGTTTCAAGCCTGGAGGTTGGAATGATTGGCTCCTTCTCTGGACTCGATAGGGCCGAGGCAAGTCTTGGGCGGCCTTTTGAAACGCTCAGAGAGCCCTGCCCAACCTTGTCCCCATCGTCGTAACCGATAAACCCCATGGAACCAGCCTGAGGGGCCGAGGTCTCCGCATCATGGGTACAATCGCAGGAAGTTCCCTAATCATCTAGCAAACCATCTCCTTGCCGTCTACTTTCTATCTTGTTTTGATTCAAATATATCTTCTATTATCTAGAGACGAGTCTTATCCCTGGAGGGCCACTGGACCAATATCCCGGACCAGGTTTGCGGTCGCATAGTTATTGTTCGTTTCTTGGTGACACCCAAGTCACCCCCATCCTAGCAGCCATGCCGATAAAACGAGATATTGGCCACACGACACCCACGGTCAACGGGTCAGGTGAGCCGGCCGCGGAAAGTGTCGTCCAGAACGGAAACCATGTCAATGGCGAGGATGAGATATTGGACATGCTTATCGTGGGTGCCGGGTTCGCGGGCATCTACCTGATGTACCATCTAAGGAAACGAGGCTTCACCTCCAAAATCATCGAGGTATTTCCTTCCACTACCCCGAGTGATTCATCAAGAACTATCCCCATCCATCATCTGATATCCACATACTGACCTGGAGATTTACAAGGCTGGATCTGATCTTGGAGGGATCTGGTATTGGAACCGATACCCAGGCGCCCGTGTGGACAGTCAGTATCCTGTCTACGCGCTGTCCATACCCGAAGTGTACAAGGACTGGACCTGGTCGTCGCACTATCCCGACCACGCGGAACTTCGGGAGTACTTCAAACATGTCGAGGATTGTCTCCATGTGAAGAAAGATTGTGTTTTCAACAGCAAAGTCACCGAGGCGACGTGGGACGACCAGACGTGCCTGTGGACGATCAAAGTTGAGACCGGCAAGACGTTTCGCGCCAAATACTGGACTGCGTGCACTGGGTTCGCGGCCAAGCGGTACTTCCCGGACTGGGAAGGCCTGGAGGAATTCCAGGGCGAAATCCATCATTCCAGCTTCTGGCCCAAGGAAGGCGTCGATGTCAAAGGGAAGCGAGCGGCTGTGATCGGGACTGGCGCCACTGGCGTGCAAATCACCCAAGAGGTTCGTTCTTTTCATCTCACACTTAAACCACCTATCCAAGCCCGACTCTCGAAGTCTTGGGAAAGGATCCTCTTGAGGGAGAGACGCGGACCAGGGGCTGACTTATACATCTTTCTATTTCTTACTAGTGGGCAAGAGAGATCGGAGAAGATGGCAACCTGAAAATGTTCCAGCGGACGCCCAACCTCGCGTGCCCCATGAACCAGGTGTACATGACCAAGGAAGAACAAGCCAAACTGGCCGAGGGGCTGGCCGAGAGATTCGCCGAGCGAAACAACTATTACAATGGCTTTCTCTACCAGTGGCGCGACAACTTGACTTTTGATCATACAAAGGAGGAAAGACAGGAGTTTTACGAAATGTTGTGGAAGATGGTGAGACTACTTGTTCCTCCTCCAAGCGGCCTCTCCTGGCCAAAAGAAAGAAAGGAAGCCAGGAGACTGGTGCTGGTGCTGGTGCAGATGCTGATTGATAATCTGTTCAATATGTTTTCTAGGGAGGTTTCCGTTTCCTGATGAACAACTACTATGACATGACCCGCTCGGATAAGCCGAACCAAGAAGCGTACGAATTCTGGCGGGATCGTGTGCGAGAACGTGTCCGCGATCCGAGAAAGGCGGAGCTTCTCGCGCCCATGGAACGTCCCCATCTGTTCGGTGGGAAACGTCTGTCCCTCGAGCAGGACTTTTACGATCATTTCAACAAGGTGAGTAGCGTGCATGAAGTCTAGCCATGCCTTTCTTTACTTTTCCGCCGGTGTGACTTCTGGGCGTGGAAGGCTGTTCATCAGACAAAAGATCATGGTGCTGACTTTCCCGTGACTAGCCCAATGTCGATGTGATCGATGTTCGAAACAATCCTATCAAGAAATTCGTTGCCGACGGTGTCGTTCAGGAGGACGGGACATACCACAAACTCGACGTGATCGCGCTGGCGACGGGCTTCGACTCCATCACTGGAGGTCTGAAGGATATGAAGATCACGGGCGTCGACGGCGAGGTCTTGACCGACAAATGGGCCCAAGGCACCTGGACGTACCTGGGTATTTCGACTGCCCACTTTCCCAATTTCTTCTTGTAAGTGCGAACATAACCCAGCCCAACAAATACCTGGTCCTCTTCCCTTCTCCTCCTCCTGCTACCCGGATCCGAAATTGTGAACCGCCCCTGTCTGACCGGTTCTTAGTACATACGGCCCACAAGCGCCGACGGCCTTCTCGAACGGGCCCTCGTGCATCGAGATCCAAGGCGACTGGATCACCTCGGTCCTGGAGGACATGCGAGAGCGGGGGCTGAAGAAGATCGACCCGGAGCGCTCCGCCGAAGAGGAATGGAGAAAACTGGTCTTTGAACTCATCAACGACACCCCTCGCGGCAAGGTCGACTCGTGGTACAACGGCGCCAATATCCCCGGCAAGCCGCGCGAGCACTTGAACTACGCGGGCGGCATCCCGCGGTATAAGAAGACGCTCGAGCAGGTCAGGAAAGATGGATACACCGGGTTTTCCCTGGCTTGAATTTATTGAAACAACGGGAATTGAGCAAAGTTTTTTGGTTGTTCTTGCGTCCACCCTTTTTTCGAGGGTGTTTTGCAGTCTGCGAATCTGCTGTAATTCAAGACCGCTTCGCTGCCTGTGCTCCGATTTCATTAGATCGCCAATGCAAATAAATAGTTTGTCAATTTACACTTCCAGATTATTGACAACATCGCCTTCAACGAGATTATATTTGTACAATGTGCGTAGCGGACATCCCAGTACTTTTAGTTCCCCAACCCCGGCATCGCATACCATCCATATCCACGCGCATCCGGTCATTGATATCATGTTACAATTTTCCCAGAGATCCGAGGCCGCGAGTTACGGCCGGCAAAGTATGTCTGCTTACCATGCTGGTGATTTGCTACGCATCTTTCCTCGTGCAAAATGATGCGCTAGGACACGCTCAGCAACATGACAGCTTCCTCCCCTCCTTTGTCCTGCTCTTTGTCTTATTTGGTACAGAGTCGAGCCTGGAATTGAAGAAGTCGCCGATCCCAGCTAAGAGAGAGTGTGTCACTTCAATCTTCTGTGTTTGATGTATGCAAGGGAACACAAAGGTATGCATGTTGAGTCCACCTTGAACGGAAGTCGTTGGATACTTGGAAGGCTCTGACTTAGCAAGGTCTTGAAACTCTCGATTTTCATTTTACGTTTACGGAGTTCGAGTTCGACAGGTTGGGACTTCAACAATAGAACTTTCCCCCTTCATTCTGTGGCCCTATTCTTGTAGTGATACAGAAATCAATGCTGAAGCCTATTTACAGCACGAGATCTAAACATGCTGGTGCTCTAATGGCGTTTCATGAATCCGATACCCGCCTCCTTGAAGGAGTCCGCTGCTCTCCCTTTGACCATAGAGGCCAGTTGCTCGTCTAACTGCCTGCGAGCTTCCGACTGGAGATGCGTTTCCAAGCCCGCCTTGCTCTCGAACCTCTCGAAGATCACTATTTGATCCGGCGACTCGCGACTTTTATAGGCGAAAAACGACTGCGTTGCCGGCTCGTCTGAATCCGCCCGATGACCCCGTGGTGGTTAGCCGATGCTTCGCACACAGCTTGTGAAGGGTGACTTATTTGCTAGAGACGTACTTTGTCCAACGTAGGAAACAAACGGCTTCAAGAGGCCCAGCACAGCGCCGGGCTGGGACGTGAGTCGCTCGACCCGCACGACAGCTGCCTTGGTAGGCTCATTGCGTTCGGTGAAGCCGAGTGCGGGTTCGAGATACTCAAGCTTCAACTTGTTCTCCTTGGAGGAAGATTTGCCAGTTTTCATTCATTCCTGGACGGGGGCCTGGTCGCCTTATTACGACGCCATCTCAGTCGATAAAGAGTCGTACTATAGACTTACGCAACAATGACCATCGTGATCTCGGATTCGTCCCCCCATGGTCCAGGTTCTTACGCTCGTAACTGTGTTCTTCCGATGGCAAAAGATCCGATACGCCGTGGGCCGGCGGCTTCTAAGTTCTCTCCGACGAGGCTGATGCCTTCTTTGGGAATTACCAGAATAAGCAAATTTTCCGCGGCGTATCCACTCCAAGTTAAACCCGCAAGCCTGGGGTATGTGCAATATGAGACTAGATTATAAGGATGAAATCAGTCTCTTGTACCCCATCCGCACTTCCCCCGCCTTCCCAGATTCCTTCTTCAGGGGTGTGGGATATGGAGGTTTGCTTGTGGAGTACACCCGTCCACGAGCTGGAAACATGGAGTTCACATGAGCTATAGCTTCCAAAGGAAAGTACCCCTGAGAGGTTGGAGACGGAAAAGGTTGCCTTTCTTGCGCACCAATCAAGCCTCTTCTGCTCAAGTTTTGCATCGGGTGAGTTGTTTCTGTGCAAGCAAAAGACGGTCCCCTCGTCACGACTAAGACTTGGAGCCCTGAAGCAAAAATTCCATCACCACCTCTTCGATCAGCGCGGCGTCGTCGTCCTTGTCCGTCATGCGCAAGTACTCCCTCGTCTCCTCAACCGGCCAGTCCGCCCCTACAATCTCGCGGATACACGCGCCGTTGACTTCGCGATCAAACTCCGGGTGCGCCTGCAGTGTCAGCACCCGACTAGGCACGTACATGCCCTGCATGCCACAGAGGGCCGTGGAGCCGACTTCCACGCACTCGGGAGGCAACTGTGCACTCTGAGTAACGACCACGGTGTCCTGATGCGAGAGTTGCAGCTGTATTCGCGACGGCGAAGCGCGGGCAGGAGACTTGAGCTGACGAGGAAAGCAGCTGGCGAACTTGGGATTGAGGGTGATCTCATACACGCCGAGTTCCCAGCCTCGTGGATTCTTCATGACGTGGAGGCCGCCGGTGTGCGAGAATAGCGACTGGTTGATGATTTGATGGCCGAAGCAGGTCCCGAAGATTTTCACTTTGGGATGTTGCTTGTATGTGTCTGCGAGAAGAGGGACAGCGTCAGTCTTGGTTCTGTGAGAAGGAAGGACACGATCAGACCAACAAGCTAAGGGGAGAGGAGGAGAGAGATCTCATGAGGAATTGGAAGAGACCTCTTCATGTTAGAGGGAGAGACTGCCGGGAGGAATGTTTCCACACGAACACAACCCTCAACCCAATGTGTGAATCCCTTGCTGACGCCATAAATGGGCCTCGAGCACGACCTGGATTCGAAGGTGTCCAGCCACTGACCTTGTAAGAATCTCCCGAGGTTCTTCACCCACTCAATGTCCTCATACGCTCCCGCCGAACTCCCTGTGACAACCAGCGCATCGAGCCCTTCCAAAGCCTCCGTGTCGGGCAACTGGCCGGCCGTGGCATTGTACGGCGTTGTTCTGACTTTGATCTGCTTCTCGGCCCCAGGCCACTGTTCGTCGGAGTAGCCCTCCGAGAGGCGTTTTGCGCCACGATCAAAAAAGGTTTGAAAGATCTGATCAAAGGGACCACGCAGGCGGGAGACTGGCGGCGGGAGGACCTCACAGATCAGGATCGCGAGGTGCAATGTGAGGGTCTCGGTGGAGGGGGGAAGTGAGCCCATAATCCTCCTCTCCACGGACGTAAATACTGGTGGCAGTGTATGCGATTGCGGCTTAATTGTACCTTTGCCCCGGGGCTTTCGCCGGATATACAGACGGTTAGCACGAAAGTTGCTGGCTGCGTTTAGTCAGATGGTCTGTCTCTGGTAGTCCTTTCTGTGCAACTCCGACACAGAGAGATGGTCCATTCCCATGAATCGTATATATATATCCGTTTGGACAATAAAGTAATCCAGCACGCCCTTGATAAGAACAGATCCACTCTGCCGCTCTGGAACTGAGCGTTGATGTCCCGTCCACCAATCATCGATGAAGAACTCCCCTTCCTAAATGGGATTTCTTGGCTTCTCTAGGTCAAGCTTGTTGATGAGTCAAGACAGAGTGAGGATGGCGAACCATGTGAAAGCCCTCAAGATTCTGCCGGATAGAGACAAAGCAGGCACATGCATTGTGCTCTTCGAGGGCGTCGTAGGTATGCCTAATAAAAATTTAAAATATGCTTTGAAGCAAACGAACAAGTGGCAGCACGCCGAAGCTCTTTCAACGCGGTGCGTGGCGTCTCAAAGATGCCGAAGTCCGACGTCAGGCCTGGATAGAGCCGAGTCTGAAGGCCCACCAGGCTGCCCTTCGCGCCCACGAGGCTGAGGCTCAGGGGACGATCACCTACAGTGCGTATTGATTGTTCCGTATGCGAAAGATGTGATTCCGGAACTCGACATAGCTTATCAGTTCATCAAGTGTATCGAGAGCTGCGATCTTCGATGCGTTATACACTGACTAGGTCAAACACTAGTCCGACTGAGAAGCGAGGCTCCAGGCCGTAATAGTACACAAGCTCAGGTCAGCATCTCAAATGCTCGCGACCAGATCTCCGAGGAATCGTTCCCGCCAGTTGAAAAAGATGCTTGCGTGGGTCTCGTCCTCCACGTGCAAGACTGCCCGGTCGCCCAAACGCTTTGCTATCGTCTCCCCATGGTTGAGCGGGACGTTGACATCCAGCTTCCCATACCACAGCTGCACTGGCAGGTCGGGACGAATGTCCTCAATGCGAAAGCCAAACGCCGAGCTCAGTATCCTGCCGTCCTGTAGCGCGGCGTCATACCCTTGAGCGAAGGTCGCTCGGGACGCCTGTATAAACCGCCGGGCGTTGACTTCGTTCGTCATGACATCAAAGTCCTTCTGAGCAGCCGCCGATTTGGGCTGTGAGAATTCTTTCATGTGCCGCTTAAGGCGCTCCTCGTCGCTGAGGTCCAAGCGGCCCATCGTTTGCGTCTGCCAAAACCAACGATTGACGATGGCGGGCGTGTATCGATACCCAAAGGCAAAGCCGATCCAGTTCAGCCAACGCGCGCCTTTCATGCCGATTTCATATGCGGGCCCAAGACCGCATACGATCGAGACACATTTAAGCTTGTCGCGCGGTAGCGCGTAGGCGCAGGCGAGGGCATATGGTCCACCGCCAGACACTCCCTGTTGTCACATATGCTTTAGTCCTCCTGTACTCGAAGACGTTCATTCTGAGAAAAACAACTCAGGCTGCGCGTACCAGGACACCATATCTCTCCAGCTGGAGATGATTTGCCAGATGTTCCAGGTCCTTTGGGTGGTCGAGGAGTTTTCTGCCGGGCTGTGGCGAGCTCAGTCCAGTGCCAGGTCTGTCGGCGCAGATGATCCGGGCCCCGAGTTTCAGGCCCACGTCGTGAAGATGGGCGCCCTCGAGGCGAGATCCTGGATGGCCATGTACAAAGAACACTGGGCGCCCCGTTGGAGAGCCGAATTGCGCGTATCCAAGCTTGCGTCCGTCCGGAAGGTCAAGAGTGGTCGAATTGTCGTTGTCCATGCTGGTTCGCGCCGTTGAGTTCTTGTGTGCGTTGGCCGGTAGGAATTGCTGTTGAGCTACCGAGTACCCCAGAAATATATGCTTAGGTCTGAATATACTAGCATGACAAATGGGAAAATTAGATCTGGTGCAGAAGCTCGTATAAGTAGCCGTCGCCGTCAAGGACGTGGTCCTCATAAAGGAAAGGTTAGTGAGGCGGAACGAGGTAGGGGGCCTCACTAGGTACGGAGTACCGTACCCTTGGCGACAGCCTGAAGCCCCGATAGAACCCGGGCTCGCCGGGAATGAGTCATGGGGAACATTTACAGGGCTCACCAGGGAAATACCGGGGGGCCAGCGAAGCGGGCGCTGCCGATGTAAGCTTTTGAGCCCAGACCCTTCAACGCGCCTACTTGTCCCCCGTGGCCTCTCTATCCCACGTCTTCATCGACATAATATCCAATTGTTCAACACACAAATGGCTCGATTTTCAGGCTAGACAGATTATCACAACTGGAACCTGGAATTTTGATCATCTTCTTCGGCGAACTGGATGACTCAGACTGTGCCCTTTCACGCTGCAAGCAACCCTTCCCAAATATATGCCTCTGCAGTCCAGATATCGATCCGACGCCCCCAGCTGTGGCTGCTGAAGCCTACCTAGGTAGGTAGGTGTGACTGCGACGGATATCGGCGCTGGATTGCCTCGTCGAGAAGGGTTAAAAAAGTCTTTAATTAAGTTCCCAGCCCAACCACCGGGACACCCGATATGGGCGCCTTATACGAGTACGAGCTCGTGCTGTGGATGCCAGTGGTAAAGCTCCTTGCACGGTATGAGCAGGGTCAAGCAGGCGTGCCAAAGGGCTTCGTTTTCAACAAATGAAGCAACACACAGCGTCTAAGCTCTTCCAGAAGCCTTGAGGCTCTACAGCAATCGGTTCTGATGCGCAGGAGACAGATGCACTCCGCTAAGATCCGGGGGAAGGGAGTGTCCGTGGGAGTCGTCCATCAGGTGGACCTCGGGTACCGGGATGTCTCGAAGCAGACGATGCCAGAGGTAAATACCACCTATGTCGTTGGATCCAACACAAAGGCATTCACCGCGGCGCTTCTCGGAAACCACGTGGACGAGGGCAAGTTGAAATGGGATATCGCCGGTGCACGACATCCTGCCTTCGTTTCGGCGGAGCTCGAATTCTCCCTGGTAATACGACTCAGTCCACGCGTGGTAGACAGCGGCATCGACGCTCGACGCCACCCACTCGATACACGCGGACTTTGGAGATGCCCGGGCGTCGCACAAGGCCTATTAGTGAGCCCTCCGCCGTCACAGCCACGAACCGCATGAACTGACGCAAAAGGAGGATCCTCTACGCAGGACACATTTGAAATCAGGTCCATACCAGGTACTCATTCTAGACATCAATGAACTAACTCAGCGCCGTCCCAACACCCACACCCACCCGAAATAGAATCTGCTACCAGCCTAAGACTATCCGCGTCGCCATCAGCCCCTCTTTCTTGGCCTTGTCCCCATGAATCCACCCGAAGCAACTCTGGTGCTCGCATATGCTGAACTTCTGAAACACTCGGTTTGCTCTGGTTGGTGAGGTGGCATTATTGTAAATACCTTTCTGTCGCCTTCCCTTCCTGTGCCGCCTCCTGTTTTAGCCGATCTACCAGATGTGCCGAACCACGGCGGATCTGACCATGTCGGAATACAAAATCGTTTCCCAACTCCAGACTTCATTTTGACGAAATTAGAGCAAGGCTGAGTCGAAGTCCGTCAGATTCAGAAAGGCTCGAACATGGCAGTTGCGCTGTGTCCTCTGTACCGGCTTCACAAAATGAGACATCTGATCCCCTGGAGCTCACAGACGCGCACCGCACAATTTATGCAAGCCCCCTTGTTGATGAGTGCATCGGGAGACCCAGATTCCTCAGCATCGAAACTCATGTCCTCAAAAGTTCCAATCGCAGCTAGTGCAAATATTCTCAACGCCTCGTTGCCGTGTAAAAGATAGACCGTGGTCTCGCTGACTTCGTCGACTCCGCCCACCATGACTGTCGGGCATGACTTTGGCCCTATGAGGGAAATACCTCGCTGTTGTTCCAGATCTGTGCCTTCAGAATGACTGCAATTCTCCATCATTACTGAGACCCCGAGTCCAAAAAGCGAAGACAGCGGCGATCCACTGGTCTTTTCACGCGCCCATCTCATAGTGAAGATCAAATGGTCCACTTTTTTCGTCAGCTGCCACTCAATCTTGTCGTCGGGGAAAGGATTAGTTCGTGCAGATAAAGGCCTCTTGGGTGACACCTCTTCGCTAACGTAGCTCCATTGGGTACGACCTGGATATTCGGAAAGAATCCAGTGGAATCTCCGATCTTTCTCTTTTTCGAGCAATATAGTTCCGGCAAAAAGAGAAAGGCAGGCAAAACCGCTGGTAGGAATCTCGATGGGTTCAGCAAGTAGAAACCGTGGTAGAATAACTTGACCCCGGAACGACGATGCGACCCATCGACCATTATCAACGTGCTCCGACGCTTCATGTCCCACTAATTTGAACACATGCTTGAAAAGTTCCTGGAGTAAGTCACCTGCTTTACATCGATTGGTGTCTCGAAGAAGCGGCCTGATGGCTGACGGCAAACCATTGCTTGGAAGATGGACCGGCCACCGGAAACGGTTTTGGTTGTAGAGTACAAGCCAATCAATCTTCTTGGGACCGATCGTACCTTCAGCAAGCAATAATGACAAGGCAAGAATGTCCGCCACCATTTCGGACAGCCGGTCCAGAAAACCCTCCTCTTGACTCGGTCGTATGGCACCAGAGAGAGGCTGGCATGGAGGTGTCATCGGTCCATCCTCCATACCTTTATCTCTCAACGCTTCGGCCCAAGAACGAACGGCGGGCAGGTCTGTAAGTTGAACGTCATCTGGCAGGCGCTGAATCAGAGGCCCGTCATAGGTCGACCCGAGGTAAACCTTCACCATCGCACCCACGACATCATCATCAGGAAAGGGATCCAATGGATGTACTAAATCGAGCAATCGATCGGTGGGATTCTGCAAGTTCACCTCAAGGAATCTCGACTTGACCCGATGAACAGATATGGTAGTGCTTGAGCACATGCTTCTCTGCCCAAGCCATCGTTAAATCTGAGTCTACTCAGGAGAAACAGTGCGTGGGTTTCGACTGTCACCATGCCAGTTGCCAATATAGGATCAGATCCGTCCTTCACAATAGCACTGACAAGCTGTTGACTGCTGTTGTACTCATAAATGGTTTCTATCTCAATCCTGTTCTTGTACTTGTCGTCCTTTGAGATGCAAATAGTCACTTGTGCATTTGGCTGGTCCACAATCACTTCCCCCGTTTCGTTGCATATTATGGAAGGAATTTCGACGCACCAACGCGTAAAGGCCGAGACCCAGGCGGCGAATCTTCCTAGGGTGATTTTGAGACTTCGTACGTCTGCAGGTCCAACGCGGGACAACTCTCTAAAGCTATCAACCAGCTTCTGGATTGCTTCTGGACTTGGGACAGCAGGGCTTCCATAGAAGTCATTGGATGATCGAGAAAGCAGAGCTTGATAGCCGAAAACAACATCTAAGAATCGAGAATGATTGAGTCTTGGCTCAAGAACGTCGAGAAGGTCCTTCAATTGGTAGAGAGTGGGACTGAGTTCCTCGTCTTCAGCGGTGCCCTGAATGATGGTTGCCAATACTGTGGCAGCATCAAAGCTGTTGCATGATGAAACTAGTGCGGCTGCGAGGGACAAAAAGCGTATGCCTTCAACGCTACGTGACAAAAAAACCGTCGAGTCGCCCTTTGCCCAGCCAAATGTAGCAGACCAGAATTTCTGGACTGGGGTCTTGTCTTGTTTTCGCAGCATATCCTCAATCTTTACCTGCGTAAAGCTGGAAATGGCGAGCGTGACGCCGAATTTCTCGCAGGCTGCCAATACAAACGGCTGAATATTGTCCCCAGAAGCAGCCAAAAGTGCATCTTTGCTGATCTTGAGAGCGCCGTCAACCGTTTGAGCAAGAGCCCAGGAAACCCCTAGATCCGGCATGTGGTGGCTGTTGGCTGTTGAACAACGCGGTATCCGAGATGACCCAACGATGCCAAAGTCTTCCGGGACCGAGCAAAGGAGACCTGTTCAGAAGGCCTGGAGTAGCAGGGTTGGATCACGTCCTCGGACCCCGGTCGATAGTTGTCCGGGCTCCAACACGCAGTGGGCTGAGGAGTGGTCAGCCAAGAAGAAATAGAGACAGGTGGAAGATAAAACTTGGGATGGAGAGATTGAAAGTTCACGTTGTGGCTCGCAGACCGTTGCCATTGGGTGTCCTTTATCTAGAGGCCGTGGGCTGCAGCGTCATGTTTGCTGCGCATGTAGTCAAACGACTGTTGCAAACTCTAGGTCTGTTTCTTTCTCTGGTAGCAAACGCTGCTCCCGGATGCCTGCATTGAGCTTGACATTCGTGCAAGGCGCATAGGTAGCGTAGATTGCATCAGGTGTTTAGTTTTCTGCCTAAGTGGCCGAATGTAGGGGCATGAAAAGAAATTGTCTGAGCGTTTGAATGCCTCCATCTAGGAGAGAGCTCGGCTCTCGCCCCCCTGATGCCACAAGGGCGCTAGGCACTTCCCCTCTTGTGCATCGGGGATATCCATAAGCGAGGCGGGAGAGGGGCGGCGACATTTCATAGCGGGGCAGGGACGATTGATGAAGACGGCAGCGGTTTCAGGCGTTTAGGAAGGCATGGGAGGCAGGAAATTTTCGGGCGCTGTTCAATCAATATGACGATTTGATTTTCCCATTCTGTTATCTTCTGATTTATCATCTGACACATACGATTTCAGGACGCTGCTATTCCCTTCTCTGCTCCTATTCCTCATCTCACCGAACTCAACCCACGGACGGAGTAGCTAGGCAGTCTAGAAGTTCTTCTCGAGGTTGTTGACTTCGGTGTCAACAGCTCCATCGATCGCGCCGTCCATGGCAGTCGGGACGCCCTCGTTGTTCAAGAACTTGTTGACCCCTGCATCCAAAGTCAGTCTTCAGCCAACCAGAAATGTGTGGCTCAAATGTTGAGGAGTAAACAAAAGTCGTCGTACCTTGATTGACATAAGAGTCCCCGGCGTTCTGCTCAAAGCTCTTCATCATGCCGCCACTGCCGCCTCCTTGCTGGCCCTGTTGTTGGTCCTGTTGCTGAGACTGTTGGTCGTTCTGGCTTTGGTCATTCCCTTGGTTGTTGTTGCCTCCTTGGTTGTCGACGAATTGCTCGCCTTCTTTGAGGAGGTTGTCCATGATTAGGTGTGTTATTGTTGAGTTTTGTTTAATTGGTTGGGGAGGTGGTGGTGGCAGGATTGTTTGCTCGTGGTGCCTGGTCAAAAGATTCTGGGAAGGGAGGGAAAGAAAGCTCTTTATAGCCTACGGAGCCTTCAGCTTGTACGTGGAGATGGTCTGTGCTGCATCCATTGCGTTATCTCTGTGTCTCAATGGGCCCTGATTTCCTCGCTCGATGACGTGGCGGTCCTCAGGCACCTCGATCGATGAGTGGTCTTGTCCCCCTGCAGATCGCATCACACAAGCACCCCAAGCTTCGCTTGTCCGAGGCTTAGCACACAAAACAGAAGAGTTGATTCGTTCTCCATATGGGTCCGACATTGCTTTTTCACCGATAAGCCTGGCATGGTCATGGCTTGGCACTCGGTTTGAGCATGTCGATGCGAGTCACACAGCAGTAGGCAACTTTTCCCTGCGGCACAGCCCGACGAGCTGGAGTGAAACCCCGGTCCAGCTGAACAGCCCGGAAAGGAACTACTTCCCCCCCACTCAATGAATGTACCTGACCCGAGGCATGGTATGACAGCGTTGGAGACTGTGAGGCGCTGTGCCGTTCGTGGTCGAACTCGTGCATACTCTCACTCGACGTGGACTTGCGAGAGATGAAGGGTCTAATATGCAACTCAAAGCAAAGAACACGGGTCGCAGAAGTCAAGACCAAGATGTGATCCTGTTTTCGCAGTATACTCGAATACCCGATCGTTTGGGTGTAAGGGAGCACGAGGCTGGATCATACGGGGGCAAGCAATGGTGCCTGACCCCAAGATATGATTTCGGAAATTTATTACGCTCCGCCATCACCTGTTAAGCTCTCCCATTCTTATGGGTATCGTCGAGTTTTGGATGAAGCGAATCAGGAAGTTGAGGGTTTGAATTGACTCGAGATCTCGAGAGGAACGTGTGGGTGCTGGGCAATTTCCCCCCACCCACTCTCTAGCTTTCCGGGGGCACGATGGATGAACCACAAAAAGACGAATCTTGGATCTCGCAGGATCCACGCCAAACCGAAAAGCTTCTTCTCCCTAAACCTTGTCATCTGTGACTGGCTCATGGAGATAATGGGACCGCTCATAGGTCGTCTCAGCACTCAGCCGCGACTCTTCGTTGATGAAGGGCACAAACTGCACGACTCGGACGCCGAGCTTGGGCGCGACTTCGAGGCACTCTCCCGACATGGGGTTCTCGCCCAGTAACGACTCAAACGCCTCCAGAAGCTTCTCCATGGGCACCAGGACACCGAGCTTCTCGGCCTTGTCGTACATGGCAGCAGTCGAGATGCCCGTCCGGATCTTGTTAGGGCACACGGCGTTGAGCGTGATCTTCTCCTCGGCGAGGATCTTGCCGTACGAACGGACGAGTCCCACGACGGCACTGGGAGGGATTCTTGTAAGTCTTTTTCTCTCTCTTCCAGACACGCCCATGGCAGGCTGATGCTGCTTCGCTTCAAGGAAGCAGGGGAGGGGAGGGGAACGTACTGCTTTGCCGCCGTATATATTGGTACGGTTTGGTGGATATAGAAGCCACAGACTGAGGCCACCGGCATGACTAGATGAAATGTTGGTTACGACAAACAACAACGACAACAACAACAACGAAGGGATCGTCGACGTCAAAAAGGTGCGGCATGACAGAACTTACTTTTCCCCTTGAAGCCATATTTATTGGGTTGCTGGCGGCGGAAATGCTGGACTGCCAGGGAGACCGAGTAGATGACAGCGATGCAGTCGACCTCGAGTACGCTCAGGTCAGGCTTCTCATATCCCGTGGAGTTTGGCCTGTTGGGAAATGCTCGCGTCTCTCCGATGCCGGCAATGGGAAAGACATAGTCGATACGCTTGAATTCAGCTTCGGCGGCTTCCCACGCGCTTCGCTGGGAGTCCCAGTCTGCAACATCGGCCTGAACCGTCCAGACAGCCTTGTCGCCCCCTCTGTTCAGCTCTTCGGCCACTGCCTGGGCGCCCTTCAGGTCTCTGTCTGCCACGTAGACTTTGATCCTGTTATCGGTATACATGTGAGAGGGCTATCCAGATCCGACGTGAAAGATTTTGGACAAAGGGGAACACCGACCCTTTCTCGACGAGCATCTTGGTAACTGCTCGTCCGATGCCGCTGGCACCACCTACCACACACACAAATCAGCCCACACTCCTCTGAAGGAAGATATCGTGGCCCTTCATGCCTGTCAGGAAAGCTGTTTGTCCTTTGTACGACATCTTGTCAAAGCCTCAAATGGGGATTCTTGTTCAGTCAAGACTAAACGATCTATCGTTATTATCTTCTTGCTTATGGCGATTAATTCTCCTGGCCTAGCCTCCTGGCAGGAGCCAGCCCGCAGGCTGCGGCCATCTCATAATATGTGACGCCAAAGGACAATTTCGATTCCAAGGGACTGAGCAATAGCCGGATCGGTGCGGGGAGAGTTCACCCCTGGAGAGGGGTCGTTTCGAGCTTTCAACCGAACCCAAGGCGCCATCGTTCGACATGCGTCTGGGGGATTGGGGAGGCTGTAACCGCATATTTCTCCGTATACGGAGTTGATGGTGGACAATTGCTCTCCGAGAAGGAGGTCGTCTTTTTGAACAGCCGGACTTCTCCAACCCGAGCCCGCGCAGGTCTGATCTCCGGTTATTTAGGGGCTCCAGTCACTTGCCGGTTAGCCGCCGGCCCGCCACAGCTTTTAACAATACCGATGATGCTTGCTTGACCTTCAACGGGGCTCACAGGGTATATCTTACCCCTCGAGGATACCAGGGCTGTGTGGCTCTGACAAGACATAGCAGCCATGGCCGACTATTCGCAATACCAAGGACCCAATCCCGAGTGGGAGGAATTCGTGCGAGTGACCAATATCCCTCCCGCGGGGCTGGCACCGGGGCAGACTCCGGCAGACCTCAGGAGGGCAACGAACGCGGGCAGGGTGACAGCATCCAAGACAGTCCTCGAGGCATCAGGTCGGTTCGCCCCAGCAGTTCATATGTTCAGAAGGCTATCAGAAGGCTGTCCCGGCACTGCATGGTTCTCATGTAGTGTTTGATGGTCGAAAGGGGCCTCGACATACTCGTGATATTGCCGCTACTGCCTGTGCCTGCCATCCATGCACCAGTCTCCGTGATGCCGAATTGATATTACGAGTGCTGACATAAATATACCTTTTCTCTCGCAGGACTCTTGGATAAAGTGAGCTGGCATGACGCCGATATTCCTACACAGGATCACTCCACTGTACCAGCCCGCATCTACAAACCTAAGGGTATCGATTCGTCCACGACGGGGCCGCTGCCAGTCTACCTGTTCTTCCATGGCGGCGGCTACCTCTTCGGCAGCCTCGACACTGAGGACGCCGCCTGTGCCCGCGTAGTTGCCATGTCCCCTAACCCCGTTATCGTCGTACACGTCAACTACCGCCACACACCGGACTTCCGGTATCCAACCCAGCACAACGACGCATGGGACGCGTTTCTCTGGCTCGGCAAGAACATCGCTTCCATCGGTGGCGATCCCAAGAAGGTGATTGTGGGCGGCATCTCCGCTGGAGGCGGCCTCACAGCAGCTGTTGTGCTCCGAGCAGCACAAGATCTCAACAGTGGTGACACCAACTTGACAATCATCGGCCAACTGCTTCTCATCCCGTGGATCCTGCACCCCAAGGCGTATCCGTTCGAGCAGTTGGCCTCTAAGGAGAGGTCCAGTTGGTGGCAGAACGAGCATGCCCCCGTGCTCCCGCACACGCAGATCAACATGTTCCTCGACGTCTGGGACAGCGCCGACACGGACCCGACGGACATATTTCTCAGCCCAGTGCTGGCCCCGGACGACAAGGTCAAGGGCATACCCAAGACCGTCGTCGTGGCTGCGGGGATGGACCCTTTGCGGGATGAAGCGCTCTTGTACGCTGACAAGCTGAAGAGGAATGGGTAAGTGGCTTTCAAAGCATGCTCCTTGACGGGGCTGCAGTTCTGTCAGGGGTGTTTTCTGGTATAGATTTGGATTGGCTGACGATCCTCTCCAGGGTACCAACCAAAGTCCACGTCTTTCCCGGCCTGCCACACGGCTTCAGGCGGTTCGAAACTCTCAAGGCCAGTAGGCGGTGGGATGAAGTCATCGTCGAAGGGATCCAGTGGTGCTTGTCCGATAACCGCGAGAGCTCAACCAAGGTCGAGCTGTGAAGAAGCACAAACCGGCTCAACGATCACAGGAGGGCGAGGATGCTTGTGGAAAGTAGGCTCCGGTCTGCATTGCTTCCATGAGCACATGCGGGTAAACTTTGAGGGGCGTCTAGAAATCCTACTTGATGGACTTTCAAGGCTTCGCCTCCGGATTCGATCCTGGGATTGCATTTGCTCAAAATTTGAGGTGAGAGTTCACTCCTCGACGCGTATGGGCGACAAGTGCATGCAGAAAACAATTAGATCCAGACTAGAGGCGATAGAGAAGGCAGAAGAATAAACAATAAACCTGATCCTGCAGACGAGGTTGTTGGGAAGCCAGTAATACGATAGGTGATGACTTCCATCCCACGACTTTGCCGTTGAGTGAATCATACAGATCTATGAGTAAGCTAGCTAAACTCAATATCACTCAGCTTCCTGCTTCAAAATCTTCTGGATCGTCTCCAGTGCGAGGCTTTCCTTGTTGCTGACCAAGTTCAACCTCGGGGGCCCGGGGTTGTTGAAGACGGGAATGCTGCGCCATGTGTCTTGGCCCTCGTCAATCACCTCCAAGAGCGTGCCCGGGGGATACCGGTCGTTGGGATTCTCGGCCAGAGCGATCATGGCGTCGGCGATGACGCTGGGGTCGAGCATCTTGTCCTTGGTTGGGTCGACCCAGCCAGCGACGCCGGGATCTTCCAGGAGGAGAGGCGTTGCGATGGTCCTGCAAGAGGTAGATTTCTCATTGATCAGCCTCTATACTCATGGAAGCATCATTCTTGGGGCAGATTAGAGGCATTGTCCAAAATGGGGAGGATTGCAGGCAAGGCAAAGAGCGCCCATATACGTACCCGGGAGCGACTCCGACGACGCGGACGCCGCAGATCTTCTCTGCAGCACCCATCCCCATGACAAAGCTGCCAACAGCATGCTTCGATGCTTGGTATAAGGGCGTAGTGACACTGACGGTTTCCGCGGCGACGCTGGCAATGCAGACGACGGTGCCTACCTTCTTGGCACGCAGCAGGTGTCGAATGGCCATTCGCGTCATTTTGATGGGATGAACAATGTTGATGTCGAACAATTTGTAGTGGGATGGTGAATCCACATCGCCCCAGAAGCCGGAGGTCGGCTATTGATCATTATTTCCACGAGGTCAGCTATCCGTCTTCCATTCCCTTGTGAGGCAACACTTGGGAGTAACGTGAAAAAGAAGAAACAACAGGTTGAGGAAGACAGAGCAAGAGAACTGGTGAATCTGCTTCTCGTCTCCGACTTACAGGCTCGTAGATCCCAGCCCCGGGACACACTAGGTCAGGCACGGTGCCAAACTCCTTCTTGGCGACTTCGAACGTTCTTTCGAGCTGGGCCCAGTCCGTGACATCTGTCTGCTGGAAGACGACCTTGGGCCCGCCTTTCTGCGCGGCCGAGTCGACAAATGCTTGTGCCTCGGGTCGAAGGCTGATATCTGCAATCAGGACATTGCAGCCTTTCTCAAAAAGAGCCCGTGCAAAGGCCAAGTTGATGCCTGAAGCGGGCATTCGCAGTGTAAGTGAACATGACCCGTCAAAAAAGGCAAAGAATTAAGGAAATCCATTGAATATGGTATCTGTCTTACCGGAGCCTGCGCCTGTGACGGTGGCAGAGGCGCCCTGGAGGTTCAATCCGGGCATGTCAAACGAAATTGGCCCAGAGTTTGAGAGAAGCGACACTTAAAGGGTCAGAGGAGGGATCCCTGTCCGGTTCAAACGTGGTGTATTTTTGCCGGTGTTGGATGCTGTTTCGACTGATACGGCATTCGATATATTGGGCAACTCCTGAGGAGAGGGATCTGTCGGGCCTCGGTAAGCATTCAACATGCATATACGCGCACCCCACTCTCATGCAAGCGAACAGCATTTTGAGCCTTCGATTGAGCGCGTGAGGTCTGTGGAGCCGATTTGGAGAGGCAGTCGCGGTCCTCCGTATCCTGGGCTTCCTCAAAAGCATCAAGATCAAGTGGAGAGGCGGATTGAACATGTTCGGCTTCCCCGCAGGATCTTTCATCAAGGGAGTCATGTCCCTGGTGTTGTGCATACCCCGGACATGAGCGGACAACGTTCACCGCCGATCGACCGAAAGGAGCCCGACAGGCCGCCAGGGACCCTGAGAAAGGCGGCTTCAAGGCCTTGCCTAGAACGAACCATCCAGTGATTGGGAATGGATCAGTTGGATCGAGATGGAGACCAGCCAGCCTTCTGTCGAAAGGGATTGCATCAACGTACCGGGGGTCTCCTTCATGCCGAGATCAATAGCCTGCGATTTGTTTGGTCTAGGCATCGATATGTGCCCAACAGCCCGCTACGCCTGTCCAGGGATAGCCTCGTTGGCCTGGTAGCAAGCTCTTTCTCCAGATTCTCCTTGATCTATGCCTGACGGACAGGCTGGCATGCAGCAACCAACTATTGAAGGGATCGCAGCCGTTCTACTTGTCACAGTCGCCGTGGCTTTTGTCCTCTTTGGCAATTGGACATTGTGTCGTTTCAGGCTGGAACGGATTGAGTCTGGGAAGCAGCCACTACCCCTCCAGATCGCTGGACATCCCCTACCTATTCACAGGCTGGAGAGACACCTGATGAGTGTGGCACGATTGCCCCCAAGTTGAGACTGCCTTCGAAAAAGGCTGATGGGAACCTGGAGTGAACCAAGGAATGCACGGGTTTCCTATCCTTCTCACGGGTCGATCTTCGCTACAGGACCGCTTCCGCCACAACAGCCTCCCCATCGGAGCACCAATACCCCAATATGGTTTTGCTGGGCTACCTGCGAAACTTTCAGCCATTTCGACTCGACGCATTGGGTATCGTAACGCTCCTTGGTGCCGAACAGGTCAACAACCATGTGGGCAAGCTGGTCCGAAGCCGATATCTCGAGTACATGCCGCTCCTCGGCGCCTATGTCATCGCAAGCGACGAGTTTACAGCCAAACAGGCAGGCTTCCAGCTGTTCAACTTTTCCGCCAATATCTGTACGCCCAGTCTGGCGGGGTGGTTCAGCCGCTGGCTCAGCGAACAGGACTTTGAGACATCCGGAACTTGTGTCGAGTGGACCATCAATGCGAAGGCTCATTCCTTCGCTCTCGACATCTGGATAGCGCTGCTTATCGGAACCATTTTCCAGGCTGGATTTATCGTGATTACCGTCCTGATGGGAGACTGGTGGGGCTTCGCCAACGCCATGTCGATGGTGATTTCCACCGCTGGGAGGGCATATCTGGTCAACCGCAACACTACCTGGCTCGACGCAGCCATTGTCGAGGAAACGAGGACCGCGCTGGCGCTGGGGGAACCTGAACTTCTAGCATCCGCCAAAAAGCGACCCAGCGTGAATAGCACGGTTTTCGACAAGGACAGACTCAGCAAGCTGCCAGAAGCCAAAGTCATGGTGATCTTGCCAGACGCCAGAGCCGCCGTGCTTTTCATCCCGGACTGTTTGGTGCGCGAGATCTTCGTCTACAACCCGAAGCCAGTAGGCACGAAGGACGAGACCAAGAGAGTCGGAACGTGGCCTGTCCGCAGCCGAGACGAGAGCAGGAGGAAACAGTCGGGCTCGAGGGAATTTCTGGCGTACGAACTTGTGCGCTGGATTTCCTGGCTCGCCTTCGGCGCGCACGTCGTCACCATCGGCATGTCGGACCTGGTCAGCCAGCTCATCACAGTGGTGATCATCGTGGTGCCCACATTCCTGATCGTCCGGGGCTTCGGCTGTGACGACAGGCACGTCGGGACCCGGCTGCGGGCGGAGATATCTGACATTCCGCCGGAAGAGGTAAAAGCGAGGCGCGCTGATATGTACGCCTTTCTGCATCTCAACGAGAAAGAGGAAGGCTGCCTGGAGCAGTGGAATCTGGCGGCCAACCGAGCCAACAGCAGCTTCTGGGACGACTACGAAAGGAAGAAGGAGGTGTTTGGCCGGGCGCCGAACTTACGCGAGATCCGGAATTACGAGGATCGCGTCAAAGCCATCGAGGCGGCCATCGTGGCTTTCCGGAAGGACCACGCAGACAAAGCCCCTTCGCCGCAAGTGCGTCCGGCGTCCAGCACGACATCGAGACATACATCTCTGGATACAGCATAGAAGGTCCAGTTTCTTACTCCCTGGCCTTCGGTCCACGCGAATCCCAGGTCCATGCTGCATATCCGATTGGGAAGGGTTCATCGGGCGCGGTGAATGATGGCTAGGTTGCGGGATTTATTTGGATTTCAAGATCCATCAAACCCAGCCATCGTGAACGATAAACGCTATGCGACCACTAGGGAAGGCACGCTTCCAAGTGGACAGCGGAACAGCTGCCTTGCAGTACCTTCCAGGATTGCAAGAACATGCCAGCTCAAAGTCCTTTGATGTACCGGTTTGCGGTTACGACACACGAGTGCCGCTTGGGCAGCTCTTTCTCGTCTTGCCAGAATCTGGAGTACAAAACTGAATTGCGCGCCGGCCTAGAAGCGTGCTTACCTCGCCGGAGTGTCTGGAAGTCGGGCAAGGACAATATCTCGTGCTGAGACTGACTTGGAGCAGCGCGCTTGCGTCCAAGTTTGAGTGGACGAAAATTTGTCAGAAGGCAAGTACTGACGGAAAGAATTTGAGAACAACATCTGTTGGAAGAGCTGGCCCGGTCGAAAAGGCTGAGGAGTTTAGAGGCTGAGATGAAGCGCACATGGAGACGCCGGGCCTTTTCATAGTATAATGCTGGCTGCTAGATCTCACTCTGTTCCCCAGAAGGTGAGGCGAAGAAATATAGATGCACTTTCGATAGACCCCCCGATTTTTGATGGGTTTATAGGCGGGAGTCGCGCATTGCAAGGCTGAGGCACAACGCCAACCGCCGCTGCAAATTGGTAGCATTACATGACGACGAGTGAGCGACCAACTTGGCCTTTGTCGGCTATGAGTAGCTAGATGGACTTGCTTGGTGGACTGGCTTCATGCTGCGGAGTTCCGTTTCTCGTGTGTATAAGGGTCGCCACAGGGTGAAAGAAGGGAGTGATTTTGCCTCGGTTCAAGTGGAACCTAAATTGACATCGGCATTGGAGTATTGGCGGATGGAGTGAATAGGTAGGTAGGTAGTAAGCGTGGCTGCGCATAACGTTACCTTACTCGCAGCTTGCCATCCTTTTCGATATACAGAACTCCGTTGTAGATGAACATCTGCCCAAGCTTGCATTGTTTCTCACTGCTATGAGGCACCTCGTTGTGTAGACCAAGGTATAGCCAGGTTTCTGCAGAGAGAAGAGCTCCAGATATGGCCCCGAGCAAAGAATTGGCTCCCAAATCACTGGATTTTGAAACACATCTTGAATTAAAGCAGACCGCACCGGTAAGCAACAAAACCCTCGGCCGCAGAATTTACAGGTCGTCGGGAAATTTAACACCCTCCATCAGGATGTCTTCGCAAACGTTCATGAGCCGTGGGTGTTCCACGTCACAAATACATATCCAGGCCCGTTGATGATGGCCCAGGCGGCCGCAGCGGCGTGGAAGACAGTTCCAGATGGATTCATGCTGGACTCGCTGCAGACGCATTTCATGCTGGCACCTAGTCCGCAGAAGCCGTTGACATACAAGGTGCAACGGATAGGCAATGGTCGACGATTCGCAGTGCGGATTGTGAATATCGCACAGGACGACAAGATCTGCGTGACGATAACTACAAGTTTCGTCAACGATGCGCCTTGGTCGGGTCGAGCCATGACGCATGCGGTGCCGATGAGGATTGATAGGCGCAAGCGGGAAATCAGTCTGGATGATTTTGAATTGGCACGTACAGAGCGAGGGCCATTTATGAAGTTCGAAAGACTCCCGCATGTTCACCAAGGTCAGTTCCGGGGGCAAATCAGGGCGAGGAAATACTTACAGCTTCCTCCCTTCTAGATCCTAGGAGTCCAGCCACTACCATAGCCCCGGTGGTTGCGCAGATCACTCCGGCCATCTCATCGCCGAGAGGAACTGCTGCTCAGCTTCTCGGTATCGTCCACGTATCCGACTACCATGTCATGGATTGTCCTTTGTCCATTCACGGCATTCCACACGGGTCCTGGGGCATCGGAGACCAAAGCAAGACACCAATCCCATCTGCGATGAAAATCATGACCAGTCTGAACCATACGATCCACTTCCACACCCACAACGGTTTCCGGGCCGATGAGTTGCTGTACATCGAGGTCACATCTCCATGGGCGAAGGACGGGAGAGCGATGATAAACTCGAAGATATTCAGCAAACAAGGTCTGCTGATCGCGACTGTGATACAGGAGGTATGGGCACCCTGCTTTGAATCGTGATTGTCTTCTACAAACTGATGACCGTGAATAGGCTTTCTATGTCTTCAAAGAGGAGGCCGGAGCAAAGATTTGAAGAAAATCACTGCAAAGAAGCGCTAAGGGCAAGGAAGGGATATGTGCTATAAATTCAGAAGGGTTGCATAGTAGAGAGAAGGGGGGAGAACCGTCGCCATAGAAAGAATATGAAGCTTCCGAGCATATGCTTCGCCGGACCAGAGACTTCTTCGGAGCATATTTCTCTCAGCGCAATTCCAAAGTCGATCTCAAAAACCTCACCCTCAGACTCTGCATAATGAGTATCGGCTACATATGTATCCTATGTTCAAGATTGGGCTCTAATCGCGTGATCGTCTGACGAAGCCTGGCCCGTGCTTGCAGTTTTCTCTCCACGCGGTGACTGACCCAATACCTCAATGAAGTCGATCGATGCACTCACTGCTTCTTGCGTCGACTTGGAGAGATGTCCGACTCGCTCAATGTTATAGCCCTTATCTCGGGCGGCAAAGACTCCCTGTTCAGCATCCTACACTGCCTCAAGAACGGGCACAAGGTCGTAGCGCTTGCTAACCTCTACCCAAGCACGAGATCTGTGACTAGTGGACAAGGACATGCGCCCTCAGTCAGTCCTCACGAAGGGGATGACTCCGAAGGAGAGGATCTAAACAGCTTCATGTACCAGACGGTTGGACACTCAGTGATACCTCTCTACGCAGAGTGTCTCGGCATACCGCTATATCGGCGAGAAATTACAGGCTCGGCCGTGCAAACGGGTCGGTATTACGACGCAAGCGCCCTTGGTCCGTCGCTCGATGAGACAGAAGACTTGGTACCCTTGTTGAGAGAAGTTATGCAGGCTCACCCCAAAGCGAATGCTCTATGTTCAGGCGCCATACTCTCGACCTACCAACGCACCAGAGTCGAGTCTGTGGCAGTCCGGCTCGGTCTAACGCCGTTGGCATACCTGTGGCAATATCCTGCTCTGCCTCCTCCAGTCGGACGTGGCGAATCGCTGACCGGCTTACTGGATGACATGAGAGTAGCTGGATGTGATGCCAGAATTATCAAGATTGCAAGCGGTGGTATTAAAGAGAGTCTTCTCTGGGCCAACGTGGCGGATCCGAAAACTCAGCTAAAGCTCATCAACGGTCTCCAGCCTTTCTTCCCCGAACACGAGTTCTGGCTTCGCGGAGCGGTCCTGGGAGAAGGGGGAGAGTACGAAACGCTGGCTGTCAGTGGGCCTAGAGGACTGTGGAGGAGAAGAATCGTGGTCGCGCCGGAACACCAATCTACATTCACTGGGGAAGGCGGCGTGAGTTATCTCCGGCTGGCGAAGCCCGAAACAGAGGCCAACGATGCAGACCCTTCTGAGACACTCGAGGAGTGTCTTCGAGTTCCACAGGCATTTGATCCTCAGTTCCAGGCCGTTCTGACAACTGTCGAAGCTCAAGAGACGTCAAACGTCGACAGATCCGCAGACAAGCTCAACGATCAAGATTCTAAATGGCTAAAGCAAAGTTTGAACTACACCTTGCCACCTGCCGTGTGTCTGGCGTCAGGACATTTAGCGTTATGCAACATCACTTGGAGTAACCTGGAGCTTGATAAAATTCCAAGCAGCGCTGCCGGTCAAATGCAAGGCATATGCGATCAGTTGAGATCCCTACTCGAGTCATGGTCACGCCTTCTCGGACTGCCGACAGCGCTCACGCCTTCCAACATCGTCTCCACGACCTTGTTACTGAAGGATATGTCAAACTTTGGGGCAGTCAACCTGATCTATGCCTCGCTTTTCCGCTCGGGTGAGCCCAATCCTCCGGCACGCGTCACAATTGCATGCTCACTACCAGAGAATACTGAAGTCAGTCTGACTGTGATAATCGACCTGGAGACTCAGGAAGAACATCGAGGGCTGCACGTGCAGAGTCGCAGCTACTGGGCGCCGGCGAATATTGGACCATACAGTCAGGCCATTTGTGTTCCAGTAGACAAACAAGGAGAATCGCAAGTCAATGTCCATGATGCAGGGTTGGTGGAGGTCGTTCATATGGCCGGACAAATCTCTCTCATTCCGCACACCATGGAGCTCTCGCAGGCAGGGTTTCCCGAGCAGGCGGTGTTGAGTCTGCAGCACCTGTGGCGCGTTGGACAAGAGCGAGGTGTCGATATGTGGCCCTGGGGAGTAGCATTTTTGGCAAGTTGCACGGATAGCCCTGTTCGAGCAGAGCTTTCGAACAGAATATGGCAGCAAACTCATCTGACCGGGACGAGACCGACACAGTCCGTTGCCGGCGAAGAAGGCGGCGATGGGGATGAAGGGGTGGATGCGTGGGACCTGCAATATAATCGTGCTGCGACGTTCAACGCATTCACTTCACAGATGACAGTGGGCCAACATCTTCATCTGCTCCCACAGCCAGGTGTGTTGCTGGATGACGGCAACTTACCTACGTTCCTTCCTCCCTTCATCGCTGTAGAGGTTGTCTCTCTGCCTCGAAATGCGCCGATTGAATGGTGGAGCACGGGAATCACGAACTTGCCAAGAAGTCCGGTATCAAAGCCTCGAGTGTCGGTGGGTCGGAAGGAGCATGCATGGGGGTCTATCGTCAAGGTCACGATTCTTCCGCCGCATGGAGAAGCAGGCACGAACATTCATTTGGTGACGGTGCTGGTCCGTCGAGAGCCTGGGATGGGCGCCGTGGATAGCGCAGGCGTGGAAACCGAGATCCTGGACTTGATTCAGGCGGATAGAGATCGTGAAATGCCGCCAATGGCATGGGCAGAAATGGTGCATGGCACCGCTTTCGTCGCGCTGCAAGATCAAAAGGAGTGGGCTCGGATGATCGGGGGGCCTCTCTTGAAGGACTTGGCAGTCATACCGTGCAACTCGTTGTTTGGCAGCTCTGGGATAGCTGCCAATGCCGGCTCTGATCAAGGTCATGGGAGGAGGTTTGGAGGACGGGCTGCAGCGGTCTCGCCGTTGCCGGCAGAGTCTAACGCGGACATGGAAGCAACAGCGGCATTCTGTCCGCCTCTTGCCGCCGCAATGGTCATGCGCATCGACCACGAACAGAGGTAGCCGAGATGAAGGCGGTTGCGCTGTTTCACATTCATGTCCAATCGGGCTCTTGACGGATTCCAAGAATATCAACTCGGCGGACAGTGTGCGGCTGCTCCTGCCAACTGCGCAGAGGAAGCGCCCTTCAAGACATACACGCTTTGGCAGACGCCCCAGGGACAGCGAGTCACGCGGCAGACCTGAAAGAGCCAATCCCCGTCTTGGTTCTGATGCTCAGCTCGGTCCGCAGAAAATAAGCGCTGGGGTTTGGCGAGGCTGAAGTCCAGCCCCTCGGCGAATCACGTTCCAGTGTCTATCCTCTGAGGTCAGCTGGGACTTTTGAGACTGTGTCGAACCGCCCGACAGCTAAGCGCCGAGGGATGGCATGAGTTGGACGACAGGGCGGTAAGCGAAAGGACCGACGAGGCTTTATCGCAACCTTGAGGAAATGATCAGATCGATAATGGGCGAGCTTCTGCTCCTAGACTGGCGATGGTTTGTTATCCCACACTTGCTGTTCAGAAGTAGCTGGCTATGCGCCCATCGATCTGCCCAACCATCATTATGCGTCGACTCTATCGCCTGACTAAACCATTCGCCTGTCGAATGCCGCCGACGAAACATGCCAGGCAAAACGATCGGGAAATCTTGGTCTCGGAGCAGGTATTGGTCAGCGCCAGAGCAGGACGCATACTGTTCACCAGCTTCAAGGGCGGTCACAGACAAAATTATTTGTGAGTCGGTCAGTCAGGCAATGAGAAACTTATTGAGGAATGTCCAGTCAACAGCGCCAGCGGCCTTGTGCGCCATCACAGGCGTCAAGAAGGCGCTGGCTCACACGAGACATTTGTGTACTGTTCCCTTCACTTCTCCTCCCGAAAGCCCGATTTTCACATGCCATGCCATGATTCATCCCACCCGCCACACAGTTCGCACAATGCCGCGCATAGACACGTAGCCACGTAGCCACAGAGCTAGAGAGGACACGGGACAATGTGCAGTACAGATCAGACATTAAAACAGCGACAGATGCACCTCTCCACCTCGACTCCAGAGTCTGCATGCTATGACCCACGACAAAACCTTCTCGTGCATGTATGCATACCCGCCAGCCCAGCCAGCCCGCAAGCCAGGCAGGCGGTGCGCAAGGGAAACCCAAAAAGCACGCGCGCGCGAGTGAGACACTACTACGGAGAATCCTCCGGTCGTGCTCGTGTGTGTGTGGTGTGGGGATGGGAAGGGAACTTTCGTAAGGTGGAGTTGACGACAAAGCCCGAAGAAAGAAAAAGCCATGCAACGCGGAATTCAGAGGGCAGGGCAGGGCAGGGCAAGGCGGAGAAAGATGGGGGAAGGGGGTCAGCAAAAACCCTGCATATACCGGTGCGTCGGTGGATGGGTGCAGAGTTCACGGGAGAATGTATACAGAGAAGTTGCTTGTGGTGGATGATGGACTGGCGGGCTGGCTGGGCTGGCTGCCGGCTATCAATCTCGGTAGCTGATCGTCTGGCTCGAGTGCGTGGGCGAGTTGAGTAGCGACCTACCTACCTAGATACCTACCTAGGTAGGCAAGTGAGCAAGTGCCTGGAACAACCGAAGTTATTGACTTTTTCCCCCTCGGCTGATCAAGGGCTGGGTAGTTATGGGGTATATACCTCCGAGAGGCTGAAGAATCTCAGCTGGCAGAAAAGGTTGGTGGCTTGTGGGCGGGAGTAGTCGGTACGCAGTACGGATGCATGGACAAAGCCCAAAAGTACGAGACACACAGAGGTAGGTGCGTGGGTAGGTAGATAGGGCTAGGGAGGCTTAAGCTGCATCCCTGCTTGTAGCTAAACCAGATGCCTCTGTACCCGTATCTTCTGGTGCCTGTCGATACCTACCTAGGTACTGAATACCCGTGTCCTTTCGTGCCTGGGTAATATCGACAGTGAACTACCCGAAGCTGTCCTCCGTAATGATCAGCCCTATTAGACTTCCCTACTCACCCACAGCCTATCCGTCCATGAGCGACGGTGTATGTCTCTGTGTGGTCCATAGAGATATTCTCCGTTCCCGTCCCCGTCCCCGTCCCAGAACCCTCCGCAGGTGTACTCTGGAGGACATATCTACCTACTGTAGGTATTTACCTAGGCAGGTAGTTACGTACATACAACTCTTCGTAGGTTTCGCCGTGCCGTGTGTCCTGCACTCCACATCCAGCTACCGCATGTACCTCCTCCATACCTATCTACCTACCTACCTGGCACCCACCCTAGCCTACCAACCTCCCGCAAAGTCTCTACAATACTCCGCATCCGCGACACATACCTACCTATGCAAGAATGTACGTACATCCTCGGCAAGTACCTCATACCCCAGATATCCACGTCCCTGCCGGTCTGTACCTTGTCGGTCCCCTTGTTACCTACCTAGGTACCTAATGAGAGGTGGCTCACGCCCCCGCACAAAAGTATACCACACCGCGTCGCGCACGCGCCTTTCGTTCGTGTCTTAGGTACAAGCGCGGATAGTTCCACGAGGATTACTCGGTTGAGCTCTGTGGTGGCTCGAGCGGCTGAAAGTCTTGGAGCTGGAGGTCCTGAGCAACTTGGAGTCTGCCTTAGCTGCGAGAACATTACTTGTTCCACATGCCTAGCGAGGAAACCTCGTAAACACCTTCTCTAGAGAATTTCAATAACTTGCATATCTTCCGCATCTTCCATACTGCGTAAGTGCTCGCATGAACCCACCGTGCCTACCTGGTTCTCATGCCCCCCTACCTAGTTACTGACCATACACGAACGGGAATCATCCTGGCCAAGGAAAAATCCATGTTTCCACTCTCCGAGTCCGACTTCCAACTACCATCTTCTGTACCTCGTACCTTTGTCGTATATTGCTATACCATGCAATGCCATACCTCATCTTTCTTTCAGGTTCTCTACCCTCTACCCTCTATCTCCCTCCCCTTTCCGTCCCTTCTCACCCACTTCCTCTCCCCTCCTCTTCTCCCCTTCCTTACATTTAAGTTCCCATCCAACCGTATCTCCCTCTCCCACTATGAAAGTGACCTTCCTGCTAAACCGAAGTGGAAGCCCCCCCTGCACTAGCCTCGTTTCAAGTCCAGTTCAACGCCCGCGCCCCCTAGCATCTTTTAGCACCGCCAGCACCCTCCAAGCACCTCATTCAGCTTTGTGCCCTCGTCCCGTCTTCACATGTTCACAATGTTCCCGCGAGTGCTCACCTTATTCCCCCCTCCTTACATACCCTACAGAGTGCCTAACAGCCACTCACTGCATACCTAGGCAGCGTGTACCTCGTATGGCATCCTCCTTCCCCCTCCCCGCCCGCCGAGTGAGGGTAGTCATGTTTCACGTCGCGAGAAGCGCGTCTACCCACCCTGCAGACCATGAAAGAAAGAAGGAAAAAAAAAAGGGGGGGGGAGAGGGGGGAATCTCGCATCGCATCAACATCGCATCGCATCCGCGTTCGCCATTGTATCGCGTTTTGTATTGCGGCCTTCTTCAAACCACCCCTTCAAGGGAACCCAGTAGCAAACAAAGATAGTAGAGAAGAGGGGGGAGTAGAGGACGTAGGGGGAAAAAGTAAAGTAAAGGCCAACCCAGCACCCAAAAGGCCCAGCGACCAGCGACCAGCAATTTAGTAGCCCGTAGCCCACACCCGTACCCATGCTCGTCCCCCCATCATCCGCCCACCTGGCACCCAGAGTGACCCCTCCCCCCTGGCCGGCCCAGCGAAAATTCTTTTCATCTTCTGGTGTTATCAGCTATCGATAGGGTCGGGTCGGTAGATAGACAGATACCCAGCGACCAGGTAGATGGGTCCAACTAGAAGGCTGGGGAAGCTGCGAGCACTTTGTGATTCACAGCAACAAATATCACAGGCCAATACGGAGTACTCGATAATGTTCAAGGTTTTGTTTAACAATGTCTAATAGTACAGAAGGTACACTTGCGGGTACATACAGGAGCTCTGGAACTGGGCTATCAACAGCAATGCCGTTGCTGATTCACCTTCCGGCCATCTCTCTTCTTTCCATCTGGTGGGAGCCTGCGCTTCAGATCTCTCTTTCATCTCCCTCCTCACAAAAAAGGAAAAGAAATTGTCGGTGACAAAAGTCAAAAGCAATAAAAATTTGATCTCAAGGAAAGAAAAGAAGAAAAATTCCGTCGTCCTCGTCCTCCAACTCCCCTTGGTCCCCCATATCACAGCTCGGTCTCCAGCAAACAGACGCTTCCACACCCCATCCCAGCCATCCATCAAGAAAAGGCCATAGAATACAATGAATTGGTCTGGAAAAGCAGTTGTTGAAGACAGTTAAAAGGTTCTAAAGCACTTTTCTTCCCATAGGCGTACACTTTCTTGAGCTCCTGCGTCGGTTATTTCCCCGTCTGGTCAAAGGTTGCCCTGTTGCGGTGCTCTGACGAGGGAATCCCTGAGAAATATTCCTGTATCGGTCCTGAATCACATCATAAGGTATCATTGCGGTCGTGGTGGCTTTGTGTTGTAGTAGTTGTTGTTAGAGTTATTTCGGGTTTTCATGATGCTTCTTGGGTCATTCGTGAGGTCACTGCTGGTATATTTACAGGGATTCATCTCGCTTTCTCTTCTTAAGAGCACGCTTGCTTTCTCCGGACGATGAGCCCTCGGAGCCACTGCTGCTGGACGATGTAGCCAAGGCAGCACGTTGTGCCGCCTCGTACAGAGCGTGGCCCATTTCCTCATCGTAAGGCTGATGAGGCTGGAGCTCTCCGTTCTCCAGGACACCCATGATGATGGCACCGCTACCATGAGTGCGGGCATGTTGCGCGAGATTGTCGGAGCGGGAGAACTTCTTGCCACACTCGTTGCACTCGAATGGCTTGTCCTGAGTGTGCAGAGAGCGGTAGTGACGCTTGAGATGCTCTTGGCGACGGAAGCGGCGTGAGCACAGGGTGCAGACGAACGTCTTGGAGGGGTCCTCGGTCAAGGATTGCTTTCGTCCACGACGGTTGGCAGGAGCTTGTGATGGAGTAGACCCATCGGCGTTGGTGGAGCCATTGTTGTCTTCGTTGTTGCTGGGCTGTTCTTGAGGAGTGGCATCCGAGGTGTTCTCGCCGTCAGCGTGGCTGTGGATGTGGGCATCAGACTGGCTGAAGCTTTGGAACTCCAAATCACTGTCGGTGGAGCCGTTGCGCTTCATCTTTCGTTGGCTGTTGATCTTCTTCTTAGGTGCGCAGCACGAGCCCGAGTCGGAGAAGGACGAGGCAGGCGGGGAGAGCAAGCCTGCGTGGGCTGCGTGGTCGTCCTCATCAAAGCTGCCAAAGCTGTGGACGCTGAGGAAGTCCTCCTCTTCACCAATCGACAATTTCAGTCTCTTATCACCGTTGTAGGCAATCTCGGGGTCGGTGAAGTTGACAAAGCTGAATTCGTCCTCCGAGTCGAACTCGGTGCAGAAGGAAGTGTCAAACGAAGGGTTCTCGACGAGACTGAATGGATCGGCAGTTTCATGCTCGGGAGTGATGGGGAAGGCCTGGTTTCCGAGAGCGAATTTGTGCTCGTCGTCTTCGGCAGACAAAGTAGGCAAGGGCGGGAAAGTCTGGACAGGCTCGAGCGAGGTCGAGGTCAAATCTCGCAGGTTGACAAATTCAGCCACGGGGTAGGCTGATGGAGAGACTTGAGACTGAGGTGAAGCAGGTGCTAAAGAAGGTGAAGGGCAGTTGCTCAGGTTGATGGAAGTGGAAGTGGTTGCAGAGTGAAAGGAGTCGGCGCCGTTGCCGGGCACAAGCGCCGCCTTGGCATCACCGGGATGCGGGAAAATGTGCACCTCTGCGCATCCTCGTTAGTCAACTGTTTCATCCCAATTTCCCTCACTTCGAAACCGGATAGTACTTACGTCCGTTCTCCGCCCACTCATCCAGAAAGGCGAGAGGCTGCATTTCCTCCTTGGTTGCTTCAATGGGCAAGTTGAAGTACCCGGCGCCGTGCACGGGCGTCTGGTTGACACTGCTGGCCGGTGGGCTGCTGGCGGTGCTGGGGCAGGCCGAGAGGCATGGAGTCGGGGGGGAAGAGTGCCGGCTCTCGAGAAAGTGTCCATGCTCCATATGGCCATTGCTGTCGAGCATCATCTTGGGCATAGCCATGGGCATGGCAAGCGTCAATGGTGGTGAGGCCCTGGGAGTCAGAACCTGCTGAGGCACATAGTGGGCGTGCGGGTGTCCTCGGGCAAAGTGAGCAGCAGGCCCTTGCCAGTACTGGTGGACCATATACTGCGGCTGCTGCTGTTGGGGGTGGTGAGGATACCCGGCCATGGGGCTATAAACAGGTTGCTCGGTTGGCATGGGTGTGAACACAGCGTTATGCCGTGCGTCCGAGTCTGGCCGGTATTGGTAGAATTGGATCTGTGGAGTTGCCATTGGATATGGTGCTTCCATTTCGAATGGTCTTGTTCTGTCTGGGAGGTTGGAATACAAAAGGTTGATTCCTGTCCTTTTTTTCTCTTTTTTCTTTCCTCGGCTTGCTGTCACTGGCAGAAGGCTCGAAGCAGAAATATCAAGCTATCGATGGCAAAAAAGGTCGAGCTGATTGTAGTACAGGTTGGTACAAAGAAAATGAGGTGGTGTCCAATGAATGGCTATGTCGTTCGAGGTAGTTCCCTTTCTGTCTCTGGGTCACTGGCTTTAGCTGTACATGTAAAGATGCAGGATATGCTGGTAACCGTCAGGTCAAGTATGTCGGCGTCTTATCGATTGGGTGAGAGACGTCTCTGGCAAAGGCAGGCAAGGGATTAGAGGATATGAATACAGTGGATGTTGGTACAGGCTTTGTTAAAGGAAGGACTGGATATTGTTCAATAGAGGTACACAGCTGGGTGTTGTACAGGTATATTGAACAAGGATCCGGAAAGGCCTGGTCAAAGGAGAGGATATAACAGAAGTAAAAGAAGGTGTAGATCGTGGAGGGGTGGGATAAATGAACGACTTGTCCTCGATATGAGGGAACGAGAGTGAGAGGATAAGAGCGAACGAGTCCATAAAGAGAGATCGCTGGCTACCCCGAGGGTTTCTTGAGGCCGGCGGCCACCACTGCCCACCAGTGCCTTGGGCCCTGCACGTCGATGGAGTCAGTGGGAGTATAGTTGATGGGTTGCAGGACCGGGCGCTGGCGTGCGAACCCTGGTCAGCACCTTGGTGGTGGGTGGAGGCCATGGTCTCACCAACCCCCAGTCCGTCTCAAAGACTATCACCCACTAAATGGTTCCACTCGTGCCAGCCGCACCCTTAGAGCAGCGACCTGGTTCCTGGATCTCGCCTGCCGTGGTGTGCCTGGCATGAGCAAGAGCCCGGCCCCAAGTCGAAGCTGGCTGGGCGGTGCTGAGCGCCGCGCCCGAAGAAGGACTATCACGCAGTATCCGTATGCATGGGAAATTGCACTCTGCTCAGCACATCTTTTTTCGGGGAAGGGGCCCCATAGTCCATGACGCAAAGTGACCTTCCGGTGGCCATCGTGGTCGGTTTGTATGCTGCGTAAAATAGTAGTAAGTGTTCGAGACACGACTATTATTGCCTCTGCAAGTAATCCTATGAAGTCCAGGAATCAACTAGAATGACGACCTTGACCGCGCCATTGGAGGAATAGGACACGTCTATCACAAAACAGCGCTTGAACTCGACCTGGCGAGTGGTGGAAAAGAGCGTACGAGAGTATACCATCTTGGCTGGATTTCTCCTCTGTACTGTGTTTCTTTGGTCGAAAACTCTCGGGGGCACAAAAGTATATTCGACACGAAATCCTCCTGATGCAATCAATTCCAACATGACCTGCGTGAGATCATTCGCTTGCGACATGTATCCGAAGATGGTCGAGGCAAGTGGTGGTGGGCAAATGACGTGCCTCGATGGGTGGTGTCTGGTGGTGTCGTTGACCAAACTGTAGAACCAGGCTCGAATCAACGCCTCGAGTTCCATTCAGACGTGTTGGTTGCTACATATCGCCCGGACCGAAGCAGAGAGAGTTGTGTGAGCGTGTGATGCTCCAGCCAGGCGCGGTCCATGACTGGGCGAGTCGCTGGGCACGTCAACGCCAATCATGGGCGTGACGTGGAAATGCAGCTGGTGATAAGCTGGGTTCTCGGTCTCCTGGAGCGAATCGCTGGCTGGGCGCTGACCTATTCTTGGAGGTGGCCTCTCACAAAAGCCCATATTGCCTATAGCCAAACTCCCATGGGAATCCTCAGCATCGGTCAGCGGTCAGACTCGACAACTATTGTGCCTGTTAAATCTCGTAAACGCCCAAAGCTCGATATTCGGTGCTTGGAGCAGACCAACTGATCTACCTCGCCGCCTGGATTGGATGGTGGAGATTCGCAGCCATCCGTCCCCCAGCACACACCTGACAGTGACAACGTCACCCTATCCTAGGCTGTCCTGTTTAGGCTTTGGCTACCATGGGAATTACAATCGGAAGTTGGTGGCAAGTGGTCTTTTCGGAAGAGCGTACAAAAATGCTAAGGTGGCCAAGGTTGTGCAGATGGGCTTGCATGTCTCAGACTCTGCGAGAGCCACAGCCGTCCCGACATATGCAGGTACGACAACCCTTCCCCCCTCTCCCCTCTCCCCTCTCCAGCCATTGACGAGAAGCTGGGAAAGGGTGGGAAGCGGGCAGTTGTCTTTTGCATGCATGGTTTGCTTTTCCGGATGGGTTTGCTTCTCGCGTTACCCGACACACAGAAAACACGACGGGTTGATTGGCTTTCCAGGCATGGAATTCACATGCAAAAATGCACCAGATCATCAGAGAACCGTGAGCCATTCGCTACCAATAGCCACCGTCAAGTTAGCATTGCTAATGGGATGTTCCCTCAAGGAAAAGAACACCCCCAGCACCACAAGGGCCCGGTATTCGCCTGCCGGACCAGACAAGTTGCTTTTCCCCGCTGCTCCCGCGAGTATAGACAGGTGACGGGGTGTTTCATCTCTTCCAGCTGCAGACACGAGGTTTTGGCGGGCTTCACTCAAAGGCACATGCCTACCATCAGCGCTTTCTGTTGTCGACCCGTGCGGCGGAATACTGAGCGAGCTGCTACAACCAGTAACTCTAACTACTGGCTGCTCCATTCCAGTTCCTGCCCATAATCCGTCTTCTGTTGCATCGAGTCATCGACGGTCCACCAGCAGTATAGCTAGTGGCCGACCAACAGGTTATGACGACCCTTGGGATTGTGTAGTACGTAGTATGTAGTACCAGTGGAGCCCGCAACCCAGCATACTGGCAAAGTGATCCAAGGGTTTCAAGAGCCCGAAACAAAAGGCCTGGAAGAGCGTGGAGCATTCAAGACTGGATGCTTCCACCAGGTGGGGTGACCTTTTTCGTTCTCTAGCGGACGCGTATCGATAGGCATTTCTTTAGTCAATGTCTGGGTCATGGCCCTGCAAAATTGGGACCGCCAGATTCGTGGAGAACAGAGTTGTTTCTTTCGCTGGGGGAGGCAGGCAGCACAGCTTTGACTCTACCAACTGCCTTCGGGTAGGCAATACTCGTATACACCAGGCAGCAGAAACTCTCTGTATCGAGTACAAGTATCCGGGATATTTCTGTCAGGAGAGAACTCTTTCCCGGTGTCTCTCCCACTATGCTCGTGGTCAGACAATAGTGGATGCAGGGCCTGATCTTACCTTGTTGGCTTCTTCTTCTTCTTGCATATCTTTCACTATCCCAGGCATTGCCGTGGCAAAAGAATCAATGCCACTTGTCCTAGCTATCAGTGGTCGCCATCCACATCACACCTTCCACGCACCTTCTAAATTGAACACGGTCGCTCGAGACCGCAGGAGCCCTGCAGACTGGAGTGAAAAAGCGGCACACGTTTTCTGTCTCCAGGCCGCTGGTGTTCTAAGGGAACGGTCTCAATGCCTGGCCAATGGTGAATGTGCCCGACTCAAGCCATCGCTTGGGGACTGAGGACACGCAGAGCACTAAAGAGGCGTAGATCCCAACGGTGTCTCCTCTCAGGAACCATCACCTTCCCTCAGGTACCCGAGCAAATCCACCTGCCCCAGGACCCAGTTTGCCCTGAGGTCTTTTCTCACATCCGCGACCCGGGCACATCCACTGTGGGCAACTAGCTTTTGGCCCTTGCCCCCTGCCTCAAGCCGACGGCCCCAGGCACCAAGCTGCACGCGCCGTCCTTCGCGCGCGCGGGTCCCTCGATGGGCAGTGGTCCGCGTCTTCGAGTGACCCTCTCGCTTGTGCTGAATAGGCCTAGGGCCATTCCAGAATGCTCGCTGCTGATTCGATTCCACTGAGAACCGTGGTCTTGACTCCTAGGGCCACCAGGGTCAGAGAAAGAGCGTGGCAAGTCGACGCCTATCTTTGCCCAACGAAGCTCGCTATCAGCCCGCGAATGCCACCAGAAGCACTGGGAGACCCGCAGCCTGCAGGGCCCTAACGCAGGAACATTGGGACTTTTCATGCACGATGTGCTCGACTTTTCTCCGGTGCCCAATTGGAGCTCCTTGCTTCATGCAGGTACAAGACTTTTTTGCCTCATTGCCCATCAGTGTCAGATCCCTCCTCTTCTGTTCGCCCAAGCAGCTGCAGCTCGCGTTTCAGATTCGAGGCGATACGGCAATGCCATGTGCTCATCACTCTCATGCCTACTCGATCCTTCTCCCAACACGTCGCTGTTGTTGTAACCTCCCATGCGTGATTGTTTCATCTTTCCTCGGATGGCGAATTTGTTTTCATTTTTTTTCCTTCTTGCACGAAACTAGTTCTACCACGTTCTTGGTCGCTTCTAAGCTCGATTCGTTATCTGGACGCTAAGCGTGATGGCTTGAGCCATCCTCCAAATTTGGTGATGGATGAACTCAGCGGCCCGTACGGCCGACCGTGGAGTACTGGCCTCTCCCGGATACAGTAGAACCAGGGATCGTTTGCAATACCTGACGCCAAAGCGATTTCGCTCTTGACTGTGGGTGGCGGACACCCTCACCAGACTTTGTGCGGAGGGAAGACATAGTGCTTCCGGGGAAATTGGATATCCACTCCTCTATCTTCTTATCGATGATGGCGTCGGGGAAGGAGCAATGAGCCTCCATCTTAGTCTCGTTTAATGCCTTCCCAATCACCACCTTTCCGTCTCGGGCAGTCTCTTTCCTTCTGCCTGCAAAATCCACGGGCGTGGTCTGTTCGGTGGCTGCCGTTGAATCTGGATGTGGTCTGTTTTCGCTGTGCTTCTGGCCAGTTTAAATTTCGCCTCTTCAACGATTTCAGCCGCCCTATTCCGGTTACGATCGAAAATTATCGGGATATTTGCCTTGCTCCTCTCTCTTCGGCGTTCACGTCAAGCCCGAAACTCTGAAGGTCAAGCTCTGAAATCTTGCCTCGAACCGTAGAATTGTCCAGCCGGGAGAGTCGGCCTGCTCCTGCAGCATACCTAGCAGCCTGGAGTTCGAGGAGCACTTCCGCTGCCGTGAGGAGATACAGATGGCCTTCGAGCTATCCCAAGTATTGTACCAGTATTGTTGGGTGCTCTGTGGGTGTCTGCTTTTGCTGGACACAGTAGGTAGACGATGCCGAGTTATTTCTCACAACCCAGTTGGCCTGGTCATGCTTTTCGGGAGCCGACCAGCCTCCAAAATGCCTTCTGTCAAGATCAAAAGTGGGAAATCCCAAGCAACAATGGGCCCTTTCCGTCTCTGCTGACTGGCACCCAACTGGCGTTGATCGGGGAATTTCGTGACAAGTTTGTCCTAGAACTCGTCGATCGGACGACGCCACCATCGGTAGATATGGGCAAACCTACGACGCGAAAGGGTTGACATCAAGCGTCCGCCATGCCCAGGGCGAGGGTTGAAGCAAGCGACCCGGGCACCATGTTCGTACGAGATCAACCCTCAAGGTACGCGTAGGGCGACCGAACTCTGCTGCCGATATTATTAATAGAAAAAGTGGTGTGAAATATGCTTGGATCGAGGAAGATGGACCCCATCCAAGTGCCTAGAGAACTTACACATAAAGCGAGGCTGTGCAGAAATGCAATCAAACTTGGGCAGAGGCACCCTGCGCCGTCCACGTGTGTGCTGCAGTGGTCTGTTCTCCTCACACTGCGATCTCGCTCACGACCCTGGGAACCTGAGACTCGGAGTAAAGGATGATCGAGTAACCTTGAGCTTGATTGTCACCCTTTGTGGCATTATCTCATGTCGATCTGATGACTCGAGAATTTCACCCTGCCGGACCCAAGGTCGGGGTCGGAAGCTAAATGTTGGTGATCGGGTGCATTTGACTCCATGGGTCGGGATGTAGCTGTCAAAGAACTTGTCCAAGTAATGGCAACTCCTCCCAGATCATGACGTTCTCGCTGGGAAGGAGATGCTTCCTTGCTGCCAGGCTCGTGATCTTCAACATGGGTGATGGCATCAATGGCCCAGGGGCAATCGCACCGTGTGCTACCTGCCCGCATGTCGACTCCATCTGGTCGAACGACAGTTATTGAGAGGCAAGGCTGAATAGTTCTACATCCTTGGGATTATACGAGTAGATACCCTGACGCATACCCTTACTCGAGCTCAGCTGCGTGCCTACTCCGCACCCTCTAGGTTTTCCCGCAAAATGCTTGTATCGAGGAACTACAAGATCGACACGGCGGAGCTTTGCTGAAACACTCAGGGTCCTCCTATCGTACCCGCAAAAGTCTGCGAAACAGGGATGGGATTTCTGATATCGAAATCCCCGACCTCAAATCCTTAGAGTGCCAGTGATCCGAAGTTTGGTTGCAATGATGACGCACTGAGAATGATCGTCGACTTTAGGCCAAAATGTGGCCACGCAGGTACCCCTTTTCACCTTGTGACAATGTCAGCCGTGAGGCTGGAGAGTGGACGACTGGCGAAGACTCCACAATGAGATAATGCGAAGTCTCGCGGTGATGTTCTGTCGCAGAGTCCAGCTGCTAGGTTCTGTTAGCTGTGATTCCATATGTGCCTCACTCTTGATCACAGTGGATTTCTTCCTCCGACGACCAGCCATGAGATGACAAGAGGTAGGTTGCAAGCTCGAGTCACGATATCCACCCGGACGAGTCTCGTGCCACGAACTGATGGCGAGCACAGATAGTCACTCGCACACCGGGTCCACAGCCTTGTCTCTGGCACAAAATCGTGCAGCTATGGCTGAGGAGGTGGACGGCCTATCACAGCAAGACGATATTTTCGAGGCTTCATTTGGCTGAAACCATGCTGTGCTGCGACTATCGATGAGGTCTCATCCCCCCGAGAAGCCCACTTGATGGATTGAGCAACATTGCCCGCCAGAATCTCCCAGGATGCTGAAAGAGGAAAGAAAATGCAACCAAACCACCACAACCACAGTGGCTTGGGAGGAAAACCTCATGTCTGGCTTCAGAGTATCAGTCAATATTTGAGATCATGCTCACTGCCGCCCCCCGGACGAGGTCCAGATGGAGGAGCAAACAATCATTCTCTTCCTATCAATAAATTTCTGTTGAGTTCATCACAAGCCATGACAAGTTCAAAATCGAACCAGCCTTTCCCAGGGCAAAGAAAGAAAAATCATTCTCGTTGTCGCCAAGACATTGATATAACGCTAGTCCCAATAGAGCTAGAGCCCACTCCGCTAGCTCCTATCGAAACTACTGTCGAGATTTTTTCGTGCCTCTGCCTTTTCTCTCTTTTTCTTTTCTACATATCGTGCAGCGCTGCCACTATCAATTACCCCTGTGTTGCTTGGCCCATGTTTTCCAATACTCCATAACGAGTCCAAGTGTCAGTGGCAGCACAGAGCAATCCATAATTGCAAATACCGATCTCCTCGACGAGTTGGATGAAGAAACCCATTTGAGTGGCTGATGAGTTTGGGCTCGTTGAGTGTTCCTGCGCTGGTCTATGCGTGGGGTCGGACATACCATGTTTCCCGTAAGCAGGGTTCGTTGAGGGCAAGGAGATTCATTGACTTTTGACTCTCGTCCTTCAATCCTGGGATAGTGATCAAGCTACAGTAGAGAGCTGGCTACCACAGTAGGAGGATGGGAGGAGAAGTCATATCATAGGCTGCGATACAAGCCTTGGTCTTGGTCTGCCTGAAGATGAATGGAAACTCCATCCAGGGTCTATGCTCTTTTGTTTGCAACGCTGCTTGCCCCCAATTCATGATTCGCTTTTGTCTCCAGCCTGAATGCGGTCGTCTCTCATGTCGCATGGTAAAGGATCTCTAAGCTCCCTTGTCTTTCTGCGTCTCAATCGTCTGCTCCGATCTTCTCGATTTTCCCGTCTCTCTTCTCTCCTGTTTCGCCAATGACCCTGATGCGGTCGATGCGGACCTTCTCATTGTCGCCTTCACTCTGCACCACGAACAGAACCAGGCTGGACACATTTTGGAATTTGACAATGCGCAGTTCAATCTTGGCAGTCCCGGTCTTTGGGTCCCAGTCTTTCTCCGATAGTGTCACCTCTTGCGCCGCTTGCGTATCGTCGGCCTCGTCGAAACCAAGGATGCGGGGTCTGTTGGTGTAGATCTTCACTACCTTCGGCCGGCTTGGGGATTCATCGTCGTCTGTGTTGTCGGGTAGGGAGGTGAGGTGTAACGAATGAATCTTCAGAGTAGACATGAAGGGAAGATAGAGCATGAGTTGTTCATCCGTGTCACTTTCGACCCAGTCGGACTTGGCCTCTGCTTGTCCTAAAGATCGTTGTGCATTAGAACACCGCTGCGCGCATACAGGGAGGTGCCAGCAGAAAAAGGCTTACCTTTGGGCTTGGTGGCAGTGATCAACGTTCTTGCATTTCCATGCTCAGAGTCCCAGTTCAGCAATTCCAAACCCAAGACATCAACCTGAGGAGTCACATCGCCATAGCCTCTTGGTAGCTCTGCACCGAGCCACGTGTCACTACTTGAGTTCCCAGCACCCTCACCAGTTTCGATCTTGTTTGCCTCGTTGGCCAGGTCCTTCACCGCGTTGGACAGCCCCTCCCGGTCTGCGCCCTGAATGAACTTGACCGCCTGCGCATTCTTGAAGACGACGAATGTGGGCAGGGCTCGGATACCGTATGATCTTGAAATGTCCTGCTGTTTGTCGGTGTCGATCTTTGCAAAAGTTATCTTGTTTGGCCGAGAGAGTTGCGCCGACAGCTGCTCGAAGATGGGGGCGATTTGTCTGCATGGGCCGCACCAGTCGGCATAGAAGTCGGCCACGACGATTTTTGAAGAGGAGAGGAGGGCTGAGAACTGGTCGGTTGACTCGATATGAACTAAGTTGGACATGGTGCTGGCTTGTTTGAGGAATAAGTGGCGGGGGTTTGTTGCGTTGTCGAGTGTTAGGTCCGTACCTAGTAGGTATCAAGAGTCTGCGTCACGGTGTCACGAGTTGGTCACGGGGTTGGTCACGGGGTCCCAGGCTAGTCCGTTATCGACGACCTGCGGTGCCTGCGGGCAGACATCCAGGTCGGGAAACCGTTCAAGTCAGCAGAATAGGGAAACCGTGACTGGCTCCCGGCAAGCTGGAGGTGTTTCTCATTGGGTTTTGGGCCGCTAATGTGGGCGCTATGGGCGCTGTGACTGCTGGCTGCAGTTCGAGCTTCAGCCCCGCTCTCAGCCCAGCGCGGGCCGGGATTTCTTTTTACCGAATCACAGCATCGCGTTTCCTCGCCTTGCACGGCTTCGCGATGCCTCTCTTCCATCTCGCTATCCAATGCCCACCTCTCGATCTCGCCTTCCCGCACTCTATCCACTGTTGGGCCTTGCTATTCAAAATGCCCTGGCACTTACCTATCTTCAGCCGCTCGGCCCATTCAATGAGCTACCTAGCTATTTCACTCTCCCAACTTCGCTTGGTCCTGCAGCGTGACGCATTCTATCCTCGAGCTGAATTGTCCGCGCATATGCTAGGTTGATCCAGCCTATAGTAGTTCGGTGTACCTGAGCATTGTGCCCCTCGGTGAGGTTTTCTCAAGAGTTTCCTGATGATTCTATTCCAGGCGAGGCAGCAAGAGTTCTCCTTGTTCTTGTTCTTGTTCTTGTTCTGCTTGTTCTGCTTGTTCTTCTTGTTCTTCTTGTTTAAAGACGCATCTGCTCGTCGTGGATATGTTTCTGCTCCCATTCAATCACTCATCATACCTGCCCTGATCTGCAAATGTCGACAGCGCCATGGCTGCTGGACGCACCAACGTCTTCTTCGTGCCGTACAGGCCTCATTCAAGATCGCCCAAGCCGTCCTCGGGTGAACCTGCCATGTCCCAACAGAAACATGCTGCCCGCGAATACCATCGAAAAGCCAAGCTGGAACGTCTCGCTAAGCTAAACGCCACACATAACCGCGATGCACGCAGTTCCAGTGAAGATCCTCAACCTGATGCCTCCTCTCGGCCGCCTTTGCATCGAAACCAGAGCTTCCCAAGCGACAAGGAGCTCAACAAGACATTTCAAGTGTTTGATGTCGGCACCGGAATATTTGACCCCTTCAACGCCTCCGTCCCTAGCGGCGTACCTTCGTATGCTCTTGACATTCTAGACTATGGTAAGCCTGTGGCGTCCACACCTTCTCCAATATCTTGTCCATGAGAATATGACGACGTGATCGCTCATTATGTGTCGCAGGTCGCTCCAATCTTGAATCGGGTATCGCCCTTTGTCTAGCGCACTATCCCGTGGCGGCACAGGAAGCTGTGAGTGCCTCGCATTCACCGCCGCGTGCCAGTTCGAAGCAATGGAGAGTACTCAGCTCCCACAGAAGCAGCCTTTCGGAGGGAGCTATCAAAAATGCTGTAATGGGATGTGCGATGCAGTCCCCTGCTGCGTTTTGGACAATCATATTTGCGTAAGCAATACCCCCTGTCGGGCTACACTTCTGTGCTTGCCGTTACATCCCTTGGACGCTAAAAACAAAGCAGAGGCGCAACCCATAATGCATATCTTCAGGGCGAAGCAGACACCCCCAGTCGCAACCGGGCGTTACGGCTATCATACAAGACTCAAGCCATCAGGGAGCTGAATCGTGAAATCCAAGAGCTACAGGGCCCAGCTTCTGACGAGCTCCTTCTTGCCATCGTCACGTTGGCGGCTCATGGGTCCGGCGAGCAACTAGAACGACCCCCGCAAGAAGAGAATCTGAGCGCATTACAGTCGGTCCAGAGTTTTCAATATTATGCACGGATGCAAAAGGAAGCGGCACATCTGAAGGCCATCGTTCATTTGGTGTATCAGAAAGGAGGCTTACAGACGGTGAAAATGCCCGGACTTGCGAATGCCCTCGCCTTGTATGTCGTTGCCCTCCGGACATCCCCTTGCGGTCTACGGTCAGCTAAACTCAATAGGGCCGATATCTTCTATGCTTTCCAAGACATGCGTGAGCCTGCATTCCCACTGCTGGCGCCAACAAGCTTGATTATGTCAACATGGCCTGAAACTCAACCAGCCGTCGCCCCGTTTCTCCAGAATTTGGCAACTGGTTTCCAAGATTTTGGAGACATTGTCGGCTTTGCCCCATTGTTGCAGATTATTCACAACACGCGCCTGATCACTATGGGATTCGACGCATATCTATCCGGACACTCTTCAGCGCCGTCTCTCAACCAGATAGTTTATGCCAGAAATTTCATGACGCACGACTTGCTTTCGCTTCCACTTCCATACCTCCGCCCTGGGTCTGGACAACGGCATGAGGGCAGCAGCTCGAGCATCATGACCCACAGCTCCCCACTCCACTCACTATACAACCTTGTTCGTTTATCGACAATGGCATATACACTTCTAGTGCTCTTCCCGGTACCCAGCACTGCAAGCATTCATGATAAACTGACGCGGGAGCTTATGCTTGCACTAGACGACTGCACCGTACTGGAACTCTGGACCACGTATCCTCAATTGTTACTTTGGAGTACGGTCTTGGGAGGGGTGGTCGCAAGGAACACGAGTCTGAGGCCATGGTTCGCCGAAATGATCAGACAAGCGAGGACGAGGATACCGAGTCTGACACTCGTGGAGGCGAGAAGCAGAAGCAGGGGTAGTCGACATTCGAGTTACCACTCCAGTCCGTCGAGCGACGACGGCCGCACACGCGGAGGAGAGTCGGGTGCGTTATGGCCGGTGGTGAAGGACTTGTGTTTCCGATTCTTATGGCTCGACGGTCCTGAATGTGACGGTCTAGGCAGAATGTTTTGGGAGGAAGCGTGTGACAATATGCAGCTTCGCACGATGCGCTAGCGAGATAGCTGGGGATATTTTTTCGGGCGGCCCGGGGTCATTTCTGTTTCGAGATACAATATCTCTGTCCTGCAGCTCCAGATAGATTCTGTATGAGAACGCAACAAAGGGGTCTCGATGGGTGATATCCACGTAGGCGGGCCCTTTCGGATAGTTGGGTGCGCATAGAAGACATGTTTCGTATGTTGTGTATGTTTGTTTGTATCCATGCCCATGTCTATACAAGTACGATAGCCTATCCTATGAGCCTCTGGAGTCAGTGGTAGCCCAGGAACTACAGAGGACAGATATATATATGTGCGTGTGTATAGGTTATATATGGTAATTCAGCGCCGTAAATGCACCTAGTCTAGGGGCCCCTGGTTTGGGACCGTACCTTGCCGCTTTGCTCAGGTTATCAGGAGACCTAGCTCAACTTCGGGCCCAAACTCAGCACGAGCTATTTAGCCTACGTAGGTCCTCAGGGCCGGTGCTGACTCTGCTTAAATACTTCTCATTAGCGGCGTGGTAGATGGTAAAAAGGTGTGTAAAGTGTGTCTGACAGTGGGAGATATAGGTTGCAGACTGAGTGGCGTCGTGACTTCTGCCAGGGGCCTATGTAACAGCGATGATCACCACCTGCAGTCTCTCACCCGTTCCAGTCGTGGGGGTGCCACAACGGCTTTTGCAGACGCCTAGGTACTTTTTGCTCACCCGCCGTGGTGGAAGAAGGTCAGTGTCTTATGGATTGGGCCCCTATACTGATTCAAAAAGTGGCGCCGCTGAGGTTTGGCGAATTTTTTCACACTAATAGGTGGGTGTGTGTGTGTGTGTGTGTGTGTGTGTGTGTAAGAGGCTGGGTCTCTCGAGTAAAAGTGTGAAAAGCCGTATTTTCTCCTTTTTATCAAATTTCATCCAGCTTTTTCCGCTCTCTGTCTGTCTGTCCTCCCTTCAAGTCTTTCATATACTGCTCGAACTGGCTGCTCACGGTAATGACATGCTTCAGATGGTCATAACACAGCGGCCGCTTTTTATACTTGGCCAGCTGCCTCGCCGTGGTGATGGCGTTGCGGATCTGGCGGCCGTTCAATTCTTCCTTGCCCAACATCGCCAAGTGGTCCTCGAGATCCTCGCTGTCGATGGCTTCACCTAGTTCTTTGAGTCGGTTGATGAAATTGCGCCAGACCTTGCGGCGCTGCGGCTCGTTGAGGTCTTTGTAATGGAGCACGAGTTGAATGCGGGACTTGAAGGCTTCATCGAAGGCACCGACGAGGTTCGAGGTGAGGATCAAGATTCCATCGTAGTATTCTAGCACGTGCAAGAATACCGACACGAGCGCGTTGCGGTGGACGTCGCGCAGGTCGCGCTCCTCCAGAAAAACGTCGGCTTCGTCGAGGAGGACCACTGTATCAGATATGATATTAGTCACCGGCGGCATTTTTGGTACGCCGCCCCACTTCAAAAGTAGGAGAGTATATGCCGGTATCAGCCCGGGGATTTTTCCTTACCGCAGTCCCAGATCTTACCCAGGTGCAAGATTGCCGTCAGACGCTTTTCCACGATCAAAGGGTCCGTTCCGACCTCACCGCAAGTGATCCTGTAGAGCGGCTTCTTTGCAATCTCAGCCACACTCTCAGCCGTGAAGGTCTTGCCGGTACCAGGGCCGCCATGGAGGAGAACGATGAGGCCGGAACCTTTCCCTGAGATGAGGTCGGTCGACTTCTTCGCCTCCAGTTGATTCTCAACCAGGGCGAGGATTAGCTCTTTGGTGTCTTCGGCCATGACCAGGGTTTTGAAAGCCTGTGTGTTCCAGTCCACATCCTTCATCTGGTCCACGTACAGTTCATCTGCCTCTGTTAGAAAGGTGTAGCAAAGAAGGGTAAGGGCGTCGCGTACACCATCTCTTTGCATGGAGGTTATACCCCATCATCTTTGGGGGAAACAGAAGCAGGTCATTCCCAACTATTGGATCATTTACTGCCATCCTCTCAGGGGTAATATCTGCTGGGCGGTCCACAGCGGCTTCGATGGACTGTAACTTGCCTATGTGAAGCTTGTTGTACGTCGCGGTGTCTATCATGTGTCGTGCATCGTTCTGTCTACATGTCAGCCGTGGAGAAGACACCCAGCTCTGAGGTCTGCTTACAAAGATCAGACCATCATCCTGACTACCAGTATATGAGACGATGTGTTTGAACCTACACTTCCAGAACATCTTGCCTCGAAGTTCAAGCTCTTGGCGTATTTTCCGATCTGCGTACATTAGTGGAAAGACATTTAGGTCTTTGATGTCAACTTCATCGTTCTCGAAAGTGACCTTCATGTAGATGCTCCTTCGAGCAGAAGACTGATGAAAGGAACCGTTGTAGGACCATTGCCAGGCCTTTACCGACCAGGAGAAGACGAAGTACATGATCTCCGGAGCTCCAATCTTGGAACCCTTCTCGCGCCTCGATTTCATTGTGTAGGGCTCGTCAGCGTAATCTTCTCGCCGCACTCCTCCGTTTCCTCTTGTATGCTCGGTCAGCCAAGATTTGGCAACAAAGGCTTGTTTCATCGGTCCAGATCCCTCCACTAACACATCCCCTGGGCGGATTAGGTACTGCATATATCGCTGAGAGACGCGCCCGCGGTCGAACAGATTCTTCGCTTTGGTGTAGTCCTCGCCATGACTGTTGAGGATAGAATTGGTGAGTATCCTGACCAATTTTCGGTGGAGTTCTTCGAGAGGGGCCATCGCAACCTCGAGATACGGCAAAGCATAGTAGAATGGGAGATAAGGCGCTGCAATTTCATCTTCGACGCGGAATTGCGGAAAGTAGAAGTCGAAATCTGGAATAGACTTGAAGAAAATCTCCATGGCATCCAACAAGAGGTCGGAAGTCAAAGAGATGCTCTCGCGGAAGGGCTTCGGTGTCCGGAATACGCCGTCTTTGTCGACAACTTCCGAATCATCGAAACGTCTATTGATGTCGTAGTCCTTGTGCAGAATGTAGATAACCTCGGGGTGCCTGTCCAAGTAATCTTCAATATTCCTTAGCGAGCGGCCGGCGCTCAACTCTGGGCCGTGTGCACCTTGCTGCCATTGCGGGTCGTCTAGGTAAGTGCCACTTATCCGAGAATCTTCGACGAAGTTGTGAAGAACCAAAGGCCTATATGAGGGAAGTGGGGGAGGCTTGGGAACCTCCCAAGCGGATTCACGTTCGCGTAGGCGCTCGTTCTCGTCCTCCAACTCCCTCAATCGCTTGAATATAGTGGGATCGACACGGCGAGAAGTTTCCTGGGTTCGCCGTCCTTGCCGGGTCGTGTCCTCGTAAAGTCCAAAGAGAGATCCCTCGCCGCTACCAACGACTGACGGTTGCTTGAACCTGACGATTTCGACATTGCCCGAATTATCTAGTTCGGTACTTCCATCTCTGCTTGAGGTGTCGCTTTGATAACGGATTTTCTGCGAGGCGACTTCGTTTGCTGCTGCTGCGGTATGGGCATCTTGCATGGCTGCAGAGATGTCGGGCTCCTTGTCTGTTCGGGCTAGAATATCCAAAATCTGGTCACTCGATCTGTCGGTCTCATCGAAGCTACTTTGGGCGGTCTCCTTGTCTTTGCCGGCACGGATAATTTCGATCCGTTGCCTCGGGATGGGAGTTCGTTGCGAAGATTCGGGATCAAGCACGATAACATCGCCGGAACCAGCGTCCAGATCAGGAGGTGAGAGCCCCTAGTCTGGAAATACCTATCTCCCAACCTGCGGCGCGAGCTCACATGGTACTTGTCACTCAGCCTTGTACTCCTGGAGGAGGACATGACTCAGGCGGGTGCTTCGAACTGTTCAGCTAAGATGAATGCCACAGTTTGCCATGCTGCGAGGCCCGAGAACCCTTTGCGGAAGCTCGACGACTCCAGGGTGACACTGAACACTGAACAGAGCAGAGGACCACCAGACCATTGAGACGCTGAAGGAAACCTATCCGGGAGCGGGCGAGCGGGGTAATTTTAGAAATTAGCGGAGGAAAGTGCTTGGCCCACCAGCCGTAGTTTTTCAAATCAACGTTCTTACAAGTCGCAGGGGGGCATCTCAGTGTCCTGCATCAGATATTTTGTGATTGCCACTTCTATATACCTAAGTAATGGATCTCGCACAATTGAGTCAGCCTAGTAGGCAATTATCTGGCGGGCTCGGCGGATCACTGGTGCAAGTACTTTTAAGTTCCCACGAATAAGGCAGCGAGGCAGCTAGCTTCCTGAGCTCCTTGGCATGGTCACGTGGCACTGCGATGCACAACTCTATCGCTACCCCTCTCGCCCTCAGATAGATTTCCTCGTATTACTAGTAGAACAATAAAGTCAATCAATCCAGCTCAGTCTGAACCACACGCCTGTTTGCCTCCGTGGTAGCTTTGCACAAGTTACGAAGCTGCAGATTAAGCGCCAAATTCTGGATGCAAGTGGGTCTGAGCAAAATGTTCAAGTGAGCTATCAGCGACAAACTTCCACTTCCCTCCCCCGGCTACTGCGAACTAAACCTGCCCGAGCCCAGGAGCCTGTTCCGCGCCGCCTGATCAATAATGCGAAGTACCACACAAAAGCATGAGTCAACCAGCTCTACACGACGTGTGGTACAGCTCCGACTTGCTTGACTGGTGCGTTGGTATTCAACATTTTGAACAAAGGTCGCGCTGACTTGCAAGCTCTACCAATGCTGCCCACCAAGCGTTTGAGGAGGCGGCCATACTATTCGGCTCCGAGTACAGCCAAGACAAGAGCAAGATCCACGAGGTCCAGAGTGCTCGATCCATTCTAGAACTGCAGGAAGCAGCCGAGAAAGCGCAAGCACGGTATGAAAGGAAAATAGAATCGTCCAAAACCAGGAAATGGCTTGCTCGAGCCGCAAGTCGGGTGAAATTCTACGGCCAAATCATGGATGTCATGGCACAGTACCATCCAGAGTATGTTGCTCTGGCATGGGGAGCCATGAAGTTTCTCTTCACCGTAAGCATAGTCAGTAGAGGGTGCGCTGGAAAGTGTCATGGCGCTCAATGTTGTTCACAGACTATTGACGTCCACGAGTCTACAATTCGAGAAACGGCCAAAGGCATATCCCAAATAGCCGTGAAATTGCCCCAGATCGCACTGGCGGGCGAATTGTACCGCAACAACCTGCTCATGGTCGATAATATTACAAAACTCTATGCTTGTGTGATGAAGTTTCTAATCAGAGCCAGGCGATGGTATGGTGAGAGCCGCATTCTTCACGCCTGGCATTCAGTTACACGCCCACCTGAGATCCGGTATAAAGATCTCCTCGAGGACATCGAGTCCTATGCAAGCGCCGTGAACCAGCTTGCAGTATCCAGCTCTCAGGCGGAGCAACGCGACATGCATATCAAGATGGATCGCTTGGAAAAGTCTATTCAAATTGCCGAGTCCAAGAACCAGAAGGCCCTGGGAGAGCATTACGCGTTGCTGCGCAAGCTTCAGCAGAATCTCTCAGGTAAGGTAGACCCCCAACATGTCTGCTTAAAACACCCACTTATCAGGTGCATAGATAGCCACGAGTTTAACGTTGACGCGGTCTTCAATGCACGCCTTTACTTCCGGGACATGCAAGCTGGCCAGCTCATGGGACTCCTCGAACAGAATAGCAAAATTGACCACGTACAAGCGTTAGAGCAGGTGTCGCTGGCGCGACACTTCTCATCGAAACAGCTCACGGCAGAGAATACCCCATTCTGGCTCGAGGCCAAGTTCAGACGATGGCAGAATGCGTCATCCTCGGCGTCGATCGTGGTCAAAGGAAGCCACAAGGCTCGACTCGCGCTGCAACGGTTTAGTTCGGAAGCCATCGAGCTGCTCCGGAATGCTGGAATCCCCGTGATATGGGCACTGCCTGCGCCATCCCCACGCACCTCCGGTGGTGTTGTTGGACTCCGCGACATCCTCAAGAACCTACTCCTGCAGATCCTGAAGCTTCGCTTACAGGAAGGAAAGCCAATCCCACCGATGCTAAATTCATCACAAGTCGGAGCGGCGTCGACCGAAGACGATTGGATCAACTTGATCGCCGCCGCACTGGACGGCATCCCTAGTCTGTTTGCCATCTTCGATCTCGCAACACTCAAGACTGTATGCCAGGCCGGCCACCCTCCGTGTCGCGTGTTCGATCACTTTGGGGACTTGATACGCATCCTCGCCTCTCGGAGGTGCCACAATGTAATCAAGACCATCTTCCTGGGCTATGGCGCCGAGACTCTCTACCTGGCGCCTTCATCGAGCTTGCAGAGGGTCGTGATCGACCTCAAACGCATGCAGTCTTCCGCGGCACCAATCAAGCCTCGAGACAGAACACGAATCCTGGGTGACAGTCGCTCACGCCAAAACCGTTCTTCCAGCACGAGATAGTCACGTTCTAAGGCGTGACTACGATTATGCCATGCATACATAATTAGGTAAAAGGATCTCTCATTATTTTCATACAGAATCCATATGACTTAACCCCTGCTACTGCAGTGTGTGTCTCTCTCTCTTGTTTGTTCTTTTCCGTTGCGCGGGATCCCCGCCCATGGCATGAAGTTTTGCTACATGGTTACTTTCCCGAGTACGAAAGTGAGATGTATATACACCTCTGTGTGTGGACCCGGACAGAGGCATTGATTGAGATTTGATGGACTAAATAGAGGAGACCAGACGAGACGGGGTAGGACGAATAGGATTGACACCAAAGGCAGATAGGCAGGACAGGGAAGGACAGGAGAGAGAATTGTATCGTTCTCACTTCCCCAAATCAGGGATGCTCACGGGTCTACCTATTACCGCCCGAGCATTGTTCTTTCTTTTCTTTTTGTTTCCCATTATGATTTCCCAGAACTCATGCATCAAACCCGCCCGCTCATAAAAGCCACAGACCCCCAAAATGCCCAAACTTAAATACCCATGATCACACCTCAGTCTCAACACCATCACCACCACGCCCATCTTTATCCCTCTCAAAAACCCTCTCCACACCCCCCTCCATCCTTTTGACCTTGCCGACCATCCAGTCCACCGTCCTCGCTCCCCTCCACTGCATAATCCCTCTGTGCTTCCTATGCAACTCGCGGTGATGGTCCTTGTAATCGCGCACCTGCGCCCTTACGCCGCGAGACCCGTCGTCCGGGTCATTGTGGCCGTCGACGTCCAGAACCTTGGCGGCCGTGGAGCCCACAGCCCCGAGGGGCTTCGATACCAGGCGTGCGGGCCCGTTGAGAAGTGGATTCTTGGACGTTGAGGACGCCGTGCCGGAGTCCGAGTCCGAGGCGGATGAGTCGTCGTTGGCGTGTGTGCGGAGCTTGCGGCGAGATTTGTCCTTTTTGCTTGACGACTCGTTTTTGTTGTCGTCGTCTGTGCTATCACCGTCCTCGTCGCCGTCGATTTCTCCTTCTCCTTTATATTCGTCTTCGTACTGATCGACCTGTCCTTCATCATTCGCCGTGTCCAACACCTCCATCACCTGCCTCAAATCCGCATTGCGAGCTTTCTTCGCGTAGCTCTTGTGATACCCGCTGAGCCCTCTCCAGAATTTGACCGTGAGCTCCAACTCGCCGAGCGGTTGCTCGTTTTCTTCCAACCCGGAATACCCGTAACTCGTGGTAGCGCGATGCGCGGCCTCTTTGCTGCCCTTCCAAAGCTTGACTACAATGGTTTTCTCTTCCTCGTCTGGGATGTCCTTGAGCCAAAAGACCCCCAAAGCAGGAGTGGAGTCAGGGCCAAGGCGAGATTTGCGGCATTCGATGATCAACGCGCTCGAATAGCGTTTGCGCACAGCAAGGAAGACAGACTCTTTGTCGCCTTTGGGTGTCCATTCGCCATCGTCACCCGAGCCGGTGGGGTACATCTTGGCTCTCATCATGTTGGTTCTCAGCTTTATGCGTTGCTGGGTGAATGATCTGCCTTCCGTCGTGTTCTCTTTCCCCCCCTTTGCTCTGACGGGGCATTTGACCTCCAGGGTCCCAAAATTCCAGCCGAGCAATTCTTTCGGCAGTTTCAATTCCACACTGCGCCAAACCATGCTGATGCGTGCACGACCGTACCCTATACCACCAACAAGAGGATAAGTCTGCATGACTTGGCTCCTTTCCTTAAAGACCCTCCGCAAAGGGAGGTAGACTATCCCGAGCAGGGCATCGTCTTCGCGTTCACGATCATCGCGGACAGAAATCATGACTTCTGCGGCCTTCCAGTCGGGGACGAATCGTTCCGTGCCAGCATTGAAAAATGGCTTCGCATTCTTCGGCTTGGTTCTCGTGCGATAGATCTTCTGATGGTTGAGGATAATGGTCGCGTAGCTACTGGGCAGGTCGTCATTCTGCTCGGCCTCGTCTTCGCGGTTATCGTTGCCCGTGTTCTTCTCTCGCTTCTGCAAGGACTCCACCTCCAATCCGGTGATGTTGTGGATTTGAATGCTGAATATCCCGCTGACATAGTCGTCCGGTGGAGGACTGGAGATGATCAAGGCGTCTTCACGTTCCTTGTAATCCTCTTCTTTCTGCTGTTTAATTTCCTTGCTCTCGTCATGCGCCGTGGCCTCTCGCAGCTTTCGCTCTGCCGTCTCGCCCACTTGCTTCCTCAATTCCTCTATCGTGCGGACATTTGGATCCGCAGTCTGTTTGGCGAGTTGCTCTTCTGTGATTTTGGTTTTGGTGAAATAACCCACTCGCCACTTGAGGGTACCTGGCATCTTTTCTTCGGGCTCTTCACCCACGAAGCGATCTTCACGCTCACACATTCTGTTCTTCGTCTTTTCGCTATGCATGAGTTCACGAAGATCCACCTCTACGCGACCAAGGTCATCGTCTGCGGTATATTTGTCCGAATCCCAGAGCTGAAGTCGAAGCTTCTCATCTGCATTGAGCTCTTCAGGCGTGACCAGAATATGCGACCACTCCGACCAGTTCGGTGCTTGATCGTCGACAATGATCCTCGTCGAGGCAACAGGCTTGCCAAACTTGCCCCAAGAAACGGTCATGTATGCGTCGCTCGACCCATCCATCGGACCGATGCCTCCATCACCTTGCTTGAAACCCTTGGCAGACTCGATGAAGATCAGGACGACTCCCCTAGTGACCGTGTCCTTCTTGAAATCGTCACCCACGAGCATGTCTTTCAGGTCAAGCGTCAGACTCTTGGGCGCCACATACTCGGCCAGCGCCGCGTCGATCGAGGACTGGACAAACGACGAAATGAGAGGCACATCCATCAGGTTGAGTGCGTGGCGCGATAACGGCACACAGGACAGATCCGCCTGCGGCTGTCCCATGAACGTCAAAGTGCAGAGGCTGAAGAACGGAGGATCAGGAGTGAGCTGTAGACGAAGACGCATTGTGCCAATGATCCCGCGCAGCTCTACCCAAACGGGGACGGCGATACCTCCTGGCAGGTAGAATTTGAGGTAGAGATGGGCGTTCTTTGCTTTTGCTTGCAGAGACTTGCCGGAAGATCGGGCTCGATAGGCGAACGCGAGCTCCATGTTGACAAAGTCGCCCTGTTCAGCCTCCATGCCCTCCCGGATGGCCTGCTCATCCTGCTCCTTTTGCTGGTTGTTTTGGTGACTGTCCTCCGACTTGCTCTGATCCTCGCCGCCAGCGCTACTCTCAACTTCTCCCTCCCCGGACGCTGTCCGATCATTTTCGCTTCCGTCTCCAGCTTCCCTGAGTTTCCCATCTGCGCCAACAGATTGACTCGCGGCGCCTGTGGGTAACCAATTGATTCCTAGAATGCGAAAGGCTTCACTGCCTTGGCCCAAATCATCGACGCTGACCATCCGCACCACCTTCGGAAGAGATGCCTGCATGACATCCTCCAACATGTCAGAAATGGAAGTGAACAGGTCTGGATTGACAAGGGGCCACACAGCGGACAAGAGGTTGTTCAACCAGGCGACCGATTCTGGGATGGCATCTTCAGCCTGAGTGGTGTGAAGTTCTTCCTGGCGTGCGGCATCCCAGACCTCGTCCTTGCAGATTGCTTCCACCTTTTTCCCGAGCCAGTCCCTGATCTGCAGTATCACGACGGCCGCGATGACGCCTGGTATGAAGATGGCGACCGCAGCACCAAGAAGCCTCGACTGCAAAGATGACCCCTTTTCGTAAAGACTCACACCGAAGACTCGGCTAACGACCTCGCCCAGTGACAGTAGCCCCAGAACGCTCACAAGGCCTATCGTGATGGCACGCTCATATGTCCTGGCCAGCTCATTCTTCAAGTCATCAAACTTCGGAGGCGGGAACAACTTTTGCATACCGTCCAGGCTATCCTGGACCTCGGCGCGCTCCTTGTCAAGTTCTTGGCCCGATTTCTTCATGCCATCGACTCCCGTTTTGGTTCGAAAATTGGTTCCTGTGGCGGGGATGTTCTCCTCGGCGGCCTTGAGATCCTTGCGTGTCGAGTCTCGAATGATGATGGGCAAGTGAGTCACGGGGTCTGTCACTTCTCTACCGCCATCACTGCGCTTCTTGTGTTTCATGTCCTTTCTCTTTTGGCGAGGGTCATGGTGGCCCGCGACGGCCTCGGTAGCCGATTGACCTGGTTGGTCTGTCTTGGTGTCCCCTGCATCCCGGTCTTTTTCTTGTTGTTGCGGTTGTCGGTCCTCTTCTTCTCGACGACCCTGCTCTTCTTCCTGCCCGTCTCTTCCACGTGGCTGCTGTCCGGGGGTCTGGATGTTCCGATTTTGAGACCTGTAGGGATCGTGGCTCGATTTGGGCCCTTCCTCCTCGCCCTTCAAAATACCCTTGGCGGCATGGTATGCTCTTTTGACGGTCGAGTCATCGGTCTCGTCATGCTGGGCCTGTTCGGCTTGTTGCTGCTGGTTGTTCAACTCGCTCCGCTCGGCTCTGTATTTCTGGATGGTAGGAATAGGATGGCGCGCAGAGTGAGGGGCCTGGTAGGTTCTGCGCTGGGACTCTGGGTCGAAGTCGTCCGCCGAAGACATGTTTGCCCATAAGAGACACAGAGACAGAGAGGGGTCTGTTGACGAGAGCTAAGGGAATGCTAAAGAACTCTGCCTACCTAGAGGTGATGGACAAGGTGTAGTGAGAACCGGTCTCAGCACCAAGACACCAAAACAATAAACAAGGCCCAGAAGGCTCTGTAAAATATTCACATCATATCACTCCGCAAATGCTACGACGACCAACGGTGAATCAAGGCACAGGCATTGGGGAAGAACGAAGTCGGAGGATTTGACAATGACGTCGAAACTCCACGCAGCCAAACCAGCAGCAAGACACGGAGTTCAGTAAGCGAAGCCAAACAGATGCTTCAAAGGCATCTCCACCGACTGAAAGGGTTCAGCGCGACGGATGATCTGCCAGTAGAACATGGTCTGATGCTTGTTTTGTTTTGCGGCCTGGCTGCATTGTCAGCCCAAGGCGAAGCAGAACCGAGAAACAAGGACCATCCAGTCGAGCAGTTAAGGCAGTGTGCGGAGTGTACGGAGTTGTTACTGGGAATGACAGCAGGAGGATGATCGACCGCCAAGGGCTAGTCAGGCCCGAGTGGCGTTGCTGGCGTTGCTGGCGTTGCGGGGATCTGCAGCCAGGATCTCTTCCCATGTACTCGGTATTGAGTCCTTATCACACACTGACCGAGAGCTGCATGTGTGAAAGAGGTCCTTGATGTCCAGCACAGGTGCAGGCCAAGCAAGATCAAGAACAATCACCCACACCCACTACGATGTCCTCCAACTTCCTCGCCGTCCCGAACAGTTCCATCGTCTATCAAAGGACGACATCAAGGCCGCCTACCGCCGTGCTTTACTCATCCATCACCCAGACAAAGCTCCCAGCACCACCAAGAACGTCTCCCTAAGAACTCTGCAGAGCAATGGTGCTTCAACACCCACGCCCGTCTACTCCATCGATGACATCGTTGTCGCATATGAAGTCCTATCCGACTCTAAAAGACGCGCAGAATATGATCGTACCCTGAACCCCGCCGTCAGTTTTGGCGGGAATAATGAGGGGGGCGAGAAAGGCACACACATTGGAGTAGAGATCTATGACCTCGAAGACCTCAAGTTCGACGAGTCGCAGGGTATCTGGTCCAAGAGCTGCCGTTGTGGTGACGAACAAGGCTATACCGTGACCGAGTCGGATCTCGAGAAAGAGGCGCAGCAAGGGGAGATTTATGTCGGCTGTCGAGGTTGTAGTCTCTTTATAAAGGTCTTGTTTGCTCTGGAAGAATAACCGCCTCAATTCGGCCTCGTACTCGCCTTCTCGACTTCGCGCAGGGTGTTCATGGCCTCACAAACATCCGCCGACCGGCCTTGCAGAATGGCTTCAAACTCTTGCTTGATCATTTCATGCGCCCTGCCGAGCTCTTGAACTGCGTGAATGATCCGTCTCTCAACATCTGCCTTCCTCTCGGTTAACGCGAGCAGTCTGGTCAGGAAGTCGTCTCGATACCGCCTCCTGTGGGCGCGAAGGCCAAAACAGTCAGGAGGGGATTGTAACAACCCACGAAAGGAGAGACAGATTCTCTCAGGGAAGACTCACATGTCCTGCTGGTGCCTCTCCACCCTCCCGTCAACCTGGGCGTTGAGCTCCTGAAACCGGGCCTCAAACTCCTGCTCCAGACGTTGCTGTCTTTGTCCTTTGCGGAGGCCAACCTGGGGGAAGGTGGAGTCAGTATTGGCAGAGTCTCTTCGCGGCATGCTAGAAGAGGCACACTGGTATCGGCGAGTGAGGGTCATTTGTATGCCAAAATGCAAAGAACACAAGAAAATGAAAAAAAAAAAACAAGTCCTTCTCTCTCGAGAACCATACTCACGTACATCAATAGCCATACTCTTCCTCAAACTCTCCTCACTCCTCTTCAAGTTCAACTGATTGCTACTCGTGCTCGTGCCGTCGACCTCGACCTCGACCTCCATCTCCATGTCTCCGTCACTCTCTTCGTCCCTGTTGAGCCGAGCCGGCATGGAGATCCTCTTGCCGCGTTTCGAAGACATTGATTGACAACACGATAAACTGTGTGAAAAAGCCGGTGAGCCGGTGAAATGATCACGAGGTGTCGAGGAGAGAGGTGCGGCTGGGAATGAAATAAAGCTGGTGGGAAGCGTGCGGGCTTGAGACGAGGGTCTCCAGAGAAACTGGAAAGTGCCTGTGTGGGAAAAAGATATACTCGACCGAGGATACAGCGGAGTGAGAAACGACATAAGCACGCATCGACACCGAAAAACAACAGGCATCAATCAGTCAACTACCAAGATACCTAGGTAGGTTGTTACTAGGTATTCTGTTGCAATCCGATCCTCTTTCAATTATTCCTACAACTTCGGTTTTATACATTCTAGTGTCATCCACCACTTCAGGTGCCTTCCGCTCTTGTCTTTCTGACGTTTTCGAGCTACTGCTAAAGATACACTCATAAAAGAATCATTACTCCACGGATAAAGATTGTCCCAGAGGTAATAGAATCGTTGTTCACCGTCAACACTTCTCTTCATGCTGCTCAGAATAGAACCACCGATCCAGTGGTTCTGTTTTCTGTCTAGTCCACAATTTCCAACTCACCTTGTCGATCCTGCGCAAAAAGGTCCTTGTATCCATCCCACAGCCTAACCAATTCGGCCACATACTCCTTGTGCACCTGATCCAGATACTTTTCGTCGACGTTGTTATCCTTGGACCCCTGTTGCACGACCCGGATCGGTCTTCCCACCACCACGTTGACTGCCCTCCTGTATGGCAGTAATCCGACGTCGTAGTTGAAGATTCCTCTCGCGTGGAATAGTGGGATGGTGAATCCCATAAACTTTTTAACCAGCATTTGGGATTTGTGGATCCAAGGATGTTCGACACTATCGATTTGGTCGTAGAGCTCGTTTTCGCCAAACGCGAGAACGGGGACGAGGTCGGCACCAGTGCGTATCGCTAGTTTAACGAAACCCTTTCTGCTTCTCAGGACCAGGCGGAGCGAATGAGGCTTCGCATCGAGAGATTCGCGGGCACCACCAATAACAATTGTAACGGCCCGACCCATGCCTTCACCATTCAATCCTCCTTTGCACAGGATGTTCTCGATGGATTCGCGCGATACCGAAGCCAAGCCCATGGCCAAGGCATAGTCTCGATAGAACGGAACTCGGAAATTTGTGTCGAGGGTCAACAAGGTATTCGTGATGCCAGGGTAGAGGTCCGAAAAGCCCAAAGCCTCCGTGGCAAACGCAGCAAAGGCGCCGTGGGAGATGATTCCGTGCGGATGGTATCCAAAGATGTATTTCCTCGTTGGCTCGAGCTCGACGGTGCGATGCAAGCGAGCGGGGAAGTAGGATGCGAACAGGGACCAGAATTTCGAGCCACGCATCCACTGTGATCTTCTCGAAAGGGTCCCATTGGTGGCATCCTCACTGATGACGAGGGTGTAGATGAGGTACGGGATAAGGAGGGGCCAGGTAAGAGGGATTGCGCAGAGGAGGAAGAAGAGGGAGATCAACAGAGGGATGGTGGTAGTGTGCCACAGGACGGCTAGAGTTTGAAGCCTCCGCTGTAATGGCACGTTGAGAGGTGCCCACCGTATCCTATTGCGAGACAGTTAGCCCACGATAGCAGACTTCGAGAAGATGCATACGCAGAAGTCTGCCAGCCGGCGCCAGCCTTTCGGCCACTTGCAAGCTCATCCTGGCGCTTAGGTGGCCGATTGCGTTTCCTCTCTCGCGGCGCAGTCTCTCCATTGTGCTTGAGGGAATCTTCATAGCCGTCGCTGGGCTTGATGCTTGTCAAGGTCTCTCCACTACCATTCACATGCTTCTCATAAAGGACCTTTCCTTCGTCTGGTTGCTGTCGGTTGTTTTGACCATTGACTGCCGGTTGGACAGATCCATTCACCGCAGCGTGTTCATCTCCATCGTGGCTGCGGACTTCGCCATTCGGACCACTCGTAACGGCATCTGCGTAGGACTTTGGAGGAAGCTCATTCTCAGCACGTTCCTCTGGCTGGGACGGCTCCGGATTCAGTTGCCCGTGTCCCTGTACTGCGGTCGCAGCCATTTCCGTGTAGGCGGAGAGTGAGTCGCTCTGAAGCGATTGAGCGCGTTCACGGAACCAGGCAAAATCCGAATGGCCGCGCCGAAGCATCAATCAACACATGTGTAAAGGTCCCAGTCCACGTGTAAGCACAACGAGCTCGAATAGGAGTCTGCCGGGAGGTTGCAAGCAATAATGTGTGTATCCACGGCGAGTGCAACGCGGCTGTGACTTGATTATTGGAGGCCAAGTCCAGGTTCTAAATAAGTGACGTCAATTGCCAGCGCTGACCATTAGGTACCTAGGTAGGTACTCGTACACACTGGCACTCTTGACACTCGACTCAGAAATCAAAGCATAAAGTATCCTAGCCTCGCCAGGTACCAACTCGCCAGATACAGAGGAGCCGATACCCTTGCGTACCTAGGTGTGTACAGCGCTTTCCCATTATGAAACCTCTCTCACAATGCTCAATAAACCCCTCGTATATGGAATTCCCCAGATCATAAAATAAACCAGCGTATTCTCCGGACTCTGACACCAATCTGCAGCATTTCCCACCAAGTCCGAATCCATCAACGACTCCTTTCAACTTGAGAGGTCCTTCGCCGCAACGCCAAATTGCAGGTTGTCGTTATCAAACACAGCGAACACGGCCTTGAGGAAAATATCACCATAAATAGACTGGCCGATGCCCTCGTTGCTCTGAAGCCCACCGAAACAAGCTACAGCGGAAAATTCGTCAGCGCGCTGAAACCAACCAGGTTCCTGAAGGGGGTCGACTTACTGGAAGAACCGTCGGAAACAGGGGAGTAGTTCATGAACGACCCTGGAATGACAGCGTGATAGCTGCCGATACCGACAGCGAAGTCGGGTAGATCAGCAGAACAGTCGAAAGTGTAACCGCCCTGGGAGTTGTCGTACTCGGCACCGTCAACCTGGTCGTAGTAGGCGGAAACAATGTCATCATCCATAAGAAGGAGGGTGGTGCCAGTGTCAGCGATGGCATCAATGCTTGCCGACTGGAATTTCCCATTGCCGACCTGGTAGCCGGTACCGGTGATCTCCCAGAAACCATTCGAGTTGTCCACTGGTGTGTAGGTGATGTCGCCCGTGTATTTGCTGCTATCAATGAAGCCAAAGTCGTACGAACCAGGGGCGCCCTTCTTCAAGTCCGCCGTGAAGACATTTTGCTCAAGAACTCCTTCGTTGATGGCAGTCTGGAAGAAGGTGGTTTGCTGCTGGGGTGTGACTGGACGAACGTTAGCAGCGAAAATCGGATAGCTCGCCTCCACTGACCGGTGTTAATGGAGCTGAATGCCAGACCAAGCAGGCCGTCGCTGTCTGTGTCCTGCTCGAACTGTGAACTGATCTGTTCGGCAAGTTCAACCGCTTGTCCAGTGACAGTGGTGCCACCAACGTCGACAGTGTCAGTGTAGACATTGCCGCTCGCGCTCGATCCATCGCCATAGGAGATCTTCCAGGTGGCTCCGCTAAGCTGCTTAGCCGTCGAGGACTGAGACGGATTGTAGATGCTGTGTCCAGAGCGCTCGGAGCTGGACAATTCGGACGAGAAGACCCACCTAGAGGAGGTTAGTGATCACCACCACCGAAATATATGGAGCCTGGGGCAGGATTTACAGATCTGAGGATCCAGTATCAAAGTCGAGGTTCAATGTTTGGCCTCCAATGCTGACAGGGCAAAGGTATTCGGCATCGTATTGCTCCGGAGTGGCAGTGACAGAGCCATCCGCGGCGGCAGCTTTGACATCGGCGGGGACGGGACTATTGTATTTGAGGTAGGTCTTTTGCAAAAGCACAGGACCAGCCTGGAATGGCTTTGCAACACTCTGCACAAGGGTGAAACCTTTCTTGGTTTCGACCTGTGGGACAGGGATGGGCTTCGCAAGCGTCACGCTCGTCAAGGCGGAAGCTGCCAGCAAAACTGTGAAAGAAAGCATGTTGTGTGGAATATAAAGAGAGACAAAGTTTCGAACAGAAACGAGCTAATGAATGGACGTCTTGCTGGTCGGATGGAGGGACTGACTTGGTAGAGAACCGTTCGAGACGGGCTTGTCGACGAGAACTTATATACCTGTATGTGGAGTTCACAAAGCAAACATCACAAATCCAAAGCGGATCCTATCCCACTTACCTGCACCTTTTCCATGGTAGATTCTGGCTAGAAAACAAGATAGGCATCATAACAATGATACTCTGGAGCCAACGCACGAGAGATCGTCGATATTGGAAGGACCGTGGAGCGGACGTGGCACGGAGTGAAAGGACATTTCGAGAAGGTCGCAAAGGCATCCGAGGCCCAGATCCTAGCGAGCCCGTGGTGACCGTCGCCATGATTCGAGAAGAAGGCAGAGCATACCAAGCATCGCATCGAAGCTTCGACAGTCCCAATCTGCCGAGGAAAGGCTGTCGAGGGGCACGATTGGACTGCAAGTCATCACGGCGGGCGGTGGAAGGAGTCGATACTGTCTTAGCTTTAGCGCTTTGGAGGAGATTGAGATTGAAAGCGAGGTTTCATGAAACATGGGGACCCCTTCTGGAGCATGGGAGATGGCCTGTTTGAACAGAAGCAAATCCGGTTCCTGATGCAGAGCATGCTGTGACGAAGAGGGTAGAGGTTGAAGGGTGTTGAAGGGTATTGATGGGACGATTAAGATGAAGTTGGAAGAAGAAAGTGTCCTGGCGGCGGCTGATTGGCTGTGTGCGCAGCTGCGCTAGCAGTACGAGACCGACGCATGCTGCTCGACGGACACACGGTCCAGCAAACCATCGCAGCGGCCAAGCTGTTTCATCCATCTTCCAACCTTCATTCCTACCTAGTACCTAGGTATCAAGGTGCTCATTCTGCACGAATCCTGACTAGGCCTGCCTTGTTGCTTATCTCGCCTCTCGATTCGTCCTCCATCGAAATGAGCACCGCCCGCACCGTTGCTAAACAAACGCCCCCGAGTCCCGCTCCCGTCCCTTGCAGAGACCAGGTTGCCTGCCCCCACGCAAAGTCTACTCTTACCAGAGCCTTTCCTCTCTTGCCAACGTCCAATGACCTTACTGCTCGTCAATACGACTTGACACGGGCAGAAGGCATCCACTGGTAATATCGGTGCAGATCAGACCGGATGCGGCTCAATCTGGCAAAGCCATTAAACCTCGATCGGACGCCATTCATGCCAGATGCGTGAGCCACCTTACACGAGTTCAGCCCATGCCCTCTTCCAGAGCGTTCCAACGTACCTATCATATCTAGCATCTAGTGCATGTCCTGTACTTCTGAACCTTCCTGGGTTCATTTGTGACAACTTACGAGTATACGGCGGTGGGGCAGACGGTCTCTACAAGATTGCGTTCAAGAAATACAAGCAACATCCCCTCCTATGAAGAACAAAAGCCCATCGGCCGGCGCCGAAATGCCACAGCTGAAGATGCACGCTCCATCCCCTAAGCTCGGATAATGAGGTGACATGGTGCCGCATGGGAAAAGAACAATCTTGAGCGGTAAAAGCTGGCGAGTATGGAGTAATGAGTATCCAACAGGTACTGCACAAGTCCTCGACACGGAGACGAGCTGGAATGTACTGGTATTAAACGTTCGTTTATGTTTTCTTTTCAGAATATCCGTGCCAAAGTGCAAACGTAGTATGATAACCTCCAGAATGCGCCAAAACAGGTCTTAGATCACGTTAAGGCTCCATGCTCCTCCTTGACCGAGCTCACCTTGTCCAGATCGAGACGCGGTTCAGAGCAGAATGCCGGCTGCCTACGGAGATCGCCGTGGAGGGCGCGGAAGCGGTGGTTGGGTGCGAGGCCTGGTGGTGGTGGTGTCAGAGGGAGGGACACCCGTCGCCAGTCCAGCTAACGTGGTAGCCGCATCGCTCTCCGACCGATTGAGGCCCGGCCGGTTGTCTTCGTGGCCTGGCTGGCGAATTTGTAGAGGATTGGTTGCCACAGGTCGAGGCTGGTCCATGGCACGCCCGAGATGCGGAAGAGTGGTAGTACCTATCGAGCCTATCGAGCCTATCGAGCCTATCGAGCCTATCGAGCCTGTTCGAGGAGGGGGCGGTATGCTTCTTGAGCCCGGCCCTTGAGGAAATTCGGGAGGCCGTTCGTGGGCCAAGATGGGGGGGAGCAGAGTTGGGCTTAATTGTTCTCTACCTGGACTAGGGAGGTGGATGGGAGCGTGGGAAGGCCTCGGTATTTCTTGGTAACCTCGAAAATCCGCTGGACGGCTTCTCCACGACGTTTCCTGCATCGTGGGCGAGGGTAGAGTGGGCTGATAAGGCATGGAGCTTGATCCATGCGGGACACTTCCAAAAGCGGGCGGAGGAGGAGGGATCGGCGGGGGCGGGGGCGGTGGTTGTTGCTGTTGCTGCTGCTGCTGTACGAAATACGATAGTCTTGACCTTGCGAGGGGGTCAGGAGACCCTGTAGACTCCACTGACGATGCACTCGGTGGCAGTGCTGGTAGAGGAGGCGTACCTGACCCTGTACCCAACGAGAGACCAGCTGCCCGCATCAGCGGATCAGGTACTTCACTCCGGACTGTAGAAGATTCATCAGAGACCGAACTCTGACTTGAGAGTAAGCCCGGACGGAAGTACTCTCGACCTTGCTGCACTGAGGGAGGAGTCCCGCTCCGCGACGAGGGCATTGGCGGTCGTTGTATCGTCCCTCCGGAACTACTGGGTTGCAATGTCCCGCCGCCAATAAATGGTGAAGATGCGGAAGAGCCGATCGAGCCACCGCGGAAATGACCAGACGCCTGCGCTGTGCCTTCTGGGTTGGCTTCCACAGATTTTGTAGAGATGATGCTTCCGCTGGATTCCTGCTCCAGCTTGGGCCTCTTTGCCTCCGACGACTGCCCATGCCTGGCTTTAAACTCGGCTAGGTAAGCCATATAGTCCTTGTACTCCTCGGTCTTGCGATATGCCGACAGCTGGACGTTGTATTTCTCTTTGGCGGCGCTTGCCTGGGCCTCGAAAGGCTCTTTGCCAGCAGGATCCAATTTTTGCCATCGGTCACCGACGAGTTTGGCTATTTGCGTAAAGGAAAGGTTTTGGTCTTTGACCTCCTCCCTCACTTTGTTCGAAAAGATCACATAGGCAGAAGGAGGACGTTCGGGGGCATTCTCGTCCGATTTAGGATGACGCCTGTACTTTCGCTTTGTCTCAGGAGGAGGGACAGACGGCCGTTCAGGACCCAGTGAAGGACCCGCGCCAGCGTCAAACCCTCTGCTACTTTCTGAGGGTCCTTCCTGGGCAGGAGAGCCAAAAAGGCGTTCGTACGAGACCCCTCGATATTCAGCGATTGCCCGCTGAAGCTTCTTTACCAAACCAGTCAGCGAACTTTTTCGCAAAGACAAAGGTCACCCACACACTCACCCTGCGATGCCCGAGTTTGACATTAAGAGCGTCGCTAACGCAGAGTAAGTATACCAATTCGCCCTGATATGTATGCTTGACAAACTCACAAGTCACTCTCTTGAATATCTGTCAAAGTCTCCCAGGTGTCGAATCCTTCGCCGATGAAAGCGTCGAGGTACTGCTCAAGGCCAAGGCGCTCGAGATGGGGTGCGAGATCGGTCATTCAAGCACAGGTAGTAGTTCATTGACACCAAGGTTTGTTGCAAAGTCGAGGCGAGCGGGTGCTCAACCGACGAGACAGTCAATCGGGGCGATAAGCCTCACAAGCTGTACGATGAATCGCGGTACACGCTGACTCGTTTCTCATGTGGAATTCCGCAGGAGCGAACGCAGATCTCAACCGTAGAGGGAGTGGTAACCCGCTCAAACAGGCTTCGGGTGGTACGTCTCAATGGTCGGATGAGTTTAGAATGAATGTCTTGAGTCAGATTTCCGACCATAAATAGATTGAATATATGAGCTTTTGATATCGTGTCGCAGCGGTGGTGTTTGTGCGCAGCTTGGTGTTTCAATGCAGAGCTCAAGAATCTCTCAAGGAGGGACAGCTTCTTCTCAGGCCTGGTCGACTTTGGGGGTGAGGGTCGATGACCGAGACAGTGATGCCAACGAACAGGGTCAATGTCATTCAGGGTCTTGAGTGATCAGCCTCAAATACCACACAGTCTCTGGTGGCATGTAGTGGGGTTGAGGCACCGAGAGATGGACGATTGCTAGACCCTTGTGACGGGTAACCGGGCTGTAAGGCTTCAATTCGGATCGGGCTCGGACTTGCCAGGAGCTCAAAATGGATATCTAGATCTTCGACCGGGAAAAATGTGTTTCCGATGGCGGCAAGGTGGCACACCACGCGTCTCCCAAGATGGCTTTTTGCTGAGACAGGAGGCGATGAACCGAGCGACCGAAATAGACTCACGAGAGAGGAAACCCCCGCCAATACCGATGAATATGATCTGACAAAGAAAAACGAGGCGACTGGCGCCAGTATACGGATAGAAAGGAGAATAGGTGGGTAGAGGCCCGGCAAATCACTCTATAGGCTGTACATCGATCTGGATAAGGAGTGATGTGTGGTGAAAAGAAGCCAAGTAAAAATTTCGCTGTGTGTGAGGCCGTGGAGCAAGGGAGAATCAGATGATGCAACGAGGGAAGCGTCCGCGTGCTGTGCCGCCATTCGCCGACTAGCGACGCAACAACAAGGACACCAAAGGGTAAAAAGAGCCGTGGTGGGAAGGGCACGATATTGGGGGAGCTGCTTCGTGGTAAGGTTCGCGCACGCTCGCAGCCTCTTTCCCTTTAGCTCCGTCCCCGTAACCGAGCTGCCAAAGCTCTCCAGAGGGGAGGGGGGTGGGTGTTTGAAGGGTGGTGCTTTGGCTTTAGTTTGTAGCCTCTTGTCCCGCCCACTCCCCGCCAACCAACAGCAGCTCGAATGAGCTCGTGGTGTGGGGAGGCATTCGTTTACACGCACCATTGGTACCTTGCGTGGACCACCGAATGGAAATGCGTGATGACAACATCTGTTCTTCCCTCCGGTTGGAGACGATGCGTCGGCGGCCTCGTTGAGGGCGGCTGGTTCAAGGGCGATCGACGGGAAAGCAGATACCAGATGCCTATCACTATATAGACAAAACATATATATCAAGATCGGGGTTCTTCTATTGAAGGACAGGTGGTTTCTTCCAGCACACTGCATCATTCGGTGCAAGGCATTAGGACTTCAATTGCACCGTTTGAGTTGACTCCTTCGATCGCAGTGAATTCCTGAAGGAGTTGCTCTCGACACACCGCCTCAAAATGGGTCAAGGGTCTTTGCATGGTTCGAAAAGCCCTTGCTCTGGAGCAAAGCGCAGCTAGGGTCAACAGTCTCGATGGTGTACAAGGCTCCTTGTCAATGCTGAGTCGGCTCCCCCAGGCCACAAGCTTGCGAACATGGCGCCGATAAGGTCTACTGAAGATCGACAACCTGCACGGAAGCGGAGGCCTGGTGAACGTGACAGGAATGCAGCCGGTCGATCTGGCGTTCAGTTAAAGTTGGTTGTTGAGGGCAGGAGCTAGGTAGGACTTCAGCTTCAACGATGCCATGACAGGGTCACGAAAAGAATCCACGGAAGTACGAGCAGATGCAACCCAGATGTGGATGCAGGTTCACGCATCCGTTGTCCAAGAAGTCCGATTGTAGTTGAAAAGTGCGATCTGGATACCCAGAGCCCCCATCGACGAGAACAGGGGGGGGAGGTGTCAGTTTGGTGAGATGCTCGGGCAAATGCTCGATTCGCAGCGACAGTCTTGGTTGACCTAAACCTAGCTTGGATCTGATCCAAAGCTCCGGCGTACCCTGGCCTCCACGTCTAAATTCTGTGTGGCGAAAATCCTGAACGTTTTGCATCCGGATTTGCAACGGCGGATTGGTGCTGAACACAAGATTGAATTCCTGTTTTGATGCGTCTTGGATCTGAGAAATGACTGGCCCGCGGTCCCCTAGAGCCGCCCTTCGTCTGATTCTTGCGGCTGAGGGGTAGCGGCTGCCATGCGCCTAGCCGGAAACTTGTTAATGACGAGATTCAGTAATGATCGCTCGGATATCCGGTGCCGAAAACGACTTACACCGACTAGGCTCGCAGGAAGTATCCTCGTACCCTCGAGACAAGTACCAAACAAGCGCTGGATCACCCACCCACCCAATTTCCCGATGGTACTGCCTCCGGAATTCGAGACCTGCTGTGTCCTTTATTCCATGATTGATGCTGATTTTCAAACAGAGACCAAACGCCGGGACTCGGCAGGCGTCAATAAGCGCGGCATCATTTAAGTTTGGAGCCGACATTGGTTTGACGGAACATACCGTCGAGGACTCTGGGCCTGGGATTGAGAATCCTTTTTGACGTACCGTAACGAATCAGGGTCTTTGGAGTGAATAATATAAATTTTTTCGGCAAATACGAAACATGAGATAATGGGAAACTCTGGTTCATTCCAAGCGTATTGGTTGCTTGTGGCTTTTGATGGGTTCATTTGCAGTAGATCAACGTCTAAATGGGCTACGTCTCCCATGACAAACCCCTTGAGGGTCCGCTCGGAGGGGGACCTCGAAAAAGAACCTGCTTCAATGGGACCTGCTTCTCTCGAGCGTGGATAGACTTCAAGTAGGGTGGAGGCAAGCTAGTATATACGTAGGTAGGTAGATAGGTCGTGCAGCGAGGGGTGATCTTGCGGCCCAAGGGCTTCACTGGTCTAGAACATGCACCTGAAGTAACTCTGGTGAGGTTGTTGGATAAGAATCCTCTCGGTACCGACCTCCGCAGACTAAATACCTAGGTAACTGCAGCAAAAGCAAAGTCAGTAACTCTGTATGTATGCACCGAGTAAGTGCTCCTAGTCAGAGCTGAGGAAATAGATGCGTGGGGCCGAGTGGGTAACGCTCTTGGCAGCGTCATGTTCGTCGCGTGCTTAACACATGCCATTAACCCGATGCGGCCTCGCCGGGCGTTATCGATAACAGCCTGCGCCGCCGTACACCTTCACCACCATCCCTTAGTTGCTTGGCCCGCTTTTCCTTCGCTTCGGGAAACTCATTTCTTCCTCTCCACGCCCGCCGGACGCACAACTGCTTCCATCGTCATCTACTCTCTTCCATGGCTCCTCCCCCTGAGCTCCAACCACCCCGCCCTCTCTGAGTCCTTTCGGAAACAATACGAGCTGCACCTCAAGCGAACCGCTTGACCCTTGCGCCCACAACCTCACTCTGCAGTGGCTCACCAGGCGCCGGGGCTCTCACCGACATCCGGATTCTTTTCGAAGTGCTCCCCAGTAGCACCCTCTGACCTTTGGCACGCTTACCTTCAAAAAGCCCCGGTCTATCCGAGATGGCACAACGGAAGTCTAACTCCCACAAAGTGGAGGAACAGGCCCAACCAGGCAATGGCCCGAACATTGACAGCCCTCAGCAGTTGAATTCTGAGATGGCAAAGGTATGAGGACCGGCGGCTGTCGAGCCTGGTGCGATTTCCGGTCAATTCCGCTGACGTTTCGTCCACCTCTGTTGGAGAAAAGGCATTCCAAGAACTTGCACAGTGGGCATACTCTGAAACAGCCCACATCAAAGGCGCCCGTTGACAGTTGTGCAGGGCGGAGACAACGGCTTCAGCTCTTGAGGCCAAGCTCGACGGCATCCACAAACATCTCGATCAGCTCCTGGCCAGCTTTGAGGAGCTTCCTCAGTCCAATCCGCAGAATCCCTCATCAAGCTCGTCCGAGTCCAAGTAGCGTTTAGCCCGCCTGGGTCTCATTGTCAGACACGTGGGCCTATCCCAACGTTCACATGTCCAGACGCCTGGGAGCCAATCGCGAACTGCGGTGAAGCCCGGGTCAACGCCCATCAACGCCAATGCAGGTCGCTTCTATACCTCCATTCGGATTTTCTGCTCATTATCGTGATCCTCGACGAAGGTTGCTCCAAACCTCAGCCCAAGAATCGTGTATATCCCACCAGGTCCTGCTGACTCAGGGTTGAGGAAAAATGGGACCGAAATTGAACTTCCCATCAACCTTCTCGACGACTCCGACCTCGGTGATGACTCCATCGATGAGCTCTGCCGGGGTCACATCAAAAGCAGGATTCCATACATCAATTCCAACTGCAGCGGTGCTCACCATCTCGGACCCCTCGTCCAGAAGTAACTTTCCGTCCGCTTTAACTCTGGGGCCCTTGATCCTCGTCACCTCTTCCGGTGCTCTTTCCTCGATGACAATGTCCTTGCCCGAAGCCGTGTCTCGGTCGATAGTTGTCCGAGGGGCGGCAACCAAAAATTTCACCCCATGATGGCGGGCAAGGACAGCAAGAGAATGCGTTCCGATTTTGTTGGCCGTGTCACCATTTGCCGCAACTCGGTCGGCTCCAACCACGATGGCCGCCAGGCGATCTCCTTCCCTTGCCATCAGAGCACAAGCCATCGAGTCCGTTATGAGTGTGGCGGGGATCTCGTCGTGGACAAGTTCATAGGCGGTCAACCGGGACCCTTGGTTGTACGGCCGAGTCTCCGAGCAGTACGCCCGGGTGAGCATGTCGGCGGCCCTCAAAGACCTGATGACACCAAGCGCAGTGCCATACCCTGCAGTTGCCAGAGACCTGTACCGACGTCAGCTCCCCTGAAATCTGTCTTGCACGGTTGTGTTCCTGCCCTTACCCAGTGTTGCAATGTGTCAGGATTGCAATGTCCTGACCTTTATCTGCTTTTCTTTTCCTCCCCGCCACGGTGTTCTCCTCGATCCAACGGGCTCCATGTTCCCCTATAGACTTGTTGTCCGAGACATCGTCCACCAGCATCCGTTCGGCGGCAACAATATAGGCTTGAGCAACTGACTCGGCAGACGCCCCAGGCTGCAATGTGGCCTTCTTGGCCACGATCTTGAGCTTGCCGACTGCATCTCCCAGATTGACCGCCGTCGGCCTGCTCGTCTTGAGATAATCCAACCGCTGACCTATGCTATCCTTCACCTCTTCAGGAGCTGCAGGAAGCTTCCCTGTTTTGACTTCGCCTCCCACCTCGACAGCAAGAGCCAGAGCCGCCACAATGGCAATTGCTGGCGCCCCACGAACTTTCATCTGTTTGATTGCAGCATGGGCCTCTTCGCAGTTTCTGATCGGAACATAAGCCGTTCGGTGCGGCAGGACGAGCTGGTCGAGAATTTGCAAGGATGGGGATGAGTCGGCCGAAGCGGGTTCATACTGGATAGCTTGCAGCACCATGACTGAGCGCAGATTAGAAAAGCGAGTGATGATTTGGGAATCAAGACCGTCACAAAGGAAGGCTCGTTGTTGTTATTTATCTCTACTAGTATTGGGATTGTTTTCATCTCTTTGCCGCCACCCAACTTTTTTTTCAACTCGCGCCATTGCCATTGCGGGGTCGAGACGATTGTTACCCCTCGTCCGCGTTTAGCCCACGTGCCTCTGCCACTGGCAATTGTCCGGAAGTTTTCGACAAGGAACGGTTCCTTTCGGCATTGACATCTGCCTTTCCTCACGACATTCAAGCATGAAAGGGTCAGAAATTGCTGAGCCTGCCCAGAGTGGCTTCGCTCCAGCTGCTGCCTATGATGCTCATCGACCATCCTATCCCGAAGATGCAGTCCAACGCCTCCTCGAAGCCTGTGAAGTTGCGGGTGTCAAAGGTGCAAAGATTGCAGATCTCGCAGCCGGCACGGGGAAATTCACAGAGATTCTGGCAAGAAGACCAGAAGAGTATGATATCGTTGCCGTAGAGCCGCACGACGGCATGCGGGCGCAACTGGAGCACAAAGCTCTTCCCCATGTGCGGGTTTTGAAAGGCACGGCCGAGAACATGCCGGGCATTGCTGATGAATCTCTTGCATGTCTCATAGCATCACAGGTGAGTTCCGAGGGTGATTGACGGGGGGCGAGGTTTTCTAATCCGCCCGTAGTCGTTCCATTGGTATGTCCAAGCATTCCACAAAGTATCTTCTGATGATCTGATGGCTTCTCAAGGTTTGCCAACATGGACGCGTTGAAAGAGATTGCTCGGACCCTGCGGCCAGCAGGTGTATTTGGAATGATTTGGAACATTGATGACTGTACAGTTGGTGCCCCGCAACCAAGAAGGGCAGAAAGCTCACCAGCCATGACACAGATAATTCGCCAAAATCCTGGACAATCCATCGTGGCTGGGAGCAAGCGATGCGCGACGTGATTTGGACGTTCGAGGACGGGTCGCCACGCTTTCGACACGAGAAGTGGCGACAAGTGTTCGAGGACCAGACCGCGAGTAACCCATTGAGCCTGAGTTTCGCCAACCCACTGTTTGGGTTGCCCTTGGGTGAAGGGAGCGTCGAGTTCACGTCGTGGCTGCCGAAGGAAGATATTTGGGGTAGGCTGAGGACGTTGAGTCAGCTTGCGATATTGGAGGGTGAAGAACTGGACAAGGTGAGAAAAACATTCGACGACAGTCTGAGGTCGGAGGGGACCGAAATCAATCAAGACGGCTTGGTGGCCGTCCATGGCCGAACTGTATTCTTCTGGACGAGTAAAATCCCTGCTGAGCCGCTTAAGAGCAGTGGCTAGATTTGTGGAAACCAAACACAATATTTTCGATGATGGCTTGCTGGCGTCCCCGAATACGTTCCCAATGCTTCTTGAGGCTGTGTCTTGTGCGGTCCAGCGCACGCGATTTATCCTGTAGCTCTCTCCATGCGCATGATCACTCCCCTCCTGAGATTCTAAAGCGGTTGGGTTCCACTGACAGCCTAGAGTATCAATCCAAGAAATGGATCAAGGCACCACCGTCTCAGGTCCTGTGATCATCCGGGGCACTCTTTTTTCGGGGGTTGTCAACCGTGCACATCAAATGGGCGTGTGTGTGACTGTTCCCTCTTCTCCTAATCTGGCGCGCTGAGGCAGTTGATGGATCGTTCAGCAAACCAGTTCCGTATCCCATCAGTCGCTGGAAATATAGAGCACTGCATCATCACACCACCGCGTCAGTAAAATCCTCTTGAAAGACCTCTTCTTGACGGCTCCTCCCTTGGCCCACAACCTTCCATCTTCATTTACAGTTTCTCTCGCCGGAAGAACCATTGCCTTCCTTTCCCTTCCCCCCTTCTGAACCGGCATGAAGTAGTGAGCAGCGAGTAGAAGAAAACGTACCGTTGTTCCCTCTGACAAAGGCGTCGCCATACTTGCGTCGCATTTTCCCGTCCACGTATTCACTGCACTTCTCCAGCGCGATATTCATGTACCCGTCCACACTCTGCAATTCGCCCTTGTAAACCACCCCCGAGTTGAGCTTGACGGTAACGGGGACGCCGATAATCGAGGACAGGAACGAGGCTGGGTCTTTGGGGTCCGAATTGGACGGTGCGCCGGTGGGCGAGTTGTGGTTTTCCATCTTCTACAGGGATCGAAGGTGGTTGAACGAGAGGAGGGTGGGAGAGAAAGAGAGACAAGGGTGGTGGTAGAGATGGCTGCACTGCGCGTAAAAGCTTAGGAGGAGCTGTGTCCGAGTGTCTGCGCAAAAAGGGTCAAGGGAATCAATAGTGAGTTGGTGGGCGAGAAATTCGATTTGATCTGCGCGGTTGAGCCTTGCAGGGCGCCAGACGAGGAGGAGCGGAAGAGCTCACAACATACCGAATTCCTTGGCGCAATGGAAGTGTCACTCACGACACAGAGTACTCGGTACTAGTATTACATTTGATCGTCTTCCATTTACCTATCCACTCATATCCAGACGCCTTTGAATCTGTGGTCGAGGATATTGTCACAGCGAGACACTCAAAATGTGTCCCTACTGTAAAAAGTCGTTAAAAATGACGGTCCTTATACAAAAGCCGCCGTCTTCCTCACTGTTCATCACCTGCAGTTACCCCCAGGTAGGGATCGAGAATAACACCCCGTACATTGTGTCATATCAGCATCTGCATCACTCCTTACGGCGGTTTCTGGCCATAGACAACGTATCTGCAGCGGCCTGGTTAGTCACTGTACTCGGTCGACAAGCATATCACTCACATTGGGAAGTAGCTGTGAATCCTCTTGCTCCTCCATTCCTGGCGCACCTGAACCAGGAGTGCTTCCAACTCCTCGACGGACCAGCCAAGGAGCTGAGTATACACTCTGACACTCAACCCAAACACGCCGTCCAACAGGCCGACAAGTGTACATAGTCCTGATTGTCGCAGCATCGGATCTTTGGCCCAGGGTCCAATTGGCATTTTAAATGGTAAGATTTGGATGTTGATGAAGCCTACTTCTCGCATCTGTTCCGCCATCTTATCTGGGTAGCATCGACCGGTCATGCCACCTCTTTGGACACCTTCTTCCCACAGACTTTGCCACTTCATCACAGCACTGTTTGCGGGGATGGTGTTGTCGTCGGAACGGATATCCAGATCGAATTCCTGGCACTCCACCCATCCACCAGGCTTCAAGGACGCAAACGCTTGTTCGAAGAATTTGGGCCAGTTCCTGATCGAGAAACCATTCATCTCGCGGCTGTGCACCAGATCAAACCGGCCAGGCATGTCCCATGGCTCCTCCAGATCAAACACCTGGAACTCGAGGTTTGGAGCCACCCAGGTGGGCTGGATGGGTGACAAGTCTATGCCCAGTACTTGCGCTCCCGGATATGCGTCTGCCACGTCCATGGCCCAGATACCAGTGCCTGTCCCCACGTCAAAGACTGAGGTCGGGTGCTCTATCGGGGCATAGAAGAGTTTATCTCTCATAGCGTAGCGAAGGCTGTGGTAGTGGACTGGCCCGAAGTGTCAATGAGGATCAATCGACTGGGTCGTCTCTCTGGAGGACTTACTGTCCATGCGCTCTCTTTCAGCCTCATCGTTGGGAAGGACGAACTTTTTGTCAGCCTTGTACGAGTGGTAAGTCCTGCCATTTTCCTGCTCAAATGCGTAGATACTGGAAGTCACCGAAGCCGTCGACAAGGTGCCTTCTTCGTATCCTGAGTCGGTGTCACTGAACGATTGCTCGATCGATTCTATTGGCAGGGCAGTAGGCACCGTAGCCGTTGCTCCCGATTCTGGGGGTGTCTGTCCACTTCCCGGATTGTTGTTGGAGGCTGACATGGTGGACTATGTATTCAGGCCATCCACCAAGGAAACATGGTCGACTAGGACGGGTATAGCAAAGACGAAACCCTCAGCACGACCCCAGCAGATGATCGATCGCCTTGACCTTCAAGTTCCTGACATTTCTGGAAAATCAATTACTTCTTTCCAAGCTCTGTATGACGAAGCATCAGGATTTAAAGCGCCGTCATCTTTTTTGCCAAGTTGCCCACACCCATCGGCTTCGACGCATCCCCCCATCGGTCCGTCTTCAGCAACAGCAGTAGCAGTGGGGGTGCTTGGTCAAGTCCCTTCCACCCGCTATCGGTCTGATTGGCAACTCTTGTCTACCTAGGGATGAGTCGAAAGCGAAAAAGTCACTTAGAGAGTGACGGGATTTAGGGAACTTGGTGCGGCGCCGCCGAAGCTCCCCGACTAAGTTCCTCTAGGCCTCGGTAAGGGCCCTAGGAACACCAGTAGCGCCCGAAGAGGAACGGCGTGGCATTTCTATCCCCTCCTCTCCCACGCATGAGCAGGCTAGGTGGGCAGACGGAGATGCTACAAGTATGTATCTCGCATCTACAGGCCTGAAATTGGCCTTACCTACTCATGGCTCGACTCACCGGTTTGTTTCTCTTCAGTTGGATCGGCTGGTGTCAAAATGATCAAATAGGTCGGATGCGCACCAGCTGAAGTGGCCCTGGTGGCCCCTCATCCTGAACGATCTCTAAATGACGGGCCCAGGGGGACTAGCAAGATCCTCTAGGAAACTTGGTGGACAGAGGCGAATCACCAGGCCCCCAATGGTGCGTAAATGTAGCCGAGTGCTGCAAAAGCTGCTCTAGGCCACCATCTTTCAACCTCCTATCGATCAAGGACAACGCCCTAAGCCGCCCACTTCTGCAGCGGCACTGAAATGGCGATCGACGGCACCCGTTCGCAGAAACGAGTGGCTACCAGGATGAACCTTGCTGCTCAAGCTTGTGCACCATTCCTCCTTGTGCATCGACCTTACTTTTGAACGAGCTCTGCATCGATTTACGTGGTCACTATCGACTGGTCTATAACAGGTTCTGTGTCCGTGCTTCATTCTAGTTGTTGACAAACTCCATCGGTGCTCCCCACGATTTATCTTTCAAGCCCGGTTTGTTGACAGCGGGAGCACTCGCCATGTTGAGCTCATCGGCAGTCCAGAGCTCGGTGGCTCTAACACTCGTTGTCGTTGGTTGTTTGCTCAGCTATCTCGCGGGGGTATATCGCACTTATAAAAAGCTTAGTCACTTCAAAGGTCCCCCTCTGGCTGCCTTCACCAGCTTGTGGCTCGCTTCGCAGGCGATCAATGCGCGCATGCCCACGGCCCAAAAAGAGGCGCTGAAGAAATATGGTGAGAATCACCACAGTTGACATGAACCAGCAGGGAGGTCGGGACTAACCTGCATCCCGCAGGATCACCGGCACGGATAGGTCCCAGCTTGCTGGTCACCGATGACCCTGACCTTCTCAGACATATGAGCGCTCCTAGGTCCAAATGGACGCGAAGTTCGTGGTACGACGGCATGAAGCTGGATCCCAGAGTAAACAACATCTTCTCTGAGCGCGATGAACGACGGCACGCGGAGATGAGATCGAAAATGATCGGGGCAGTAAGTCCATCGGAGCTAGACGCATACCGCTGGACCCTTGAATGCCGGGTTCTTTTTTGGCTGACCGGTCAAGTATTCTGGGAAAGAGGTCGACACGCTGGAATCCGATATCGACGAGAACCTACAGAGATTGCTGGCTCTGATCAAGCGAGAGTACAACGGCAAGCCCCTGGACATGTCACTTCTGGCGTCGTTTTTCACCCTCGATGTGCTGAGCCAAATCGCATTTGGGGATGCCTTTGGCTTCATCGCAGCCAATGAAGACCTCTACAATTTCAACAAGATTGCAAACCAATTCTTCAAGGTTATAGAATTGATCGTCAACCATGACACCCTCCGCAGATTCATTCAAAGCAGGCCGATGCAGAAACTCTTGGCCCCTAAAGGCACAGACGAATTTGGTCAAGGCCGCGTTATTGGCATCGCGCAAAAAGCAGTCGCGGAACGCTATCGCCCAGATGCCAAGGTGAAAAGAGATATGCTTGGACACTTTATCGCAAAGGGCCTCAGTCAGACACAGGCTGAGGCCGAGTCGCACCTACAGATCATTGCCGGCTCCGACTCGACGTCTTCTGCTCTGCGCATAACAATGATGATGTTGATCGGCAGTCCAGTGGCGTACCGAAAGCTCGTCGCCGAAATCGACAAGGCCGTTGCGGACGGCAAGATTTCCTACCCGATTGTCAGGTTTAGTGAGGCGGCCGAGCTCGAGTATTTGTCGGCTTGCATCTGGGAGGGCATCAGACTGTTCCCACCTTTGTTTGGTCTCCAGAGCAAACTCGCCCCTCCCGAGGGCGAGACGATCAATGGAGTCTTCTACCCTCCAGGCACTCAAGTGGCCTTCTGCTGCGAAGGTCTTGGGCGGAGAACAGACATCTTCGGAGCGGACGCAGATCTGTATCGGCCCGATAGATGGTTGCACCCTGATCCGGAAGTCAGGGCGAAGTACTTGAGGACGGCGGAGCTGATGTTTGGGAGCGGAAGATTTGCGTGCCTGGGCAAGAACATTGCCATGATGGAGTTGCACAAGGCATTTGTCGAGGTGAGTTGGCACTGCCATCAACGTGTCTGGGCTTGCTTTGCTCTAACCAGTTTGCATTCTAGCTTCTTCGCAACTTCGACTGGGCCCTCGTGGACCCAATCAAGGGCGCTACGACCATCGCCCACGGTATCTGGGTGCAGGAGAATATGATGCTGGTTGCATCACCCCGGCAGGTTTGATTATATGGGGGTGGGTAATGCAGTGCGATTTGTGGTGAAGCTTTGGTAGACGTCACACGCTGCGGGTGCCTGGTACCGTGCACGGACACGTGCAAAGAATATGTTTTGTGAAGATGAGGGGACTAAAGGGGGGAAAAGGTCATACTTATTTAATGATTGCATGCATACCCTGCCTCGATCGACCGAACTGGTCAACTAACTAGGGAAAGAAGAGAGAAAGAGAGTAAACAAACGGTGCGCTGCTGGTTCGCGTTACAGGGAAACCGACCGCGCGAAGTGCTGACCCGCTGGATTCGCCCGGTCTAATATGCGATGCCGACGCCTTCGCCTTCATCTTCAGGGTAGTGTTCATACTCCCCCTCCTCGTCTGGGGGATAGTCTAGTTCGCCATGCCAATCATCATCTTGATCCTCTTCCTCTTCCTCTCCCTCTTCCCACTCCTCACTATCTTCATCTCCATGCCCGGCGGCCTGCGCGTGGGCGTCTTGGTCTGTAGCTCCATGTTCATGCTCAGCGGCGAGGCTTGCGTGGTCGTCCAGAGCAGCTTGGGCGTCTTGGACCGTAGCGTGGCGCTGGCGGGTGACGCCCTGCATCCGCGGTGCCGCCTGGCCGAGGACGGCATTCGGCTCGTTTTCCTCATAGTCTGGAATTTCTTGACCGGGATGAGCTGCTGGTTGTTGCTGTTGGCCTGGCGTGGCTGTATCTGATGGTTCGGGATGACCTGGCTGGGCGTCCTGGGCCGGAGGGTGGAGCTGGCGGGTTACGCCCTGCCTCCGTGGTGCCGTCTGGCCGAGGACCGCATTCGCTGGGATGCTCGGATGTGTACTGGGAGCAGCTGATTGCTGGGATGGCTTTTTCTTCCTCAAGAAGGACATGCTGGCTCGCTGCGCTGCTGGGTAGATAGAAGGGCTGAGGAAAGGAAGAAACCCAAGTGAATGGCGGTCCGGAGAGTTAGCACGGACAAAGAACAAGATCCAAATGAATCGAACCAGAGAGGAATATGCCGAGTGAAGAGATCTGACGAAAAGGAAAAGCTCAGAGAGTTTGAGAAGGCCATCCCCCTTGCCATTCTTTATAGATTCAGGTGCTTGTATTCCCCCAGACGTACACTGTTGCTGCGCCTCTCTTCGTAGATGCGTGAGGGGAAGGTCGTTACACGCAATATCTCCTTGAGAACCACAGCTGTAATCATTCCATAGCTGCATCATTTCTGGATGCTTACTTAAAAAGCTTTGTGGCTCTGGCGGCTCGTAAACAAGAAAAGAAAGGAGCTGACCACATCCCCTCCAGCCGTGCTGTGAGTGTAGCAATCGGAAACTCCCGACTCAAGCCATCCCGCCTAGCAGGGAATGCGCCTAAGCGTATTAATAGAGGTCCCCCCAATGTTTGGACAAATCTGGCCCCGTTTGGCTGTCCCCAATGGATGATGCTTCAGTCTCACTCAATAGCATTGCGCCAGAGGCCTCAGATGAAAAAGGCAAAGGGTATCCCGTTACCCGCCTTAGTCAGGCTCTATCGCAATGCTACCCGCTTTTTAGACAGAAGGCGGCTAGTATACTTAGATAAGGTAGGTTCTGACATGCGTACTTGGATATTTTTGTCTGAAGTAAAAGTTAAGCATTGAACAAGATGGTGGGAAAGATGGGGGATGGAGAAGATGATGGTGGTGAGGAGTAGCAACCTTGGACCTCAGCCTCGTCCTCCTTTCGCCTGTCAAATTGAAGTTGGTGAGCAGGGCGTCGGGTCTTGGCGCCGAGCAGTTTATGTACTCAGTTTAGGTACTCAAAGCAATGACCAGTTGTCCAGATACATACGTGGTAATTAATTTTGTGATCGAAGGTGGTCAGGCAAAATACGCGTCGTTTCTCGTGGACCATGCTTTTCTTAGCTGTCAGGATGAGCTGAATCCGTGGGAAACGCGTCCCAGGGGTCGGTACATGCTCGCAATCCCTTCCCTCGGTTTCCACTTCTCGAGGGACCTTGACACTCAGCAACCAAAAGGCCTTAAAGAACCCCATTGATCCGCAGCATTGGGATTCCACCATGTCATCTAAACCGCTGCCCACAGACCTGCCCATTTACACCTTTCCCTCCGCACAGGATTTTGAGGCTTTCCTCGACCGTGAGCACAGAACCGCCCCCGGGTGCTATGTTAAGCTCGCGAAGAAAGCGGCGGGTGTGCCTTCCATCTCGTCTGCCGAGGCGGTCGAGGTCGCACTATGTTTTGGATGGATCGACGGCCGAGCAAATCGTTTCGATGAGAACTGGTGGTTAGTCAGATACACACCACGCCGGTCCAAAAGTATATGGTCCCGAAAGAATGTGAATGCGGTCGCGAGACTGGTCCACGAAGACAAAATGCGCCCGGCAGGCATTGCCGCGGTCGATGCTGCCAAAGCGGATGGCCGTTGGGCTCGTGCTTACGACGGCCCAGCGACTATAGCTTTGTCGGACGATCTCGCTGCTGCTCTTGCTGCCGTGCCTGTGGCGTCCTCGTTCTTCGAAGGTCTGAGCAAGTCAGAGCGATATGCGGTGCTCTGGCGCGTACAGACAGCTTCACCTTCAAATCGGGTCAAGCGGATCGAAGCAATCGTCCAGATGCTGGCGAGTGGGAATGTGCCCGGTAGAACGGCAAAGCCCCAAACGCAGCCCAAGAACAAACAATCCGTCAAGAAGACGGTCAAGAAGAAGTCCACGGCGAGGCAAAAAGTGGCCATGGAAGATCTACCAATCGCGCAGTCTCTACCAACGACCAAGCCTAGACAGCCTCGACGTTCTGGGCTACGGCCACGAAGTTGAATCTCCAGCCTATTCCTTCAAGACATGATATCCTGACGAGACTATTACCTCCGCCCGCTCAGCAGTGGCGAGTTGAACCTTCGATGGCCTCTTTGTTTATCAATGACCTCTTGGTGGTAAAATTCAACCCCCAACCTACCACAACTCTCCGGTGAGTCGTCAACATGCCCCCTCGAAGCTCAACACCTGCCTCTAAGCAGTACTATCCTCTAACCTGTGTCCATTCTGGAAATTCCAGGTCTTCTCTCTTTATCGACATCATATTCCGATCGTCGATGTATTCCCTCAACGGGAGCTTCTCAAACTGGCTTCTGTTCCCAATGTATATGCCCCTTTTCTGGATCAAGCGTGCATATTCCATGGTCCTTCGCACAAACTCAGCGTGATCGCCGGTCTCAAGGTACTCGACCAGCATGAGGACGTCGAACGCAGCTTGACTCGTGCTAGCGACAGTGTGCGGCCTAAACCCGGCGAGTGCATCCCCAATAAGCACAACTTTGCCGCCGTAGAAGTCATTGGTTGGAGTGATCACATCAGTAATACACTGCACAAATGGGTTCTTCGTCTTCTGGACCATCTCGGACATCTGTGGAGGTAGACGATCTCGACCACGTTGTTTGACCATTTCCCACGCCTCGGGTCGCATCATCCCGGGCGGGATGGTAAGTCGCCTCCTCTTACCATCCTTATCGGTCATCACCTTTTCGAGCTCCTCCTCGCCTTCAGGAAAGTTCGTGTACCAGACAAAATTCAGCAGTCGATTCCCTGGCTCTATTGCCCCGTTGATCCCGGGGATGGTGTATGTCAGATTTTGGATTCCCGGAGCATGGAAGAAGGTGAACCTCTCCACAAACGCCTTCCTGGCTTCCTCAGACGCTTCATTCTCAGGTACCGTGCCTCTTATCACGCAATAGCCCGCATATTTTCTCTCGACTTCCGGGCATAGGATCTTCCGGACGGTCGAGCTCGGCCCATCCGCGCCGACAAGCATATCTCCCACGACCGACTCTTTTCCGCCATCAGCCTTGTCATAAAACACCCTTATTTGATCACCTTCGTCCTGGAAACTCGTCACCGTACAGCCATATCTATAATCGATCTTCCCGTCGCCAGGCTGGGGCCCGGGCACATTGCAGTACCCACTTTCTTGGTGGTCATAATTGGCGCGGAGCATGTAATAGCACAAGTCCCAGCTTGTCATGGTCTGCTTCATGACTTCCTCATGGACAACCTTGCCCGACTGGTCGAGGTACATTCGCTTCTGAGACGTTACAGCGACGGGCCGCTTGCAGCGGTCATACCGCTCGAAAAAGGCCATGGTATCGCCGCCGGCGACAAGACCGGCGCCTTGATTTTCTAGCAGATTGGTCGGGTTGCGTTCGAGGATCGTCGTGTCGTAACCATGCTGCTTGAGCGCCACGCCCGTGAAGAGTCCGCCAAGGGAACCGCCTACAATGATGATGTGTTTGGGTCTGCGGGCCGCGGGGCCCGGCGTGCCATTGGGCTGTGACCCTGCCATTGGGTTCGTTGTCCACTGGCAAAGCTTCGAAGTGTGTCGTAAGAGAAGCGGGCATCAGAATATATGTAAATATAGTGGGACCATCGAAATCAGAGAAGCTTACGCCTCCAGGCACTCCACGGAGGCTTCCCGTTGGAGAGAGCCATATTATCCTCTGGGAAGATTGGGCACACTGGTGGAGGAGACGCAGCCGACTTGGGGAAAGAGCAGGTATGATTGGGGTTTGATTAACACGATCAGTGCTTCCCCAGAAAAGACTCTCGGTGGAATGGCATTCAACCGATAAACCCCGCAAACGTCATTCCTCACAGATGCCCAAATTCAGCCTTGGGGAGGCTTGGTATGAACCTTGACGAACTTGAACCGCGTCCGAAGTAGACAAAGATATGGAGAGCTGCTCCCGTCTCGCTTCGGAACATGCCTGCGAAGGCGGACTACAGCGACTCATTTTTTAGGTGATTGACCGGGGCTTATGAGACAAAAGCCGCAAAGTCGCGCCCTGACTCAGCAGCCGCCTGGCACAAGAGGAGAGATTCGAAGTTACAGAGGATGACCTTTGCTAATGGCTACGAAGTAGATGTCAGTGATGTCGTTGAGTTGGTGATGGACCTCGCTCTGGAGACATCCGCAAGCATGATCGTATGAGGAACTCGAGAGCTAGGGGCATGCCTGAGGGCCGCCGCGCACCTGTCCATCTTTTTCACCATTCGTACGAAATCGGTTGAAGAGACATGCCTACCTTTGAAACAAGCGAACTCGCCTATAGCCCAACGAGGAATAAAATGCCAATGTCAAAGTGTCTCGCTTCGACACTGCTGGTGACTGGCGAGAAGGCTTTCATGAAGCTAAAGAGGCATATATGAACGAGGAAGTTGGAGTGTACAAGCACATTGACAACTCGTGGCGTGGATGATGAGTACTTCCACCAACATGTAGAAGACCCGGAATGAGCCAGAGAATTGCTCTTTGTGTCGTACGCTTACTCGACCACCAGCCGACTCGAAAAGTAGAAGAAGACGAGCTGGCAAGGTCCCCTACTAGGCTGGTGTGAACCCGGAGATCCTCCCCCTCAGATCGAAGCTGGTTTGCAAATTTCAGCATCATCCGCGTTGTCTCCTTCCTGCCGGCAACAGAGGATCTGCGGTATGGTTCGCATTCGAGCTGGCTATTCTCCTTCCTTTGAGACAGCGCGGGCTATGGGTGTGAAGCACCAGCGAGGCTGGGCTTTGCCTGATACAGTTAAGCTTCCGAGCGTTTACTGTTACCTACCAGGCAAGGCTGCCCCGCGACCCCAAAGTGCGCCTAACCTGCATCGAGTATCTTAGTTTTCCCACCGTCGCGTTCGCGCGAAGAGACGAGCATAACGGTGTTCTCGCTGGATCTCTCCTCCTCCTCCCATTCCCCCCATACCTCCTCCCCCTGACCATGGCTAGTGGCGGCGTGAAACGACCCCTATTCAGCAAATCGGCGTGGATTGCACCCACGGCTGTGACCCCGGACAGCGGGTCAATCTTCGGCCGCAATGTCAAGTACGAGGACATTGTCCGCGCGGAAAGAGCCGAGCGCGAGAAGAAAGCCGCAAAGGCCAAAGCCCGTGGCGCTGGCAAGGAACGAAGTGAGGGTTCAGACACGAAGAGACGGAGGATATCAACAGAAGAAGAGCAGGACATTGAGAGCGGCTCGGCCAGTGAGGTGGAACACAACAATAGGAACAAAAAGAAAGAGACGAAGGAGAAGGCGCGAGAAAGACCTGTGACGCGCAGCACGCCCACGAAACGAAAGACTCTGAGTGATGGGCTGGATTCATCCCCGAAAACACAGCGGTCTCCACGCCGCAAGGCAGATGTGAACAGCACAGCCATCACTCTCGATAGCGGGGACGAGGATGAGGGTGAGGACGATGATCTGATCGTGCTCACTCCCGCAAAGCCTAAAGCGAGTCTCCAAAAATCAAAAGTGGATAGTTTTCTGGATGAGAGGGACTCGGAAGAAGAGGAGGATGAATACCTACGCCTGCTGAAGCAGAAGGCCCGCGAGAAGGCTCGACTGCAGCGCCAGGGCAGCCAACCTGTCCGGACACCCAGTATACCGCCCGACAGAGGGTCTTCGGCAACCCTCGAGAACGCCGCCGATCCAAGATCACCTTCCTTCGTGCAATCACAGCATGACAGTCGGCCAGCATCGTCCAACTCTATCCAAGACTTTGGCGCCGCATCAGCCGGCAGACGCAGCACACCCAACCTCGAGCAACAAGAAAACGACCCAGAAGTCAAGATCCTAATCCAGTCCGAGATCGCCGGTACCAAATCCCTCATCGTCAAGCGGAAGGCATCGCAGTCCCTGAAACAAGTGAAGGAGTTTTGGTGCCAGAGATTCGAGCTCGAAGAGTCTGTTAGGAGGCAAGTGTTTTTCACCTGGAAAGGGACCAGACTGTTCGACTCGACGACAATGCGTGGGATCATCCGTGGATTGAAGAAGGATCATCATCATCGCCAGCGCCAACACCAGCAACGGCGGAGTTTAAGCCTGGGCATTGATGATGACGAGGGCGAGGGCGGGGATGAGGACGGTGGTGGTAATGATGATGATGGGTACGACTCTAGCAGCACCAAGGATCCGAGCGGAGGGAACGTCATGCTCGAAGCCATGACGCCGGAAATCTACGAGCAGAAACAGCGCGACAGAGAGCGTCGTCAAGAACGACAACGCTCGCAAATCGAAGACCAAGACGACGAAAATGAAGGCCCGTCAGACCAGGACGAAGAAAAAAGGGGCTCTTCCGCAAACGCCGCCACGGCGCCAGCCATTGAGGACAGAGACAAAGGCGCCATCGTGATCCGCCTGGTTTCCAAAAACCTGGAACCCATGCCCCTGCGGGTGAGGCCGCACACGAAGATCGGCAAGATCATGCGCGGGTACGCGGCGATGAGGAAAGTCGACGACTCGAAGACGCCGTGGCTGATCTTTGACGGCGAGAGGCTCGACGCCGAGAGCACGGTCGAGGAAGTCGGCTTTGAGGACGAGGATGAGGTCGAGGTTAGTATTCGATGAAGGGGGACCTCGAGAAAAGCATCGACTGTGGGGAGTGGGAGTGGCTGTTTTAGGTATACAAGGGGGAGGGAATATGATGAGAATATATATGATATGAGTGCGTCACACGGGGCGGAGTTGGAGCGCCTAGCTAAGTACCTAGGTACGCTCTTCTATGCATGCAGGTATCAAGAATAAGCCGGCAAGCCAGCAGGCCAGCGGTGTTCACAACAAGGACGAGTAAAGAGCTTTGCTTTGCAGGGTGGTTCAGTTTCACTGGTTCATTGTTCTCACTGGTCGGTACATTCGCTGCCAGGATGACTTGGTTCCCTGTCGATCAACCGGGGAGTAAGTTCTCTTTCTTTTGGTCCGTTCCTGCTCCAAGCTCAAGGCGTCGTTCCATCTGCAGTCGTTCGTTCCCGGCCTTTGCACCCTTGACCTTGACTAGCCAGGGAGCCTTGAGGGACAGTTTTCCACGATTTCAACAGCGCAGCGCCGTCAGATGCTTTTTTCTCTCTTTTGCTTGCCCACCACTCCCCAATATCATTGTTCGCTTCAAACTTGAGGGGCTGGGAAGGAAGGGAAAAAAAAGCCACCACAGTCTCCCCGCTCCAGGTTCGAATGCCTCTTGCCTCAAACCCCGTCCCCATTCAGCTCCACTCCATTCACTTTACAACTCCTCTCTCGTCTCCATTTGTCGTCGTCAAGGAGCATATTGGTGCGCAATAGTAAAACCAGGGTAGAAAGGCGGGGTTTCTCTAGTGGGCGCCGGTTCTTCTGGCCTCGGCGATGACACGCTGCAACTCGTCGACCTTTCTCTTCGCACGGCCGAATGTACCGAGCTATTCGACGACACAAGATACGTTAGTTTCTTCTGCTCTGATAACCTTCCAAGTTTGTTTTGTGGTACGGTGTCTCGGAATACGTACCCTCTTCTTGGCCAACTTCCTCGCACGCTTGTCCTTGCTGTTCCTCAACAGTTCAATCACGCGGCGCTCGTAGGGTGCCAGGCCGGCGACTTCCTTGACGATTTCGCGGACGAAGGCGGTGCGTTTGCTGAGCGCGCCCTTGCGCCGGGAGACTCGGGGCTTGGTGGTGATGGGTGTGACTTTCTAGAAAACCCGCGAAAAGTGGTCTGTTAGTTTCCTTCCTTCGTTCGGGATGAAAGGGCCGGAATTGGAGGGAGGATAAGGGGGGAAAGGGCTATGATTCTGTCCGCCCTTCCCTCAATTGGCCTCGTCCTTGTAATCCGTTTTGAAAACCACCATGTGCCACAGTTTTTCTCGATTGGAGGGGGGGCAGCTGAATGAAAGGTTCGGCGGAGAGATAACTCACATGGCCCTTGTTCAAGCCGACAATGATGCCGGACTTCTCAGTGCGTTCTTTCGCCATCTTGAACGGTCTGGAGAAATGGCGAAGGTGAAACTGAGGCGGTGGAAGTTCGTGGGTGTGCAAATTGATCTGGTGTCCTGGAGCGCAGTTGCAACTTTTCGCATCCAGAGGTGGCGGAAAGTTTGCCGAATGTGTGGGCTCCGAATTAGGAATGGCGCATTGTGGTCTTGGCATTTCGAGCTTCACGGTCCTCTCCCGAGTTTCATCCTCAAACGGTCCCAAGACCCTTTGGATCTCTATTATGTCGATTCACAAGGTCATATTGAAAGGCTGAACCCAAGATCTCTCAAAATACCCGTTGTATAGAGCTACAATTTCAACGCATGCATCACTAACTTCTTGTACCCTTCCAAGGCCTCCTCCATATCCCCCACCGTAAGGCCCTCATCCTTACCATGAGCGACCAGAATACTCCCCGGCCCATACAGATATTTCTTGACTCCATCCACGACATCCAGATTCGGCACATCCGTGCCATAGTTGACAGTGATGGTCTCAAAGCCATCCACATCTGCATCCAAGGGTACGGGCCCGTAGCCTTGCGAGAAGGACAAATCCAACAGCTCCTCCGGGTCGACTTTGCGTACCGCGTCCGTGACAATCTTGCGAACCTCTGCGACGGTTCCCCCAGCAAGCCTGAACGTCACGTCGGCCATGGCGAACTCGGGGACGACATTGGCCGCCACGCCACCTTGCATGATCCCAACGTTCACCGTAGATTTCCCGTACTTGTCGCTCCCGGGCAGTCCACCTTCTTCCTCGGGCGTGTCGCCCAATTTATCCAGAACCACAAGCGCCGGCAGGATCATGCTATTCGCACTCCTCCCCAGCCAGGGGTAGCCGCTGTGCGCCGCCTTGCCACGGGCGCGGAGCGAGAGCATCTCGATCCCCTTGTGGCCGGCGGCCAGTTTACCTTCTGTGGGTTCGCCGAAGAGGATGGCCTTGTAGTGATCGCGGGTGTGGTTGTAGATGTGCGACGAGGAAAAGTGGCGCATCCCATCGCCCCTCTTCTCCTCGCCCACCACAAACAGCAGCGCAATGTCCGAAGGGGAGACACTGGTAAAAGCCGCGGGGTCGGAGAGCAGGTCCAATGCTGTCTGGACTTGGACCGCCACGCAAGCTTTGTCGTCGACCGTGCCCCGGCCGGAAATGAGTATGTCCTTGCGCGAAAACGACGACGTCGTAGCAGCACCACCACCACCCAATTCGTCTCCCTTGCTGGGAAGAGACAGCGAGTACGGGATATGTGGTGGGACCGTGTCAATGTGCGAGGTCAGTAGTACTTTCGGCTTCGCATCCGACGCAGTAAAGCCCCCTCCATACTTCGAAACGTCCGGGTACGCATAGATATTGAATCTCTCCTTCTTCGCACTGGTGCTTGTCGATTGCGCTGCCTTTGGCGGCGGCGGGACACTCTGCGTAACCACTGTGAAATTATGCGCCTCGAGAATCGAGACGAGCAGCTTCCCCACCGCGGCTTCGTTATCGGTAATGGATTCGACTTCGCAAATGGCACGATGCAGCGACAACAAGGGCGAAGCAGCGATCACATCGGAGAGCTTTTTTCCATGTTCGAGAACGTCGTGCGGTCCGACAGCTAGATGCTGCTGCTGCTGCTGCTGTATGGCATGTTGCTGAGGTTGCGCAACTTGAAGCTTTTCATTGCGCCCCGCGGTGACGGAAGCGTGCGTGAGCAATGCAGAGACTGAGAGCAATGCCAGGGCGAAGCTTTGGACTAGCTTCATGACTACCTATCAACCACGTCGATAGCTTCAATCGTGAACACACGGGAGGCGTCGATGAGATTTCAAATGATGGGATGGGATAGTTCGAATACGGGCATGATAAAGAGCTAGGCGGATCTCCGTTTCAACAGCTCCACTACAGATCATCCAAGCGCGGATCCCCCTGTTGGGCGAAGTAATGCCAACAAGAAACCATGGAACGGCTGGATTTTGGAATATCTGTCTGCTATGGACAAGATCAAATTCGGAGCTGATACGATCTCAAGGTGAGGCTTTCTAGACTTCAGCCTTGCGCTGTTCTTACTCCGTTGGTCTGCTTGGCCTTTTTCTTTTCTCTTCGCCGCTCCCACACCATAAGATAGCCCTCCCTGGTGAAAAGCGTCTCGGATTCTGCTCGTTCGACCCAGAGGTCTTGTATCTCCAGCCACTCCGGAAGATCAGTGCGCTGGGCATACGCAACAGCCTTGTCTCGGAGTTGCACCTTCCAAGCCACTTTCTGGCCCTCCGCACCAACGGCTTTGTTCGCGGCGTCGGCGGCATTAGTGTCCTCGCCGCCAGCACTAGAAATTGAGGTTGTATCCAAAATAATGTTGGCAACCATGTCGTAAAGGATTGGCTCCCCGGGTGGGTGGATTGCCGGATTAGGTTCGACGTAGGGTGACATATCCAATCCTCGAGGAGAAGGAAATGTCACAATGGTTGGATTCCTCTCGGAAACGAATTTGTTGTGACTGAAGCGTTTGATATGAAATAAAAGGTAGGGCGGGAGCGGGTGTAGGAGTCGATGTCGGAGTCGATGAGCCGCTCTCTCCATAGCATTCAGCCCGTTGTACTTTTGTAATAGGTTGATAAGTGGAACTTGAGGGATAATATTCTTGGATTCAACCGCATCTCGAAAGAGAGGCACTGGAGGGAGATCCAGCGTCAAAATGAGGAACGGGTGCATGTCCGTCTTGATGTTGGATGACTCCTCGAACCTGAGTCGATCACCCGTCGCATCAGATTTTGCCGTGATCTCTTGTGATTCAACCCGCAATTTCCCCTGGAAACACTTGTATATGGGCGACGAGAGCGCCTTGCGTGAACCTCCTAACGTGCTGTGAAGGTTGTTGAGGAGCCAGGCGAGCAAGTCCACAGGATCCGATTGTTGTGTCAAAGTAAATCTCTTGGACGAACGCAGGGCAATCTCTTGCAACAGTTCATGCGGCGAGACGTGAGATCGGAACGCTCTGGGGTTCCACAGTTTGCGAACCAGCGTGCTGAAGCGCACCGGCAACTGCGACGCCGTGTGAGGAAAGCCATGTAGAAGGAAGAAATCTCTCAATGGCGAAATATGCGCCAATGCTTGCACAACCACATTGAGGTAGTCGTTGGCTTTAATGTTGTTCATGCCCATGAACCCGGGCCTGTATCGCTTGTGGGCAAGGTCTGTCGACTCCTTCGGATCCTTGTCTAGCAGTCTGACCTCCTCTTCCGTGTATTTTGGATCCACCACATACTTGATATCGTCCAGACTCTTGTTGTGCACCTCATAACCCTCGGGTAGGACATAGACTCTCTTGGTCTCCATGTTGATGAAGACATGATGATCAACTTCGAGGGCGTGGAGGTATGCGTGAGACTTTGGGCCTCGTCCTTGGAAGTATTTCCCACAGACCAGACAAGCATAGACGTTAATGTTGGAGAGGGTAACGGAACAGAGTTTCTCGAAGTCGAAATCCAGCAAGGATCGATTGATGGTGTCTAGATAAAGATCATCGTAGCCTTCTGTGGGCGCATTTTGTCGCAGTGGTGCAGCTGGTAGCCGGTCGTCTTCAACGTCTGATTCGACTTCTTCCTCCTCTTCCTGCTCCTCCATCATACTCTGGGAGACACTCGCGCCGTTTGTGGGCTGGACAGTTGGGCTTTGGGGAGTATGGAGACTAGCATGCACGGGGGTTTCTTCCTCAAGAACATCTTCGATGCGCACTTTCTTGCTTGCTGGGGATGCATTGGTAAGGATACCCTCCAAGGGTTCTTCCGACTTTCGTTTCGACATTGTAAACGCGTAAAAAGGAAGAGCGTCGACGCTTCAGTCGGTCTAATGATTGGATTTTGCAAACTGCGCAATAATTTGATGCGGAGAAAGCCTTCCAAGAGCTGATTGGCTGAATCTCAGCCTCGCCGCCTTGCGCTCCTGCTCCCTCACACTTTTCCAAGACAAGAACAAAGCAACCCATAGAGGAGTAAATAATACGACATCGGCGGATCAGTTCTTTTTAGTCCTCTGAAAAAGTGAAACTGACTTTTGCATGACCGAGCGGCTGGGTATCTTTTGAATTACAGGGTACATCGCGTCAAACACTTTTCACCCTTCCCACCAGGTCAATTCTGTGAGACCTCAGATGTTCCCCCAGCCAAATCTCTCGCCCAGACTCACGGTTGCCTGTGTACCGACTGACCATATCACAAAGTTTACCAACCCTTGCATGCCAATCGTGAGGAAGAAATTGCCCCAGAATTGCAGTCTTTGCACCATAGAAAGGTCTCGCACTCCCAGTCCTGACGTGAGAGGCCATACATCGCTAAGCAGTGAAGAGGCCCTGGCCATGTGTTGATCTTCGGATTGCTGGGTGAGAAATCCTCGAGTTAATGACCTTAAGAACATAATGTCAAGCGGGAGCAGGACAATCGACTCAATGATTGAGGTCATATAATGTGCGAATGCTTCAGCTGGGTGGTTTGAAAGAACAGTCACACGGTAGAGACTTTCATCTGCTTTGCGTGTATCCTTCGACTGCGGTTGACGCCGTTGTAACATCTCGTCTCCCATTGCTGGTGCATCCTGTTCTATGACTGTCGGACGGCGCACAGGCCTTGGTGTTGTGTGGGGTAAACTTGCCGCACGAGATATGCCCGGGATAGGGGAGATAGGGGATGGCGTTCGTTGTAGAGGAGAGCCCTGGGATGGGATTTCAATGACAGGAGACCCCTGATCCGGCGTAGCTGGGACTGGGCTCGCTGGTCGTAATTCTCCTGAGTCCGCGGTATCATGCAGGACCGGCTCAAGAAGGGTCTCCAGCGGAACGGTGGGCTGAACACTTTCTCCATCCACAGTCGGACCGCCTGAGAACGGGAGGGGCCTGTCAGGGTCGTCGGTTTCTTCGTGCGTGTCGCTCCAGACAAGGAGATTCTCAGCGTTCGCATTGTCTACAGTTTGGTTATTCCCAGATTGGCGCTCTCCCTGCGCAATCTCAGGTTCGGTGTCACCTCGAGCCTCGCTCGCAGTGCCGGGGCCGGTTACCGCTTCTGTAAAGAGCGTAAGGTTTTCTGGCTCCGGTGTCGAAGTAGACACCGAACTCGACGCCAAAAAGCTTACATCATCCGCCAATTCAAATATGTCAATCATCGAGTGGTCCGGATCCAAATTGAAATCGTGAAAGGCGGCACGGATAGCCATGACTCGAAGGGTCCTCGGCGCACGTCTGAGATCAAGCTCGCGATTCTGTCGATATAGTGCTCGGTAATGCATAGCGCTCCGTCCCAGCAGCTCTATTTCAATATTCGGGCTTAGCTCGACGGCCAATGGAACTCTTTGTGTTTGAATGACCCGAACCCAAAACCATAACGAGGCTGGAATTATTGCCTGAATAGTTTCTCTCATAGACCGTGGGCCCATTTCACCCGAGTCGCCGAAAATAGCCTCTTCCAATTCGACAGATGCGGTCTCAAGGTTCAAATTTCTGGCACTTTGTAGCGATATTCGATCTGGCCGGTCGGGTTTGGCCACCATTTGACGGACAATAACGTAGACCTTTTTGAAGAGATAGTTGCCAATCAGGTCTCTGACGAGGGCCAAGACGAAGGGACTGGAAATTGTCTTCACTAGTAATTGGGTAGAGGACCCCAAAAACAAGTCTGATGCGTCCAGAGACATCCGAATGGGGGAATGGCTGCTGAAGGGTATCATGGCTGACCAGGAGGGCGCCGGATGCAGCGGGATGAGGTATAGCGATTGTAGGACGGAATAGGCGTGGAACGGGTATTCGAAAGCAAACCATAGGACTTGCAGGCTGCTTAGAGTTAGTGAGATGTCGTCAGACTCGCAGGTTTGCTCACCTTGACCAGCGAAGTAACCTGCCAATATTCGATAGACTGAAAAACCTAGAAGGGCGCATTGACTTCGAAATCCTGATTCTTTCGTCTTCTAGTATTGCGACTCTGAGCAATTGGCTGACACGCGCAATTGTACCAGGGAAGAAGCCGGCAAACAGGAAAGCACTCGGGCCCATAATGTTCCACTCAGAGAATAGCATCTGAGGAATTGGCAATCCCAAGTAAGATTTGAAGGTCTGGGCACGTCAGCTACTGCCTCGAGGGCAATTTCTTCTCTTACTTACAAGGAGCCGTCGGCGGAAGTTGATTATCCAGTGAGTAGCGACATTTTGGGCAATAGTCTCGACAATCTCGCAGTAAGCACCAGTGGCATGTTCGTCCAAAAGAAGTCGGTATCTTTGCATGTCACTCATGGATTGCCACCAGGACCGTTGCATTTGTGCTTTGCGAACAACGACACCGACTGTTGACAGAGCCTCATTTTGAGCTCGAAGCAGTCGCCTCCTCAATGTCTCCGAAGCAAGATTTCTTGGATGGCCTCGATCGTCGAACTGCTGGATATAGTCATGGTCTGTCTGACGTTGCGCATTTGGTCCAATGATAAAGTCTCCCTTCTCGTCTTCTAGTGGAGGACCAAATGGAGACCTTCCCTAAATTCAACTGTCAGTTACTTTGAGTCGATGCAGCAGCTTGGTTTCCCGAGTACGAAAAGTGGTCCAAGTGTTGAGATAAAGAAATTCTTCATCAATTCAGAGCTTGTGAAAGATTATCCCTTACCAAAGCTAGACGCGCAATATGCGACTGTCGACCCATTGCCGCAGCTGGCTTGATCCGGTCTTTTGAACATGAACAAGAGCACGGGGATGAAATGCATTAGTCGTCAGTGGTTGTGATCGTAGGGAGGAATGTTCAAACATCGTCTTCCCCCGGAGTTATGTTGGGGGACCCATTGAAGACAGCCAAAGGCACAGTTTCTAGAGCGACACCCTTCCAACTTCAAATTGGACTCTGAACAGTCGCGGCTGGACATGGTTCAGGGAAGGAAAGACGGCGAAAGGCTGAAAGGAGGCACGATGCGCCAAGCAAGTCATGGTAAATTGGCGTCAACTTTAGCCTCCATTGGGAAGAGATTCCACGCTGCTTTGGCCTCGACCCCTTTTTCTACTGCAGCGCAAAGACGCATCAGGTCGGGATTTATGTGAAGGGCCTCGGAAAGCCTTTACGTTGAAACATTCTTCTCTGCATTAAGTGCTTGATAAACATCTCTCTCTCTCTCTCTCTCTCTCTCTCTCTCTCTCGATCTTATAGGTTCACACTGCGTTCGTCCAGGTGCAGCATACGTTCCTCGTGCTCGTCATGGTCTCATAATACCAGAGCCGTAGCGCTCCGTTCAAGCCGTAACAAATAGCTTGCACTGACCTTGACGCGTCGTAATGCAAGTTATGGCCAACAATAACGGATAAAAGGAACGAATTCAGTTGAATAGACCTGCGAGTGAGCCTTCTTCATCCTGTGAAAACCGTCCTTCTTGCCACTGGCCTCGTGTCAGACCCTCATATTATTGAGACACGAAACTTGTAATTCAGGACCTTCATTTGAAGGCTCAGCCAAGAGCAGACTGGGAGTTCATGTCGTGACATAAAGGCCCTAATGATAGACCGCATCCCCTCTCCGAACACGACGTCTATTTCGAGAGGAACCAAAAAACTTATCAGCTTGGCATCTTGCTGAGCGTTACAAGACTTTCAAATAAAAGGGAATAAGCTGAGTGAATGAGAAAACTGACCTTTGTACCGTAGAAAGCAGAAATGTATGGGCGATCTTCGCCAAAGTGCAATGCAGGCCACGTGGACACTATTCATCCTTCTGACAGTCATGCCCGATACCATTTGCTATCTCTCACCAGGATAGAGACTCTGGAGAGACTCTGTAGAGAAGAGCCTATAATAGTGAGACCAGCTGAAGATAGTCTGTTGAAGGTATATTTGCTTCGTTGTGCTTGTGTGGTGGTGGATCAGTCCCGAGGATCTGTACCATCTCCTGCGGGTACTCGTCGCGACTTGAATTTAGGCGCCAGGTCCTGAGCGTTCCAAGTTTGAGGCGGCCCATCTTCCGACGCGGCACCCATGGCTCCGCAGCACCAGGACTAACGGCGTCGTTGCGGCGGGGCTTTCCGACTCCGTCGCCGAGAATCCTCGGTCTTGGAGAATGTAGCATATGGGTCGAGAGAGTGATGCGAAGTTTCGCTCATCACGGCCGGACCGTGGCTGAAGTGGAAGGGTTGTTGATATCTCTGAGCGTGTGCGTAACACCGTGCTATCCGGACATCTTCCTCGTTCGGACCAAGTGACATGCAATTACCCATGTCTGGAAGGTATTGAAGCCTGATGCGTTCGACCAGAAAATTGAGGACAGAAACATAAGAGGTCTGTCGGCTAAGAAAGGGGAGGTGCAACTGGGCGTTGACCAAGGATAGAAGACGGAAACGAATGGTATGGACTGGGCACCGATCGAGGCCCAGAGAAATGGTGTGCGTCTGTTGCTTTTCTATGTCGTCGCAACGAGCTGTCGGCAGGCTTTACGGCCGAGCCGGTGTGGGAATGAGATGTTTCTGTTACAGGCTTGGGGACTCGGGGAGAGGCGAGTCAATTGTAAGATTATTTCATGTTGAGATGCGGGTAGCCCTTGTTACACGCCAGCGACACTGTGCAACGTATATTTGTAGTGCTGACATTCTTGTGTATCGGACCGAAGCTGCAATAGCACCAGGGCCCTTGCGCACCGATATACGAGAAAGGGGTAAGCAAAGATGATGGTGGCAAGTAAGCTAGATGCCCAAAGTCAACATAATCGTGAGAGGCGGGAAGCAACTTCCAGCCTTGCCAAGCCGCAGCCTTGTCATTCCATGGCCTGATTCTCCCCGCAGTCTTTCAAAATTTGGGCTCGCTGCATCTGCCTTGACTACACAGAATTACACTTTCTCTGTCACACCAGTTCCCCTCCGCAGCAGTAGCAGAAGAAGAGGAGGATACCAGGCAAAGACACCATGGCAGCATATTCGAATCCAACCCAAATCTTTGCCGAAGACGTGCAAGAAGAAAAAGGCGAAAATGCACGTCTGTCCGCCTTTGTTGGAGCCATCGCAGTCGGGGACCTTGTGAAATCAACACTTGGCCCTAAGGGTATGGACAAGATTCTTCAGTCGGCTTCAACAGGAGAGATAATGGTAACCAATGACGGTGCCACGATTCTCAAATCCATCGCCCTCGACAACGCCGCCGCAAAAGTCCTCGTCAATATCTCCAAAGTCCAAGACGATGAGGTGGGAGACGGTACCACATCGGTGACTGTACTGGCAGCAGAGCTGTTGCGAGAGGCAGAACAACTTGTCAATCGTCACATCCACCCCCAAACCATCATTGAAGGCTACCGTCTTGCATCACAAGCCGCTTTACAAGCACTGGAAAAATCCGCAGTTGACAATTCGAAAACCCCCGAGTATTTCCGAAAAGACCTCCTGGCCATCGCCCGCACAACACTATCCTCGAAGGTCCTTTCCCAGGATCGTGACCAGTTCGCCAGTTTGGCAGTCGACGCCGTCCTCCGGCTAAAAGGGTCTGTCGACCTGAACCACATCCAAATCATCAAGAAATCTGGAGGGAAGCTGTCCGACTCTTATCTCGACGAAGGATTCATCCTTGACAAGCGCATCGGCGTGAACCAACCGAAGAGATTGGAAAATGCAAAAATACTCGTGGCGAATACTGCAATGGACACGGATAAAGTGAAAATCTGGGCCGCTCGCATGAAAGTCGGTTCAACGAAAGAACTGGCAGAGTTGGAAAAGGCTGAGCGAGAGAGAATGCGTGCGAAGGTCGAACGGATCAAAGCACACGGGATCAACTGCTTCATCAACAGACAACTGATCTATAACTGGCCAGAGCAACTGTTTACAGAAGCGGGAATCATGTCCATCGAACATGCCGATTTCGACGGCGTGGAACGTCTCGCCTTGGTCACGGGTGGTGAGATCGCAAGCACTTTCGACCACCCGGAATCCGTCAAGCTCGGACACTGCGACTTGATCGAGGAGATCATCATTGGCGAAGACACGTTGATCAAATTCTCCGGCGTGGCAGCGGGCCAGGCCTGTACCATCGTGCTAAGGGGTGCGACGGAACAACTACTGGACGAAGCGGAGCGAAGCCTGCACGACGCTCTTGCGGTCCTGTCGCAAACTATCAAAGAACCCCGCGTCGTCCTCGGGGGCGGCTGTTCTGAAATGGTGATGGCAAAGGCAGTGGACTCTCTTGCGCAGAAGATCCCCGGCAAAAAGCGCTTGGCTGTCGATTCATTCTCGACTGCCCTACGCCAACTTCCTACCATCCTCGCAGACAATGCCGGTCTCGACTCTTCTGCCTTGGTGTCGGAGTTGAGAAGCGAGGTGTACAGAGGTATGACGAGTTCAGGCTTGGATCTTTTGACTCCCGGGGGCGGCATCGCCGATATGCGGGAGCTGGGCGTGATTGAGAGCTACAAGTTGAAGAAAGCGGTGGTGGGGAGCGCGAGCGAGGCAGCAGAGTTGTTGCTTCGAGTGGATGATATCATTCGGGCAGCTCCCAGGAGGAGGGAGCGGATGTGAGGACGAGTGAGTGCTGTAAGTGGCAGATGACGAAGGGAAGGGGGATTGATGGGGTTCCTCTGGGCTTCTGCGCGGTACGCCTCAGTCTGTGTGTCGACCACGCTCTCCCAGAAGGAAATTGGAAACTACATGGCCAGTCATTGCCACGCGAATCTGGATCGTCTTGACCACGATGGCAGGAAACAGCCAACCATATGGTGGATGCAAGCCATCAATAACATGCAACGATCGAACCCACGCAAGCCACTTTCGCCCATCCGTCCATCCATCTGCCTGCCTATCCGCTCGTCCACAAACCCCCTTTTCTTCAATCCATCCAACCGACGAACGGAACCAGCGAAAGAATGAACCGGTCGAGCATTGACTGGCTGGCTAGCTTGCTGGCTGGACATATACGGTCCCATTCAATACCACTGGTGCTCTGATCCGATCACGCCAAACACCCACGCCATGGTGTTGCCAGGGGATTGCCGTGTGTACTGCACTCTACTCCACACTTTATCAAACCATATCCCCATAAAATGTGTACCGATCAACGGTATGTAATGTGCTCTGGACGCGACGGGAGTGACAACCAATCGACCACCTCATACAAGAAACGAACTTGGACAAAGATCCATCTCGAGAACATTTTTCCCCCTGCTTGGTGTCGACAGGATCCGTCTCAGTCGCTGGATGCAGGTGGTCGGTCCCCAGAACAGCCCGGGTCTGAAGAAGTGCCACTTAGGCGAGATGCTCAACTAAATATGCCCCGGCATGGAGAAGGCAACATGCATGATGGGTTGCCGCTTGGCCCCCTCCACCCTTACATAGGTACCTAGGTACGTCTCGAGGTAGGCTCTGTGCTGGGTAGATAGATACCTGGTAGATACCCATGGAGCGTGCATGCCACTAGGTCCGAGTGGCCAATTCAGAGAACGATTGATAACTACTCGGTAGAGGGACCTCAGATAGAAATGAGAAGATGAAATCCAGAAAATCGAACAAGACTCCAAGTATAGTCGATATTTGAAAATTTTCGCATTTTGTGTCTTAAAACATCCCTTCCCAACAAACATGTTCCCTCACTCTCTCACCCACTCACTCTACTCGACGAACCATCTCTCCATCCTGAACCGCTCCACCAACCCGCGCTCCAAAATCAGACAGTGGCAATTAATCAACAGGCTCGGGAACCTCTTTGCCCAGAACTCGTAGTATCCCTTCGCACTGCCGCCCAGCATCTGCTCCTTCACGTCCTGCGGCAAATCGTGGAAGTGGTTCTTCTTGTTGCGGATCACCCTCAACAGGTCAATCATTTTGTTACCACTATATTTGCGCTGTTTGCCCATTTCCGTGAGGAAGGTTTTGGGAAGAGCACGAAGCCAGTCCTTGGAAGGGCCGATGACGTTGGGCGCAAGAGACTCCAGAGCGGCGAGTTCGGCAAGAGCTTGCTTCTCCGCGGGTGTGCGGATCGCGTTCTCGTCGAAGATGTTGGTAATTGAATTCTTCTCCCGCTCGTAGCAATCCGACACGTCGCAGAGGAACTCCAGCTTATCGGCCACGTCCCAGAAGTAGGGATGACGAAGTATTTGTCCCGTGTCAGGCCGCTCCTTGGGTTCATGTTTGAGCATTTGCATAACAAGGTCGTCCGCATCGAATTGGTACTCATACAGGCGTAAGTCTTCTGTGCTGAACTTGTTCTCTTTGATGTTCAGGTCTCGACCGAGGCTGGTACCTCCAACATCAAAGGGATGACGACCCTGGGTCATGACGTAGTAGAAGACACACCCTAAGGAGAAGATATCTATCGCCTTGGTTGCACGACGGCCTGATGGACGGTCAATGACAGTGCCTTCGCTCGAATGAGTGGTAGACTTGGAAGTGGTGGTCGAGCTAGAATTCGGCGCAACAGCCGACCTGGACCCGACCAGCAACTCTGGCGCTCTCCAGCCTGTAGTGCCCGCGGCTGTATGATTCGCAGTTGGAGCGAAGGTTGATTCTGGGCCTTCCTCGAGAGGTTTGCATAAGCCAAAATCGGAAATGACAAACTGTAGTTTCGGCATTCCATTGCTAGGACGATTGCTTTTAACAGCCTTCACCAGGACATTCTGAGGCTTGATGTCTCGATGTACCAACTTGAGTGAATGCAGGTGCTGGACACCGTCCGTGATTTGGCGTAGGGTGTCCTTGACATCAAACCCTTCAGGCAGCTTCACCAAATCGGGGTATTGAAGGGGACGCTCAATGAACTGATCCAAAGAGGTAGTAAAGCGTTCGAGCGCAATGTAGGTGAAGTGCTGTGACTCTTCCTTTCCAAAGTACCGGATGACGTGCGGGTTCTCGTCGCTAGACAGCAGATGCTTGATCTCTTTGGCAGCCAGGCTATTCGAGGAACGAATCAAACGCTTGACTGCGACTTCTCTGCCGTCCAGTGAGCCAGGAAACACTGCTGTACCGTTGCTTCCACGGCCCAGGCATCGATCTTCCCTGGTGTCGATTCTGAGCTTGCCAACCTGAAGAAGGCCGTCCTTTGTGGGAACTTCAGCAACGAGTTGTTCTTTCTCATCCATGACCTCCGGGTCCATTGTCTTCTTGCCCTTTTTGTTCCTTTTGCCACCTCGCTTTCCTCTTTTGGCATGTCGACGGCGAGGCTGTGCACCATTCTCGGCGTTTTCGTTAGGGTTGGACTCTTCCTTGTTCTTCTCGTCTTCTGACTCGCCTTCTGAACTTTCATCATACGGCTCAAACATTTTGACGTTTTTTGCAGGGCTGGCAACGGAGACGGCTGCACTTTGAGCCCGGCTCCTGGTAGGAGTTTTGATTACATCCTCCAGTATTTCAGAGACAACTTCAGCGGCGTCCTTGTCCCCGGTAACCTCAGCTACAAGGTCTTCTGGCTTGTCCGTGGTATCTGAAGCAGGAGCAGGAGTTGAGGTCGCTGGAACCCGAGTTTTCTCCACAGCGACCTCTACGCCGGCCTTTCGAAGGAAGCTTTGCATCTTCAACATGATTGGTATCCTCATCTGCAAACCAACCACAAATAAGATGATGCTGGCGCAGATGATGTTGAAGACGGAAAGCAAGGGATGGTTGATCACAGGTACCAAAGACGGGGGAAGCTTGGCCTCCAGTGCTGCCATTGCCTTCTCTGCTTCCTCAGCCAAATCCGTCACTGGGGGAGGGCCGGAAATCGTCAACCTGAGGGGAGTGAGGTTCTGTTCCGGGGAAAGCATGTGAACACCGACGATTTCTTCCAGGTTGCCGTCAAAGTCCAAAGGCTGACTGTCATAGTTCCAGTTTGAGCTTGCAGGCGATGCACCGCTGGTTACGCCTGGATATGACAACTCGGACATGGCATACCACATCCCGGACTCGGTTTTGTTAACGAATACCCTCTCAGCTCGCTGCATTTCGTTCCTCCAAATCTCCGGAGAAGAAAGAAGAGGAGAGTCTGTGGGTCGTGCTAGTAAAACTAGCTTGGCAGATTCATCTCGATTATCTAGGGGCCGAACGACATCAAATACTCGGGCTACCGGAGTGTCGAACATGTGGGTGAATCTCGGAACCTTGCCAGAGTCGGCGGTGCTGTCGATACCAATGATTCGGCCATTGTAATAGCTCTGAATCTGGTAGTTGTCCAAGGGAGCGACATATTGGTCTTGGAGATCGCTGTCCCCCTTGTTGGGAACCCATTCAGCGAACTTGATCGTGCAAAGTGGCTGAGTTGTGATCTTATGAGATATTTCGATGGTGTACTCGACTCTTCCCAAATTGATAGTTCCAATCGGATCGCACGCAGGGTCATCTAGTTCAAAACCACTGAGTCGCCGGCAGCTGCGGCCTTGGTCGTCATTGGAGAAGCCCCGGTATTTGTCAAATTGTTGTAGGATATGGCCAGTGGCTGCATCTACAACGTATGCGGTTGTCTCCTGAGAGGAGATAGTCACAAGTGGTGGATCGTCAACAAACTGCGGCGTTTCTGCTGCAAGGGATCTGACGGTGATGCCCAGTCGTTGTAGACCTATTCTGGGGTCTCGATGTTGAATGTAGAGGTTGCCATCTTTACTAGGCTCGACGATGAACATGTAGTCGTCCTCGTATTGAGAGCCGTCCACCTCGGCGTCACTCCGATTCAACTTGTGGTGGATGGTCTGGATCATGGGACTGTCCGGGATACCCAGAGACCACCTCTCATTGCCGGTCTTCCTGTCACGGGCATGTATGGTGCCATCAATGGTGGCTAGTAGGACAATATTCTCCACCTCCCAATCTTGCAGCAGCCGCGCTGAAAGCGCAGAGAGTCCCTGGGACAGGGACTCGTCAGACTGTGCAAGAGGTGCTCTGACAGCACCACCACTCAAGGAGTCGTGGGCTGGAGCCAAGGCACGGAGCTTGTGTGTTTCGGGGTTTTCATCGGTGCTTCGAAATTTGACAGTGGTGATGTCGTTTTTGAGCAGCGGAATCTCTGCTGGACTGCGGCCAGCCGGAGCGGACGGTCGACTCGACTCTGAGCGCAGGCTCTGCGTCGAGGCCACCAGTCTCGGAGGGGCATCGGACGGAGGGAGGGACTGAGGATGAGCTGCAGCTATGAGGAGGAGGAAAATGGCCCAAGTCAACATGGTTTTCGGTTTCGATCCTCCACGTCGGCCCTTTGGAGGCCGAAGTGGAGGTTTGGCCATGGTAAACGATGAGGGACTCCAGAGTTATGGTAGACGACGGTGTATTAGATTTATATGATGGACGACATGATGTCTGACTGTCTGATATGGAGATGAAATATAAGGAGAAACGAGGGTTGGCAGTGGTGCGAATGAGTTTTTGAGAAGTGGGAGGTTTCGGTCAGCTTACGGATGTACAAGCGTGACAAGTTAGCATAACAAAGGCGAGGTGCCAGCACTCAGTGGGCACTGGGCAGACAGCCACTTGCATGGCGTGAGTGCTGCCCTTGCTTCCCTTATTGCCCTTGTAAAGTTACGCTCCTGTGGCCCCGTTGTCCCCCATAGGCCCAGTTGGGTGCCAGTGAAGGGCCTAGAAGGTCACCAGCCAATGCCCACTACCTACCTAGTAATTAGCCCTCCGGTTCAATGCCCGGCCCTTATCCAGCCCCGGACGCCCTCACCGAATCCTCCCCCTGACTTGTGGCCAACGAACCATTGAATTCTCTGGCTTTCGCTCTGCGCCCCGTTCCACAGACGATCTAAGCCCGAAACGGCCTCAAGGGAGCCTAAACCTGTGTTTCAGGCTGAAGCCTTTTCCCCATCAAATGTTGAACACAACGAATAATGTACAAAACCCTTTGCTGCTTCTCCTGAAGACCGCATATGATTGACGGTGACAAGTCGGAGTGGTGACTGAGGTCGGGATAGCTGCAGTGCTCGCATCATCGAAGATCATCTTATGGTTTGTTCCTCCCTTACATACCGTGGTCACAGACCGCGGACCTAATATTCGATAACCAACACTATCCCTCACCACGTACTCCCGACAGTCTTATTGTTGTAGGAGAAATATCAGTCTCGATACGCTGTTCTCATTCTATGCTGTCGTTCCGACCAGCCGCTGAAAGTGACAACAAGCACGGCTTCTCCATTGTGCCATTTTGTACAGTCATTAAATCCCAATCTCCCTTCCCATCTTCGGCGTGGGATGTCGGTGGTAACACAGGAGAAGAGTGTAAGTGTGAGCACCCGACCCATTAATACATCATGTATCCCGTCAAATAGCAAGACATCCAAGAAAGAAGAGTGCTCCATCGCGCTCAGAAAAAGACCACATACTCGCCCTTCTCATTTCGTTTTATTCTCAAAGCCCGCCACAGGTCCTGCTCCTCATCCATTTTCGAAGTGCTGCTTCGGACGTCATTATGCTTGTGCCATCGCTTGAGCATCTTGTGAATGGAGTAGCCTTTGTCCGAGTCTAGTCCCGGTGCATTGGCGAGGAAACTGCGGCAAGCACGCTTCGTCTTTTCCTCTGCGCCGAACACGACCATTGCACCGTTGGCGCTTTTGCGCTTGCTTGCACCATTGCTATGCTGCTGCATGGGGTCCGAGTCTGTGTCAGAGGCCGAGTCGTCGTGCTTGTGGTACTCAATAGCTTTGAGTTTGCGCGTAGTACCTTCGGCTGGGGATCGTGAGGGCGAATCGTCGCTGTACCGGCGACGCGAACGGTGCTCATGCCGAATATTGGCGGACGAAGTACCATTGTGTCGATGAACCTTATGCTTCTTCCTCTCTCGTTTCTCGCCGTCTCGGATTCGAGAAAGGCTGTTGCCCTGGTCCGACGAGCTGGCTCTCCTCCGCGTTTTGGTATTGGCCATTTGGCTCTCGACCTGACCAGGAAGAAGTGCTCCACCCACCATCGAAAGCGCTTTAACTGCTCGACCTTTGATCGAGATGCCAAGCCCATTGGAATCTTCTTTTGTGTGTCGAGTACGTTTTAACGGAGAGGTGGGGTCTTCCGGTTTCAAACTTCGACGAGCCGGGCGCTCCTTCTGGACAACCACGCGTTTGTCGTTGGGATCGGGAGACCGCCGGAAGGGGTACGAATCATCTTTGGACATCATTCGGCTTAGCCCACCCGTGAGCCCTGAGTGCACAATAACCGGCGTGTCCACCTTTACCGCGTCCGCCATCAAGGTGTCCCCTTCCAGTTCATGGGATTGATCATCCGTGGCTCGTTTCCGTTTCTTTTCACTGCCGCTGTTCGTCCGACTATGTGCGCGTGGTCTCTCTTTTTTGTCTAACTTGGATTTGACCTCCTTTGCTGCTGGAGTCATAAATTCGAGCGACAAGGTACTGTTGTTCATGTCTAACGCTCCTCGAGGCTTGACCGGTGCTGCACCCCAAGTATAGCCATTCTCTTCGTACTCCTTGCTATGCTGCTCCTCCTCATCTGCATTATGATACCCATTTTGGCTGGATGGCCGACTGCTGGAGAAGATTGACGGAGCAGTCTGCTTCATAGACATTTCTTCCTTGTCCTTTGTAAAACTTATCTGGGGTGTGCCTGTCTGGCTGCCTTCATCGACCATATAATCAAAGACACTGTCACGATTCGACGAATCCGGGACCGCGGGGGGAGGAGTAGGGACGTGTGGAGGGGCATCTGCGTCCGGGTCGTCTTCAACGTATGCTTGACGAGGGACTAGAGCTTTTTCGTTCTCTGGCTCGACAATGGAGACAGATTTTCTCTTCGCGGCCTTGGAAGGCTTCTCGCGATATAAAGCGCCCTGATATTTCTGATCTTCCGTGATGCATGACTGTTTTCCGCCCGTCAGTGCCAAAAACCCTCTGCGTAGTCGGGCGCAGTATGTCGAAGGTAGTCCCCTGCTCAAGGGAGAGTGCGTCGGTGGGTTCACATACTGTATGTGCTCTATAGCTTGTGCCTTGAAAAGTCGTCATGCAGTCAATACAGGTAAACACCGCGCCCCGACATTGGTTGCGATGTGGATCGAGCTTCTTCTTGGTCAAGACGTCGCCACAGGCCTGTAGACGGGATTGTTAGAACCGCTGAGGGTGATGATCCGCGGCGCATAGTGCTGACCTCGCATTGAAAAGATACCATCTTGCGTGTTTTTGCGTGAGTGGTGAGGCGAGTCCCTCAAGTTCAAGACTTGCGAGGCAACGAAACAGAAAAAAAGACTTGTGAAAGGAGCGGGCCGGTTGGGCAGCAACAGGTCGAGGGTCGCACAAGAGCCAGCTCTCGAGCGGGAATGGGCGAAAAGAGTGTCTAAGGGCGTCAAATAATGGTCAGGAGGGAGTGCTGATCTGGTGTCAGAGGGGCAGAATATGCGTGAGGGCGTCGCTGTTGCGCCAAAAGCAGGGTGTTCGCAGCCATGGATTCCCGTCTGTGTTGATGGGCGGCCCCCTTCGCTTGGCACATATTTTTTTATATTTGGAGGCAATTGGAGCCAACATTCGTCACCTGAAGCAGGTCTAGTGGCCGCCCTAGGTGCCCGCCTTACCGCTTTACTGTTAGTTCCACACCATTGCCCGCCCTGCCGACGCCTATCAGACGCCCCATGATGATTTAAACCAGGGGAACCCGAGCACCTAAATCACCGGCAAGCCCATGTTTGAGACCTCCAAACATCCCCCCTCGCTCCCTCATCCCCCAAACCGCGTCGCGCCTGACCATTCATGTTCCGCGCAGGCGCGTCCAGTGGTCATCTGGTCTGACTGCTGCAAATCATGTCATGGGAACGCCTGATGGTTCACACGAACACCTGGGGCTCACTCGCACATCCAACCAAAAAACCTGATTGTGGTGCACCATCCCATCAGGAAGTTTGCATACCCCATAACAAACATCTGAAGGTGTCGAAGAGGTCTGTGGTAAACACTGGCTACGTCAACACGCAACATTCTCACTGTCAGTTCGTGCAGATCGTGCGCCCTCGTACCACCCCCTTCACCCAAAAGTAGCCAATGTGTGGCCGTTCCGCAGCGCCCGGCGCAGAGCCCTCCCTGGCCGTGAAACCTGAAACCACCCTCTCACACTCGCATTCCTCTGATAGCGATGCCGCAACCGGATCACAGTCGTTGCGAGCTTTCGTCCCCGCTTCCGCGCTCTGCGCCGCTGCCTTCGACCTGGTGATGTCCGCCGCCCTGCCGCTGACAATCGTGCATCACTCGCTGCGGGTCTACTTGCTTGCGAACTGGTTGGCTCAGCGCGAGAAGAGTGAGTGGGCAGACAGTGACCTCTTGTTCGTGGCATGTATATGTCATGATATAGGTGCCGCCCAGGTGCACAACGGCCCACAGCGATTCGAGGTCGAGGGCGCCGATGCTGCCGCAAACTTCCTACGTGGGCAATCGAGGTCGGAAGCAGAGGCGCACGAAGTCTGGACGGCGATCGCTCTACATACCTCGCCTGGCATAGCAGAACGCATCACACCATTGGCTAGGCTGGTGAGGTTGGGCGTCCTCATTGATTTTCGTCCGGCAACCCGGGCGGCCCTGGATGCAGAGGCATATGCAAAATCCATCGAGGCCAAACTTCCACGGCTAGATATTGAGAAGATCTTGGGGGACGCTGTCGTTCAACAAGCCCTCCAGAATCCTGCAAAGGCTCCTGCAGCTTCCTGGCCGAACAACCTCTACAAGTCACATCTTGAGAACCCCGAATGGACGGGCGTCAATCGAGCATTCTGAAGAGCATTAAATATTCTAGGTACATTCTTGAAATAAAAAGTAGTGTTGCGGGCCGCCGATGGTCACAATCGTAGCCTCCTTCCAATCGCTCCAAAGCAGAGGCTCGTGCAGAAGAGTATGCTAGCCAACCAAGTATATACACCAAACTTTTCAGACGCCATTGGCTGGTGAATCGCTGGAACTGGCACAAAATTGGGGTCCACCACTAACATGACCAAAGTGCCGATGGTGCTTACGGCTGCTGAAAAAGCGAAGCCAGGCAAGGATCGGTCGATAAGATACCACAGGACAGGGTTGGCCAGGGCCAACGTCAAAGCTACTTGCAGCGTCGATTGCCAGGGAATCCGGCGCTGATACAGTCAGTCAATGTGTGGTGAGAATATGGAAGAAAGGACATAATGGCTCACCACTGCAAACGCAATACCAACGAACGCCCCCATGCTGCGAACGGCAGAATACCACAGAGGGCCCAATGTACTGTCAGAGGACGAGGCAGAACTGGCAGTTTCAGGCTGAAGAGCCGTCCTCTTAGCCGACTCTGCCTGAGACGACACGAATCTTTGCCAGAAAGAATCGACGAGAGGTAACGCATTCCCGAGCAGGATGCCAAATATACCCCAAGAGACCTGATAGTACACGGAACTCCGATCGATGTCAGGCACTGGCACCGGCGTTATACGTTGAGTCTTGTGCAGATGTGTGATGATGGTCCCATAGCCAATACCACATCCGAACAAGAGTGAGGTCTGCAAAAGCAAAGGCACGAGGTAGCCGCGAAAGCCTTTTCTCTTCACCTTTAACCGAGGTTTTGTGGTCTCGCCTTTCCAATTCGCTGGGACCACAGGTGATTCGTAGTTGTAGTCGTCTACGCTCGGTCTTTTACTGGGTGTCTGTGCACCTGTGCCCCAAGGTGTCGATGTTTCATCCCGCGTCCCTTCTGATGTGAGAGGGGAGTAGATCCCAAGCAGAGTGGAAGAAGTCAGGTTGAGGATTGATCGCGTGCGACTTGGGGGGAGGTCAGGCTTCTGGGCATTGAGCGATTCAGGGCTCGTAGCCTCGGCGGGCGAAGGAGGGTGAGATGAGTCGGTCGAGGCAGGTGTGAGCTCAAAAGCTCGGCGAGGAATTGGTCGGTAGACCTGAGGCATCTCCATAATGGCAGGACGGAGGTCTTGTGCGTCGGAAGATCGTGGCACCAATGACGAATACGAACTGAGGGCAAGTACAGGTAGCAGTTCAGCTTCAGTGTGACTCGTGCTACTGTCAATGGAAATGAGAGAGTCGAAGTATTATAATTCAATCATGATGGTGAAGGAGAAGATGTCAGCCTCAGCCAAGGCGAGATAGAATGAGTAGACCCGAGTAGATGGGGTGTAGCGGAGGGGTCAGGTCCGCTGTTGTGACAGCACACATGCAAAATGAGCTGGGATGATGGTAGGGAAAAGGTTCAGTGTTTTCTTCTTTCACATGTTCGTATGCACGTCGACATCGGAGGTTCGCCCAAGGGTCACGCAACGCTGCAACAAAAAACACCAGACCACCGACACCATACCGAAGTGGGTGAGTTGGGGGTTTAGGCACCCACTGAGGGCCACCCAGAGCCACCAATTTATTGCTGACCTCAGTCACCTCACGCGTCTCTCTACCAGCCTCTGGCAATGCGGAGTTGCGTCAAAAATGTTAAATGGTCCACTGTACAGGTACTGCGAAGTAATATGCAGTTTTAAACCACCCTCCGAGGCGTCCTTCCCTTCATGCCTTCCTCGCTTTGGATGGATGGATGTTCATTTAACATCATTTGTGACCCCCAATCTATAACTTGGGCTTCAGAGCAGCTGCGGAGCTCGCCAAGATGATCTCATCCCAGTCCAGTGGCTTCTTGGTGGCTTGAAACGCTCTCAACCCAATGGCTGCTTCGCCATCAGGGCGCATCATCTTATCGAACAATTGCTTGACGCCCTTTGCTTGCTGCTCGCTTCCAGCATGGGCCCAGCCCAGCCTGATCAAGTCCTTGCACATGGTTGATGCTTCTGGCCCAGCCACCTTCAGGCGAGCAAGGTACTGATCCACCTCTGCCGGCAGCTGTCCAGGCTCGTCCACAACTTTGGCGACCAAGCCTAGGGAACGCAGCTCATCCATCGAGACCGGACGGGCAGAGAGCATGGCCTCTCGGGTGAAAGCGAATCCGCATTCTCTGATCACATATGTCGAGATCGTTGCTGGACACAACCCTAGTTTCGCTTCGCTCAAGGTAAACGTGGCAGATTTTGCGGCAATCCTGATGTCGCACGCAAAGGCCAGTCCAACACCACCACCAAATGCAGGTCCATTGATCCCGGCTATCGTCACTTGAGGTGCCTTGTCAATGGCTTCAAAGAGCTGTGTGAGGCGCTCATATTGTGCGTCGCTGACTTCACGCGATTGCGCAACCGGCGAAGTACCCTTCCCCAGGTCCATGCCGGCACAGAAGTATTTACCCTCAGCGGTTATGACTATTCGAGAGATGGTGCGGTCGTCTCGCGCCCGACGGAATACGTCGGTTAGATCACCAATCATTGCAGTGGTCAGAGCGTTGCCCTTCTTTGGCTGATTGAGAACCACTTTGAGGTTGACTCCGGAACGGTATAGTCTGATTCCCTCCGTCTCAGTGACCAATACCCAAGTCGATTTGGGGTCATTTTGACTCTTTTGCTGTACTGTATCTTTGGACTGAAGAAGCGCTCGTTTGGCCAGTAGAGCAACACCGGCACGGCTTTCGTTTGGCTTTTTAAGCTGATCAGATATCCAGCTCCCAACCTCGACCAGCTTCGAAAGGTCAACCCCGGTCTTGACCCCAGCCTGCTGGAACAAAAACACCAGATCTTCCGTGGCGGCATTCCCCTTTGCTCCAGGCGCAAATGGACACCCTCCCAATCCGCCGACACTGCTATCAAAAACACGGAGACCGCACTGATAAGCCTGCCAGACGTTACTGACTGCCTGACCGTACGTGTCGTGGAAATGTCCCGCAAGCTGTGACGGTGAAACTCCGTTACTCTCCAGATACAACAGCAAGCTCTTGACGTCGGCCGCCGTGCCGATGCCCAGCGTATCGCCCAGACTGACTTCGTAGCAGCCCATATCCAGCAGTTCGCGGACAGCTTTGAGCACAGCCGCGTGCGGAGTAGGCCCATCAAACGGATCCGCAAATATGCACGAGATGTATCCTCTGACCGCCAGACCGGCAGCGGTGGCCTTTTCAGCCACTTGCCTCGCCCGGCCCAGACCCTCGTCAACCGTCGCGTTGATGTTGGCCTTGCTGAACCCCTCGCTGGCACTCACAAACACGGCGACCTCGCGGACCGAGTTCTCCATGGCAATCTGCAAGCCCTTGAGGTTGGGGATCAAGACGGGCAGACGGAGACTGCCATCCGGTAACAACGTCTTGATGGTCGGGTCGGCGAGCACCTCTCGACAGTCAGCCAGCTGCGGGATGGCGCGCGGCGAGACCACGGACGTGATCTCGATCGTGTTTAGACCTGTGGCGCGCAGACGCGCGATGAGCTCCAATTTTGTGGATGTCGGGATCGCTGTCTTGACATTCTGCAACCCGTCGCGGGGCCCGACCTCGACGATGCGCACGTCCCTCATCAGCGTCCGATTCATGCTGCTACTGGCAATGCCTCGAGCCATGCTCACGCTGCTTGTAAATATATTCCCCTTGAGCGAACTATGTGCAGGTGCAAACCTCCATTTCGAGACACTCTTGTAGTAATAACCAAAATAAACGGAATGTATCGAGCCCGACAGTCTGTAATCCCCGGCAAGCCCGGAGAATAGACGACAACGAGAAGAACCGGGCCAAAACACCTGCAGAAGACTCATTTGAAAGTAAAAGTCCGCCCGTCACCTACCGTACCGTAGTCTTATTATCCCTTTGACGTGTACGTGGAACGGTATCTGGAAATCCCGCAAACGGGAGCGAATCTGGTGCCGAATCGCGCGAAATCGATGCGTTGGTTGACAAGGCCGTGACTCTCTTCTCACTCCACCCCCTCAAAGTCCGATCTCAAAAATAACCTCGGAGCCTTGCTCAGAATTTTACCCCAGGGCCGGGTTGCAGACGTGCAAACATGCAGGTGGCGCCGGTGGTGGCTCCTTGTCGAGTTGTGGGCCCGGCATGGAACCCGTGCCCAATCACCACACGGATCGAGCCGGGAGTGGGGGCCCGAGGCTCTCACCCCAACCTCTACGAGTACCTACCTACCTAGGTAGGTAGGTATTGATGCCTACTGGGTATGAGGACCTCGCTACCTATAACGCAGAACGGTTTGTGGTATCCGTGTATGATGTCACATCATATCCGTCGTATGGAGTTCTTGGGATGTATCTTCAGGTGGTGGAAGCAGTAGGTAAACATGGGAGATGTTACCTACCTAAGTAGGTACGCTATGGGACCAATGTAACTAACTCCTGGGCAGCTATTCACTAAGGGGAAAGTAGGTGGTTATTATACCTGTGTTGTAGGTAGGCAGCACAAACAAGACGGAGTTCCTCCTGTATGGTCTACGATTATAGCCTCTATACCTCGTAACACCTACCGCTGGTTTTGAGATCTGCAAGAACCCTCACAGCCTGGCTCTCACTGCCCCTCCCTTCTCTTCCGTCCCTCTACCCATCTGCACCAGCCTCTCCCCGACGTCACGAAGGATATGCTTCATGATCTTCCCACTGCCGGTCTTGGGAAACTCGTTGCCTACGCCGTCATCGCCGATCCAGAAAACATACCTCGGCGCTTTGTGGCTGCCCAGCGACTTGCGCACCCAATTGTTGACTTCATTCCAGCTCGGCCTCATGAGCCGCGTTCTGTTTCCCTCGTCCTTGAGGTCGAGGTCGAGGCAGCCAGGTCGTGCTTGCGCACGGAGAAACGCACCAACAACTTCGCCATACCTGGCGTCTTTGATGGCAACGCAGCTGGCCTCGGCGATGGAGGGATGCTCGGCCAGGCAATTTTCAATCTCGACAGGGAAGATGTTTTCACCACCTAGTCATGCCCTCGGACGTCAGTGATGATCACGCAAGGGGTCAAAGCCACAGAAGGAAAGTCAACGGGAGTGTTAGACTTGTTGACTTACCGCGAATAATAATATCCTTGATCCGTCCAGTCACAGAGCAGTAACCATCTTCGTCAATGACACATTCATCACCAGTATACATCCACAGTATACCATTTTCATCCCTCTTCATTGCTTCATCCGTCTTTGCTGGATTCTTGTAGTATCCTTTCTGCACAGAATATCCGCTTACGCAGAGCTCTCCTCGCACTCCGCGTGGGACTATGTTCCCAGCGCGGTCGACAATCTTAGCCATCGTATGTGGTAGCACTCTCCCAACGGTCTTGGTTCTTTTTTCTTCCGTGTCGTCAAACGAAGTCATGAACGTCACTGGACTGGTCTCGGTCATTCCATACGGGATAAGCATTCCTTTGATGCCGAACTCCTGGTCTAATTGCTTCACCAATGCTGGCGGAACCGATGCCCCTGCAACGAGCCCCGTCTTGACGGACGAGATTTTGTACTTTTTGGCTTTGTTGGCTTCAATTTCTGCAATGAACATAGTCGGCACGCCGAGGAGCGCAGTACATTTCTCTTCTTCCAATGCGTCGAGGACCGAGTCAGCATCGAATTGATCGCAGGGGAACACAATTCTGCTGCCATGGGTGAATGACGACAGGAAGCCTATCACAAGACCGAAGCAGTGGAACAGGGGAGGTGGACAACATATGATGTCAGAGGAGTTCAAGTGCATGATCATTCCGATATAGCGGCCATTGTTGATTAGATTCCTGAACAGCTGGTTAGCATGGTAACTTGATCTCAACCGGATGGGGGCTCTGATAACCTGTGAGTCAGCATGGCTGCTTTCGGAGCGCCAGTGGTTCCTATTCCTGTCAGTCGGGGCTTTGAAAGCGTGCATAGGACAATTTGACATACCGGAAGTAAATTGGAGGTTAACAACATCTTCACACCTAACACGGCTCTCTGCTCGCTTTAGTGTTGCCTGGTCGATGTTCCTTCCCTCAGACACGAAAGACGAATAGGTGCACAACCCCAATGACTTGTGCGTTGCGTTGTCATCTGCTGCCAGGGAAACACAGGGCAGACTGCTCAGATCCTTGGCCACCGCTTCAATGTGCGTAGACAGGTCTTTCAGTCGGATTTTTGCAGCGATAAAGAGAAGTTTGCATGCTGTAATTCTAATCAGACGAGATTCGTGGAGACGAAAGTAGGGAAACTTGCAGGTTACGCTCAGCGCAGAGACCAGCTCTTTCGGGGTATAAGTGTTATTTAGGACGACGAACGGGCAGCCTATCCGGGCAGCAGCAATGAACGTTTCGAGGTACTGATAGCAATTCCCGGCCATGATTGCAATATTATCTCCATGCCTCAACCCTCTGGCCAACATCGACTTTGCAATTGCTTCACTTCGACTTGCGAGATCGTTGTATGAGAGCGTGTGACGTTGCCAGGAGAAGGTGGCTGCCGGGTGGTCTCCATATCGAGCAGCCTGTCGATGCACGAGTTCTCCCAGAGGCTCCTCGAATAAGGGCGGCGTTCGGGGGCCTGAAACAAAAGAAGAAGCGGACGACATTGTTGTCGTTGGTCCCGTTGAACGGCGGGCAAGATCAATGCTTGTCATAGTATACTTCGTAATGTATGCACGTCCTCAGAGTCTCAGCGATAGTCCTAGTGATGCTGCTGCAGACACAGTAGACGTGTGAGAACCCCAAAATTGGTGGCCAAGAGCGGAACTATAGACTTGAGCATAGTCGGCATAAAGGTATACATGCCTTGACCTCTGCTGCGACTCATGGTGGATGTGGAGCCGGTTCCGCTATGGCGGCCCGCCTTGCAGGGGTGGGCGCTGGGATTCCGAAACACCGTCGAACCCGGGGCAGCCTCGGCCCAGCCGTCCATCGCCATACTCAGGCACTGGGGTCGAGATGGCGGACTCCCATATCACATTGAATCCTGAAGCTCGTTTCACCAGGTTTGTCTCTAGGTCAACTTTGCTCTACCTCAAACCCCATTTCAATATGTCGCACGCTACTTCTTTCCCCGTGGTTGAGTCGCATCTCGATGTGACCAGAGAGCCGTATAAATCGAATCGAGAAGCATGGCAGCCGGTGATGGAGGAGTTCTCCACAAATCTGAGAAGGACCACATCCGAAGGGAACCATCAGTCCATCAACAAACATGAGATGAGGGGACAATTGTTGGCAAGAGACAGGATATCCTTGCTGTTGGACCCCGACTCGTCATTTCTTGAACTGGGCTCGTTTACCGGGTTCGACTTGCCAGACTCCAGCCCCTGTGCAAGCCTCTTGGCTGGTATCGGAAGCATCAGCGGCCGCATCTGCCTCATACTTGCACACATCGCAACACAAAGTGGCGGCGCATGGAACGAGTTGACGGTGATCAAACAAAACAGAGTGACGGAGATCGCCAATGAGAATGACCTACCAATCGTTGCCCTTGTGCAGTCGGCAGGAGTCTTTCTTCCGCAGCAATTTCGTGTGTTCCACAAGGGTGGACAGATTTTTCGTGATCTCGCTGTGCGAACCCAGAATGGACAGGCTTCCTGTGCCATTGTTTTCGGCTCTTCAACAGCTGGTGGCGCCTACCACCCTGGGCTGTCAGATTATACCATTTTCGTGGAAAATCAAGCGCAAGTATTCCTCGCCGGTCCTCCTCTGGTCAAAATGGCTACCGGCGAAAACATCGGCGCAGAAGAGCTGGGAGGGGCTCGAGTTCACGGGACTGTTACCGGCCTCGCGGATCAGATTGCCTTTGACGAGTTTGATGCAGTCCGGAAGGCTCGCGAATGGGTCAGCACTCTGTCGCCCCGGAATCGACCAGTGCAGCCTATGCGTCCGCCACTTGCACCTCGTTATCCAATTGAGGACATATTTTCCATAGTCAATCCTGACGTCCGGAAACCTTTCGATATGAAGGAGGTAGTTCTTCGGTTGGTTGACGAGTCACGTTTGGCCTTGTTCAAACCAGAATACGGCAGCAATTTGTTAACAGGGTGGGCCTATATCATGGGTAAGTTCTGAGCTGAATTGTGACGAGAAACAAGTACTGATTTGAAGTAGGGATGCGTGTTGGGATAATTGCAAACCAGACACCCATTATCAACCCGGACGAGGCGTCAAAGGGCACGCAATTCATTCGCCTGTGCAACCAACAGAACACACCGATCGTCTTTCTTCACAACGTGACGGGGTTCATGGTCGGCTCGAAGGCTGAGCATGCCGCAATCATCAAAAAGGGGGCGCAGTTTGTATCCGCGGTCAGTTGCTCAAAGGTGCCACATATTTCCGTCATCTTAGGGGCATCATATGGAGCAGGCAACTATGCCATGTGTGGAAGGTCATATCGGCCACGCTTTCTATTCACCTGGCCAACCGGACGGTGCAGCGTTATGGGACCAGAGCAGCTGTCCGGGGTCATGGCTCAGGTTGAAGCCAACAGTGCCCGAAGCAAAGGAGTGATTCTCAAACCCGAGGAAGTGGAAGCGAGAGTGCAGCGTCTGCAGAAGGAGGTCCAGAGAGATAGCAGTGCGTACCGGACAAGCGCGTACATGCTCGATGACGGAGTGATTGATCCTCGAGACACTCGCGATGTGCTTGCAATGTGTCTAGAAATCGTGCAAATACCAGGAGTGCAAGGAAGCGCAGGACACCGGGCGTTGGCAAGGATATGATGCGATACGGCAAACGAGAATAAAATTGGCAGACGAGACGAGGAGTCTTGGGGAGTGTGGGCGGAGCGAGGTCGAAGAGCTCGAGAGCTGTACTTAAAATCAATTCAGTCTGACAGATAGATTTCTCCCTGCGTAGATGCAGTCTGTCATAACGAGGGCGGGGCTTCGTCCTGTCAGACAAAGCACCCGATGTAGGCTAATAGACACCACCGGGGCGCACACCACTTCTTCTCGCTTACCTTGGCTTTACTTGCCACTTACCTGGTACTTCTGCATCAGCCCTCTGGAGATGCCGCTTCCCTGTGTAAATCCCGTCTTTGAGCTTTGCATATCTATCAGCCTTCATGGATGACAGGCGCGAGGCTAAAAGAGCCCGCCAGGCGTGTCTCAACTGCAGAAGGTGAGTCGATCCTGTGGGCAACGGAGACGCGGTCTTCAGACAATGCTTTCGACATCGCACCTCGAGCACTTATCAACATGGGCTGATAGTGATTGGCAGAAAGAAGACGCGCTGCTCGGGGGAGAAGCCAGTGTGTGCCTTTTGTGCGCGCCTGAATCAGCGCTGTACGTGGGATGGCGACGAAGATGCCTCGCCTGAGCGACTCGTGGACACGGGCCGAGCCCCATCCTCGTCAAGTACAGCCGCTCACAATGCAAGTCTCGCTGCAAGAGTCGCTTTGCTCGAGTCTCGGCTGAGCTTTCTGGACGCGGACAATGCTTTCAATCTGTTCGCTTCCGTGTCGCCACAGACGACAATCAATCAGTCAGCCGACCAGCCTCCTGTTGTCGACGAGATCGTCCGGACGAATAGCGATTTCGCCTTCCTCCCAGATCCCGCAATCTTTAGATCTCTTGTTCAAATCTACTTTGATCGTTGTCACAACCAGCCTTACGCATTTTTCCATGAAGACATGTTTCGCCATGACTATGAATCCGGAGCATTGCCAGAATATCTACTCTATGCTTTTGCTGCTGCTGCCTGCCGCTTCTCCGACCATGAATTCTATCAACAACGTCGTGGCGAGGCTATAGATGCCTACGCCCAGGCGTCCTTTGGGCAGATATTCGAGCACTCATTCTCAGACGCCGAGAGCTTAGAGCCATGGATGGTGGTAGCTTTGGCCATGTTGGCGATTGTTGATTTCGCAGGTGAGTTTGGCGAGACGCTTTCTTCCAGGTATGCAAAGGTTGACTCAGCATCGACTGCAGCCGGACGTCCAAAGATCGGCTGGGTGAAACTGGCTCTATCGTGTCGGTTCGCACAAGCCCTGCGTCTGAACGAAGAGCCCGACCAACAACTTCCCGTCCACGAACAAGAAGAGCGGCGTCGAATATTCTGGTCCGTCTATCTACTCGATATCATCATGTCAGTCGGGCCCAACCGGCCTCCCTCACTTCTCGATGAAGACTGCACCGTCCGTCTTCCATGCCATGAAGGTCTTTTCAGAGATGGGCTTGATGGCGGCCCTGTGCCAATTTTGACCGCTGTTGTTGAAAACCCGTCAGGTTCCAACCACCAGAACCTGGATCCCTTTGCCATGACCATAATCATGGCGTCGGCACTGGGCCGATTTATACGGTTTAGCTTGAAGCGCACTTTGAACACGACGCACGTCCTCTGGGATCCACGGTCAAAATATTATGAAGTACAGAGCATCTTATTGTTCTACGAAAGCCACTCGCCATGTGCCTTTAGCACCATTTCCGAGGCGCTAAATCGACAGCCTTCGTTCACCGAATCCGCATCACCGTCACAAGTCAGTCACATTGTCTACGCTCATGCCCTCTATCACCTCAACAACTGTCTTCTCAACCACCCATTCATATTATACCGCTTCTTCCAGGCTTATACATTACCCGTCCCTCTAAGTTTCGTGCAAGAAGCGCTACAAAGATGCCAAAAGCACGCCACAAACCTCCTTGAGCTTCTCGACGATCTGGAAACGTATGGCCCCCTTAGCCATCCCAGCTTTTATGGGTATTGTGCAATGGCGGCAGGGGTGATACATAGCATATATGAGAAAAGCGATGACGCAGAAGTCGCGCAGAATTCGAGGAAACACGTCCAGGCTGCGCTGAAATTTCTACAACGTGAACCGGTGCGATGGGGTCATGTGAGCTACATGGTAAGTGATAAGGACCTCCTGCATGCATCGATCGCCTTGCATGCCATCCCACTATACTACACGATGATAGTGCCATGATAGGCCAAACAAATTGAAGAATGTGCGCTAATCGAATTTCAAGGGTACCCTTCTCCGCTCATTCAAGCTGGATCCCGGGGTTGCAAGGGTTCTCACAAACCCTGTGAGCCTGGCACAGAAAGTGACTGTTCCACTTGGAAATATGCTATGGCAGCTCCTTGATTATGCTTGGTTACCCCGTAACATGCGGCCCGGTGAGAGTACGTCTCCGGCAGATCTACTACCCGGAACAGGACACTTGCGTCCAAACATTACCGAGTCGGTGGCTTCCGACAGCACGAATATTCCGGGAAGCCAATTCAACGGAAGTGGTGTATTGCCTCCAACGTACGCCCGTATGCTGGGTGAAGACATGGGGGAAATTTTGTCAGAAGCCATGGGAGATAACGGCATGCAGGGATTTACACAACCCACGTTTTCCAACAGATCTTCGGCTGCTTTTTGATACCCCGTGGATCTTTAATGTCACAACTTGCTCGATGGACGAGTCAGCCTTTGCAACTCCTTTGTCTCTAGCTTGACTGCAAGGTCGCTCAATATCTCATCACTGCCTCCGCCCACAACCATGACCCGTACATCTCGACTGATTTGCTCGATTCTGGCACCCTTTCCCGTCCTCGAATAGCCTGCTCCGCCCATGATCTGCTGCGCATCTCGGTTGACACGCTCAAGTACCCGGCCGGCGCTGGTCTTCAGGGTGGCGATCATTCCTCCAAGATTGAGGTCCCCCTGGGATGCGGCCAGGTTACCCGCGCGGCGACCTTGAGCCTTTCTCTTTCGCTCGTGCTCCGTCAAGTACACAATTGATTCCAGGTACGCATAAACGGGTTCGACATCACGCGCAAAGTCCGCAAACTTAGCCGAGATCACCTGGTTCGCAATCAGGGGCTTGCCGAAAGTTTCTCTTCTGAGCGCATGGGCATGAGCGTCTTCGATGCAGACACGCGCCATGCGAAGAGATGTGCAAGCCAGCCAAAGTCTTTCATGGTTGAAGTTCGACATGATGATATCGAACCCACGGTTTTCTGTGCCTAGGAGATTTGACACAGGTACCGCAACGTCGTCAAACTCGATATATGTGGAGCCGCTGGCATTGACCCCAGAGTTTTCGATTTTGCTGCATTTGACACCGGGAGCACTGAGCGGTATTATCAGGGCAGACACTCCCGATCGGCCTGGTTCACCTGTGCGTACCGCGGCGGTGCAATAGTCAGCGAATATGGCGTTCGTGATCCACTTCTTCGCTCCGTTCACGATATATACATCGCCACGACGCTCTGCCGTCGTTGTGATACCCGCCACGTCAGACCCGGCTATATCGAGTTAGGACCATGGTACAGAATCAAAAGAGAGTTGGGTGGGGAATTACCGTCTGGCTCAGTGACACCAAGACAAAACCGCGATCTACCAGCGATTACGTCCGGCAAGAATCTCGCCTTCTGCTCTTCACTTCCGAAATTTATCAGAGGCGGAGCGCCGATGGAATTGCCGCAACTCAACGCCCAGATCACGCCCAGGTAGCCACACCTGGCAATCTCGTCGATCACGATCAGGTCGTGGAACCCATCCCACTCTTCCGGGTCGATGTCTCCAGGCAGTCTCTGGCCCAGGGCCTTTATCTGCGCCACGGCAAGCGGATAGATGGAGACGGCCATATATCCCAACCGCGCGTGGTTGAGTATGACATCCTTGGGAACGGAGCCCTGTCGTTCCCAGTCCTCACAGAACGGCGTGATGTGAGTGGTGACGTATTCGCGCGCTTCGGCCTGGAGGCGCCGGTGGCTCGCGGTGTAGTAGGGACTCACATCGCGAGAGAGCCAGGGCGGATCTGCGTAGGGTGCTGGGGAGATGGAGGGAGCCATTGTGGGAAGAAGCACCAAACTTTCAAACGATCAAAGGTCAAAATACAAGAACAGAGAGGGATGTTTATTCTCTTCTTCTACGTGAGTTGTGCTGGAAGAAACCCTTTTTATCAAACCTATTTCACTGCTCGGCCATTTGAACCCACCCAAACCCCTGCAATGGCATGGGCCTCACACGTTCGCCTCAGCCGAGGCGGAGTTGTGGGGGGAGATATTTTGACGACTGTCACGCTGGGTGGACCAACGTCCCTGCTTTCTTGCGCATGAAGACGCATGCAGGCTGCTCGTACTATTCCTACCTGCCCACCTGGCGTGTGATCTACGCGGTGCATGCTGCATTTCTCCTACATATGCACCTAGGCCGAGGCACTGCGCACTCCGTACTCCGTAACGATCGAATTGCTTCGGGCTGATCTGGGGCGGATGGACCTCGTGGAGCCTGGCGGGGCGAACCACCCGGTTTCCGGGTTCCGCATCGGTCTTGGTCTTGGCCGTGGGCGGGCCGGGTTGGGATTAGTCGGCTACGTGGACAGATGCACGGAAGGAAAGGATGGATAGATACTCGTAGACTCGTCTCTGAGTGGCGCATACTCCTCGGCATCATCCTCGTAGATTATGAAGCTTGGTGGTACCAGGTGGGAAGAATGCCGTACACTGTGGTAAGTGGGTCGCCGGGGTCTTGGTTGGCGGGCACGTCAACTTGTGTATAGAGAGAGAGAGCGGGCGTCTGGCGGGCAGTGTTTGTACTGTCAGCTTTAGACAGTCTTACAAGCTGCTACGCATGAGATGCTTGCCGTGAGAGAACGACAATGGACTATCTGTGCACATTCGCCATATCGAGTCCTCAACCGCATCGGATCTCGCTGAAGAAAAATTGAGATTTTCTCTATATACATAGTCATTCGTATTTTACTGTATAAAAATTACTGCCACTGCACGCCACTGCCTCTATTCAACCCAGCACAACACCGCCCCGTCATTGACGGCATCCCCATTCTTGACGCCAGTCATGAACTTGCCATCCACATTGATGCAGATGTTTGTCTCCATCTTCATGCTCTCAATGACCATGACCACTTCCCCAGCCTTGACATGATCGCCTTGGGACTTGAGCACCGAGAGGACCTTGCACGGCATGGGCGACTTGATCACTTTGGATGTCGAAGACGCCGCCGAGACGCCGCCTTGTCGTAGACTCTCCATGTAATTGAGGGTGCTGTAGCATTTGTATTCCACCCAGGTCCCTAGCCCTGGGAAGTGGCACAAGACCGTCTGGTACGAGCCGGTGGATGAGGCAGGGTTGGAAGGTGTGTCTGTAGCGATGTGGGCGTGGATTATGGATTGGTTGATTGAGATGGCTACTGATACCGTTCTCCATGCGGCGGCGTTGTCGCCCGTGGTATTGGTATGTTGTATATCTCTCCACTTTGTGAATTCTACCGTGTACTGTGGAGCCTGGGCCAGAGAGGTATCTCTGAGCTTGTGGCTGATGGCATGATATTGCCGAGATATTTGGTAGGCCTCAGAATTGTTGCGGCTTGCGGTAGTGTCTGATGAGGCACTGTCGTCTTCGCCGGACGGAATGGGGACTAATGTAGCCTGGTATTTTGAGTGGCCACTCTCGCCTCGGGACAGGGCAGTCCAAATCGACAAGATCGGCGTTTGGGCGGATGACGGCTCTGAAGGGACAATTATAGTTGTGCTGCGATTGACGGGATCAAAGTATTGATTCCTGAACCCTCGAGTGACGTGCCTAAAAGGTCTTGCGTCGGTCATCAACCGAGATGCTTCGTTCCTCAGCACCAGACCCGGAACAAGTGAGAGCATAGATATCATGTCTTGGGCAGATTCGGTGTAGGGATTCTTCAGCAGACTTTGCACATGTGTCGGGATGAGCGAGGTCGTGTATGCCGGATCATGAAAACTGTGGTGTAAAAGGCAGGCCTGCAGGAAAAGTTGGTTGGTTTTCACGCCTGCGCATACCGTGTTTGCCAACACCTTGACCATTTTCGAGATTGCCATGGCTCTTGTTGGCGCCCATACCACAATTTTCGCGATCATCGAATCAAAGTAGATGGATATGCTGGATCCAGTTTGTACAGAGGTCTCGTATCGTACGTCTCTTGACCCCGGGTACTGGTCTGACTCGCGCCACAGTTGAATGGTGCCATTCTGTGGCATAAAGTCACTACTGGGATCTTCGGCGCAGAGGCGGCACTCGATAGCATGGCCCTTTTGTGGAATGCGCTGTAGGACGGCGAGACTGGCTAGTGATCCTCCGGCGGCCACAAACAATTGCAGAGAGACAATGTCTAGGCCCGTAACTTCTTCCGTGATGGGGTGCTCGACTTGCAGGCGCGTGTTGACTTCGAGAAAATAGAAACTTCCGTCCCTGGCGTCAACGACAAACTCGACAGTGCCGGCACCCTCATAGCCAATGAGCTCGCCTATTTGAACAGCAACTGCACACATTCTTTGCCTCTGTTCGGGTGATAGAAATGGGGACGGTGTCTCCTCGATAATCTTCTGGTGCCGTCGCTGAACTGAGCATTCTCTCTCCCACAATGAGAAGACTTTGCCATGGCTATCACCAATGATCTGGACTTCGACGTGTTTGGCCGCTTCGATGTACTTCTCCAGAATACAATCGCTCGATCCAAAGGAACGCTGAGCCTCGGATTGTGCGCGAGCAAGCTCGCCCGCAAGTTGCGAGCGCTCTCGAACAATCCGCATCCCGCGACCGCCGCCTCCAGCAGACGCTTTTAGCATCACCGGAAACCCTACATTTTCTGCTGCGGATTCCAACTCTTCGACATTCTGGCTTGAGCCTGTGAATCCTGGAATGAGCGGAACACTTGGCGCATGTTTCCTCAGGTAGTCCTTTGAATTCCGCTTGTCGCCCAACGTTGACATGGCTTGGGAACTTGGTCCAATAAAGATCAGTCCTGCTTGGCGTACAGCGTCCGCAAACTTTTCGTTTTCGCTGAGATAGCCATAGCCCGGATGGATGGCATCAACGCCCCTCGATCGTGCAACATCAACAAGAAGCTGGATGTTCAGAAATGGGTTTCCTCCGGGTTGATTGATGCTTCCTAAATTGACAGCTTCATCTGCCTCAGCAACATGGCGCGAAGACGAGTCTTCTTGTGCATAAATGGCAATCGAAGTTAGATCTAGTTTCCGACATGTTGCAATGATTCGACAAGCGATTTCGCCTCTATTCGCAATCAGCACCCTCTGAATCTGCCTTCTGCCATGGCTGCTGGAAGGTAACTGGGCGACGAAGAGGGGTGATCGTTGCGGCGTTGCAGATGTTTGGTCTGGGGCTGACTGGTTATTGTGATACTGCCTCATCGTGATGGTTTATTTGGTTGCCGAAAGTTTTGAAAAGGGTTGCTCCATCAAGGCCTTGGGTGGGCAGCGCATTCTGGCTAATACATAGGAGAAATAGAACGCTCCTCAGGCTCCATATCTCCCCGGACATGATCTCAATCCCCCCCGGGACAGAATCGCCAGCACCATCCCGCTAGATACCCTGCCGAGGCAAGCGATATGCCGTCCCCTTGTGGGCGGACAAGGCGGGCCGCGCGACGAGGGCCGATTGATCTGGCACCCTGCATGTCTGACCAAGCCCGGTTTACTGAAGGCAACGGCTAATTCATGGAGCTGTCTGAGAGACCAGTCCCGTGTCTGTCTGAAGCAAGGTTGCAGCAGATTATGAAGAGCAGTTGGAGCGATCGAACAGTCGTGGTCGTTGACCACCTGGGCACCAACTTCGAGGCACTTGCATTTCCTGGTCAAAATGCTTCACCGGATAAATGTCACGTGTTTGCCAAGATGTGCTAACCTGTTTTGGCATATTGTCGATGTCGAGTTTCAAGATTCATTTTTGTGACAGACTTTGCTGAAGAAAAACCATCCCGGAAATCCACAAAGCATCTGAGCCAGAAACATTCTCTGGATAATCGAATAAATCGTATCCGCAGATTTCGAAAGTCGAACTTACCGGGTACGAAAATTTCAGAGATCAACACCATAAGGCCGCTAAGATGTCCCTTACCAACGTCATCGACGCGGAGAACGCCCCGAATTATGAGGACATGGAGAAGCAGTTCGCGGTGAAGGCAGTGCAACAAATGACCGTCTATTGGAGTATCCTCGAAAAGTTGCCCGGCTCAAAACTTCGCTTGACTCGACTTGACGACGAGATTCTAGAGCACTTCAAGCGTGAATTTCCGGACTTCGACCCAGCTGAAGAGATTGATGAGGATGCCATGAAGAGCAAAGAGGGCAAAGAGAAGTGGCGCGAATTTGCCAAGGTCTACGAAAAGGGCGAAAAGAAAATCGAGGACTACAACTTCGGCACCATGTTGCGGAAGAGCCCCAAGACCGAGTATGGCGAAAAAGAAACAATTTTCGTAATCCGGGTGCAGTTTTATGCGATAGAAATTGCTAGGAACAGGGCTGGGCTGAACGACTGGATATACGAAAACGCCCAGAAGGAGAAGTCGTAAAGATGGAGAGGAGCACGCCAACCGCAAATTGGACCACCAGAAACAATGCCGAGCCGTTGGTAACAGCAACAAGACGGCTCCAGAGGCCTCTTTTTGAAGCGCACCGAGTCCCAGAGGTCTCAGTGCCAGGGCCCCTTGGGTACACCTGCACATTCCACAAGAACAATATCAAGGTGTGCCGTCGACGGCCTTGGCATTCAACATTCAAATCGAGGAATGAACATTGTTTTCAATAATGACTTTGCATGGTTCAAGTTGTTGATTCTTGATGTCTCGTCCCCTGCGATCGGTTCGCGCCATTGAAACGTTGGACCCTGTCGACAATGTCTAGTCAAGGTTCCATCTTCGCGACATGACCACAAGTACACCAGATGAACGTCAAAATGAGTCTAACGAAGCGCCGCAGAAACATGTCTTCTTCGGTCGCTGGAGAAGCATTTTCAACTTCACAGCAAAAGCACACCTGTCCGTATTATTGCCGGCCGTCATCCTCTCATCCGCAGCAGGATGCTTACAACCAGCAATGGCATTCTTTTTTGGGAAATTCTTCGACACATTTTCAGACTTTGCTGCTGGAAAGACTGACGGCTCGACCTTCATGGAGCGCTCTCTGGGTAGTCTCTATGCGCTCTTGGGAGTGGCAGCCGCCACCTTTTTCTTCAAGGGCATCCTTTTTAGCCTCTGGCTAGTGTTCGGCGAGATGCAGGCAAGGAGAATTCGTGAATTACTCTTCCAATCTCTGCTCGACCGTGAAATAGAGTGGTACGAGGCACGAACGACCGGAGTAGGGACGCTCTTAAACAGGTTCCAGAGGTACGGCGTGCCGAGCATGATTTGGCCTCTCTCTAATGATATCAGACAGATCCGAGAACTGCAGTTAGGGACCTCACAACCTCTTGGGCTCATAATTGTGTGCCTGGTTCAAGCATTGGCTGGACTTAGCCTCGCAATGCTCACAAACTGGAAGTTGACTTTGGTTGTGCTCTCAGATATACCTATCATCGCCGTTGGCAGCACCCTTATTTCTCGACATCTACAGGCGAACATCGACCAGCAGAACAAAAATTTGAACACTGCCACCAGCTTAGCCAACAACTGTGTCACAAACATCGCGACCGTGAAGTGTTTCAACAGCCAGGACCAAGAAGGAGAGAAGTACTCTTCCGCGGTCAGGGCAGCCGGTTTGTTCTCCTCGAAGCAGGCGTTTTCTACTGCGCTGCAGTCCGGTTTTGTACGTTTTACTACAACCGCAATGTTCGTCCAGGGCAAGTTCCTCGCACCTGCCCATAGATCGACTCTCATGAATGTTTGCAGGGTTCTGGTATGGTGGAACACAAGTTCATGCTGGTGCAACTACTGCCGGCAAAGTGGTCACGACATTTTGGGCCTGTCTCATAGCCACGAAAGCGTTTGAGGATATGTTGCCACATTGCATCATCCTCCAACGGAGCCAATTGTCAGCCCTAGCATTGGAGGCAATGGTGGACAAAGTCATGGACGGGCAGCTGCGATTGCGCCAGGTAAGGGGAATATCGCCACAATTTTGCGAAGGGAACATCGAAATCCGGGGGGTATGTGTTCAAGTGTTTGTCGCACGTTGATTGTCTAACTCTGAAAAGGTCTCCTTTGCTTACCCTTCAAGACCTACCACGCTCGCTCTGGACAACTGCACATTATATTTTCCTGCGGGAGAGACCACATTTATCGTGGGTAGGAGCGGATCTGGGAAAAGCACACTCAGCAATATACTGATGAGATTCTATCACCCTAAGAGTGGAGCAATTTTCATCGACGACAATGCTTTGGGAGATATTGATACAAACTGGCTCAGAAACAATATCACTCTGGTGCAACAAAAGTGTGTACTTTTCAATGACACGATTTTCAGAAACGTTGCTCTTGGTCGACGCGAATTCGATCGAGTTACTGAGGCTCGCGTGAACGAATGTCTCGGGATGGCAGCTTTGGAACGCACTGTTGAGCAACTTCCAGAACGTATCCACACTAGAGTTGGGACAGGTGGCTCATCTCTCTCAGGAGGTCAAAAGCAGCGGATTGCCATTGCACGTGCTTGTCTGAGAGATACACCGATCTTGATACTGGACGAAGCAACAAGTGCTCTTGACAACTCGAGCAAGATGGCCGTCATGAGATCCATGCGAGAGTGGCGACGCGGAAAAACGACCATCGTTATTACACATGATCTGAGTCAAATACAAGACAATGATTTCGTGTACGTCCTTGAAACCGGTCGAGTCATTCAGGAAGGTCCGCGTGGAAGTCTTGCCGACTTCAAAAGTACCGCCACTGATCAGGGAGCCTGCGCAAAGGAGCTGACAATCGGACAAATCAATTGCTCCATTGATGGTAACCGACCAATGTCACGCCGCGGCCTTGCGGACTCGCCCAAACCGGTCATCCCATCTTTGCCCTCCAGGAAGGACTCGTTCGATTTCGACACAGCAGCAAGTGTAGAAGGTCACAACTTCGAAGATGTTCGGGGCTCTCAGCAAGGGGTACAACTTGGACATCGACTAAGGAAGGGACTATCTTCAAGCGGTGGAGCTGCACTGAGTCTCCTCAAGCGACAATCGATGGCTCGTGCCAGAGCTATGTACAATCTCGATCAAAGCAGGACATCTGAGCATCACGTAGCGACGTTGCCATCCACAATGTATGCTAGTCCTGGCGTCATTGTTCGCAGATCCATTTTTGTTCCGACCGTTCCGAGGAACCCAAGGATCGGGTACAAACCGTTACCCATACCACCTCTAAGGTACGACTCTTGTGGTGGAAACAAAATTGCAGCTCACGATATCACAGACGTACTTCCTGGTGAAAGAGCGAACCAACAACTACAACCGGCAGCTTCACTCCCCACAATATTGCTTACAATATGGCCTAACCTTGACATTGCTTACCGAAGCAAACTGCTTCTTGGATTGCTCGCAACATTGGTCCACGCAGGATCGCCAGCCGCATTCTCGTATGCGCTCGTGCAAGTCTTTGATACCTATTACTTGCCGACAGGATACCAGAGGAAAGCCTTGATCTACTCAATGGTCGTGATTGGAATCGCCTTCGCCGATGGTTTAGCGTGTTTCTTCATGCAATATCTTCTCGACTCTGCAAGTCAATCGTGGGTGGACACGCTCAGAATCCAAGCATTGCAGCGTATTCTACGTCAACCTAAGGCCTGGTTCGATGAAGAACATAACAATCCCGCAGCTCTCATATCCTCGCTTGATACGAATGCAGAAGAAGTGAAGAACCTTGTGGAAAAGTTTGCGGCCCAGCTCCTCGTCATTGCTGTTATGATGGCCGTGGCCATAATATGGTCGATGTTCTTGTGTTGGAAGATCACACTGGTCAGTCTTGCAGCCTCTCCGGTGCTCTATATTCTGGCAAAGTGTTTTGGAACTGTCTCTACAGTGTGGGAATCTCGATCAAGCTCGGCCAGTGACGTTGTCAATGAAATATTCGTCGAATCTTTCGCAGACATCAAGACAGTTCGATCCCTGACTTTAGAATCTTACTTTCACAAGAAGTATCGCAATGCCACCCGTCAGACCTTTTCCACAGGCGTCCGACGAGCTTTTTACTGCGGTTTCTTCTTCGGCCTATCCGATTCCGCCATCGCTTTTTTCACGCCTATGATTTTCTGGTATGGCGCTCGCCTTGCAAAAGATCAGGAATGGCCGGTCAACTCTATATTTACTGTGTTTGGGCTCCTGTTGTTTTGTACTGCCAACGCGAATGCGGTCCTTACATACATCCCTCAGACCAGCTCTGCGGCGGATACTGCCTGTCGCCTGATTTGGCTTGCACGCATGCAAGTCGACTCTCATGAAGAGGTTGGGAAAGTTCAGCTAGACAAAGCTGATCCAGCCACTCTCTCGGGGCCGATCCATTTTATCAACCTGACATTCTTCTACCCGACCCGACCAGAGGTAGCGGCGCTTCGACGACTGAATCTCACCATACTCCCTGGGAAAGCCACCGCAATAGTAGGAGCCTCGGGCTCTGGAAAGTCAACCATTGTGTCTCTGCTTCTAGGCCTCTACGCCCCAACGGCGGATCACCTCGCACTCTCCCCTTCGAACCCCTGGGAATGTGGTCCGGCATCACTCACCTTGTCCGGCCGCGACATTCGAACACTGGACCTCTCCTCTCTCCGTTCTCTGATCGCCACGGTCCCACAAATCCCCGTGCTCCTCCCCGCAACAGTGCGCGAGAATATCACGTACGGCCTCCCGCCCGACTCCCCCTGGAGATCAGCAACTCGCATCGAATCCGCCGCGCGCTCAGCCGAGATCCACGAATTCATCCAATCCCTCCCGCAAGGCTACGCAACCATCATAGGTGACGGCGGCATCGGTATCTCGGGCGGCCAAGCACAGCGCATCGTCATCGCCCGCGCGCTCATCCGCGACCCCAAGATTCTCATCCTCGACGAAGCGACCAGCGCGTTGGACCGGGAAAGCGCGGCGAGTATTCGAGAGAGCATCAAGAGGCTGAGTCGGGGAAAAAGGGGCAAATTGACTGTTGTGATGGTCACGCACGCGCGGGAGATGATGGAGATTGCAGACCATGTCGTCGTCATGGAGGAGGGGAGCGTGGTTGAACAGGGCGATTTTACGGAGTTGGTCGGGAAGAGAGGGAAGTTGTGGGCACTGCTGAATGCTGGAGATGGTGACGAAGGTGCAAGTCAGACGGCATTTGCTTAAGGCGGACGGTGTCCTTGTGGAGAGGATGGGACGAAGTACACTGTGGAAAGACAATCTGTCTCTATCAATTCTCTTTATATGATGCAGCTCACCCATATCTCTACAAGCCCCCCTTAACTACACTTCCCCTAATTAATCCCAGGCTATGAATAACAGCCTCTCCATCATTCAGTTCCTGCCACTCTGTTCTCTTCAATCCAACTCCTGACCGCCGTCCAGTTCTTGCACGTATGCAACGCGCTCGCGGATCCACTCATCACCGTCTTCTGATGGCCGACGTAGTGATGCGGACCATTGACGTTAAGGGGCGAAAACGCGCCGCCGTCGCGCGTCGGTTCCAGCGTCGTGTCAGCGGCGCAGAGAAGGGCTTGTCGGACTAAATTTTGATGAAACGACAGGGGTTAGTTCAGTTCAAGCGCTAGAGAGAAGAGAGAAGCAAGAAGAAAGAATATGGGAGGAGATCTGACTCACCGTGGTCGAGGCAGTGATAGACTTGGGCTTTCTCGTGAACGTGGGGGTGTTGTTCGTGGTCGTAGTCGATTAGGATTTGGCGGATGAACGCCTAGGCGTGAAACGAGCTCGTGGTCAGTCACAAATCCAATCCTATACAATCGTGCAGCCTGTTGTTGGCCGGGACGGGAATGGGAGGTTCCGGGGTCAGGAAGAGCTTACCAGGCACTCCAATTGCCTCACGACCGCAACATCGTATATCTCGGTATCAGAAACCGCTTGTCCATCTCCATCAACCGCGGCAGCGCTGGGAGGCAGTCCATACTTCCTCGGGTGGCGGACAGATACTCTTCCGTCTCCCTTCGGAAACATGCGCAGCCACGCACGATCGCCTCTGGACCCTTGGAGCTGGAACTCATATCTATCCGCAAATACTGAAGGAGCTGCGCCGAAGGATGGCGTGAAGGTCTGGAGTTGGTGATCCGTATGTGCGGTGCTGTTGGTCTTCCAGTACGCGGACGGGAAGGCAGGGATGACCAGCTGGTGTCGATAGCTGAAGAAAGACCAGGAGAGGGCACCCGCGAAGAGGAGGACGCTGAAGACAACTTTTAGTGGGTGGCGTTTAGAAGTAGAGTCTTCTGCCGGTACAGGCTCTCCAGTGTATTCCCCACGAGGGGATTTGGGCGTCCGCGGAACGACCAGAGCGTCCTTCTCACCGCGGTAGGGTGGGCGGAATCGAAGAGTCGAAGGCATCGTGTGGTCATAGAAGGGCCTTTAAAGTCATTGCTCAACGCAAGAGCGAAGGTATTTGAGGGCTGTCGACGCAGCTTGGACATCAAGAGCAGTTTGAGAACCACTGTGGCGCTGTAAGGCCGCATTAGGCGATTGCAAAGATCCCAAAGACCGCGAGCAATGAAACGGCCAGACAAAGGAACAAAGACCGGTCTGACAAGCAGCTGAATCTGTTGAAAGCGTCCATGGACAAAACCACCTGCATCCATACCACACCACAGTGAATGCAATGAAAGGTAATGGTAGCTTAAGCAATTGGGTCACAGTGTTCAGCGGTTTCGAAGTCGTTGTTCACGTTCAAAGCGTAGCAGTCAGTAAGTGGAATTGCTTCGACAATGGATGCGCACTCGTTTACTGGACAGGACTTCCCTGTATGATACTGGGAAGCTCAGTTACGAGTGGTTCGAGGAATCAGGGAGAAGAAACAGAATAATGGATGAATGTCTTGCCAGCAGTTGAGATTCAGGTTGGGAATCAGGTTGGGCCATGGGGGAGGAGGATAGAGGAATCGGCCCAGGTCAATAAGATGAGGAATCGACCAATCATAATTCGCCCTTAAAGTTCATACCTCTTTCGGAGTTAGCGTGCGGCTGGTCCCGAACTTTACCCGACCAGCATGTTTTTCTTGTTCTCGACGTCGCGAATCTTTCAGCATCGCATTTCACGTCGACGATATAACACAAAACTCACCAGCAAAGGGGCGAATCATGGCAGATACTCAGTCCCGCAAGCGCTCAAGGTCTGCCGATGGCGCGAACTCCGGGAGCGAGTCCTCCGACGATGACTTTGGCCCGGCTTTGCCATCTTCAGTCCCCCCGAAAAAGAAACGCAAGCTCCCATATGAATCTCTGTACGTGGACGCCTTACCAAAAGGGCTGAGGTATTCCAAGTCATTGATGCACAAGGATCAGCTGCTCGCCGTGACGATTGCGCCGTCGCCCGCTGATTTCGTCATCACCACTTCCGTCGATGGCGTTGTTAAATTCTGGAAGAAAATCGCCGTTGGGATCGAGTTCGCCAAAGAGTATCGGGCACATGAAGGACGAATAGTGAGCTCCTCAGTCAGCGTCGACGGAGCTTTCTTCGCCACAGCTGGTGACGAGGACGACAGCACCATCAAGATTTTCGACGTCATTACCTTCGATCTACTGGCTATTTTGAACCTTGAGAGCCCAGCTTCTTGTATATGTTGGGTACATCGGAGAGGAGCTTCGCCGATATTAGCGGTCGCTAGAGGCAAAGAGATACATATCTACGACGATCCCGGTAACTCACAGACGCCCGTGCAAACTTTGTCTTCCCTTCACAGAGCACCGGTGGTTGCTATGGCGTACAACCCAGCCTTTGACTGCGTCGTGTCGGCGGACTCCACCGGCATGATCGAATACTGGCAACCGGGCGACAACTACGAAAAGCCGGACAGCGTTTTCAAGATGAAGTCAATGACAAATCTGTTCGACTTCAAAAAGGCAAAATCCGCCCCTTGCTGTATCACAATATCGCCCTCGGGCTACCAGTTTGCCACGATATCATTTCCAGACCGGAAGATTCGAGTTTTCGACTTTGCTTCCGGCAAGCTCTATCGTTCATACGATGAATCTCTCGAGACAATAACCTCGATGCAACAAGCAGGGACTGCACTCCAGAAGCTCGATGAGGTTGAGTTTGGACGGAGGATGGCGGTTGAGCGCGAACTCGATAGCCCAACCGTCAGGTCGAGAATCAACATTGTGTTTGACGAATCAGGCCACTTCATTGCGTACGGGTCGCTACTAGGAGTCAAGGTCATCAATACCCTCACTAATCGAGTGATGAAAGCGTATGGCAAGGACGAACCATTCCGTGCTCTGAACGTGGCTTTGTATCAGGGCGCTCCCCAGAAGAAAGACGTGGTGACAGTGTCGATGGCTGCTAGTGCCAATCCCCTGCTCAACGAAGCCGAGGCCAGAGACCCCATGCTGTTTGCGACTGCATATGGCAAAGTGCGATTCTACATGTTCACCAACGACGAAGAGATTAGCAAATCCACTCGAGATGTGCAGAATGAGAAACCACGAGTCATATCTGGAAAGAAAAAGGAAGAGAAGAAGGCTCAGTCGGGCACATCTGCCGTCCTGCATACCACCTATGGCGATATCCATATCAGACTGTTTCCGGACAAGGCACCAAAGGCCGTGGAAAACTTCGTCACCCACGCAAGGAACGGCTACTACAACAACACGATCTTCCACCGCGTGATCAGAAAATTCATGATCCAAGGCGGAGATCCGCTGGGCGATGGCACTGGCGGCGAGAGCATCTGGGGGAAAGAATTCGAGGACGAATTTTCTGATCTCAAGCACGACAAGCCGTATACCGTGAGTATGGCTAATGCAGGACCAAACACAAATGGGTCGCAATTCTTCATCACCACCGAGAAAACAACTTGGCTGGACAACAAGCACACCATCTTCGGACGTGCGTACAAAGGTTTGGATGTGATCCATCAAATTGAAAACACAAAGGTACGAAAGGAGAAGCCAGAGGAGGACATTAAGATAGTCAATATCTCAATCAGTTGAGAAGGATAGTGAATACAGTGTGACGGCAATGTGAAGTCAGCCCTTAGTCCCACCAGATACGTAGCAGAAGAGAAGCATCGTTGGCCTTGTATTGAATACCTAGGCACCTAGCCGCCTAGTGAAGACTTCCAGCTGCCTAAACGCCGTGCGTCCCGTCGCGTCTTATTGTTCGCGCCATTCACGTCGCCTTCTCCGCATTTTCAATCTCTCCTCACATCGCGACACATTTATTTTTTTCCGCCAGCACCACTCGCTTCCATGCGCACGGACAGCGCATTGTCGCCGCCATGGTCAAGTTGCGTGTCGCCGCGAGGATCATCTCTGAAGACGAATACCTCAGAAGTCTTCAAGGATCCGCCAGTTCACCGGTCAAAGGCGAGAAGCGGCTAGTTGTGGTTGTGCGAGAACCGTACAAATGGCAGATCGGAACTCTAGCTCTCGAGGTGCAGAGAGCGTACCAAAGTTGTTACCAAGTGTGAGTCCTTTTAATTGCAGGATTGTTGTTCCGCAGATTCTGACTCCAGACCAGTGAGCTCCCGACCATCAAGTACCTTAAGGACAACGAAGACGACTGCGATCTGGACCCTCGCGCATACGTGTCGGATCTCCTCCTCGATGAAGGCAAAGCTCAAATCGATGCCTCAGATCAGCGCGTCACGATCAAGGTCATCCTCGAGCAAGGTCGGGCCCTGCGAGAAGGATCAGTTGCAATTGGCAGTCAGTTGGACCACCCTGTATACCAAATCCAGCTCGAGCAGAGCTCGCGGCCGCCCGTTCCCAAATTCCCTCCTCAGGCTTCCTCGTTAGGCAAACGTCCATTTCCTGCCGATGATGATTACGCTTCGACAGCAACTGTGAGCAAGAGACCCCGCCAAGTCGAGATACCAGAGACACAAAGAGAAGATCAGACTCCAATCTCGTCGATTGAACACGAGGACGGTCAAGGATCACTCGAGCTAGTGGAGGGCACACAGTTTACAAATCCGGACCAGGGTGTGCGAGGACGGCAGTCACTCCTCCAACTTAAACAAGAGTCCCCTGAACTACGGAAGCTGCTGCAGAATGTCGCTCCAGCGACTCTTGACGAGCTTGAGGAATTGGCAGAACGCCCACCAACCTTTGGGTCCAATAAGAGACAGATGAATGGGTCGGCATATCCCCGTGATTCTCGTCAATCGCATCAACCAAACGGGCTCCAACCATCGATCGATTCCTTCGGACGCCTGCAGAGGCGCTCGCAAGGACCTATTACTCCCCCCTCAGAATTGTCAAGAAGGCTTTCAACATCTGCGAACCATCAGAGCCGACGCGTTGAAGAGGGCGCAAAACCCACTGCTCGGTCGGCATCAACATCGGCTAGCAAGTTTAAGAGACGGGACATATACGACTATCCGGAATCGGATATTGATGACTCGCAAATGTCCCCGCGGTCACGACAAGCACAACTGAGCAACCGAGACTCAAGGGGCAGATTATCGCATATTGAGAGCCTACAATCTCCTCGGGAACACGGAGAAGGCGACGACGGGCTCAGCATCAGTCAAGCTATTGATGTTCTAGATGATGAGTCCGTCTTCGAGGACAGCCGCTCTATCGTTCCTTCTCTGCCAGCAGCTCAGCCCGTCGCTGGCAAGAGGAATTCAGGCTCCCCTGACGAGTTTGACAACAGCATCTATGAAGACGCTGAGATGGGAGACGGTCAACACTCGGGCCTGATAGATACGAACATGTCCAAAGACACAGGGGGTAAAAAGGCAGCAGAACCTCAGCAGTTAAACGAGGAAGACAAAGAAAACGCACCATCGGCTACGACATCTACCACACCCCGCAAGGATGTTGCGAAGGCCACACATGCTGAAAACGCTGCATTAAGAACACCGGGCGATATTTACACTGCCAAATCCACCAGCTTGTCAAAGAACGACCAGGCTGGTGAGAGTCGACCTGAGGCGAAGAGGGTTCGGAAACGCAAATCAGACACATTTAGCGCGGATGGCAGCCAGCAAGGACCTGTACAGCGACCGGACAAGTCTGTCAAGGCTGGTGCAGACAAAAAAGCTAAGCAAGCCCCTAAATCTAGCAAGAAGACTAAGGAATCACAGAGGGTGTCCACTCTTGACAGTCCAGGGGAGCAGTTATCCCAGAATCTTTGGGAGTCGACGGGCAATCAACTACCCATCGAGGATGTGAACAAGAGACTTGCAAGCGTACAGCAGAAATCTGCATTGACAACACCGGCAAAAAAGAATAAGCCAAATCAGCCAGACAAAGCTGCCGAGGGGCCAAGTTCTGGATTGTCACGTTCAACAGCATCAAAAAAGGATGGGACATCCACTACGCCTGCAGAGCGGACCAAGAACAAACGATCGCTAGAGAAACCAGCTGTGGCACCGGCGACTCCAGGGACGGTTGCAGCCGGCCCTTCGCCCACCATTGTCCTTCCTGCCTCCCAGCAAGACCAGGGGAATGCCAATTTACTTACGAAGCCTCTTCCGAACTGGGGATCTGCAAACGCTGCCGCTGACAAACGGAGCCCTTCAAGAAGTGTCGTGGGTGGAGAGGGAGTTGCCAAAGAGGTCGACTCAGGAAAGAACTCATCCGCTCATCTGGGCTTGACCCCGGAAGAGATCAAGATCTTGGAAAGCCGCAAAGACATGACGAAAGAGCAATATGAGGCAGAGAAGAAGCGGCGACAATTAGAGGCGAAAAAGATTGCCGAAGGTCAAAAGAAGCAAGGAGCCGCTTCTAAAAAGAAGCCCACCACGGACAGATCGTGGGTGGACAAGAGCGTAGAGCCGCAGCGTTCCAAGTCCTCTGAACCGAAACCTGCTGGAACATTGACGAAGAGCAAGACGCCGAAAAGTCATTCCACTGAAAATGATTCACCCATCCCAGCCAACAAGACAACAAGACCCGCCGCCACTGATGATATCGAAGAACCGAAACAAGGGACAACTAGCTCAGGCTCAGCGAAAGCAAACTCGGTAAGACGGGAGTCGTCCAGCACGACGGTTTCGAAATCTCAAATCGCAGATTCCAAAGTGCCGCCAAAGACCCCCGCAAAAGTACCCACGAAGAGCCCATCCGTAAAGTCGTCCACAGTCAGCAAGACGCCCAGACCAAGTGTGCCCCCACAACCGACAGGAGGGAGGGCGACGAGCTCTTCTGTGGCCGGGAGATCATCCACACCGGCACCGCCGATCGCAAAGACCGGTGAGTCGAAAGCAGTAGGAAAGACGCCAGCAAAAACTCCTCTTCCAGCGAGAAAACCCACACTAGAAACGGCCAAGCGGCTCGTCGATCTCCACGAGGTGGTCCGCAGCGCAAACAAAGCAGCCAAGTCTGTAGGGGACAGCATGCTTTCTCGTTTGAACGCAGCCAAGCAGAAGCAGAAGCCGTCTATCTTCACTGTCGATGATGATGACGACGACGAGGAAGAGGAGAGTGACGATAGCGAGGACGACGATAAGGAAGGGGAGGTGAAGAAGGTCTTTCCGGCTACTCGCAAGACTGCAGGTGGTCAGGACGAGAGCAAGAAGAGGAGCAATGACAAGCACGACGATGATGATGACTCGTCGACCTCGTCAACGTCATCGGAGGAAGTAGGGGAGAAGGACCCGACTGGAAACAGAACGAATCAACCGAAAGGGAAACCGTCCGCTCGACCTGTTCCGAGGACGCGGGATGAGCGCGGCGCATCAGATGATGACGACTCCTCCTCCTCCGACGATAACGGTTCCAGCGACGAAGACAGTGGTGAGGGTGATGAACTGTAGACTCGCATCTGCTTCAGCATGGTGTTGGTGACGGATAGAGCTGTTTGTTGTTCATGGCCCAACGAGCCCCAAGGTTCCTGGTCGTGAAATTGGAGACTCCTGGATAAAGACTTGGACTCGTGAAGAGTAATTTCTCGGGTACGTAGCTTCGTTGGAAATATGACGGAATGACCGATCGGAAGGGTCGGTGAATGTATTCTCTCTCTCTCTTTGTTGTTTCTGTCTAAACTTGAAGTAAAGTACGCAACACCTGTACCTTTAGTAACTCGCACCGAACGAATCCCATCCGCTGTCCGACCAGGCTTGAGAGAGTTTCTCCCAGTCCCCCAGTCCCTACCTCCCTAGTAGTAGGTATTCCTCATCAGTGCCCAATCCTGAGCACCGATCAACAATCAATCATACGGATCCGATCCCCCCACCCACCCAAATTCCGCTCGCTGGCCACACTCCTACTCCGATTCATGCAGGGGGGTTAAAAAAAGGGCGTTGATCTCGAGCCAGAATTGGCTTGTCGAAGAGTCTGGTATGGTGGGTGACCTTTGATTGGATCGGAGTCAGATCTTTGGGGAGGACTTTTTTTCACCTTGCGGGCTGCAATCTTTTGTTCCAGCAAGAGGGACATTTTTTTGCTGGGGGATGGGGGTTGTTATTGGGGAACCGGACATTGAGCACTTTTTTGTGGCTGAAAATGAATGCCATGATAACCTGGGTTTTTTTGTCTCCGTTGTTCTTTTCAATGAGTCTCTTCGTCATGCGTCTAAGACGGGGGTTCTTTCGTGGCTTTCCATCCTGCTCAGATAAACCTTTCGTTTCATCCCAGAAGACGTCAGACCCGTGTCGTTGAGGCGAGAGGACATGATAGTTCAACGTCTCCAGAAAGACAATCCTCCGCTCCTGGCGGGTGTGTCGCTTGGGGTTCATCGTGCTCGGGCAGGCGTCATGACGTTCCATATCAGTCATATCACAGCCCATCGCCATCCATCATCATGTCAATCCTCAATTTGTCCAGCCTGGACTCAAGCCTCGGACGCTGCAGTCTGGCTCCTTTTGCCAGCTTTCGAGACTTCTCCGTCTCCCCCCAGACCTTCCTCCTCTTCGTCTGCTCTTAGCCTTCTCAGCGCGTCTCCCACTCTAAGAGGAAGACAGTCTCGCCCAAGGGTCTCATCCTAAGAAGACTCCGGTTCGATGGTATTTCCTGCCACAATGTTTGCCCACCCAATCAGTCGCCAGTGCTTCTCGATTCTCCGACTCAGTGCAATCTTCTCCCCAATCGCCGTGCAGGCTGGGTTTGTCAGTGTCAGCTTGGCCGCATCAGCCTTGACGCCCATCACCTTGGCACCCGTCGCCGTAGACCCGATGTTCACCATCAACACTTCGTTCTTTGCCAGTTTAGCCACTTTGGCTTGCTTGCCGTCCGCAGTCTTGACACCCAACAGACGCCGGAGCAAGAAGTAGTTAACCTCAAGCTCCATGTAGATCTCTGGGAGCTGGCCCTTCAGACCCAGTACGTGGCCGACAAGACGGTCTGCTCGGCAAAGTGTTGGGTCAACACGCGTGCCCACACCAATGAGGCCTCCAGGCACGGCGAATTTTAGATCGTTGTGTTCGGCGAATAAGCTGACCACGCGGGACATGATGGGGCGGCAGACGGTCTGACCTGTTGCATCTTTCGTAATAATCCCTGGGCGGATCTCGATTTCGTCGCCGAGTTTCAGAACGCCCGTGAGGATAGAACCACCCGCAACACCGCCCTTCAAATCCTCGATCTCAGCTCCGGGCTTGTTCACGTCAAACGATCGAATGACGATCATGTGTGGTGCGGCGCTGAAGTTTCGCACGGGTACGGGGATTTTGGTGACTAGGTACTCGTTGATGGCGTCGATGTTGTATTTCAACTGTGCAGAGATTGGGATGATCGGTGATCCGTCCGCAACGGTGCCTTTGATAAATTTCAGAATCGACTCGTAATGTGCTTGTGCCCCCTCTTCTCGCATCAGGTCGACCTTATTCTGAAGGATGATGATGTGGTTGAGTTTCATGATCTCGATGGCAGCAAGATGCTCTGAGGTTTGTGGCTGCGGACAGCTTTCATTTCCTGCTATCAGAAGCAATGCAGCATCCATGACTGCCGCGCCAGATAACATAGTACTCATTAGAATATCGTGTCCGGGACAATCGACAAAAGAAACATGACGGAGAAGTCGGTATGTGCCACCGCAACCTTCTCTTTCACACGGAGGGTCGACCTCCTTTTCGGACTTGTAGGATTTGTAGCACGTAGGTCTGGGGCACTCGGGGTTGTCGCACTTGTAGATTTTAGCATTGGCATATCCCAATTTGATGGTGATGTTTCGTTCTAATTCGTTTTTGAATCGGACAGTTTGGACGCCAGAGATGGCCTTGACGACGGTTGATTTTCCGTGAGCCACATGGCCTATTGTGCCGATATTGATCGTAGCTTGCCTTGCAATGATCTCAGGTGATAAGGGAGTAAGTTTCGAGACATCGAGGTCTTTAGGGTCGGGTTGTTCAGGTAGGACGGGGCGTGGGACTTGTGGTTCGGGAATTGCTGCGGATGTGCTCTTTTTCAGCGCGGATTTGGGTGGCTGATTGGTTTCCTCAATGTCGTCGACATCATTCTCATCGCCAGGGGGAGTGCCAGGTTGAGAAAACTCGTCATCGGATGGCAAGTCGCCGTTCGTAGCCATGATTGCGGTTGGTGTAAAAGCAGTGCAGATCTCAGAATTTCGGTCGGTATCGGTGAGCTAAAGTCTTGTCGGGAGGAAACCGAATTAAATATCTGCGGTCTGAGGGAGTCTCCTATGTTTGAAGGATGTATCTGGAGGCGAATGGTATGACTCAGTTGAGGCTGCGGGGTGACGGCGAGGACGAGAAATGCAGAACAAAATTGATTTCCTGATGCCAAGAATTGCACCCCGCTTTGGGACGAGGGTGATGCCGCCCTATGCTCGCCGGAAGCCTTGCGCATGGACCACAGCCTTGCCGCCAGCCCATCACCTATCGAGTCATGTAATAACTACCTACCCACGTACTAGGTAGGTAAGTAGGTAGATATAGTGCCTACACCTTCACAATTTGATAATTCGAGGTGGGCAGATATCCTTACCGGAGCGCTGTTGTCCCTAACGAAACACAACTATGCCACATTTCATCAGAAGTGAGATGACTGTCTACATTCTCGAGGGCCTCGACCATCGCACCGCACATACCGCCAGCTGGACCTTCAGACAAGACTGAACGACACCCTAGCACAGAATACAATGTGTCGAAGCCTTCATCCTCCATGTGGTACAGTCCAGCTTTCTCAAGCTTCGGACCTGTCCCCGGCCCTCTCCGTGCACATAGGAAGGCGAGCTCCGGGGTCCATGGATCGGGTGCCATCTTCTTTGGCGGCCAGCAGGAGCTCCCCGCCGGCTGCGCACGGCCAAACACGGGTTTTTCTCGAGGTTTAAAGCTCACGCACAAGGACATGGTCGCGGAAAGAGAGCATATGTGCTTACACCAGCACATTGACCCTTTGTGTCAAGCTTGTCTGGCACTGAGGAAATGACGGAGTCTTGCAGGAAAGGGTGCAACCAGCCCTGTAGCGAACAAAATGATACGCCGGATATTGAAGATTTCCGCACAGAGATCAATTCACTGAAACAACAAAATGAAGAATTGGCACGAAAACTCTCGAGTCTTTCCCATACTCCGAGCACTCCCTCCTCTCGAACATTGCGGTCCGAAAACTGGTTCTCCAACGGCAGAGAGCCAGCCCTCAGCACTCTTTATGCAGACCGATATCTGAACTTCGGATTAACCACTGAGGAGTTGATGTCTAGGAAACCTGTCATTGGAATCGCGCAGTCGGGATCTGACTTGTCGCCTTGCAATCGGTATCATACACAGACGGCCAAGAGGGTGCGTGAAGGCATCATAGCCGCGGGAGCCATCCCACTCGAGTTTCCGACCCACCCTATCCAGGAAAGCTCAAGAAGGCCTACGGCGACGCTGGACAGGAATCTAGCGTATCTTGTGCTCGTGGAAATTCTCCATTCGTACCCTCTGGACGGTGTCGTCCTGTTGACTGGTTGTGATAAAACCACGCCTGCTTGCTTAATGGCTGCTGCAACTGTGGTGGGTTCCAGACGTTCCAGCAAAATGTACAACTCTAACCCATCCCTCCGCTAGAACATTCCTGCCATCTGCCTGAATGTCGGGCCAATGCTCAATGGAAGGAGGAATATGGATCTCATCGGGACTGGAACAGTTCTATGGCGGGCGAGGGAGCTGAAAGCCGAGGGCAGAATTGACGATACGGAATTCTTCGACATGGTAACCTCAGGGTGAGCCTGTCAAATTAACAGGGGAGAAACCTCGCTAATGAACTCGCCAGAACTCCATCTGCAGGACATTGCAACACAATGGGCACAGCTTCGTCTATGAACGCCCTGGCCGAGGCTCTTGGAATGGCGTTGCCAGGGTCAGCATCCATCCCAGCGGTCTACCGAGAGAGACTGCAATGTGCGTACAAGACAGGCCGGCAGATCGTCGAAATGGTCCGTTCAAACCGCAAGCCAAGTGATATTATGACACGCGAGGCATTTGAAAACGCGATCGTTGTCAATAGCGCGATAGGTGGGAGTTCCAATTGCCCTATCCATCTGATCGCTATTGCCCGACATATGGGTATAAGTCTTGATCTGGATGACTGGGACCGTTTAGGCTACTGTATCCCTCTTCTCGTCAATGTCCAGCCAGCGGGAGAGTTGCTGTGTGAGGAATATCACCACGCTGGGGGACTCCCTGCGGTTATGGCTGAATTGTTGGAAGGTGGAAAACTCCACGCCAACGCATTGAACTGTACTGGTCGATTGGTGGGAGAAATTGTGAAAGGGAAATTCTCCTGGGATCGGAGGACTATTCGACCGTACAGCAAGCCGTTGAAGGAGAACGCCGGCTTCCTCCACCTGACAGGAACACTCTTTGACTCGGCAATTATGAAGACTTCGGTGATTTCGGAGGAATTCGAGGCTAGATTCCTCCGCAATCCCTCACGACCTGGAAAATTTGCTGCGTTTGAATGTAAAGCGAGAGTATTTGATGGGCCTGAGGACTACAACGAGCACTTGGACGACGATGTCCCCATGGATGATCGGACTGTGCTCGTCATGCGCGGAACAGGCCCGATTGGCTATCCTGGCGCGCCCGAAGTGGTCAATATGCACGCCCCAGGCCGGCTATTGCAGTCCGGGGTGCGGTTTCTGCCGTGTATTGGCGATGGGAGGCAATCAGGGACTTCGGGTTCTCCGTCCATTCTACACGCCTCCCCCGAGGCGGCTGTTGGAGGCAACCTGGCGATCCTTCGCACAGGTGACACGTTACGTATCGACCTTGAGTCCCGGCGGGTTGACCTGATGCTCTCCGACGAAGAGATCCGGAGCAGAAGAGCCACAATCGCAGGCAAGACGGCGGAACTGACTGCTCCCAGTCAGACCCCTTGGCAGGATATCTTTCGGCATGAGGTAGGGCAGTTGAGTGATGGCATGGTCCTCAAGAGCGCCGTCAACTATCAGAGAATAGCGGATCACTTTGCTGTGCCTCGACACAATCATTAGGTACCGAAGTACCGACCGGAAACAACTAACACATCCTGACATGGTCTGCTTAACTTGTTTCTACTTGAGGCCCCCAGTGAGCAGAATATTTTGTCCCGTCAAGTAGCCAGTTGTACAAATCATCTCGACCACGTTGGCACATTCTTGCGGCGTGCCCAACCTCCCCACGGGAATGTTCCTCACGTCGCCAAGCGTGCCTTTCAACATGCTTTCATCTGGGATGAGTCCAGTTGCACCGATCAGGGCAGGAGCAAGGCTATTAACAGTGATACCGTGTCTGGCCAGCTTGGTCGCTAGATTTCTCATCATGCCGTTCATGCCGGCCTTGGATGCCGCGTAATGACATCCATTGATGCCCCCGCCTTCGGCGGCAATGCTCGAAATAAAGACGATCCGGCCCCAACCTTGGTCCATCATCGCCGGTAGAGCCAACTTGACCAAGAGGAATGTCGCTCGCAAGTTGACGGCCATGGTCCGGTCGAATTCTTCCAGCGAGATGTCCGCGATGTCCGGTATCACCTTTGCATACCCTGCATTGGCGACGAGGACGTCTGGCCGCTTGCCGTGGGCTTGCTGGACCTCTCCGAAGAGCCTGTCGATGTCGCCCGTGGATTCCAAGTTGGCCTGATGCGCAGAGATCTGTCGTCGTCCTCGTCCTCCAAGGTCCAGTGATTCCAGCTCCCGAATCAATTCATCCAATTGGGCTTTCCCCGTTGAGAATGTCAGAGCGAGAGCCATCCCGCGGGCCCAGAGTGTGCGTGCACAGCTCGAACCGATCCTGTCAACACATTAAATCTTCAGTCAACTGGTATGTTTGATGGAGAAAAAATGCAAGGGGCAAGGCTGAGCTAACCCCCCAGAAGCGCCTGTGATCAGTGCAAGTCGATCCTCCAGGCGATTGTCGACTGTCATATTGGCCGTGTATTGTTTTTTTTTCTTCTGAGATTGTCGTCCTTCCGTGCAAAGTGATCACCACTTTTTATATGAGGCTGTGCTCTTGTTCGTCGTCCACTTGAGAGCCCAAGTGACCAGTTTTGGGGAGATGCACAAACAAGCAGCTGGGGCCATAAAGCTTGATAAACCTGCCCTTGATCGGTGATCCCATGGGAAGAGGGTGCCATTGCCACCGATAGAGACGGAGACCAACGGCTCGTGAGGTGTCATTCTTGCTCCGCGAAACCTTGTAATGGTGAAGCAACTTCGATCAGTTGTCTGAGTTTACGTGGCAGTGGAAGCAAATACTTCCAGTATCAAAGCGGGTTTTTCCCTCATCCGCCCTAAGCCTGAGGAAGATGGGCTCTAGGCTCTCATTAGCCTTAGGGCCAGAAAGCCTTCGCCAAAATGAACCTCCGGGTTGCCACATAGTGAGCTATCCGGTTTTTTTGACCTATCCGACCTCTTCCAGCCATCCGATTCCTTTCCGTTATCCTCCCTGGAGGCTCCGCGGAGGTGGGGACCTTGCTAAGCACAGCATAACCGCCAGAAGAATGAGTCGGTGTTTTGATCGCTCCGTGATTGCTGCAAGTCTTCCTCGAGGCCATTCAGGAAGACGGCTCGACTAGTGTGCAACAATGTCGTGTATGGCATCCCATGCGCCACCGATGCCGCCGACTTATCAGCTCTGTACTTGCTGTATGTTCAACCATCGTAACACTTAGAGACTTTCATATACCTTGCTTGGCTAGCAAGATGGCGTCGTCGACAATCGTAGCCTGGATTGGCCTGGGAAACATGGGCGCGGTTAGCAGAATCACCCCTCTCTACTGTACGGGTACGATGAACAGGGCACTAATTTAAGTGATTGCTCTAAGGGGATGTGTAAGAACATTGTCAAAAAGGCCAATCTGCCACACCCTGTTTTGATATACGACATACTGGAGGAGCGGACACGAGCCATTCATGAAAGTCTAGGGCCACAGCGCATGATCATCGCGCAGTCAATTGGCGAAGCCACCTCCAAGGCGGACGTCATCTTTTTCTCGGTACCCAACGATGAAGCCGTCCGGGCGGTGATGGACCAGATTCTGGCAGCCGGCGTCGCGGGCAAAGTGGTGGTCAATTGCAGCACCGTGCATCCCGATACAAGTGCTCAAGAGGCCGGGGCCGTGACCGCTGCCGGGGGAAGCTTCGTCGCATGCCCCGTGTTTGGCAGTGCCCAGATGGCCGAAGCCGGCCAGATCGTTGCCGTTCTGGCGAGTGACACCCCCGCAGCCGCGGACAAGGTCATGCCCCTGTGCAAAGGCGTCATGGCGCGCGACGTGATCGACGTCTGCAGCGGTGGTCGGGGCGACGGCGACGCTGCTGCTGCTGCTACTACTGCGGCGCGGGGTCCGCTGCTGCTCAAGATCATCGGCAACATGTTCGCGCTCAACATCGCGACCGCGCTGGCCGAGGCGCATGTGCTGGCGGAAAAAGCCGGCCTTGGATCCGACCAGTTCCACCAATTCGTCCAGACGCTGTTTCCCGGTCCTAGCGCTGCGTACTCCCACGCCATGCTCAGCGGCAGCTACCACCGCCAACAAAAGCCCCAGGGTCCAGCCCTTCTGGCCAAAAAGGACGCCCAGTACGCCCAGAGCCTGGCCAGCGAGGCCGGTGTCCGCCTCCGCACTCTCGAAGTCGCCCAGCATTATGTCGGAGCCGTCTTGCAACACAAAGGGGACGACGGGGCGATGGCCGGAGTGTACGGCGCTGCGCGACTGGAGGCCGGCTTGCCTTATGAAAATTAATAGCTTTTTGGGATGGAGGACAACGATAAGCGCTTACTCGTCTTTGGAGCCAGAGAAGTCCTAAAGAGTCTTGTCTTGGCATGGTTGTCGTCGTGGTCGCGCCCAATTGCAGATGGCTGGTATATTTTCATAGCATCCAAGAGTCAAAGGAAGTAGTGAGCATTCGATGAGCTAACAAAAAGCATCGAATGGTATCCGGCCAGGTTATTTGACGCGGGCATCTCAAGTAGGTTAGACCGTCTGCACCACGGGGAGACCAAAACAAATCTGGCGACAGCTGCGTTGGACAACGCCGGGTCTCTAAGCAAGGGTCTAGCACCCTGGGTGCATAGTAGCATTTCCACTCCCTCCGTGGAATAGGAGTACCAGGGTTTCATAGATTGGCAGGGAGTTTGTATTCATTTGTATTCTTTTGGTATTCTAACGACCTTCAACTCCGGCCTTTTGAAAGAAGCAGTAAGCCACAGTGTATCCGAGTACCCCCTTGAGCGTCGCACCAATCGCACCAACGAGACCACAGAGCGGTGTGGGTTCTTCGAGGATGAGACACATACAGACCCGCATTAACCCGCAGCATGTTCAGCAAGAGTTGTCCTTGTATATGGGCAACGGCGTCCCAAGGACTGAGGCCTTAACTTGAAGAGCGACGAATCGTGAATAGTGTCTGGAGTGGCCACATCCGCCACCGATATACCAAAGTCGTGGATCTAAGGGGCAAAAACCAGATTTCGAGTCAGCCAGAGAGAGGAAAAATTGCGATACTGGAATGACGCGGAAAGAAAAGTACTCACGCCCAGAAGGCTTAAATGCTCCCAGAAGCTCCCCTTCGTGGTTCAAACCCCAAAAGTCCTCGACTTGTGTGGCGACGTCGTCGCCCAGGGTCTCGTAGACGGTCTGCCGGATGTTCCCCACAAAACCGGTCGCGTAGACGATCACGTCGGCTTGGATCTCCGTCCCGTCGCTGAACTGGAGACCGTCCTCGGTATAGCGTGTAGGTAGCGCGTCGGACTTGATCTTGATCTGTTTTGGCTCGGGCACTATTTGTCAATGGGTGCCCGGGAACCAGCATGTGAACGAGAGAATGGGAGGTGACTTACCAGACCATTGGCAATTTTGGCAGAGGCTCCTACGTCGACGTAGTGGCCGCCTTGCCTCTCGTTCAGATGATGGTGCATATCGCCGAAGCGTTCGACCTTGAACCCTACACGCTCCAGCGCATCAAATCGTTCAGGCTCCGCCGCGGCCAGGGGGTGTAGTGTCCTTTGGGCTATCTGGCGAGCGACCGACAGTGGGTTGGAGAACTGCATCCTGTCTGCCAGATCAATGTCGAAGGTCTCGTTGTAGAGTCCTTTGAAGTATATTAGCTTTTCGACCTTTGCGATATACTAGCGTTGCGACCTCATAGGTGTCTTGGGAAACTCACTATCTTGGATGAATTTGAAATATTCGGCCGGGAATACAACTTCACGGTACTTCCGTCAGTAACAGTCACCGCAAGAAGGGTGAAATTGTCGGCAAAGCATTGCAGGAGATGCAATAGGTACTCACAAGTTCGACTGCGCTGGACCATTGTCACAGATAGATTATGAGCAAGCATGTCTTCGGCCATATCATGCGCTTTTCAAAAGTCCATAATGTTAGCTCGGTATCTTCATGGCACCAAGGGGCTTGGACACGCACCTGTGTTTGCCGTTCCCACAACTATTCCTCTCCTTCCTGCCCAAGCAGCAGCCGATGTGTATTCCGATGAATGTACGACGTGTCCCCTGTAGTTTTCCTGCAATGAAAGAGTCAATATCTGGATACCTTCCGAGAGACTACCACGGAAACTACAATGAGCAACGTACAAGACCTGGATAGCGTGGCATGGATGGCACTTGGCCTCCTGCGCCAACCGCAAAGATAATGTGGCTCGCTGTGATCTCGACTTCTGTGCCATTTCTGAGCAGCTTAATTCTCCATTTGCTCTTTGCGGCGTCCCATGAGCCAGAATGCATCTTTGTTGAAAGCCAAATGTTCTGCATAAGTTTTCCGGGTTGATCACGGTCAGCGTGCTTTCGAACAGTACGAAACAGGACGAGTAATTGTATCAACTCACAATGCCATATTTCGAAACCCACTGCTGATATCCTCTAGCGAGATCAAACTTGGTGAGGTATAGTGGGTAAGTCTCATCGAATGTTCGTTCGAATGGAAGGTGAACTGTAGTATGGAGTGAGTATATATCTTCAGATGATGACAAAAGGGAGGGTTGTATACGGTAGTGCTTCGTGTTGTGGACTAAATCAATATGTTAGAAGCTGTCTCCCAGAATCTTGAGCAATCTTTTCACAACTTACGCTTCACTGCGTCGTAGCGAGTCATCCAGCTATCCCCCACGTTCTGGTGCTTTTCAACGACAAGGTAGTTCACTCCCAGAGCTTGGAGCCGGCCGGCCGTAGAGAGCCCGGATTGTCCTCCACCTACGATGAGACAGTCGAAGTCGTTGTGGCTGACACAGTTGCTACCGTCGATACCACAAATGCGGCTCTGAGGCGCTTTATCGACGTTTCCGTGCCCGCTAAGTTGCTCGAGGATTGTTCGTAAGACCCAGATTCTCCAACCCGACTCTTTGTCGTGCACCAGAGATATGAAGCCTGAGCATGATGTTGCTGGTGTGCCGTAGTTGTTGAAGGTGAACCGTGCCTCGACCCAAGACGTTTGCGGATCAAGCTGGACGACACGAGCCGAGTCTGCGACAAGCGCGAAATCGCGTGCTTTCCGGGAGGTGGTCGTATTTTCCCAAGCTTCCTCGACGGCCTTAGCGGAGAAGATCGTTCTCAAACTGCCTGTGAGGGCGAGCATGTCGCGCCACAGAGCATCCGGAGTCAGATGCTCGGCTCTGAGCCCAGCCAAGTGCTTCAAACATGTTGTCGCCACCAACAAAGCGTTGACATCTTCTGGGACATTTCCCAAGGGAAGTGAGCCCGGGAGCTTAGGAAGGACATTCGTCACAACGTTGGGATACTTGATAGCCATGGTTCCAAGAATATTTCTGAGCGATATCCTATTCCTCCTCAGTTGAGTTTGTCTTCACTGGCGTCCATCCTCGACTTTTCTGTCTCGTCTTTGTAATGCTCGAGATCGAGGTGAAATGGTTGTGCATCCCCAAGACGACTCATTGTCGCTGGAGATCGTCCTCAAGGAGAATGTTCCAACGCCGAATTCATGCTCCGAGGATCCGCGGAGCATGGAGGTCAGAAACGAGGGTCGACCCCGGTCTGGGGCCGGTTATTGAGGGTCAGATATGGCTGTTACTTCCCCTGCATGGCTTTGGCCTCCATCTCCCGCGGACCCTCTAAAGTTCGAGTCGACGCAGGTCCAGAAGCCATGCTCTACTGTCGGTGTAGTGCAGACGGCTCATGTCGACCACCCTCGAACTCTGGTTACCAACGGCATCTTGCAATAGCTTGGCGCATTAGCCCTTTAGCTGATTCCGGGGCCCCGCCAGACTCAAGCATTCTCCATGAGCATTTCCGAAAAGCAAGCGAGCTTTGGTTAATAGCGCTGCTGGATTCATTTGGTATATGTTGAGGACGCTGTGCCTTCATTTTCCAGACATGTTTCCTGCTTTTCTTGTTGCCAAGTTCCAGCATATTAAAAATCGTTTTACATCCATTCTTCTTGGCCAAGCTCACGATGGCTCTTTCAGACAAGGATGCGCAGCACATCAGCACTGAGTGCGAGGCTGACACCGAGGTGGCCCACAAGGCTCCTTCATCCGTGGTCCATGAGGAATATCTTATCGAACGGCATGGAACGTGCGAACTGGATCCGCTCCCCTCTGCGGACCCCAATGACCCTTTGAATCTTCCATCTTGGAGGGTATGTCATTTCCGATTAAAGAACTTTCCAACGGGTTAACCGAGTGAATCTAGAAACATGTCCACCTCATCCTCATGGCGTTTCATGGCCTGTTCTGTACCTCAAATGCCGGCTCGGTGGTGACTGCGGTCGCTGAATGGGCCACGCTCTATGACGTTAGCATTTCTGCCTCCGTTTACATTGCCACTAGCCAGGTAAGCAATGATTGTCTTTTTGTATCAAATAGAGCTTTGATATTGTTTGTTTATCAATGCCGAGACAGCCTGTTCTGACAAGTGGTCCAACTAGTTGATTGCTCTTGCCGTTGCTCCCCTGGTCTGGATCCCAATCGTCAACCGATGGGGTCGCGTGCCAGTCTTCTTGGTGTCTGCCCTTGGGTCGTCCATGTTCAACATAGCATGTGCTCAGAGCGGCAGCTATGCGTCTCATATGGTCTACCGGATTCTGGTTGGTTTCTTCATTTCACCCGGTATCACAGTGCCTCAGGGTGTTGTAGTGGAGATGTTCTTTGCAAAGGAACGAGCTCAAAAAATGGTAAGTAAATCGATAACTCCTTCATGGACGGTGTGGCGATGCTGAGATACGTGTTGCCTTAAAGGGAGTCTGGGTGCTCTTTGCGAACTCAGGGTAAGCTTAGGGTCTCTTATGACCTAGGAATGTGTTCTCGATTGCTGACTATTCTTGTAGCGCTTCAATAGGTCCCGCACTGATGGGCTTTCTCATCAAAGCCAAGGGCTGGAGATGGGTCTACCGGGTATTCGCAATTGTACGTTCGACAAGTCCAGAGTCCTGTCCATGATAAAAAAGAGTCAACAACTAACAGCCTGCCGCGATACCAGTTGGAGTTTGTCCTTTTCGTCCTCTATTACCTCTTCAGTCCAGAGACGCTTTACCGCCCCAATACCAGCAACCAAGAAAATAATGAGGATGAAAGCAACTCCCGACCACCGCAGCGAAATTGGTGGCTGAGATTTGCAAGACGAATCGACCCTACTCCTCTCCGAATGTTTGATTTCATCGAGCCGCTTTGGCTTTTGAGGCACTGGAATATCCTGGTGGTCAACATCGCATATTCCGTGGCTCACAACTTCGTCCTGACCCTGCTACTCGTGGAAATGTCCACCTTGTATGAGCCACTCTTCAATCTCGGCCCGCAACAAGCCGGATTGAACTACTTCGCATTGCTGGTTGGGTGAGGAAAACCACACTTCAAAAGCCCGTGCTTATGCTAATGTTCTCACTGTGACAGCTCGCTACTTGGTGAACAGCTAGGAGGGCCTTTCAGTGACTGGTTGCGCAACCGTCAGATCAAACGAACCAAGCGGAACATCCCTGAAGACAGACTCTGGGTCTCTCACTTGGGCATCCAACTGATCATTGTTGGCATCGTTGTGTTTTTTGTGGAGATCGCCAATGCTTCTGGCCACTGGAACATCAGGCCCGATATTGGAGTTGGCATTGCTGCTTTCGGAGTCCAAATCGTCGCCACCGTCCTCGTTACATGTAAGATTAGACGTCCACCATTGGGTCTGGCGCTGCTGACATCGACGATAGATTGTTCTGATAGTTTGCCCCGACATGAATCCGCCTCATTGGGGGTAGTGATCAATTTCACAAAATTGGTCTGGGGGTTTGTAAGTTCACCATATGGGACCTTGCTACGCTCGACGATGGAAGCTGACTCGCAGTACGCAGGCAAGCCCCTTCTGGTACCCTGTTATGATCGAATCCGTCGGTCTGAAAGGATCTGCGGGTGTCGTCACGGGAGTCACCGTTGCTTTCGCCATGCTTCCGCTCGTGGCTCTTCAGATCTGGGGAAGATACAAGAAGCACTAGATTCGTATTGCTTCTTGCAGCGGAAAGATTCGCCGGGTGGAAGCTTGGGCTTTGAGGCGGAAATAGAAAATGGAAAATCTCCAAGTGACTGGGATTGCAAGACCATAAGATGACTATCTGCCGCGTTATGTTGAAGACGTGCAGGAGATGCTGGTACGTCAAGCTCGATTTTATATAAGATTGGGAGGAAGCAGTTCTTACAAATCTATGAACATAATAAACCGCTGGAGTTATCCAACATAGTGGATAGCAGTTAATACTATGGCTTACGTGCAAAAATCTGGAAATTTTTGTTAGTGCAACCCCCTGACGCTGGCTCTGAACACTCTGGTGGAAGTACCTAGGTACGCTCAAAGAGGTTTTGATAGTTGTGTGCCCCTGGATCTAGCACAAATGGCCTGAAGGCCAAGCATTAGGGTACGTGTCAAGAGAAAAGAGAGCCATCTCAATTTCCTAAGTTGCATCCTCCTGTAATAGTTCGTATGACTGACTTTTTGAGCCTCGTCCCTTCTTAAAAGCCCGTGCTTTGCTCCTCAGTATACTTTCCATTGTGCAAGTCTACGTTTCACTCGTATTTGATACCGTGGACCAACGTCCCGATCGGGCCGAACGAAATCTCAATTTTGTCTCCGGTCTTCAAATGCTGTGGTGGCTTCATTGCGAAACCGACGCCTGAACAAGTCCCGGTCAGGATGATGCTCCCCACCTGTAGAGTGTTGCCTTGGCTCAGGAAGGCAATGAGCTGCGGGACGCCGAAGACAAAGTCGTCGGTGTTGCCGTTCTGGCGCAGCTCGCCGTTCACGAACGTTTTGAGAGGCAGCACGTGGGGATCGGGAACCACCTTGGTCGAAGCGATACATGGACCCATGGGACAAAACCCATCGAAGCTCTTCGCAAAGGTCATCTGCGGCGGTGGCCACGTCCCCACCAAATCAGGATCTGATTGCCATTTCCTTTACAGCAGACGTTAGTATTACTTCATGGAACTGTTCTGAGGAGATGATTTCTTTATTCTCCAGGGCTCACCTTGCCGACATGTCGTCTGCAGCCGTGTAGCCAAGGACATGGTCCATAGCGTCCTCGACTCTGATGTCCTTGCCCTCTTTGCCAATCACAATGGCCAGTTCCCCCTCGTAGTCGGCTTGCCCATCTTGAATCAACTTCGGAATGGGGATGTTGTCGCCGTAGCCGGCGACGGCGTTAGGAAATTTGGCGAAAAGTAGAGGGTTTCTGGGGATTTCCATTTTCATTTCCTTGACTTTGGGACATTCCAACACAATTGGTCAGCGCGAGAGAAGGAAAAAAAGGGTATGCTGCGGTCTGAGATATCAAAGAGAAAGAGAAAAACCGAGTGAAGAAGCTCTTTTTTCTTACGGTGTGATCTGTAATTGCCTCCGATGCACCTCAACGCTGGCACCATGTCCCTTGTCAATGGGCCCAGTAGCTGCTTTACTCTGACAACTTGGTCAGTGACTTTGCAGTCGAGGGACAATGGATTTCCCTCGATGAGCTTTGCTGCCAGACTATTGGCATTTTTGGGGTCTCCAATGTCGAAATCCGCTGAAGGAACCACCGCGTCACCGAAATGGATGCCATCGTCTTCGGCGCTGATAAACCGCACCAGCCGCGACCAAGGTACTTCCACTGGCATTCTTCGTTTCTTATGTAAAGACTTGTGCAATGATGTTCAAAGTTAGTGTGATACGGAAGGATTCTTGAAGAGGGAATGGCCTTTAATTCCTAAAAAGTTGTTCGGATTTTACATTGTGCAATTCAGAGCTGGGGGCAATTGCTATCCAGCACATTCCGCTTAATGGTAACCATGAGCCGCTTGTTGTGCCTAGCGAAAGATGCACCTCCCAACTTCCAACGTTAATGACGGCGCGTCAGTGTTGCATCCCAGTCCGAGGATCTTGAGAGGATTGAGTTTCAAGATCCGGAACTATTTCCACACATCATCCGCGGACAAGTTGTAAACGATTGGGCAATATGCTCTCTAATTCCCCAAATTCCGTCTTTGTATCAGACAGCGGAGTATCAATTCTCTGCAGCCGTTCCGATTACCGCGGAGGAACACAAGCTTGGGAAATGGCATACTTTGTTCTAGACAACCCATGGCAACTCCAGTTGAAGTTGTGAAACGGATGACTGACAATAAGTCGAACCAATAGTATCCCGATTCCCTTGCAATGTCGTCCTTGGAATCCTACACTTTTCGACGGCCGCACGACTGAATATCTGCTACCGTGCAAAAGAGACGCACTATTTAAAGGATTTAGGACATTGAAATGAGAACCTCTTTGAAAATGGTATCACCGGTCGAGGATTTCAGCAAGCTGTTAGATGTCATTGTTGTTGGATCCGGGGTTGCTGGTGTCTCGGCGGCCATCGAGGCAGCAGCCAGAGGGTTAGAGGTGGTGGTTCTTGAAGCTGAAAGCACTCTAGGTGGGGCTTCTATCATCAGCGGAGGAGCTTGCTGTTTTGTTGGCACCTCGCTACAACAGGAACACAAAGTCCTAGATTCCGTCGAGCTGGCACTTGCAGACTGGATCAAGTTTGGTGGCCCGACCGCGGACGTGGCATGGGCACGCAAATACCTCGAAAACAGCCGCGTCGACGTGTGCGAATGGCTAGAGGACATGGGTGTCCGCTGGGCAACTCTGATGCAGCCTGAAGGCAACAGCGTGCCACGATGGCATCTCCCTGAGGGTTGGGGTCAGGCAATCATGTCGAGATTGATCGAGAAGGCAAGGACTCTAGGCGTCAGTTTCAAGACCCACGCTTGCGTGGAACGACTTATCATTGAAAACGAGAACGTGAAGGGGGTCGACGTTGTTTTCCGCGATGCTGTGCACACGCTCCTCGCGGCAAATGTCATTATAAGCACAGGAGGCTTCTCTGGGAACATCGACAAAGTCATGGATTGGGCACCCTACTTGCGCAATTTCTCACGGGTTCTCAGCGGAGGCTCAGTCACAGCTAAAGGGTTAGGGCATGATATGCTCCTCAGAGATACTGGAGCCGATCTTATTTGCTTGGACCATATCTGGGTGTATCCTGCAGGTACACCAGACCCCACCGATCCTGAAGGCAAAAGAGGCTTGGGAGTGCGAGCCTTTCGCAGGGAGATTTGGCTGAACAGCGAAGGGAGGCGATTCCACAACGAACAACTCAAGGGTCCTCACTCTGGAACCCCAGCTCTATCATCCCAGCCCGGTCAGACATTTTGGGCGGTCTTCCCTCAGTCTGACATTGACGACCTAGAAATAATCAACAATCCTGACTTCTTCCCACCTCCGCCTGCTGGGCACACTCCCGCAGCGGTAAAGAATTTCTGGAAGGACTCAGCACATGCCTGGCTAGCCAAGGATATCAATGAGTTGTCCCAGGCCATTGGGCTTCCTAGCAATAATGTGCGCCAAACCATTGATGCGTTCAATGCCGATATCATTGCAGGTCTGTCGCATGACTCACAGTTTGGCCGCCCTCTTGCTGGTCATGTGCCTTTGACCAAAGATCTTGCAGCTATCCAGCTTTTTCCGATGGCCCAAAAGACCTTTGGTGGTGTTCGCACGGATCTGGAGTGCCGAGTGCTGAATCGGTCGACGAATAGGCCCATATCTGGACTATACGCTGCAGGAGAAGTAGCAGGGATGGCCGGAGGGTGTATCAACGGACGCTCTGCGCTCGAGGGAACAATGTATGGGCCCTGCATCTACTCGGGGCGAGTCGCCGGAAGGGCTGTAGGTCGAAGACACGACATCCTTGATTCGGGATCGAGGAAGGCCCTAGTGAGCAAATAGGAGCGCTGAGAATTCTTTCGATGTCTTGTCAATCGCTCCGCGGACTATCCGCGGGACGTCTCGAATTTTAGGTTCAAGCTACCTCTCCTCCGCACCGGAAGTTAGTGAGTGAAGATCCGTTCTGTCATCGTATTTGGGTGTTCTGAGTCAGCCAGCAGAAGAGGGAAAGTGCAGCAAATTTGCTGCAGTGATCAGGAAGCTTTCTTCACTTCACCTCTCTGAGAACGAGGTACAGTATCTCCGCTTGGCTACTTCAGGACTGCCTAATAGGGCTAGCACTCACCAAATCTCCACTATGTGGAGTACTGGTGGGCCTCCCCGCGCTCATCGTTATGTCTCGCCTAAAAGACCGTCTACCCCGCCCTCTCTGCCCCGTACGTACCTAGGTAGATAGCTCGTCACAGGCAGCGGCTACTCTCTGCAGCAGGGCTTCCTTCCAGATTCGAGCCTTAGTTTTGCGTGATCGAAGAAGTGATACCCACCTCAGTCGTTCTTCATGCGACACAATGAAGAGGACGTGGGAGGCTTCTGGCAATCCGAGACCGAGAGCTCCTCGTCGACAAGAGCCAGTTTCATGCCAGTTTTGTCGGAGCAAAAAGTTGAGATGTGATCGACTAGCGCCGTGCTCGAATTGTTCCTCGAGGCACATCCGTTGTGTCTCAGCTGTCGAGAGTCAGTAAAAGTCCCTAAGCATTGACATTATATCACCACTCCAGGATATTGTCATGTTGGCCGTTGAGGAATGCATGAGCAGCCCCTCACTACAGTTCTGGCCCTCACAGCAGTCCATGGGGGCTGCTTCCTGAGTGACTCTTTTCAGACTGTAGCCTGGTGCGAGCGCACTTTCCTTCCAACACCCTTTATCCACTTGGAAGCTGACATATCGTCGATCAATTAGGCTCCCTTCGTACAGTGACACAATCAGATAGTACGATCCAGAGAGAGTCCTTGGATGCTAATACTTTGAATCCAACGTATGTTGTTCTTGTGCGCCGGAGACAGGATTTTTGCTAACTATCCGATAGCAGTGAACCTGATCTTGCTGAGCGCGTGCGGAGGCTCGAGCAAGCCCTGCTTGCAAAAGGAGACCAAGGGCAGCACCATCGCGACACGACGGATCAACAAAGCGACTGGGAGATATCAATCTCCGACGACCGGACTGCCGTTCGAGCGCAAGGCGAATCGGGTCATGATGCTGACGTTTCGCAAAGCCAGGAGAGCGTTGCAAATCCTGCGCCTGGCACAGAGGTCAGACTTCAGGCGCAAGAGTTGGTGATCAACACGGTATAATCTTCTCATCATTGTACACGGTAACAATTCCACATCGCTGATTCGCTTATCACCGACTATAGAACGAATATTTACTTCTGGGCTCAGCTCCTCAATGCAAACCATTATCTATCGCAGAGCTTGTTCAAGTTTTGCCCAATCGCACCAATGCGAGAAGGCTATTCGGATTCTACATGGAAAATATAAATTGGGATCAACACATTGTTCATGTCCCTACCACATCCCACGACCTAGAACTCATCTACGACCAACTTTCTGAGGGGGTGAAACCGGAGGGCTGCCGGTTAGCTCTCATTGCAGCAATATTTGCAGTTGCGGCCTATTTTTGGCCAGATCCTCCGCTATCAGAACCAGCGTTAGAAGATCCGAAGACTTGTTGCCGCAAGTGGATTATACTGATTCAACATGTTCTTGTGGAGTCAAACCACCTGAGCTTCCCCACGCTCGAAACACTTCAAGCAAAAATGCTTCTCACGCACTTTCTGCCGGTCTTTCCGCAAACTACGGGACGCAGAAGCCAACAAACCCAACTAGTAAATGCGGCGCACATGCTCCAGATTCATCTCGTCGACTCCCCTCGTGAGCGTGCACTCCGTGGGAATGATACTCAGGACCTGATAGAGCTCGAGGTCAAGCGAAGAGTTTGGTGGAACATCGTGGCAGGCGACTGGTACATATGACAACCTCTTCCTCATGAGACAAAGCGCCATGGCCTTTCTGGAGGGTGTTTTTGACTGATAATGCCTAGGATGTTGTCTTTCATGACCGGGCCTCAGCAAGGCACTTACATAATACACCCCGATCAAATGAATGTCGAGTTCCCGAGTAATGTCGACGACAAAGACATTACGGCCGACGGGACCTATGACGAACCCGTCCTGGGCTCGCCTACCGAAATGACCTTCACCATCGCGAAGATTCGCGTCAGCACCGTGATCCGCGAACTCATAGACACGGCAAACAAAACCAAGGTGGCCGTCGACGAGCTCGACTATGAACAGATCCTCGTTTTCGACAAGAAGTTGAACGACGTGTATGACTCGTTGCCACCATATTTCCGCTACGAAGATGCCAGTCGACCGTACGTCCAGGAGATTTACAATGCTCGCCCATATCTCGGGCGACAGCGAAATTTTCTATTGTTTGGACTCTACATCCGGCTCTCGCTGCTCCATCGTCCTTTCCTGACCCGGTCCTACAAGGAGCCACGGTACCGTTACAGCCGGATGGTTTGTCTGCGGTCGGCACGGATCGTGATCGACCTGCACAAGGCTATGCGGCAAGTCAGTTCCGGACGCATGTGGGTCGTCATGTACCATGTTTTCGTGGCGACCACCACGCTGGTGATGGACTACGCCTGCCAAAGGGATGATGACCCACAAGCTGCAAGTGAAAGAAAGCAGGAAATTCTCAATTGCTATAGGATCCTCGAGGAGGGCGAAGAACGAGATCCGGAAGTCAAGGACGGATTGGCCACGCTCAAGCGTATTACCAATGAGTGGAGGATGAGGAGTGACTCAGCGCTATATACCTCGATGCCGAGGAGGATCCCAGATGAGGTGTCTCTTGTGACGTCGAGCGAATCCCGACCCAGGACAGAAATGCATCGGCAGTCTCAATCTCAAGACCAAAACCATTCAACAGGTCCGAGCCGGAACAGCAAAAGAACGACAATGGCTGGCTCAACATCTATGACAAGACCGCCTACCGCGACAACAACGCGCGAGCCTTACCTTGTAGGAATTCCAGAGGCACCAAATATCAACAATGATATTCCAAACCTAGTCTCGGACCGATCCACTTGGTCGTCCCTCGACACGACCACTCCTCCGCGCTACATCGGATCCGACATAATACATCAGGACGGGCTTGAGGTGGAAGCCGGGCTAGGATCCGCGTGTTGTCCACCACCTGTCTCGGATCTGTGGTTCCCACACTTTGACGCAGACTTGGACCCGACGTACAATCTGCAGTGGGAGGCTTTGTTTCGAGACCTGGATAATCAACAGACACGACTTGGTCTTTGACGGATCTTCGAAAGGATAGCGCTCCTACGCCAATCTAATAGAAAATATAGGTATATAACCAAAGAGGATAAAGTAGCTTCTGCTATCTGCACCCCGATGCCGTGGACGGGTAACCTCTCTATGGCAAGGCCGTAAGCCACACTACGAAGTAATAGATGCTCGCGGACAAGACTACTCGAGGATCGCCATCGAGGCAGTGCGAATACGCCATTAAAAGAGCGCTATAGCAGGCCCTAAACCTTTGGAGGCAATATCAGGAGTCAAGCGACTCCCAAAGAGAAAGGACCGAAGGTGGAGAGGTGCTGGTACACGTCTCATATGCTCTTAACAACACCGCCATCCATCCTAACTGCAGAGCCCGTCATCCAACGCGCCGCTGGCGACAGCAAATAGGCGACGAGCTCCGCGATTTCCTCGGGCTTCCCGAACCGCGGGATACCCATAGACTTGAGCAAGTTCGCCTGGGCCTCTTCCAGGGGGATGTCCTTGGAGCGAGCAAATTCCGTGGCCATGGTGACCAGGCGCTCGGTCTCGACGGGGCCTGGCAGTATGGTGTTGACCTGCACGCCGTCTTCGAGTCCGCGGTCGGCAAACGCCTTGGACAGGGCATTGACTGCGGAGTTGACGACCGACACCGCCGCGTTGCCTGCTTTCGGGGCCTCGGCCGCCACGCCGGACATGAAGAGCACGGCGCCCTTGGAGGCCTTCAGGTACGGCCACGCCTCGAGGGCCATGCGCCGGGCGCCGTGCAGTTTCAGGTTGAATCCGTCGTCCCACTGCTCGTCGGTCAGTTTGAAGAGGTCGATCGGCTTCACGGAGCCCGCGTTGTTGAAGAGGGCGTCGATCCGCCCGAACTTGTCGACCGTCGCCGCCACCACGGCCTTCGCGGACGCTGGCTTGGAGAGATCCGCCGCGATCGTGAGTGTTTTGGCCCCCGCTGCTTCCACCTTCGCCGCGACCTGTGCCAGCAGCGACTCGTTGCGGGCAACCAGAACAATCGCGGAGTAGATCTGGGCGAGTCGGATGGCGGACGCCGCACCTAGTCCTTGGCTCGCGCCGGTAATGATGGCAACAGCCTCAGCCTGGGCCTGGGCCATAATTCAAGACTTGAACTTGTTAAAAGTCCCCTGTTTGGAAGTCAATCAAGAAAGCTTTATAAAAACGGGGGATATGCCGAGTCTCTAGATAGCTATATCACAGGCCGGCGGGCATGGAGAGGGTTATATCACTCTGGTGAGTTGGAGGAGGGGTAGGACGACAAGGAGCTGGTCGTTTTTGTACAAGAAAGGCCTCTCCAACTGTAAAGAGTATGCTCGGCAATTGACAAGTCGGGGGCCCCGGCCTTTTCCCGTTCCTCGTGTCATCAAGACCAATACAATTCCGGTAAGATGCATTGATATTCTCGGCTTTTAGCACGCTAAACCGTGGGCATTTCCTCGCAAAACTGCAAAAGAATCGTTCTCGAAACAGATCGTCGCATCTCCTGGTTAATACATACTCAAAGTGACCTGCCGTTCAAAGAGTGGAGTGCGGTATCGTCGCCGGAACAACCAAAAGCCGCTTCATACGAGTACACTCTCTTAAGGCGGACCTGCGTATACCTCTGAAGGCACCAAGACAGATTGATTGTGCTGGGATGGCGGTACCGCTGTATTTGCGAATGCCAGCTTAGAGAAAGCACCAACTCGACATGAACCCATAGCCACCGCCCATCCAACAACCCATATATATTACACGTGACACGGCTCGGTCCAGGCTCGCGTGTCTCTCTGGCACACAACTGACTGGACCGCACACGTCTCTTCCCTCTTGCTTGTTGCCCGCGTTGCGTCTTCCCTTGAGCCCGATCAACGGCTTCCTATTTGGAGACCTTTGGACAAGTTTTCCTGGTGCCTGAACAACAGCTCAGGCCGTTCTGCGGTTAGAGCCACTGGGTAGCAGGAAGGCTCAATGCGTGACGGCCTCGTGTCCTGGATGTTTCATTGAGGCGTACAGACATTCATCCGGGAGCACTCAGGAAAGCTGACCTGTCCGGGCACAGCGTTGGAAGATTTCTGCTCACTGCTTTTCTCCACCAAATATCTATTCTCCCAAATAATCCTCTTGACTCGGTCCCGAATCATGTTCTTGACTCGGCCTCACGCTGTAACTCTTCCAGAAACTGAGCTTTTTCCCCGTGAGTCCTACGAGGTAGACCTGCCGCCTTCCGCCGACGGCCCTCTTCGGTTAGAAGTTTTTGAAGCTCCTTCTCGTTCTGGAATACTCCTTCGCCAACCAGTTCTCGCCTTAGGCGCACTTTGATATCTTTCTTTGTTTCCTTTTTCTCCTGCTGTGTGAGCTTGCCCTTGCGCTCTTTTCTAAGCCGCCGTAGTTCCGATGTGGCGGTTGGATTGACCAGGGCCTTCCTGTCGGCTCTGGACATTTCGCTCCAATCCTTTGCGGGCTGATCGGACTGTGCTTCGACCACGGGAGGCTGGGCATGCACCCGCAATCTCCTTGTCGTGTGGAAGGATCGTGTTTGTTGTTGTACTTGCTTTTGTACTTGCTTCTCGGTCCGTTGCTGAGCTTGATCTCGAGCCCACTGCTGGGCCTCCTGTTGGGCCTGCTCCTGCGCCTCCTGCCCATGGTACTCTTCAGTTGTTGCAGCCGCAAAGCGTCGGCGCTCTTCCTCTTGATGAGCTACAATGCCGTCATATTCCAGCGGATTGGTCTTTTTCCAAATTCTCAGAAACTCCACTGCATCAACTTTATCAGGCACGTAGGTTGTCCCATCGGGGCGATCTGTGGCTCTGCTTTTCGGTTCCATCTCCATAGTCACGAATGGTGTGAGCTAGTTTGGGGGAGCCAATAATTAGTGACTGAAACTTTTGTTGGAATATCGCTTGACAGGAAGCTTACTGGAAAGTCCTTGATCTCGGGCATGTTATAATGAGCCGTCTTCCGCCAGTCAATCACATATCGGCCGTATTCGGTGTGAGCGCCCATTGCACCAGCTCGATTTCCCCGGTAGAATCCCTTTGCGACCTGCTTGGTGGTGAAGCGCAGGCGGGCGCACAATTGAGGCGAAGGCTTGACCATTGTGACTGTCGGAAGGTCCTGCCGCCCCTCGCTTTTCGCAGGTTATAAACTCATAGACCCTTGCAACGCTGAAGTACTCTCAATGATGGAGGATGAGGAGAACAGAATCTGAGAAACGTATTGTCGTTTTGGGACGAGCGCCATGCCGTCCTAACAGCCTCGCAGCCTCGCAGCCTCGTGGCCCAACTGCGCTGGTGCCCTGACTCCGAATATGGCGACCGCTTATTGGCCACCATTTTGCATCTCGGCTTCACCCGCGCATATTATTTCACTTTCCTGCTGCCCATCCATTTTCTTTCTCTATTGAACCATGTGAATGCCTCCCCCCGAGACGAATCCGCTGCACATCTACCGCACCTGCCTGCGAGAATGCTCCTACCTCCCCCTCCCGCGATGCCGGGCCTATATGAAAAAGTTCACCATCGACAGTTTCCGTCGCTGGATACCCAAGCACCCTGGAGGTAGAAGTCGCAAACTCCACGGTCCCCAAAATCTTGGCCCCGAGAAGGTGACTCGATTGCTCCACCAGGCAAGGAAACTGGCCTCGACCCTCCGTCATGCGAATCAGGGATACATCATTCCCTTGGAAAACGTCTTGCGCATGAGCTATGGGAGAAAAGGACCTAGGAGATATGAACTTTTGCACAAGTTCTTATATCCAACACCACCTCCAGCCTCTGAAGGCGAAGAAGCAGGGCATCATTCAAAAGTCACAAAGGAACAGAATGCAGCGACCGCGGAAACGCTGTTGGCAGATGAGGAACTGTTGAGGAACGACACCACGGAGGAGGAGGAGCCCTCTGAGAGCACCACAGAGGAAGAGGACACATTATACCCTTCATTACACTCGACAGTCACCACCGCCGGTCCGCCTGACGCTCCTTCTTCTGTGCCCGCTACCACTCCTCCCCCCCATCCTCCTCCCCCCCATCCTCCTCATCCCCCTCCTCCTCATAATCTCTCAAATCCCCCCCAAGAGGAATGGAAACTCGACCTCCCTCCCCGCCTCCTCGCCCTTCTCACCTCCCAAGCCAACGAACAAGACCACTTCACACGCGTCGGTGCCCACCTAAAAGTGAAACTACGTTTCAACCCCCCACGGACAACAATATGGGGCAAACCCCTCCCACAATCGCGATACAAAAATCTCCGCATAAAATGGTACAACCACAACATCAAGGCCGCGTTGCCACCCTTGCCGGAAGACGAGTACGAGGAGCTTCATGATCTGGTGAGCGGGCAGAGGGAGATGGAACCTGCCACAAAATTTATCCCACAGCGTCGGACGAGGACACCACCACCGGCGGCACGGATCTCACCCGAGGAGGACATGGCGGAAAGTTTGCTTGAGAGTGAATCCAACCTGATACTGGAAGGTCCACGGCCGGGCCCCCGCATCAAGGATTGGCACCACGGTCGCCCTCACGAGATCACGCCTCGACTTCTACGCCGATTACTCTCTCGTATCATCTTGAAACAGACACCCTTTGTGAAGATGGCGGCTCCCGGTTCCGAGGCGGCCGAGGGCTCGGGATTAGTCTTCTACTGGGACGATGGCATGTCGAGGGACGTGATGGGAAAAACCGAGCAGAAGGCGTCCGAATCTTTGAGAGAGAGGCAAGCGAAGCTTTTGTTTGAATGATGAGCGGAATATCCGAGAAATGGAACTCAGCCTCCGAAGTGAAGTCATGACGAGGATTTATTACCTCGCCTCGGTCCCAGTGGCCTAGCATCTTTCGTTCACGCACGTCTCGTCCCGTGCTTGACTCGGTTCCTCGCCTGAATCTAGATGTGTCAGATGCGGTACCGGTCCTGTTCTCGGCCATACCTCTGGCCATTGCCATCCTACAAACTTTTGTTGGCCGCTTCCCTTGTGTTCCTCTTACAGCCATACACCGCGCCCAAATCTCTCACATTGCAACCCCTATCTATGACGACGCCCCTCCTAATAGAGCACTTAGTGCGATGTACCACGTCAGGGATGCTCCACCGTCGATCCAACTCATGTCAAAATTAGGCTGAGTGAAGAAGTTGTACGCTGCTGTTGGATTAATGATCGCCAAATTCGCATATACGATGCCTGGGGATCGTCAGTATCGCGCACCATTGGATAGTCCAAGTTTCGCTCACCTTTCCAGCCACCAGTAATGTCTGTAGCTTGTCGAACGGCTCCGTCTGCAAAGTATGCGATCCATTCCTCTGTTACAAATTGCTCTGTCCGGGTCAACGTCGAGAAAGGCATGACGGGAATCATGTGGATGCCCTGAATATAGCTCAGATCATTACCAAAGTAGGTCGTATGATCTGCTTTGTTCTCAAACAGGATGCCGGTGACCTTGTTGTCAATGAAAGGCGCAGGTTGATTGGTGTTGTCCGATGTCATCAGGAAATAGTTCTGCAGACTCCGTGCCAGGACAGCGAGCATCAGATTGCCACGAGCTTCCATCGAGGCATCGCCAACTGTCTTGCCCCACATTTTCAGCCCGTATGCAAACATAGTATCCTCAGAAGAGGATTCTTCATCCTTGCCATCGCCAGATTCAAAAAGCCCTTTAGCCCAAGAATGTCCATGAAACCAGTCAAAAGATCGGAAAACTGGAAAATACTGATCCAGAGCGCTAGGATTGGAGACATCGCGAGCTAAAGCGTTCACATAGTCCTTATTCTGATTGAGCCACGTAGGATCGAGATAACCGATGACAGCAGCGGCATGGAGGAAGTAGCCATAGTGAAAATGGTGATCGTTGTAGTACGAGTTCCCAAAGTCTGCACCGGAGTCACCCGTCACATAACTCGCTGAGGACACAAGGCCCTTCCAGTCGGTGTCGTAGAGCAGGGGATACTGTTGTTGATTGTTTGCGAAGACCTCGAAGCAGCTTTCAAGCTCCAGTAACGCGGCATTTGCCAGGTCTTGCTGATTCGCGAGATCATGCATGGTGTAAACAAGCTGCGCGAATTTGCTCAGAGCCTTTCCGCTATAGTACATGCTGTTGAGGTTTGTTTGGGTTGACATGTTCTGGGAGGCTTCAGATGCAGAGACGTTTTGTATGACGGTAAGCGCCGCGGGAGAGAGGGTAGCCACGCCTTGGGAATTCATTGAATTTTCCGGTCGCCAGGGTGCAAATCCTAGAGAGATTGGGAGGTCGCGCTCTTCCAATACCCAGTAGTCCCCTACAACAGCTGTCGCGTTGCCCTTGGTTGTGGTGGCTAGTTCAATGGCCGTGACATTGCTTTGGGTAAAATTGTCAAAGGACTCAAGGTGATGCGGCAGCGCAAACATGAGAAGAGTCGTGTTGCTCGAATACGCCCCGCCCTTGGACCAGGACAAACAGTATTGAGCGGTCGTGTTTTGTGCGGAGCCCGAAATATGCCCAGCAGTTGGATAGGCCCCGACAGCATCATCATAGATAGACTCCAGACTTTCGTCAGGGAGCTTCGCAATCTGTATATCCCCATACCAATTCAGCAAGCCTCGGAGTAACGTACTTGAGACGAGCTGAAAGTTGGGTGTGAGTCCATTGGCTGGTATAGCATATATCAGCCACAATTTTCCGTCTTCTAAAGTGACCCTGTATTTGAAGATGCCCGGTTTCGGTTGGCCCGCTGCAGCAACATTCCGGAAAAAGACACTGCTTTGTATGGCTGGTTGCAGATTGACATATTGCCCAGTGACAAATGACATACCTTGGACCACTGGTATGGTAAGCACCGAAGCTGAGCCTGCTGACGGCTGAAGATGGATGTTCGCAGAGAATGCCAACAAGGAATCCGCGGTCAGAACTGTATTGGAGTCGAATTCGCTGGCGGATAGGATCAACGACTGAATCCCAAGCCCATTGATGTAGTAGGAGGCTGGTGCACCTGGTATAGCAGTATTGTTCGGCCCAAAAACCTTCTGGCTGTCATCAAGATGCGATATCGCCATTCCCCAACTCAAGGCATTCCCACTCCCCTTGCTCCAAGCTAAGGAGTACGGCATCGTAAAGCCAGGAGAACTCTGGGAGCCCAGCACGAAGTTTTCGTAGAATTTGTTTGTCTCAATGGGGCCGCCAATATCCACAATCCCAAGTCGCGGAACGAGGTGCCCACCTCTTTGTTCGATGTTGTTGGGAGGCTGCCCTAGCGCAATAGGCTGGAAAATGTCCTGTCCAGAGCAACCCATGCTCACCAAGCAGGTCGGACTGGAGGTGGGGAGGCTTGGGATAGAACCGAGAGCCGTCGTCAAGGTAGTGGCTAACGTCCCAGTCACTGTTGACGAGGCAGTCAAAGTTGTTTCGACGAGTGCTGTCCCAGTTGTGGTAAGGACCGTCGTGCCTGCAGATGATGTTGCTATAATAGACCCACTGGCAGAAATAGTGGTGTTGAGGACTGTGACAGCAGTTATAACCGCGGTCGTTTCCACGGCCACCGTTGCCACGGTCTGCGTGGTCGAGACGCTTTCGAAAGTTGTCAGTGGCAATGTGATGGTCTCGGTCACTGTGCTCGTCGTACTAAAGGCCGTTGAATTGCCGAAGGGAGCAGTGCCATTCAAAGGTTCTAACGTGGCCGACGCAACAGTCTGAATACTTGTGGGGAAAGGCTGTACAGGAGGATTTCCTTCGGTTTCAAGGGTCGTGATCAATGACTAGACCAATTAGTGATCCTCAGGAATTCGGGAAATGGTGGAGGGAAAGAATATAAACCCACTCCGGTTGTGTCTGGAAAGCTTTGGCTTGCGGAAGTCACAGTTGGGACTTGCGAGGAAGGTAATGCGGTGATGGTGATGGTCTGGATACTCAGTTGTGGATCGGTAAAGGTAATTGCAGACGAATAGCTTTGCGATTCGACGTCTGCGTCATAGGCATCCAGTGCATAATTGGCATCGGGGGTATCACCTAAAACCGCTATGTCAACGCCGTCAACATTCCGTACTGGGTGAGGAGGCAGACCTGGTATCGACGGCGTAGGTTGAGGTAAGTTGTCAGTGGTAGGAGTCACGTCAGCACCTGGATCGTTGAGTGATAATGTTAGTAATTCGCCATCATAGAGATCTTGATCACCTCGGTCGCATTCAGGTTCCAGGTATCTTGACGGACCAAAAAATCGATGAACAGGGAGGGCCGTGGCGAAGAGCACCTGATGTATTGTCAGCAGATATGAACCATAATAAGTGCGCATGACGATGCAGGGAAGGAAAAAATTGTGTTCTCAGTGGGTATGCCAGAACACGACGAGTTGCTGGGTGCACTAGGAATATGCAACGGTGTCGTAAAAGACCAAGTAACGTGGGCCCTTCGGACAATGCAAAGTGCTCCGATACTTTTGATGTTCACAAATAACGGAGTAGAGCAGAATCACATTGGTGCTGTTCTCAACAAAGAGGAGACAGGGCGGCTATAGGACAAGGTTGACGGGAAGAGGGAAAACTGCGGACAAAAACAGTTTTCCATATCGAGATAGTATGTGAGAGAGTGGGTAGGGGAGTCCAGGCATACCAGGGCGAGACCGGTAGGCTTTGGCACGGACATGCACGGCGAAGGAGGCGATCTGTGCGGCTGCCTGGTTGTGGAGGCTCGAGCTTAAGGGCGAGGCGAGACTGAAGCAGGACGGTGGTCAGGAATATGAATACAGAACGTGGCAAAAGGATGGCTGATAGCTAGGGATGAGGGCTGAGAAGACGGTATAGGTGGATTAGGGGGCAGAGAGTGCATAGAGATGATATGATAGAGGACGGGGAGGGAGAAGAGACACATGATGCCCTGAATTTTCGAGACTCCTGTCCATGGTTGCTTCCTGCATGGAAGCAAAAATTTGGAAGCATTTCGAATGTAGATACTGTGGCGAGATGGAAAGGGCGAAGCCGGTGATGCCAATGGCAAGTGGTGCTGAACGTTCCAAAGTGAGAGGCCAGAGGAGAAGAAGGTGGGAGAGGCTGTCGAGGACGGATCGTGGCAGTCACGCGACGCATGCCATGATGGAGCGGAAAGGGTTTCTCTCGAGAAAAAGCCAGAATACTTCTGACCTCCGCTCCGCAAACAAGGCGTTCGTCTCCTCTTGTGCCTTGAAGCGCCGAATTGACATGGCGCGAATCCTTCCCTATCGATACAGCTTTCCGTTGATGCTGTTCACAACATATCTCGATAACCCTATGCCAAGGGTCGTGCCATGGGCTGGATGATGCCCTGCTTGACCAACACGCGTGGCTTCGTGCTATCCTGGAATGTGGTCTTCGTCGTCCATTCGGGTCCCAAGGGCAGGCGAAGCGATCGTTCATACTGTTGTCGTGACTCGAAGGGATGAGGTAGCTCGCTGGCCAGATACTTGCCGTTCTTCTTGACCCGCTTTTCGTTGATGATAACCTTTTCCAGTCTGGAGTCTTGTCGCTTTTCTTCTGCAACACCACTGACCGTTGTAAGAAACCGCCCCTTGGCCCTCTTCTGGGCCTTCTTGCTGATACCCTCTCCTGTCCAGCTTCCCCAACCCGGAAGGCCGTTGTCAATGACCTGATCTCCTTCTTCCTCCACGGTTTCTTTCTTTTCCTTTGCAAACTCCTGCTGGATTTCGTCCGAACCCGTAAAGATCGCTTGCGCAAGTGCGGCTCTATCATCCCGCTCATTCTCAGACTCGGATGGGACAATGTCATCATCGAGGCGGCTTTGAGGCACCGTTGTCAGCTTTTTATGTGACTTTCCACCTTCTTCGACAAGGCCAGACAAAGGATTCTTGCCTGACAGTTCGCCCTTAAGGTTAGATTTTGCCGTCTGTTTTACTGCGGTTGGGCGTTTCAACGACGATTTTGATTTCAGTTCCTTGTCTGTGGGCGCAATAGCTGTTAGTGCATCGTCATCTAATCCTTCCGTTTGGTGTCGAGCTTCTGGATATTTCAGCTCCGCCTCCGAATCACGTTCCTCGAACTCGCTCTTGGAAACATGAGCTTCAGGCTTCACAGGGATATCTCTGTTGCCCACGCCGAACTTTTGACGTCCCGCTGCGGTGTCGCGCTCGAAATGCTCCTCGCTGACCGATCCCGTTTCACCATTGTGTAGGTCGCGTCTGATGTTCCGGATCTCTTCTTCATTGGCAGCTTTCCTCGCCGCTTCTGCTTTTCTCATAAATGCCATTGAGCCAAGCCTTGTCTCGAACGAATCGACTTCATCGCGCTCGATATCATCGAGCTTAGTTTCTAGCTTTTGTCTCTCGTCATCGGAACCAGAGAAACCGTCGAGATCGGAAGACTCTGAATCGGACCTGTCCGAGCCAGCACTGGCCTTGCCTTCAATTCGCCTGCGGAGTTCTTCATCTCGCCTTGCAAGCTCTGTCACGCCATGTCTGGCATCCTCATCCCAGGCGCCCCTGCCTGTGGTCTTGACACTTTTGGCCCATTTACTCTCCCTATGACGCGCGCCCATGCGTTCCTCAGCTCGCCTGCGATCGTTCTTCTCCCTTTCTTCATCTGAATCGATTAAGCCCTGCGCTGCGAGCAAACTTCTATTCTCCTGGCTCAAATTTTCGCGTTCTTTGCGGTGAACGCGACGATATGCCTTGCTTTTGATCTTCTTGATCCGCCGTGCACGGATTTCTTCGCGGAACATCAGATCCCGTGCCCGCCGCAACTCTGCTCTTCGGGCTTGCACTTCCGCCAGTGGCAGTTTCTTCTCGTGCAGCTCCTCGAACGCATGTTCTTGAGCTTCTTGGGACCTACCATTATTCGGCTGCATTCCACTTTCCATCATGATATTCTGGATCGTTGATTCGAGTGAAGTCATAGGCTTGGAAGTAGAGGTCGGTCCAAGCTGCTTATTGCTCAACATACCAGCTTCTGCAGCATCGACAAGGGGGAACGAAAGGTGTTCGGCACGCCTGTTCTGCTTTACTGTTTCGATCCACTTGTCCAACTCCTTTTTCGTCTCCTCGTACGCGGCAGAACGATCTAGACGATCTTGCTGCCTTTTTGCGAGAGAAGGGGCGAGTTTCCCTGGAATGCCACCTCTATGGATCTCGGCGCCCTTGCTGTCGCTGCTCTGCAAGATTTTTAGAGACTTTCTCTGACGAGGGTCTTTGATATACTGTAGTAGCTCACTCGCTGAGATTTTCTCGGAGCTGAGACCGAATTGCGAAGGCTTATTTGGCAAGTTTGGGATACGTCGCCGTTGGGTAGCCACCTGACTCTTGTCGCCATTTGACAGCCCTTCAACAAAATTCTGGAGCCTTGAATGGTCGCCTTCGTCTTCTGAGATGGATAATTCGGACTCGGCATCATCCTCAGCTCCAGACATTTCCTCATCTGATTGTTCGTCGTCGCCCAGTTCCGACAGGGAGTCTGCGCCGTCATCATGATTGTTCTTTGTGAGCTGCCTTCGTGTTTTTGGATGCCTTTCGGCCACCTCGTCTTGTTCCTGTTCGTCCATGTCCCAAGCCGTAGCTAAATCCACAGCTTCATCACCGAAATCGTCCTCTGGTTCGTCGTCGGTGTTCTCGCTTTCTTCGTCATCGTTGGCCCCTTCGTCGAGGTCTACTGGTTTGACCGACGAAGCACCACGGCGATGCTTGGGCTCCGAGGATACCGTAGCGCTTCCGCGAAATGTAAAGTCCGCAAATCTTTCTTCATCACTTGCGCCAAACGCATCTTCGCTGTCAATGTCACTATCTTCATCCTCTTCATCTACACCGAGATGCCATCGGTTGCCTTCGAGGTCGGAACCTTCTTCGGAAACCTCATCTCCAGCTGTAGTTGCGATCTTTCTCCTCTTCGATGACCGCTCGTCATCATCTGCCCTGCTGCGCGGATCTTCAGAGTCATCGTCGACCTGCCCGAGGCGATGCTGTCGAATCTTGATCTGATCGGGGTGTTCTCGCTCCGCAATCTCGAGTGCGTTCAGTCTGCGATTTTTGGAAGGTTTCTTCTTGGCGGCAATATTTGATCTGGACGCCTGGAGGGGTCTGCCGTGCGCCTGGCGAGGCATGGTAGTCCACAAGTTGAAAAGATTGGGGTCAGCAAGACTGATGGCGCTCGTGGTCTTGTGCGCATGAAAATAAAATATTGATTTAATATGCGGGGATAACAATTTTACTCCGGGGATAACAGCTCTTGGCGACGATCCCCTCAGGGGCCCGAGGCTGCGAGGCTGACCTCCACCATTCCATCGCCGACACCAGATATTGTGTCTCTCAGCCTTCATATTCCAATCGATTTGCTCTTACAACCGGTGAAAGGCTTCCAGTATAAGTGCTGGATGTTTTAAAGCTGTTCGAAGTCTGTGGGGCCTAATAGTTGAGATCCTCTCTCTGAACCATGGTCCCTTTCCCATGAGCAGCGGAAGGATACACATGACCGTTTGAGACGTTATGTTTGATCCTGACTTTACTCGACCTCGAGAGTCTCTCGCCGTCTTGCTCTGCATAAATAGGTTGCGAAAACCCCACAAGTCTCGTATCACAGTTAGATTCTTTGCTCAAGGCTCTCTACAAATTTGAGACCCAACTACCACCTCTAAACTCTCCGAATTCTTCATCCTGCTCAAGGTCACTCCTCTTGATCTTTTCTTCGGATAGCTTTCACCAAGATTGGTTGGTCCTCTCTCTGGCAGAATCAAGGCTCGTCCCTGGCTACCTCGGTAGAGTAAACTCCCTCTCGAAGATAGATGGCACTATCCACAAGAAACATCGCGAATGCAATCCCGACTTCATTTGCTCTGTATCGATAAGACCCAATCGCTTGCCCTGCAGGTACAGTAGACAGAAAAGTTCGCCAATGGCGCCTGACGCTTGTCGTGACTGCTTCTCCTGTTCAAAAGGCTTCATGATCAGGCCCAGGCCGAGCTCATATCATCACAAGGTTGGTGTGCTGGCAGTGAGCTCGGGCTGGATTCGACGGCAGACCTTGTTGATGGGTTGCTCGATCGCCATTCGCAAAGATTAGGCTCAAGCGTCTTCAGCGGGGAAGAAGAGGTCGAGCATGTCATTTCATATGCAGATAGCTATGCCGCGAGGCAGCTAGTTAGTAACATGGAGTGAACCGATCATTTGAAGCCGTGTCCAAGATGCATCGTGAAACGCATCGCCATCACTCCCGACAGCCCCTGACGAATAGACTATAGTTAATTGTGTCTCTCCTGTATTCCAGCAAGCCCCTTATTGGTGGGAGGGTGCGGTATATCCGGAGTATGTCAGGAGAAGCAGTGAAGGTTGAAGTCAGCGTGACTTTTCGGGTGCGTGCAAAACGCGCTAAGGGCGACGCGACAAATCGAGGCCGAAGTAGCGACCAATTGCCAATTCCCCGCTCCACACTGCCACTGACTGCCACTGACTGCCCCGAAGACGTGCTTCAATTTCGACTGCGCCCATTTCCTGGCGGACAGAGCACAGACTCAGACGACCGATATCCTGCGCAAACCACCCTGAAAGACTCCAATTACAGGGTGCGATCTTGTAACTGACCCTGTGCTCGACAGTCACAGCAAGAGTCTACCGCAGCATCTCCGTCCAGTCTCTGTTCATGCGAAAATTCCCTCCTTGGTCGGCGCCGAGATACCGCTCCTCAACCCTCCTTCCCGTGCTACACACTAGCCTCACCGATCTTGAAGCTGGAAGGTCGACCTTGCGCCGCCCTCATAGCTCTATCTACTGCCTTGATACGGGGTCGCGTTTGACTGGAGTTGGATTATCTGGCGAGCTTGCCCGTTGTGCTGTCCGGTTCGAAGGAGAAAGTAGTGAAAGGGAAATCCCATGGTGAAAGGTCCCATTCACCACTGAAAAGGAAGAACATCCCACGCAAAATATTAAAAAATAGCGCTGCGTGCGCCCGCGCCATGTCCTGACACACGATTCACATACTTCTTCTGTTCAAACAATCTGTTGATAATGATGGCATCGGGAGGCATTCATTCAGGAGTCTATCCGCAACCCCCTCCGCCTTTCCCTCATAACGGCCATTCCACTTCTATGAACCCAACCTTCCCGCAACAACATCCGCCCATGGCCGCCTTTGAGAACCAGTCGATCGCTTCTACGCCAGCACCCACTCCTCCACCTCCCAGACCGGCATCTCAGCACCAACAACAGCAAGCCTTATCGGCACAGCAACAGATGGTATATAGCATGAATGGAACAGCCTCCATGTCGAATGGAGGTATGATGGCACCACCCAATAACTATGGTGGTTATGCGGAGGCAAATGCGTTTGCACAACCCGACTATTATGCCAACGGCCTCAAGCCACAAATATACACCGCTGTCTACTCCAACGTATCTGTTTTCGAAATGGAGGTCAACGGTGTAGCAGTCATGCGACGCCGAGTCGACTCTTGGCTGAACGCGACCCAGATCCTCAAGGTAGCCGGAGTCGACAAGGGCAAGAGAACAAAAGTGCTGGAGAAGGAAATCACCGGCGAACATGAAAAAGTCCAAGGTGGGTACGGAAAATACCAAGGCACTTGGGTCAACTACCAGCGCGGTCGAGAGTTTTGCAGACAATACGGTGTCGAGCAACTGCTCCTACCGCTGTTGGAGTACGACATCAACTCGGACGGTATGTCGGGTGTCTCTCGAGGCATCGAGACCCCAACGAAGGAGCAGGCCATGGCAGCCCAGAGAAAGAGAATGTATGGTGGTGATGGCCGACTAGCTGGGCAACCGACCGGAGGCACCTTTTTCAAAAGTATGTCCAGCACTGCGGCAAATGCTATTCATGCCCTCAATAGAACGAGGCTCGACTCGCCAAATATGGACGGTCGACGCTCCATCGGCCCCAGAAAACAATCTCAATCATTTGGGTACGGTCAGGAGGCTGTGTACGCAAGCCAGCAGAGTATGCCCAGCATGACAAGTCAAGACAGCTTCGGCACAAATGGTGGGATCATAAGTCAAGGGGCGAGCTTTGTGGATTTCCCTCCCACAGATTCGCAAGAGCCCCCGCGCAAACGCATTCGACCTTCGCCGCAGTCGTCGTTCCTTTATGATGGTGCAATAGACCTCAGCATGCAGGACAGCGTTCCTACAGAGCCGAACGTCTCATTTTTTTCTCAATCTGGTGAGGCTTTTATGTCTGCAGACCCGCTGCCGTATGGACTGGAACCACTTCCTCACCCGTCCGGACCCTTGGAAGAGCAAAAGAAAGAACTTTTAATGGATCTCTTCATCGACCCTTCACGGACAGACTTTGACGACCATCCGGCTTTTCTGCGCTTGAGTGGCGATGAGTATGAAATGCCTATTGATGGCTCGTCTAACACTGCTTTACACTGGGCGGCCACGTTGGGTCGAATCGCCCTCGTTCGAAAGTTGCTCGAGAAGGGGTTCAACATGAGGCGAGCAAACAGTGGTGGCGAAACAGCACTGATCGCCGCATGTCAGGCAAGAAATAATCTCGATCAGAATTCCTTCCCTGCTCTCTTGGAGCTTCTTGGTCCCAGCATCGAGGTTAGAGACGGACGTGGGCGAACAATGCTCCACCATATCGCCGTCGCCTCTGCGATAAAGGGTAGGGCTGCCGTCGGAAAGTACTACCTCGAGTCTCTGCTCGAGTATGTGATTCGACAAGGGACTTCATCAGGATCAAGCACGCAGTTCGATTCCATGGGCGGGCTCAACAATCTGAACCAGACAAATCCTATGACACTGGCGAGGTTCATGTCGGAGATAGTCAACGCTCAAGATAAAACAGGAGACACCGCTTTGAACTTGGCCGCAAGAACAAGCACGACTACCATCATTGATCAACTGGTCGAGGTCGGTGCAGATCCGCACATCAGCAACCGCGGCGGCTTGTCTCCGGCAGATTTCGGGGTGGGCGGCGGACCGGTCAACAATCGCATGTTCGACCAAACTTTTGCAGCATTCGATCAGCCTTCAATGGCGAACGGATCGTCACAGAAGTCCTTTGCAGAGGCTCAAGAAGGATTCATGGCCTGTAAGTGATGCCGTGCAATGGATGTCCTGTAAATGCTAATGACTGCAGCAATCCGAGAAGTCCTGTCTCAATCCGAGGCCGACTTTACCGCTGAGATGAAGGAAAAGAAGGAAATCCTGGACAAGACCAACGCAGCATTGAAGGAGTCTGGTAGTTCGCTGGCAGAGGAACGGCGGCGACTAGAAGAGAATCGTGCCAAAGTCCGAGAAAAGGACGAGTTAGAGCAGAAAATCAGCAATTTACGTCGAGCGGCGGCAAAACTTCGCGCCGAGTTGAGCGAAGCAAACCCTCTCAACACGATACAAGACAACGTCACGGTCGGAGAAGCCGACAGAGGCCTTGACCTCGAGGGACAACTGCCGTTGGTGGCGCAGTTCTTCCCTGATGGCGAGGTAGATGCCGGCCTCATGGCATTGAACCAGGAGCAACTCAACCTCTTGGGAAGTCTGGAACGAGCGGAGGTGGTGTCTGGGCGTGTCCAGGTGTATCAGCGACACAACCAACAACTGGAGCAGATGGCCAAGGTACTCAAAGCGCACAGTGTGGAGCTGGAAGCGCGGTACAAGAAGATTGTGAGCCTGTGTACAGGCGCTGATGAAGACAAGGTTGATAGCTTGCTGGACGGTCTCGTGCAAGCGGTCATCAGTGAACAGAAGGAGATGAGCAACAACTCGCAGCTAGGACGAGTTCGGGACTTTTTGAGGATGGTCCAAGGGTCCGGGAACTAGGTCATGTGTCCGGCACAAAGTGATTGACAAGATGATTCGGGCACAAATGACGAGGATCATCAAGTCAGTGCAAAGGTACGTATGTTTCCACTCGGCGCACGGCCATCAGAGTGCTCATCTTGTTAATATTGCACTTGATCTGTGTGGCCAATCATGTGAATGCTTTTGCATAATCTGTCGTGGCTGGGGGAAGCAGCTGGGCAACAAATATTGCTTCCACGGACGGACGCGCGCAAGGTTGATACAGTCAATGTTAGTATCTCACGAGAACTACGAGTCACGCGCGCAACATGAAGAGAGCACCTAGTAACAGAAACCAAACAGGCAGCCTCGTTGACAATAATAACAACAAAGCCTTTGCACTGTCAGCCTCTCGTGCGCGTAGTTGACCAAGAATAACCCATGGCATGGTCTACTTTGGGTTGCAATTCCTGTCAGTTTCCGCTTTCTAATTGCCATTGTGCAACGGTTGGACGAGAACCGCCGAAAAGGAAGGGCCTCGAAACAGGTTGCCCGCGGTTGGGAGGTTGGACGAGGCGGAGGGTGAAAAGTCGGACGCTGGCAGCGAATGGATAAAGGGGTCATTTTAAGGAGAGCGACCAATGGATAAGAGGCCACGGCGTTGTTTCAAGATGGCGATTCTCAGACGATAGGCGGGGACGCCTCCTTGTCCCTCCGCCCCGCCGAGACCCCGCCCAGACCCCGCCCGGCGCACCTCCTGCCCAATCACCTCGACGCGTCAGGCTGGTGAGGCTCCTCCCCCCTGCCCCTGTCTCCGGTTGGCTGCAAGCTATTGTGTCGAATTTGCTGGGATTACCCGCCACACCCGCCCGGTTGCGACGACAGACCCCTCCTCATCCCTTCTCCTGGACTTTCTCGAGGAACACACCGACATCAGCGGCACTTGGACAATACTCATAGGTACGCAATATGGGTAAATGGCTTGCTCTGCTGTGTACTCGGTACTCGTCGAACCCTCCCGACCCCTTCTCCCTGGCCTTGCCAAGTATAGAACTCGGCTCAGCGATTCGCTCCTCCTTGGCACCATGCGACCTCTGTTGTAACATCCCACTTTCGCGTTTCGTGCTGCGCCGTCGATCTGCTTGCGTTGTTTCATGCCAGCATCCACTTGCTTTCCTCGACACGTTCTAGCCGTGGAACTACTCGAGCGTGACCACTACTGACCGTCCCTCCCCCCCTTGAGGTATTCCGAACCTACAAGGACAGACCACAATAGCCCAGGTTGGGCGAATCGACACCCACGGATCCATGTCTCCATATCAGTCCAACCACCGACGATGTGTCAAACCCGCCTTCTCCTTGGCCGAGGGAGGTTTCCCTACAGTAAATGTTTTATATTGATCCTGGGCCCTGGGTCCTTCCTGTAGCTGTTACACTTCATCACACCACACACTCTTTTGCACAGGCCCAGCATCAACTCTCCTTTTTTTCGCTCCTGTCTCTCTTTTCTCTGGGGATTCCTCTCTCTCTCTTTCTCTTCTATATCCTCGTTTGAGAAACTTTACATGCTCGTGGGCAGGTTCCTCTCCCTTTGAGCATTCTTCATTCTTTTCTGGCAGTCGCTGGCCGTGCCTACATTCCTTTCTTTGAGCAAGCAGTGCTTGGTCTCAAATCACCGGTCTCGACGACCACTTTGTTTCTAGAGAGATACTCAAATCAGTCACTACCAAAAGAACAACGGCATATCACCGCACCGAAGATGCATTTGACAACCGTTGTTGCCTCGGCATTGTTGCTTTTGGCTGAAGCCGACATGATCTCGGCCAAGGCCATTTTGCATCTGCCCAACTCGATCAGAAGGAGAAGTGCCTGGGGAGAAGGTATCGAGAGAGAGGTCGACAGGATTCTTCGACGAGAACCGCAATCCTCGACCGGCTCTCTTTCGGTGGCGGCACCGACGAGCGCATTGAACCAAACAATCTCGACAGCTTGCATCAATAGTCTCCAGTCACTCACCTCGGTCCAGAACGCCGCCGGCCTCGCCGCGTGCTACAACATCCTGCAATACGACAGCAAGCAAGGCGCCTTCGAGGCCGATCTCCGGCTCTACCAGATGTTCCAGCCAACGGGCAACTTCCAGAATGTGCCCATCAACGACATCATGATCAGCTTGACGTACCCAACCAGCACCACGTTCCAGTCTCTGACAAAGCGGAGGAAGCGAGATGTGGAGGCTCGACAAAGCAGCAGCAGCATGGCCGAAGTGCAACAATATACCCTCTTCGGCACATTTGAGGCGAATCTGAATCTCGCCATGCTGAACGACACTCAAGTCATGTCGCTGATGCTGCCGGACATCAAGCTGAACGCCGCCACGGACTCGCAAACGCCTATCATGGCCAACATCAGTGCCGCCGACGGCGCCTGGTTCGTGGTCGGGGCATTCAAGGACGAATTCAAGAATAGCCTTGTCAGTTCTTCGGTGGCCACCGCCGCAATCGCCGCGGCAGTTCCCTTCGTCCTGCCCGGAAGGCACCTGGGCATTTTCCCCACGGGGTTGATCGTCACCTGTTCCTGGACAGTCCTGTTCCTGCTGGCCTATGGACTGGGTACCATTGGCCGCATCCAATATAGAAGTGTGTATAGAAAGAGAAAGGCGGCTCAGGCCGGTCGAACTGGCAAGAGGATATAGACCCAAAAAGGCCAGCCTCTCGGGAAGACTTTGTCCGGGGGATGATTTTTAGCTTTTCAGCCACCAACCGACCGAGATGGAGAATTGAGTTGATACTTTTCTTGTGAGATACCCTCGACTGTTACTGTGAAAGACGCGATTCCACACACGGGATCTGTACCACCAACAGCAGTCAATTTCTAGAGACGATTTGAACATGTTTCAAGGATGGGGAGGGGAAATGGACGAAAGACGAACGAATTTGTGTATAACGATACGAGTTGAAACGAAGTGAAATTTGAGCACGTGACCACAACAGAAACTTCATTCTTCTACTGCGTTTCCCCGCTGCCTCGTCCTCTGTCGACGACGACGAGGTGGCCATCCCCAGCTTACAATTATTCGCCACAAGGCTCTTTTTCTTTTCTCGGTTCTCTTGTAATGTTTTTTCTCTCTTTCACCGTCTTCAGACCATGAATGCGACGAAGTCTGTTTCGGGAAGGGTTCGTTGGGTTTGTGCTGCCCAGAAGCCAAATTTACATTACGGTTTCCTGAAATCCTAATTTCTAAACTGGGCGATATTCCCACTGTGGCTCTTTTTCCTAAAAGGTCCCTGGAGCAACTAAAAGGCGTAAGAGGGTTTTCGATTTTGGCCGACACGAAAGGTCCGGCGGCGAGTTCAGTACGAAAGGTTTTCGGGCTCTGAAACGCGCGGTGAATCGTGGGTTGAAGACCGAGCAAGTCGCCGCAATGGAGCATCTCTACCCGTACCCCAAGATGGGAACGTCATTCCTCGAAATCCTGCAGGACCCGTTGACTCGCAAGCTGCTGGGCTTTGAGGCCGTGCACGCCGAGCCAATTCCCTTCATCAGTGGCGTCACATCGCGGATCAAGTTCTTGCTGAACGATGCCGTGCAACAGCTTTCGTTCCTCAAGATTGGATATACCGCGCTCGAGGCCTTCCTGCAAGCAAACTGTACTGGGCCACCCCTGGACTTTAACGCAGACGAGGTCATCTTTCCCGAGACATATCGAAAGGAAGGTCTCGAATCCCTGAAACAGGCGCTGTTCGAGCACCTTTCCGTCGATGGCTCTCGGCCATACCCATTGACGCCGCACTTGGAGCTCTTCTGGCTCGCCAAAGCCATTCTGACGAATCCGGCGTTGGCTGAAGCTGGGTTCAACGGCCGGAGGGCACGCTTTCGCGTCAACTTCTGGCACCAGAAACTCCTCTTAGAGGAGTCCCCGTCCCTCCGTGATGCCATCTATGCAGACGCCGAGGTTCTCGAACACCAACTGGGTTCGCGCTTGGCCTTTGGCGGAGCTGCTGCCGAAGAACATTTCGTCGAGTTCCTCATTGAGCGAGCGGTGATCCGGACCCACTACGGGGATGATGCACTGGCGAGGGCGGACCTGGCCAGGGCCGCCACAACTCGTCAGTTTCAATTCGTGCTCACTGGCGCGTTGGGCAAAAGGACCAAATTCCAGGACAGGGACATCAGCCAACTCGTCGTGCTGGCCAAGAGTCGAGACCAGGAACCGGAACCTTATAGCAGCCGCAAGGGGAGTCGTGTCGAGGGCGCCGCAAAATCCAGCGAGGCCATCGCCGAGACTGACCAGGATGAAGATGTTACAACAACTCCCAAGGGGCGTGCGACGACGAAGCCTGAGAACCTCGCCCTTAACGACGACACCCTTCTCGAGCGCATCCAGTTTTCATCCACTACCCAGGCGGCAGCGCCCGTATCAGAAGACACAATGACGCACATTGCATCACCCGACTCGAACATCCCACCGCAACTCGCGTCTCTCGATCCGATGAATCAACCACTGCTCTTCCCCATGGACAGCATCATCCTGCTTGCCACCGCGAACAGCATTACCAACACCTCTCCCGATGACGGCCTGGTGAGGGAAGAGACGTTGCCCTACGCGACTCGAGTCCTGGAAGGAGGCTCATCCAACTGGCAGGTGTACACTCAAGCCTTGCTTGTCAGGAGTAGGATCGAAGGCTACAGAGCGCGTACCGCGGAGCGAGGCCTGCTGCAGTTGCAGGCGTTGGTTGATCAGGTCATTGCCGAAACAACATCGGAACCTCCGCCTTCAGCATCAGATACGGAGAACGCAACGACATCATCCGCCACCAACTCATCAGACCCGTCGCCGACAACAGGTACAACCACATTCCTGCCCAAAGCCAACCCTTCCGAGTCCGCCTCCGTCGCCGAACGGCTGAAATACGTGTACCAACTCTCCCCACCGCTGCGATGGGAGCTCGAGGCCGAACTGGCTCAGCGGTGGACGCAGATGGGCGGGCTCAAAACGGCGCTGGACATTTACAACCGGCTACAGATGCACGCGGAGGTGGCGCTGTGTCTCGCGGCCACGGATCAGGAGGGCAAGGCCGTCGAGTTGCTCAAGGATTTGCTGTTTGCAGAGTTGCAGCAGGAGGAGACTGCTGCAGATACGGAGGACAGCAGACGGCGGCAGCTTCGCTCTCCTCCACCGGCGGACGCTCCCCGCCTTCTTTGCATACTAGGCGACATCACCGACGACCCGTCGTACTATTCGCTCGCCTGGACCGTCTCGGCCAACCGGTACGCGCGCGCACAGCGCTCGCTCGGCCGCTACCACACCAAACGGCGCGACTACCCGCGCGCGGCAGAGGCGTACACGCTCGCGCTGAGGATCTCGCGGCTCGACCGGGCGAGCTGGTTCGCGTTGGGGTGTCTGCAGCTCGAGCAGGACGAGTGGATGCCCGCTGTCGAGAGCTTTACCCGATGCGTCCAGTTGGACGACCGGGACGCCGAGAGCTGGTCGAACCTGGCCGTTGCGCTGTTGAGGCTGGACAAAGCCGTGGGCCCCGCCGAGACGGTAGACATGCCCCGAACAGATGATGATGACGAGTCTGCTGCTGCTGCTGCTGCTGCTGCCGAGGAAGAGGCGGTGGTCAACGATGACGAAACCCCGACACCCGCCGCCGACACTCGGGCCGTGCAGAAGAAAATCAACCCGCACCGACGACACCTCCAGGACGCCCTGCGGGCGCTGCGGCGCGCGGCGACCCTGAAACGCGACGATGCCCGGATCTGGGACAACTACCTCACGGTCGCGGCGAGCATACCGCCGTCAGCGGACACGCCGTGGGGAGAAGTCATCCAGGCGATGGAGCGGGTGGTGGAGCTGCGCGGCAAGAGAGAGGGGGAGAAATGTATCGATCTGAAGATCCTGGGCGTCCTCACGGACTACGTCACGGGGACTTGGACGTATCCGTCGTCGTCGTCCTCCTCGACAGCAGAGGAAGAAGAGGGGGATGGTGGTGGTGGTGGTGACCACCTGCAAGACCAAGAAGCAGAGGAGGAAAAGCAAGTGGCGCAGAACGGGCCGAGCGAGAAGGAGACCACCGGCACAGCAACAACCTTATCTACGTCAACGACACCACCAATAATCCAAGGCGGAGGAAAACTACCCTACATCCCGCGCTCCTTCCTCTCCCTGATCGACGCACAAATAACCCCTCTAGCGACCTCCTCACCGACGCTATGGACACTCCTATCCCAGATCGCGCAGTGGCGACGCCGACCATACGCGGCGCTGCAGCTCAGCGAGAAGTCATGGCGCGCGGTTCTCGAGTCCGCCTCCGTGTCCGCCTCGGGGTCTTCCGGCGAGGCGGGGTTTGACAACCTCACCCCCAACCAGTGGCGCAGCGTAGTCGACAAGACGATATGGATGATGGCACGGTACCGCGAGCTGGGACCGTTGGCGCGCGAGCGCACCGGTGGTGTGGTGGAGGCGAAGTGGCGCTTCAAGGCGAGGAGCGCGGCGAGGAGGGTGTTGGGGAGAGCGAGGGCGTGGGAGGAAAAAGGGGATGAGGGGTGGGAGAGGTTGAAGAATGCGGTGGGGGATGTTGGTAATGATTCTGGTGTCGATGCTGCGTGAGGTAGAGAGGCAGGCAGTAAGGCATGACGGAAACAGGAGACAGAGTGGCAGGGAGAGGAAAGTCGTCGAAACATAAAAATGCGTTGTGATATTACCGTCAGGGGGTATGTATCAGCACAGAACCAGCGACCAACCAAAGCAAAGCAAAGCAAAGCCAACAAGCCAGCTAGCCAGCCAGCCAGCCAGCAGCGCCTTCAGACGAACCGGATCCAAGCTCTGGCCTCCCCTTTGAATGCTCCAGCCTCACTTTGGTGCTTCGGCAAAACGGCCCCCACCTGCCCAAGGCGCACCGAGATCCATTTCCCATCTTTGTGGCACAAACAGTATGCATACACTGAGCGTTGCATTCCAAACTTACCACCATATCCGCCGAGGATCTGGACAAGAAAGCCGCAAGCCTACCTTGCACCTCTGGTCCCTGGTTCCCCCCAAAGGTTCTAATTCCAGCCGCAGAGGCGCATAATTTTGGGATCAAGTGTATACACTCTGCAAAAAAATCACCATGGTTGATTAGCAAAATGCTTCCACAATATTCTCATAGTGCTGACGGTCGAAAACACGCATCGCCTTGAGAAGAAAGAAAATACGCACCTCAGTGTAAGAATTGACTTGTATTCCTCTCTCCGCCATCTCCTCCTCGCACAAGAAATCCAGGGGCATCCACACTAAATGTCCCCTGATCTTGTCCATTTCCTTCCTGACCAGCTCGACTGGCATGTGCGGATCGTGCAAATGGCCCTGCTTGACGGTCTTGCGCGGCGCAAAGTCGTCGTAATCCTTCCACGTCTTGATGTGGTTGTCGGGATCGGCGCGGAACAGGTAGCGGTAAATGTCGGTGTTCGTCGTGGCTTGGGTGGTCCATTTTTCCCACAGTTGGTCTGATAAAGGGTCGGCGACGAATTCCCATTCTTCGCCCGAGTACTCGTCGTTCATGCACACGGTGGGCGGCTGAGCGTTGGGATCGTTCGAGGCGTCGACGGACTGCGCTTCGATCATCCCCAAGTGTTCGCGCCAGATGTGGCGGCGAAGAGTGGCGGCGTGGTAGCCTGCTTGGTAGGGCTTGCCGTCCATGGTCGATTCGAGGATCTTGGTGTCGGTCATGACAATCGATAATTCCGAGTCGTGCGAACCCATCAATGACCGGTCGTTGATGTTGCTCGACCCGCAAATCACCGTCTTGTCGTCAGCGATCAGCAATTTGGCGTGGATGTAGAGTTCCTCTTGCACAAAGTTCTCCTTTTCGGCCTCCGGATCGTCGCCTTCCCACGGTTCTTCGCTGACGAGCCCACCACGAGCCATGGCGTCTTCGGCGATAGATTCAGCCGAAGTGACGGGGTCCTTGACGTCGAGTTTCTTGCGCGCAGCCTCGAACCGGCGCTTGCGGTCGACGATGGCGTGTTGTTCGTCTTCGCTGACCTGGGCGCCTGTGCCGCGGGATTCCTTCTCGGTCTTTTCGCCTTCGTAACCGTGGATGCCGCTGCCCATGATCTCCTCTGCTTCGGCGCGCTGGAGCTGTTGATAGGAGACGCCAGACTCTTTCTCTTGTTGAATGAGCGCTGGGGTCTTACTGATGCGGTCGTAGGCGCGCAGATTGAAGACGAAGATGTGCTTCGTGGGATCCACCCCGGCGGCTTTCAGCTGTCCAAAGATCGAATGTTCACCACGATTGATGCTCTTGTACTGATAATCCATTATGGCCCTTGTACCAATGGCGGCATCGTCGCGAAGATCGCCCGCAAAACCTGGGATGGCAGGGATGACGATAATGACCCTGAACTTACGGTTTTCCTTTGCAGCGCGGATGCAGGCGTTGACGATTGCTCGGCCGACTTGGTTGTGGATAGGTAACTGATGCTCGCCGGTGGCAGTGATGAAGAACTGGTTTTCAATGTAGACGTAGTGCTGGGCACTTTCAATCACTTCTGCATAGGCGGTTTGGATGCTGTGGTCGAGGAGGATGCCACTGCTCCAGTCATCGCTGCTGCGAACCACCTGTGCATGGACAGTGCCGGCATTTTCAAGGCCCTTGCCCTCGAGTGGGCTGAGAGGATGTTCGATATAGTTTCCCACGGGGTGCTTTGGTCTCTGGATCGCGATGAGGTCTTCGTCCGGATTCGAGCCATCTGCCTTAGATCGAGTCGTCATACACAGATAGTCGACTCCCTCGTCTCGCTTGTATTTGTCTCGTTTGACAAAGTTCCACCTCAGTACAAAATGCTCGGCAATGTCTAAGACGGACTCGCCGATTACCGCCATTGCTACGTCATGCCATGGCATTCTGCCGTAGTCAGTCTTGTTGAGTTCGTTGTTGGACCAATCCTCCACTGTGTGGAAGTCCATGATTCTATGCGGATCTCAATCAGTCTGCATTTCTTTGGAAAACCGTGCGATTTACCTGTTATTATTGAAGTCTTGTCCCGGGAAGATTTCATTGACGACACCCGAGGGATGGACATCCGCCAGGAGATGCTGACGGACGTCCCACCTCCCATAACAAAGATCTAGGCCTCCGATGAATGCGAGGTGATAGTCAATCACAATGAACTTCTCATGGTGCGCCCAGTAGAACGTCATATCTCCAAGGTTTTCGAAGACGTTGTGGTCCGGGTGACGCAGGACGTGGATATTGCCGTGGCCAGGATTGCCCTCGGGGCAAAGTGCTCGCAAGGCATGCTTTGTATGGGCGGAATTGCAGGTCAGGGCTTGCTGGACCTCCTTGTAGACGATCACGTAGACTTGGACGCCACGTTCGGCGGCGCGCTTGATGGTTTGATCCAGACGCCATTCCTGGTTGAAAAAGGGAGGGCGGCGCAGAAACAGTTCGGGCGACAGCCACCAGTCGGCAATGTAAATGGTCTCTTTGGCATTTTCGAGACCAACGGAAACGGCCCAGAAGTAGTCGCGACCGTCGACATACCACTTGATGCGATTGTTGTCGCGCTCGGGGAAGTAGGACTCGAAGCGATGAGACTCGCAAATGGCGGTTCTTTTGCGATCCGTGGCTTTTTCGTGCTCCTCGTCATGGCGATGGTTCTTGTTGACCAGGTTCTTGAGCTTGCCAATCTTGTGCTTGAAATGGATAGCTTCGACTTTGGCGTCGTGCAATTTGGAGTCTGAAAAGAGGATCATCATCTATCTACCTGTTCGGGGATGGAGGGTGGACAAGGCTGACCTTTGAGCTTTTCGCGGAGAGCTTGCATCCTGGTCGATTGTCTCTTGCTCGTGCTTAGCAGCTGGGGCAGAAATGTAACTGAAAGGTATACAAGCGTGGTTCACTGCCTGAGTGAGTGTCTCGGAGGAATGCGCAGTGCGCGTGAGGGGTCAAGAATGCAACGAGTATCTGGTCAACAGAACTGAAGCAGAGGAATAATATGGGAAAGAGCAAGAGACTGACAAGAAGACTCTTAACAGATAAGATGGGGGAATAATAGAACTGGACTTGGTTCGCCCACTGCAGGTCAAGGCTGGTGGTGTATCGAGTTGCAGCTTGACTGTCAGATGTTCAGCTCGCACGACCAACAAACTACGTCATCCATATGCCTTGGTTTCTGCGCTTGGCGACTCTCCTCCTTTTCCCCCCTCGAAACCCCCATTTGGCATCTATATCCATGCCGCCATGCGTGTCGATGCTGGCGCCGCCCATTAGACGCCGATACAAGGTTCAGATTGGAAACAGAATTCATGATCTACACCCATCCAAATGACCCGTCAAATTCCCACACCACGTCTCGCTGACATCCAAGTCGAATCTCCTCGAAACTCGGCACCATGCCTTGCTCGTAGTATTGCACCAGCTTGTCCATGTCTTCCTCATCCATCGCATTGAATTCCTCGGTGCTCCATTTGTCACAGACCTCGCTCATCCAACCCATCCTCTTGCTAATGTCGCGCGTACTTTTGCCTGGCGCCACTTTTCGAAGCATTCTTCTCAGTTGCCCGACCTTCTTAATGCTGTCTCCCGTCCCGCTGGGCAGCATCTCGCCAATCTGTCGCCGGATAGCTGCCGCCATCCTGGGTCCATTCCCGTTGGTAGATACCATGATCTGGAGAGGACCGTCGCGGTGGACGCTGCCAAAGTAGAAGTCGCATTCAGGCGGCACATCGGCAATGTTGGCGGGGACTTTCAATTTCTTGCAGTACTTCCATATGCGCGTGGACGCCTCCGGGTCATCGACCGCGGTGAGAACCATGGCGACATTCTTTTCCGGCTCGAGATCGAGAGGGAGGAATACTCGGTCGACATGTCTGACCTGCCCTTGGTCTACCCGATACGCCACCTCTTCATTCAAGCCCGCACGCGGGCAAACCACAGTCACTTTGGCGTCAGCATTGAGCAGGTTGACTATCCGGCCGGCTGCGACCTAAAGTGCAACAGGCGAGTTAGTGTTGGGTGTCACAATCTCCAGCGGCGTCTCCCTCCACACATACCTCACCGCCGCCGATCACGAGCACTTCCTTGCCTTTGATCTGCCATGCGAGAATCAGGGAGCCTCCGCCCTGGATCTCTGGGAATTTGGAAGGCATGATGAGCGCATAGTGATATGGTCAACAAATGCCATCGGCTCAGATATGACTGCAGGATGGATGTTGTGACCGGCTGATCTCATAATGGATGATGTGGAATGCGAGGATGCAGATAAGAAAAAGTCGAACAACGGCACTGGCATGTCTGACAGCCTTTTAGAGGGCGTTGAGCTGCTGGATGGAGCTTGTTGGCGTGGTCTGACAAAACTAATTCTGTTGCGCCGCCTTATCGTCACGTGCCATCTCCCAGCTTTGGTGTAATTGGTTGAATGACTCTTTACTGTTCAAAAAAAAGTGACTTCCACCTTCCTTTGCTGCTTGGCCCTGGCTGTACATGTTTCTTGTGTAACCTTCCAGACAATGAAAGATCCATGACTGAAACTTACCTGAAGGCCATGACATCGTGCTGAGTCGAGAAGGAAAAGCTACACTACTCACTGCGGGGAGTTGCTAGGCTCTTTCTATCCTCTTTGTTTTCACCTTGACCTCAGCACCCGTTCAATTGGCCAACATGCGAGGCGTCCAAGTCTTCTCCGGCAGGTCTCATCCTGCCCTTGTCGAGTCTATATGTGAGCGACTGGGCTCTTCGCCAGCCAAATGCGAACTGGGCAACTTCGCAAACGGGGAAATCAGCGTCCAGATCGGCGTCTCCGTTAGAAACGAAGATGTCTTCATCGTCCAGAGTGGCAGCCCTCGCATCAACGACAGTGTCATGGAAATGCTCATCATGATTGCTGCATGCAAGGGCGGCTCGGCCAAGTCCATCACCGCAGTCATTCCCTACTTCCCCTACTCGCGCCAATCCAAGAAGAAAAGCCATCGGGGGGCTGTCACTGCCAAGATGCTGGCCAATCTCATGGTGGTAGCAGGCGTGGACCACATCATTACGGTGGACCTTCATGCCTCACAGATGCAAGGATTCTTTGGCAAGCCCGTCGACAACCTATTCGCGGAACCGATCATTGCCCGGTGGATCAAAGCCAATGTTCCCCGCTGGGGTGAGGCAGTCGTCGTGAGCAAGAATGTGGGTGGCACGAAGCGAGTCACTTCGCTGGCCGACGCCCTCAAGCTGAGCTTCGCTCTCGTGTCCACCGACAAGGATCGTTCGCGGCATGCACACCACCACAACGGCCTAGCGGACAGCACAGTATTCTTCGATGCCATTGAGCCCCAGTCTATGCGTTATCGCGGCCACCTTCTGGATGGGGACGATGCCGACGATGCCGACAACGAGTCCGACAGGTCACACCTCCGCGGTCTTCCTTACCGTGCCAGGGGTCCCACACTAAATGGTGTCAGCCGCTCTGGCACTGGCAGGCCCAAGGCAGTCACAATTGCGGCGAGCCCCTTGGTCCAGGCTGCAAGGATGGAGACGCCATCCCCCCCTGACTCGCCCAACCCGTCGTCCCGCCCGGAGGCGCTTCCCAGCGCACGTCGACCCTCTGAATACGAGGCTAATGAAGCGCACAACGATCAGCGGGCAAGAGATGTAGTCGTGGGTCGGCTGATCCAAGGCCACCTAGTGGACGAAGACCATCCCTCTTCAGCAATGTCAAGCATGTCGGCTTCCCTTGCTAACCTCGCGGGCGAGCGTCCTCCGCAAGACGGAACAGACAATCCTCCCAATGATCCGATGACCTCTTCCTTTGTGTCCAATGCGTCGTCCTTTCAACCCGAACACGCGCTGGGTGGGACCTTCGACGCGGCCGCAACATCGGACGAGGAGGAAGAAGGTATCAAAAATCCTGCCCTTGAGCACACCATCACCCTTGTAGGAAACGTCAAGGACAAGACTGTTCTCCTTATGGACGACATTATTGATCGGTCTGGTTCGTGGATAGCGGCCGCAGAGACTTGTGTCAAGATCGGGCATGCTAGAAAGGTCTACTGCATCGCCATCCATGGACTCTTTGGCGAAAACTCCTTGGAAGAGTTAGACGCATGCGACTACATTGATTATATTGTCGTGACAAATACCTTTCCCGTGCCGCCTGAGCGGATCCGTGCCTCGAAGAAGCTCATAATGATCGACCTTTCAAATCTCCTGGCAGAGGCCATCCGACGCAATCACCACGGAGGTAAGTGTGGACGCCCAGTTTGGAACATTGGCAGCTGACTCGATCTCGCAGAGGATATGTCGACACTTTTCCAGTTGAATGCATGAGCGATGACCGTCTCTCACAGCCCGAATCTCTAGTCAAGCTTCCTTGTCACATCGCGCCTGTTGTCTGCTCGAACAAGCGTCATTAACCCTCGAATTGCCTTATTGATAGAATGGCATGACCAATCACTTACAGCTTCACGACGGTGACGACCAACAAGTGCTTCAGAGTACGTAATGCAAGCATTCGATGCTACTACCCCTGTAAGGCAGGAAACCAAAGTTCTCTTGCTCATGAGCTCACGGATATGCCGTAACGGTGCACACCAGGAGCTCTAAATCTTCGTGGGATTGCCGGCCGTTGACACCGCCATGATGCTGGCAAACCCTGGCTGGTGGCAGGGTATGTGCTGTTGTGTTACAACAGTTTTCGGATTCTTTTCAAGCCACTTTCGTTTCGAGGACGGGCGTGCTCAACACCGAAGACGGGTCCACGCTTCTTTCATTTTCGGTTCCCCCAATCAGTGCTGGCCCTTGGGTGACACAAAGTGAAAGATAGCTTGAACCTACTGAAGTGGTTTCTTTCGACGACGCGGGATCCATGCTACAGAATACTCGGAGCGGCTGCACCTGGGGATGCATGACGGCTTAACCAGTCTCGTTGATCATGTTCCACCTAACGACAGAAGAACTCCCGACATGAAGACTGATTGGAACTCAGTGTACTACCATGGAGCATTATTAGAGTGCTTTATTTTTTAGTCGCTCGGACGACCGATGGTGTAGAGCTCGGAGGGGTGGAGAGCTGAATTGAAGGAAGCTCAAGCAAGAATCAAGACCAAATGCATCGCTTTTACCCACTGAGGATCGAGGAACGCATCGCCGCGCAGCTGCAGGGCTTGTCTAAGGATCAGCTAGCGCAGTCCTCGAGAGCAAGTCGTCAGCTGGGACCAACTGATTAGCGGAGGCGCGGATCCGCTCTGGGGGGCTTTTGGGGGAGTTGTATGGGCGACCTAAGTGCAATCTGTTGCTCGAAATCTTGCAGGGGGAGAGAGATCCGCAAAACGCAGCACAAGGGGGACCCGGCGAGCTGGAAATCTCTCGGTAAAAGATCGACACCACACCTCGTTAAAGGACGATCGGCCTACAGCGCGAGAACCACTAGGCTGGCGTCGCTAGGCATTTGCCCCGGCACTTGTGGCGTGCTCCTCGGTTCACGCCTCACCATTGCGTAGCTTGCTCCCATCGCCCTGCCGCTCTAAAATACACTGCTTTGACACAAGCTGAGACCTTGTCCGGAGAGTCTGGAAAAGCCACTTGATTGCACTCTTACTAAAGCACCGACTATCGAACCTTGCAGGGGAACCTGGGCCACGCTCTAACGCCCTGGAAGGCCCCCACAAATCCAACCCGCGGTATCGATAGTCGCAGGCTCAACCCACACCGGTTCGACGATGGAAGTTCTTTTCCTCGAAAGCCTGGGTATAGGAAACTCTAATTTTGGCTCAGGACTGGGAAAAGGGGTTCGGCCGCAGACACACCAGGCTTGTCAGATTCCTTGACGACTGGTATGGGCACATGAGCACGCTCTCGAGACGCAACCCGAGCTGAGGTGTTAGGCTACCGGGGGGATGCGCTCCCGTTGAGCTATGGGATAACGAAAACTTTCTTTGGGATGGATCAGGTGTAATGCCACTGGCCGTTCTCCCGTTCCAGCGTTCGATCCGCCCTCTTACTCGTCGAGAGTGACCCGGTGCCTCTGGAGCCATCCCCTTAAGGGTAGTCAGAAACGCTGTTGGACGGGCTCTTTCTTGCCAAAAAGATTTTCCATGCGGTCGATATCGCTACCTGGAATCTCTCCTTCTCTGGCTCATCGATGCAGGCTGCAGCCACATTTCGCCCCTGACATTCTCGACGCCCAGTGACAGCAGCATAGTATGCGCTTCATCTGTTTGCTTGTCACGGTCCGTGAGCGCCCAGCTGATGCGTCGAAGCTTGATGAATCACCATGCCGTCCTTTCTCAGTCCTCACTTGTATGAACAAACGGCTGCTATAAGTACCGCTCATTCTTTTCCTATCGCTCACCGTTCGTCTAACCATTACCTCAAGAAGCCTTGACTACGACTGCTCAACTATCCATTACGCCCCGAAACACTAGGAGAGGAGATAAGCGAAGATGAAAACCAATACTGACGTGGGTCTTGACCTTGGTTGCTCTGCTACATTGGCTCTGCCGGGCTGCGGAATATCGCTGACGCTCAAGGCATGTATCTAGCCAGCCAATACCCGACTGAACTATCGGTACACTTATCGAGACTGCCCTGGGCACGAATATGAAAAGAAGTCGGCACCGAGAGATAGTGCATTGGTTTGGACATGCCAGAAATGCATGAGCACCCATACGACAATCTATCAGTGCAAGCACTGCGGCCATAACCTATGCCCGAGCTGCTGTAACTATAGCAGTCATCGCACTGGTACCATTGTGCCTTCGGGGAGTCGCCGTCGGTGAAGAAAGCAGGACGAGACATCTCGAGTTGATGGTTGCAGATCTTCTTGCCGCGCATGCGCTCTCGTGGTTGCACATTCAGGGCGGAAACAAACCTGAACATGGCTTGGTGAGATGCTTGTGAGATGTCTCCTCGGTCCACAGCTCCCTTTATCTCGATCGATCGAGCCAACTGAGCTTGGTAGTGTCATTTTTCTTCGGGACCACTATGGATTGGACTGGATTGAAGTGGAAAATCTGCTGGTACAACAAGCAGGGCGGTTGACTGCATACAAATGATAGCTACGTGCTGTCTACCTAGGTATTGATGGCTTGGGAGGAACTGTCCGAAGGCGAGATATCTGCATTCTTCACTGCGGCGACATTGTTAGGGGTTCGGCTAAGGGTCAAATGATCTGGGTTGACTGAGAACTGAAGCCTCATCGAGGTCCGAGGATCACCGTGGGGAGGCACTACCACAATGACATGCTAGAGTATTAATATCATCATGGTCACTTTGGAGAGACTTATGAAATGTTCCCACAAGGATGTTTACATTCTTGAAAACTATTGTGTTGTATCTGTACGCGGCGCAACACTATACAGGGTATATGCGACGGGTGTGTTATAATGAGTTACACCGTACACAGCCCAACAAGTGGCTGAACGCATGAAAGAAAGAGTGAGTTGAGTAGATCGGGACATGGTACTAGATCAAGACCAACTATCAAGCGAGGCGCTTTTACAAAGACCAGATCCGTCGCACGTACCGTATATCTCTTTGTATACAAGCAACAGCGCAAAGCAGGTGCATTGAGGTACTCAGACAGCTGCGATGAAACGCCCAACTTCCATGGAGAGAACAACTACTTCCTCCTTGACTTTCTGAGGATTTTGTCTCCTATCCCTTCACATCATATCTCATTCCATGCTAGGCCTCATGCTCGAACAATTCCTTTGATACCTTTTTTGTTCTCATTATCAGAATCTGGGCACGCTATTTGGTCATAGACCTCATCGTCCTTCTGCAACATCTTTTCCGGCCAAACCTCAGAAAACCGTCGTGATATCATCTTACCAGAGCAAACCGCACAGAGAGTGACAGGACGGACGATTGAACGAACAAAGGGAGCGACGATCAGCAGGTTTCAAGCGGAACCAATCGTCTTTGACTGGTGGTCCCCTCCCTTTCCCTTCTTCATCTTCTTCTCCTTCGAGAGGACGCAAGGCTTGCTTGTTTGCCTTGATTGTGCCAGTATTGCGCTCCGCGGAGAAAAGCAAGAGTGCAGAAATCAAATAGAACAAGCCACACGGGACAACAGCAGCAAGGGAACATGGGCAGCGTCGATCTTCTACTGCGTTTGAGAGCTTTCTACATGCACATACTCATACCCATACGCATGTATAACCCCTTGCCCATGCGAGCCAGTGATCACCCCCACCCCTGTCGGTCGGTGGCACAAAACGCTCTCAGAAACTCGGAGCAACCGTGCCGACGGGCCGGGAATGGGCAGCACTGGCAACTTCTGGCAAGGGAGGAGGGGGTTGACTTGGGTTGAACGGTGTGGTGGTGGCACGGAACAAGGGAGGTGGAAAATGGTTCCGCAAAGATTTTGGGGGTCCACTGAATACGAGTATAATGCAAACAGCCACATACGCGGAGCTACGTTATCAACGCTGGAAATACGAGGCGCAGCTCCGGAATCCCGAGATGCAGATGAAGCGCCACTGACTGTAATGGTAACACAAAAGTCAAGGGAACAGGGTGGGTGTGCCGGTGGGCAGGTGGGTAAGTCGCCCGTCGAGGAGGCTCATAGAAGGGAAGTGTTTTTTTTTTTGGGAACGCCTGAGAAGATCGCCAAGTAACAGAAAGCGAGAGGATGAGACAACACCATGCCATTCGAGGAGATGGGATGGACGTGACTTGTCCGGACTCAGGAATATGGATGTATCCAACCCTGTGCGGGTAACTTGGTTTGTTAGATTGGCTTTTGGGATGCACTGAACATCGCCGAGTTGGAAGAGAACATACGGTACTTGGAGCATACTCGATCCGAGCACCCACAGTGATCGAATAGCAAGATACCTAGAGAAAGGAAAAGAGGGGTTCCTCTAGCTTTCCGGACCATGGCATGCAAGTACCTAGGTAGGTATGTCTATTGGGAAAAAGGAGAGTATCTGCGACCTGCGACTATGATTCGATAGAGCCTCGCGCCCAGGTTGTTCGTCAAGCTAGGTACCGAGAGGAGCCCGACGGGGAACAGATTCTCTGCATTTCTCATTGCCCCCCATCCAGATCTCCTTGCGGACGGTGGACAGATGGGGATTGAATGGATACCTAGGTAGGTGGTCCTCCACTCCCTCCCTCACTCCCTCACTCAGTTAGGTACAACTCCTTGCGCAGCTGAACATGGGTCCCCTTCTGTGCAGAGCTAGCAGCTGCTCGCAGGGGGCTAGTCATACATACCTTAGGTACCCAGGTAGGTAGCGATGCTCGACCCCCCCCATCGATCTGCATGCTTGGAGGCTAGGTGGGCGGACAAGGGGGTGGCCATCGAAGCTAAGGCTACCTACCTATCGAGCTATCTACCTAGCGAGTAGGTACGCAAGCTCGCGTACTAGCCCGATCCGTCCGTCCATTACAAGCCCGAAATTCTTCGGGGGGGTCCACACTTCTTCACGCACTAAGAAACCTGTACTGGTCAATCGAGGAGGAATACAGTACCCTACCTAGATACCAACTAGGTACCAAGGCACGATATGAGGCTGCAAAACACCTAGGTAGATAGTGATGGAGATTCCCCGGCGGGACAGATAGTTTTCTTTCCCTACCACCCTACCTAGTACATACCTACGACATGATTGATTGATTCATTGATTGATTGGTCCTCCCTTTGATATCTATGGTCTTCCGTCACAATCACAATCACAATCGTCACCACCTGAGGTGCATTTTCTCATCACCGACTCATGACCCGTCACGGAAACCCCCCTACCTACCTACGAACCGTCCGTCCGTCCGTCACGATCTACCAGCATCATCTTGGGGGGGAACCAAGCTGCAGGTGGCCCGAGTCCGTGCCACCACCCCATCGGTTTAGTCGGCAAGGGAGGGAGGGGGTGCTGTGAAATCTGCCATTTTCTTCTCTCACGGGGGCGCAAGCATTGCTTGTAACAATTACACACTGTTCGACATCGGCGCGCTGCTCTCGCTCTCGCTCTCCATTCATGAGTCATGAGTCATGACACAGTCGCCTTCTCCCCTCTCACACGTTCATTCGCGCTGCGATATGCAGCTGTTGTGTCACCTTTCAAGCATATCTGGGCAATGGACTCGGGGCAAACAATTGGGCAAGCCGGATAAAGGTTACTAGGGAGGTAGGTAAGTTCATGGGCATTCCGACAATCAGTAATGCAATATGCAAGTGCCAGACTGTACTCGGTACCTGGGGAATCCATCCCAATGCTCTCTGCACTCTCACGAGACAGCGCTGGACTCTCTGACAGGACTCAACAGGCGAATTCATTCATATTGGTACCATCGCTATACAATAATCACTGTTTCGTGAACCCCGACAAAAACGATCCAGGCTTTTGGACCCCAACACACGCCGACATGATCATACGCCAACCGTCCCCCCGTCCGACCCGTCATCACGAGAAATCCCTCCCCTCCAGCACAATCGGCGCAACCAGAGTCCAGCTGTAAATGGCATAGCACAGCCACGCACTGATAATCTTGATCCAGCTTGCCCAGTACGTTCGACCCACGGGCGTAAAGTCGCTCGAGCTCTCCGGGTCCATTTTCTGCGTCAACAGCGTCGCCACCCAGCATGTCGCCATCAGAAAAATGACGTGGAACAAACTGTAGTTGTACTGCGTCCCTTGGCGTTCGTCGTCCTTCGAACTAACTTCAGCCGCATCCTCCTCGTCAGAGTCCTCGTCCAACGCCGAGGCCGGCAGCGCTCCACTCTCCACCGCAGCCCTCATGATCTCCCGGCGTGACGCTGGTTGCTGAGACACCAGGCCGTGCTCGTTTTCGTCTTGGGTGAGCTGAGCATATCGATTCTTCCCAGTGTTCGATCCCATGGCGAACCCTTGGGTGGCTGCTCGAGTGGTGCTGTAAGCAATGGTGAGCATGGTTACAACCGCACCCAACGCGACAGTGGTCGTCCGTGCACCTCGCGCACGAATAAGAGGATTGCAGTGCTTGTCATCTGGTTCCATGGCGACCGCCGAGAATGTGAGGTAGGTGCAGTAGACTGCCACCATGGCCGACTGCGCCAGACCTGCCTTCGGATTGGCGTCTTGAATAGTCGGCTGAACGCTGAGGAACGTGACAACAAAGAGGAGAATCAAGTTGATGGTGATGGCGGCAATGTTCATGCTGCAGCCACTGCTCGCGAAGAAGATGTACATGACAATGGTCATGGCGAACGCAGCCAGATACATGCCCAAGCTCGACCCCATAAGTAAAACTTGCCACAGCCGGTAGTTTGGACCATCACCTTCGTCGATCTTGTCTTGGCAGAGTTCGGCCCAGGTGTGCGCGAGATCCACCAACAGGATAAGACCCAAGAGCACGAAGAGCATTGCTCCGGCATAGGCCACATAGTTGCCCCAGAAGAGGAAGAATCCCTCCGGAATGAGGAAGGAGATGACGATAAAGCCGATCCAAACCAACAGTTTCGGGCCCCAGAAGCCATTCTGCAGACCTGCTCGAGTGTCTTTGGTGCTTCGGACGCCAATGAGGAGGATGGAGAGGATCAGGTGGAACATGCCCAAGGCGAAATTGATGCGCTGGACTGCAAAATAGCCGTAACACTCGGAGGAGCCGCATTTAAAGGTCATGTAATCGAGGGTAAGGTGTTCCAGCTTCTTGATGGCCCAGGGTGTGAGCATGATCCAGGCCAGAATGCTGTTGACCAGCAGTATCATGGCGTATGCAATTCTTGTGGCAATGGAGGACCGGAATTTGGACATGCCGCAAGGTCCACAGATCATGGAGCATGATGCCGCGCCGCAGCACGAGGCCCCTACCGACCACAACGTCGCCGCAGAAGGCAGGACAAGGGCTGGGATAGCGAGGACGCCGCCCATGTTGGAGAGTGAGGAGGGTTCGTGGAGGTGTCGTGCTTCGAGATGTGGGCAACGGGTACGAGGTACTCGGCGGATATGGACGGCTGGGAGTTGGTGTGACAAAGTCGCGGGCAAGACAACGAGATGTCTCTTATCGTTAGTCGGTTACACAATACGATGCTGTATTGATCGGCGGTAGATGTTGATGAAAGAATTGGGGGGAGCAAAGAAGCGCAGGCGGCAACAGCCTCGACTTGGTGGCAGAGAGAGCGAAAGTGAGGTCAGTGCCGGCCGGGAAAGCGGCACCTCCAAGGGCAGGTTAGCCGGGCGATGCATTCTTCCCATTGGCTCGTACTCAAAGAATTATTGCCGATTGACGACTTTCTGGCTCGCTGGGTCCCAACGTCGGCCCTCGTTTATCTGTGCTCCCTCACTCCCTCACTCCCTCACTTCTCATCCCTCACTTCTCACCTCCTGGGATCCTGGAGAGTGAGAAACCATCTTTATATCGATTATGACGGGGTGACCATTGTGGTCTCCCACCAGAGCTTCCCACCATGATTCGTCCTTCAGACCACAACAAGGCCCGCATCATAACCGTGATTGCATGTACCATCACTGCGTTGGCTTGCGGCTCCAACGTGCGCAGATTCCCTCCCCAACCATGAGACGACTACTGACCACAATCCTAGTATGGCTACTCCATTTGGGGTCCTAGTTTCGCCTCCCGCCTCAAGTTGACTGCCACGGACAGCAATCTTATCGTACGCAATGCCTCCTACAAACATGTGTCCAAGAGCGGGAACGTTGACTGATCTTCGGGGGTTTTGCAGGGAACCGTAGGCAACCTTGGGATGTATGCGTTTGGCATTCCTTCCGGTATGATGGTCGATGCAAAAGGACCACGATGGGGAATCGCTTTGGGCATTGTATTGTTTGCTGCCGGTTACTATCCCATTGCCAAAGGTACCTCGCCCGGAGTTCTCCGTGTCAGAATGCGGTAACGAGAGACCTGTCTGACAATCATCTAGCATACGACGCTGGCCCAGGACACTATAGCGTGGCCTTGATCTGTGTCTTCTCGTTCTTTACCGGCGCCGGAAGCTGTTCGGCCTTCACTGCATCCATCAAAGCTGGTAATACCTGAACCCCAAAATTCGTGGACGCTCCGAATTATAAGCTGACTCTGAGCAGCCGCCCTAAACTATCCCGAATCTCGAGGCACTGCAACAGCCTTCCCCCTCGCAGCTTTTGGGCTGAGTGCTTTGTTCTTCGCAGCTATCGCTCAATTACTTCCCGGCGGGACATATAACTTTCTCATCCTTCTGGCTACGGGGACGGTTCTTATGCCTTTAATCTGCTTTCCTTTCATGCGCGTCATACTTCCTCACACCTACCATCACCTCCCTCAGCACGAACAACAGGTTCTCCACCGAACCAGATCGCCAGGAAGTCGTCATTCCGAAGAACCAGGTGCGCCCCACATACGAAACCCCAAGGCTCAGTCCTCAATCCGCGGCGTCGATCAGTCCCCTGACCACGAAGCCATCAATGGGAACGAGGAGTCTTCCTTGCTCTCCAGAACTTCCAGTCAAGAGCAAGACGCCGAAGACCTTGAAAGTTCAAAGCACCTCGAGTCTGACAGGAACCATGAATCTCCACATTTAGACATACGAGGCTTCGCTCTCTTACCCCATGCCGAGTTTTGGCAGTTGTTTTTGATGCTTGGTCTGCTGACGGGTATCGGTCTCATGACGATCAAGTAAGTGCTGAGAACTCGACCTTGGCTTGAATGGCGGCCAGTGTTAATATGTCGTGTCTTTAGCAACATCGGCAACGATGCTCAAGCGCTTTGGAAACACTACGACCCTTCCGTCTCGTCATCCTTCATCGAAAGCCGTCAAGCGATGCATGTCTCTATTCTTTCCTTCTGCAGCTTCAGTGGCCGCCTCCTGTCAGGCATCGGTTCCGATATTCTCGTGGCGAAACTTAACCGGTCTCGGTTTTGGTGCCTGTTTGCGTCCGCCCTGACGTTTTGTCTGGCACAAGTGGTCGCCACGGCCGTGGCAGACCCCCATTATCTCATCTTAGTGTCAGGCTTCACGGGTCTGGCTTATGGGATGTTGTTTGGAGTGTACCCGAGCCTTGTCGCGCATTGTTTCGGTGTGCATGGCCTCTCGCAGAATTGGGGGACCATGACCCTCGCGCCTGTCATCTCCGGCAACGTCTTCAATATCTTATACGGCAAGATCTACGACGCGCATTCGGTCCGGAATGAAGAAGAAGGACATATGGAGTGTCTTGTCGGGAAGGAATGTTACAAATCCGCGTACTGGGTGACGTTTGGTGCCTCGCTGCTTGGTGTGCTGTGCTGTTTGTGGAGCATCTGGCACGAGAACGAGGTGCACAAAGCTAAAGGCAAAGAAGGAAAGGTAAGTAGGAGATCGGACCATGAAAGAGTGGCCTGACCGATACACCCTGCGAAAGTCTTTTATCTACATTACACGTTCACTCTGGAGGGACATTTCTATAGACACATGCTTTTTCCTTTCCCCGCCCAAGCTACTCCTATCTGCTGAAGCTCTGGGATGTATGTGACATCGTACCATTTCACAAGCCTTGGCATGACTATAGACAGACGGATTGACACTTGGAAATTAAAAAAGAATCTAGAATTGAAAATGGGAAGGGAGGCTTTCGAGGATTCAATTTTTTTAAATATTCGCTATTTGGACCTAGACCCTCCCGCACAATCGGAAATTCGGCGTCGGTATTTCAGTGGCACAGCTTTAAAAAAAAAAAAAAAAAGGGTTTTCCTTCATCGACCCAAGTTTCATTCATGGTGAAAAGAAAAAGTCTCGAGTACGAGTACAACAAACAGGGTGAAGGCTAGTAATAACAATAGTGAATGGGAATTTCTCGTCAAAGTGAGTGAGCGGTAATGCCACCACCCCGTGACCACCCCCCCTGGAACGCCGTTGGATGACCCATGTTGAAACCAAAATATATAGCCCTTTCCTGTGACAACCGTACCTCGAGAATTAATACGCCTGAACCACCATCCGAGGCTGTTTCCGACAACCCTTTTTGAGCCGTACTCGGTACCATGCCCAGCAACGTCTTTTTCCTAGTCCCGATTCCTCCATTTGAAAATCCCAAGGGAAGGAAATAAATGATTTTGCTCAATGATTGGACTCCTCGTGCACAGCTGTTGTCATACGTCGTGCGTAGCCGGTTGAATCGTCCCGTCATCGACTTGCCACACCGAATGTTCAGGCCTTGTCCGGCTCGACGGTAACCCTTGCCACCTCGGCGGCAGCAGAAGCCTCTTCCAGAGCAGCCGTCCCTGGTATACTGCTGCTGCTGACCAGATTCGAAGGGGTGGCGGGCGTGTTTGCGGGAGACGCAGTCAGTTCACTAATCTGCTTTTCCAGATCGCGAATGCGCATTCTCAGCATCTGGTTCTCGCGAGTCAAGTTGGCGGTCTCGGCCTGGTAGAAGGCGGTCTCGTCGCGGAAACTGTTTCTCCGTGCTGTGCTCATTGACTCGAGAGGCGATGGGGGCCATTCACCACTTGTGGTATTGCCAATGCTTGATTCCTGCTGGCCATGCAGTGGTCTCAGGGCTGGCGACCGGCTTGCGCTCGACGGCCCGCGCGAGATGCGTCTTGTGAGCGTGGGGACCGTGGGCACTGCGGGGTGGACTGATGGGAAGGTTATCGAGCGTTCGGAGGCGGGTGTTTCATCGTCGACCACGGCGGTACTGTTACCTGGCAGGGCCGAGTTGGGCTGTGAGGAATGTCGGGAATGATGGCCGTTCTGGCCTTGACTGTTTCGGAGAGCGTCAAGTTGCAGCTGTTGTTCCCGGATCATCTGCAGCATTCGGTTCACTTGTGCCTCTTGCTCCTGTTCCAGCTCATTATGGATTTCCCCGAGACTCGGTTGACGTTGATGGTGCGGATCACCTGTGGCTATGGCAGACCTCCCGCCGATCGTTGGCGGACTGGCCGAGGCGTAGCTGTGACCAAACCCAATTCTCGGGTCGCTGCTGGACAGTTCGCCAGGACTGGGAATAGAAGGGTCATTCAGGTTGAGATTTATGGCAACTTGCGAGCGGCGGCGGTCACTAGGCATCCGACCCAAGCGAGGAGATCCTCTGTTGCTCAAAGAAGATCTTCTGGACTCATTTGCGGCATTGGTGACGGCGGCAGCAGCGAGAGATAGGGAGGAACTGCGAGGAGAGGGAGTTTGTTGGCGGTTTGGAGGGATGTTGGTAGTCTGCATGGAGCGGGGCTGCATGGGTGAGGAAGACGTCGATCTGGAGGGAGGAAGAGAGTTTAGGTCTGGAGGAGCCATCTCATGCAAGAGAGAAACCTCGGAGGCGGCAAAAGAAGGGGAACGATATTAGTAGAAAGGATGTACTTCTATGATGGAATGATTACTGGAATGGTTGTCATGCCACAGAGTCCATGACCATGATGGTAATAAGGGAAATGGAGGGGATGGCGAACTGAGCGGCTCTGTCGGGCAGCTGACTTGACGAGATGCTTGGCAAGAGAAAGTACTCAGTACAGCTAACACACATACGAGACCTTTCTGGGAGCCTCATAGCATTCGTAATTTGCCTTTGGAGCAGTCTAGGCACTGGCAGTGTTGGGTTGGCTATGTGGAATAAAATGCTCATACCGGATGGTGGGTAATGCAACAGGGACGGAGCACCAGGAGTGAGAGTTTTGTGAAATAAGCAGCGAGGCAGATATGGCGATGATGAGCTAAGGTAGAGCAACTCAGTACCTAGTAGAGAGGGGCGAGGCTGCGTCACAGGGTCTGAAAAACAAAGGCCTAGGTACTACTCGCTAGGTATCTAGGTGCTAGGTAGGTACCTAGGTAGGTAGGATGCCTGGCACTCAGCTGCCCAGGTAGAGCAATAGGGCTGTCAAGGTGCCCTAAACATTCCCCATGACTAACCTAAGGCCATCTAGGGACACCCGTTGCTACCCGGGACAGTTCTTAGGAGGGCCGTGGTGGGGATTCTCTTGCGAAGCTTCTCCAACCAATACGTCATTCGGGACACGTCCCTCCAGGCTGCAGGCTACAGGCTACAGTCGCAGTTGGAGGGCGATATCCTTCATTCAAGCCGTAGATTGTGGCATCTGTTTGCCTGCTGTGGCTGTCCAACTTAATCGTTCCTTTCGACAGTAACGCGTCCAAACAAACAACTACCGAGTCAGAAGGTCAGAACCACAGAACCACAGCTCCTCGCGCGACAACAGCATCGACACCACATCCAATCACATCCTCCATCCCCAAATTGGTGTCCATGGCCAGACACTAACGCCGTATCGGGAGCTGGTTGTTTGGGTTGTTTACATACTTGGGAGACTGAGGCTGCTCTCCCTCCCCAGCCACTGGATTTTTACCCGCTTTTGTTCTGGCTGCCCGTCCAACGTCCGTCTTCCCCCCCAGCCTCCTCCATCATCGCACGCCCTCACACCATCCATTGATCTTGCCGTCGCATTCCTTCCATCTGCAACCATCTCACACACATATTCGCATCGCGCAAATCAAGACCAATCGAGCGCGCAATCGTGTGATACTGTGCGCTTTCCGCCATCATGTCAGGTTTACCATATCTCCAGAAACTGCGCAAGAGCGAGCTTACCGAGTTCGCCGAGACCAGTAAACTGCCCGAGTACGTTTCTGCCCTCGCGTCTGCTTCCAACGCGTCATTTTTTGAGTCGCATAACATGGCGCATGCGTGCTGACCGGTATGCGACCGCAGCTTTGCTCATTTGAAGAAAGCCGAGCTCGAAGTCGCCCTTGACGAACACTTGCGCTCCAACTCGACAACATATGGCAAGGATCCCTCGTTGAGTGAATACTACAAGCGGCTGGCGAGCAGCTCGCGATCGCCCACCAAGAGAGCGACCGCTGAGAAGGTCTCGGAGAATGTCAAGACCGACGACGATGCTGCGCCTGCAAAGAAGCCGAGACGGAAGACAACCTCGACTACTCAGGAAGTGTACGTACCGCGTCTCAGGCTGTTCCGTTTGTGCCTTCGCTGATAATAGTCCACAACAGGGAGGAGCCACAACAAACCGTCAATGCCCTTATCAAAACCCCGGCCAAAGAGGTGGCACGTCGGACTTCGATTCTAGCTTCGCAGATTCCCATACCGCCCTCGCCGGCCGTCGTCACGGACGCCATTGATCAACAGACGCGTCGCATTCGAACCTCCATCTCCCATGCCTATGAGCAAACTCAGGTCCACGAATTTGCCGATGCTTCGCGCGATATTCTATCGTCGCCTATGACGGTCATCGTGCTCGCCATCCTCCTGGAGGCGTATGGGCTCCGCGCGCAAATCTTACCCAACAAGCCGTTAACTGAAATCCCGGCCATCCCGTACATCAAGTCGACCAAGACGCCCATCCTGCTGCCAGACTTGTTTCTGTTGCTGGATTCCAAGTTCTGGTCGCCCTTCTCACTGTGGACTCTGACCTCGCTGATTCTACCAGCCACCATCTCGTACTTCATCAATCTGCCGCTGAAAGCTCATCCCAGCCACAGCTATTCGACGCGCCGAGCTGCCCTCCAGGCGAATGCGCAGATGCAATTCGACCCCTTCATTTTCAGTCTCGCAAAAGGATTGATTGTGTACCTGGTGTACGCCTACCACTACTCTCTGGGTGGTCTTTACACCAACTTTACCATTGCGACTGTCAATGAAAGCATTCCTGGCGGCTACTTTGCAGTGTTGGTCAGTTCAGGCCTCGGAGCTGCAGTGAGCTTGTATGAAGCTGTATTGAAGAAGTAGGGAGTCGTGGGAAGATACGAATGCACAGAATCTCGGTAGTGCTGGGGGATGTGTCGTGGCACGCGGCATTGGGTCTGCATATGTACAGTGCTTCGGGTTCAGGGGGGTCACACTTGGGAACACGGGATGACACGAGTTACGATTATTGTTGGTTGGCCATTGACGGCGCTGGGGATTTCAGTTGGCTTATCCCTTCGAATTTCCGTTTCCATGAGTTCAGTCGACTTGGCTTTATACCCATGGCGATGATGTTTGGGCCGGTGCATGTCAGGTGCATGCACTGAGTTGGAAAGGTTCATGTCCTTGTTCAGATACAAATACAATCGTTTCGATAACAAACAAGCACTTTTTGATTCTGTCGTTTCGAGGAGCTTTGCTGGCAATTGCAAAGACTGCTTGATCTATTTTTGACATACACTGTAATGGTTACATCAAAGTGGGCGCGGCATTTCACTGTCACGCTGCCATATGGCATATACAACAAGATTTGTTTGTACCTGACTACTTCGTATGTGCTTATAGGTCGGTGCCCCGCAGGGTCTGCACCAGGGCCAACGTCTCATGCAGTAACTCTCCAACACCAAGCTTCTCCATTCTATACAAGAACATCAGCTTCGTTTGGACTCATCATGGCGCCTGTCTCGCCACCAGGACGTTGAAAAATATATACCTAGGTAGCTTGTTTCAGGCTTTTGATGGTAACGGGTGAAACGTAAACCAACTTGCGCAAAAATATGGATCCCGGCACAGTCATTTCCGCGCTCGAGATCACGAGCGCGATAGTCAAGCGGCTCATCGAGGCCGGGCAGACCATGCACGACGCGCCCGAGGGTCTGACGCGGGTGATCGACCAGACGGAGAGGCTCCGGTCGCTTCTGGACCGGCTGTTGATTTTCCAGCGGGCGCTGCCGCGCGAGCAGCAGGCCGTGCTGGACAGGCAAGTGAGTTCGAGCGAGTGGAGGGATCTGTTGAGGGATTTGGATGATCTCACGGCGGGGAGGAAGGCTGGTGGCACCAGTGGCAATGGCGGCAACAAGGTTGACGGAGCTGGAGGTGGTGGTGGTGGTGGTGGAGAGAAGATGAAGCTCGCAGATAGATGGTGGTGGCTGAGGAAGAAGGACGTCGTGGAGGACAAGGTGAGGAAATTGCAGGAACAGACGGAATGGATCTCGAAGCGGCTCGTCAAGTAACGAAAGCATCTCTTCTGCTCGAGTCGGGCACTGACAGCTGCAGCGAGTACCTCTTCGAGCACCACAACCAGCTCTCCCAGAGTTCCGAACAAGTCTCCAAGATTCTGGGCTTGGTCATGTCCATGGCGCTCAAGTTGAACAATTCTCCAGCAGACAACAATCACCACCCAGCATCATCTCGATTCGACGATAACGGCGTCTATTCCCCTTACAAGGCCGAGGGGATCGCTTGGTACGGTCAGTACCGGTGCAAGCCGGGCCAGGATCTCACCAGCCCGGGCTACTTTCGAGACCGGCACCTGCTGGCTGAATGCGCTTGGGCGGGCAATTGGCGCGGGGTCATGGAGTTGCTGGGCAAAGCGCGCAGGGAGTATAGGCAGAATTGGATCAATTGCACTCCGATATGTTAAGTGTCAAGATTCCCATGTACTTTGGTAAGGTCGAGGGGGCTGATATTGACGACTTTTCTTAGACAAAGAGACCGAGAAACACAAGATCACGAGTGGGTTCCGGCCGCTCCATCAAGCCGCATGGCACGGTGACAAAGCGGCCGTCGAGTCTCTTTTGAAAGAGGGAGCCTGGCGTGAGTAGTGACGAGTCATTCAGCTCTCGAGGACTAGCTAAGCTCCCTTTTTCCTATGTAGGTCTCGTTCGAACGGAGCGAGCGACAAAGGATTCGAGCGAACACAGCACGCCGTGGACATTGCCCGCGACCACGGCTGGAAGGACCTCTACGACAGTCTCAGTCCCGTCATCAGACGGCCCGTCAACCACAAGACCCTGCAGACCCTTCAAACCCGCCTCCACGACCTGATCAGAGACACGTTTGGCAGCCATCCCGACGCACATCTCGACTGCTTCCTCCTCCCCGAGCTGGAGATCCTGACCGAGTTTGACCGCTCCAGAATCTGGTTCTCCCTGAACCCGGAACTTTTGGACACCAGAGAGGGGCTCGCTGTCCACGTCATATTGGAACGCAACGAGCTGGTTGCGGTCATGCGGTGGGATAGGACCAAGAGGAAGAATTATCGGATCTCTATGGAGGGCGTCACCGAGATCCAACAGGCTGTTGTTCTGCACTGACTGGATATCTCCTACTGCCGCGGGTTCCTATATGTCTGAAAGCTGTGCCGGTAGATAGGTTCGCATTAGTAGCGATCAAGCGATTTTAAGATTGATCGCGAAAGGTACTTGGAGAGACGAATCTAACACTCTTATATTTCTCAGCGAGTAGAGCTTGCCGAGGAAACGCTAGCTAGGTTCCGCGCGCTAGGAATAAGTATTTCTTACTTACTCGTACTACCTGGACTGCACAGACAGTGTCAGAGACGTACCTAGGTAATTTGTGTCCAAAATCAGTGTCTAAAGGTAGGGGTCAACGCAAGTGTAAAGAAGAGAAGAGGCGTCGAAGTCGCTACCGTGAGTGACCACTCATTGCCCGGCAATCTGTGGCGCAGTAAATGTTGGCTGCCCAACCTCTACAGACCGTGAATGTCCCCAGCAACTCTTGAATCAGTCAGTAAATAGTTTCCGATTCACTGTACTGAAGATGTCGACAACGACAATTTCGATTCCCCTTGTTCCTGTTGCTGGTTCATTGACCACAACCGCACCAGCAGGTACTACTAATGTCGTCAGGTTGTCAGCCCCAGCCTCGCCAGCAGGTACAACCCCGCAACCCGCCAGTACCGGTATCGCAGCGCAACACCCGACAAACTTGACTACTCAAACCGGTTCGCCAAATGCACAGCACCAGTCTGGGGGCTTGCACCAGGGATCTCTCGTCGCAGGCCCATCGCAACCCCAATCCGTACTGCGCAGGCTCAGATTTTGGCTGATACGACTCGCTCAGGCTGCCCTTGGCGTCTCCGGACTCATCGCTACCTACATTGCCCTATCAGTTACTCTTTGGACGTCCGTCAAAGATTTCCGCGATGATTGTCGAAGTCAAAACGTGCGTAAGACCCCTGAGTCTATCTTAGTTGGAATTTATTGATAAGTTTCAAGAGCACCCTCGGCTTTCTAAGTCAATCTTGCCGCGACGCCCTATCTAAGTCAATGTCACCACCGCCATTCATGAGATTTCACAACCTAACTTCCAAACGATGGCTCAATTCTGCTGCTGCTGAGAGAACGCCCAAGATATCTCTGACGCGATCTGGCAGTAGTTGGGAGAAGGCTTATCTTGCAGTCTTTACGGGTCTTGCGCTGATAGGCTTGGTCGTGACCCTACGTACTATTCGCACAGTTCGTGTGCGAAGGCAAAGGCAGATGCCTGGGTCATTCGCCCGTGGACTGTTTGTGGCACCCAGCACTACTCAATCAATAAAACGGAGTTTGCCAGACACATGGGTTGGCACTGCGGTTGCCCGTTCCGGCCGATCACATATTGTCGCCGTTGGGGGTTTGCTCAGAAGGCGCATTAAAAGGCCTCCCCTCGAGGAGGACAGCGAAGGTGAATGGGAGCCTGCTGGATCATCTGCCATACGGAAGTTTCGTGAGAATCGCAGCGAACGAGGAGCATCAACAGTCCACTCTAGCGATTCGGACCAACCGTCTTCAAGCCGACGACCCGACAGGGGATCAAATGTATCGTCCAACGCTCTGGAGACCTTTCGAGTAGAAACAGGTGAATTGAATGGCGCTCTTCCGGATAGACCCATGAATTCCGTTTTCCCAAGTTCTTGTGACAAAGACAGCGACAAAAACCGTGGCAGAGACAGCGATAGTGACAGTGGTGACTTAACCAGGGGCACCAAGGGGACTGTGCTAATTCGAACGGGGGAGGAACGGATGCTGAGACTTCTACGAAAGGCCGTACGCGATGATAAAAGATCTATAATGAGGAGGCTCCAGGATATGAAGGAACCCTGAAGAGTCAATGTCAAAACGAGGCCGTATTGCCTAGATACACTGGTCATTGATATACACAAGCATCGAGAACTCCCGTATGACATAACCATTTATGCACGATTCAAATGCGACCTAGGAGGGAAGCTGCGCTCCCCAGGGGTAGGGTCCGGTCCAAAGAATGATTCTTTCCAAATTCCTATCACACCAGGGCCTTCTTACCTCGACAAGGGCGAAACAGTCCGAGTCCGAGTCCACACTTCGAATTCCAAGTCCTGCCACGTCAAAACCAACACCCCTGGGGTTAGTGGGCAAAAGGACCACACAGGCTTCGAAACATGCGCACTATAAGACGGCGCACCACACACCGCATGATCCCAAAATTTTCCGGGACTGAACTCATAGAAATTCGTAGTACAACTGGCCAGAGGAAAATCAGCCCGCAAGGGTCAGTTTCTCTTTTCACGAACTAAAGTTGAGCTGCTTGGTTGATAAGGGTTTGTCTCTGTGCTAGAACTGTTCAGATATAGCGCTCGTTACAACTGATCCACCTCCGCCTAAACTCAAGCGTTGCAACCACCACAGGCGCTACTCATTCTCCTTGGCGACCTGCAAGGCTGCAGGATAGATAACAGCGTACAGCCTTGTGCCAACCGCACCAAAATGCGTTACAACAGCGAAAACCTCTTGTGTTTGGCCTATCTGGCTCAGATGAACCACATGCACCTTCTGATCGTGATTTTGATATAACACCCAAGCATTCTTGACTCTCTCTCTGTGGAGGGGTAGGTCGCGATCTGCTGCAAACCAGAAAACATCACACCAGACATCACCCACAAAGCCAAAAAATGCCGGCCCCCGACAACATCTACGAGAACGATGTGGATTTCACCACGCTGGCACTTCAATATCCCGACTTCGCGAAAAGGTGAGGTTCAGATCCAGGTTCACATCCCGAGCAAGGGGGATAGGAGAACGGGTGTATCTCCGCCGTCATTGTCTCACCCCGCCACCGGCAGTCAAGTCAAGCGATCTGGAAATGAAAGGACAAGGGAATGAATGCCTAGCTAACGCCCTTGACGTCAAGGCTAAAACCCAACCGCCAGCTCGACTTCTCCGACCCAGAAAGCGTCAGGTATGTTTTGAATCGACTGGAGCCATTTCAGGTGCCACTAGGGGGCCACCTATTGCTCTGTCTTCCTTCCTCCTTCTAACCTCGGTCGTCGTCCCTCTAGACAATTGACTAAATGCCTCCTTCATCGAGACTTCGATCTCACCGTCGGCCTGCCCGAGGATAGGTTGTGTCCGCCTGTACGTCAATGGCCCTGTTCTTTAGAGCGAAAATGGCGGCCTCCCAGCGTTTTACGATCAACCCGTCCATGGTGTTAATGCGTATACAGGTCCCGAACCGGTTCAACTACATTCTCTTCATCCAGCGTCTGCTGGACAGCACCTCTCCATCGTTCCACCAAGGTTTCGATCCCGACAGGCAGGTGATTGGACTCGATATGTACGTTTGTTTTCCCCATTTCCTGTTCTGCCTTTCATTAAACACTTTCCTTCAGTGACTTTGGTCTCGGTCTATCTCTTTCATGACTTGAATCAGGGCATCCGTTCGGGGCTAATCCTTTCCCTGCGCGCATCTTGGAAAAAGTGGCACAGGCGCATCTGCAATCTACCCGCTCCTTGCTTGCCGGCAACGGCCTCAATGGCGCTTCCTGGCGACAGAGATCGACGAAAAGAACCGCGAGTACGCGCAGAGAAATATCCTCGCCAACAAGTTGCAGTCAAGAATTAAATTGATCGATACGGACGACAAAGGAGACCGGCTGATCCCTACGGAACAGCTTGAGAGATTTGATCGGTACGTGGTAGACCCTCCCTTCATTCTTTCCAAGGTGAAGAGGAAGATGAGTTACCTAGTCGCTTGACATTTGCTGAGTGTCCACTCCTGACTGTTCTCTTATCCAGGATCGACATCCTCATCACCAACCCACCATTCTACTCCTCTCCACAATCCCTGCTCGAGTCCGCGCGACAAAAATCCCGCCCTCCAAACTCCAGCTGCACGGGCGCCGCGGTGGAAATGATCACGCCCGGCGGCGAAGTCGGCTTCGTGTCGAAACTCGTCGCCGAATCACGCCTGCCCGTGAACAGGTCAAAAATCCAATGGTTCAGCGCCATGCTGGGCAAGCTGTCGAGCGTGGGGCTTGTCGTGGAGCGACTCAGGGAGAGCAGGTGTAATAACTATGCGGTGGCAGAGTTCGTCCAGGGCCAGAGGACGCGGCGGTGGTGCGTCGCTTGGAGCTGGATGGGGTTGAGACCGGCCAACGACGTGGCGCGGTCGCTGGGGAGTGGGAGCGGTGTCGAGAAAAAGGTGTTGCCTGCGATTACGGAGGTGGAGTTTGACCTCCAGAACCTCATGGCCGATGAGTTGCGTGGCCCCCGAGGCGGAAGAGATGGCGTGCAGCAGAACGTGCTACTAGATCGGATCGGCGCGGAGATCCAGTCCCTGACCGGCGACGGCGTGCGATGGAAGGTCGAGCGCACGGGGAGTGTCGGGATGTTCATGTCTAGGGACGGAGACGTGTGGAGTCGGAATGCGAGGAGGAAGAAAAAGAACACCGAGCGTGAACGTGGTGGCCCTGACCATGATCTCGAATCCCACACGAACCGGAACCGCGTCGCGGACGACAAGGCAAGGCGAAATAAACCACCTGCAGATGCAGACACGGATATGAAGGATGACGACGACTCCGACTCCGACTCGTCAGAGGAAGAATCTGAACCGGCCCTCGTCGCCCGCATCTCCGTTACGCCCTCGCCCTCTTCCTCTCCCTCTCCCTCGCATTCTCGTCCTGATCCTGCGACCGACACCCCGGCGACCATGCGGATCCACATGCGCCATCTCCAGGGCCACGACACGGTTCTCTTTGAGAGTTTCTGCGGCTGGCTCAGGAGGAAGATTGTGGCGTCGCCGTCGTCTTCATCGTGAACCGCATCATCGTCGGCGTCGCCGGCGTTGTCGTGATGACTTCTCTCCTCTCTCTCTCCTCCCCTTTACACTTTATTCGCCTTTCCTCTACGAACGGAAAGTAAAGGAGGAAAGGGATAAGCAACCGGAAAAAGGGGACGAGAATAACGTGAATGGCAATCGAACTGGCCAATCATAAACGCTATGCGTGATAGCAAAAATCACATCCATTTTTCCCTTTGATACACAGGTGGGAGGTCTCCGAGACCACTCGGTTTGGTGCTGGTCAGGTCAGGTCCGGCACAGCTCGATGGTGTCCATCATACAGGAATGCCATGCCAGTGAATGTCATCTTGAACCACAAGTCTGCAAACATCTTGGAAAAGCATACCCAGGCACAAGCATGAATATATATATCCGCCTGCTCCTTCTTCTGTGTCTCTTTACGCAGGCCCCGTCCTACTCACCCGACTCCCCCTCCTACCACCACTCTGTGAGAATTCGAATCCCCGACTCGACGAAGGCGGACTGGTCGGCGCGGTGCCCCCGACACTGCCGTTCCTCGTCGAGCTCACACTGCCATCTCTCCCTCTCACAAGCACCAGTTCAGGCATGCCAAACTTGACCTCGCCCACGCGGCGGAACATGCCCCATAGTGAATTGCGCAGATCGGCACCGATTTCCTTCTCCAACAGTCCGACAGCAAGAGGGTAAAAAGTGTCGAGGTGCTTCTCGAAACTCTCCTTGGGGAAGTTGGTGTAGCCCTCCAGGACGTCAATGACGACGGGCCTCCATGCGACGATATTTCTTTGTTGGGTTTCTTCGTCGAGGAGAATGAAGGAGCGGATGATGTCGGCGCACAGACTGGGAAAACAGTGGAATTAGCACTCAAAAAACACTCGGCGAGAAAACAGAGTTACTTACGGAATCAGAGCGCCTTCCGTTTGATCACGGCTTGACCTCCGCTCTTCCCCTTCATCATGATACATCCTGAGCAGGATACTCACATATGTATTGGCCGATCCGGATTCTTGCTTCAACAAGTTCGGCGGTTGTCGCATGAAACCTTGTCTCCAAAGAGCCATGCGGAGCTCTTTGTCACCGTTGAACTTTTTGGCGAATTGATACGACTTCTTCAGGAGTGCCATCAGGCGGAGGAGCTCGGATGAGGGGATCTGGGCATAGACTGTGTCGTTGGAGAAGAGTTCTGCCACAGTCTCTATCATAAGCAGCTGAAGAACGCAGTTTGTAATGATCTTGTTAAAGAAGCGTCGGCGTGCAGCCGTCACCACCGGTGCGGGTGCTTGCATGTCTGAATGCGGGCGATAGTCCTCCAATTCCTGAGTACTCTGGCTTGCAGGGATTTCAGCAACGGCGGCGGCCGAGCTTGCTTGTGACTCCAAGGAAGGAGTTGCGTTGTGGAAGGACGCAGGTGCTCCATTTGTGGTTGGAGTCTCGACAATCGTGGTTCCGGAGATGGATAGACCTTCGGACCCATCATGGCCTGGAGAGGGTCGAGCGTCAGACATTGTTGCTGCCGCTGAGAAGAGTTCATAAGCTGTTGTCCTATTGAAGAGCTCCACGAATGCAGTCACAATTCTTGACCAGTGCTCAGGAGAGAATTTGGTTACGTTCTGGAGGATCAGTTGCTGGAGACAATTGCTCCCAATGCGGGCTATGGTGTCGTTTTCTTGACAAATGCACAATGTGAGAAGATCCAAGAAGCGGTCAAGCATATGCTCCAGCGAGTCAAAGTAGTGCGTGAAAAGTGTGATCATGTTCCGAAGGGCTTGGATCATTGTCGTCGACAACCACACGGACAGTTCCTCGTGATTGGGAGCCTTGGACATCTCCGACTTGCTCTGCAAGACGACGAAGATCGGGTACAGTAATTGGCGCCAAAGGACATCCCAGAACTCAGGAGGGAAATCACCACCATATCTAATCAGAGTCTCGAAAAGATAGGTGAGAGCTCTGGATCGTACCTCAAGGTCCTCTCCCGTCATCAACACGTCTTGGTAAGCGATCAGGACCGGGTACCAGAACTGTTCCTCTTCGGTCTGCGAAGTAGGTTGCTTGACACCTGCCACCACGCCAGATTCCTCAGATTCGGGAATCTTGCCGTGACGTCTCGAAAGGGGGCATTCTGGAGTCTTCAACATCTTTGGTACTGTGGACTTAAGCAATTCAATTGCTTGCAGTGATTTCTTCTGGAACTTGAGGTTCTTGGAGAACTCGGTCAGACAGACAACCAGGTCGGGAAATGAGCCTTGTGAGATAACCACGCCAAATCGGGTATTGTAGATCTGGTTGGTATAGTCAAAGGCGATGTTGACAATCGCTTCATATTGTTCTCTGGCAGCAACTGAGAAGACGCCGAACATGGTCTTCCAGCCCGACCTGATGTTGTCTCCGCGGGCTTGGATCATCTGAATTAGGCATCTCAAGACCATGTCCTTGACGGTGACAACTGTGCTATTCGCCATTACGTGCTCAAATGGCTTCAAGAAGTCTTTTTGGAATTTGAACCCCGGCAATTCTTCGATTTCCATGAACCTCATTGAAAGTTGGCGGAGCGAGTCCAGGGCAAAGAACACCACAGCGGTATTGTTGTGACAGCCAACCTGGTTGAAGTGCTCTCCGAGCACCTCCCAGATCCGGGTCCATTCTATCCTGACTCTCGTCATGTTGTAATAGCTGATTTCCACCAGCTTTTGGAGACTGTACATGCGCGGAGACTCACTGTTCCCGGAGGATTGAATCTCTTGCCAACTGACGTCGCTCAATGCCTGGACGAAGTCGACAATCGCCTCAGAGGATAGCTTGGCAGTATTGGTGAATATCCTGTCTACTCCTCGGACCATGTCTGTGGACTTAGTCTCATCTGCAACCTCTGGCCGAAAGCTATGCGCAGATCTCGGCCTCGGTCGTTTGGAAGCTTGCATCGATCGGCGGCTTCTGGTGCCGTCCCTCGGGGTACTTGAGGGTGTGGAAGTGTTGACCCTCGTAACATCCGGGATGACCCCTTCGTCAATTCCGGTCGAAAGAAGCTGCAATCTGTCGAGCTGACTGATGCACATCAATATCTCCCGCCAGGAGGATTTCAAGACATCGCCTTCTGTCAGAGCAACCTCAATGAGCACCTTCAACGCCTCCAAGTTCTTGGCCATCATTTCCTTGAGATTACCCAGGTTCGTGAACTTGGCAAGCGCCGTGACAAATGCAACTCTGGGTGTCTCCAGGTCAAACCTGCAGGCAATTCTGATAGCCAACCTTAAGCCATCCAGGCACTGCCTGATAAGATCGAGGTTTTGTGCGTCCTGCATCTGACTGGAAAAGGCCGAAAGGAAAGACATCCATGTCACGTTGAACATGGGGCCAACGTGCTTGATCGAGGTCGCCGGAATGAATCGTGACAGCGCCTCTCGGACTGCGGAGCGCTTCTGTGCCCTGATGAGACTTCGGTATAACTGTTCCGTCTTGTTTGCCATTTCTTCGGATGCCTGGGTGTATTTCTCTTTTTGCAGGTCTCTGCCGACATTGGCCAGAGCTTGACCAGCCCTTGAGGCAAACCCGGCACTCGTAACAGAAGCAATGCCCAACTCGGCAGCGTGTTCTCGTTCAGAGTCCAGGACAATTTCATTGTTGGAAATTTCCTCGTAGATGCCGCCTAGATAGTCCGCAGGCAAATCTTGGCCATCGTTGATTCCCCTGTTGTTCTTGATGAAATCTTCTACAGTCATTCTAGCACCTTTTAGCTTCGAACTGTGTTGATCAGTGTTAAGCATGATGACCGAATATGCCAGCACATAGGCAGTGTCGGCGTTCGCAAATGCGTTGGGATTGCCACTAAGATACCGCTCAGCGAATTTGAGCATGAATCGATCGATCTTCTGCGCTTCTCCAGGCAAGCGAAAACTTTGCAGGAACTGCCTCAGGGCGTCAACAAAACGCCTCTTGCTAAAGTCCATCATGTCCACAAAAGCATGCATGATGGCAACGTTCTTCTCGTCGCCTTCGCCGAGGTATTCTCCGAGCATAGCTTTGTCCAGTCTGTCATTTGCATATAAGAACTTGGCAATGTCCTGAGGGCTGTCGCTGCGAATAAACCCTTCAGCCAAGAGAGCTTTGATTCCTCGTTTCGGCTTAAAGTTGAATTGTCGGATGGCTTCGTTTAGAGCAGACTTCCGCATTCTCACTTTCTCGACTTCGGTTGGATCATCTTCTGCCACTGGCGTGGAGATTCCTGACTCGTTCCCTAAACCTGGTACGCGAGGTGACGGAGGTGGTTTTTCGCTGTAGTCCAGCGACTCCCTGGAGTCCTCGTATGACCCTCTTGATGCCGGATATCGAGATCCATTAGTCTGTTCGGGGCTCCCTTGACTGGACCAATTATCGAGCGAGTGGAGAATTTCAACCAGACAACGCAAGGATTGCTGCTTCAGAGCATACTCAATCGGTACGGGCGGTGGAGGAGGCGGAGGCTGACTCAAGCTTGCTGTCGACAGACCAGGAAGCAACGCGCCTCGTGAATGCCATTCAGAGACAGGGGTCGAGGGTTTTGATTGTTGTTCTTGGTATTGGTGTTGCTGAACAGCAGTGACTGCCACAGGTGTGCTGCAGATCCGAGATAAGTGTTCAATGATTTCTTGGTACATATTGTCCAGCGCCGTCCGGTCGCAGTCGTAATTGAGATAGATCTCGACCAGAGCACGAGGATCGCCCGAGAGTCTTTCCAAAACGTCCATGAACATTTGTTTCTGAAAAAGGGGTGCGTTCCGCCGTTCCAATACAGCAAGATAGACTTCTTTTAGGAACACTTCAAGTTCCTTCTTCAGCAGAACGCGCATATGTTTCAGCGAAAGCCAGAATATCTCGCAACAAACTTCATAAACCCGTGGAACCGAGCTCGCGGCATTCCTAGAAAGACTGAGGCACAAATGAGGTTTGGCGACTTGCAAGAACGGTGTAGGTTCAGCGTTATTGCCACTCTTAATATTCGAGAACGAAGATGTGAAGACTGTGGTATAGTTGTTGATGACATGATAAATCAAATGTAAGGACAAGAGTTTGGAGCGCATGTTTTGACTCCGAAGATCCTGCTGTTGATCGTAAGTCAAGACCTTTTGACTCAGTTTGCATAGCGAACGGAACACCAAGAAGGCATCTTTGATGTAGACATCGTCTTCGTCCTCCGGAGATAGTTCTGCCTCATCGCGTTCTTCTTGCAAGCTTGATCGAGACACTGGCGCTGAACTAGTGCGTGTGTTTTTGCGCTCTCGTCTGACGCGAGTGACTGTTGTTGGAGCGCTGTCTGCAACGATGGCATCGTCGAGGTTCTTGTTGTTTTCGAAGCTTTGCAGGGTCAGCTTCTCCTGGCCAGGAGACAATCCGTCTGTGAGCGGAGGAGGAGTCTCATGATCTGGGGTATCCATCTGTCCGTTCATGCCGTTCATGCCTCCGTTGCCCAGCATGGATGTCTCCGCAGACAACGCTTCGTCCGCCTTCGCCTCATTGGACTCTCTTAGGCGTGCCTCCTTCAGATCTAGACGAACTCTGACCCTTTCAAAGACCGTGGCAATCATCTGAAGCAATGACCCTTGGGCAACTTGCTGGTTTTGACTCGACTTGGAATATATAAAGATGTTGTAAATTTGGCGAACGGCTTTCAAAAGACCCGCGCCATGTACCACGATCTTGTCGTCTAAGACAGCTGCGAGCAATGACTTGATGATTTGTTGCTGAATTTCCACCGCAGTGGCTTCATTTTCGAAGCAGTCGCAGATTGCCTCAATGGCCCTTTCAATGAGAGGTGGAGTGTCCGCTGAGCCGCCATGGTTAGTTGCAACAGCTGGAAACGCAAAATATGAATAGCTGATCAGCTTTCCAATACAATCCAACGCCGTCACCTGCAGCGGGATATTGAACGACTTGGTTGCCATTTGCAATGGGCGGAATATGATTTCGGGATTGACTGCCTGCTCCGAGTTCTTGATGTTCGACAAAGCGGCCTGGACAGCGTCTGTGAATTCCTTATTCCTGCGAACTTCCTTGGCTGCTCCGATCGTTTCTAGAGCATTGACAACGAAGACGGTAGAGTTGACCTGCGCAGGGCGTGTTGCTGTCATAGTAGGCCTTCGTTCTGGCGTATCTGGATGACCCTCCGACGCAGCTGCAGCTGGCATCTCTCTAGACTCTGATTCATCCTGGTGGTGATTCGGGCGCTCCTCCACCCTGGTCAAATTGTCATCCCCAGCATCCGTTGGCGCATTCTTGTCAGCATCAGTCTGCGGAGCGTCTCCCATCTCTTCCCCCGATTCAGCACCCTTGTCAGTGTCCTGCTGAGACTCGTTCATCCCTGACGTATCAGCTTCGGAGACAAGCTCGCCTGTGTCCTCCACCAGTGAACCATCTTCCGCATCCGCATCCTCGACAGTGATTGTTACTCCATGACTTGACGGTTCTCCGTGATCAATCGCGTCATTGGATACCACTTCATGTTCGGGCACAGGAGTCTCGGCCTCATCTTCGGAGAGAGGCTCTGATTGTAAGTCGTGGTCCGGGTTGGCATCGGTCTGCGGCGGCTCACTCTCGACGCCAGACATTTGGCCGGGCGCGGGAAGGAGGATGACGGAGCAGATGGAGGGTTCAAGATCACCTGCGATCGGTAGGGGATGTTGAACACATTGCAATCATGGAGTCGGTGCAGAGAATAGAGAGTGATGGTAGCGAACTCGATCTGTCCAGCTGTTCGTTTTCCGAGTTGCCAGGAATAATCAGTGCCTGCTCACATCTGTCAAATGCTGCGGAGAGTCAGGGTGGAATAGTAGCGCAGCCGCGCAGGGTCCGCCCCTTGGGGACAGGGTGTTCTGCGTTTAGGTATAGAGACCAATGCCGCTGCTTACGTGGTTGCAACGGACGGACACTCAGGGCCTAAGCGCACAGCTCGACAGACGCAGCTGGAGCTTTTTGCTCTCCGGAGCTTCAATCGTTGGGCCTTACTAGCCTAAGGAGCCGCCCCCCAAAAAAGCTGTCGCCCGCCTTGTCTCTCCTTGCCCTTTCGGAAACCGGAGTGGAGTTGGACTCTGTGCTCAACCCATTTTCTTAGCTGTCACCAACACTCCAACAATCCCTTATATCTTGCAAGCTTCAATTGCCAAAGGGACCGTCATCTGTCAGGGTTCTCTTGTGTCTCCTTTTCTTTCCTTGTCGCTCCTTTGCCCTCATTGAGTCCTCCCAGACTGCGGCCCGTCTTCCTCCTTTCCGCCGCTCCTGGTGCTTCCCCAATGGCGACCTCAACGCTGTTGTCCCGATCAGGGTCACGCATCCTGCTTCAATCCTCCGCGAGCTCAAGAGTCAGCAAGAATGTCCTGCAAAGACTACAAAATCCAGCATTGTACATATTACTCCCCAAAAAAGCGCATGCGTATGCTAACTCACGTGTAAAGGGCACAGTCTTTTCCCTGCCTGTCAGTGCTTAGCCGCTACTATGCCTCGAAATGTGCGCCTCGATCCTACGATTCTCCCCGCGAGGTGTGAACATGACTGACAGTGTCCGACAGCATTTCCCCCTCATACTGTGATAAGTATGCCCGCACTCTCACCCACCATGTCCGCCGGCAACATTGGCGCATGGCAGAAGAAAGTTGGAGACACATTGGCTCCTGGGGATGTCCTTGTGGAGATTGAAACAGACAAAGCTCAAATGGATTTCGAGTTTCAAGAGGAAGGCGTGCTTGCCAAAATTCTAAAAGAAACAGGCGAGAAAGATGTCGCCGTTGGAAATGTAAGGCCACTGAAATCATAACCATACTCTGAACTCGCTAACACAGAATAAGCCGATTGCTGTAATGGTTGAGGAAGGCACCGATGTCTCGGCCTTCGAATCCTTCACTCTCGAAGACGCCGGTGGTGAGAAGGAACCTCCAAAGGAGAAGTCGGCAGAAGAAACATCCGAAGCCACGGAAAAGCCAGACTCAGGTTCAGGCACCGCACCTCCTGCTGAAAGCAAAGAGCCCAAACCGGAAGCTGTCGAAGCTGACACCACAGGAGAAAGGCTTCAGTCAGTGCTAGACAGGGAGCCTGTCAGCCCTGCGGTCAAAAAGCTGGCTCTTGAAAAGGGTGTCCCCATCAAGTCGGTCAAAGGCACTGGTCCAGGTGGACGGATCACCCTTGCCGACATTGAGAAGTATAAACCGGCGGCCGGCGCTGCACCTGCTGCTGCCGCTGGTCCTTCATATGAGGATATCCCCGCAACCTCGATGCGCAAGACTATTGCTACACGACTCCGCGAATCTATGAACCAAAACCCTCACTACTTTGTCTCGACAACCCTCTCGGTAACAAAACTGCTCAAGCTGAGAGAAGCACTCAATGCCGCCTCGGACGGCAAATACAAACTGTCTGTCAACGATTTCCTGATCAAAGCCTGCGCCATCGCCTGCAAGAAGGTGCCTGCTGTGAACTCTAGTTGGAGAGAAGATGGTGGTCAGTCGATCATTCGTCAGCACAACACAGTTGATGTGAGCGTCGCAGTAGCCACGCCCATCGGCTTGATGACTCCTATCGTCAAGAATGCCGACAGTATTGGTCTCTCCGCGATTTCAAACTCTGTCAAGGATCTCGGAAAGCGAGCACGAGATGGCAAGCTTAAGCCAGAAGAGTACCAAGGCGGCACATTCACAATCAGCAACATGGGCATGAACCACGCGGTGGAAAGGTTCACTGCGGTGATTAACCCGCCGCAGGCTGCAATTCTCGCCGTTGGCACCACTCGTAAGGTTGCTGTCCCGGTTGAGACTGAAGAAGGCACAGTTACTGAATGGGATGACCAAATCATTGTCACTGGCAGTTTCGACCACAAGGTCGTGGACGGGGCTGTAGGAGCGGAATGGATCAAGGAATTGAAGAAGGTGGTGGAGAACCCATTGGAGATGATGCTGTGAGAGTGCTTGTCGGGTTTGGCTGGATTTAGCGAGGCGGATGCAGGGACGGCGTGTACAAAATTCTTCTCCCTTACTTCTTTGGCAAAAAGTTGCGCCTGCATTTGCCTTGTCCTTCAATGCTACTAATTGAGCTTCGGTCAACGCGGTGAATGCCTTTTGTCACAATGCTGGGGAACGAAGAGACAGCCTTGGGTGGGAAACGACTGGAGGATTTTCTTTGTCCTCCTTATCCTGACCGTGCCATAGTGGATGAGTATAGAGTACGTAAAGATAGCAAAATGGTGGATGGCATTCTTGTTGGAAGTTGACATTCATTTCGGACTCCCAACAACTACCCCGGCCGCTGCTTGGTTTTTTTGCTTTTTGGCTCCGCAAGGCTGTCAAATCGGAGGATCCAAAGCTGATCGGCCGAGCAAGGCTCGCCAAGTCCCGACAAGGCCGAAGTTGAGACCGCCAAACTTTTTGCTGAGAGAGGGCCTTGCGCTGATCTCATTGCGGCGAGGAAAGTTGCTGCCTCCTCTTGATCGCTCACCTTTCTTCGACCAGAACTGTTCCTTTCACCTGGGAGTGTGTGCACAGGGCTCCAGAGCCCTCCATGAGCCTAACTTCACGCCTATCGAATTGGTTCTTTTCAGACAGCTCTGTCGGAAACACTGCCCTTGAGGAGCGCAATGGCTATTCGGAACCGGAGTTTGATCTCGACGGCGCACGACAGAATAAGCGGCCGCGAACAATGGAGAGATTGGAGGAGGAGGAAGTAGACTTCGAGCTGAAGAGACCCCCTTACATTCATGTATGTTTGCAAACACTCAACGCACCCTATCTTTGCTGATGCAGGATGACAGTCGATGCTAGCTGGAGGAATAGGCGGCACGACCGGCGATATTCTCATGCATTCCCTGGACACAGTGAAGACGAGACAACAAGGAGACCCTCACTTTCCACCGAAATACACCTCATTGTCCGATTCCTACGTCAAGATATTCCGGCAAGAAGGAGTGAGAAGAGGACTTTATGGAGGCTTTACGGCAGCTATGTTGGGGTCTTTTCCCGGCACGGTTATATTCTTTGGGTCATACGAATATTGCAAGCGGCATATGCTGGATCGCGGTATCAACCCGTCCATATCATATCTCGCAAGTGGTGAGCGCACCCTTCCTCGTTGGCCGCGTTTCCTGCGCACGTGCTTATATGCCGCCCTAGGTTTCCTTGCCGACTTCGCGGCATCCATTGTGTACGTACCATCCGAAGTGCTGAAGACTCGGCTGCAGCTCCAAGGTCGATATAATAACCCGTTCTTCAATTCCGGATACAACTACAAGTCAACGTGGGATGCAGCGCGGACAATAGCTAGAACAGAAGGATTGGGAGCATTGTACTCCGGATACAAAGCCACCATCGTCCGGGACCTTCCGTTCTCAGCACTGCAGTTTGCATTTTACGAGCAGGAACGCAGATTTGCTCAGAGTTGGATGGATACTCACGACATTGGACTGGGCCTGGAAATCTTCACCGCAGCCTCGGCGGGTGGTGCTGCGGGAGTCATAACCTGCCCACTTGATGTCGTGAAGACTAGGACTCAGACCCAGATCACCCCCAATGGAGCGAAGAACAGCCAGTCTTCACATTTGGAAAAAACAGCCAAGAGCAGTCAGAAAGCATGCGCCAAAAAGCAGACGCAGACAAGGTTGATCCATTCCGGACCTCGAACAGTCCCCCATTCGACTCCTACACTTGACACGTCTTCTGTGATGGAAGGGTTGCGGTTGATATACAAAACCGAGGGGTTTGCCGGCATGTTTCGTGGGGTAGGACCCAGATTTGTGTGGACGAGTGTACAGAGCGGAACGATGCTTGTCCTGTATCAGTATTTGTTGAAGCAGATGGAGCGGTTTCAATCTCAAGAAGGAGCAGGAGTGATCTGAAGAAGTCTTTGTACAGACCGTTTGTGACTATACAGGGCCCTGATGAGGCGGCAGACAAGAGGGATGCATGGACGGATTAAATATCTGGGATTTGCAGGCGTTGAGATAATGTGCCACAGCCACTGTACAAGGCTTGGATGGCCAGGAATACCCACTTGAAGGCATAGAAAAGCGGATGGAAGATAGATTGTAAAGTAACGAAGATACATTTCAACTCTGTGCTATGGACATGTTTCCGCACGGTGCTAGGTACAGAACAGTAAGAGTCCCTACGTACCAAGTGTCACCCAAGTGTAGTGTCATGCCCTGATTATGTCCTCTTTGCAGCCCTTCACACTGAGTGACACCAGACCCAAGCTGGGGAAGATCCAGGGGTAGGGACAATCAGCTGGGCTAGCAACCAATGGCCGCCCCCAGCGTAGGGACTGGGCTGCTAAATGTTCCGGGGCCTTGTTGCTGATCTCCAATCAAACCCGCGCCAGGCTCCTTCCGTGGCCACCCCAAGACAGGGCTTGGCACGCTTTGGTGGAGAAGCCTCTACAGCCACTGGTGCAGTGGTGCCCCGTTGTTCAAGCCTCGAACAGCACGAGAGGCCCATGGCAGTCGTGTCTCCTTTTTTCCCACTTGTCCTTGTCCCCTGGTTCACGGTTTCCACCTGGAATTGATTGAGAGGCCACACTCGCTGCAGTCCAACTTCACACGACGTTTCTATCTCTTCCTTCTCGTGCACCCATACTTTTGGCTTCGTTTTTTCTTCTTATTCTTGCGCATCAGATTCACCTTCTTACGCTCGCTTGGAACCCTACACGGACATTTCGGTAGAGTCCTGCCATTGACCAGGTACGTTTCGCAGTATCTTTTTTTACGAACCCCGAATTCTTCGCGGTTCCCCTGGGCGCAGGCAACCCACTGTGACCTGCTCCATCCATGTTCCCCCCAAAAGTCGCGATCGTACTTACTTTTTATCCGGGGCGCGTGCTGACTGGATATCACTTGCAGTTCTCTTTGTTCAGTCGTGCTCCGTGTCGCCTGTACAACCACGTCGTCTGACCAAACATGGGTGAGCATTCGTCACGGTCCTAATCCTTTCACCTTCACACACACACATTCCACCAAAACCTTCCTTCCGTTGCCCGATAGCACATCTTCCTTTAAATGTGCCTCCGCTGCGATCGGAGGATGAACTTTGATGGAAAGGACGTCAAGAGCAATCTTGGTCCAAGCGCGGCCCTCAACATTCCTGGAGATCATTACACTCGAGGAGATGGAGAAGGCAGTCCCCTTGACATTCAACAGATACCTGATGATATGGAGTCTGCCAGCATGACTGACTTGAGTCAAAATCTAGCTGCCGTTGCAAATGGCGTTCGGTCTTCCCCTTCTCCCAACATTCCTAATGGCAAACCCGCGTCTCCTTTTGTAAAGGAGAGCAATCCTATGGGTGCCAATGCCGCTCAAACCGTCAGCTCCAAAGATCCCAAGGCTGCGGCGGCTGCAGCAAATGATATGCGGAACGTGGTCAGAAGAAAATTGACGGGCTATGTTGGGTTTGCAAACTTGCCAAATCAATGGCACCGCAAGAGTGTGAGGAAAGGCTTCAATTTCAACGTAATGGTTGTCGGTAAGTATGATGTGCATATCGTGCACCAAGTTCCTATACTCACAATCTGCAGGCGAGTCGGGACTGGGTAAATCCACCTTGGTCAACACTTTGTTCAATACTTCTCTTTACCCTCCACGTGAACGCAAAGGTCCTAGCTTGGACATCATTCCAAAGACCGTGTCCATTCAGTCCATCAGTGCCGACATTGAAGAAAACGGAGTTCGGCTGCGTTTAACCGTGGTTGACACCCCTGGCTTCGGAGATTTTGTCAACAACGATGACTCGTGGAGACCGATTGTGGAGAACATTGAGCAGCGATTTGATGCCTATCTCGAAGCCGAGAACAAGGTGAATCGCATGAACATTGTGGACAACAGGGTCCATGCCTGCGTCTACTTCATCCAGCCCACCGGCCACTCGCTGAAGCCTCTGGACATTGAAGTCATGCGTCGCCTGCATACCAAAGTCAACCTCATCCCGGTCATTGCAAAGGCCGACACCCTGACAGATGAGGAAGTCGCAGCGTTCAAGCAAAGAGTTAGTGACTGCAACCCGAAATTGAGACCCGCAAACTGACCCGGACAGATTCTTGCCGATATCCAACACCATTCCATCCAAATCTTTGAAGGCCCACGCTACGAACTCGATGACGAGGAGACCATTGCCGAGAACCAAGAGATCATGTCGAAGGTGCCTTTTGCCGTCGTTGGTGCCAACTATGAGGTTACCAACCCCGAAGGCCGCAAAGTGCGCGGTCGACGCTATCCCTGGGGTATAATCGAGGTGGACAATGAAGAACACTGTGACTTTGTCAAGTTGCGACAGATGTTGATCCGAACACATATGGAAGAACTCAAGGAGCACACTAACAACGCGCTCTACGAGAACTACCGGTCGGATAAACTGATCCAGATGGGTGTGTCGCAAGATCCTAGTGTGTTCAAGGAGGTCAATCCTGCCGTGAAACAAGAAGAGGAGAGAACGCTTCATGAGCAGAAGCTTGCCAAGATGGAAGCCGAAATGAAGATGGTGTTCCAGCAGAAAGTACAGGAGAAGGAGAGCAAACTACAACAGAGCGAGGAGGAATTGTTCGCCCGCCACCGCGAAATGAAGGAACAACTGGAACGACAACGAGCGGAGCTTGAGGAGAAGAAGGCTCGCATTGAGCAGGGTCGGCCGATTGAGAAAGAAGGCAAGCGGAAGGGATTCTCGCTTCGATAGACGTCGGCAGCGAGGTCCCGGTCGTCTCCTGCAGCTCCTGCTTCCTTTCCTAGCGTTTCCAGTTCCACTCAGCGACGAAAACGATGACGGCGATATCCCCTATTCCGATCCACCTTCTTTCTTTTTCGAGAACGACTTGTTTGTTATTGTTCTCCAGCCAGCAACAGACTGGAGCTGTTGTGGCGTTCTAATCAAGACATCACTGACATGATGTTGCGTGGAGAAGGAGCTGGGAGAGGAAAAGGGCGAGAGACAACATCCTGGATTGTGCTTAATACACGGGTTCGATTTCAGCACCGCGTCCAGGACGCAAGATGGACAGACAATTCCAAATTTTGGTTGGGCTGGGACGGGGGATAGGAGCCCTTGACCTGCCTAACAATCATGTATATTTCCTTAGCCCCTTCGTGTCTTGTTTGGGAACGGAGAGATAGTTGAGCGGGAGGGAGGGTCATGGGGTTTCTTCGCCAGCTGGGACGACTTTGTTCAATTTCATTCTTTGCAATTACCTAATGGCGAAGCTCCCTCTACTTATGTACCTAGTTGTCCCTAGCTCTAACCAAAAAGCGTTGATCTCAGGACCACGGCAGAGGTGCGGTATAGTAACACATATGCGAGTGCCTGAGTAAGTAGCGAGATAGCCTCAGATACCCAGGGTGCCAGCTCGCCAGGTACCTAGGTTAGAAGGGCGAGGAGGGGTCGGTATCACGATGGATTGAGGGCCGATAGCACCAGTCATCCACCAGTAGCTACCTAGATACCTTAGCTACTAGCATCCAGGGTTGCAACTGCGGTTATGTGCGTGTGTGTCTGTGTGAGTGAAGTGTGTGGCGCTTGCAGCTTGCGTGGAGCTGGGCTTGACATCATCTGCAAAACCCACAATCCAACCGCGCCCACACCCAGGCAGTGGCTCAAAAGACAAAGCCACCTCTGCTCTACCTGTCTACTTCACATCAAGGCTACATTCTCGCCAACTTGCTGCTCTCTTCCACAGTCCACAGCCACCTTATCCTACCGGTGTCAGCCTTCCTCCTCGATTCTCTTTCTTTTGTCCAGGTCTTCCTCCTCTCAGACCTCCCTTCCTGCACCTCGGCCCCTGTGTGCGACAGACTACGTACGAGCGCTGCTTCCCCAGAGCTTGACCGCCCCTCTATCAGCTGGAATTTGAGTTTGCAAGATTGAACAAGATGGCACCCCCACCCCCTGCTGATGCTCCCTTGGGCGAGCGCCTGGCAAAGGTCGCTACAACTCTTCAATTGTGAGAATACCTTGGAAGTTCGCTATCTGAAGGGGAAGAAGAGGCATGGAACACATGCTAACACTTTCTGTCCAGTGCCTGGTTCTGCGGCCACTTTACCCTCCTCCTGTCGGTCTTCCGATATGGCCTCTCCTACCTCACGTTCAACTACTACTCCAGATGGGCTCAGGTTACATATCGCCTGGCTTTCATCTCGGCGGTAGCCACCTACGGTATTGTTGTCTTCAAGGCTTATCGTGCTCGTGTGAAGCCCGGCGCCAAGATCGGCTCGACGGCTTTTCTCTTGCTCTCAGATGAAAATGTGCAATACCTGCGTGAGTTCTGTTCCTAGGACCAGTGATCAGTCAAGAGTCTAATGTCACGGGCAGTCATAAGCTTGGTTTGGTTGTTCGCAAGACAGGTGCCATTGGCTCTGCTCCCGTTCACAGTCTACTCGGTCTTCCACGTTGCGACCTACACTCGCACCATCATTATTCCCACCTTTCAGCCGCCCAAAGCCACTGCATCAAGCACACCTGCTTCACCAAGTGCTTCCAAGCCTGCTCAGTCTCCCCTCGCAAACTCTATCGGCCGATTTGTCAAAGAATACTACGATGGCTCCATGATGTTGGTCGCACTTCTTGAGATTGCCCTCTGGTTCCGCTTGTTGATGTCCGCATTGACGTTCAGCAAGGGCTCCTGGATCCTGCTGGGCATCTACACCGTATTCTTGAGGGCCAGATACTCTCAAAGCCAGTTTGTGCAGGGAGCTTTCCTTCAGATGGGTGCCAGAATCGACCAGCAAGTCCAGAATCCCAATGTGCCTCCCGTGCTTAGACAAGTCTGGGACACCATCAAGGGACTTCTACGTCAGACGGTCGAGGCTACCGATATGCGCAAGTACATTGGAGGTCAGACACCTCAAAAGAAGCCTCAATAGTGCAGACGAAGGAATTTCGATGCGCCCAGTCAATTTCGCTCGGCTTCGATGACCTAGGTGTGGAGAGTCGGAGAGTCAGTGGTAAACGCATCGACTTTGGCATTGCAGAGGCATCGAAGCTGTGCAGGGGACGAGGCTCTCAAGTCGAAATCCTGAATTTGTTGAGACTTATCCAGAGACTTCCGTCAAAATCGTACAGTGGCCTCTGGCAGGGGGAGATAGAAGGGGTTTGAGGGATCAACCTCCGCCGCAAGCGGAGCCAGGGTGGCAGTATGACACCCAAGGAGATGTGCATGGTGTGGAAAATGCGTGAGGCAGGTGACAAAATTTGCGGTAGTGACAGGGCGACAAGTCAAAGACGACTTGATTCGGGGAGCTATGCAGGATTCCTCTGGGCTGGCTTTGCTGCACAGCACAATGGATGGATGGAGGATGGATTTTTTGGGTCTGTTCTTGTTCTTTCCTGGGCTATGGGTTACAGGCATTGATTTGTAGCTAGGCTAGAGAACGACGGGTGTAAGGTGTACGATGCGTATGAGCAGCAAACCTCTGTCGCTATGTCCCTCTCTGTTTCCCTCTTTGCCCCTTTTCTGCCCATGGTTGCTGCAATAATCCTATGCAATGCACTGCAATGCCCAATTCTAGGCCAAAAAGGAGGGATCGGGTCGTTGGGTCAGGGACAACACTGGTCGACACTAATATCAATAGCAACACAAACCAGCCAGGGCCGGCGCAGCCCGTCCATCCTCTCATTTGTCCACCCACCAATCCAGCCATTCTGAATATCTGAGCGATTCTCCCTCTTTCGTTTTTCGGTTGACACGAATGCTCGGGATAATACATGGTTAAAAGGCAGCGCGCAGACCAGCCCCTCCTTTCGTTTTTCTTGACTTTTTTCCAACCGATGAGACGGTGAGATCTATAAGGGAATGTCTGTCGCGGAGCAGTGAAGATGCCGAGCCAGGTAGGTCTCTGTGAGATGCGACGGTGTAGAAGAACGATAGCGTAGAGGAAGGTGAAGAAAGAGGACTCGAACGAAGGCTCCAACTCCCAATCAATCCTCGTCTTCTGCCTCCTCGGTGCCTTCGTCCTCATCATCCTCATCGTCGTCCTCGTCGGCCAGATCGGTGGCAACATCGGGGTCACCGTCATCGTCGTCCTCACTTGCATCCTCGGAGTCGTCATCCTCGTCTTCGTCGTCCGGAACTGCATCCTCATCATTGGGATCATCCCCTTCCTCTATTTCCTCTTCCTCTTCATCATCTTCGCTGTCTGCTCCGTCGTCTTCTGTGGCGGTGGCCAATGATGCTTCTTCTCGTTCGGTTTCTTCCTCTTCGTCACCGCTTGATGATGATGATGATGACGAACCACTCTCTTCCCCTTCTTCGTCTTCGTCTTCGTCTTCGTCTTCGTCTTCGTCTTCGTCATCATCATCGTCTGCTTTACTCTCCATCTGCGCTACGTCCTCGTCATCTTCCTCTGCAGGCGCATCAGCATCGTCCTGATCGTCGCCGTTCGTGACCGACACAACATCCGACGTCAGAATCGTCATTGACTGTGAAAGCCCGCTCCTCCTTCCACTCCTTCGAATAGGAGTTCCCGGCCCCTTTGGAGATACACTCCCAGTACTGTTGGCCACACTGCTGCCATTGCCATTGGCAGAAAGTGTCGTTGTTGGTCCCGCGGCGGTCAAACTCAACCCCCCAGCGTTATTGTTGTTGTTACTATTGGCGGCGTTTCTCGGTGAGCTCCTGACTGCGACTACCGAACCTCCAGCAGCCCCCGCAAGAGATTCTCCATTACTACCGAAGCCCTTCGTCTTCGGAGTGCTTGCAGACCCAAAGGCAGTAGCCGCGCTGCGTTTCTTCGTGCTCCTTTGTCGAAGCATCGATGGGGGAATTGGTGGATCGATTTGGAAACGTGTCGGTGGGATCGCATGTTGGCGGAAGGCGAGCGCGTAGCCTGAGGGTGGAGGTTCTTGTTCCTGTTCCTCCTGAGCAGCTTCATCTGGCTGTTGTTTCTCTGCTGCTGCTTGACCATCTTCGTTGCCGCCGCTCTCCTTGTCTCCATTCTCGTCTTGAGGATGATGATCACGCAACTTTAGAGAGTCGCCATTGACAAGTCCATTGACCATTATCTCCGACATTGCACCAGCGCCGCTGAGAGCCGCTGTTGAAGGAGGGCCAGGCGCCACGTGGCCGTGTTCATCAACGAGGGAGGGGTCCTTGATATCCATATCTTCTTCCTGCAACCCGACCGACTCTGGCCGCGACATAGCTCTCGCAGACTTTGATTTTGACCGCGATGAAAGCCGTTCCACATCCATTTCAGTCTCTGGCGCCTCACCACCAGCAACGGACTTGGCGGCGGTCGATATCACCACTTCGCTGTCCACATCTACCTCCCTGCCCACTTCTTCATCTTCTTCATCTTCCTCGTCCTCGTCCCGGGGTGCTAGCGCTTGCAAAGGCTGATTATCTAGCGTCGCCTGATCACTGCGGCCCATGATATAGGGCGTCCACATCAGATTGCCAGGCTTCAACTTTCGATGCTTCTTTGCCTCATACTCGTCCACGAACTTTTGGTACAACTTCCTATCATATCTTACGGCATAGGTTTTCGTCACTGGATCCTTGATGAACGCGTAAAGGCGCTCGAGGGAATGAATCACATCATCAGCTGTCATGCCCGTTCGAGCCATGAGGGTCTTTGTGGAGAACGGTTTGAGGCCGAGATCGAGCAGATGCCGCGAGATGGTGAGGTCCCAATACGAGCGGTAGGCTGTAAGGCCCATATCTGAGAGAGGCTTTTCTGGAGATCCCTCTTTCCCTTCTATTCTGGTGAGGAGGTAGGAGAAGTCGATCAGGAAGGTTGCGTAGCCCTTGCGTTGGTGGATGGGCATGACCAAGATGCAACTGACGTTGTTCTGACTCGCAGGTCTCTTCTCCTTGCTGAAATACCCGACGAAGTGATATCCCAACTCATCATACTCGGTCAAGATATAGAACAAGAACGGTTCCACGTCATAGTACAGTGTCTTTGACCCCAGAAACATCTTGGCCATAAGACACAGACACTGACAATATTCCGTCTTTTTCCTTCCGTCAACCTCCCAAACCGAGATCGTGCCATCCCGATATATCTCGTCTCCGGGGGGGTGTTTCGCTGGACATTTCAGTTTATGCCGATATGCCACGAATTCAGACGGCAGGTACTTTAAGCAGAATTCACAGATAAACAACCGGGTTTCGTGTGAATATTCTTCCGGGTACGGGGCAGCGTAGAAGGTGTCGATGACATGTTTCCCAAATTGGATGCATTTGATCTTGCTTGGTGGCCCAGAGACTGTGGACCTGGTGGGTTTCGTGGTAGAGGTTGAAGCTGCTGCAGCGTCCCCTGCTCCGCCGTTGATTTCCGCCTCTGCCGCGGCAGAAGCTCTGCGACGTTCTTCTTCCGCTTCTTTTCTTGCAATCTCGAAAATCTCACGGTCTCGGAGTTGAGGCAGTGACCGACTCGTATCTGCATCCGCGTCGGAAAGGATGCCACCGTATGGTTTGGCGTTGAGCTCGGCTTCTCGGTCGGTGAATGCTGAGGGGAAAATGAGGTGTTGTGTTGGCAGAGCAGGGAACTTGGGAACAGGAGGTTGGTAAACTGGCGGCGGCGGGATTTTGGGAGGCTTCTTCGGCTGACTTCGTCGCTCTCTTCTCCTGCCCGGTCGAGGGGGTTTGCTCAAGATCGCTTCAATCTTCTCCTGTTCCAGGCGAAAAGCCAGGATGAACTTGTGAGGTGGCGGCTTGTTGAACGGTCGATGTTGCAATATTCGCGCGGTGGGTTTTGTGATTTTCATTTGACTCGATCTTCTAGTCGAGTGCGCAATCGCCGCCCTCTCTGCCAGCTCTTTGCTTGTCGCGGCCGCCGCTAATGCTCGGTCTGTTGCCTTCCGTCGTCTCTTTTCGATGGGAGGAGGCTCCTGAGTTGGCGATTTCCTCTTTCTGAGAGCGCGCCCTCCGTCGTCACCGTCCCCAATCACCGGTTGGGCGAAGATCGAATGTGAATACGGCTTCTGCAAGCCCCGCGTCACTGGTAACAAGTCCCTAACAAGTCGGGGCGCCGAGTTCTTGGATCGTGTGCTTCGAGCTTTTGGTGACTCTGACTGTGCGGTTTTCTTGCCAGAACACTGCGGACATTGCCATTGGGATGTCTCGCCTTCGCGTAGTGAGTCGCGCTCTCGAGCGCATTTCCCATGTGCGTGGTTGCCGCAGGCAGAGCAACTCAAGTTCACCTCGCCGTTTCCACCATCAGCGGCTACAGCCTGGTTGCAAAACACACAGGTTTGTTTCGAGTCGACAGCCTCGCTCGTGTCGTCTTCTTCACTGGATTCTGCTTCTGACTGCGACTCTGACTCCGTGCTGGATTCAGAACCAGAAGCGGAACCCGATGCCGATGCTGATGATTCACCTTCCTCCTGGCTGCTTCCCGAGCTTTCTTCGCTATCTTCTTCAGCTGTTTCGCTCTTTGTTTCTTCTTGGTCTTTTCCCTCCCCGTCTTCTCCGCCCACAGCTTCTTTGTCTTCGTCTGCAACCTCCTCTTCTTCGCCCTCATCCTCGGCAGGGGCCTCACCTTCCGCCTCGGCGTCAGTCATGGTGACATCTTCTTTCGAGTCGGTTTGCGGAGCGGATGTGGAGGTGGCACCGGCTTCAACCTTGCCTTCATTGTCGCTAAGGCTCTCCTCTGCTGATCTTTGTAGCTGCTCACCCAGTGCACTGTCTTCTAAATTAGGAGCATGGATGTTCGCCAGCTCTGCGGCCGCTCTCCCACTTGCGTCCTCGCTTGGAGCATTTTGCTCGCCCTCCAACGTCTCCCCATTCTCGCCGCTAGCATGCTGGGAAGACCGCTCTGCTGAAGATCGCGCCGGTGACTGCTCATCGTCGGGCGTCCCTTGGTTTGCGCTCATCAGCTGGTGCAGCTCTTCGGAGGTTAGGTGCGGCATGGGAGCAGTCGTGGATTGTAGTATGTATTGCGGTCCTTGCGTATGTCTGCCTCAAGGGAATAATGACCATCACGCGAGAGATATGTTATTTTTTTGGTCGTCGCCAATGTCTCTTCTGACTCTTCTCGTTCACGCCACTGAAACCACAATGGGATCCAGCATCTTTGATCTTCCGATCACAATCGGCACTTGGGCGCAAGCAGATGTTCTGAGGATGGAGGGGCGGTTGGTCGCTGGATATTTGTTCGACGCGTGAGGATGAGCTCAACAGCGCAGGGGGGTATTCACGGTCGACTTGATCGGGTTTCGAGATAGCTGTTACACGTCAAATGGACGCTTTCGACAGTGTTACCATAATTTGAGGCTCGTACTGGACTCTGGAGAGTCGCCCTGCGATGGCCGACCACATTCAACCCTCATCGACAAGGTCTTTAAAGCAGCGGGGTTCATATCCATATGAGGTAAGGCGTATATAGACGTCTCTTCGACCTGCGCCCGACGCTGTGCTTTCCGCAGCCACTGTCACGACAAGGAACAAAGATACACACTCGTGCACACCCGAACCAGCTCTCATTTACGACATTTGGTGACAGTGAACTCTGTATTTGCATTCCACGCCCCTGGCAACTGTCAATCAACCGTCCCATAGTTGATGGTATAACTCTTCGCCATGGGGTTACCTTTTGAAGCTCTCTTGCCATATGCGATCATGGTTGGCATGTTCGGTGTTACAGTACTGCGTTCCCCCCTCCGTTAACAAAAGGGTCTTTCGAGCTGAGCAGTCCTCTAGGGTGCCGGTCTCGCCTCAATCCGATACTACGCAAACGACTTCAAGCAACCAAGAAGACAATTAGATTTATGGGATAGGCAAAGTGGGTGCAGAAAAGAAGCAAAGCTCACCGGGCATATTACTCACGTTTTGCAGTGATGGAAAGAGACTACCGACTGACTGGGAAAATAAGAGGACAGTCAGATGCTGTGGCGGCTCCAGTCGGCTTTGAAGGTTCGTCACTCTTCTAGTCCGTCATGCTGGATGAATGCTAACCAATATATATAGTAAACAGCAGGTGGAAGGTTGGTCAAGCACTAATACAACGATTGACTAATGTCACTGACTCCTGCTCCAGGCCGAGCCTCGCATTACTTAAGACTTCGGGACCGTCGTTCATGTTGGGTCCTTCAGGAAACAGGCATTGTACATATTTCGCCGATCGGTCAATACAGACATGCGTGACGAAAGTCAAGTTCTTTCCTTTTACCTGATTGCTTCCGATGAACTGTGTCAGATCATATTGGGCAGTCAGGCCGCGACGAAACAAAGACCATATGCCTCCGTGCCCTACAACTCTTTTCGCGGTGACAAGCGTTCATCTTTTGACTATGCTCTCGCGCTGATCTCCTGGACGAGATTGCGCGGATCGCGGGCGAGAGCAAACTTGCACCTTCTGTCCTCTCTACTATCAGCGCGGACGATGCTTACTGCAGCAATCTATAAAAGGGTCATCCTTTGATGTCTTTGGGTTCTCTGCAAATCTTATATGGCTTCCTGCACATCTTATATGTCTTTTTGCGTCTCCGTGTCACGTATAATTTTTGGCTGCAGCTCAACAGCTCCGGGGCCGCAAGATCATTGGGCTGGTAGCACAATGTTGCACAGCATTGAGCTTGCAGCAGGAGAGCAAGAATCCCAAACTCCGAATTCGGAGCGGGCAGACACCGACATACGCCTTCTCCAAATAAAAGGACCATCTCCTCTCCCCACGTTCCTCGCCAACGTGTTGATCGTGCTTCAGCGTACCTAGGTACCTCGTACTCATCCTCACGTATCGAGAACACATTCCACCGCCAAAGATACTTCATATCAGTCAGTTCCCTCCTTCATCATGACGACCGGAGAGATCGACTTGGAAGAAAAGCTTCGCCGCCTCCACGAATATTCCCCCTGTGATGTAGGTACAGTACGGTATCTGTATTTGATCTTCTCAGTCATTCTGATATAGGAGAAAAGGTATCAGATGCGCTGCTGAAACTCCAGAAGACAAAGCCAGGAGAGGTCGCGAGGGCAGGCCATCTGGCTGATATTTGTGTGCCTACCTCCCCATGTTTTGGGGCCTTCAGTTGACCAGGCCACTGCAGTACCGATTGTCCTACCACAGTCAAAGGGAGATACTCAAAAAGTGATTGCCCCGGCATGCACCTTGAAGCTGGTGTCGAAGGATGCCACGCCCGATACAAGCGCTCCAGCGGAAAAATCCATTCCAAAGGGAAGCCACTGGGTCGACATGACAGAGCCTGGAACCATTGTTGTGATTGACCAGCCACAAGACCACAAGTGTGCGGCCGTGGGAGGCATCATGGCGCAGAGGATGAAGATCAGAGGCGTGGCCGGGTGCATCGTCGGTGGTCGCGTCAGGGATTTGGCGGAGCTGAGGGAGACTCAGTTGCCGGTAAGTAACCCCTGTTGACATTCGATTTTGTATCAACAACCCTTGCTCTTTCCCCAAGTTTTGTATCCCGAGAAAGTCCTTCTCTTCGACTCCTGGCTGACCCGACCGATTCAGATATTCGCGCTGGGCAAATCGACGGTCGGAACAGGTGCCGAGGCGACAGCATATGCCCGCAACGTCCGAGTATCCATAACCGGCGTCGATGTTTCGCCCGTAAGTAGCGACGAGACTCGTTCTGCTCTAGTCTTTTTCTGCCTTTATATTGATTCCATAATAGGGCGATATCATCTTCTGCGATGCCTTGGAAGGCGTGGTTGTCATTCCTCAGGACCTGCTCGACGAAACCCTCTCGCTGATGCCGAAGCTCGTCGCCGCGGACGACAAGGTCAAAGACGCCGTGGTGGGAGGCATGACCGTGGCAGAAGCCTTCAGAACTTTCCGAAACTGATGAGAGAGTGTGAAACTTTTGGCTTTGGCTGGACCTGGACTGGACTGCCAGACCCGAAATGTCACCTGGGAGGAAAGAGAATAACGACAACAATTCACTACCTCTTCGCCATTCTTTCCCAATACTCCCATCGCCAAGCTCATTCAGGTGCGGTATTAAATATATATATAAATTATTTCGTTGCCAGGATCGGCTCTTCTCTCTGTTGCAGCAGATATCCGGGGCTGGTTTTCCATTCAACTTGCTTGGAAAGTTGTCGCTGACGACGGTAACGACGACACAACGCTCTTTACTCCTTCTCCCAGAGCCTCTTTGTCTGGAAGACGCACGGATCACCACTTTCGAAGATCCCGCGAGTCTTGCTCTACCGTGAGCGTCTGTCAAAGTAAGTCCGCCTTTGTTCCCGAGAAGATTGAGCATCGGTCCCAAACAAAGCGGTACAGCCCCGTTGGGCTAGGACAGATATTAATGTCGATGGTGCTTGATGAGACGGTCGCATATCATCTTCCAAGCTCTCTCCGCCACAACGAGCATAACACCGCTAAGTCCAGCAAAGATTGTCAAGACCCGTTTCTAACAGCTGAACTAGAGATTCCTAGTCCCACACGTCATGGCCGACATCAATCCCCCGGACGTGTCGCAGCACACAGCTGCACAACGGCAAGATGTCGCCTCCTCCACTCCTGAACCTGCAGCATTTCGCTTTTGGAAAGAGATCAGAGCAAGACAAGAAACGCTGGACCTCTTCTTGGGCCACGTATTCGCTCTCGCTCCAACCCCAGGTGCCACCATCAAGCCTTTCTACCAACAGTACCGACTGGCTGGCGCTCTCAAAAGCAGCAGCGCGCAACTGGTCAGACAAAAGAACGTGGACCTAAACGCCATGCGGGTCAACAAGGAGTTCCGCGACGCCGGGAGCCGGCTGGTCTATGGCCGATACGTGTTCCACTTCGAGGACCCGGAAAACTGCCAGTGGTGGACCGAGCATATCGGCAACCAGAACTTGGCCAACCTCCGAATGTTGGCGGTGAAGATGTACTCGGGATGGGATATCGACTGGTTGAAGTCAGAGTCAGGGTGGGATACCAAATCCAACAGAATCAGCTACGACGTGGACCTTTGTCAGGAAGAACAATGGCACCGGTTCTTCTCGCGGTTGAGGTATCGCCACAACCTGGACAGACTCGACCTGGACTTCTCTCGTTGGGGACTGTTCGACGCTTTTGAAGGTCTGACCGAGGAATGGCAGGCCGAGGTCAGGAAATGGCGCGAGGCGCTCCTCGAGAAGCTCTTGGACCTCCGCGGCTTCCAAATCGTCAACATCAGCGACCCATGTGGAATCGCCATTCCCAGGGCAGACATACCCGAGTGGAGGGAGACCATGACTCAGGCTCGAGAACCCGCCCCGCCCGTCAACCCAACACCGGTGCCCCTGGAGCAGACACTTCAGCATCTCAGGGATATGAGGAGACAGAGCGAGTATCGGGAACGGATGGACCAGAAGAGTCAGAAGAAGGAGAGGAAGGACAAGAAGAAGAGGAAGAGGTTGGAGAGGAAAGCCAAGGAGGCTGGTAGCAGTAGCAAGGCTACGGGCAGTGCCGATGCGGAGTAGGAGGACGATCTCGCTGTGTTCCATGAAGGGCATGAGTCACCGGTGAAGCAGGGTCAGAATGTGGAGGGTGGACACGGCCTGGTGCAGAAATTTGGTCGTCGCTTGGATAGCATTGTGTTTGGTCTCTCGATTGCCACTTTCGCTGGTAGAGGGCTGCCTGGTGCTGTTGGCTACAATATATGGTCGAAAATACAGTTCTACGAAAAGGTCGATCCCCTTCCCTCTAATTCCCGGCGATTTGGTTATCGCTCCCTTTTAATCCTCGGTCTTGAAGGCAGTGACCCGGCTCTTGACGACTTCTTCATCCTCCTCGATATCCAACTCACGCAACTCGCCGGTCCCGACATTGTAGATGAGAGCATGGACCTGGAGGCCGCGTTCATCCATGGCGTCAAGGACGATGGGGTTGGTGAGGAGGGTCTTGATCCCCGCGCGGACGTTCAATTCGACCATTTTCAAACCCCGCTGCGTTTCGTCCAAGCTGTTCAGGAGAGACAGGTTTTCTTGGCGAATGGCCCGCAGAGGCATGAGCCAGGTGTCGATCAGGCCCAGTTTCTTGTTCCCCAGGGCCGCGGCGATACCGCCGCAAGAGGTGTGGCCGCAGATGATGATGTGCTTGACCTTCAGGTATTGGACGGCATATTGAATGACCGAGAGGGAGTTGATGTCGGTGTTGACCAGGATGTTGGCGATGTTGCGGTGGCAAAATATTTCACCGGGCTTCAGGCCCAGGATGGTGGTCTCTGGGCAGCGCGAGTCGGCACATCCAATCCAGAGAATCTGGGGGGATTGGCCTTTGGCCATCGACTCAAAGAGCTCGGGCTCGTGTTCGGCCAAAGATCGCCGCCATAAGCTGTTGTTGTTAAAGGCTTTGGTGAAGGCATCACTGCTCGAGTCTGTGTAGAATTTTGTCGTCAGCGGCTGTGTCTCGGTGTTCAAAATGATAAAAGGGTGACGTATGGAGAGTACATGGCACGTGACGCCGGGGTTGGAATGGAAAGAAGTGTTGAGGATGGGTAGATTGATTGCAAAGCCATCAGACGGCGCGGCACAGCTTTCTCTGACACAAGGGGGAAGCAGAGGTGATAAGGTTGTGCATTATGAGCATATCCGGGGGTCCCAAAACCAAAGTATGCTCTTTGTGATGAGAGGCCGTTGACATGCTTCACCCCTCGAGCAGGTGGAACCAGGAAAAGAAGGATACCCACCTTGAGGCATCGTGCTGAGATCTTTCTTGTCTTCGTCTACTTCTAGGTCGACTGGGTTTCTATGGGAGTGCTTGGAACAATAGGAGCGGACAGATGTACAAGAAGAAGGTGGTCGGCAGGATGCGGAGGGAAGAAGGGGGCTTAAGAATGAAAGCGGTGTTGATGGTGGTGTTGGCGATAGAGATGGAGACGGCCTCGGAGATGGTGGGAAAGCTGCAGACGAGAAACCGGCGACGGATCTACGCTGCAGGTGGAAATCTCGGAAGTTCTTTTTCGGTCTTGGGCGTCTTCGTGGCTGAAGATGGTCCCTTTGGTCCACCGTCTGAAGGAGTCGCGGCTGCTGATTGGAAACGAAATTGGGAGAGATGGTGAGACGTCGCAGTAGCGAGGATGAAGGACGGCATGTCAGGACCATGGTGAGGAGGAAGGTGACAACAGCACAAGGGACAGAAGACCGCGTTCCCTGGATGCCATGGGAGAATTTTTCTGAGTAGATGGGGGATTTTGTTTTCTACTCGAGATCTTCGGTTCGCATTTGCGGTGGATAAGGATTGAGGAGGGAGAGATTGATTGATTGGTGGCTGATAGCGAAGATGGACCATGTTGATGGTGGTGATTGAGATTTGGCGCCAGGCCCGAGCGTGGGGAGCCCGGATGAGCCCCGTAAGTCATAGTGCCCCTGCTAACTTTGGGGGGCTTGCACCACTGACGCCACAACTGGACAGGTTGTCGGGGCGTTGTTGGAACTTGTTGAGCTGCCTAATAACGGGCCCTAAGTTGAATGGGGCTCAACTAACTCGACTACTGGCTGGGCATGGGCGCCCGCTATGACGCCCACTAAATAGCACCCACAGGCTTCCCGCCGCCCGGAACCCAACAGGATCATCACGGAACCAAAACAATACCTCATCCCGATCCACTCAAGCTGCTTTTTGTTCAATACTTTTTTTTTCATCACACCTTCATAGAGCGATTTGTCTCGTACGTAGCTACTTAAGACCGTTGACCTTGCCAATACTATCCTCAATGCCATTGTTCTCGACAACGCCCCACCACTTGTTCCAGAGGCCCTGGGTCACCAGTGTTTGCTCGTCCATGGGCGTCGTCTCCTGTAGATACTCGCACACCGCGTTCTCGGCGTCTCCCTCAGCATCGAAATACATGATACCTGGGACACTGACTGGGCTGAACGCCAGTTGCCAGGTTCGATATGTCGGCGGCAGCAATCTGTTAGGCTGAATGATGTTCCGATCGGAGCATTCAACTTCAACTCGAGATGCCTTGTTCCGTTTCTGTGCAACCTCCCCAGCGGCCATGTTGAACGTACCGTTCACAAAAGACACCTGCTGTTTAGTCCAAACCCGGGGCATGCGCTTCTTCTCATATATCTCGATGGCCGTGGGGAGGCTAATGGTCCCTCGAACCACTTCGGCGATGACTGTCCCCAGGAAAACCCCGTCTTCCATGGCAGTGGCGGCACCTTGAGCCTAGAAACGTTTCGATCAGCAAACTGCGCAGTTAGCTAATGACGGGTACTACCTACCATATGATTCTGCATGCAGTGGGCCGCATCCCCAAGGAGGACAACATTCTTGTGCTCGTTGGACCACGACTTCATGGGAGGTAGCACCAACAAGGGCCAGATCTGCGTACTTTTGAGGAGGCCCAGGACCTTGCGCGCAAACGGACTCCAGTCCTTGTACAGGTTGCGGAACTCCTCAATATCCATCTCTTCGGCCTTTGTGACGACGCGGTCCATCTGGAACATGGCCACCACGTTCAATTCTCGGCCCGCCGAGAGGGGATAGAGGAGGATATAGCCCTGAGGCCCGATCCAAGCGTCGGCCGTATTCCTCAGCCACATTCGCGCTTCGGGAACCTGGGCAAAGACCTCTTCGTAAGAAAGCACGCCACGGAAAGCGGCAACGGTGGATGCAGCTTTGGGGACAGCCTCTGGAAACAGGTTCTGCCGGATAGTCGACCTGATGCCATCGGACCCGACAAGCAGGTCAAAGGTATGCTCCACGCCCTGGATTGTTGTGACCTTGACTCCTTCCTTGGTGTGTTGGAGAGATTGGACGCGAGACCCGACAATCAAGTCGACCCCGTTGCGTCGAGCACACTCGGTCAGTCCTGCGTGGAGGTGATCTCTACGGACGACCCTACGATCGAGACTTGTCAGTACGTAGATCAACCGCACAAGAATGCAGTCTACCAACTCAAAGAGGACCAGACTCACCAGTGCGGAAACCCAGTCATCTTGCGTCCCTCCTTCGGATCAAACCGACCCAGCAACTCATCATTCAACCCCCAACTATTGATCTCATCCACGGCAACCAAGTCATCGCCAATGATCTTGTCCACATCCCACCGAATCAGAATTCTGGAGACGTTAGAGAACATCTGGATCCCCGCTCCGATCTCGCCCAGCTCCCTTGCCGCCTCGAGGAGCGTCACTTTGGCCCCTGCCCGGGCACACGCGATCGCTGCGGTCAATCCTCCCATGCCGCCTCCGCAGACGCCGACGTGTAGTTTTTTGTTCGGAGCCATTCTTGTGTGTATGTGGTTGTTGCAAACGAAACTTTGCTGGCCAAAATGGATTGGCTTGTTTGTGTGTGAACGATTTGTCAATGGACGATCGACCAAATGACCCTGGTAATGGTTCGGGATAGAGCTTTTCTTCCCCTTGCACCGCCGCAAGGCGAATGTTTCGACCACGAATGGCTCCTTGTGCTTCTGCAGTGACCAATGCGAACGCAGACGGCTTGATGTGGAGGGACTATAGCATAACAGGTCCCCTTCAGATCGGTCAATTGAGGAAGGGCGTCGATTGTTAAAAACCGTCCGACTTTGAATCTCTGCACTGAACCCCTTTTGTAGGAGTTTGAGGTTTTGTCCCAGACGTCCTAGACTGCCCGGGCACGCACCTATTATATATACCACGCACGTACTCGATTCGCAGCCACGAGGTAAGAAGACAGAAATGTCATTCGAGGAACCCTGCGTACGGAGCGGTTACTGAGGAACCGACCTACCCAAAGCTCAGCTCTCCCCCGTTCTCACTGCCCACTAGTAGTGGTACGTTGGTCGTGGTATGTGGTGGTGTTGATGACGAGGAATCCCCCAGGGGTGCCATATAACCGCGGCCCAAAAGACACACGCGGATCGAATCACGACTAATAATACTTCACCAGAGACCCCGCCAATTTGTATCCCCGCCCACCCCGGCTATTTACAAACAGACACCCTGGAGGGGGATGGATCAACATGTCACGCTCTAGTTCTACCGAGGCCCCAGGAAGCAATTTAGTGAAGGTGTATGAGGTCCGGAGTTAGGTTAAATCATGGCGACGTGTTGCGTGCCATGCATGCTCCATATGTGGATGGGGGATCGTGGAAAGCGGAGAAATAACTAGGTATGTAACTACCTGGTAGATACCCTGTATATTACCGAGTACAGCTACAAGGGGCACATGCTCTATACATTACATGCCGAGGATGTTCATGCATACATATATACACGTACATACGTAGGTACTAGCTATCTCTTAGGTAGGTAGAGATGGGGGATGTCCGGCAACGTATGTAGTCAGCACCTGTAACCTGTAACGTTTAGTCCTTGCAGTGCTTCGCAATCCACATCTCGTCAGCTGAGCACGACACGCTTACGGTGTGCAGAATCGAGACCGGCGATCGGGGCATCGTGGGCTCGACCACGTTGTATCGCAGTCTCCAGAGTCCCAGAGTTCCAAGCGTGCCGTGTTTCCCGGGGGCAGATTACGGGTATTGGGGGCTGGGAGACTGAGATCTATGGATACCTACACAGTACTCGGCACAGAGAACGACAGAGAGGGGTCTTGTACGTTTTGTGGCTGATTCTATCCCCTCGTCCCTATTCTTAAACAAGTTCCTCAAACCCTCTCATGATGCCCTCGGCCCCGAACAAGATGTCAAAATCCGCGGCCATGCTCGCCGGGAAACACTCCGCCCAAGTGCCCAGATGATCCTCCTGTCCCGAGGAGAAGGACTCGACCGCGTTGAACGGGCTGGCCGTGCTAGGGCCACCGCCGCGCGCCTCGACGCCTCTGTCATATATTCTCGGGATATTTTCAACGTTGGCGGTATTAGTGGTGATGGAAGAAGCGGTCGAGGTGGGAAATGCATTGGAGCAGGAGGCCGCTGGCAAAGTAGAAGATGCCGGTGCTGACGTCGAGGCGGCATCCAACTGCGGTCGTTGGGAGGGGCACACCTTTTCAAACGCCGCCGTGTAGTACGCGAAGATGAACCTGGCGGCCAGGTACTTCTCCTGTAACTGCTGGACGACCAGCATGGCGAGGTCAAGGTTCTGGCTCGCCAGGTGCCATTTCATGCCTGTCGAGAGGCATTTTGCCACGAAGAGGATCGCGATAATAGAGATGAGCATCGTCACACTGTTATAGTAGTGGAAGCGTTAGCATTGCTTTCTTTTCCTTGTATGCGGAACGGAATATGACACAGTTAAACTCGCCCACCGAGCTGAAATAGAGACCGATAAGGTTAGGTGAGAAGATGTTGAGGAAGAAAAAGAAAGTCGTCTTGTCTTGCCTTTCAGGAGGTAGGAATCGGACGAGCTCGAGCTCGCTGAGCTTTCGGAAGCCGTCTGTTGCCGCGAATGCCGACAACTGGCATCCTTCCCACGCGATCCGTGCGCGGATATCCCTTTCAGGTCGAGTCGGGAGTATGCCGTCTTGGAAGACGAAAGGTTTGTACATGGTAACCACTGTGACACTGGACACGGAGACAACAGTGCGGCAGTGAGCTATCCATAATGCCAGATCAAGGAAGAAAGGCGTAAAGAGGGAAGGGTAGGAGGCTCAACTTACTGATGCAGGATCTGGATGTAGTATTTGTGCAATGTCATGGCAATGGGTTCGTTCAAGGTAGTAAGCGGAGTGTCGACTCGACATCGCGGGCCGAGGGCCACCTGCCAGCGAGCGAGCTTGTCTTCAAGGAATTCCACCGCGCTCCACGAAATCGGCTCACTTCTGGGCCTGTACACAGACGCAAGCACTTCGCCCAAGATCTGGCTCAATTTGACAATCTCCAAAAATATTGGGGCGTAGCTATTGCACTTGGCCACAATGGCTGCGCTTTCCTCATTCAAATTCCAGGTTGAGTTGGACGACGACGTCGAGGAGCTGGGCGTGGTGTGCACGAGGTCTTCAAGGGTAAGTTCCTTCACGTCACAGTCTTTGGCGTTGATGCGGAACGCCCGTCCCATTCCCAGCGCGATGCATCTGTCCCGGTAGAAGCAACACCACCAGATCCTCCTCCATAGGCTGCGCTGAGACGGAGGCACATCTGAGAAGCCCGGATCACGGTGAAAACCGACGCTCTGGCTCAAGCTGATTGCTACACCTACCCAGTGCCAGCTGTCGGTCCTGTCGTGGGCTTGTCCCAACCAATAACCAAGCAGTAGGACTGATTGGATCAGGCATATCTTGTCCGTTTCGTACTCGAAGTCGTAAAGTGCCTGTCGGCAACAGATCAGCTCCCAGGCCTCAAGCGTTGGACAGGTCATAAATCACCTTGGCTCTCTCGTAGAATCTTCTCTTCATATGCTTGAGCGACGGCCAGCCGGACCTTGTGAGCCCATCTGTCGAGATAAACTAGAAGCTTGGAACTGAGGACTTGTTGATGTACAATGGTCAAGGTGGATGCTTACGTTGCATGCAGCAAGAAACATGCTCTGAAGCAAGAGCGGACTGATGCTTTGGACACCGCCAGCCTCGTACCGACGACGAAAATCGTAAGGGTCCACAATCGGCAGGATCGGGTAGACATAATCGAAAAACAGGCCAAGGAGCTCGTCCCTCAGGTCATCCGACTCCGTTGAGAATGCCCCCTTGGCCTGTAGACAGGCGTACTCTTCCGGTGACAATTGACGCCTCTTTGGCTGAGGAACTAGGTAATGGGCCTTGGAGGCGATGCTCTTGTCTCTGGCCACATGGAATATGAAACGAAGCGATTGGAGCTCGCCTGAAACTTCATGCTTAGCTGCTTTCACTCGTGCAACACACGGGACACTGCGCAAACGCACCGACATACAGCGGGACCTTGGCTCCGCTCGTCTCAACTGCATCGACAATATTCCTGTAAGCTTCCACATTGGCCTTGGACTCATACTCATCCCGCGATGGTGGTTCTAATGGCAGGGCGATCGAGTGATTCGAGTCCGGAAGATCGGTAGAGCCCGTTGGGGGGTTATGAGCCTCCGCAGTTGGTCCAGCCGAAGACAACGAAGCGGGCGTGCCAGAGCGGGCGTGGTTATTCTTGTTCAGTTTTCGCCGTTTGTGTTTACCTCTGGCCGAGACATGCAAAGCACATTCAGTCTGGTCTTGGTGGCAGTTGGAGCAGGGCTGGCCAACAAGGACGACATTGCAACGGACTTTCCGAACATGGCAAGCCGTGCATGCAATGGGAGCACGTCGCTTCTTTCCGGTAGAGATTGCAGTAGACATCGGAGAAATCGTGTCTCTGGGGAAGCTGGGAATTGTCAACAAGGCCAACAGAGCCGTGTCTTGGATGCGGAGAAGGCGACAAATACCGGGGAGACATTCTCGGTTATATGCTCTTCAGTTCTGAGCCGAGGGTATAGCAAGGCCATGGAGGTATGTACTTCCAGACTTCCCCGGATGAAGCGGAGTTGGCATGCTAAAGAACGACATGGTGGATCGCATGGGTGAGAGTCTGAGAAGAGATGGAGTGACTCGAGTGACTCCGAGTGAGTCAGTTCATACTGTAATTACCTTGTAGTTGTGAACTGCACCTCATCAAAACTGACAAACTGGACAAAGTGACAACCTGGAAACAAGCGAACGACGGGGCCGTAAGCGTCCAGCGCCTTACACAACACCATGGCGTGTCTCAAGGACGCCGACATCGGCCATTGACTTGATCATCTTTAAGCCTCATAACACCAACAACGCATCACTCTCATCTTGACATTGACAAACCTCATGCCTCAGGTGATGAGGAGCCACACCGAAAGCGACATCCCATCTTGAGTATGAGCGCTGTCCGCAGGTCTCTTTGGTTGCAGGCGACAGCTTCAGTACACAGACACATTAGGAGCACACACCGCCCACAACAGCCCTTCCTGAACGAGAGCGTCAAGCTACTCCAACCCGCTAGTCGTCGATCGTTGCGTTCGTCAGGAGTTACAATGGAAGGTAAAGAGGGTAAAGACTGGAGCGCAGCTCAGTATCTAAAGTTTGAAGCCGAGCGGACTCGTCCAGCGAGGGACCTCCTCGCGCAGGTGCCCTTGACGGCCCCAAAACGAGTAGTCGACCTGGGCTGCGGACCTGGCAATTCGACAGAAGTGCTCTGGAAGCAATTCCCCCAGGCTCACGTTGTCGGTCTCGACTCGTCCCCGGATATGATCGAAAAGGCGCGAAAGAGGCTGCCTGACCTCGAGTTCGTCCTTAGCGACGTGGGTTCATTCGAGCAGGCCGAACCGGCCGACCTGCTTTACTCCAATGCCGTGTATCAATGGCTTCCCCACGAAAAGCGCATCCCAACATTCATCGACCTGATCAAAACTCTGAAGTCGGGCGGCGTCTTCGCCTTCCAGGTCCCTGACAACTTTTCAGAGCCCTCCCATGTTGCCATGCGCGAGGTCGCCGACCAGGGCCCCTGGTCCGACACTCTTAAGCGCCTGCATCCAGCTCGCAAGGCATTTCAGTCACCTCAAGAGCTCTACGATCATTTGAAGCCCCTGTGTTCGGATATCAATATCTGGCATACCCAATACTACCATATCCTGCAAGACCACAAGGCCATTGTGGAGTGGGTGAAAGGGACAGGTCTGAGACCCTACGTCGACCCTCTGTTGGCCTCGGAGAGGGAGGCCTTCCTCGAGGAATACCTGAAGCGAATACAGGAGGCGTATCCCCTCCTTGTTGACGGGAAGGTCTGCTTGGGCTATCCGCGCCTGTTTCTGGTGGCTACTCGGGCTTGATTTCTGTTCCCTTCATTCGACAGCTTTCGCTAGCCTAGACACCCTCCTCCAGTATGTGATCCTGATTGAGTGACGGGCAACCACATATCAATTCCCTCGTGCAGCCCGATCACAACCGAATGATGTCCTCGGAGGAGATGCAGCGACCCTAGAGTTTACTCAATCGGCGGTCTTTGTTCTCTTACTTCTCCCATCCCGGAGCTGGTGGCGGTCGGCCTGATATTTCCTGGTGCATGGACGCTTGCGGGCAAAGCATTTGGCTATCAGCACGAAGTCTATTGGTCGAGGGATGGAGGTTTGTGGTACACGTCATGATAAGGCTCGCCCACAGACAAGTTTCTTCATTTCGACAAGCCCCATTCGTCTGAACGAAGACCGCCTTCGCTCAAAGGAGTTCAAGAACCATCCTCAAGGCAAATCTCCCCGGCGTCGGGAGACCGTGACGCCCCACAAAATTTCTTGCATGGCTGAGCGCAACCCAAGAGGGTCCTGCTGTACAAATACATTAAACGGCACCTGTCTTGTTCGGATACGTAGTTGGGTGTCAAGCAACGATCGCAGAATTGTTTGGACCATGCCCCCCGTCTGTGTTACCCGTGCCCCTCTCCACTGCGTCCCGAGGAAAAAAGGCCCAATGATCCAAAGACTTCTCGACATAAGAGACTGTACAGGCTCCCGAAGGGACGAGTCACCTATTGTCACGACTAGATATGTTCCAAAAAAAAACCTGACTAAAGTTAGATTTGAATATCCTCAGGACCTTAAGAAGCTTTTTATTTTTTAACCTTCCTAATCAAAAGTAATTATTGTTCAGCAGGAGCCAATCTGTAGTCTACTCTAGGTCATAAGAGTGCTAGCCTTTTGCCCATATTCAGCGGGTATGTGTTGTGACTTCGTCAAGGATTGACTATAGTCACCGACATGGGTCATGACTACCTAGGTATATAGTCTCAACATCGCTGCACATGGATACAAAAAGAGAGGTGGAGAGGCCGGGACCACGGTTCTTTTGTTGACCCTCCTCTCTTCGCTTGGCAACTGGGTTTGTTTGAACGTACTCGGGGTATGGCAAGTCGAGATCAAGCGTTGTCACCGAAACCCCTGGACTCTGGACTCTGTGCAACGAATACCGCATATTTCCCATCCGCTTTAATCAGACACTCCAGGAACTGGTCCCATCATCGGATTCCTAAATCGGCGGCAATCTGTCACACGTCGCTCAGGGTTCGTTTGTCTCGCTCGTTTTGAGGCTTACAATTCGTCATGAGGACTATACTGAGCTAGGTACCTAGTGTATCCTATCCCTCTTCTCCCATCACTGCACGCCAGCTTCCCACTCGTGCCACGGTCCATGATAGAGAGGGAGTCTTGTAAATGCTTGTTTCGTCGAATCGGTTGTTGCGTCGCGTCGTGAGGCTTCTACTACTCCTGCTTCAGCACCTTGACCCTGACACCTTTGCTGTCTAGCTTTGGACTGGGCAGGAAGAAATCGTGCGCGAGCTCGACGTCCGTAATGTCCGTGTCATATAGCTCGAAGCGGAAGTTGCGGAAGACGGCGGCGAGGGTCATGTAGAGTTCGGCGTGGGCGAGACTGGAGCGTTGAAAGGTTTAGCTAGACGTCTTTTGCTAGACCGGAGTACCAGCCGCGCAAAGAGAGATTGACAAATGGACTAACTGAGTCCAGAGAGCGGCATAGAATGATGCCCCGCTGCGTTTTCTCGCTCCATCACAATAAGGGACAAGGGCGAGGTGCGACTTACTTGATCCCCAAGCAACTCCTACTCCCCTTCCCAAACCCGACAAAATATCTCTCGAGGCTACTGCCATCCTTCGTCTTGGGCGGATTGATCCATCTCTCGGGCTTGAACTCGCGCGGGTGTGGAAAGATGTCCTCATCGTCATTCACGTCGACGATGGTCATCGACACTGGCGTACGCGGCGGGATCACCCAATTATGGTAAGCGAGAGGCTTGTTAAACAGCCGCGGATTGCGTGTGGTTACGGCGTAGGACAGTCTAACAGCCTCCCGCACGCAGCCGGTCAGGTAGGGCAGCTTCTCAAGCTCGGTCCAGGACAGCGGAGCGGTCGGGTCGGGAATGGCGGACTCCAACTCAGCGCGAAGCTTAGCCAAAGTGTTTGGATTATTGACTAAGTGGAATGTTGCTGTTGTCAGGGCCCAGCCTGTGGTTGTCACACCCGCGGCGACGACGAGTTGTGCTTCGTCCTGTAGGCGGAGGGTCTCTTTCTCTGACGCCGGCATACTACCAGAGATGAGTTCTTGGAAGACAGTCGGATGGCCGGCCTTCTTCATCAAGTCATCCATTTTGCCCTCTTTCATGGCTGTGATCTGCTTGCGGAAATCCTAGCGACAGAGTGTGGCTATGAGACTCTGTATTGTTTTCATGCTCATGAGGAGGACTCAACATACAGCTTGCATTCGGAAAACCAGTGCGTACAGCGGCTCGATCTTGACGAGCACGGATTCCGGCAGCGAAAATAGCAATTTGGGTACCCAAGGACACTGAAGCGAGAGATGCCCGCTGATACTCGCTGCCATAAACGGCTCGTGTAGCGTCTTCTCGAAATTGGGCAGTTTCAAGTGATCATATGCCATTGAGAAGCAATATTCCATCACAACATCGCCGGTCAGAGCCATAAAAGCGCGATTGATGGGCAAAACTTTCTCCTCGTCCCGAAACTCACGAATTCGTTCGAGAAGAAGGTTGATTTTCTGCCGGATAATGGTCTGCAGGTCGACAATCCGAGCACGGGAGAACAAAGGGTTGAGCGCACCCCGCCGGATTCGATGCAACTCGTCAGGCCCGGTCGTGAACACCGATGTGTCACAGCCAAAGCGGCCTGCCATCCAATCATATTTATCGACTCGACCAGCTTTCGCGTACAGCGTGTCATAGAACTGTGAATCTTGGATGTGAATTTCATCTGGGACGATACGGACGATTGGTCCTTGACGGATGAATGGTTCAGCATGTCGCGAAAGGGCGACGGATCAGGGACAGCTGGACGCGAACTGACCATATCGCTTGTGATATTCCTGGACTTTGAAGGTGAATTGTCCTTTTTTCACTACCTCATAGTAGAACTCATGCCATCTGCTGATTGCCGCATATCTGGGTCCCGGGAATTTCGCCAAAGGGTGGAAGTAAAGCCGGTAGACGACCAATCCCCCGAGATAGGCAAGGTATGCGACGAGGAGGCTCGTGACAGGGTACGACAGAGCCCAGGAGATCGACATTTCTGTTTCTCTGTTGCTATTCGGGACCATCAACATAGATACACTCCAGACCGACATAAGAAGTTGAAATCGTCGTTGGGGCAGAGCTCCGGATACAGGCTATGGCGGTCCGTGAACCTGGCGGGGAGTTGCAAGTACCGGCGGATGGTGCGACTGATTTGGCGACGCGCATGGGATGGTTGCATGGCACTTATGCAACACCTTGCATCCGCGGATACTCGTACTCTGATGGTGGGGATTGTGGACTCAATGTAAGCCGTGATTGGTGAATGCTTGGAGACAATATACCGGCGCTTCATGCATTGATGTACATTAGATCTCGTTTGGTGCGGTTGAAACGAAGCCGGTGTGAGCAGAAGCAATGCCGCAAGCTGGTAAGTACCAACCACTGCCTGGACACGTGTCTTTGCATCAACCGCCTCGAGAGAGGTACATACCTGGGACGATGCAGGTCAGTTGTTTCGCTTGAAATTGGAGTATGGAAGTCTCCATCACCCTCTGACCCTGCTTGCTATCTCATCGGCTTCTGCCCGTACACAAAATGCCACCGTAGATAAAGGTGTAGGCTTTTGTCTTGAAATTCCTTCTTTACTAGCGCCATCGTGACCTGTGTCCGTTCCATGCTATGACCTAGAATTCGGGTATAGTAGGCCAGCATGAAAGACGGTATGCTTTGTATCATTTGCACTCGCATCAGTCTGCCAATTTCTTTCAGTTTGGGGTCTGTCGCCCAGGAACCGATCGGTATCTGTAGGGAGCTTAGCATCGTTCAGACTGGGAACCATGAACATACCTTGCGAATGGTCTCGGAAACTCCCTCGAATCCAGCATCTACCATCCACTGGCGGTGTTGATGCGCGACGTTCAGTCGTTTTCCAAAAATGACACTGGCTCTGTCGACCTCGCGAATCCATTCGGAACATCCAGGGGCTTTGTCCATTCCACCATCGTCGCTGTTGATCCAGCATTCATGGTCCTGCATCTCCATCCACCCCCCGGGCTCGAGATTATCGTAGGCCTGAGCATAGAATCTTGGCCAGTCCGCGATGGCTCCACATAGAGCACGGCCATGGATGAAGTCGAACTTTTCCGATTCGCTGAACATCCATTCGCTCTCCGCGTCGTCGATATAGAATTGAACATTTGGAGGGACCCAGTTTGGTTGAATGGGCGACAAATCCGTGCCGACCACAACCGCCATTGGAAATTGATCACCCATTTCAATAGCCCAGATGCCGGTGCCGGTCCCAACGTCCAGGACTCGATGAGGCTCTCTAGGTAAAGGCGCTGTGAAGAGCCTTCCTCCGAGAACCATTTTAAAAAGATGATGCAAAAGGTCGAGACGGTCTTGTTCCTCGGCGTCATTTGGGATTGGATATTCGCCGTCACGGAAAGCATGATACGTGCGGCCATTTTCGTACCGATGATTGTAAATCGACGATCGCAATGAGTGGCTTAGGACGGTCTGCGAGTCGTCGCTGAATGCAGAATCGACGTCGTCTGAAGATGCCTGGACAAAGCTGGGTTAAAGAATTCATTCGCCCACTGCTCGCAATTGTCTCGGGGAGCTCCCTCTTACATTCGAGGCGTCTTCGGCACTAACATGATCATCTTCCATCGTTGAGAATGCTGCGTCGTGGTTGAGAGCCATATTATCATAGCGGTCTCAACCGTTGTGTGTCGTGGTTCAGATGAGGACTCGACCAGCCGACAATCAAAGCAACACTTGTGCTAAGGCTTCTCGAGTGGCAGCGGCAGCTATTAACACCGGGTTGAATGTTATGATAACAGCCCCGCGCCATTGAATGAGTCGCTGAGCAAATAATGCAGCTAGGACAGTCACCATAACAGAGCCAATGCAGCCCTTGTAAGTCGGTAGCCTGACACTATGGCGACGAGGGAGGGCCGCCAGTGACTAGTACTTAGCACTTGACCGAGCGCATGAGCTAGTCTTCGAGCAGCAGCCGGGAAAAGCTGTCTTTCGGCATCAGTAGGAAATTCCTCCATCGGGCCGAACAGCGAACAGGAAGGGCCGGTAGATGCATGCTTACTTCTTCGATTGGATCCAGACCCCCTTTTACAGCGCTGACCTGTTGGAGGATGGGAGGGGTCAGGGGTGAGCCTTCGTCGACTATACAAGGTTAAGCGTATATTCTGAATCGGCCTCGTCGGTTTGTGCTCGTGTTGGCAAACGGTGCCCATGAAGGATGGAACAGGAAGAAGGATGCCTCGACAAAGATCCGGGAATATTTGGCCACATAAAGTCTGCGTCTCACGAAGGCATTCAGCGATGAAGCAGGTAATATCAGCGTAAGATGAGGCAAAACGTTCGGTCATATCACGTCAATTGCGAACCTGTTTCCATAGCTTCAACCATTCCAAAAGCATTCGGTGTCTTCTACTCGCAGCATGCCCACAAGTTTGCTCCAGCCTTGAGCTTGCTGTTATATGCATTCTCTTTGTAATAGGTGGTCACCCCAGTCGTACAGACACACGTGCCTCCAATGGTCACTCCTGAGCTTGAATATCGAGCGCCGCTGGGCCTGCACAACGACAGGGACAAATACACACACATCACAATGAACCTGAAGTGCAAGAAGTCAGTGACCGCGACGTGCAATGCTCCTTCCGTGTGCCATTCATCGACCGTGATTCACACGTCAGACATGAACAATGGCTTTGGCTTCTTGGACCTCCATCATATCCTCATTGTCATTGTTTGAACCTGCGCTCGCGCCTCGCACATCGGGTTGGGCCGTATACTATATGTTTTTTAATTGCATCTCATGCTCCGTCCTTGTCTTAATTCGCTGCATTTCAGACATACCTATCAACCGCAGCAGACTCGCAGCTGGCCAGGCCGGCCAGATCCATCTGGTGGCAAGGATCAAGCAACTATGCCTACTCCGTCACACCAGCCAGCAGATTTGACGCGGCTGTTCGACACGAATCTCCAACCGCGTCGCCGTGTTGCTGCGATAGAGCGAATGAGCCTCCTCTCCGAGTATCGTGAGACGATACGCAGGCTGTTACAGCACATGGTATTTGCCCTCCTCCTGGCAATCCGACTGTACATGCTGCCTCTCCTATACATCTCCCACAAACTCTCGGTACACGACGACCCTTGGTATCCTGCAATCTGGGATCTGATCCTGCGTCCTGGTCGGACACTAGCCAATTGCCGCCGATGCCGGAAGAGAAATGACAATGTGACAGTTTGGAAAGCATTGGCCAATGTTGGAGACGGGCTCTTTGCTCCTGTCAGAATATTCGGGAGCTTGTATGCGTTGGCCAGAATGATCGGCGAAGATCCAAATGCCTTACAATCGGGTCCGTTCCCTCAGCCAAATGCTGACACAATCAGAGATGTTGACGACCGAAGCAAGGACGAGGGCAGCGTGGAAGACCAAGGCACAGGATCGTCGAACTCTACGCTTGAAGCACCCGTTAGTGCTTCCCAGATATACCATGCAGCATTGCTCAGTAACAGCACCCTCGATGACTTGCTTGCAGCTTTTGAAGCCGACAGAGACAACCAGGCAATGGGTGGCAGTCGCGTGAGGATTGGCCACGGTCGGAATGCATATCTTTCTGCTGTACCTCGTGATGCAGCAGGTCAGATTAAGCCGCAACAATACCGAAGTCTGAGCATTCGATCTACACCTGAAGCGGTGCTGGCTGCTGGAAAGGCGGACGAACCATTTCGCAGTCGTGATATTCAGTCAAGTCCACAGGATTTTCAACCGCCCAAGTCCCCAGACAAGCGAGCCAACGCGTGCCTAGTGCAGGACCAAGGTGAAGTTCAAGAAGGCCACGAATCACCCAAGAACAGCCCTGAGTTACACACATCCATTTACACCCGTTACCTTCCTGAGGTACAGCAACCTGACGGAGGACTAGATGCGCTTGCTTTGGATCGCTGCCCAACATTTGTTCGTCGACAGGCTCAAAGCCGCCTTCCCAGACGATCGGAAAGCAAAGACAAACAAGCCCTCGCCATGTTGAAAGCAAGAGGTGCAGTGTCAACCCCTGAGCTCACCGCATCTCCGCCCACCCCGACTAAACGCGTACGGTTGCAACGAAGAGTACGACCGAGGAAGAATGTGGTGAACGCTTCGAACGACTGAATCCAGAAGCGCTGATCCAGCTCGATGTGAGGAGCACAGGGTTTAGCATTGAAATTGTGACATACAGCAGTACAGGCAGACAGCCGTTCTTCAAGGGCAACTTCAACTGCCTCTCAGCTGGATAGTGCTTTCAGGCTTCAGACAATCTTCACTGGGCCTGACAAATGGAGTGCTGTACTCCATTCCCATCGTTGACGTCGAATCTGCACTGCCCAGTTTCATCTAAGGATGTAAGGCTTGTGGCGGTCAGCGCTGGTGAGAATGATATTTCGATCCACGCCATGAAGGTAGCATTCCCCAATGACTTTCCAATGTGCACTTGGTCCCTTTGGACTTTGACGTCTGACGACGTAGGCAGTCTTGCCTCCACATAGAGCTACGACCACGTCACCCCGTCGCGTTTTGAAGGGGCCGAGCCCAAAATATCCAGTCTTGGTGACGAGAAAGCGCCGACCGTAGGCGGCTGCCTGATGGGTTTCCATGAACGCGAGTGCCTGTTGAAGCTCGTTGGGGTTGCTCTGCTGGATGTAGGCGTTCAAGTATCGCCCTCGCTCTCTCCCACCAACGCGCCAGAATCGAAGCCAAGACTCGTAGTAAGTCTGAAGGGCACTGCCATCATTCGCACCGTCAGGCAGGACGTTCGCGACGATGGTGCGAAGGTAGGCTTCCTGCACGGGTTCACCAGTAGGGTGGTGGTGAGCCGTCCCTCGAGACATATGTTCCCACTGGCGCCAGCGCTTCATCTGGTACGCGTCAGTCGTGAAATTGGCGAAGCGAGCTCCTCGCACAGAATTTCCCGGTCGCGGGATCCACTCGAGGAACGTGTCTCCAGCGCGATCTATGGTGCCTAATTCGACTCCCCAGACTTGAAGAGACGTCGAGTCTGGTGACGTGCGGGAAATGAGATTGCCTGGATTCAGTTCGGCAGTGGCGGGGAGAGGCCTTGTCAGTCCAGAGAGTGACCAGTTGGGTGCCCACGAGGGTGTTTTGTCTAAGAGGTCGACCGGGAGAGCATAGTCGCCCCAGATCTCGGTGTAGTTGAGTATGTCCAGGGATTGGCGCGTCTCGATCAATTTGGCGGCGAATGCTGTGTGTACGGCGTGCGTTGCCATATTGTAATCAGGGTTTATGAGGTTGAACGACGGAATCAGGCCCAACAAGCCAAATATCTTGTCTCTTGGATCTGTGGACTTGCTCGAGCGACTTTCCTGCAGAATCTCGAGGACAGATGTCCCAGGGTGAGAAGCGGCAGCCTTGAGACGGGCTAGGCGGATGACCTGAGACGGGTCGACATCCACAAGCATAGTGAGCGAGTGATCGTCTATGTATCTCGCTGCCAACTCCAACTGACTCCATCCACAGGATGCAGAGCCTGAGAAAACACGGGCTTGTCTAGCCAAAGAGATTTCTTGAATTATCCAGACTCGAGAGAACCAAGAGCTCCACAGAAGTTGATCAAGACTCTTCCAGACCGGATCAGATGCAACTGGCAAGTCACAAGCTTGAAGGTCATCATGCGTGTACGCAACGGTCTGGTGGTCGATGGGGTCAATGGTCCTCATTGCCGAAAGCTTCGAGATCATTGCGAAGACTTGATCTGTATGATCCATTTGGCGGCCGAGCCAGACGAGGACGCAAGACGCACGACCATATATCTCCCGCATCATTTGTACTTGGACATTTCTCTCTGCCACGTCCTCCTGGTTGATGCATAGCGCATCGATCCAGAGAACCCTCACATCTTGCTCATGCCGGAGTTCCGAAAGTGCGTGCCACGCGTTGCTATGGACTTGCAGCGAAAGGCCGTCGCATGATATTGCCGTTGTAATTGTGAGGTCCCCCCATGTATATGAAAGTGCTTCGAAAGCTGGCATGTCGTCCTCAACGTGTGTCGCCACTAGATTGCAAGTGATGAAGTCACTGACGCTCCGAGGTTGGAGATGAAGCAATCGGATCGATCCATCTGGAAGAGGGTCGTAGTTGTACGATATTTCCGAGCTTTGATCATCAGATATGCTCATTGTTTTGACTCAGTCCAACTTCAGAGGCTTACTTATATTCGGGACATTGCATTCTGCCATCCTCTGCTCGAATCTGCGGCCTTGTTCGATACGAAACGTCGAAATACTGCCATATTTAGAGACGTCAGAAGAAGGGTAGTGAAGGGAGCAAACCCACAGGAGTTATGGGGATTCTAGGAAAAGATCTAGGATCACCGTTCTTGATGAGAGACAGTTCACTGACTGACGAGGATCATGGGTCAGGAAGCAACACCACCTTCTGAACCGAGTTTGTAGTTCGAGGGAGCTGAAAGAATCCCTGAACCATTGGAAGCCGGCTGACGATGTCCACGCAGCTTGAAGATTCCACATCCATTCTGGACCTTCACTTGGGAATCCTGCTGCGCTCATAACGATCCCTCAATGGCCAGACAGTAGAGTGCATGTCTGGAGCTCTGGCTCTGTCGACCTGTTGAGGCTCACTAGACTGCCACTGAGGAGTACCACCTACAATAGGTACCTAGTAGTACCTAGGTAAGTAGAGGTGAGGGTCAGCGCCACATGGGTGGCCAGCCACATTTCACTTTCGCCTGAGCCGCGCTGCGGTTCTCGCGCGTGAGGGCGCGCCTCACTAGCCTCAATTCAATCTTGTCTCGCAGGCATTCTTTGAAGGTTTTCGCAATGCGTCAACCCTCAGTCTAAATCTATTTCGCTTTGCCCCGTGCTCATTCGTGGTCTGATTTCTCTTTTGATTGAACTCATTCCAGTAATCCCTCTTCCAAAACCATTCCCGTTCAAACACTGCATTTTCCCCTCTCAGAAGGCCTTCCGACATCATCCCCGCTGCTGCAAGTGGCGCAGCGCTCATACAATGTTAGTGATCTCCACTGGCAGCGCGAGAACCAGTCTAACAGCCTCTATAGGGAGAACTTCGAGAATATCTACCTCGACCTGTCAAGACAACCCGGCCGGTGTCGTCTAGCAGAGAGCGGACTCGGTTGGAAGCCCAGTGGAGCGAGTGAGCCTTTCACTCTAGACAGCAACCAGATCGGCGCGGCGCAATGGAGTCGAGCAGCAAAAGGCTATGAACTGAAGATCATCACCCGCGATGCCGCTGTCATTCAACTCGACGGGTTTGAACAAGATGATTTCGACCGTGTGTCGAAAGCCTTCAAGATCTGGTATGGCATCAACGTGGAGAACAAGGAGCATGCGCTGCGAGGGTGGAACTGGGGTAAAGCCGAGTTTGGACGATCGGAACTGGCTTTCAATGTCCAGAACAGACCAGCTTTTGAGATCCCCTACTCAGAAATCTCAAACACGAATCTGGCAGGCAAGAATGAGATCGCCGTCGAGTTCAACCTTGGTCCAGATGGGACACAGAATGGCACAAATGGCCACAAGCCCGGAAGCACGAAGAACCGAGGCCGCAAGGCAGCTGCAGGTCGGGATGAACTCGTTGAGATGCGCTTCTATATCCCAGGCACTGTCTCAAAGAAAGAGGTGAACGGAGAGGAGGGCAGTGGCGCCGAAGACGAGGACGAAGAGGAACAAAATGCCGCCAACTTGTTTTATGAGACCCTGATGGACAAGGCAGAGATCGGAGACGTCGCAGGCGCCACGTTTGCAACCTTCCAGGATATATTACATCTCACTCCCAGGTACGTTCTAGCCCTGTTTTTGATGTGCAATTCGCGAACGACACGCTGATCTCGTGTTCAGAGGGCGTTTCGACATTGACATGTACGAGAATTCTTTCCGCTTGCGTGGTAAGACATACGACTACAAGATCCAGTACCAGTCCATCAAGAAATTCTTCATCCTGCCCAAGAACGACGAAATGCACACGCTCATTACCCTTGGCCTGGAGCCCCCTCTCCGGCAGGGCCAGACGAGGTATCCATTCATCGTGATGCAATTGAAACTGGACGATGAAGTGAACCTGGACCTGAACATGACGGAAGAGCTCCTACAAACTAAATACAAGGACAAACTGGACGCCCACTACGAAGCCCCCATTCACCATGTCATTGCCAAGGTCTTCAAGGGACTGACGGGCAAGAAAATCATCATGCCCTCCAAAGACTTTGTCAGTCATCATAACATGAATGGGGTTAAGTGCTCCATCAAGGCCAATGAAGGATTACTTTTCTGCTTGGACAAGAGCTTCATCTTCGTGCCCAAACCCGCCACCTACGTCTCGATCGACACGATACAAAGTATTACCATGTCACGGGTCGGCGGAGCTTTGGCGGCCAGCCGAACATTTGACATCACCATGACCTTGAAGAACGGTGCGGGAGAGCATCAGTTCAGCAATATCAACCGTGAGGAGCAACAGCCGTTGGAGGCGTTTTTCCAGGTATGGATTACTGTGCATTCTTCTATCGCTGCTCGAGCTAATTATGGGCACACAGGCAAAGGGTATCCGGTTCAAGAACGAGATGCTCGACGATTCCTCGGCTTTACTGAAGGCTGCACTTCAAGACCAGGACCTTGCTTCCTCGGATGAGGACGATGATGCTGGAGTAAACCGCGGTTCTGCGGACGAGGATGATGACTCACCAGATGAGGACTTCCAAGCTGAATCGGAAAGTGATGTTGCCGAAGAATATGATTCGGCCCACGAGAGCGATGGTAGTGATGCAGCTAGCGATGCGGACATGGCTGATGCCGACGACGATGCTGCTGGCGGGAGCGAGGACGATGAGGAAGAGCAACGACCGCCAAAGAAGAAGGCGAAGAAATAGTGGCCTCGCTCTAGTGACATTGACCAGCCCTGCGGATGAGCTGGAAACCAACGGGTGCTTTGTATATCAGCATCGAGCAAGACCGGGGCCTGTAATCATAGCTTGAGTGACAATGCGCAGGTCTGCATTTCCCCAGACACATTCATGCGTGTGAATTTTAACACCTTGTCACTCTTGGCGAGCTGAACGCACTAGTACACTCTTGGCGACTTAACTTTCACCCTCTACTTAACTCGTCTTTTTTGTTTTTGTCGCCGCTTTATCTTTTTACCACGTGACAACTGTCACACTGCCTCGCCGCTTTTAGGCGAGGCAGTCTAAGCCATCTCGGTTCGGATTATATATATATCCGACCGGCTAGCCTCTACGGCGGCATCGGCGGGTTTAAATTGTTTTCGGGAAACCTGCCAGTGAGTTGCAGACAACAACGCAAACCAAGCGAACATGAGTTCGCAAAAGCCCACCAAATCAAAGTCCTCTGGGACCGTGAGGAGTCGCACAGGGTGCCAAACTTGCCGCACGCGCAAGTTGAAATGCGACGAGGTAAGAGCGCACTGAATTCCCTGCTGTTGATGATGACTGACTGATTTGTGAAATTCAAGGCAAAGCCGATCTGCGGACAATGCCTAAAGTCGCACCGTGAATGCGTGCGCTCCGAACGTCAGTTCGCCGCCACGATACAAAGAGACCAGTATGCACTGACACTCCTGACACAGCGATCACCTTCCGCCACCACCAAAACTCGAGTTTTGGCAAGGATGGCCAAGAACATTCCCTGGACAGTTTCTTCAAGTACAGCCAAACGTACAGTGAAGACGATCTGAAGGCTTTTCTCCCGGTGCCAAAGCAACGTGTGTATCTTGGCTTCTAAAATTTCTGACAAGACTGACTGACTTCGCCTTCAGTCACTTGGATTCATGTCACCGACCCGACTGCAGAAGATGCAAATGCCATCACCCCTCCTCCGTCCCGAACTCCAACCGCCTCAGACACGGTCCAGCAAGTCGCAGCCCATACTTTAGAAGCTCTGTCGACAGCAGCAGCTGATCAGACATCATATCCGCCTCAGGGCACAGCTTACTACACGACAGCAAATCCTGCGACAGATTCTCACCCTGAGTATGGATTCGTGCAGACCGAACCATCTGGGTCTACGAGTGGTGGACTCTCAAGAAACATTCACTATTACCTCAGCAACTCCTCTCCTCAAAACCACACCGACGCCTCCCTGATCGACCCAAACCTCGAGTCCACTGCGACTGCGAACTCTCAAGAAGGAGAGCAAACGGACATGGCGCGTGACGGAAAAGCGAAGAGCGAGGACAAAGACCAGAAAGACCAAGAAGAGATGACGGAGGCAGATACCAGGGTCGCGATGGCGCTCAGAACTTTTAACGAGCTGCAAGCATAGGACTCAAGGCTAATCCGAGAGACACAATAGAAGTCCTTGATGGACGTGTCATGACAGCATCATGGTCAGGTCAACATGCAGGTATCGAGTGATGATTTTCTTTATGGAGCAATGGACGGACGGCAGGCGCTAGAGCGCATTATGCAGCTTGGAACGAGCAAAGATACCCGTCAACTGATCGAAGGCACAGAAGAGAGGTGCCAAACCCTGCCGAGGCGGGTTATGACTGTACTACTAGCTTTCACACAAATGGAGAGGTGAACTGCAGGCCGAGCCATAGACAAGGCAAATTTCAATGGTTCGTTCTACTTGCGCGCTTTCCAAGACCATCTGTTCCTTGTCCCTGATGCGACTGATCATCCGAGGGGCGACGGCGGACTCAGCCCATAAAGCAGACAACAGCTCCACCCTGAAGGAAGACCTTGGGTGCGGAGTCTAGCTCGCTCCTACTCGTACATGCAGGAGACACAGGAGGTTATGCATGTCTCGCCGGTGGGTGCCGAGACACGTATATTTCACCCTGCCGAGTCCTTGGGTGCGCCCAGTCAAAACTCCACGGTCAAGGGCCGACCGGAACGACTGGCTGAGGGCTCCTGTGCCGGCACTTCCAGTAAAGGGGGGTGTCAATGAAGCTACAGAAAGGACGGAAGTAGGATTGAACGGCTGCTTTTCTTTACGCTGCGTACCTATTGTCCGTCTGCAGGGCCGATTGCGTCCAAGGGCAGGGGGAGTCATTCGTCAACGAGTCAACGACTGAGCAGATTCCGGGGTGCTTGGCCCCGAAAAAGGCCACGCAAGCCACTTTGCCAGGGCATCTGATGCTGGTACGGCTACTGGTAGTGTCGGTCGCAGACAAGGGAAAGCGAGGACGTAACTCGGCGGGATCTAGCAGCCACGTAGCTAAGGAACTCGGCTCAATCTCCTTGGTGGATGATTTCATGATGTAGCTGGAGCTCGGGCGGTAAGTGGATGAGAGCCTCTGGATCTCCAAATTGGGCCTTGCGTAGCCTCGACTAAAGAGTTTAGTTAGATAAGAGACGTCATCAACGGCAGGCGATGCCTCGCCCAAACAAAACTTGGAAGTCTGAAAGTCTAGCAAAACAGTGACGCTTTGTGGCTTTCTGGCAGATCTGGAAGGCTTGGGTTTTGCCTGATTCTGTTCTAGTCTGAGCGAAGTGGCCGGCGTATCGCATATCGTGGTGAGCATCGCCTGGCGAGGGTTTTGGAGGGGCGCTTTAGGTGCCCACTTAACTGAGGATTTAGTTAAACAACGTCCAAAAGCAAAGTAGAAAAAGGTGAACCACTGCGACACGGCGAGAACGGATACCACCCACACCACATCACCACATCACCTGCGCCCCAGATCAGTAGTACATCTCTCTTGTTGTTTCCACTTCCTTGTTAAACTCCCTCATTTTGTCTGTTGACTGCTTGCTCAACGCAGCTGTCTTTCCGTTCACTCATTCCCTGTACATCTACTGCCATCAGCAGTGCCACAAACCCGGCCTTCCATTACCCGCCGAAATCGTTCTTTCTGGGCGCCACCTTATCATGGCAAGCTGAACGATACCTTTTGTTTTTCTCCGACAAGGCAAAACGCACAAGTGTGGTGGTGAGGCCACCAGCTACCTCTCGTGAATCGCACGCTGCACGGTCCTCTTCGATCTTTCCTTCCGCAATCGAATCCAGGCCCGAGCGGCAGGTGCAAGTTCCATCAGGCTAAACACAGACAACATTGTCAACATGGGCCGCCTTCGCAACCTCTCCGAGAGCTTCAGGGCTGCGGCATTCAGCAATTCGACCCTCTCCATCCCTTCGCTGGCCAAGTCCTCTTCCCCCGGCCACACTGAAGTCGTCGACAAGGACTTACCGTCACCGGCACGGTACCAGGACTCCCCAACACCCACCGAAACCCCTCAAACCACCCCTCGGACAGACCGGGTTGTGTCCCGCCCAACGTCCATGGTGTACACGCCTCCGTCAATGGAGTTGGACAGAGAAAATCACATCGAGGAGTTGAGACCGGTGTTCAGGTACGCCTGGCGGCCTAGTTATATGAGAACCTAGTGCTGACGCTCCCACTAGCTTCCTCTCAAGTCACGGCAACAAGCTCTATCAAGAAGGTACTTATTGCTTACTTGTAGGATCAACACGTCCCGATGCTGATCATCTCGTGCAGGGTACTTTCTCAAACTGAATGATCTTGACACTCGTGAGTGCTGCCGATCCCTCTAGTCCTCGCTCATTGACTAACTTTTTGAAAGATGGAAGACCCAACGCGGATCGCAACTGGACTGAATGCTTTGCTCAACTGGTGGGCACTGTACTTTCGCTTTGGGACGCGGCTGCTTTGGACACCGCTGGTCAAGACGGAGAAGTGGCTCCCACATTCATCAACCTGGCGGATGCCTCCATTAAGATGGTACGATATACAGCCGCCCTTTCATGGTCGTCCTGATTCTGAGTCATTGGCAGATCGAGACGCTCCCTACACGAAATCCCGATGTTCAGCCTTTACAGAATGTGCTGTCGATATCCACAGCAGGAAAGAATCGCTATTTGCTGCATTTTAACTCGCTGCATTCTTTGACACAGTGGACGGCTGGCATCAGACTCGCAATGTTTGAACATGCCTCGCTCCAGGAACTTTATACGGGCTCCCTGATTGCCGGCAAAGGAAAATACTTGAACAATATCCGAACGATCATGGAATGGACAAAGTTCAAGGTGGAAGATTGGGCCCGTGTTCGATTTGGTGCTGGCACTCCATGGAGACGATGCTGGTGTGTGATAGAGCCTCCCGATGAAAAAGAATGGCAACGGTCGAACAAGTCTTTGAAGAAAAAATCAGCGTACGACAAACCCTCCTTGCCAAAGGGGGTCATCAAATTCTATGATACCAAGAAAACTAAAAAGGCCCTGCCTATAGCGACCATTACCGATGCATATTCGGCATATGCCATTTATCCCCAGTCGAAACCGTTGATCGATCAATCCACCCTGGTGAAAGTCGAAGGCCGAATCACGATACACTCAAAACCAGAATCGAAGACTGAAGGCTTTGTTTTCGTTATGCCCGAAGTACACCCCGCAGTCTCAGGTTTTGAGATGATGCTTCGTTGGCTTTTCCCAGTTTACGACATTTTCCATCTCTATGGCCGTCCTCAGCGATTGATCGCCGACACATGGGACACCCGAGGCCTCATGTTTGCGATGCCGCGAGACCGGAGATACGGCTATCTCGATATCATTGACGTTGCAGCGCTAATCCACTCTCAAGGTAGTGAAAAATGGAGCGAACGCGAATGGCGTAAACAGTTGAAAGAGGCCACCTCCAAGCGAATGTCAATGACCGCGCAGGGACGGTCGAGCAGCAACTTGGAGAACCGGCGAGCAAATCGAGTGTTTTCGGAATCGAGGCAAGGTGTGCACTACTACGACGATGCCGACTCGGTTCGTTCGTCGCCACCTTCTCGACACCAGCACAATCAATCAACGGATGCAGTGTTTGCTTCCCCTAAGAAATCTGCGACAGCCCCTGCGAACATCGCGTATCTTTCGCCCGGGCAAAATCACCATTCGAGGTCTGTATCAGAATCCGTTGCGTACATGTCGCCGACCCAGAATCGTCGCCAGCACGAAAATTACAATCCATCTAGATTGTCCGCTGAATACAGCGAGATGGAGCCTATTCAGCCTCCCCCGGCTCCTCCAGCTCATCGAAACCCATTCAAGAGCAACGCCATACATAGTGAAGTCGAAACATCAGACAGCCGGTACAGCTCGGATAGCGACGGTCAAGGGCCGCGGACTCATCCGGAAGATATTCAAGAAGATGTGGGGGAAGCAACACCGCCTGCACCAGTGGTGGCTCCCCCAGAGATGCAGCATCAACACAGTGACGTCCCACAGAGGCGACCTGATGTCCGGCCAGACTTGAGACGTGAGAGAAGTCGCATGTCAAATGGAACATTGTCTCAGATTGTCGATGTGAATAAACTCGCGAGCGGTGGGGCGGCGGGGCATGCAGCGTTGGTGGCGTGGAATAATGGCCTGCAAGGCGAGAATCAGGGGCCTCGAGGGGTAAATGAGACCCCTCGCGACGAAGAAATATCTGCTAATCAACATGTGTCTCAAGAAGTGGTAGCAGAAGGTGCTTATATGCCAAACCCTGCTGATGTCAGACCAGAACCTCCTCGGCTCCCTACCGAACATTCAACAGCCTCAAAACCAATCCATCGAAAGCCGGTCCCGACCACAAAAACAGCTTTCTTAGCGCCATCATATCGTGCTCAGTCGCCCGACAGTATGTCCAAATATTCAGCCTCGAGCTACGACAGGGCGCAGAGCAGCTCACCAGACTATGACAGCCTTCCTGAGAACGATGATCGTCCCGTCTTTAGCAGAAAGACCAGGACAGGCGTCTTAAAAACTGTCGGAGATCCTCAACTATCTGGTAACCAACAAGATTCGGTGAAAAGCGACGTACCTGCCGTTGACTTTGGCATGACCTTTACACCAAGCTTGACTCCGGGGCACAGTCGCCCTCCGACGGCTTCTGGGATCACCGGTGGGATTACCGGACGGCAGTCGCCATTCGATCGGCCCTTGACGGCTCCCGCAACCCCGTTGACCAGATCTCCTCAGGAAGAGCGAGCCTCTCCAACCCACTTGACTCCTAGCGACGAGCAAAGATCTCCGTTGGCCGGGAGGGACAGCCCCAGGGGAAATCACTCTCGGTCGTCGAGCTATGCCTGGCATCCTGGATCGACCTTGGCGAGACACAACTCTATGGGAGGTTTAACAGCTGAGGAGTTCGTCCAACAACGCGCTGTCGCTGCAAGGGTTCCACATGGCTATGTCCCTCACCGGAGCGTTTCCTACAGCAAAGTCGAGCAATCTCCGAACAAACTGCAGAAAAAAAGAGATTCAATGCTCCGATCCAGCTCGAGACAATCATTGTTGGTCGATCCATCATCGCATTTATCGGCCCGGGAGCAGGAACATGTTGCAAGGATGACAGGCGGTCCACTGATTCAGGTGATTGACAGAAGCAGGACGCCAGACCCGTTAGTCGGGCTGATTGGGGCGATTGAGGCACGAGAGCAGGAAAGGAGAAATATCAAAGAAGGGGTCGCCGGTCATATGGTCCAAGAGGCCATAGCGCAAAGGCAGGCGGCGGAGCGCACCTACGGAAGCACCTACGGAGTGCAGCAACATTCCGCTTACAATTCGCCGGTCGACGTCAGACAGAGTGGTCAATGGATCAACGCCCAAGCGCCTGCGTACTGGACTGGTACCGTGCCACAACAGCCGCAGCAAGTCTGGTCAAATCAGCCGGGTTGGCAGTATGAACCACAGACTCAGGTCCAGGGACAGCAAATGCAACAGATGCAGCATCAGCAGCCGAACCAGATGTATAATGCGAGATTCAGTGGATATTATGTGCCACCTCCTGGCCATGATGGGTCACGGTAGACGGGCATTTTGATGGGGCGTCATGGGTAAATTTTGCATTGCAAGCGGGTGATTTTTGGCATGGGTGGGCGCTGAGCGATACACCTTTGCAGAGGGCATTTATCCGGGGTTGCATAGAATGATAAGAAGGTCCAAAAGTATAGGAGCTCCTTCCTCAAACGGCCAAGGTCAAGCTAGAGGCAGGCTGAAGAATAATGATAATGACTCCTTGCATTGGCTATGGTCAGGACAATCCCACGGATTGCGGCCCGGATTTGGACAAGCGAAAGGCATCAAGCGAGAAGACGGAGTCTCGCTTTATGCGCATGCGTCTGCATGCATGACCCCGTATCTGAAGTCCTCATCAAATTTCTAGGGGCTGGGGGGGTTTGGAGGCTTGAGAGATTCACCTGAGAGATGAAGCACGTGGCAGGAGTTGAAGGTGCAGTAGCTCTGCCTTGATTGAGGAAAGCGAGGGGAAGCACCGCTCGGGACCAGTGTCCAGGCAGGCACGCCTAGCCAGTGGCTCACAGGTCCAGCCATTGGGCCATTAGCTTTAGAGGGTCCTGGAAGGCTGGAAGGGGGTCCCTTGTTAGCAGTAAGTTAGCACACTGGGCCACTGGCACCCCCGGGCACCTGGGCTCCTGCCCGCGACGGAATGCGATCGGGAACCTCCAACTCCGTCAACTCATTGTCCTCCAACAGTTCCAAGAACATCGCGATTATAGTGCATTTTCATGCCAACTTTATTATCTCACATTCGCTACTCGGTACTCCCTTCAGAACAACACCTCAGCGGACTTCCTTGCACTCTCTTCACTCGCTCCTTCCTGTCTCTTGCGTTTCCGCGCCCAAGATACTTTACCTCGCACCCATCTCACAGTCACAGCCGGCCTGCTGACTGAGAAATCGGGGCCTCCCGTCTAAGCAAAGCAATTTCTGAACCTCTCCCGGTCCACGTACGCAGTTGTCGGTTGTCCGTTTACCCCCTGCGACGTCTGTCTCCCCTGCACGATACAAATCGCTGCAGCCATTGTGTTCACCATGGTCTAACTACGGTTTCGTTGACACCTGACGCCATGCCGTTGCGAACTCTACTGCCGTCGAAGCCTGCATCAGGTCCTCTTCACCGGAGACATAGCAGTATCGTCGAAGATCCCCCCTCGACTTCGGCCAGCAGCAATGGGCCGCCCACTCGCACTCGCAGTCGTGGTAGCTCATTGAAGAGACTGAGTTTGAGTCTGTCGCGGACAAATGAAGAACCCTTCCCTCCATTTTTGACGCAGGATCTCGAAGGACTTCCCTCCCACCAACCCTCTGTCCAGCCTGATGGGCCTTCCCACCAACCTGACCTGCCAAAGAGTGCCAGCACTCCGATAACCAGATCATCCACGCGGATTGACGGAGAAGCAAGGAACGGGCTTCAAAATGACCTCGACTCTGGTCCGTTGCCCATGCCTCAAAGACTGTCACTCTTGGGATTGAGGCATGCGTCGGACCCCCAACTGTCTACCAGATTCAAGAACGAGGAGATCAGTCCTTCGAATGATGTCCCACGTATGTATCCTTTCTTACATCTTGGTGCACTTGTTGCTAATGTCTCGTCGTGCAGCGCCCACTATTATCACGACCGCGCCTACGACAAACGAATTCGACGAGCCTATCCAGAAGCCATCGAAGCGAAGATTGTTTGCCCGAGCGCCAAGTCCTTTTCGGAAGAGTCACAGCTTTAGACGCACTATTCTAGACCCTTTGAAGAGTACAGCTACAGAAGATGGGCAGGATGAGAAAGGGAGCTTGGCAAAGCCAGGGATACTAAAAGAATCCACCTCTTTTGAGCGCCTCCCGCGACCGAAGACTGGTCATTCTGGCGGGGAGCCACCTGCGTACGGTGACGAATCTTCGTCCTCGCTGGCGATCCCCATTACGAGACTGTCGGAATCGTCTCGATCAGATGACAGTTCTGGCGACCACCACGTCTACGCAAAGACCACCACTACACACACCATCTCTACCACCACCACCTTCTTCAAACTCAAGAGGCGGAAGAAGAACAAAGGTCCACTATTTCCGCTGCCCGAAAAGTTTGCAACGCCTGCCTCTGGCCGAACCACGACTTCGCACACCCCTCAAGAGTCCCTCTTCGGGAGAAAATCCATGTCGCCGAGTAGGAGATCAAACACGGCCGTCAGATTTGATACTGAGCCAAGTCGACATGGTTCTGCAGTTCCTTCACCGACTCATTCTGCCGTGGCACTTACCAATGCTCCATTTGGGTCACCGGGGGCCACCATCGTCCGACAAGACTCCAACTGGTCCACACACTCTGGTCAATCAACTCCGTCAGTGACTCTTATCCCTCCGCGAGTATCAGGGAGAGGACGGTCCTCAACCCTGAGTTCGCTGGGAAAATCGACCGAGAGGTTATCTGACGCAGGTCCTCAGCCAGCCTCAACGCGTACGTCGACATCGACGAGTGGCAGGAGAAGCTTTGGCGACCTGTTGTCTCTTCCTCACAGACTACGGCAGAATTCTGCACCACCTACGCGCCCAGGTGCCGGGTCAGCTCCAGGAACGCCAGGCTCGAAATCCAACTCGTTACATATTCCTCGAGAACCAGAACCAGAGCGTGTGTATCCCAAACGAGAGGATGGCGATACGCCGGCTAGTTATCTGGAAAAACTCGAAGCGGCAGTCCCCAGAGGCGCGATGGCATCCATTCTTTGCAAGAGCGGAGACGACTTCTCCAAAACTTGCTTGCGCAAGTACATGCGTGGCTTTTCCTATTTTGGCGACTCCATTGACATGGCCATCCGTAAAATGTTGATGGAAGTAGAGTTACCCAAGGAAACTCAACAGATTGACCGACTCCTGGCCGGGTTCGCGGACAGATACTACGAATGCAATCCGGGAATCTTCTCCTCGACTGACGAAGCAGCTTTTGTTGCGTTTTCCATCCTTCTCCTTCACTCGGACACGCACAATAAGAACAACAAACGGAAGATGCAGAAACAAGATTATGTCAAGAACACCCAACAGGGGCCGGTTCAGATCTCAAGTGACATCCTCGATTGCTTCTACGACAATGTGTGCTACACGCCCTTCATCCATTTCGAAGACGAGGTCGCCGTTAACAGTCACCGTCTGTCGGCGCCCAAGCCGAAGAGAAGCTTAATCAAGACTAGAAGCCTCGAAAGCCTCCGCGGTCCTGTCGATCCCTACACTCTGATCTTGGACAACAAGCTGGACGTCTTGCGGCCGTCTCTGAAAGATGTCATGGATACAGAGGACTGTTATTGTTCCACAGGCACGTCTGGTGTTCTCGAGACCGATCATCATCATAGAGCCTTTGTGAACTCAGCCGTGTTGCAGATCGTGTCTGCCAGGTCGAGGCCAGATGCTTTCTTATCTCAAGTCGGCATTAGCAATCCTGGTGAAGCGCAAGCTGGGCTGGTCAGCATCAAGGTGGCAAAAGTGGGATTGCTCTGGCGCAAGGACCCAAAGAAGAAGAAAGCCAAACGCCCGTGGCAGGAATGGGGCGCTATTCTGACCGACTCGAAGCTCTACTTCTTCAAGGATGTCGGATGGGTCAAAAAGCTGATGGCGCAATATGACGCCCATTCCAAGTCCAGCAACAGGTCTGCTTCTCTCGTCTTCAAGCCGCCGCTGACTTCTTTCGACCCGGACGCGCTGATGTCTATGGATGATGCCGTGGCGTTACTGGATTCGAGCTACAAGAAGCACAAGAATGCCTTTGTTTTCATCAAGCATGGTGGTTTCGAAGAAATCTTCCTGGCTAACAGCGAGGTCGAAATGAACGACTGGATTGGCAAGCTCAACTACGCAGCCACTTTCCGCACCGCCGGAGTGAGGATGCGTGGGCTCCTGGGATCCAACTATGAGGCCCGTCATCTTGTTCGAAAGGACTCTGATTTCTCAACCAAAAGCGGAGACACTCCACAAAAGGACAAGAGGGGCGACTCTCAGATGGCATGGGAGATTATGTTCTACCGCCGGCAACTGATCAACGAGAAAATCAGCGACTTCGACGAGAGGATTGCAGTGGCCCAAAAGGAACTCGACCATCTCCTCCGCAATGCGCGGCACCTGCTCATCCTGCTCCCCATTCAGCAGAAGACTCGTGAATTTCTTGTTTTGGCTGCTGGCCGGATGTCCGCCAAATTGAAGTGGACTAGGGTGGAACTTTGGAGAACGAGAACTCACCGAGACATTCTCTTCAAAGACCTCGAGGAGGAGGGCGCCACTGCGTTCCCTGCTCCCAAAGGATCATTGACCACGACGCCTCAGAAGACAACCCCTCTAAAGACGGGCCAGGCAGATCTTGGACGAACCATCACCGACACGAGCCACGTCACCTTGTCACCGATCAGTGCTACTTCCTCGAGGCCGTCCAACATCATTGAGAAGCTCAAGACGTCAGAAAACGTCAGTATGCGAACTGACCACAGCACGGTCGATCTTCCATCGACCACCAGTCCATCCTTGTCCGCAGAGCCGTCTCTATCAAGACACGAAAGCATTCAAGATTCTCACAGTCTTTCACACCAAGTGTCGTCCACCAGTTCCCGTCATAGTCGAGATAAAGACCGGCTTGCACGTGGGGCGGATGATTCTGAGGAGCGCGTCTTGCGTGAAGCAGGGCTGATGCATGTGGACGGTAATGTTGCCCGCGATAGGAGGCCCGACACCAGTGAGTCGGAAAGAGACCGCGTTGGGGCCATGGCCGGTGCAGCTGAGCCTTCGTCCAAGACGGGAAGTGTCCGCCGAAGTCTCCAGCGCAGCTTGCGCGAGCCTCATCATCCCCATCATCCCCACCACCATCACCAGTCCCCTAGTGTCCATCGCCATAAGAAGGCTAAGGAGTCGGGCTCTAGTTTGGCTACGACGGAGGATGGAGGCAAGTCGGTGCACGGTGAAGCTGAGGAATTGAGGCGAGGCGCAGGCAGTTTCATACTGCATGGCAAGAAGGCCAGTGTCATTACCATGTCTCCAGAATGGCAGCACATGTCTAACGAGGAGAGGCTGAAGTTGAGAAAGGCCGAGCGGGAAAATGAAGAGGCGGTTGATGGCAAGGCTCCCGTATCTACGACACTCTACAATCGAGACGCGACCTTGGGTACGGCGAACAACGCTTCTTCGACCCACGAAGAGGAATGGGATGACCGGTTTAGGTCGCCTAACTCGAGTCGGAAGCAAAGCTTTGCGACCACGTCAGGGGAACAGTTTGTGGATGCGGAAACTGGGGAGGGTGATGGTGCTGCCGAGGCGGCTAGTGGAGAGGAAGCTGAAAGGAAGTGAGACAAGGCTCAGACGAAGCTTTCCCAGTCACGAGAGATCCTGGTGGTTTGGAGTGGGCTAGAGGGCGACCAGGGCGATGGATGATTGTCACGACTAACGGATCATGTTCCAAGGGCACGACTTTAGAGGAATGGGAATTCGAAACCACGGGACGTGGGTCATGTAACGCTTATGGAGGGATCTGGCGCAGGTGAGACGGGATAGATGAGCATCAGATGAAGCGAGACACTTTGCCGTGACCTAAATGGGAAAAGTATTTTATTCTTGATCGTATGCTCTGCGGCCTCTGTACATGACCATGATTCCAAAGGCAATGGATGCCAGCAGCACGAGGGATGAGGTGGTCCTTGACGGGGAATGTAGACACCTAGATATGTGTCTTTACAAGTCAGTCCTGGCTGTTTTCGTTTCCAACAACCCCCAAAGATCCTGTACGCCGATACCATGTTCACCAAGAACTGGCTTGCTGCCGAAACTCGAATGGGCGGTATCATGCATTCTCGCTCTAAACCAGAATATCAACATCACCAAATATCAAATCATGTCTCAATTGGATCTAGCATTCACGCCTGCTATCTGCTCTCGTCTGCGACCCCGCCAGCGTTAATCGCCCAATGTCAATGTCAATGTCAATTTCAATGTTCAGTGTCAATGTCAAGTGTCAGCATGAAGAAGCCAGTAACTGTGATGGACCATTTAGTATCAGCAACAATATCCCCAGCAATTCCCCCCTTTTCCTGGCTTTTTTTTTTTGAGAAAATTTAAGCCCACATAGATACATCACAACGTATGCACCTCGTCCAACGGATCCCTCCGCCTCCCCTCCTCCCAGACCTTGTCTACGATCGCCATCCTCTCCCCGCTTCTCGGCTTGAGGTCAAACACAAACGGCCGGGGCTGCACGTTGAACCCGGCCGTGTAGTCGTACAGCGGCACGTCGACGTCGGGACGTTTCGAAATGTGCGCGGCCCAGGCGATGCGCGCGACCAGCAGATGCAGCGAGTTCTCGGCGATGTTCATGCCGGGGCAGATGCGGCGGCCGAAGCCGAAGCACGAGTAGTTTTGCAGGTTGGGGAATTTGGACAGGGGTTCGCGGAACGTCGGGAACGAAGCGTCGAGCCACCGTGCGGGATTGAAGGATTCGGGGGACGGGTAGAGTTCCGGGTCGCGGTGGATGGCCCTGTAGATATACCCAGGTAAGGGGATGGTTTTTTATGGGAAGACAGAGAGAGAGGGAAAGGGAGAGGGTGGAAGAGAAGAGCAGGGAAGAGCATGGGATCGTATCTTACCACTGGTTCGCATGCACGTTGGTCCCCGCCGGCAGGAAATATCCATTGTACACGTCGTCCTTGACCAGCTCGTGCGGCACTCCTCCAGCCGTCACGGGCCGCCAGCGGAGCACCTCCTTGATCACAGCCCGACAAGTCGGCAGCGAGGGGATGTCGCTGTAGTCCGGGCAGCGGCGGTCGCCGACCACTTGGTCAACCTCGTGCTGCATCTTGGTCTGCCACTCCGGGTGGTGGCACATGCAGAGCACAAACGACATCATGGCCGCGGCGGTGGTTCCTGCGCCGGCCTCGAACAGCGTGCCGATGACATAGGCGCCCTCGTCGTCCGAGAGGCCGAACTCGGCCTGCCTCTCGAGGAACGTGCGGGAGAAGCACCGCGGACCTTTGTCGGCCTTCATCTGCTCCCGCACTTCCAGCAGCAGGCCGCGGAACGTCTTGATCTCGAACTCGTGCAAGCGAGCCGCTTCGCGCTTGAACGGCGCCAGCCACGTCGGCAGGTACATCAGGACGGGAAACGTGTCGACCAGGTATGCCCCCGGCGAGGCGACCCGCTCGACCGTGTGCACGATCTGGAGGATGTCGCGCACGTACTCCTCGTCGCCCGTGTCGACCGTCTTGCCGTAGCATAGCCGCATCACCACCGCCGCCGCGTATCTCTCAAACAGCTGTTCGTACTTTTCGGGCGTCCGCAGCAGGTCGTACAGCAGCCGCTCCGACTCGTAGATCTGCACCGGTTGGTAAGACGTGGCCGACGCGTGCATCGTCATGTTGTGCATCACTTTGCGTCCGCGGCGCCATAGCTCTGTTTTTGGGGGAACACCGCTCTTTCGTTAGTTCTCCAGTATATAGCCTGGGGTTATGAAGTTATGTACCAGTGGGCAGTGTTTTCACGCACCTCCATACGGCAAAAATAGCGGCCTCAAATTCCGCGACATCAACCTCGCGGCCATGGGCAGCTGTTCTCGAGACGAGTACAGGTTCCCCCGCTCCCGCAAGAGGTCATTGGCGATCTTCTCGGTCGACACCATGACGAGGTTTCGGCCGAAGATGGAGATGCGGTAGATGGGGCCATATTGATCGGCCCAGGCTTTGAACTTCAACCACGAGTGCTGCGGCGGGATGTCTAGGAGATTGCCCACAAACGGCTTGCCTGATGCAGGATCGCTCGATCAGATACATAATTGGGACAAAGATATTTCTTGACCTTTTTGGGAATCAAGAGAGTAGAGATGAACAGGGAGACCTGAGCACAGCGGGGCCGACGTACCCTTTGGACCGGGAGGCAATTTGGCGTTGGGAGGGATCTTCCAACGGTTAGAGTATTGCTGGATGAAGACGCCCACCAGCAGAAGGACAATGGTGCCAGCTGCGAAGAGTAACGAGGCCATCTTGTTGCTGTTGCTGATGTTGTTCCTGTTTGACCTCGGTCGAGACACCTTGGAGGGAACATGTCTTGTTCGGGTTACGCAGTATGTAGATATATATATGCTTTCTTTCCTTGCAGATGGAGCTGGGGTCAACAGGTTTGAAGCACACCATGTCTTCCCCTTCTCAGCTTAGCCCTCTTGCTTGACTGTGCTCCTCCGGCCGGCCCCCTCTTACCAGGCACCCAGCAGGCGTCCTATTGGAGTCTTCGGTAAGCATGCATCCTTAGCGCACCTGGATGGCACCGACTCCCGCATCATAAGGAAGTTTGTCCGTTGACCCAGGGCAGATCTGGGTCAATACAACATGTCATCAGATTGCAATCTCCATCCCATAGGGCTCCCTTCTGACATCGTATCTGTTTCGGCAGAACGGCGATGGACCCTTGCGTGAAGCCATAGATATCCTCAGGAGCTCGGCGACGCTGCTGGGTCCGCCTCCGGTGTTTGTTCAATGCACGCCTCGGAACTGGAAAGGCTGGAAAGACCCCAAAGCCACCCATGGGGAAGGGCCTGGGGGACCTCTACGAGGTACTCCGTACGGTTCCATGGGGTTATCCCGAAGCGCTGGGGGTGCACGCTGCAGAACAAGCTTGGGGCGGACTGTGCCCGGGACTATAAATTCCCAGGACCTCGGATTTGCGCAGTTCCCTGCCATACCTGTGATGAGAAAAGAGTGGATAGGTCAAGGCCTCTAGTGATCAGTGAGCGGCCGATAGTATAGCAGAGAACACCCCAAAACCACTTTCATACTAGATGGATGTACGCTTGTCCGCGGCTTGTCGGCAAAAGACGCAATTCAATGTAAGCTTATCATACCCAGTAGCTGACTCATGACGCCTCCATCGTATCCAGGCAACGTGAATCCAAATAACACAAGGACGCTAGGCTTGTGAGGGATGAGCGAGGCATCTATGCTGGGCCTGGGGGCTCCGAATGCTGCGCGATATCCCTAAAGAAACAGGGCAGGCACCCAGTTTACAGAAAGGCTGCCACGATGAGATAGAGATCAAGGCTCATCAGCCCTGAGGTGACATATATGATGCACAATGCCCCTGGCACGCGCTGTCTCCTGTAAGACTTGAAGTGTCAAGGGAGCAGTCGGCGCAGGTTCCCCTGTAAATCGGCCCCAGGCTTAATGCAAAGCGCGAGACAGGCAGACTGCACGGTGTTTTGAGATACTGGGCTGTGCTGAGGTCTTCGTTCCTCAATCTCGAACTTGGCATCTCGTACTTTCTGTGAGGTCAACCTCTGTGTCACCTTTCTTGCTGCGGCATTCGACCTATGTCAGCATCAGCTTGATTCACAAACACAGGCAGCTCCAGGAACGGAACAAGTGACAATCATGTTGTGACATGACATGGATGGCTTTCTCAAGGCTGGAGCAGCATCGCAGATGACGCTCAAGCTGCTGATTCACAGGGGCTGGGCTTCCTACTCACCTCACATGTACTGCCTACATTCCCTGTCGCTCCATTCCCAGAATGTTTTTGCAATGCCATTCCCGCCTTCTTCCACACTCTTGCAGCTCTCCCTAACATCGGCCCTAACATCCAACACGCGGCCCCAAGGCCCGATGTAGCAACCGTTCGCTTCAGTGCTCACATCCTCCGAAAACCCAGAGAAGAGTTCTGTGTACGCACCGAAAATAGCGGGATACAAAATCAGATTCTGCATCATCCTGCGCGTGGGTGACACATAGCGTTGCAACTCGGTGCGAAGATTTCCCGGATTAAAGCATGTGCTGACTATACTTGGACCTTGGGTCATGGACCGTTTGCCATATTCTGAAGCGTAGAACAGATTACCTGCTTTGCTGATGGCATACAACTTTTGGGGATCGGAAAGAGGGAGAGCCGGAGCACCGTCCGAGTTCAAGGATATTCCGTGTTTGGGTGAGTAAAGGTCGATCACCACGGAACCGGCCCATGACACCCGGACTGTGTTTGGTGGTGAGCCTGCTGCCGTGGAACTAAGGATGGGATGGAGGAAGTGTGTGAAGAGCCAAGGACCAAGACAGTTCGTGACCATGTGCAACTCATGGCCCTTGACATAAGCGGAAATGTTAGCTCTGTTGGGGTGATTCGATCGAAGAAAAAGGGACCAGACAAGTCGGGAGTCACAACGAACCTGAGTGCCCTGGGACCCGGCAGGTGCCAACATGACTCCTGCATTGTTGCAGAGCCAGTCCAGTCTCGTCTCTTGACGGAGAAACTCATCCGCACTGGCTTTGATCGAGGCCAAATCGGCAAGATCGAGCTTCAGAAATCTGAGCGCGCCCTTCGGTTTCGTCTTTGAGCCGATTGACTCGACGATGGACGAGATGGCATGCTTGCATTTGTCCTCTGATCTCCCAGCAAGATAGACTGTCGCATTGTGTTCATACAGAATTTTGCAAACTTCGAACCCAACCCCGGCATTTCCTCCCGTCACGATACACACCTATTAGGGCGCCCTGGGTTAGAACGATCATCCTGCGCGGAAAGTCATGTCGGCCAACAAAGCGTGAAATGATATGGACGCCGTGCCAGAATTTGCACGTACTTTTCCAGTTTGGTCAGGTAGGTTTTTCTCAGAGAGTGGAGGTTTGGGGATGAAAAACGACTGGGCCAATGGTCCTCCGCGACTGAATGTGTGCCCCATATTTCTACAATGAACTGAAGTCGTGGTATATGGCACTCGATGGACGAAGCAGTAAGTCGAGGTTCGACGGAGGTGAAGGAGTCTGAGTTGGCACGATTGAAATCGCATCTGGGGTTGTTGCGGTAAAAAAGGTCAAACGGTCATCGAGTTGGAAGTGCCAGATGGGTTTCATTGCGCGGCGACGAAGTTCATCTCGTCCAATCGGATTCCGGCTTCGGAGTTCCGCATCAAGGTTATGCCGGACTGGCCCACCGAAGCAGAGCCTCGCATCCATGTTTGAAACCAGTAACACCCAATATCCTGCTCAGTGCTCACTCCCCTCGGAGACTGAAATCGAGCCATATCCTGCCCCGGAACTCACCCGCTCCCAGTATCTCCCCACTTGATGAACGCCTCCGAAGGGTCCGAGCTTTCGCTGGGTTTCTTCCAGGGAGATTTGGCGTATGGACAACTTGACGGACCCCCTGGGAAATCCAAGCAGTCATGCCCTAGGGGCAGCCGCAGAGGCTTCGTACTCGTTTGTGTGAGTTTAGGAGCGAACAGATCTTCATGGATAGCGTGAGCGCTTGTTAAAGCTGGCCCATACCATTTCTTGGGGTCTTCAAACATGCGACACAAGTATACTAGATAGTGATTGGATGGGTTGTGAATACTGGCCAGGACGTCTCGAAGCTTCGCTGCGAGGGATCCGAGGTAGTTTCTGAGATTAGCCATGGTCTGGAGGAGGTTGGTATCCAACAAAGGGGCATCAACCCCAGAGGAAAATCTTCCGAGAACAAGCATGGCGTAGAGCAACCTCAAAAGGTCAGGCGTAGTGTACCCGAGGATATCAGCCGTTGGGAGAGACAAGAAATGGTCCAAGTATTCCCTCGTGGCTTCCAAACATCCGAGTAAGCAATTGTGTCGAGTGGTCGAATCATACCATGATGAACTCGATCCGGAAACAGGCACGCTGAATGCTGAAGGTGGTTGGGCGTGGAAGCCGATCTCTCTTGCGTAAATCTTGATCGCACGATAAGAAGAAACTAGCTTAGCTGTCGTCTTGTGTCAATATAGCAGCTCACCTGCAAGCTGGCAATGCGCTCACCATTGTTCCACACATTGAATGGAAGTGCTGACCGTAATTGTTCAAGCTGTTGTTCGAATTTGTTGCACAGAATCTCGATCTTTTCGACGTTGAGCTCGTCTTGTCGATCGGGACTGTCATATTTGAATGCCTGGTTGATGTCTTCCTGAAGACGCTGTAGATGGACATAGGAAGGAAGAAGTGCATCGGACGCTGCGGCTCCGATCCCTGCAAGCAATTCGCTGCACCCACTGATATAAGGGCTGTGTGGCAAATTGTTTGGCTTCCTCATTGCGAAGCATATCCTAGTATAAGAAGATCAGCCGGTCACCACGTCCTCAAGCTGATCAAAAGGGGAGCGTACGACGAAGACAGATAATAGCACCCGAGAAGCGCCCTCCGTCCTTCGACTTCGTCCGGGGCCAGTACGGACTTGGTCCGAAGCTCTGGGACAAGACTTGCCGGATTGACGGGTAGTTCCTGCCGCACGGGTCTGTCCAAGCAAAGATCAAGAGCTAAGGAATTGGCCATCTGCACGAGCTGATACAACATTTGACGTGCGGGATCAAATTGGAAATGATACCTATTTCGCCGAATGAGTTGGGTTTGGGGATGCTGTAGCCACTGGGCTCACCAGTTCACGTAGACCAGAAGACCCTGCAGGAGATCCAGACTCTTCTCACGTTCCACAATCAATCTTCGACTCAATGACTCCCTGAGCTCGGCTTCCAGTTTCGCCTGCAGTGCTAAATTCCACTGCGCAGCAAAAGTAAGGATGGAGAGGAGAAGAAATGGCCTTCTGCGGCGAAAAATATCCAATCCCATGGTTGGGTCAATGAGGACGAATGGGAAATTGCGAGCTTCGCCCTGAAACATCTGTAGCGAGGCCTCGGCTTGCTCGAAGCTGACGTAGCCTTTGGAAACGGCATCTTGAAATCCATCGAACACAATATTTGAGAACTGGAAAGGCGGCAGATTCACTGGCATTGTGTACGCAGTCTGCGTGAACAGTGGGAACGGAAGGCCATGAGTATTTGCTGGTGTTTGCGTAATCAACCTGGAATGCGATGGACGGCCGGCGGAACCTTCGCTGGAGGCCAGACGAGTCAAGATTCCTTGGATCCTCTGCTCCATTTCGGCGACCCGACTATATGCCAGTCAATCACCTCTTTACTCTGGTAAGACGCTCGAGCCCTTGCCTTCTGGAGTTCCTGGCCATTCTCGGTCTGGCCTTCGCCTCGAGAAAGACACACGTCCTCCCTTCGCGAGCACATCTTCAGATATCAACGGCTTGTACCTGTGAACCCCAGTTGGAATCGTACCTCAAACATCGAGATGGATCTTCTTGGCTGGGCAGACAGCGTCCTTTCACTTCGCGGCACCACTCGCACGACTTTCGTAAGCGTGGTGTGGCCTTGAGCGTTCTCGGGTCACTCGTTGCACCTGACGAAGGAGTTGACTCCATGGGTGTGTTCGAGGGCAAGTGACCGATGAGGAGTGATTCCCATTCACGGATCCTCGATACCGTGTCCCTGTCAGGACCAACAAGAAACTATTCAAAGTGTTGAGGATGTCAGGCGGTAAAGGTGCTTCCAAGTGTGATATGCGTGCACAGTGGAATGCTGGAGTACCTAGGTAACGTCGAGCGACGTGTCGCTGATGTGTGCCAATCTGGTCTCCTGCTCCACTGTACTGCTGATTCTAGTCTGGGCTACTCTTTGTCTCAGCTTCTCAGACCCTTAGCTCGGCGCCTACGGCGTTTACGCGTCACGCTAAACCTTTTCCGGAGGAAAAGGCCTTCGCCAGAAGGATCTGAAGCCCAATACGTGAAAATACCCCGGTATCGCGGTGTCGACCTTATCGATACCATGCAAGCCCAATGCCGACTTGTCGAAGTGGGTGGCAACGAGCAGTGTTCCTGCATGTTCACTGACGTGCTCACTATCGAAGATCCGCGCTCTCCGTGAGGTTCCGAAACAGCTTTGTCTTCAGCTATTGCTTCTGAAAAGTGGAACTTTATGATAAGAGATTTGTACTTTGAGAAGCTTGGATGATCGAATGATTAGGGCCTAGTGGACGTATAGCAGAGTGTCTGTGTCCTGGTATAAGCAGCTTTTGTAAGCACGGGTAGATATACAGGAGGAATGGGGTGGATTTATCTACCCCAGAACAATCAACTGTCTCTCATGCACCCCGCCCATGTTCGTTCCCCAGGCTAGCCTGGAACAACGGTAGAATTTATTTGGCATGCGCACGTCCTTTCTATGTCGAGTCGTATTGCACACAAGCTTCGACGTCGGTCCTTTGCAAATCCATGATACATGTCTACGCAGTGTTTTCTCCTGCAGTGCCTTCCAGAGCCATTCTCTCATCACATTCAATGCGATACAATCCCAGAGCCTCCAACATCGGCCTGTCATGGAATCGATACAGATAGGCTGCTGGCCCACAGTCTGGCTGACAGCACACGTGGCGATACTTCTTCCAGGCAGGGATGCAGAAAGTGTCTCCTCGCTGCCAGTCGATGCGTCGGCCATCCACGTCTGTGAAGCCCGATCCTTCTACCACATGATAAACAGAAGAAGCCGTTTCTCGAATGACAGGAGACATCGCACCAGGCAGTAGAATCTCCGCCGTGCCACCCAATGTTTTTGATACTGTATACGGAGTTTAGTTTTGGCGGGAACAGGAAACAATGACTCAGACATACCTGCTTTTCCGTCTTTGCGAAGGTATTCTTCCACCCGCCAACCATGCCATTTCTCACCGCTGTCGAGCTTCGCTTGCATCGAATGCCAGGGGAATACAATGTCACTGTCGTTGCTGTCGACGTCGACTGCTTCGTAGCGGGGTTTCTCGTAATGTTCGACGAAATGGACGGGAAAATGACAGAAGTTAGGCAAGTCGAGACCGTCGAGCCAGATCATTGGCCCAGACCCGTCTTTGCCGTGGTCGTGCCAGTTCCAAGCTGGAGTTAGTATCACATCGCCACGACGCATGTGTATTCTCTGGCCGTGGACTGCTGTGTATCCGCCTTGTCCTTCAATGATGAATCGCATTGCAAAGGCCGTGTGCCTGTGGGCTGGCGCCGTCTCATTCGGCATGACAAGCTGAAGACCTCCAAAGAGCGTGTCAGTCGTGTAAGGAGCATCTAGAAGATCATTCATCAAGCTGTGACCATTAAAGTTCTGGCAGAGAGATTCGCACCTCGTTCTGGATTTACCAGCATCAATACTCGGCGCTCGGCTTGTCTCTCACTGACTACTTCACCGGCCCGCACGAGAAAAGGACGGACTTCCTTGAACCGCCAAATGTATGGAATGCACTTCGGGTTTGGTAGAGATGGATTCAAACGAGCCATCTCCTTCCATAGCGGCTTCACATTGAGGGCTTGTGCAGCTTCGATGATTTGATCATCGGTCTCTAGATGCCGTGCTTCGGTTTCTGTAGTTCTCGTCGTTGTAGCCATGATGTTGACTCTCTTTGATAATCCAAATTGTAAGCCTTTACTCGTCTGAATCATCATCATAAGCATCCCAGACCCTCAATAATATACAATGACAAAGTTCTCTGCATACGAACTGATCCAGTACCAGGCGTGCAATGTCGGGTATAGTCGGCTTGCGCTCCGGGGAAGTATCCCCGGGTGAGTTTGCAACATCTGATGGAAGATACCCAAGCAGAAATGCTTGCTTTGAATTTTTTAATAAAGGCCTCAGAAGAGAGTCCAAGTTGATCGGGGGGAGGGCAGCGAGCTTGCAAGCAAAGACAACGTCGCTGTCCTTAAAACGAGAATTTGATATGGCGGAGGTCTATCACCGCCCACTCCCGGAGGTAACAACCATACAAGCAAGACCAACACAAGAGAGCTAAACTTGTACCAACAGAATGCATGCTTTCCCACTGGCAGCCTGGATTTTCGCAAAGAGCTCTCGAGCAGTTCACTCAAACAAAGGCTCAAATCTCGTATCCAATTGAACATCACCATTGTTGGCGCTGGATTGGGAGGCCTCGCCACCGCGGTTGCTTTGGCACGACACGGGCACTCTGTTACTGTGTTTGAACAAGCATGCAAGCTTGGGGAGGTTAGCTGAGACCCGATCCTGCCGCACTATTGGGAACGCTGACGAATACACAATAGGTGGGAGCAGGGATTCAGATCCCAAGCAACTCTAGTCGGCTTCTAAAGAGGTGGGGAGTCGCCGAGCACCTGGCACCATTTATTGTAGAGCCGCATGGTATCAACCTTCTCAGATGGAAAGATGGCAAACTAATAGGAAAGACTCAACTTGTACCCGACTTCCAATACCGCTTTGGTGCTCCATACTATGTCATTCATAGAGCACATCTTCACAGCGCACTCCACCGGAGAGCAATGGATCTTGGTGTCGACATTCAAATCAACAGCAGAGTAACTGAATATCGCCCGGAGACAGCCACAATTGTTTTAGCCAGCGGAAAGACGTACAGATCAGATCTAGTTGTCGCAGCAGATGGTAAGTAGATGGTCGCATATTAGTCCCAGCTAAACCCCGAGCAGGTGTTCAATCTGTGGCTGTACCTATCGTCACTGGGAGCAAGGACAAAAAAGTCATACCATCGGGCTTCGCTGCATACCGAGCAACGGTGGATGCGGCCAAAATACAGAATGATCCAGAGACAGCGCCTCTTTTGGAAACTCCTGGACTCAACTTCTGGTATGTAGCAACCAAGACACTCCGAACACGCTCTAAGCACGAAAACAGGATTGGAGACCAACGACACGCCATGACTTATCCCATCGCAGGCGGTACATCTTACAATATGGTACTGTCACATCCAGAGACTTCAGACCCATCCACCTGGAGCCAGCAAGATGCTCTGACTGCGATGAAGCGAGAATTCAACAACTGGGACCCAAGGCTGGTCAAGGTCATTGACATGATCGATGCCACGATGAAATGGCCCCTAGTGACAGGCATAGGACTTTCGAATTGGGTCCATCCGACGAACAATCTGGTCGTTCTCGGTGATGCCGCCCACGCTATGTTGCCATATATGTCCCAAGGTGAGAATCTAGCTTGCTATGAGTCCATGTCGACAGTAGGACCCGCACTGACAGTGCCTGCTGCAAGGAGCCGGGATGGCTATCGAAGACGGCGCAGCTCTCGCAGAAGTGATTCACTTGGCGTCATCTCTGGAACAGCTTCCTCAGTGTCTTGACTTGTGGCAACGAGTGCGAATTAAGCGTACCTTCCAAATGCAGCAAGCCAGCCTCATTGGCGCGCACATATGGCACGTCGCCGACGGACCGGAGCAGATTGCCCGAGACACTTCGATGCAGGCGGACATCGAAGGGAATCCGACCAACTCGAGCGCGAACCTGTGGTCAGATCCTGTAACGCAGAGGTGGTGCTATGGTTATGATGCAGAAAGGGAGATACAAGCGGAATGGGGAATGTTGGCGCAATGCCATCTCTGATTCGCCGGCACATGGAGCAATTGTTACTACTAGCCTTCCTCATGATTCTAGTAAATCTACATGGTGAACGCGCCTGCAAGGTCTAAACCTCCCAAATCATCCATGTGCGTGAACGAATACAAGTTCAAATCCACCCAGTCTGTCGGTAAGCCCTCAAAGGCATTGAAAATGCCATTGCCGTCTAGGTCAAATCCCATATCTGCAGCCGAAGATCGCTCGACCTGTATTGTGTCCAGCGGCGTGAAGCTGTGCCGCTGAAATGAATCGGCTAGAGGATCAGGTGGCAGTTGTTGTCGCGGTTCTTCGTTGTCCCGCATCGGACCATCTTCGGCCTGCGTTAGATGTCCAGATGGTCCGAACATGACGGTTGTGATGGCGACAAGTTTGGTAAGTACCTTTGCAATTCTCTTTGCTTGAAGGGCGTCATTGCCCACGCGTTCCGTAACATTGATGGCCAGACGAAGTTTTGTGGCCAGCTCACTGATAAAGTCAAGTTCTGCTCTTTTGTACTGTCCTCCATGGCGCGACAGTTCGAGGAGAAAGCAAGCAAAGATGGCCAATGACGCATTGAATGCTTAACATCTCGTTAACAGCGATAATCAGCGTGCGCGCGACCGACTCACTGTAATACAAGGCGAACCACCACGCTCCCAGCAAGTTCACTGGGCCGCTTGCTTGATCGACCGTGTCAACTAGCTCTATTGCAGTCTCGGCCAGAATTTTGATACTGGGCTTGCACAATTGTTCACTGAAAGCTTTAGAATCGCCTGCATCGGAGGTGGCAGCAGACAGTTTGTGCAAGGCTACTCTGAGGACTGGTCGGTGAAGTAGGATCTTGAGATTCAGATAGCGGAGGTGGATCATAACGTTGAGTCGTCCCGGAAGTGCATCATTTGAATGCGATGGCCTCGCGCGTGGAGACAGAGAAACAGTTGGGTCAAGGCGAAGAGTGATTGGGAGGTTCATCCTCCACTGTTCCAGCCTCGAATCGAGTAATACTATTTCTGGAAGTAAAGATACTAGCTCTGTTGGAGGCTCGTTGTGGATGTTGCCACTGTAGAGCTTGTTGATGACTGAACCGAGGATAGTGTACAATTTACTGAATGTGTCAGCTTGGAGAGATGGGAAGAGTTGGACAGTCCTCACATCGTCTCAATGAAGAAAGAAGCACTGTGCGAGGCATCACGGATCGATCGAGGTGCTGACATCATGGGAGGACCATCAAGCCTATCGAGAGGCACGTCGAGGGGTAAGTCGCCCGCAATATAATCGTCATGCACTGTTTGTACTCGGCCGAGGGTCATACTGAGAGTCCTTTGGGAGCATTCAGCCAGAGGCCATGTGGAGTTAACAAGAAAGGTATTACCTATCCAGAAGAAAGCAATTAAACCAAACTCGTTTGCGAATCTCTTGTGCCAATTGATCCGTGTCTTGAATGTGCGAGGAGGAGTGGAGCCCAAGCCGCATCGCCGTTCGAACTGCGAGGCCATGCAACGCCCAGCCTTCGTCAGGTCTTTGAGTGCCTTGGCAATACTGGGACAGTAGCAGCAAGCATTGCACTGACTATCTTAGCATTTAATCTTGTCTAGGTTGGATCCAAATACCTGTCTCGATGTCCGTCGAATGGAGGGCAGATTCTGAAGCTAAACTCAAGCTCCGGTGGAAGTAAACATCCGCTTCAGCCGTGTTCTGCGAGATGGTGCAACTAGGATCGGCCTTGACGAGTATTGAAACTGCGAAAATGGCGCTGAGCAGCCCCAGAAATGGTCGCGTGATACTACCGAAGTTTTGTTCTTTGAGAGAATTGTACCCAGACCTGACGCGCTGCTCGCTGATAAAGGGATATAGAATTCCGGTGTCCGAGAAATAGAGCTCCAGCCAATGGAGCACGCGATCCTCGCTCGGGAGCTGCGCCACGATGACATCCTTTGGGCGGATTCCATCCCGAGTCTGGTCTGCCGTCGGCGATGGCGCGCGTGATACTAATGGCCTGGTAGACGATGGAAGAGCCCGCAACCGGGTAGGAGAAATTCTGGTGACCATTGTGGTCGTTGCTCGAGAAACCTCCCGTAGAAAGGCGACATTTGACGACGAACCTGTCAACAAGATTAGGGACTAGGCAGAAAGGATTCCGTGGGTGCAGACCAAAGTATCTGGCATGAGGCTGGTCAGCGCTATCGATGAGCGCCATGCCGTCGACATGGTCGACATCAGCGTCAGTTGGCCCACTTGGCAGGACGCCTCCGATCAGGTTAGTGTCTCTGGATGATTCTGACGGACTCAGCAGCGTGCAAGTTGCATTGATCGAGCTTGCCACGATGCTTCGATTGGCGAGTTGCCGAAGCGCATCCTCAATCGATTTAAAGCGGTCTTCAAGCGCTGATTGGGCGCTAAAAGAAGTCAGAGAGCATCTGTGAGAGATGCGAAGCGCTTACTACGACTGACAACTCTTTGGAAGATGCGTGTACGTGCATTCGATACTCAACTCGGCGCATTGGCCGCAGATTGGGACCGCTCCATCACACTTTGCTAGGATGTCAGGCATCATCTGTGAGCTTCTGTGCATACTGACTCTAGATTTCCGTTGCCGGCAGGAACTGCATGCGACGGCAACTCTTCTGCGTTTCCGTGCAGTATCGGCCGCCTGACCGTGACAAGGACTCGGCGAATGTATGGGAGGCATTGCGGAGGTCAATCTGCGTAGCGCTGGTCAATCCTTGATGCCACCGGGGATGAAGGTCTCGAGGAGCAGTCAACTCGGGAAAGACTGGCCGGGGAGAGGGGGGTATATACCCAGGGCGGGGAAGCTGGCGCGGGAGAAGGGGGATACCGGCTAGGTTTGTCTTTGTCTTCCTTCCCTCCAACTGGTGGCTTAGGGGTAAACACGGGTGTCGCCGACGTGCAAAATTTAGGTTGGAAGATCGACGCCGTCGAGTATGAGTGGACGACGGACGCCTTCCTCAACACGGTAACAGTTGAACGCCGACCTGTTGCAAAAGGGAATTGTCGGCAAAGTAAAGAAAATGAAGACAAAATCTTCCGTCTTGTCCATACTATACTCAAGCCCGGACATACCGCCGAAGAACTTATGGCTGATCAAGTGTCGAGGCAGGAGATACAAAGCGCCATCGACGAGAACCGTGAGCACTTTCACTCTTTCAACCTACAGTTGGGCTACGTAGATGGACAACACCTGTCTCGCGGACCCTCGGATTACCGGAAAGAGCTTATGCAAGGTGCTCGACTACCTCACTTCTGGCTTGAAGAGCGAGGCCAAGCAATATCGACTCTCGACTTAGTGGATGCTTTGAGCTTCGTGCTTGTATGCGACTCTACCTTCACAGATCTTTCCTGGCTCATCATCTCCAACGTCTCGGTGACAATCAAGCGATCAAGTCAGGACTTCAACGACCGGGTAGGAGCATGGACCAAATACCTGGAGAGCTTAGCTGTTCGGGCCGTGCTTGTTAGACCAGATCAACATATCGTTGATCGAGTGTCAAGGGTTGAGGACGTGGAGAAGACATTGAGGGCGTACCTGTCTAGCTAAATACCTCGTGCAACCATCCAGATGCCGAAGTAGTCTATAGCAAACAAGGATCGAACTGCCTAAGCCGAGCGAAGCACCGTGTCATCATTCCTCTGAAGCACTTGAAGCGACTCGGGTCGTCTTGTGGACTTTTGAAAGATCACAACGATCTTAGCAATCACTCACGATCCTTTTAGTCTTCATTCATCCAAACCAGCTCAGACTCAAAACCTCAGACTGCGTGGTTGGCTTCGTATGCGGGCTTGAAGACCAAGGATGAGTTTGTAATGTGGTTACCGGGTAAGGCGGGTTTGGGGTAAGCCGGTATCCCCGGGGGTATACTAGCTCCTCTTATAACAACCTCCTTCGGTGGTTCCCAGCAGTCAGAGTACGAACTCTGCGCGAACATAGCAAGCCTTGTACCTCCAGAGAGTATTGAACATAATGTCGCTTCCCTGGACACGCCTCATACGTTTCCGGGCGAGAGATGGTCGAATTCTACGTGGTGAACCTATTCTTCCGACCGACGACTATGACTTGGGAAGTTTACCTGTAGCACCTACTCTCAAGGCGAAGGTCCTCGTTGGATCCGATATTTTTGATCGATCCGGTGCTACTCGATTGTCGGATGAAGTGGTAATTGTGGATGAAATCCTGGGGCCGTTGGAACGAGCAGAGGTTCCAATCCTCCGCTGTATAGGCTTAAATTACAAATCTCACAGTGCGAACCGCCAGATTTTGTCGATGTTACACTCACAAACATGATACAGTTGCTGAAACAGGCCGTCCTCCGCCTCCTGTACCAAGTCTCTTCGTCAAACCGAGACACTGCGTGCATGACCATGGGGCTGACGTTATAATACCTCCAGTATGTCAGGACGACCAGGCTGACTATGAGGGAGAGTTATGTTTCGTCATTTGCAAGGACGCAAAGAATGTTCCATTGGACGAGGCTACCGACTACATTGGTGCTTTCACCTGCGGCAATGATATTTCCTCACGCAAATGGCAACGAGACCCGAAACTAGCTGGCTTTCTCCCACAATGGACTTACGGCAAGAGCTTCGACACCTATGCGCCACTGGGGCCGTGCTTGGTCTCAAGTGAAGTGATTGCAGAACCCAGCAGGCTATGGTTGACCACGACCGTCAACGGAGAGCAACGGCAGTCTTCAAGTGTTGATCTCTTGTTCGACTGTGCATATCTCGTACACTTTTTCAGCCAGGGGCAGACATTGGAGAAGGGCACAGTATTCATGACTGGCACGCCTGGAGGTAAGCTCACGTACCTATACCCATATTTTCCGCATTGCTAATGTGCCGTGCCTTTAAGGAGTCGGTGATCGAATGCAACCCCCTCAGTATTTGAAGCCCGGAGATGTGGTCACTGTCGCTATCTCACAAATCGGCACACTCAGAAACGGCATAAAGCATGAATAGACTGCAAGAGAGATGCTACGCAGTAAAGTACGCTGGGGAAGACATAGTGCGGCGTTCAAAACATCTCATGCCTATTAAATCTTGAGCATAGCCGTCCCTTCGCCGGACGTAGTAGAAACAATGCCGTGGTGAGTCCAAAGGATTGTTTGCGAAAACCGCCGCTCTGCCTGTATTTAGTTAGCTAGCCCCGTACGTCCACCTGTGGTATCAATGCTTTGCATACTCAGCTTCCTGAGTCATATAAAGTTATTCATCGAGTTGTTTAGGTGACAGGTTGTGAGCGAGAATTTGTCGCTTATACTTCCACATACCATTGGCTGAGGCACTGAGTGAAATTCGACTAGATTGTTTGGCTTTATAGATAGCATAATTCCTCGGGCGCTTAGAGTATATAGACCCTTTCTTATCCAACAATTTGTGAATCACCCCCCGATCGCATAGTACGATGGTATCTGTAGAGCCTAGCTTGAGCGAGAAGATAGGTCCGTATTCCTTGGACTATATCTGGAATCTGGACGGATTGGTAAGATTCGATGAATCTTGTTCCTGACCTTTTTGGAATATTCTGCTTGTATATGCCCGTCGACGTGACTTGGTGAGCATTTCCTAGGATTGGCATAGATGGAGGGCCAGTTAAAATGTCTAGATGCGCTTCTCTTGTGCGCCATTCCCCCGCCGAGCTTCGGAACCGAATAGCTGACAGAAGGTCGAGGTTTATGTTTGTGAAAATTGAAACCCAATTGAGGGAGGTAGAGGAGAAGTGTACGCGATTCCACAGGCGGAGCCAATGTCACCAGCACTCGCACCAATCTGATAGAGTGAAAGAATTGCTCGTTCTCTGAGGTTTCTTGGCGATGTGACAGGAGCTTCCAGCCGACCTCGTCGGAATGTCTCAGAGTCCACATTTGAACACAGTTCACGCTCACACACAAAAACACGGAAGGCAGCCGGGGACAAGGGTTCGGTTGTATTACGCAGTCGGCCGGGTGTCTTTCAGCGGATGCCACTGGAAAGTTCCGGATCTTCTTTTCGGCAACTAGACTTCGACATCCCGTTAAGACTTTATGGACTAATAAATACATCCTTCAGAGCTATATCCGTCTGTGCAAAGGCAAGTTACAGGCCGATCAGTCCCGGAAGAACATGGGCGACGACAGGATACAGGGTTGGCCCGAATTCCACATTCCTACTGAGGTGAAGCTGATTCTCAGCGACTTCTTTCGACTCCTTGACACGGAATCGGACGTCGCCCACGAGCAATGGAGCGACTTGTTTACTGAAGACGCACCTTTCATCATAGACGCGAGGGACAATTTGAACATCTCGGGCAAAGCAGGTAGGCTTGGCGAGCGATTGATTACTCGCGCGGCTTGACTATCACTATTCTAATCTACTATTCTAGCACTCATAGCTGAGCGCAAGAAGTCCTGGAGGCTGGTCAAGAACCGAGACCATTCCGTGTCACGAATTTATGTCCGCAATCGCGCCGGCACGGACCTGATGCTGTATGGTTCCAACGATCTGATCATGCGCAACGGCGTCGCTTTCACGCAGGAATTTTCTCAGATCATCACATTTACAGAAGTCAAGCAAGGCATTTTCAAGATTCAATATTTCAAATCGATCATTGTGAGTGTGCTGATTACTTATCCTTTGGTGGACTCGGCCAACACTACGCGTTACACAGGATTCTCGGCCCATCATCGAAGCTGCGAAGGCCAAGTCAATAGAACCCAAACAATAGTGGCGTATTTTCGAGGTAATCTTGGGTTTTGCTCTTCAACCATTCATTGGCAGTTATGTTACATAGCATATGCTGTAGCTACGGGTTCACTACCATCATCCAAATTGGCATTGACCGATCTTGCAGATTCTGGATTGCCTCCATCGCTTGATCCAGCGGCCATCTGTGGGTGATGAGGTCGTCCACCGTTAAAAGTCCTTTTCCAAGAAGCTCGAGAACTGCTTTCTGGTCTGATGGAGTGTTGCCCCTGGTTCCGATTATCCGCCAACAATTTAGCGTAATGTCTAGCATGTGCCGTGGCAACTGAGCTGGATTGCCACTCATGTGCACCAGAGTTCCGTTGACACAGAGGACAGCCATAGTCTGCCAGATGTCTGTGCCAAAGGGCCAGTAATCAATGATAGCGTCTACCTTCTGGGGTACTAGCTCAAGCAAGCGGACACTGAGCAGTTTATTTGCGGGCCAGTCATTTCCTAGAGTCTCCAGTGGCACAGTATCAACTCGGATGGATAAAGCCGCCAGCTTTCTGACCGCATCAAGCCGTTTTTCTGAGCGTCCCACGAGGATGAGGCGGCTGATTCCAAAGAAGTGTGCCAGCTTGATCGTTGCTGTACCCATTGTGCCAGTCGCGCCCGTTATAACCACCGTTGCCCCCGCAGGAAGGCTGGAGACTTTGAGGGCACGAAATGCATTGGCCAAATCGTGTACTTTTGCGCCAACATCGAAGCTGACATTATCTGGCAGCTCTTGAACCTGCCAGAACGGGACTTTGATGTAGTCTGCTAGGCCCCCGTTGTGATATTCATCGTACAGGGTCGTCTTCTGGGGCCCAAACTGGTTAAACCCAATAACGCCGCCGGACTGGCACATTTGGTTGCGATCAGTGCTGCAGAATTTGCATTGACCACATCCCAGGATGGAATTGACTCGTACTCTCTGTCCCACACGAAACCCGTATGCTAGTTTCCCGACTGCCTCGACCAAGCCTGCAACCTCATGACCAAAGATGAAGGGCAGAGGCTTGATCAGGCCTTGCTTCAGCATCTTGAATACTCCCGGTGCCAGGCCTACAGACTTGACTCTGATGAGCACATCTTGGTGTCCGATCTCCGGGATCTCGAGAATTTGCATGCTTGGAACGTTCTGGCCCACGTCGCAGCAAATCGCCCGCATCGTTCCAGTCACAGTGGCATACCCACCGTTAGGATTGATATCGTGTCCTCGTTCGATTGCCAGGGATGCCATAATGAGAGTGTGTCCGTTATCGCTGTTCTCAGAAGCCACTCCTGCTCTACGTTGATGTATACAGTATTTCGGACTGAACTCTAGAATGGAATGTGCATGTGCTGCAGTTGCGGTCCACGTGGTCGGCACTGATCCGAAAGCTACGCGGGTGGCGCGGATAAGAACCGAAAGGTCCGCTAACCTTACATCGCTATCCTGCGGCTCAAACCCGAAGGACGGCCGGCAGGAAGGAAGGACAACCATGCTGGGCGCATTGCCGCGGGTAGAACTGACATCGGACCTCTCTGCTGCAGATCTAGGCTCAGCCACGAATCGAAAGCTGTAACGATCAGGTGCTTTTCGCCCCAGCAAGCTTGTCATCCTTCCCCCTTAGATGGTAGTCTATAATCGCGAAACATACACATCGCAGTCGTACTTTCTAGCTGAGCCAGTGTCACCGTGGCACCCGTCATTGTAACCATGCAGAATCACTCCGACCACGGGGACGACCTCAAGTTGTCCAGCTCCTGCTCGATGACGGCCGTACGATTGTACGAGTTTGGAGGACCAGAAGTGCTGAAAGTCGAGCGACATCCGATTCCAACACCTGCGAAGCATCAGGTTCTGGTCCGTGTACGAGCAACATCTGTCACAGGATGGGATTCGCTGTACCGGCGTGGAAAGTTGACTGCTCCACCCGGTCGAGCTGCCTTGCCTCTACCTCAGCAACTTGGACGTGAGGCCGCTGGTGAAGTCGAAGCCGTTGGCAAAGATGTATCCATGTTTTCCCCTGCAGACCGAGTTGTTGTGATGGTTTCACCTGCATGTGGTCAATGCGCATACTGCAGAAGAGGCGAGGACAATCTATGCCGCGATATAGCTCTGCCGGCCCATCAATCTTTTGGAGGATATGCCGAATACATTGTTGTCTCAGAGCATGGCCTCTTGAAAGCACCCAAGCACTTGGAGTTTGAGAAGCTCGCATGTCTGCTATGGTCGTTTGGTACAGCCTTTCACATGGTGCACAACAAGGCCAAGTTGCGCCCGGGGGAATCAGTACTCATCACCGGAGCTTCTGGAGGAATGGGAACCGCCTGCATTCAGCTGGCTAAAATCAATGGAGCGAATCCCATCATCGCTTTGACCGGGTCAATGGACAAAGCTGACGGACTGCGATCCAATGGAGCCGATGTGGTACTGAATTACCGTGACCCTGATGTGGTGGAGCAGATTAGAGAACACACCACGAACAAGCATGGGGTGGATGTCGTCCTTGACAACGTTGGCGGCGACCAAGGCATTGGCATGGCAATCCAGGCTTGCCGCACGGGAGCTCGTCTCGTTCTCGTCGCATTCATTGCTGGGCGCGAGCTCAACCTTGACATTTTTACCTTGATCATCAAGGAGTTGAGCGTGCTGGCGGCCCGTGGCTCAACACGCCGGGAGCAGGAAACAGTTTTGGCTCTCGCAGCGGCAGGCAAAATTGATCCCACTGTAGACGCCAGATTTGCTTTGTCGGATATTCGCAAGGCTACGGACATGCTCGAGAATCGTGAACATACTGGTAAGATAGTTGTTCTGCCAGGTGGTCTCCATGGCAAGTAGCGGCTTGATGAACGAAAATGCGAGAGTCGGAGTGGTGTGATCAGGTATCTCGTCCGGGTCTCGGGGTGTGCATAGCTAGAAACAATCTTCAACTGAGGCACCTACTTTTGACATGCCTGCAGCAGTTTAGACTTAAAAGGGCTGCGGGACCGCGGGGGCGGGCTCCCCAGGCCGGGTTTCCCTAAGATTGCGGCGGCGTTAGGGCCGAACTTGCGAGAACTGAGGGCTGAGGGTCGTTACGCCGGACGCTTCAACGAGTGCTTACCTAGGTACCTAGGTAGCTATACTTAAGTAGATCTGCTCCCCCCAATCAGCGCTTGCGCTTGGCACCGGGTCGGAGAATCTGAGACAAGGTGACTTGCCAGTGTCACTTCTTCTCGTCGACTGACGCCCGCAATCTTGGTTCAAATCAGGATGCACAGCGACCATATGCTCAACAACTCTTCGCCAGAGCCTCGACCGAAGAGGCAGAGAACTTCTTTGGCATGCCGATCGTGTCGGCAGAGGAAGGTCAAATGCAATGGCGCACGGCCGATCTGCAATAGCTGTTTGGCAACCAGCACTTTCTGTACCTATCCTCAACCTCCGCGATATTCTTACGGAGTGGAAGGTGATCTTGGAGTGTCACAGTAAGTCCTGTTGACTCCTAATACCATCTCTTCGTCTGGCTCAATCTTCCAGAGAGTCCCCTTTCGAAACTCGCATGAAGAACTTGGAATCCATGATGAGCTCGATAATTCGAGAGGTAGGCGGAGGCGAGAGATTTAGCAGCGCTCGAAATCGGCCATCTGCCGGCGTGGGCGTCGCAACTATGGCGCAGAGACCCGATGCTACATTGACCGGTTATCAGCGCGAGCTGGATTCCTCAGCAGGGATGAGAGACACCTCAGAGGACATGGTAGACGGCATGGGCGTGCTGAGCTTTGGGGGTCACCAAACGTCAGGGTACTTTGGTTCGTCAGATTCTGCGATCCGATGATGCATCTTTACTGAGAAGTGCGCTCCAGGTCCTTCCTCGATCTCTGCCTTCTCTCGGCAGATTCAACAAACCTTGCATCAAACGCTTGGCCATCGAGACTCAACGAACTTGACAAACATTGGCAGACAAAACTTTCACCGCTTTGCTCCGACAGCAACGCCCTCCATAGCCGGGCAAATATTCCAACTCAATGATGGCTCAGTCGACATCATGGTCCTGCCACCGGAAAACGAGGTCGTCAGACTGGTGGACCTTTATTTCTCACGAACAGGTATCTTGTTCCCTTACATCCACAAACAGTCTATTTTAAGCGGCTTAGCCGATTTGAAGGCTGCAGGTGTTGGTGGCATGCGCCGATCTTGGCTCAGTCTCCTGAACACCATGATGGCCTTTGGACTCACTTTAGCATTGGATTCCAAGCGAAATGAATATGGTGCTTCCAAGGCCGAACAATGTCTACAGCGGGCTCTGTCACTACTTCCCGATGTGCAGAGGCACCCTATCAATCTTGAGACACGTGAGTTCTAACATACAGTGCCTCATGAAGAGCCACATTAACAGATGATAGTACAAGCGTTGATTTTGCTTGCACAATACTTACAGGGAATTCATCGATCTGTACAAGCGTACAGCTTCCTCGGCTTGACTGTACAAGCAGCCTTCCAAATTGGTGCTTATCTGCCCGGGCAGCAAGAGTTAGAGAGTATGCTCGAGTATCAGATTCGAAAGCGTTGTTGGTACATGTGTTTTATCCTTGACAGGTGAGCGGCTCTAAACTGCGCGTTACATGACGCCGACGGGTGACAGGGCATTTTCGATGAGGTTCGGCAGACCTCCCTTGATTCACAGTGACTACAATCGAATGAGCATGCCCAGCGATGTCGATCTCGAGCAGATTGAAGATCTCACGAATCCGCAACTGGGTCGTACGCCATCAACCACCAGCGGCTTCATTCACAATATGTAGGCGAGCACCATCGAACAACTTACATCTTGCTGACGCGGAGCAGACGCATAGCACGATTCGTAGATGAGATCATCCATGAAGTCTATCAGGACAATATCCCGAACGACGTTGGGTCTTCCCTTGACGAAATGATTCCGGAAATTGTACGAATCGAGTCAAACATGCACGCGTGGAAGAAGACACTCCCACCAAATATGCAGATAAAAAGCAGAGCAGACATGCGTTTTGGTGCTCAGCACGCGTCCGACTCGTTTCAGCTCAGTCTTACCCTGACGCTGCATTATTTGAATGCCCGAACACTCCTTCATCGAGCTGTACTTCCGTTTTTCCTCAACCTCCAGAGGTCGAAAGACGAGGATGGTGGACTTTATGCGCAAAGCTTTGCCATTCCAAGTATTGAACACAGTGTCGCTTCTGCGACGGAAATCATCGAGATTCTTTACGATGTGTCACAGTCAGGGCAGCGAGTACTTATGGCTTGGTGGTTTTCTCTTTATTTCGGTGAGTCTCTGGGTGATCATTCTTCAAAGGCACGAACCGACAGACCTAGTCTTCAATTCCGCACTCGTGGTTTTTGCCGCGATCATCATACAGCACCACCACTCACTGAATCTACCATGTCTTGATCCCATGGCTCTGAGACATTCTTTTAATAAAGCCATTCAGGCAGTGGAAGTCTTAGGGGACAAGAGCGATATCGCATCTCGTTGTGAGACGTATCTGCAGAATTTGTTACGTGGCGTTTCATCTTTTGGTAGGTTTTCCCACTCTCTCCAACTGTTGAATCAGTTGCTGAACTCACAGGCTCACGAGCTGGAGATGCGGCCCAGGAGAGTGAGACCCGGGACGCGTATGCATTCATCGACCAAGGCAATGTTGACTCCAATCTACTGGATATGACAGACCTTGAGCTGGAATACTTTGCACCATTCTATACGTGAGCAAATGTCGTCGAGAAAGGCCTAAATGAGAGCCAAAAAGGTGCGATGATGGCTACAAAATCAACTTGAGAAAATCTTGATCCGGATGGTTTTTCATGCTAGTTACGTGTTCCATTACTGTTACCTCTGAACACCGCTAGTCGCTCTGCGGCATCCTGAGTTGCTATCTTAGTAAATGGCTTCTTTGCTGCAGCTGGATGTCGAAGAATACATGTAATGTACTCATTCTTCTCATTTGCGATATTGGTAAAGGCGCACCCTTTTGGAATGGCGATGAAGTCGCCCGGTTCAAGCTCAAGGCACCCTCGTTGACTGATCAACGTACGACGTCCTTGTGTTTGAATCTGGATCTCGTCTGCCTGCCGATGTCTGACGTATGTCGTGGCATCGCTGCGCGAAAACATGGTGCTGCCAATCCAAATGTTTTCGGACTTGTACAGCCATTCTGTCCCTTCAATGCCGCTTGCTCGCACGACATACATCTTGGACGGATCACTTTTAGCGTTATCCAGCAACATCTTCTCATCGGTATAGAACACGCTGTGATCACTGCCCACTTCTCCGAGGTGCTCCGTGATGAATTCGACCGAGTTTTTCTGTTCCCAGCCAGGATATGGTGGCATGCGATATTCGGCGGTCTTGCAAGGATTGACCACTTCTTTCACATCTTGTGGGATGTAGAAGAGAATGTGGACATCATCAATCCCATTATTATCATGCGACACACCCACGGGAATGCGCACAAAATCTCCAGGTTCCATATCGACCGTCCCAAGCTCCGTCAGGACCTGGCGTGTACCGGTTACATGATAAGCAATCTCATCCGCATCCGCATTGCGATGATAGAATGGCTGACGCCCCATCAAGCGTGTGTACTCCAAGCGTATTTCATCACTCTCGAAGACCCCTTGTGGAACCATGAATTTGCCAGGGACATGGTCCACAGGAAGATTGATGGCACCCAGCAGAGGGTAGTCCCGCCAAAGATTCATTGGAGCTGGATCAGGAATGTCCGTAAGGAGCACTTCATTCCGCCTGACTGTACGAACAGAATCATCGACAGGAATGCCGTCCAAGATCTCTGTAACGATCATATTTGGATTTGCTTGGAGCTAATGAGAGAATAGTCAGTGACGATTTAGGATGGAGATTGGGAGGAGCCCTTTTGAGGCCAGAATCTGCTTTGATTGCCCTTTCAGAGTCTCGGCGATTGGCACATGCTTGAATCTTGACTCGGGATTCTGGATGCAATCCGCCAGTTTCGGAACAAAAGGTTTCGGCACAGTCCCGAATGGACCGAGTAACCTGGCATGGCCGTTGGCGAGGTGAGTCTTAGGTCGCAGAGAGAGAGAGAGAGGGGGGGGGGGAGAGTAGGCTCGGATAGGTTTGCTCTCGGTGCACCGGCTACTCGAGGAACCGAAGACGAGTCGCCATGTCTGGATCGCAATCGTATATTGGTGAGCTGGTAAAGATACAACTTCTTGGCACCAACCTGTCTAACAGACCCTCATATTCGACTCTCAGCGTCCTTGTCATCATCACCCTTAGAAACCACGGGATCACGTCGTCACTCTTCCAGCAGTCATGGGTTCCACGATGGAGCCTCGGACTTTTGACATGCAATGGGTCAAAGGCACAGACCCGAAAGAAGGGAACTGGCCAGGCCTGCGAACTAATCAGGTTGAGAAAGACCTGGGCATGGAGATCACATGGGATGTCCCAGTCGCTCTTCGAGACGGTGTCAAGGTCTACGTCGATGTATTTCGGCCTGATTCTTTCACTGGGAAGTTGCCTATCATCCTATCCTATAGTCCTTACGGGAAACACGGGTTCAAAACATTTGATATGTTCCCTGGTGCAGATGTTCCAGCAGGCTCCGTTTCTCGTTACGCCGTTTGGGAGGGTCCCGATCCTTCCTACTGGACGCAGAAAGGCTATTGCGTGATCAATGCGGACGCGCGTGGCTCTTGGGGGTCGGAGGGGAACTGCACCATCATGAGTACCCAAGAAGGCATCGATGGCTACGACATAGTCGAATGGGCTGGTACTCTGCCCTGGTCTAATGGTCGTGTCGGGCTTTCAGGACTGTCGTATCTGTCGGTCTCTCAGTGGCGTATTGCAGAGAACAATCCTCCTCATTTGGCGTGCATTCAGGTTTTCGGCGGATTCTCCGAGGTGTATAGGGATTATAGCCACCACGGCGGGATCCCAGAAACAAACTTCGTCAAGTTCATGGAATGGTCTTGCCGCTTCTCCCATGGCTTGGTAGAAGACTGGGTGAAGATGCAAAAGGAGCATCATCTCTATGACAACTATCAAGCGGACAAGAGAGCCAAGCTTTCTCAAATCAAAGCACCTGCCTATGTCGTTGCAGACTGGGGCGACCAAGGTCTCCACACTCGGGGAAACCTTGTAGCATGGTCTGAAATATCATCCGAACAGAAGTGGCTGGAGATCCATGGGAGGAAGAAATGGCAGTACTACTACAGCAAACCCAGTCTTTTGCGACAGGAAGCGTTTTTCCAGAAATTCCTCAAGCAAGAAGCGAGCGAAGTTGATAACTGGCCAACTGTGCGTATCGAAACACGAGAGAGAGCACATCGAAACATTGCCAGAAATGAGATGGAGTGGCCTATTGCAAGGACCAGAATGGTGAGGATGTACCTCGACAATTCCACGAGCCGACTTCTTCAAGACCCTCCGAAATCGATCGGAATATCCCGTTACGCTAGTGGAGATCCAAAGGATGCCCTGTTGTTTAGCCACAAGTTCAACGAAGAGACTGAGCTTACTGGGACAATGCGTCTTCGGTTATGGGTTTCGGCTGAGCATGAGGACATGGACATTTTCGTACGAGCTGATAAACTCGACGACTCAGGAGTAGTTGTTCCATTTGTGGCCATGTCAATGATGGACGATGGACCAATGGCGCTCGGGTGGATTCGAGTAAGCCACAGAGAACTGGACCTGGAGAGAAGCACAGAGAATCATCCCTGGCTACAACATCGACGTCAGCTCTTGCTTCGACCCAACGAAGTTGCACCCGTCGACATTGAGATAATGCCGTCGTCGACCCTTTTCCATCCAGGAGACTCCCTGCGCCTCACTATCAAAGGTTCGGACACCTGGGTCTATGACCGCCGACAGATTCAGCTTCACCAAGATACGGTGAATCAAGGCCCGCATTCTCTATATACCGGCGGACCATTTGAGTCATTTCTAGTAATGCCTGTCATTGACAAGGAGACATAGTCTATTGAGTACATCTTTATCAGTGATCCAAAGCCAAGAGTGAGCCACAGTTAGGTCCGCCTCATCGTGGGCTGTCTGTGATTGATGTCATACCAAATTCACCTGTCCTCAGTACACAGGGCACGGACAAATTGATATTTTGTCTATCATGATTCATGCTTTGCTTCTTTTGCCGACCAGTACTTCACCTCGTGACATTTGTAATTCGCGATGCAACCAGCCACCATGTATGGGTCTCCCTTCGCAATTGATTCCGCTTCCTCAATGCTGCCGACATCAAGCATCCAGATCGCTCCTGTGTCATCTGCATATCCGCCAGCTGCTCTCAATTTATTGGTCTCAAGTACGGCCCTCATGTATTCGCCATGGGCCTGAAAATTGCTGGTGAGGTTCTTTGCGATGTACTCGAAGACAACGGCGACTTTCATGGCTCTCTCTTGATGTCGTTCAAAGGCGTTGGAATATGTTGATGTGAGTTGTCTGATCTGGCTTTCGACGTGAGTCTTGACATTGAGATCCAGCACAAGTAGTTTGCCAGTCAGTTCAATAAATATGCCGATGATTCCCCATTCCAGCATCTCGGCCACTAGTCGGATGACATCCGGTTGAGTTTGAGTGCCACTCGGCAGATGTAGCCGGTGGGGAACTTGAGCTGCTAGCCTAGTTCGGCAAGGCGATGACCGTATTCTCACACGCGCAAAGGATTCGGCATCACGACCAAGAGTAATCAGGAGCGAGGTTGAAGTAAAGCATAGAACTCTGTAATAGATCGTTCTTCTGAGAACACTCATCCAAGAAAACTTCCTGCGTATGCTGCCCACAGCTTCAAACGCGGCTGTTGCTGATCCTGAATCTCCACTTGTGCCCTTGCAGCGAATTGGACAGTCTTTGTAGTCTGGCCATCTTTCTCTATGATCAAAACTTTTCCCACCAAAATTAATTCTGTACCACCCATGTTACCCGTGAAAATCGTGTCCACTGTATGGCGCCGCGTAACACCAGATGCAACAGCTTGCTGGCGACAACGAATAATTTCTTTATCTGGTCAGTAGCCACTCAACGGAAAGGAAAGATGTAAGGCAAACGCAGGCTACCTTCTCTGCCTTCGAAGTTCCCATTTGGAGAATGAAATGCGCCATCCACTGTGAAGATTTCGGTGGCCAATCGATGACCAGCGCTCGATTCATTGGAATCCAGAAACTTTAGGCACCTTTCAAGCATCTCCTTGATGCTCTCAGGTATTTCAAACCTAGGGAAGATTGTGTTTGCTAGAGGAGAGACCATGGCTAGAACGTCGGATGCTCAACAATTTCACAACCCAAAGTGGACATTCATCCCACCTTTTATTGTTTTCTCGGCCAAAGGGGCGAAGAGCTCGGGGAAGGATACTATTCCGTGGGTCCCGAGAAAATAGTGTTAAGGACCTAATACTCGGGTGGAATCGTAGGTACTTATCGTTACTGATAAGTGGGGCAAGTGTAGGGACAATGCTAGAACTATACTAGCTGTACGGCTCTCGATGTAGACAGGAACTGTATCAGATAATGCTACCCCAATGGTAGGGGTAGGATTGATAACGAGGTTGACGACGGACTGTTCTTCAAGGCGAGGGCCGGTCCTGGCTATATACCTATATATTCTCTTCCTGCTCAGTGTTGCTCAGTATGGCTCAGTGCGTTCAGTACTGGGCCTGACTGAGCCAGCCTGAGCGGTCACGTGAAGAGTCGTGCTGCCTGGGGATTGGTTTTCTCTCTCCTCCCTGTGGTTAACTCACCATTCCTTCCGTTCTGGGCGTCCCCCGGTGGCATGAAGGTCAGTTCGTAACAAATAGGCAGCTGTCTCGTCAGTCCGGGAGAATCTGGATGCTGGAAATTCATAGTCACAAGAACGGTGTGTCATCTGCGGAGGCTGCTTGAACAGAGCGGAACAACTTGCGACAGACTAAATGTAAGGAGGAGGTGGCCAAGTCGTTAGTAGAGTGATAGTAGATGACAGAGGATTTCATTCTAAATATGAGTACTCTTCGGTTGCTGAAAATTACGAACATCATCAGGAAGCAAAGCGAGCATCCCTGTCGGATCCTAGATAGGAGTCAGACACTTTTGTAGATAATGGCATGAACTGACGCACAAAGTACAGGTGCATACGACGGAATTTCAGCTTTCCTTCTACTCTGGTGAGTTCCATACGGGTTGCCGCCTCATTCTCGTAGATCGAGCCATCCTCGAGCGTGATCCGGTAGTAGATAATTGCCATAATATCCATTGCATCTGGCTGAAAGAAAAACACTTTTTTGGCAGTGTGCCGATTGGTGGGGAAGTTCTCCCAGATGCCGACTATGTACTTTCTGATTTCTGACTCGACAAAGATGAGCGAGGGTTGAAATAATGCTCGATCTGACCAGCTGTGCCGCGATTCACTTTACCAAAGGCCCCAAATTCTCCATCCGAAGTGTAGTAGTCACTGTACTCAGATGCTCTTGTGGGGTCAGAGCAGTCAAGAACCGTCAGAAACTCTTCGAGGAATGTTCTGACCTCCCCTGGACACTGTGAAGGCCAAGAATCGGTTGCTGACTTCTTGGCTGGAAGGAGAGTCATACTAGCGACTTGGTCTTAATCCAACTATCGCAATGGGTAGAACTTGGTATCGCAAAAATGGTTTCGACCGCAGCATCACAATCACGATGATTTTTTGTATGATCCTGATTCACAACATTGACGAGGGTCGTCTCGACGTCTGTGTCTGGATCCGTGGTCTCCGGCCGCGGACTCTACGATCATTCTGCATCCGTGATATGCTCAAGGCTTCCATAATCTGCCGGAAGTATATTATCCGTGGCTCGATCTCGGCTTTGCTTCATCCTGGCTGATCGGCAGGCCGGTTGCGTCCCGATTCAAACCTTGATTCCGGTCTTATGCTTGACGAACTTGCCGGTGTCTGACGGAACGGTGGGGCCAACGACTGGGGCTTGGACAGATGTCGTTATCAGCGACAAGGTATCGCCAAAGGGAGCTACACATGAACTCGACCATTTCAAATATTTGCTGACGAGCTGTGCAATACGACGAGCATTGCTTTCGCCAAAATGACGCTCAAAGTTGGCATTGCCGGCATCGATGGTCAACTAGGTTCTCGCATTGCCATTGGATTGCTGAAACAACCTGGGATAAAGCTAGTTGGGTACAGTCGAGATGCCGATAACGTTGACGAATCCATCGCCGCAAGAGTCGATTTGTTCACAGGTTCGGCGCATGATTCCGATCTAATGGCGGATTTTGTCAAAGGCAGCGAAGTAGTGGTCTGCTGCTATCAAGCGGACGATAGCATCATGGTCGACGCCCAAAAGGTTTTGGTTGACGCTTGCGAAGAAGCAAGTGTTTCTCGCTACATTGCCAGCGATTGGTGTATGGACTATACAAAACTCGAGCCAGGACAACTATGGCGCAAAGAGCCAATGAAAATAATTAAGCAATACATCGAGACTAAGAAGAAAGTGAAAGGTGTTCACATCCTGACTGGTGTCTTCATGGAGACGTTTTTCAGCCCTTATTTGAAGGTTTTCGATCACTTCACAAACACATTCAATACATGGGGAGACGGCACGGAGCTTTGGGAAGCGTGTTCCTACGAGGACGTCACTCGATGGACAATCGAGATCATACGAGATCCATCATCAGTAGGTGTCATACGATGTAAGTTCGCTCCGTCCACGAGCTTTCGACAAGGCACCACTGACACCTGATCTGTCAGTAATCGCAGACCGAAAAACGTTGCCCGAGATTGCTGCAACGTATGAGGAAATATACCGCACGAAAGTTCACGTCAACAATCATGGCACTCTGACGGAGCTCTTTGAGCGAATGCACGAGCTACGTGACAGGTCCCCAAACGATATTGGCAGTTATTTACCTCTGTGAGCAACGACGTCCTCATGTTCCTTTTCGGTAACTAACAGCCCAGCTTCTATAAATATTACACATTGAACGGTCAAACTTTGGTTGGACCAAATTTGGATAACCACAAGTATCCTTCAGTTGTAGCGGGAAACTGGGAAGATTATATGCGCAATCGTACACCTGAGCAGTTGGTGGGTGCGTTTGCGGTTCCTCAGAGCCAAACACTCCCACAAAACTCACTGACAACCGCTGAAATCGTATCTGGTCGAGATACTGGAGTCTATGCCTGAGGCTAGTAGGTTCGGGAGGAGTACGGCTCACGAAAGTGTTTGGTCCCAAGAGCCAAATCAAACGGCGAGATAGTTATGAATTGAAATTCTCTAAGACAAGACTAAACTTGCTTGCTCGAAGTTTTGTTGCTCACAGTTTTAGACCTCTCAAAACTTCGGATGAGCGAGCTACTCCGCAACACTCTGCCCCCGTAAATCCCCATGGGGCCCCTGTTGCGGTAATAAGGTTTCTGATCCGAGTCCTGATCCGAGTCCCGACTGGTCTAGGTTGTGGCGTCGATGTCGTTCCGGCGACAATTTCCTGGAGGCGCATATCTCTCCTCAATTGGGGCACTGAGCTGGGCCACCAAAAGGCACAATATGTACAGCTATTGAACATAACACTACATTCGTAGACAAGAACACTTCTGATACTTGGAAAGCCTCCCCCAGCAAACTTGATACGGATTTCCAGTTACCCGTCATGAGATTGAACCTATTCGGTCGAGGACGTCCTCTCCGCTGGGCTGTGACATTCACTTGTCAGCTCTCTTTTCTTTTCTTTGGTGAGTTCATCCACCGAAGTCTGAGCACGATCCACTGATGTGTATGATTAGGCTATGACCAAGGCTTCATGGGCGGCGTCATAACGGTGCCGAACTTTCAGAAGACCTTCAACCATCCTAGACCAGTTATCATTGGTATTACGCTTGCCATATTTTCACTCGGCGCACTGTTTGGATGCATCTTCAATGTGATATTTGGAGATCTCCTGGGAAGACGGAAAAGCATAGGTTTGGCCATGGTTTGGGTCTGCGTACGTCTCCGCCTGTTGACCGGAGATCACACATTACTGATTCCTCCCTGAAGATAGGCGCAGTTCTACAAGCTTCCTCGTATCAACTTGCTCAACTCATGGTCGGACGTTTTGTCGGTGGCTTCGGGGTCGGGATTGTGTCCGCGACCGTGGCAATGTATCAAGCTGAGATGTGTGAAGCGCACATAAGAGGTCGCTTGTTCTGCTCACAGCTCATCTTTGTTACGCTCGGGGTCATACTGGTTGGTGTCCCCCTGCCACGACGTATACTTCTAACAGACGATAGGCCTTGTACCTTGACTATGGCATGATTCACACCACAGGCAGCGCTAGCTGGAGGGTTCCAGTGGCGGTTCAACTCATATTTGTCTTGGTAATGCCCACAGAATTATCTTTGTAGGTTGTGTGACTAATTTCCTTCTAGATCTGTGCCATATGTATCCTTGGGCTTCCAGAATCTCCACGCTGGCTCTACAGTCGGGGACGAAGCCTAGAGGGCCTGAGGGTTCTCTGCGATATCTACGATCGAAATGAAGACGACCCCAAGATCAGGAGTGAGCAACTCGAGATCCTCAGATCAATCGAGCTGGAGCTCGCTGGAAGCCACTTCGCATGGAAGCACGTCTTCAAACAAGACACCGTCCGCACATCGCGCCGTATACTGGTCTCGTGTGGTGTAGTGGTTATGAACCAATTAGCCGGAATCAACTTGCTTATGTAGGAAGACAAGCTATCCTATCTGGGTCATGTACTAATGTTTCACAGATACTACATGCCGACGATTCTGATAGGGAGCATCGGTACTTCCGTGGATAATGCCATTTTGATAACTGGATGGTGAGTTTTCTTTCGTTTGACGTTGGTTTGCTCGCTTCGCAAAAGGTTGATGAATTTTGTCACAGCGTTGGAGTCCTACTTTGCCTGTCAACAGGGTTAATTACAGCACTCGTTGACCGCGTCGGACGTCGAGGCCCCTTACTCTATGGAAGCCTTGGATGCGGTATAAACATGATGATCATCAGTATACTACTTGCTTTGAAAGATAGCACCGACTCGAAGGGGTTGGCTGCTGCATCGATCGCATTTTTCTTCTTGGTTTGTCCATCCCAGCTGGGCAGTGTGCGTGGTCACTAAGCTTTTTGCCACAGTTCGCATTCTTCTACGCGATAGGCACAGGCACGCTTGCTTGGGGCTTCGCGGCCGAGCTACTTCCTCTGCACTCCCGCGGAACTGGAACGGCGGTGGCGGCAGCGGGTAATTGGCTGGTCGTATGTGTCACCCATTGGCACGTACATTGATGGTACTAAGCTGAAAATGCAGAACTTTGGTATTGCCATGCTGAGCCCGGTCCTTATCAGCACCATTTCGTGGAAGACATACTTGATATTCATGTCTTTCAATCTCACGGCTGTACCACTCATCTACTTTTTTGTTCCAGAGACAATGAACCTGACGCTCGAGGTAAAAGCATCCATGATTTGATTTCAATTTTGGATGGCTAATTGTGCTCAGGAAATCGATCTCATCTTCGTCGATCCACATACGTCGCCGGTCGCCGCCGCCAAACGACTTCAGCAGACTAGAATCAGAAATCTAGAGCTCGGTCAGAGGGCATTCGTGGAGAAATTTGAAGAAGCCATACAGGCAACAACTGTTCATCACGAAATCAGTACTCAAGAAGATCCGGTGCCGCAAAAGAAATGAAAAGAGACACTCAGCCTAGCAGATGCTCAGTTCTGTTGATCTGATAGAGCGTCAAAAGCATTTCTTCATTGGATTAAAGCAGCGAAAATGACAACCTTGAAGACGGCTGCGGGTTTCGGTCTCCTGTGCTAATGCGGCGGGGGTTTGACCACGCACCACAAAAGTTGAGAGTAAGCTATAAGACTGCCGGACGCTGGGTGCGCCGCCTGCAGATTTCCCAGACTTTGGCGAATTCACCACCAAGAACTTCTACGTATTGTCCGAGCAATAAATATACGTATTAGGTCTTTGATCGGTTTAGTAAAATAACCCCTTAGGGTATTTAATTAGTCCGCGCGCCCGCGCGCTAACCGACCAATCAGCGCTTGCGCTTGGCAAACGCAGTCTGAGAAGCTGCAGTGAGACAAGGCTGCTCGACGTCACTTGTGCCGCGGCCCTAAGAGGCGGAAGCTGTAACATAATTACCCCGGTTGGTAGAAAAATTGTCGCTTCGAACAAGATGGTTTCGGACGACCCTGCTCGGATCTCACGATTAAAACTCCTTCCTGCGCAAGTCGTTTTAATCTCACTGTTCGACTGACAATGTCATCCAAACAAGCAGCTTCGTCTTTACAGCAATGTCTCCGCACATTCTCAGCTTCTAGAAGAGCCACCTGCTCATCCAGAGCAGTCCGCCGAAGCACCCCGCAACAGAGAGGTCTTGCCTCAACACAGCATCAGTTTCTCTCCCACAGGTCTCATGCGTGTGACCTCTTCATGCCGCGCCTCCGACAGCCAAAGCGACATTTCACCACGACATTAGTCGTCCAGAAGGAAGAAAACTCCACGTCCACCTCCGCCGCGGAGCCGCGATCGACGCTCTACACCTTCACAGACATGCAGACCCTCACATCCCGCCCGGACCCAAAACGGGTCGTAATCGACGTCCGCGAACCCTCCGAGTTAAAATCCACGGGGAAGATCCCCGGCGCGCACAACCTCCCTATCAAGTCCGCGGCCGACGGCTTCTTTCTAGGCCCCGAGGAGTTCGAAGAAAGATTTGGCTGGGAGAAACCCTCGCCGAAGGATGAGGTCATATTCTATTGTAGGGCAGGGGTGAGAAGCCGGGCGGCGGCGAGATTGGCTGGGCAGGCTGCATTTGGCGGCAAGATCAGCGAATTTCCTGGAAGCTGGATTGAATGGGAGGAGAAAGGCGGAGAGGTGGAAAAGGTGTAATGAGGCTGGCCGAAATCGAGAGCCTGCAGTTGCGACACAGTGCATATATCTGCCGCCGTTTGTACGGCTAAATGAAGCGAGGCACAGACTCGGCTGCCCTAGGCACCTTCAACATTGTACAGTCGCTAGGTTGAAAGGCTGTACAGACCTGCAAGCTGCTTTCACGAATAATGAAGCGATAAACCCAATACACAAGCAGGAATGCTATCTTCACGGCCACCTACAGTCTCAGACTCCGTGTGGTGAGTGCAGCAGCATTTCCGTGTCAACAACCCCTTCGACATCATCCTCGACATTCGGTGACTGCCCAATCTCCAGGCCCTCCATATCTCTCGCCAGCTTCCCCGGAGGACTCGTCTCAGGGATGAAATCCATGTCTTCACCGGTGTCTGGACCGTCCTTGTCCTCATGATCTTCACTCTGCTCCAGATCCTCGCCAAACGCATCTTCCCTTCTCCTATCTGCAAGCCACTGTTCTATTTTCTCCTCCGTACGATTCACAGCCAGCAAAAGGGCCTTGACACTCAGACAAGCAGTCTCGGCCGCTTCTTGGTGGAACATCTTCACAACAGCACCATCTGGCGCCTTATCCAGGTCGTCGACTTTGGGGTATCGAGGGTATCGAGACCCGGGGCGAAGGACATCCAAACTGCGCTCACTTTCTTCTTCAAGAGTTATGGCCCGTCGTGCCTTCAGAGAGGACTGGACCTGCATAATCCGCGCATTCATCCATGACTCTTCCTCTTGATCGGCTTCCCCATTCTCTGCCAGTGTCTTCTGGTGCTCGGGAACGTCATGGAGGGGAAACATGTCGAGAATATCTTTCTCGATGCCTTGTTCTTGCGCTTGGTCTGTTGTTGAAGTATGTTTGCTTGTGATCCACGTCTTCTGGTACCAGTCCATATACTTGTCCAGTTGTTGATCAGTCATATCGAGGATATCACTGTCTTTGACATGGATCTCCGATCCTGGCTTGAAGCCGTTGGCGTCTTCGCCAGCTTGAGTCCGCTTGTCAAAGTTCGCTTTGGCTTCCAGCCAGGATGGCCAATTCATGTTTAGCGTTGTTGGATCATTGGGATCTTGTGGATAGCGCTTTACATTCTCCGAGTCGAACGGGAAGAGGAGCTTTGTGGCAACAACGACGAGAGAGATGAGCTGGCTCTCTGGGTATGTTGTTGGCTGACGCCTCGTTGGCTGCGACGATTCTGTAACATCAGCATAGCGGAACTCATACTTGATGATGGTATTTAGCCCCCGAGCAACGCTGTAGATCTCGAGCGGCAGGGCAAGTTGGCGGACATAGTCGAGAAGGAAGAGATTCAGATTGATCTGCGGCATTACCATGCCGAACGAGGCGCTGTACCATCTTGCGCGGTGATACACGGCTTTCTGGAGCTCATCAGGTCCCAACAGCCGTAGCGTATCCAAGGCTTGGTGATACTCTCCCGGCAATCTGTCCTTCATGTCCTGGGGAATGTACCTGATGGCGCGGATGAAAGGAACCTCTTCTTCGAGGATCCATCTATTCGAGGCCCCGGTCAGCGAGAGCTCACAAATGTCGAGGGTGACTTACTTCAAGACCTTAGCTAGACCAATTGGTCTCCTTAACATGACAATGCCCAGATAGTTCAAAGCTATCGTATCAATCAGCGTAGGGTAGCTGTGTGCTGCTTTGTTCCCCTCGGGCTCACGCCTCACATCGGCATCAAGATCGGTATCCGTATCGTTGCCAGAGCTAGCTGTCGTGTCCGCATTTTGCATTGCCTCTGCGTGGCTGTCGCCGAGACGATGTTCTAGCTTCGAAAGCCATAACGCCCACAGATCCCGGACAATTGCCTGGGTTGTTGCAGTTAGAAGAAAACACAATGAAGGTGCCAATCCAGTGAACTAGAGTTATTGTACCACTTACCCACAACTCTGCCGGCAATCCTTTTTGATGGACCAGCACATAGCATTGTTTCCAAAGGATGAACTGCCATGATTGAAGGAAGAGCTGGTAAGCCTTGGCTCCGCGAAGCACTGTTTTGACCTGGATGGTCAGCTGGCTGGGCTAGGACTGAACTCGCTTCACGGATAACACCTGGCTCAGTCGAATTTGACATGCCTTTGGATATCTTTTGCTTCTTTCTGATTTCCTTCTTCCTCACCACTGTGCCCTGCCTCCCGAAATCGGCGTCGTCCTCAGCAGTCGCAAGGCCCAGACCCTGATCGTGTCCATTTGCACAGAAGATTCTACCGTCCTCGTCGTAAAATTCCGTTGAGCCACATATCCCGCACTCTTCTCCGTCCATGTTGGCCGGGCATAAACGAACACAATCTCGCGGACATGGCGGTCTAGGCCTGGTCGAGGCCGATGTTCCAAACGACCGGAACGGTGAGAAGCGGTTGAGTTCTGTGATGCCACATACACAGCTTGGGTTCTTTCGATATGGAGGCTTCGGGGGCCTATAGCACCCGCCAAGATTGAAAGACTAAGACAGGATTCACTGGATCTAATTAGTGTCAGGAATAACCGAACTGACCGCTTTAGAGCATAATGAAGAAATCCGCTGACGAACTTGGATGTAGATGCCGCCGCTTTTGGAGTCTTCCCCTCAGTTCCAACCCAAGCGAGCACAGGTCTTGGGAGAGTGTGCCTTGTATTCACTGCCAATGTTACAAGTCGGACTAACAGCAGATTTATGAAGAATCTACAACGACTTTGCCAATGAAAGTTTGGTAAGTGATGGTGGCGAGAGACAGGCAAGAACGGTGAACAGTGGCGAAACCAATCAGCGATCAGGTATTTCTATATACAGCCAGGAAGACAGTGGCTGAAATATCAATAGAACCCCTGAAACACTCGCATTGTAAGCAGGGCTGTTGTGGTTCGGTAATTGCTCTGTTATTTGTCTAGCTACCACTTTTCAAAATGCAGAAGGATGCTGGTCCGTCGTAAAATGAAAAACAGTCGCTTTTTCAGGGCAAGCCACAGATCTATGGCCCAGCTGCCTCCAGACAAGTTCGTATCTTTCCGCCTACTCTGATTTTCGGCATGTGCAAACTTGCCCAACACCAAGAACGCTGAAGTATGACCTGGGTTTCCTGATCCATAAATACATCAGTCGTGAAGAGGGGTCGCAGATCTGCTGGTTGACTCGAGGGCCGCTTATTTGGGGGCTTCCTTAGCATCGACAGCAGCCTCCTCGCCCATGGCGGTCAAGACAATGACGTCTGAAGAGGCATTAGTGATCCGATGCAGATATCTTCCAAAGTGGTTTACTCACTGGTGTCCTTCTCATCGGTGCGGAAGAGTTTCTCAATCTTTTCGCCAACTTCGCCCTCGGGCATCTTGACATCGTCCTTGGTGGAACCATCGTCGGACATGAGGGACAAGAAACCGTCATCAGTAATGTCAAGCTGCCGTCATCATCAGCATTCTCGGCTTGCCATGTGCCGCCTAGAATCCATTCTCTTACCAATTGGTATTCGCGGCGAGTGACGTTTGGAACGTCCATGTTGTGGGTGGAAGGAGAGAGATCTTCCATCTTTCGACCGGTGAAGATGTCGAGGGCAACCAAGTGGACCTTGGCGTGGCCGTGTTTGCCAGTCTTGGAGGTGGACATTTCGACAATCTTGCATGGGCGACCCTTGATGACAACATGACCGTTCTTTCTCAAGGCGGAACATTGCATCGGGTAGGTGGCCGAAGCTCCGGCATCGGCGGACTCAAAGGTGTGCTCATGCTGGAAACAGGAGATGTCAGTGTCTGGTGTGACGAGGAGAGGAAACAGCCCAGCCATCTGTACATGCGGCGTCTGGTTGCGCAAATTACGAAAGGCGGGGGATTTCCCTGCAGAGGCTTACCTGCGCGTCGTTGTTTTCCGCCATGGTGAAAAGCTGAAAAGATGTCGCTTACAAAAAGAGAGGAAGATATAGTGATGGAAAGGATGATATCAAACGAAGAGCCACAAATTCTCGAAAGAGAGGGATGGATGAGGAGAAGGGAACCCAGGCCTGGCCAAGGGAAAATATCGTTTTGCAGGAAGTGGGATCGTGGACCACTGCAGGCAGAGGGGCAACTTGCCGCCCAATCGATAACCGCCCGCTAACCTGGTTTGGAGTGTCGGTCTTGGCACGTCTGTGTGAAAACTCACAACAACTTGGAACAACGCCACCCACCAGACGTTGTCAAGTGTTGACATCAAAACCTTTTCTCTGTCCGGAGGTATGCTTTTCATCAGATGTGCCGCTTACATCGACGAGACGATGCTCAAGTATGTCTACGAGGGGATGATGCTTACATATTGTTTATTGTGTTGCATGAGTATCCTTACGCTGGTGTGAGAAAATGAGGTAGAACTTCTGACTTTGAGCGGAGCATTGGTACGAGCTAACCAAAAACACGAGAGAGAGCATCGGCGAGGAACAAGATACAGAAAGTTTGTCGGTGAGAAACACAGGTGTGCTTCAATATGGCACTTGAGGTTTGCCAAAGAATAGCCCGTCTCCACGAACCAACTGTGTCCCCACTGACCCATGATTGATCTGGCGTGGAAAGCAGGCACCAGTTCAACCATCCAAGTTACAGCATGAATATTTCAGACCAGTGGTCAACATGGTGAGATGCGAGGAAAGCATCAGGAAAGAGGACATAGTCCTCATGAATTAATCTGCTACTTGGGTTGTTCTTCAGAGCTGTCATCCCACATCGAAAATCTCATCCATTCTTCTTTCTCGGTTTGACAGTCACCTGAATCCCCTTGGAATCAAGTCTGGGAAATGGAAGAAAGAAGTCGTGAGCCAACTCCACATTACTCTTATCGGTCTCGTACAGCTCAAGCTGGAAGTACCGGAACATAGCCGCCAGGGTTAAGTACAATTCGGCATGAGCGAGGCTAGGGTTTAAGCGAGATGCTATCAGAACAGAGCTCACGAGCTGGAATAGCGGATACAAGATCAAACTCACTTGATTCCCAAACAAGACCTCGTGCCTTTACCAAATCCCACGAAATACCTGTCTAAACTGGATCCGTTCTTGGCCTTTGGTGAGTCGAGCCACCTCTCAGGGACAAAGGACGTGGAGTTTGGGAAGATTTCCTCGTCATGGTTGAGAAACGGGATCGTCATCGAAATCGGCGTCCTGGCCGGGATGGTCCATTTGCCGTACTGGATTGTCTTGGGAAACAGACGGGCATTGCGTGCCGTCGTGGAATAGGACAGTCTGACGGCTTCTTTTATGCAAGCTGACAGATAAGGAAGCTTCTCCAGTTCTGTCCATTCGAGCGGCTCGCTGGGGTCCAGCTCGTCGGTGTCTGGAATGGCTTCCTCGAGCTCTTTGCGCAGACGTCCAAGGACATTCGGATCGCTCAAAATATAGAAGGTGGCTACACTGAGAGTCCAGCCGGTGGTGACGACCCCTGCGCCTATGATCAACTGTGCTTCGTCCTGCAGGCGTCGGTCAGACTTCTCACTGGGGGGCAGGTCGCCTCGAATCAGCTCCGAAAACACAGTAGGATGATCGTTTTTCTCAGCAAGGGCATCAATCTTCCCGGCCTTCAAATTGACGATCTGTCTGGCAAAGTCCTGCGAGCGTCAGAAGAGGTACTGATAGAAGAAGGAGCACTCTGAAGCCTCACTCGTTGCATCTTAGAGACAAGGGCATATAATGGCTCCAGCTTGACGAGCCAGGCCTGCGGCAAGCAATTCAAGATCTTGGGCACCAGAGGGAATTGCAGCGACATGTTCCCACTGATGCTGACGGCCCTCATTGGGTCGTGAAGAATCGGCGTCCACTCGGCAACATCGAGACTGTTGTAATCGTGAGCAAAGCAGTATTCCATGATCACGTCTTCAGCCAAGGCCATATAGCCGCGACTGATGACCACTGGGGCGCCCGACTGCTGGTATTCTCGTGCTTTGACGATCAACTGGTTGAGCTTCTTGCGAATGATGACCTGCAGGTCAATGATTCTCTTTCGCGAGAAGAACGGATTCAACGCGTTTCGCCGGATGCGGTGCAGCTCATCTGGAGCCGTGCTCAGGACCGAGTTCTCGTTCCCGAACCGCCCAGACATCCAGTCGTACTTGTCGACCCTCCCGGCCTTGGTGAAGATGGTTTCCCAGAAATCCGAGTCGAGAATATGGACCTCGTCTGGGGTGATGCGAACAATGGGTCCTGCAGGGTCGTTCCGTGCATAAGTCAATCTCCGTCCTGCATGCGCAACAAATCACCACGCCTCGGCACAATCTATACTTCAAGTTGTTACGCACCATACTTTTCGTGCAGGGCCTTGATGTGGAAGATGAATTTCCCCTGTAAATGGACGTCGTAGTAGTATTCATGCCACCTGCTTATTGCCGCGTACTTGGGCCCCGGAAATCGAGCCAACGGGTGGAAGTAGAGTCTGTATACAACAAGCCCGACGATGTATGAGAGCCAGGCCAGACCGAAGACGATCAGAGTCGAGAACAGATACGACATTGTGAGTCAAAACGCCAAAGTTTAAGGAAAGGAAGAGCAGGAACAGCAACCGGCGGACTTTGGGACGTCAATAGCAAAAGGAAAGAAACAAGTAGCTTCGAGGTTTAATACTGTACATTGCATATACCAGAAATCGGTGAGAGTGTGAGAGTGATTGACTGTTTGCCGGTCAGCACAGCGGCCTCTCCTGGGGCCTCTCCTTGTATGTCCGGAGGCACACTCGCAGACAAACCCTTTTGGGGCCACTGACATATCTAGTCTGCTGCACAAAAATCGTTGTGGGCCGATATACCTTCAGGTCGATCGGTTTCTCTCCTCCATTCACGCACCTCTGCGGATCTGGCTAGACAAGATGGTCGCGTAGCGAGGCCCCTTCGCGCATTGATTGTGCAAGCCGTCGACGGCCGTGTCCAATGACTGTGGGCGACATGCTCGGCATCACACCTTGCGCTACATTTACTGACCTAGGTGCATAAACAGGTCATCCTTTGATACTTTACGAGTTACTCGTTACGAGGTTACAAGTGGTCCCAAAAAGGTGTCCCTGCACGCCGACCCTCTTAGAAGTGGGGTTTGGTACATACTAGGTAGTACTAGTGGTCGAGCGACGGCTCCTCGACACTGAAACGTTGCGGCGCAGCCCGCTGCATACTAGTAGCGTGCACGAAAATGGGGCGTGGCTCATACAGTGATGGGCAGTACCTTATGCCGGACGACAAACGGGGACCAAGAGCGGCTTGACATGGCATGTAGCATATGTACATGAAGTCTTCCTCAACACCATAGACAACGAAACCTTGCTCGCCCCACCTGCCCAAGTCCAGGGCCGGCCGAGGCTGGGAATATTTAGTATATATAATATAAATCCACAATTCCCATCGCCTCCCCAGGTAGGAACATTAACCTAGTGGAAATGTTTACCCAAGCCTTCGCATCAAAAGCAGTTCTTCGGGACTCTCTACACTCTGCAAGATTGTAGTTCAATTAGTAGTTCTTCGGGACTCTGGCTTAGGTGGTTAATGGGTTCCTTCAGAGAGGGCGCACGCAGGAAACTGCGAACCTACCTCTGTAAATACCAATCCCTTTTTTTTCTCTTCTGCTTTTTGGTTCCGTGGTCAAGATTCAAAGCGGTATTTTGTTGTGATCACTTTTTGTGCGCAGCCTGCCACGGCGTCAAGTGAAGATCTTGTCAGTACTTGGCGATATGGCGATGCGCTGCACTGGGCGTCCTCCTCAGCATCAGCACCAGCACTGGGTTATGGGCGATTCACTTCACCGACGAATACCCCCAGTCCACAGTCCTTCGGACCGACCTCGGTTCCAGCCAGCCATCAGTTTAGTCCCACCCGACTGCAAGTTTGAAGTCAACGACTTTGACTAGACTTGGTGTTTCGTGCAAAAGTTCGACCTCATCTACGGAAGAATGCTGCTTGCAATAGGGCTTTTAGCGCCTATTGTGCACCGTGTTCCTACTTGTTTTGGCGTCGAACTTGTCACTCGGGCCACATTTGCACTTACAACCGAGAGACTGGTGGTCTGTCATAGCCTCCGACCGAGCTTTCCTGCTGCTTCCAACCGGCGACCAGGTCCTCCACGACGATCAGCTCATCTTGACCCCAAATGACACCCCCTTCGACCCCATCCGCCACCCATCCTTGATCCGTCTTCTCAAACACGCGATACGATGGGACGCCACAGATCCCGGCCTCGACGGCTTCTTGGGTGTTGTTTCGCAAGATGTCCTTCACTTGAGGTGAGGATGCCTTCTTGAGCAAGGCCGCGGCGTCGCAGCCCGCCGTTGCGAGGTATGAAGCCAAGACCTTGTCGTCGGATACATTGATGTCGCGCTCCCAGCAGGCTCGGACTATTTTGTGCGCGCCTCGTGGTCAGTAGAGTGAGGTAGGAATGGGTCAATGGGCGTCAATCGTAGGGAGAGATCAACTCACAGAGCAGGGGCACAAGGAACGGATCCACAATTGCGCAGCGCAAGGCCGTGGGCGTCCGGATGGGAAAGTGGCTGGGCCAGCGGAACTGCACGGGCTTGTCGTGGGATCCGCGCTGCTGGTTCACGCCGTTCCAATGACGGACCCAGTCATCCAAGTCTTTACGCATGTAGGCTCTTTTGGCCTGCGAGGTGGCTTCCATGGGGACATTCGGTGCGCCAACTCTGTTTTTTGGTAACTGGTCAGATTGCGAGTCCCACTTTCTCTCGGCGCGTCCACACTCACGCTTTGAACAGCGCGCCCAACAAAAAGGGCTTCATGACAATCTCGACCTCGGGTCCAAACTGTCTCCTCAGCCGGTCCAGTTGCGTCCACCCAAGGAACCCCCAGGGGCTGCTAAAGTCGAACCAGAACTCGACCCGTTTCTGGCCGGTCGCTGGATGCCCCTGCACGCACCGGGGCTGCAGACTCGCCAGGTTGGGCACTTGGGCGTAGTCGCCACGGCGTTTCAGCGCATGGAGCGCAGCCTCCACGAAGTGCATCCGATCTTGGCCCCAGTAGAGGCGGCCGCGGTGCGCCTTGCCATCCGTATCGTCCACCCACTCCTCCTCATCCACCCAGAATGCAGGCACTCCGGGCGCTCCGCGCGCAATTACTTCTGCAGTCGCCGCACGGAGAGCGTCCTGGGCATTTTTGTCGTCAAAGGCCGCCTCAGAGAGCCGGACGCCACTTCGCCGGGCCACATCCTGGAGCACCGATTTGTCGGTGATGTCGAGGTCCTCGACCCAGTACGCGCGAAACAGCGCGTGCGAGAGCGCCGGGCGGGCCTCGACGGCCACATGGTAGAGCAGACGCAGAGCTAGGACGGGACTGCGGGGGTGGACGGAAGGCCAATTCAGCTCCACGTTGTTACGCTGCAGGGTCCGCCGCAGAGCACGCGACGTGAGCCGTTTCTTGGTCGGGTTGAAGACGTCCGACGCTGAGCCCGCGGCGCCCTGCGGAGCGGCGGTCTCCCGATAGATGGCGCCCAGGAGCACCGGGGTCCAGATGAGGTCGGCTTCGGTGCGACGGGCGAGGGCTTCGACGCTATTCTCCTCCAAAAAGGAAGGGGGTCAGAGTCAGAACAAAAGGAGCAACAATCAAAGCATTTTTTCATAATTCATTCTTCCTTGGCGTGGATTGGTTGGATACACAATGCGGTAACCCAACTACGAAGGGGTATGTTACCTACCGAAGCGAGCCCATATATGCGAACGGACATGTTACCTAGTTGATGTTTGGGTCAATAAATCATCTGCTACCGTGAAGAGTGTTGCCCAGGCAATAATGAAAACTATTTGTTCATTCGTCGAGTAGGAGAGAGAGACTCAAGACCGGCTTGAACGGTTGTGTGACATACATCGTAGTAGAATTGGAGCGTTGGCTTGTCCTTGCGAGCCATTTCTCAGGTGTCGTCGACGGGGACGGATGTAGATTTTGAGACGGCAGTTGTCTTGAGCCGCGTAGAGAGCGATGTAAGCAAGTTATAATGACGGAATGGAATGGAGAGCTTTCATGGAATGTATGAGCATTTTGAATCAAGGGCTATGGGAGCAGTGAGAAGGAATGTTGGTGGTTAAAGGCTTGGGATCGGACCTCGGTAATATGCTGCCGGTAAGACGGGAGCGGGGTCCCCACACACTCTTCAGCCTCGTCAACTGGCACCACGGGCCTTGCTCTGCATAACATTGTACATGCATGGCTCGTTTCTGTCTCCGCGTGCTGGGGAGTCGAGGGATAGATCAGACGATTGGAAGGAAAGGAAATAGAAAGCCCTTGCCAAGTTGGATCTGATTGAAGAGTATCCGCCCCTCAACCCAATCGCACTTTCTTATCCTAGGCTGAGCTTCCGTTCCACATTCGTATTTAGTGGTTGCCTAGTCCAAGCACAGTAGCTGCTTCCGCTTTCCAGTGTACGCATTTAGTTTAAGGCTGGAGATGCCTGATCTTGGTATGCTCCCAAGCACACTTTGAGCTGGCGCCTTGAAGTACTTGACTTTACAAAGGCAGCGGCCAATTCAACACCTCGAATCCAACACGAACGAGCTCCGGATACTGGAAGCAGCATGGATGACAGCCAGGCAAATGGTTCTGATCTCTGCGATCTTTGCGAGGTTCTATTTGAGCATCTCCTGGACATGCGCAACCCACAGCGATACTCTTTGGATGCATATGACCAGAAACTACATTTCTCTTCTGAATTTCTAAAGCGAGGCGGTGACTTTGACTCTCTACCTCCAGACACAGCGAGGACCCCATACAACCTTATCCGCGCGTCGGGTGGTGGGTGTGCTGTGACTACGCACCATGGCACCGTGAGTAGACTCGCTAGTTCGGGTGAGACGTGCGCCGTCTGCCGTCTCTTCTCTGCTTCAGATATATTCCTGGAAGGGGCGACTACCTACGAGGTCAACCTACATGAAGGAACTGGCAACGCAGATGACCTTATCTTCGAATTACTACCTGTAGATGGACCACGGCAGGAAAACGCTCGGTTGAGTGCAGACGCCTACTACCTGTGCATGAGGCACGATTTCTCAGAAGACAAAGTCCCGGAAAAGATACAGGATGCAGCCAGAAAACGCATCTGGGGCCGACAAGTTCATGCTCGATCTGACTCGGAAGAATGCCGACAGTTGGCCCTGAAGTGGTACAAGACATGCCAAGCGCATGAAAGGTGCCATCGACCCCAAGGATCGACTTTGCCGACACGCGTGATAGATGTGGGAAGACGTCCTGCAGATACCATATGCTTGAAGACGACGAGCGAAGTACACGGGAAATACGTTGCTTTGAGCTATTGCTGGGGTGACTTCTTGCCCCTGAAACTGACCAGGGACGTCATCAAGCAATTCGAGGTCAGTATTGCGTCTGCCAGCCTTCCAAAGACATTTCAGGATGCTGTCGAGGTTACTCAAAGTCTCGGATTTCGATACCTTTGGATAGATGCTTTGTGCATTGTCCAAGACGACCCTTTGGACGTGGCTAGAGAGGTCGCTTCAATGCACAAGGTGTATGGTAACTGTGAGCTTGTGTTGTCAGCAACATCGTCCGAGAATTGTAATGGTGGGCTATATTCTCTTCGGAATGCCGTCGCGACCGAAATCCGATTGCCAAAGACTACCAATTTGCATACAGCTGGCACAGTTCTCATCGGTCGATATAATCGACACCGAGTGGCACACTTAGATTCACAACCACTTGATCGCCGTGCATGGAGTCTCCAGGAAAGATTACTAAGTCCCGCTGTGCTTCACTTCTTACCTTATGGCTTAGTCTGGGAGTGCCGGACAGTATGTGTGAGCGAAAATGGAGAGGTAGAAGTTGACGGGATCGATCCCTTCCTGAAAGCTCTTCCGTGGCTGTTTTTGGGAACTTGGACTGCTACAAAATATGGCACCTGGACCGAGATTGTGCATAAATACTCATCGAAGAGCATGACCTACAAATCTGATCGACTGCCAGCAGTCGCTGGACTAGGCTCATATCTTCATGATCATGAGTACAAGCACACAAGATATTATGCAGGGCTGTGGGAGTCAGAGTTGCCGTGGAACCTTGTTTGGAGGACATCATTTCCCCAAGAACGTAGTACGACGACGCAGTGCCAACCACCTTCCTGGACCTGGGCAGCTGTCAGCGGAGCTGTGAGCTACTCTACATGGCCTGCCGAGCTTAATCCAAAGGAACGGAAGAGCTATGTGACAATTTCACATATTGAGACAATCCCAACCCTACCAGGCCACTTCCTTGGCCATGTCAATGGTGGGAAAATCGAACTGCATGGGCCAACACAGGAAACCAGCTTTGACTCAAAGCTCAACTCGCTGGACCAGCGAGACTTTTTCGGACACATAGAATGCTTCCTCGACATCAAGATTCCTTTGAAGAGATGCACATGCTTGCTGGTAAGCTGCTTGCCGCAAGTGCTGCTAAATGAGGGCGAAAAGAAGTCGTGGGTGGCAGATTCCCTGATTTTGTTGGCTTGCAGCGATGATGATGAGAGTTGCTGTCAAAGAGTCGGAGTGGTACGACATTATATTGAGGGTGATACCCAACCTTTTCCGACTGACGTGTTCAAACACCCTATCACTCGAAGGGTGACGATAATATGAGAGTGTAAGCAGGCAGCCTCAACTTGCCATACGTGAGCACAATCATCGGAACCGTTGGCACGGAGACGACATTGGTTGTCGAGGTATCGTACGTAAAAAAGTCTGAGGAATACCTTTAGAAGTCTGAGTTAGGAGCCGCCCTCCGTAGTCTTCTCCAGATCTCTGGTACAGTGTGGCACGACAGACAGAGGATGAGAGAGCACAAATCACACTCCCGCGCCCATTGGACGTTCGTCATCAACGGGTACGGTCCACTGTTTCGAAACCACGGCTGAAATGTCGCAGACAATGTTGAAAAAAGGGCAGCAGCATCTTGAAGTCAAAGATTTTTGAGCGTACTCAAACAGAGAACAAAAACTACTATATGGATATGCTGGAACAAAACCGTACGTAGTTTGATGCAAAAAAAAAAAACAAAAAGCTCCGAACGTGGTTCGAACACGTGACCTAGAGATATTTGTAGTGTTGTAGCTTATTTTTGAGCGTTGTAAGCTTTGCAACTGCAATCTCTCGCTCTACCACTGAGCTATCGAAGCAATCGCTGTCGAGGTGACTTTCAACCATGAATTTGGGCACACATGAATATAAATAATCAAAAGGTTGGGGGTTCCTGGCGCGCTGGGTATGACTGTTCAGGGGTGCGGGGCTGAGGGCGCAAAGCGGGGATTGGCCGAGTGAACATCCCGGGCCAGTACTCCGTACGAGGTACATAATGATGACGACCTTCTACTAAGACTCATCGCTGACTCCTTGCCACCGCAAGGCGGCGGGAGCAAGCAACTCAGTCACGATTACGATTAATGATACTCGGCATCTCCAGCTACGCACAGGTCGACGACACTTTTGGAGATCCACCGCTCATGCCGTGGTCTCGGAAGAAGTCGTCGCGGCTGGCGATACAAGCAGAGTGTGTAACTGACAGCATCAGCCACAATGGGATCTAAAAGGATGAACGATAATCTTTGGCTTTCCCTTTTTCACAGCCAGACATGGGTGTTGCGGGATCTCAAACAGGCCGCCTGTTTGTCGAGTGCTGGCCTCAACAATACCGCCTCACGGTGCAGGTTTGCGTTTCAAGATGGCGATAAATGTTCCTCAGCAACGCGATCCCGCATGTATGATTTGTCTCCCGCAGAGAGTCAGAAGGCCCGCACTCTGACTCGGAAACACACGTGATTTGGATCAACTGAGTCCTTTAACGGAACATTAATACCAGGTAGTATGCCTGTTTTCGGAAAGTGCTTAGTCGATGGAAATCCAAGCGCAGCGGCAGTTACCTAGGAGCCGCGGCCGTTGGGATGAGCTGAATGAGGACTCTCGCATAAAATCATATCAACTTCCGCCGAGAAAAAGCGTCCGAGAGCAGCTGAGTCGGAAAGACGAGTTGTCTAACAAACAAGTATTGAACAGTGAAACAAGATGGCAGTAAACGGGTTGAGTGGTCAGCATACGAACAATGTGCCCCTCTGGATTGACAACAAGCCTGTGCAGTCGAAGAAGACGTTTCCCGTTTTCAATTCGACGACACAGAAGGAAGTATGGACCGCATCGTCTGCCAGTGTGGAAATTGCTAGGGAGGCTGTTGATTCTGCTTCCAAAGCCTTTCAATCATGGACTCACACCCACCCAACAGACAGGAGACGCATCTTCTTCAAGGCTGCAGAATTGTTCAGATCTCGCGCAGACGAAATTATTGAAACCATGGTTCAAGAGACCAATTGCCCCAGACAATGGGCTGCTGCAATCAACGTGCACTTGGGGGTCGAGTTTTTGGAAGAATTTGCCAGCCTTGCCACAACTTGCAGCATGGGTTCGTTACCAACGACAGAAAGCGAAAGTCGGTAAGCTCTGGATCCCTCCACATTCCCAGCTAACAACCAAGATCGCTTGGCTCTTGTCTTCAAGGAACCGTATGGAGTAGTACTCGGGATTGCTCCATGGAACGCAGCATTCATCCTGGCCCTTCGAGCAGTAACCCCACCGATCATATGTGGAAATACCGCTGTGCTCAAGGCATCAGAACTGTGTCCCAAGACCCACAACATCATTGGTCAAGTTTTCCGCGACGCAGGCCTGCCGTCTGGGGTGTTAAATATCATCCAGCACTCCCGTGAAGACGCTGCTGAAGTAGTAAATGCCTTGATAGCGCACCCTGCAGTTCGCAAAATTAACTTTACCGGATCAACGGCGGTAGGAAGGATCATCGCACAGCAGGCAGGCCGTCACCTCAAGCCTGTTTTGCTAGAGCTAGGTGGCAAAGCTTCGTGCATTATCCTTGAAGACGCAGACCTGGTCAAAGCCGCAAAGGCCGTGGTGATGGGAGGGTTCTTGCACGTGAGTTGATCCTCCTGGATTCTAGGCCGACTTTTGACACTCTATAGCATGGACAAACCTGCATGGCCACGGAGCGAGTGATTGTTATGCGTCCGGTTGCGGAGAAATTCTTGGAGATACTCAAGAAGGAGGCCCAAGCATTTGTCGCAGGCAACGCTGTGTCCATTGACGGGGCGAAGCGAACGGAGTCCTTGGTTCAAGCTGCGGTGGACCAGGGCGCTCACCTAGAATTCGGACATGTCTCTCGTCTCAATGCATCCCTCCAACCGACAATCCTCAGTGGTGTAACAAAGGACATGGCATTATTTCATGACGAGAGCTTTGGGCCAACTCTGACCTTGACAACAGTGGACACTGTTGATGAAGCCGTTGCCTTGGCCAACGACACGGGTTACGGTCTCTCGACGAGCATATTCTCCCAGAACATCCCAAGAGCGCTGAAGTGTGCAAGACGGATGGAGACCGGGGCCTGCCATATCAATTCAATGACGATCCATGATGAGCCGTGCTTACCGCATGGAGGATCGAAACAGAGCGGATTCGGTAGATTCGGTGCCCAATGGGGAATGGACGAGTTTCTCCAAGTTAAGACCATAACAATCCTAGACGAAGGAAATAGTTAGTTGCCATATCTGGAAAATGAACAATGCCGCTGGAGCCTGCGGTAATGAGAGCGCCCTACTGGAAGCATCGAGGCGAGCGGCACCCCAGTGCCCCAGTGCTCCAGAGTGAGCTGAATAATTTTTGCATGTCATAATGGATCGTGGGCCTCCGCTTTTTGTCCGGCATGTTCGGTCAATATGCGGGTTCATATACCGAATACCCAGCCGAACACCCTGCATCAGGACGCCACGTGATACCCTCTCCCTTTGTTATAACTGCCGTTTTGTCCCCAAGTGACCGGAAGAAGGTAAAAGAGCACAAAATGGCGTCCGGATCGAAGTCCAATGGTATGGGGAGCACAGTCGCTCTGGTTGTCTCTGAGCACCATGGGCCCTTCGAAGTTAAAGAAGTACAACTGAATGATATGCGGCCCGATGAGGTTGTGGTCCGCATGATAGCGACGGGTGTCTGCCATACTGACGTGGCTACTTCCATAGGAAACAGAGGTCCTGCACTACCTGCCATTCTCGGCCATGAAGGTTCTGGGGTGGTTGAACAGGCCGGCTCCGAGGTGAAACACGTCGCTGTTGGCGATCATGTGCTTCTATCGTTCAGTTACTGTGGGAGTTGCGTCCCTTGCCGACGAGGAAACGTGGCATACTGTCGAAAAGGGCCTCATTTTAATTTTGGGGGGTCCCGTCTGGATGGGAGCAAGCCATTCTCTCTCAACGGGACCGAGATCAACTCATCTTACTTTGGCCAGTCCTCCTTCGCCGCTCGCTCGATTGTGAGGGGAGTCTGTGCGGTGAAGGTCCCGCCAAACGTCCCGCTAGACATTCTTTGCTGTCTGGGTTGTGGTATTCAGACAGGAGCTGGCACCGTCTTGAATCTTCTCAAGCCCTTCGTGGGAGCATCAGTTGCTGTATTCGGAGTCGGGTCGGTCGGGCTTGCGGCAATCATGGCGGCGGCCAATTTCACACCTGCCACAAAAGTTATTGCTATTGATATCGTGGATTCCAGACTGCAGCTTGCGACAGAGCTAGGCGCGACGCACACGATCAATTCGACTGGGAAAGACGTGGTTGCAATGATCAAGGACGTCACAAACGGCGAGGGTGTCGATTGTGCACTCGATGCGACGGGAAACGTTGCTGTCATCGAGTCTATGATCGCGGCAGCAGCGAACAATGGAACAGTGGCAACAGTCGGAGGAGCGCCCAGGGGGAAGTTTGTCAATATTGAAGCGGCTGCCTGGATAGGGAGAAACGTCAGTTACGTTGGCTCATGTCAGGGGTCTTCATTTCCACGAGAGGTATGATCGATCGGGAGGTGACGGCTTGGCTTTGAACTAACAGTCGGCAGTTCCTCCCGATTCTCGTCGATTTTTGGAGCCAAGGGCGATTTCCAATAGATCGCCTGGTCACCAAGTACCCCTACACCGAGATCAATCAAGCAATCGCTGATATGCACCATGGGAAATGCATAAAGCCAGTGCTGGTATGGGAATGAGGGAGGAAGACTAAGCCAAGAGCCTGGCCTTCGAACGATCATGAGCTATCACCCTTGTCGCCGATATTGAAACTCTGCGCTTGTGTGTCGCACAACTCGTTGGCAAATTCAAGGAATAGAAATGTGTCGATGATCACGGTCATGGTCGGGGAAATGGCTCCAGAATTCATCAAGCAGCCCTGAAGATATGGCTCGCGTTGAGCTGTCAGTCCAATTTTGATGCGACAATGCAGGATATGCTTGATCTCGAGTAGCCGTGCTTGTAGACGAAAGTATACCCCTCGAAATGAAGAATGAAGGGGAAGCTCAAAGCCTCGTCGAAAAGGAGAGGCTCGGCGTACGGACTAACAATCCCCCGAGACTGGGCACAATTGCTCACGTTGACACTTTGGCGCGTCCGGCGTCGACGTCGCGAGGTGCACCAGAGCCTAGGAGTTGGGTAATGAATGCTACCTGATATCCTGGTTTTCAGACAGGAGCCATGTCTTTATAACACACACTCCCTGTAATGACTCCTGTCAAAGTGATCCTTCAGCATGTGGCTGGACCGCTTAACTGCTGGTGCTGCAACACCCAGCGCCTCTCGTGAATCGCTCGTCCCGACGAGGCCATACTCTCCCTCCCCTCGCAAAACCTCACAGCTTGGTCAGGCCCAACGCACTCTCTCAGGCCTTGGTCTATCTGCAACTAGATCCTCGACCTCCATTGATCTTAGTGCGAACACTTCTACCACATCGCTCACAGCCCCGGCGAGACAACCCAATGGATCCTCCCTCAGATTCGAGCAGAGACCCCCACCCGATGTCGCAGACCCCGTGAATGTCATAAATAGTATACTGGGAAACTCGAAACATGGAACAACACCTGATGGTGGGTCCAGGAAGCGAGACGGAGAAACGAGTAAAGAGATTGACTTTGGGGGTTTGAGCCTTGAAGAGTTCGTTGTCCAAGATATACCGCTGCGACCTGCTGGCGACGGTTCTGCGGTTGCGATATCAACAAAAGAGAACAGACGGAAATTCGAGGAATTTCACAAGTCAATTGCAGAATGCGACCAAATTCTTACCAACGTCGAATCTTACCTGACCAATTTCAAGGCCGAACTTGGTCAGGTCTCTGCGGAAATCGAGAACTTACAGGCTCGCTCTACGCAGCTCAACGCTAAACTCGACAACCGTCGTAATGTCGAGAAGCTCCTGGGCCCTGCGGTTGAAGAAATCAGCCTTTCTCCTTTCACAGTGAAGTCCATCGCAGAAGGCCCCATGGACGAGACATTTGTCAAGGCTCTGAAGGAAGTGGAAGCCAGGTCACTCATAATAGATGCCAAAGAAGGAAAGTCGGAGCAGGTCAAGGCGTTGCAGGACCTGAAGCCTCTGCTCGAAGACCTCAAGGCCAAAGCGATTGAGCGCATACGTGACTACATCGTGGCTCAGATCAAAGCGCTTCGTTCACCAAACATCAATGCCCAAGTGATCCAACAGCAGACTTTCCTGAGATATAAAGACCTTTACGCCTTTCTGGCTAGAAATCATGCGGTGTTGGCCGAGGAAATTGGGCAAGCATATGTCAACACGATGCGGTGGTACTACAGCAGCCACTTTTCCCGGTACCAGCAAGCTCTTGACGCTCTACAAATCCACGCCTTTGATCAACATGACCTGCTCGGCTCAGAACCGGCCCCAGCAACAAGACGGAATGTCCTGGGCTCATCCAAACCCCCTCCTCCACCGCACGATGCCTTCAGCCTGGGGCGAAGGGAAGACCTTCTTAAATCGAAGAACGACACAGCCCTGCCAGCCTACCTCGCGGAAGAAAGCAAGTCAGCACATTATTACCTAGAAGTCCCCTTCCGGAATTTCAACCAAGCACTCATTGACAACGTCTCGGCCGAATATTCGGTGATCACCGAACTGTTTTCCACCAGTACGTATCATCAAATCTCGCGCCGGGTAGGTGAGATCTTCGAGCCGACGTTCGCCATGGGTCACAATCTGACCAAGTCGCTCGTTGAAAACACCAACGACTGCTTGGGCGTCTTACTCTGCGTGCGTCTCAACCAGCATTTCGCATTCGAGCTGCAGCGGCGCAAAGTCCCCGTGGCGGACTCATATATCAACTACACAAACATCCTCCTGTGGCCGCGCTTTCAGATCGTCATGGACGCGCATTGCGAATCTCTAAAAAAGGTCCCCGCTCCAACGACCGGTAGTCGGGGCGCCGCGGCTGCAGCTGCGTTTTCCCTCGTTGGCGGAGGAGGATCGCCGTCAGATGCCTTAAGGGCCTCCTCGGTCGCACCGCACGCCATCACACAGCGCTTTGGCCAATTCTTGCAGGGGATTCTCCTGCTCAGCGCCGAGGCCGGCGATGACGAGGGCCCCGTCTCGAACAGCCTGGCGCGGCTGAGGACCGAGTACGAGTCTCTGATGGGCAAACTGGCCAAGGGGGCCGGCGACGCGAGTAAAAGGAACAAGTTCCTATACAACAACTATAGTTTGGTCTTGACCATCGTCAGCGACACGAGGGGCAAGCTGGCGGAGGAGCAAAAGGAGCATTTTGGCGGTCTGGTCCGGGAGATGAAGAAGTAGATTAGACCCAAGCCTTTGAATTAATAATGAGGCTTTGGAAAATGGACGCCAAAAATTTGATAATGTATCTATTCATGCTTCCATCGTGACGTATTCCATGGTGACATCGCACACGCCGACGGCCTCTTCTTGCTCCTGCTCTTACTCTCTCCCTTTACAAAGTAGCATGCCAAACACCAAGCTCGGAAAGCAGAAGAGAAGTAGATCTATTCGCACGCGAAAGCAAGATGAGGAAACCCGTTATGTGCTCCCGTGCAAATCTAGGTTACGCATGCCCAGATTGTCGCACGTATGGCACTGCTCTTTCGATTAATCCCACAATTCTTGAGCTCTCCGGGTAATCTGAGACTCAGGGCTGCCATACCCTCTAGATGTAGGTACTAGCCAGACAATGACGGCAAGTCCATTGTTTGTGGCGGATGACTAGAGCCGGTACGGGCGAGACGGATTGAGGTTTCTTTGAAAGTGATCCTAACCAAACCAGCAAAAAGACCTCCCCATAGCCCTTGCTGGTGAGAGTAAGACATCATCTTGGATTTTCGCATACATCCTCGTATTAATTGTCCCGTTAGATCATGAATCTGTAGGTGACGTTAGATATAGCTCTGGTCACGAGTTCATCAAAGTGGACGAGATGGTGGTGTCAACGATGGTGGTTTCAAGCGCAAGTCGAAGAATGATAGCGAGATTCAAACAATTCGATAGCTGAGATATATGCACGACTGATCAGCAGCCTCCGATTGACCGATGCGGAAAGGCTTCAAAGTCAGGGAGCTTGCTGTTGCCAGACTTGGACCGCGATGAAAAACCCCATCTCTCTCGATCGACGCAAGTGACATGGAATCCCAACCTCAGGTATTTGCCTGGAGGGGCATATCTAGGCGAGCGAGCCTTGTCGCCAAGATCCAAGAGCCAAATAACGGGTCATCGGTGCGAGCCTGGCTGGGTCAAGCTGGCGCTGGGAAGCCAAGGCTGGGCGTACTGGTAGATCATGACGATAGCGGCAGAGTAAAGTCAAGCTGCACAGGTTGTGACGAGGGCGAGCGCCAACTCACCCGAGGTTGTCTGACCTCACGGAGAAGGTGAGCAGGAATCTGTTAGAGATGAGGTGGTGAGATCGAGCAGAAGAGGGTTTGATGTGGTCGTGTAGGAACGTGGAGGAAGCATCTGAGCTGCTTGTAGCCAGAAGAGCAGTTGGGGCGGAATGCCAGTCCGTCGGGGTACAAGGACAGAACTCAACGAAGCGCTTATTCTCGGAGCGCAAATTTTGAAGCAGTTATCTAGCGTGTTTGCTTTTTGCTCTTGTCTTTGGCTTATCAGAGTTGCTATGCCAAAAGGAGAGCCTGTTGCATGTGTGGCGACACATTCATGAAGTTTGGCCAAGGAAGTCGGTAGGAGTGGTTTGATCGAAGACGAGCAACGGGCTTCTAGAAGCGTCAGGTCGTGTTTGACGGTCCGGGTCGAGAGAAGAGGATATCAGCACTGTGTTGCTTTAGGTATGCTTGGTGCCTGCGGTGACAGGAGGTCAGTACCTAAGGGGATGCTGTAGAAGACCAAAAAGAAACCAATTGGCAGATATCGAAGGGTAACAGATACGCCATCGCATCTGCACCTAAAACTCTCGGCTCCTGCGCCCATGACCTTTTGATTATTAGCCCCATGCAACTCCCCCGTTGGCGTCCTTCCAGAAGCCCTTCTAACCGACTGCTAATTCGAGGTCGACGCATCGGAGGCGGGGACCGGATTGGGAGACTAGGGCCGCCCCCTGTCGCCCTGCCGCTGAACCTTCGCCTCGAGTGGCCCAAAGCTGATAGTCCGCCTTTGTCTCGATGGCGTTTGTTCAGTCCAGGATTGAGTAATTTAATTGGGGTTGCCAGAGCCAGATCCAGTTCTCCATAGTAGGAGGGCAATTCAACTCTGATAGCTGGGGATACTGGAGGTGGGATGGAGAGCGTGGTAGAACGGACTTGGTTTTGGCAGAGTTGCTTCTGTGGTTGGCGGCGTGGATCAGTTCAGAGTAATTTCAGGAGGGCGCTTTTCTTTTGGTGTCCCTGGGCTTCCTGGTTGCTACCTACCTACTAGGTAGCTACCTAGGCATCGAGGAAGCAGGCCTGAGGCAGCTCCTTGGGGCTTTTGTTTGCCTATTGCTTGCCTATTGCTTTTCTTTGCTTGCCTCCTTCTGGTGGTCCTTGGAACGCGTGCTTCCCTGTTCCTGGTGAGTTCTCGGCCACCTTCCCTTCTGGATGCAAGCTCTGGAGGGAACGCTACCTAGTACTTTACCCCACAATCCGCCACACCAACAGAACAGAGCCCAATGCCTCAATTTTCTCTTACTTTCACCTCACTTCCATTGCAATGTCTGGCAGTTGGGCCACCGGTGAAACTGCCTTGCCGCCTCGCCGCATGTCAACGCCTCGCACAAGGAAAAGCAAACCCATTGTCCGACGGCCGGCGTGCATTGGCATGCCAATAAATCATGGTGCCCAGGTGCCCAGGTGCCCAGGTGCCCAGGTGCCCCGGTGCCCTGTGCAACATTGTTATCTGTAAGGCTCCCTTGGCTCCCTTGGCTCCCTTGGCTCCCTTGGCTCCCTTGGCTCCCTTTGTTTCGAGTTGCGCTGCAGGTGGAGTTGTGAGTTGCGACTTGTGAGCGCCTTGGATTGTCGGCTTGCGCTGTCACTTGCCACGCCACCCTCTGATACATTGCTCGAATTGGATCCTACCTGATGCTGGATGCCTCTGGCTCGCTTTCAGTGGCCTTTTCGTGGCCCTGATCGTATCTCACTCCAGCGGAGATCACACCTTCCCTGCTCCACCACAGTTCCTCCAACCACCCATCAGGGCGCCTCATCCGCTCCTGTCGCCCTTTCTGCCCACCCATCTGCGGTCGAGACTCGAGACGGCCCACAGAGACTGTACCCCGTACTCACAGATGATCACTATTGCACCATTATTCTTGTGTGCTAGCGCAGGCCACTTCCATGATCGACTTTGCCCAGTTCGCCTTGTCCGAGTGGGTCGTAGGGTCACACTCTGGCACCCCAGACTGAAGTCTCGACAGTTCGTATCTCGTTGTCCCTCGGCGCGAGCGATGATGCCAGAGTTGTCGATGGGCTCGACGCAGCCAGGGTCATCCGTCACGCCCCCCCGACACCACCCATGCATGGCCCACGCGCACATGTTGTTGTCCTTCATATACCTGCCCAACTCGCTCCGGTCCTGGAGGCTCTTCTTGTCTTGCCTTTCCCATCTCGAGGTCCCAGGCGCTGTTGCCCGTCCCCTATTCGACTCAAAACGACCGTCGAGCCCTGTCAACGGGTAAAACAGTCAGCACTCGACACCTGCAATAGCTCCAACAAGCTCGAACATGGAGAAGACTGCCGAGTTCCATTTCGCTTCCGGCTCCGAGTCGCCAGAGCCTATCCCATTTGACTACGGTGAGGCCAACAAGATCGAGGTGAGTCTGAACCGTGTGCACGGCACAAGGAAAAGGAGGTCCAAGGTCGCTGACATGTTTTTGCCCACTCAGGCCCGACGAGGTTCCAAGGTCAACGAAGCCACCGATGTCTTTGGCGACATTGCCACCGCTGAGGAATATGGCTATGTCTCGCGAGGTCTCAAATCTCGTCACATCCAGTTCATTGCTCTCGGTGGCACTATCGGTACTGGTCTCTTCTTGGGTATTGGCCGTGCCTTCCTTCAAGCCGGCCCGCTGTCGGTCCTCCTTGGCTATACCTTCACTGGTCTGGCTGTCTTCGCCATGATGATGTCTCTGGGTGAGATGGCCACATGGCTTCCGCTCCCTGGTGCTATCCCACAATTCTGCGCTCGTTATGTCGATGATGCCATGGGCTTTGCTGTTGGCTGGAACAACTGGTACTCCTGCGCCATCACCCTCTGCGCCGAAATCTCTGCAGCCTCGAGCGTCATCCAGTTCTGGCACGGCGCTCGAGATATCAACGTGGCAGCATGGATCTCGATCGTCATAGTGCTGGTCTTGGCCCTCAATATCTTCGCCGTCGCCATTTACGGTGAAGCGGAGTTCATTTTCGCTTCCATCAAGATCATCACCATCCTTGGCCTGCTCATCCTCGCCCTCATCATTGATGTGGGTGGCGTTCCAGGGCAACACCGTCTGGGCTTCCAGTACTGGAACAATCCCGGTGCCATGAAAGAATACATCGCCTCCGGCAGCACTGGTCGTTTTCTGGGTCTCTGGTCCACTCTCGTCAACGCCGCCTTCTCGTATGGTGGTGTCGAAATGGTGGCCGTCGCCGCGGGTGAGGCTGAGGATCCCCGCCGAAACATTCCCAAGGCTGTGCGCCGAGTGTTCTGGCGTATTCTTTTCTTCTACGTGCTGGGCTCGTTGGCAATCGGCGTCTTGGTCCCGTATAACGACCCCAATCTTTTGAACGCCCGCGAAGAGGGTGCGCCTGGTGCCGCTCAATCCCCGTGGGTCATTGCCATCAACCGCGCCGGAATCGATGCTCTTCCATCCATCATCAACGCCGTCATCTTGACATCCGCCTCTTCGTCCGCCAATGCTTTCTTGTACACCGGCTCTCGATATCTGTACGGGATTGCGCAAATCCGCCAGGCACCCAGATTCCTGCTCAAGTGCACAAAGACTGGTGTCCCCGTGTGGTGTGTGCTGGTCACCTGGTCAATCTCTCTCTTGACCTACATGTCTTGCTCTTCCGGCTCGAATACTGTCTTCACGTGGTTCCAGAACTTGACCACAATCTCCACCCTGTTCACCTGGGTCAGCATTTGCATCGCTTACATCCGCTTTTACTATGCCTGCCACGCCCAGGGTATCAACCGCAACCAGTTGCCCTTCAAATCTCCCTTGCAACCATGGCTGGGCTACATCTCGGCCGTCTTCTTCAGCCTGATCATTTTCTTCAACGGTTTCGATTCCATTGCAGGCACTTGGGATTACCAGGCCTTCATCACCGACTACATCGGAGTGCCCATCTATTTCGGGTTGTACTTGTTCTGGAAGATCTTCAAGCGCACGCACTTCCGCAAGGCGGCCGAAGCCGATTTGTACACGGGCAAGGCTGCGCTGGATGCCATAGTGTGGCCTGAGCGTAAGCCGAGAAACATCCTGGAGAGGATCTGGTTCTGGATTGCGTAGAAAAAGGGGTCTGGAGTGACGCTTTTCTTGGTCCAAAAGTGATATATACCATACCCAGCATGCGGTCTTGTCATTGTGTCTTTGAAATAAGAACAGAACTACCAGACAGCTCGTCTCGCGAGCTATGATAATATCAACCGAAACTCTTGACAAACTTCACGTACCTTGATCTCGGATGCGTCTCTTATACTCTTCCTTTGTTGTCATTGAGTTCTTGTCGACGCGCTGTAAAGTACCAAGTAGTCATTGGTTACCCTGGCATGGAGATGTTGTTGAGAGATGCGAACGCCTCACGTGGTCTGGTGTGTTCCGACGAGGACTAGTCTGTTCGCGACGATCAGACAATGAAAAGGACTTCCATCGCTTGAAGTTGGATTCAGAATTGACGGTCGAAGCCGAAGTGGGACTGAGACTGGAACTGGCTGTCCATGTCCATCATGTGTTCATGTAGATAGCCGTCGATACCATCTCGTCTCGAATCCGTCTTGGGCGCTCATCTCCTATCTGTTTCTTCTCCTCTCTTATCTCGAGTCTCGAGGTCCTCGTCCGTTGTGTCTCTCGGAGTCGGCATACCGAGTATTTCGGGCGCGTCTCTCTTTCATCCAAATTCCGGATTCGGGGTTGGCATGTGTGCATGCGCGTATAGGAGTATGTGTTGTATATGAATGTCCTAATTTTGAATGCGATTATTTGTGCCTTGTATACAAACACACTGCATTCACACAGTGTCTTCCTGTTGAACAGGATAACTCAATTGCTCAAATGAAAAGGAAAGAGGTGAAACAAAGAGAGAGGGAGAGTATGTGTGTGAGAGAGTCTCTTATGAACAGGTAAATGAGTTTCGGGAGCCTGGAAAGTCAAAACCCGAACCCGAACCCGAACGATGAGCCAAGAATATTATAAATTGCCGAGGAGCTTGCGGAAATTTCCAATATTCCTTCCAGGCTGTGTTTCGTCAAGAGGGTGTATTGAGAAGAGTAATCTCAACGGAAAATAGGGTCATCGTGTATCTTCTTGTCGATGATCGGGTATGTTGGAAAGACCCCGGCTGGAACGTACGCGATGGGAAGAGGGATATGGGTAAAAGTAGAAGGACGGAAGAAAGACCTACATATACGAACTCAATCAGAGAAGATTGACTGAGTAAAGTCTGGTTGGCAGAGCTGGAACTCTTCCTGGTCCACTGCACGATTCTCATCAAGCTTTCTTTTCTCACAACCATCCTCCAGCGGGCTCAATAGGAAGCCCCCAGTCCGAGCATCTGGTCCGCTTCACGCGCGTATCCGTGCCAGCTTATTGAGCTTGTGCGTACAGCGGACGCATGATGTGCCGGGATTGATCACCGAATAAATGTTGTCCTGTGCTAGCCTCGTCCACTGTCATTGGTCAAAGCGCAATTTCTGTTAGTGAAGGGCGCGGCGTAGGAAAAAGACTTGGTAGATTTGGTAAAAGTGGGATGGGACTATCGCTCCACCAAGGAAGAGGAGACACGAGGCCTTGAGGGACGAGCCCTGCCGACGTCGGAGGCACCAGGAGAGTCAGAAACTCCATCTATGCAGACGCAAATCCACAAGGTTGCTCTCACATATCCGCGTTGGAGGGCTAGACCAGCCTCGACGTTTTTGGTCTTACTAGAATACCACAAACGCCCGATGAAGACCGGCCGATGGCAGTATCTCAAAACTGGGTGTAATACTGTCTGCATTCTCGGTCGGAAACTTTTGGACTCTTCGCAACTCGCATTCTCCAGAAAGCAAAGCGGAGATATATACAACAGGCGATCAAAAGTGTGAACTGGAAATAAATCCTCTAGCAGGCGTCGCTGATCAACCAAATAGATCGAGAGAATGAAGAATGACCAATGTTTCGATCGGCTCAGCAGGCCCCTCGACATCCACCATTGCAGCCATTGACCCGTTAGCTGCGCTTGGTTGACTCCTCTTGACAAATCTAAGTGTAATTATCACCTGGACCGATGCTGTAAATCGCAAAACTTTTTTCTTTTCCAAAAAAGGAAGTGGGGATTCGAGCCTCACTGCATCCGCTCAACAGAGGTCGTATCAGTTGGGACATGAACCCTGCACCATTTTTCGTGCGTGTAGCCCTGTATCCCAGTGTAGTCGTCTTGCTTGTCGCGGATCGCCCAAGCTGATTCGCGTGCAGAAAGGACGCAGTCGCTCATTCCGGGAGCGCCCCGCCACCAAGGACCTGCGAGTTTCAGTCGTCCGTGAAACGTCGACGTCAGAGCTTCCTGGATGGTAGCCATGTCCTGAGCGTATCCAACAGGATACTGTGGTATACATTCGCGGTTGAGCCGCGCTTTGGCCACTTCAGGAGATTCCTCGATGTTGAGGTGTCTTCTCAAAAGAGTCTTGGCCATTTCAATGGCTTGCTCCTCGCTGGGTAGGTCACTTGGTGCCCATTCGCTCCACCAATGGCCACCCATCATGACCGTCAGCTTCGTGCCTGGGGCGGTGTCCTGCGACACAACCTCCGAATAATCTTCTGGGGGATCTGGATCCTCCGGGGTACTCGATTCGGAGTCAAAAGAGACGAAATAAGGGCCAGCGGATCTGGGGGTGACTGAATCAGACCGACCCGATGTCTCGGAGCTAAACAAGACGCCCAGCGCACGCTCAGGGTTCTGTTCGAGGGGTACGGAACGTGGAATAAGGTAACCAAAACCTCTCAGTGACGCGGGCAGCAGGTTGGGGTTGCTGTAATAAAGATTGATAACCATGACATTGACCGAGCAGCCGCTGTGCTCACAAGCCTTTATGACCTTAGGATCTAGCGTTGAGCCTGATGCCCGGGCGCTGCTGGAGAGAAATTGTTTCAATGTCCGGGGCCCTAGTGTCGAAACCACATAATCATAGTTCGAGGTGATTCCAGCAGGGTTTCGGGTGACGGAGACATGATTCTTGCTATTGTTGAATACGACATCTTCGACGGAGGATGACCGTACAATGGTGATATTCTTGTTTTTACCAAGTTCTTGTTCCAACGCAGAGGTTATCTGACCCAGCCCTCGCCTGAATGTATAGACGCTCATTTCGTCAAAGCTGTCCATATTCGGGAGTCTTTCGAAGTAATACTCTTGTGACCTGAGCGCGAGAATTTGCCGGCGCGTGTGTAAAATGACGTTGAAGGGCTTGAACATGATGCGATTCACCATATTGGACAGGATTTCCAGAAGAATGCCAGGTGATCTTTCTCGATCTCTGGTCTCAAGATGCCACAGCTGGGGCAGCAAAGTTCTAGCACTAAGCTTGTAGATGTCGCCAGCGAAGATCCCGTGGAATACAGCGGAAAGCAAGTTATCTGCAACATTCTTGTCAAATCTTCGGGATATGAAGTCTCCGACGGATTCGTCCTTCACATCTTCATCTCGGGGAGCCACCCACGGTTCTCTCGAGCAAGCCAGAATTCCTTCGTACAGCGGTTCGGTGAGCAGGGAGTTCAAAGCTCGAAGCAGCTCAAGGACCGAAGTTTGTCTGGACAGGGCAGGCAAGCGAACGAGGTGATCAGGGTAGTAGATGTACCGATTGAGGGCAGCCGGACTGGACTTTGATACCGCGACGAGGTCTTTGCCTATGTGAAGTTGCGCAAGCTAGGAACCACATTTTAGCAAGACGGGCAGAAGATCCTTCAGCGTTGGGCTTACCAGCTCGAGCATAGCAAGCGGTGCAGGGGATGACCCAGCTCTCAGCGTTCGAGGACCCCATTCGAACAAAACCTCCCCCTTGTCTACTTGGACCACCTCTGAATCAACCCATCCACCAAGCCTGTCGTTCTTCTCAAGTATTGTGATCTTTGCATTGGGAAGCTGGCTGCTGAGGTGGAAGGCTGTAGCAAGGCCTGTAAATCCTCCGCCTAAAATTGCTATCTCCCGAGCATGTGGATTTGGGGGAGGTAGAACATCTTTGCCATGGAGGTGGTGTGTACTGTTCAGGACATAGCCATGCCCGGCGCTCGAATGAAAGGAATGGAGGCGTGGGCTCGGGTACGCTCGAGGCTGCAATGCGTACTTCACGGCATTTTGGTAGGGAGCAGTACAGCCAGCCACGCGCATATCCAGTGGATACACACCGAGCGGTGCATGCGGAGGAGGTCGCAGGATAAATCTAGAGGAATCTAGAGGCTAAGAAGGAGTAGATGGGGGCCCATCAATGTGCAATAGGAATCGATTCTATCAAAATTTTGGCGTGATGATGCTGGGCGATTCGGCTCACTTGCCTTAAACCAGCACCAAAGTCCACCTTTGAGCACCATGCACCTGCAAGGCGCGTTTGATAGAGGAACTTCAAGAGAAGCAATTCCTCTCTGGACTGAGATTAGACCCTCGACACTGCGTCACTGAGAACGCGGCCCGGTGGCGCGGCTGATCTCGGCGGCTACACTTGGTGCTCCGGACACTGCTGGCAATCTCACACTAATATGCCCTCCACTAACAACCATATTTTGTTTATGTCCAGCGTATTCCATTTCATGCAGCCGCCATAGCCTTGTGGGGATTTCCGGCTGTAGGTTTGGTAAATATAGGTTCGTAAAGAGGTGGAACCAGCGGTGGAGTTGCGCCTCACGTCTTGAGCTTGCGATCAGTCTGTGCTTCCGAGACTTGGTCGACAGATCGTGGAATAGCAGTCGTATCTGCCCTCAACCGACCTGCTTGATCGATCAAGCCAGTTCATCGCCAGGCTCAGAAGTGTCTGTCTGCAGCTCCGGGCCATCATAGCCCAACTTCTTCAGATCCCGCAGCAGTTCGCCCTCTTTTCCAATCTTCATGATCTGGTCAGGCGACAACTTCTCGCCAGCCGCCCGCTTTTCCCTCAGTTCACGGACTGCACGTAACTTCTTGAGCTGGTTGCGAATCTTCTTTTGTTGCTCCAACTCGGCGTCGGGGGCCAGTACTTGGTTGGTCACCAGCTTCAAGGGATCGTGCCAGTTCTCCTTTTGCTTTTCTCTCTCCGAGATCTCAGTCCTTTGCATCGCTGATGTGAGCGCGCCTTCGGCGTCTGCTGCAGACCCTTCTGCTGCAGCCCTCTTCCGCGCAGCTTCCCTGCGCTTTGCATTCTTGCTCAATGTGGGAGTCTCATCTTTGGCTGCAGCGAGCGAGTCTGCCCCAGGTACGCCACCTTGACCTCTGTTCTTCCATGCCTCAGCACTCCGATTTTTGTAGGTCTCGACGTCTTCCGGCGGCCGATAGCCTGGTCTCACTTTGATTTCTTTTCTGGTAGAGCCGTCCGCCCGTTTCGAGGCCGGAATGTACGAAGCGCCATCGGCAGTGGTCTGTATGCCGGATTTGCTGGCTCGAGATGTGCTAGAAGGTAGGTTCGACATCGTGTAGGAAGGGCAAGCGGCCGGAAGCGTTGTTTCCGGCTTTTGGTCAAGTGGGCGTCAACATGGCGGACTCACCGGCCTCTCCAAAGGTTCCGCGCTCACGTAGCCAAAGCCCTTTTCTGAACTAGGGTTTCGGGCAGCGAAGAAATGCGTTGCGAATAATTTCGGTGGCTTTTGTGGACCTTGCAGTGAGTGGGGGAAGAAACATGGAAAAGACAAAGTGATGGGTGCGCACCTGCGCTCGCCGCTCGCTGGATCTTCGAGCGAAACCCCGCACCTGGTGGGGGAGCTGGGGAGCAAAGGAAGTGTAGTATTTTGATAATAGGGGGACGGCCTCGCGGACGACCTTCCTGGTAAAGACGTCTGACTAGAACCAAGCTGAAGAAGGTGGACTGTTGGCTACAGAATTCCTTTCTGTACCTGCTCGCTTGGTTGATGACGTGACACTCGGTTTTTTGGCCAAACTCTGGTAAAATTAGTCTAATAGACTTAGAGGTCTACTGTTCTTAGGGATGCCGCTCATCTTGTCTATCCATGATGGCCGCTGCAGAGGGTACTACGGATCCCGAGCTTGTGATATGGGATTGCGAAACAAGATGTTCTTCGCTCCAACGCAGTCTCGATCAAAGGTGCCTTGCGACCTTTCGTCATTCAGGATTGTTCTCAAAGAAGGCCCCTTTCCCTTTTCGTTGATATCAGCACAAGCTTTCACACATATGAAACAGAAAGAATTCGTATTGGTGAGAGAAGGAGAAACATCGCAATACAGTCACACTGCCTTGAGGCTAGAGTGAGGCCGCCCTGTCCTCAGCATCGTCGTCTCAATCTCGAAAACAATGGCAACCAAGTCGTCTGCTGAACACTGCATGACAACAATTAGGATATGTCACCTTCCTGTCCCAAGTCACCCAGGTCGTGATGCTTCGTGGTCACGCCCTTGATCTCCACCCAGGGCGCCGCTCTTTTACAATAAAACTCGATCTCTGGAGCCAGTCCCTTCAGTCGCTCTTCTTCTGTCAAAATAGCATGCTCCGCCTTAGATTCACCAAGCCGCCCATCGATAGTCCCGGTTGCTAATGAGATCATCCCTGGAAAGTCTGGGCTTGAGCAGTAAAGCGGACTACCGCAGCTGGCGCAGAAGCGACGATGGACTGTGCGGCCCGAGTCGGAGCTTTTGTCTGGGTAAGTTGTCATTTGCGGCGGTGGAGAAATTTCTTCATCTGGCTTCATGTCAAGGGCAGAGCTAGGAAACATGACGTTTGGCATGAAAGAGGCGCCAGTCCACTTTTTGCAGCTGATGCAATGGCAGATGATGCTCTTAAGGGGCTGGTTGAGGACCGTGTACCTCCATGCTCCGCAGAGACAAGAGCCGGTAAGACTTTCGGTAGGAGCAGCCATTATGGCTGTTGTCACTGTGGTAGAGATGTGCCGTCGTCGAATGAGCTGGATTTGATGGAGAAATGGATCAAGAGTCTGTGTTGGAGACCAAAGGATATGGCACACCGAGTAATTCTCACCACTTGGGCGGCCAAGATGGGGGCTGCGGCCCTCTTTTGAGGTAAATTTTGTTTACAGTTCCGTCCGCACGACTTTGTGTGACTGGAAGCGACGTCAGGCGTCTCGCAGGTTCTAGAACACTTACCTACCTAAGTAGGTACAAGCTGCGCAATGTGACGTGGATAGATACAGGGAGCTCATGATCACAGGCAAAATGCAGAAGTGAACAAAAAAAATAGCACCATCTCTAATAGTGAGTGTCTTCCTAGACCATGTAACCACGTAAGGTAGTCAGGATACCCGGGAGTCTGGCATTATTCTTCGAAAGTGTCTCCTGGCACCAGACGGTGAACTCGGAGTTCACGATCAAGTGCCAAGACATCCCGGCACACTTTCTTCTTTGGGATAACATGCATTCCAAGTTCGCTTGAACCCAATTCGGGCTACCTACCTGCCTTGGCTTCCGAGCTCTAGCCCGCAAGCTGTCTGAACGCTTTGCCTGCGATTGATGCCGAGCTGCTGAAGAACTCCCTCGCGTTTCCCTCCTTGATCTTTCCAATCTCTCAACAATAGCTGATCGTGCAAGATGCCGGTTGTGGTATGCTTCCACCTGCTGGGATTTCTATCGCTGTTCAATGGCTGACTGACAACCGCAGTCCCAGATTTCGAGCGGCCTCTTCAAGTACGAACTCCCTTCCAGCGATTCCGTCTCTGCTCCTGCTCACCCCTTCACAGTGGCCTGATGCGAAAAAATGCTACCTGGTTAACGACCATCTTCCTTGGCGCCTTCGCTTTCGAGCTGTGAGTTCGTCTCTATCGCGATATTCTTTGTATCTGGAAGCTGATACACTGCGCAGTGGGTTCGAAGGTGTAACGAACTCTGTATGGGACAGCTGGAACAAGGGTGTACGTGTTACATCAATTATAGACTCCTGGCACGCAGATTCTGACCTCGACGCAGCGGCAATGGAAAGATATCAAGCACAGATACATGCAGCAAGCTGAAGAAGAGGAAGAGGAGTAATTCGACCGTTACAGCGCATTTGAAGTATGGAGTTACAATCAAAATCACGATTACCCCAAGGGAGCAACGAAAAGAATTTTGTCTCCTGCAAGGCAAAAGACTCAGGAAGACCATGTACATAACCAAGAAGGACGAGAAAAACCCTACAATTGAGACCGTTTTGCACCATCCAAACCATACCTAAGTAGCATTCTGCAGCAGTTTCAGCAGCGGAAGCAGGCGGCGACAGCTGCATGTCGGACAGAATGCAGCACCTTGAACAACATGGCTCGCTTGCCATCGATAGAGCATCAAGATTCGACTCATGCGCATTTTATGGTGGTATGGGCCTTTGTGCATGCGGCAAACGCCGGATGGGGATACTCCTCGTATGAAGCACCTGCAGGCCTGGCACTCGCCTGTGACATGTGTTAGACGCTGAGAAAATGAAGAGAGTTGAATGTTGGATTTCGTGGATTGTAGTATCTGCCTCCCATCCCGTAACTGTATCATATTGCCCCTATCAGAATATGTGAAATTCTGGGGACAGGATATTGATGTAAGGGGAGGCATATCCGCCTCGCCGCCTCACGGCCTTGGCCTCGAGGGTCTCATGGTTCATAGTAACTGCGTCCGCAGCCTTTGTCACATTTCCCTCTGCGAGATCGTTTGCTTGTAACAGAATCCCTTCCTTCTCTTATGCGGGTTGAAGTTTGCATCATCTCCATCAGCTCGCCGGATGACGAAACCCGCGTGAGCACGAGCCGAACTACAAATCTGTCCATTAACGAAACGATCTTGCCATACTCACATCCTTTACATCCCCAGCCCTGGGCGATTCATCTCTCCGTGTATCCAGCCTCTTGAAGATACGCTTCCTCTACTAGAACATCTGGCTTCTGCATTTCCAGATGTGGGCCACAGCCACCACGAAAACCTCATCATGACAACGCCGACCTCCAGCCTGGACCGTCGACTGCGGCAGGCGCTCTGCGAGCATCCGCGGGAGCATGACTATCGCTATGATGCCAGCGCAAAAAACAGCCTCCTAGAGTTCCTCTTTCGGGCCCTGACCAATGACCGAACAGATTACTTGGGTGAACTCTTCCCCCAGGGTTTCCCTCCTTCCTACAAGCTTCAAGACGCACAGGGAGTACAAGAGAATGCTGAGTATAGTGCGGCTGCAAGAGGTCATCCATGTGGACACATTTTCAAGCCGGGAGAGGCCAGCTACCACTGTAGCACTTGCACCGACGACACAACTGCCGTACTTTGCTCGCGCTGTTTCATTGCGAGCGACCATGATGGGCATCAGTATAGCGTGAACGTCAGTGCTGGGAATAGCGGATGTTGCGATTGTGGTGACGACGAGGCGTGGAAGAGACCTGTGAAATGTGCTATTCATACTGCAAGTGACGACTGGGCAACAACCGACGAGCATGTTTCTCCCCTGCCAGCAGATTTGCAAGACTCTATTCGCACTACTATCGCCACAGTCTTGGACTACTTCTGTGATATCATATCTTGTTCTCCGGAGAACCTGCGATTGCCCAAGACGGTGGAGTCGGTGACCCAAGACGAGGTCAGAAGTCGGCTTTCTGCGGAACACTACGTGCCAGGAGATGAGGTCGAAACCAACCCTGATTACTGCTTGATCATCTGGAATGACGAGAAGCACACAGTGCGAGAGGTACAGTCGCAAGTGGCCCGAGCGTGTCGTCAGCGCGAGGCGTTCGGCTTGGCTAAAGCAGAAGAAGCCAATGATGTCGGCAGAAGTGTGATCAGGCACTCTCGCGACCTCAAAGAGCTCACCAGAATGGCAAAGATTATCGAAGAAATCAAAGTCACGGTGACGATCAGGTCATCCAGGGACACCTTTCGGGAACAGATGTGTGGTACAATCATTGAATGGCTTGCTGATATCGCTGCTTCCAGCATTGCAGGAGACGGCCATATCCTCCGGCGTGTCATTTGTGAGGAGATGCTCCAGATCTGGAGGATTGGAAGTGAGGCTTGGAACGCCAAAGTAGGAAGAGAAGATCTGGACGACCATGGCGAGGAGGACGATCGCGAATACAGAAGGAGAACAAGACTCCGCTTTTTTGACCCCATCCAATTCGCAATGCAACGAGCAGTGGCGGGGGAAATTCTTGACGATGAAGATGAAGGTAGTGACGGCGACGAGACTGGGGACGTTGATGATGACGAAGACGACGAAGATGAAGACGACAACGAACTGGTCGATGTGGATGACCGGGAAATGAACGATCTCCTCCTCGCGGCAACGGTTTTCGACGCGCCGCATCGCTTGAATCTTCTGGCCGAACAAGCAGGCGACGCAGATGTTACAGATGACGCTGAAGAAATGGACACCGACGGTGACGGGGATTTCTTGGATATTGCAGAGCGGATGGATATGGACGGGCCATCACCTACACCGCCAGCACTTCCTCCTCAAGATATTGGAGACCCTGGAAACAATGTGGCAATGGGCGAGGGTGCGTCCCCCACTGATCCGGACAGCAATGCCAATTACCTCAATATACCAAGGACGCCCGCGGCCTCTGCACGCAGAACACGGCACCGTCCCCCGCCGCCAAATCACTGGAAGTTAGCTCCGTCAAGTCAGCCTCCCCAGAATGCGACCATCCCTGTCTATGAGGACCTGACGAAAAATATCCGAGTGGACTCGATGATCCTCTTCGATCTGCGCTTGTGGAAACTCGCAAGGACGAACATGCGGGATCTCTTCATCAGCACACTTGTCAACATCCCCCAATTCAAACGTATCCTTGGACTAAGGTTCTCCGGCTTGTATACAACCCTTGCCCAGCTCTATCTGGTGGCAGATCGCGAACCAGACCACTCTATCATAAACTTGTCATTGCAGTTATTGACCACGCCCTCTATTACGGAAGAGGTGATTGGGCGGGGCAATTTTCTCACGAATTTGATGGCCATTCTTTACACCTTTCTGACTACCAGACAGGTGGGATTCCCGAAGGACCTTGACCCTGGAGCCACTCTAGGCTTCGATGCTGGATCCGTCGCCAACCGTCGACTCTATCATTTCTTCTCTGATTTGAGATACTTTCTTGCATCCCCGTTCGTTCAAGCGAAGGCCCGAAGCGAGCCACAGTATCTGTCCCAATTCCTTGACCTGGCCAAACTGTCCCAGGGCATCTGCCCTAATGTGAGAGCAGTGGGGGAACATGTTGAATACGAAACAGATGCCTGGATCAGTGCCTCTTTGTTGACACGTGATATCAACAAATTATGTCGACAGTTTGCGGAAGCATATTACGTCTCCAAAGTCAGCAGTTCTTCGGCTCTTCGCTCGACTTGGGACGCAATTTCGCACGCCGCCGGCGTCGCCATCATTAATTCCGTCGGGCTCGAGCGACGCCGGTTTGAGCAGGCAGAGATCAAGGAACCTGTCCGCTTTCACACAGTGGCACCATATGGCTACAAAGTTGTCGACTTCGTAGTGGAGAAGGGCGCGTTAAGTTTCCATCATCCGCTGCACTATACGCTCTCGTGGTTGTTAGAATGTGGGAAGGAATTCAAGCAGTCCATACATACTCTCCGGGAAACCGCGCAAACATTCTTGTCACACCTACACGATACCCATTTGGGCTCCCGAGACAGTGCAATCAAAACTACTCTCAACTCAGCGGACGATGCCCTCCTTGCGATGTTCGACTACCCTCTTCGCGTTTGTGCTTGGTTGGCGCAGATGAAGGCCAATCTTTGGGTCCGGAATGGGATGAGTTTGCGCCATCAGATGGTGCAGTACAAAAGCGTCGCTCATCGTGATGTTGGACATCATCGAGATCTGTTTCTTCTACAGACGGCACTTGTAGCTTGTGACCCTAGCAGAGTGCTTGCGTCGATGATCGACCGTTTCGGCCTCTCTGCTTGGATGCGAAATGGGTTTGACTCGCTCGAGATCTGCGATGACAACCAGATGCTGGATCTTGCGGAGGATTTTGTATACCTTTTGATCAATCTACTTTCGGACCGAGATGCTCTCATTTCCGATCGAGACAATATGGAAACACAACTTCTTGCACTTCGAAAAGACATCGCACATACGCTCTGTTTCAAACCGTTGTCGTATTCTGACCTTTATTCTCGCTTGACGGAGAGAGCACAGGACCATGAACAATTACAAGAAGTTCTTGATCAGATGACCAGATACCGGCCCCCAGAAGGTCTCCACGACTCCGGCTTATTTGAGCTGAAAGAAGAGTACTTGCAAGAGCTGGATCCGTATAACTCCCATTTCACGAAGAACCAGAGAGATGAAGCAGAGAACATTTACAAGAGCTGGATGGGCAAAAAGCTGCACAAGCCCCCGGAAGACATCGTCCTGGACCCCAAGCTGCACCCTATTCCGTGCGAAGCATACGCCAGTCTCTGTGCCGTTGTAAACACCACTATTTTCGCAGATGTCATTCACAAGGCACTTGTCTACGTTGCACATGGTCATAAGTCTAAGGCTGGTGTTTCGGCAACACGCGTTGAGGCGTTCCTTCAAATTGTTCTCCAGCTTGCCCTTATCGCCACATTGGAGGACAATTCCTCGGATGATGCGGGCGACGGCCCCTCCTTCATTCGCCATGCCATGAAGCTCGAATTGGAATCTTATGATAGCCCACCATCTACCATAATTGCGGTGCTGTCCAAGATATGGCTCATGGAAGAATTCAGCTCCTGCCGAAGCAAAATCAGACACATGCTGCGGCTTTTCCATCAGGTGTTGCCTCACCAATTTACAACTGCAACACGGAACCTGGATTTCCCATCAGGCAGATTCGACACAGCTTCTCCTGCGAACATCGAAAGCGAGATCGAGGCTAAGAAAAAGCAAGCAATGGAACGAAAAGCAAGAGTCATGGCTCAGTTTCAGCAGCAACAACAGAGCTTTATGGACAAGCAAGGCATGACCGACTGGGGGGATGAAGACTTGGATTCCCCAGATGAAGAGTTACCTAAATCTACCGAGATGCGGCACTGGAAATATCCTGCTGGACTATGTATCCAATGTCGTGAAGATACGTCAGATTCAAGATTCTACGGCACGTTTGCTATGATCACCGACGCCCACATCTTGCGGGAGACGGCCACGGATGATGTGGACTTCGTTGGTGAGCTCTTTGCGATCCCTGACAACCTAGATCGCTCTCTCGAGAATATCCGGCCATTTGGAGTCTCAGGTTCCAATCATGAACAGGTGAAGCGTCTGACAGCAGATGGCCAGGAGGTCACCGTGGATTTTCAAAGCTTGGGTAAAGGCTGGCCACAAGGCTATACCATGAAGGGCCCAGTCTCGACGAGCTGCGGTCATATTATGCATTTCACTTGTTTCGAAAACTACTATCAGTCAATTACACGGAGACACTCGCAACAGGTCGCCAGGAACCACCCCGAACGGATATCCTTGAAGGAGTTCGTTTGCCCTCTGTGCAAGGCGCTAGCAAATACATTCCTACCGATCGTGTGGAAACATTCGCAACAATCTTACCCCGGAACACTTCAAGTATCGCAAGAGTTCGATTCCTTCTTGGACAAAAATCTGCCATCAACTGATGCACCAACCGCTGCTCAGGACCCCTCATTCGATGCTCATGCCTCGCAGACCTACTTACAGACTCTGGCAACATTCTCCAACAGCTCCCTGGCCCCAGCCATAGCTCGCTGGCAATCTGGTGATCTCACCATCAGCCCAACAAGCCAAGCATGGGCCGAGCGACCGGAGCTTGCCGCTTTCGCTGAGCTCGCAAGTATTTACGGTCGGCTTCGAGAAACCCTTGCGATTGTGGCGGCGACAAGCCGAGTCGCAGCTCCTCAGGAGGATTCGAATTTGAACCATTTTCACCTCCTGGTCGACACATTGGCGAATACCATATGCTCAGTCGAGATCGGCCACAGAGGCCGCGAAGCTGAATTCGGCACTTCGTTGTTGACAAGCATGCCGCAGCAGACACTCAGTCACCTACAAACGCTATCGTCAACCTTGAATGCCTACGCGGCTACAGGTGCACTAACAGTCCGTGGTTCCGTTGAGGCGCAGTACAGAGAGCTTTGCGATCGCCTTGAGCGTCAGTTGGCTGGAATAACAAGTAACATGACGCCGTCAACCGAGTCCGAAACCGCCGTGCCTCTCCTATGCATGGATCCTTTTCAGTTTCTAGTTCAGGCAACGATGGTGCTTAGCCCCATTCGGAGCCTAGAGCTGCGCCATGTTTTACAAATGGCTCTGACCCTCGAGCTCCTCCGAGTGGTTCTAGCTTTCTTGCTCAAGCCCACGGCTCTCTCGAAAGTGGGCGAGATGCTCACTCAAAACCACATCCGACAGGCCAGTCTTCCAACTTCAGAAACGGAGCAGCGGCGTAGTTTGGAAGATATTGTTTTGTGGATCAGACAACAAATTCAACAAACAGACGAAGGTCGCCACTTTCCCAATGACCTGTCACCCACTACGACTGGGATGTTGTTCAAGTTGTGCAAGGTGTATGCTCTTGCTTTCCTCCGAAAGTCTGCCGTCTTCTTTCATGTCGCGCACGGCGTCGATTTTCCCACCACAGCCGGCTCCGAAGCAGGCTTGCCGGAGCTCGAGCGTCTGTGCCATCTCTTACATGTGCCAAACATCGATGACATTCTCAGATCATTTAGCGAGTACTCGACTTCCGGCACTCTAAAATATCGGGCCGGGATTTGGCTTCAGGATTGCATACGTTTTGAAATGATGAAAAAAGGGATGCCTCAGCTCGTCGGTGTGCCTGTGCGTCTGATGGGTATCAAGTTGTTACACCCGGCACCGTTTGAATTGATTGGGCTTCCAAAATATTTTGATGTGCTGATGGAAGAATCGCACAGACAAAAGTGTCCTACCACAGGCAAAGAGGTGCTAGATCCTGCCCTCTGCCTCTTTTGCGGGGAGATCTTCTGTTCGCAGACTGTCTGCTGCCAGACGAAAGACAAGCGCGGCGGCTGCAATGCGCATATCGAAAAGTGTTCGAGTCCAATCGGTATGTTCTTATTCATACGGAAATGTCACGTAGCACTACTGCATGTCACCAAGGACCCCAAGGTTGGTAATCAAGATATTCTCCGGCGAATCCATGGGCTGCCACCAAGTTCTACCATGAGCCACGGATCTTTTTTTCCAGCACCTTATTTGACCAAACATGGGGAGACGGATTCGGGGTTGAGATCGAAACACCAGTTGATTCTCAACCAGAAGCGGTATGACAAGCTGCTGAGAGATACTTGGTTGATGATCAACGGCAGTGTTTGGAGCACAATTGCTAGGAAACTGGAAAGCGAGGTCAATGCCGGCGGTTGGGAAACACTCTAGACACGCATTCTGGGTGACTCTTGGCCACTCTGGGTTGTGATGGAGGAATGGTTGTCATGAGACTACCACGAATCAGGCAAGGGTCTCAGACATGGGTGATTGTCGTCAGAGTCCGAATCCCCTCTCCGGGTGATTTACATTGGTGATATGAATATGTTGATCTGGTGGTATACCTAGCGAGCGCTGTAGGAGTGCCAGTGGACGGCGAGGCTGCCAAGCCTTGTGACGGTTTCAGGTGGGCGCTTAGTAGAAACCAAACAGGGGCCAGCATGATTGGTTTCTCCTGTTTCTTTTCATGTTTCATCACCCGCAGCCCGTCTCCAATGACACTCATCACACTTGATATCTTCGACTTCTCGACCCAAGGTCCGACCTCAGAGGCCATGGGCCGGAGGCAGTGCATTTGCCCAGGCCGCCGTTCGAGATGGCGCCGTCCAAATGTCCTCAGCGTGCAGACGCCCTCCCGTTGAACATAAGCTGAGTCGAAACCGCAAGAAGACAGCAGGTCCCCAGCCTTTTCGCTTTCCCATTTCCTCTGCTGTGTAGACCTGTCCTGCATATCTTACAATCAACTCGCTTTTCGTTTCGACTTTGTTCTCTCATCGCTGTCAGCAACCCCGGAGCGCAGGACGAGGATACTCCTTCGAGGAGCAAGTCACCATGATTTCGTCACCCCTCGCGCAACCGTTACTGCACGTCCTTGCCTTTCTTCTATGCCTTGATCTCCTCGAACATTCGCGAGTCCTTGCACAGTCCGGTGATGGCGGTGAAGCTCAGGGTCTTCAACCCGGCGACATCGGCTCTAGCCCGGGAAGCTCCACAGAAGACGCCGGGGCTGCAGGACCAGATACTGGGTCTATAAATTTGAGCCGCGGGGCTACGATTGCGATCGCACTAGTTGTGAGCGTTGTGGTTGTTCTTGGTGGTGAGTCTATCCCTTTGATCCAAAATCATCCCGATGCCCTTTACAGTTAGAGTGTCCTAACACGACAGGTTTTCACGCTTGATAGCCACGATGGCGGTTTTATTCTATCTGGCAAAGAAGAGACAGTGGAAGATCAAGGAGAGCATCCGACGGTCAGCAAGAAAGGTCACGAGCGCTGTCAAGGCCGTTACCACGCCGCTTACACCCAAGAAAATGACCTTCTCTCCCGTCGAGAAAAGAAGACGAATGGAGGACACCTTGAGGAAGGCAAAGGAGCAACTACCGCCATCAAACTCGAGTGTGGCCAACGAAAAGGAGGCGGGAAGCGGCAGCCGGTCATCGTCAACGGGCAGTAGTCGTGACCTTGAAAAGGGGCTGCCAGACTGTGCTGTCAGCGTCGAACCAAAAGGAGATTATGACTCAGTGATGGTGAAAGCTGAAAAGAAGGACAGGAAACGGCCGAGGCCTCCCAGTGTTACCATTCCGTCTTCGGCATTCGAAATGGACAGCCCCAAGACACCCCTGTGGAAGAAAATGTTTGGACGGTAGAAAGGTCGTCAGGAACCACCTGTAACAAAACCGCGGGGGTTGAGCATACATGGTTACAAATACTTCGGGCTGAGCACCGATATTGAGGGCACGTGTTGAGAAAACATATGGATATGTCGAACAGGCAATGCTTTGGAATGATACCATGGGGATGAACAAAAGATACGAACAGATCTGGGCTCTCTGCTGTTTCGACTTTTCCTTGATTTCCTCCCTTTGGCTGTGAAAAGAAGAGTTCACATGCATGCACCTGTTCTCCTTTCTCAGTTCCATAAACGACTGCTGATTTCATGGACAGCCAAGAGCAGAGATAAATCCACAGTACGGTCGTCGGTGATCCTGGACAATCGATGAGAAATATGCGTTCAGGGATTGTGTCGTGGGTAAAATTCGTGAATCGTGGTGAAGGTGCAACCGTGAACAGAGGCTGCAGTGACTCTTGGCTCTGCCATACTAGGTACGCGGCCACTTCGCGGCCACTTCGCTGCCATTTGGCCTTTCCTTTTCTTTCACTTCACGGGCAAGTTCCCTCCTCGACCCTTTCAGTCCTAATGCAACGCTCACGCAATGCCTGGAGATTTCGACACGCCACAGAGCCTTCAGGCCAACATTGATTGTCGCCAGCCAGAAGAGGATGCTGATGGAGAAGCCACACATTGCTCCGAAGGTGATGTCTTGCTACACCAGGTTCCATACCACCAACTCTAACACTGAAGTGAGCAGAAGCCCGAGCAACACCTGCTGAGGATACTCCAAAAGCTCTTTTCAAGAATGACCATGTTCCTGAAAACAACCACTCCTACCAGCTTCCTGGCCTACGAGGGATACAGAGCGAGGAAGGTGTGTCCAGTGATGAAGCTCAGTTCGACTTTGCACCAATCCAACAAAGCAACCTAGACCACCAATCCATGGAGCCTCCCATTAGCGTGCATGAAGAACTCAGTAGCCCGGGCTCAACACCGTCACCAGAGGTCCACACAATGAAAAGAGCGAGGTCTGTTGGTCATAGAGCAGACGGCATAGGTATGGGTCCAATTCACGCCTCTAGGGTTTCGAAGTCTCCAAGAGAGTACCTTCCGAGACCGACCCAAAATCGTCAAGGACGTCCACAGCAAGACAATGCAACAACTGTCCCTCAGCCGTCAGAAGAGGACCTGCTCTTCCTTCTCATGTCCCGTGCGCGGGAGACGCAGAAGGCCCTCGAGAGGCTGGAGCATCTTGAGCACGAAAATGAGAATCTTCGAGAGCTACAGGGGCAGACAGAAGCTGAGCTGCAACAAACGGTCAAGGCACGGGATGAAGGTGCTCAATATTCCGATTTTCTCAGTCAGCACTTGGACATTTTCAGAGAGAAGTACTACAAGCTGAAGAATTGGGCTTTGGAAACAAACGAAGACTGCGAATTGCTGCAGCAGAAGGCCTCGGGACTCCAGCGAACTCTAACAGCCTTGGCCAAAGACAAAGATTCCCTGCTCACGCAATTGCAGGAAGTTCGGTGCTCGTCGGGCTCAAACTCGGAGCAAATGGAGAACATTCGAAATGGAGTCCGTGAGGCTAAAGCAATGGCAGAGGATAGCGTTGCGGTAATCAGGCAGTTGGATGCTTTTGCCATGGCCCAAGACGAGCATTTGATGAGCGAAAAACAGAGATGTCGAAAGTTGGAGGCTCACATACTCCACTTGGAACAGGAGAAAAACAAGCAGAACATCAGACTCCACAACCAACATCAAGCCACCAATCAATCCCTTCAGGACATCTCGAAACAACTTGGCGCGCTCCACGATGAGAGGGCAGAAGAGAACTCCGCGACAGCACGTATCGTCGAATGCCTGTGCCAGATACAGTCGGTGATTGACAAGAATCTGGTGGCGAAATCAGATCTCGTTCAGCTGAGAGAGGACTGTACATCAGTAAACTCATCACTGGCCAAGCTTGAGGGTTCACTTTCCGAAAAGGTCCAGACGGCAGTAGCAAGTCTCAAGCACGACTTGCAACATGACGTCTCCACGCAGGTGTCGAGATTATTATCGGAAGTGCAATCAGGCAATGTCGAACTTGTCGAGGCAAAAGCAGAAGTGGCCCGACTTGAAGGAAAGACAGAGCAGACACACCAGATCATAGAACTCCTTCGGGAGGCCAAGCGTGAAGCACAGAGGCATGAGGCGGAGTTACAAGACGCCAACAAGAGTCTTAGAAATAACAAAGAGGCAGCTCTAACGCAAGCCGAGGAGCTCCGGACATCATTGCGGACGGTTACGACAAAATGGCAAACAGCATGCTCTGAACTTGAAAAGTGCAAGCAGGACAAGAACGAAGCACAGGCAGAAGTCATTGATTTGACAATTAGTCTGACCGAAGCCATGTGGGAGCACAATTCCCTGCAAGCTGACCTGGTGGCCAGCGGAGATATGCTCAGTGAATTCGCACAACAAAATGAAGAACAGACTATAGAGGTAGGGGTGTCCCGGTCTGGTCGTGACGTTGCTAAACTGAAACAGTTGAGAAACGTAAATGCCCGGCTTTCGAATCTGCAGAGTGATTTCGACTACGAGATACAGGAGAGACTTGAGATGGATGACGAAATGGCGAGGAGTAAAGCACGGGAGCTACAAACTCGACAAGATCTTGAGAAGTCTCGTCAGGAAACAACTGCAGTCACCACATTTCACGGGAGTTTGCAAAGCCAGATAGGTGAGCTTGAACAGAAATTGACCGGGGCAGATGAGAATGCTCGGAAGCTTGAGGACACTCTCAAATCTCTGGAGGAGACTATGGCTGAGCTGGAGCGTCTGAGGCAGGAACAATCCTCTTTGCAGCGCCTCAAAGAAGAGTCGGTGTCTCAGATCCAGCAGATTGCGGACAAGTCAGAGGAGATTCAATCCCTCAAACAGCAAACCGAGCGGCTGCGAAAGATATCTGCCCATCTCGAAGAACGAGCGAAGGAAAAGGACAGTCTCGCCGAGGAGAACGCCATTATCCACAATGACCTGAAGAGCCTGCGGGAACAGCTCTCCGAGCAGAAGGACTTACACGAGAAGCTCCAGCAGAAGACCACCGAGACTACTGTGCTAGAATCCGCTCTTGCTGCTGCTCAGATTCAGACTGCGAGACTCAGCGAATTGGAAAGAGAAAACTCCTCCCTCAAGGAAGCTGTCAAGTCTCTTACAACGGACCTCGAACAAATGAATGAGCAGTGCCTCCAAATTGCACCCTTGCAGGAGACCGTCGGGCAGAAGGATAGTCAAATCGTGGAACTGCAGAACCAGATAGCATCCTTCAGCGACCAAACCGAAGAACTCAAGATGCTCCGAGCCGAACTGGAGGAGAAAGAACAGCAACAGGCAGACATGCAACAGCAAATCCTCGGCCTGGAAGGCGCCATCTCCAATGCCAAACTTGACGGTGATGAGGCAAACCACAACTTGCAGCAAAGAAGAGTGGCAGACCGCTCCGGAAACGCAAAACATTTCCATCGCCCGCAGTTACCTCAAACGCGTCCACAGTCCAGTGGTGTCGATATCGAACTTCTCAATGGCGAGACTTTGCATTTGAGTCCGGCGAATCCCATGGCTAGTGCTATGAACGTTGTACCAGAAACACAACTCGAATTCCAGCAATCCCCAGAGGATCCTGACAGCCTTACATTACCTGCAGATCAAGGGCAGGAGGACAGTGGCTCAGAACTTACTCCGATCCCAAGCGATGATTGGGAAGCAGACCTTGACGACGTTATTAATCATGGCCTTGAGCCCAGCACTTGGCGGGACGACCGCAGCCGAACGAATGTCTGGCCAAAAGGGACCAGCAGCATCAGACGCACTCACAAACCCACCCAACAGGCCCCATCCAGCTCCTATGGATCGCAGAGTGATCAGATGCTTTTGGATCAAGTCAGCCAGGGTGGGTCTCAAGTTCCAGACGATTTGGCATCCAGTGAGACAGGTCCGACGTTAGTTAAGCCTGATAACAGAGCCAGGCTGAAGCAAGGACCGAGTCCAAGAAAATTAAGAAGTGAACATCGCAGTCAGAGTCATCGACCTAGTGATTCTCCCGACCCACTTGCCGAATCTCCAGTTCATCGGGCATCCACACCTGTCGTCCTGCGTGAGCGACATCGACCCAACTCGGCAGCTAAACGTCGAATGGAGCCCGAGAACGACGAGGACAAGATCCCTCCCGAGAATCCTAAACGTCTCAAGCGGACAGCTGCGAACCTCGAAGCGAGGATGTCACAACCTGCCACGCCGAAGCAGAGAGCGGAAAAGTCTTCGTCTCGAGGTGCCGCCAGCTTTCGCAAGAGCAGCAGCGGCCGAGGCGGCAGCAGCAGCATCGTCGGAACGAATGCCCCCGGGCCTGGGAAGAGTCAACAACGATCGACTAAACCTGCTCGAAAAGGTTCCCGGCAGGACAAGTATGCCACCCGATTTCGTGCCGAGACTTGACGCGGAGCCAAAGTAAGTGAACAGGCAGTCGTTCATATACGGTAGGGGTATGAAGGTTGAGGAAGGAGAGCAAGATACAATAAAGGAAAGGAAGAGAAAGGAAAAGAAATGAGCCATCGATGGTCGTACGAAAAGACTCCGTGAAAGCTGTAGTGACGATATGCGTGTGGCATGTTTTTGAGCTCTGGACTTGGAGGTAATTATCGATTTGAATGTGTGTGCTTGATGAGACACAATCATTCATTCAATCTTTCACTCGGTCAGTTTCGGGCACCAGCTACTCCGAACGGTATGGATGCATATGTGTATTTTCTATGCAAGGACAGAATGTCGCAAAGAAAAGACAGAAAGGGAAAAGGAAAAGGAGGCAATCAAGAACAACACACGTTACAAAAAGACGCGAAAATGGTATCCCAATGGTGGGCGAATGGAACAATTTTGTAAGAAACAGACTGGAAGAGATAGGGCAGAGATGGGAAATAGCTAGAGGTTGAGATGTAGATACTCCGGACACTGACATGATACAGTATATTATCCCCAAAGCGGGTCTCCGGTCTTGGAAGACGGCCAGATGCCACATATTAAGGAGCAAGTAGTTTGATTGATTGCCAATCCGCCTTCACCGTGCCGACGATGGTGATTCCCTCGATACTTTTCTCCGTCCTCGTCTTGTCTTAAGGTTGTTTAGCAGTATCGACCCACGCAGCTCTGATCTCCTGGCTCGCAACTCTCAGCTCCAGGAGCAAGTCCGTGAGAGAATTGCATTCTGGATGTTCTGTATAGCGCCGCCATCCTCCATGTCATGCGGAAAGGTACACAGCGAGACAGATTAAGGTAGGTAGGTACCTAGTCAAGTCTCCTGCAGCTCGCTTCGTTTCGTTTGGCCCAATGAGCACGACAGCTCCGCCACTTTTTACGTTTCGTCTCGTGTTGTAAGTGATGATTTAATATGGTTGTGAGCAAGCTGTTGTTCGTGTTCGATCTCTCGGCTTCGGAGATTGGTCGATGGAGAGAGAGAGTTGGGAGAGCGCAATCAAGTAAGGTAGAAGACCTCCGTGGGAGTTTGCGTTTTCTTTGTCCCTTTTCGAAACCCCCAGTTTCGTCGGTCCATATACCATAATATCAACCCTTCAGGTCCTTGAACTGGGGTGTGCATGCAGTGTGAAATGAACACCGTGGCCATTGCCGCTGGGTGTCAATGGCTGCATGTGGGATGGTATGTTATATCGTTCCCTGATTGCATCTCATTCCGCGACCCCGTGGCTGGGATGAACTTGATCCGTGCATCGGTCGTCCAATACAAGTAGTCCGTAGCTTGGTGCGTCGACTCCTGGGGAGAGGGGAGATCGCACTCCCTGTTCGAGTCGCAGCATCTGAATGTGCACGCGGTACCACAGCGCGGTGGACGGACCGATTCGTTCTTCTCTGCGTATGAGGGGTTTCCCTTTCGGCCTCTTCACCCCTTTCGGTTCCCCTTCCATTCCATTTACCTGCCAGCTTCCCCGTGGCTCTTCCCTCGCTGGTCCACCATACATTCCAGACTCTTTCTCTCCTCCCCTCTCTCTCACACACATATACGGCCTCGCAAGGCCGGAGAACGGACCCTCTCGTCCCCACATCCCGTCTTTTTCGGTCCTTCCCTCCTTTATTTATCTGTTTAATTTCCTCTTTCAATCCTCTCAATAATAATATTTATTTCCCCCGCTTCTGCTCCAAGAACAAAACCTGCCTCTTCACCACGGGATCGTACTTCATCATGCTCAGCGGCCTCGACGTGCGCGGCCGCACCATCGTCCGGTAGTACCCCGTCAGGGCCATGGATATCAAACGGACGGCGACGGTGCGGGATTTAGCTGTACGCAAGTTGGGAATGTCAGTTCGACGAGGACCGCGAGCTTGTGGGAGGTAATTGGGGTGGAAAAAGAAATATATGTCAGGCAGGGTCGGAACGTACGTTTTTTGGCCATTGCTGAAGAATGGTAGAGGCGGAGTGAGTGGATTCGAAGCAAAAACGTTTCCCACTGGTTTTAAGCTCGAGATGAGATCGCAATGGCTGTTAGATGGAGTGCGAATCGCGTGGAATAGTCAATGGAGAGCTGCCAGTTGGATATCGAGGTACGAGCTTGACGAGGTACAGACTAGCCGCCAAGCCTGGACAAGTGGAATGTTTAATCCACCGTAGAATATCCGCTGCCATGTCTACTGCGGAGTATTTAACGTTGCCCCTTTTTGCTCTTCGAACCTCGTCCTGGCTACAAAATGAAATAAAATCATAGCAACGCACGTATGTACCAGAGTTTGATTCTCAGGACGCCGGTACAGCCGATTCTCTTATCTTGAGGCAGCCTACAAGGTCAAGCATGCCGCAGTGCCAGTGAATGGCCTTTTTTATGATGCATAATGATACCGCTGCTCCCAGCGCCTGAAGCTGCGACTGCGTTATTTCCCTCCACGATGTATGATAGACCATCAGGCAGGACATGAGACAGCGCTGGCTGGTCCTCCTTGTGGCCAACTCGAAACCCACGATTGAAACCTTTGATGCAGCAAACCCCGGTTTTATGCCGTCAAGTGTCGTCGCGTCATGTCAATTTCATTGATTCCCGAATCGACTTTTTATAACCTGCGATATGCACAATGCGAAACAAGGAATGCTATTTATAGCTCGTCGGAAGAGATGCTGGTAGGCTATGAGTTCTTTGGTGGCACTCAGATCAGTCGGCACGATGGGATATGATTCATCAATCACTGCAATAGTGGATCCTGGAAACCCGTCAGCTTTTCTGTGAGCAAACACACAATCTTCTCCAACACTTACCCTGTAGTGCTTTTGACTGTTGGCCTGCTTCTCCAGCTTGGCCTGGTACCGGTTCTGTGCCCGTCTCTCTTTTTGTCTGGCTCTAATCTCTTCTGAGCGGACGTCTCGTCTCTGCTGGCTCGTGGCACCAAGCATACCAGCCTCACCCCGTCTCATGAGACTGTTTCGAGGAGGGGTCGCCGGAAGATCGACGTCGTCCATTTCCGCGTCTTCTGAGCTTCCCTCTTCAATCAATCTCTGGGCACGCTCCATTCGCTCGGCTGCCGTAGGGTAATTATGCAGATTTTGCCGGTAATATTTCCTCAAACTTCGGTGTCCAGCGACTCTACCGCTGGGAAGATGCATTTCATGTTCGTCATAGAACACGGCATTATTGTGGTGATGCGCGTGTGAGTGCCAGCCGTCTGCATTCCGGTGCGGTCGTGGGTCGGTGTTGGAGTGATGTCTGTGCAAGGGAAGACGTTGATAGGATAGTGTTCGATCATCATTCGGCACAGAGGCGAGTTCATTGGTGTCGAGCGAGGAGAAGGAGGAATCAGTCTCCCAGCCATCCTCTGCACCGTCTTCGGCTGTGCCCTCCAGTTTGACTCCACCGTTCTGTTCTGCTTTCACTCCTTCCATCTCCCCGTCAAACTCTTCTTCGCCATCGTCTGAGTATGTGCTGGAAAAGTCATAGAATTGTCCGACCTCGACCATCTCTTCCTCTGTCTCGAAAGCGATCTTGCAATGACCCTTGTCTCTCATGTGTGTCTGCACACCTTCCGCATTGCCTCTAAGTCTGTGGCAGTACAGACACTCGAAATTTTGGTGGATTTTGGCTTGCATATATCGAATCAGACCTTCCAGGTCAACCAGATAATTCTGTTCGGGAATAAAGAGACCGTGGATCTTGGTCATGTGCATGACGCTCAGTTTCAGGTTGGGAGAGTCGTAGTTGCAGAACAAACACCTCGAAATCGGCATCGACGAGATTTCGGCCTTCTCTGGAGACATGGGGTGGTCTTCTCGCGGCTCTGCGTCTGGTGGGGGGTTCGAGGGTCTCCGTGTGATCTCAGGCATGTCTCGGATGGAGGTCTCTTTGACTCCCGCAACCACTTGCTCGAACTCGGCTTCCGCCACTGGATCTCGAGGTTCTGAGTCTGCTGTCGAACCCACTGCGGACAATGACCGCCGCACGTCGGACCCACTTATGGAATTTGTGTCTCGTGTTGAACCTCGACTCAATGCCACTTCTCTTGTCTTGTGTGCTTTGCTTGCAAGGTGGTTCTGGAATGCATTTTCACTGTAGTATGTCTTCTGGCAGGTGGCACACAATTTTGCATAGGCAGCCTGGGCGGCGGCGGCATTGTTGTTTGCCTGAGCAGCCAGAACCTTTTCGTTGTAGTCTTCGGAGGAAACTGCAGGTAACTCGGCCAGTCTGCGTTTCAGGTTGTATCTGTGCCAGTCACTCCGCATGTGAGTCCGTTGGGCATCACTGTTGCGGAAGGCGACTGCACACGAGTTGCAGGTGTAGGGATGGGTCTGCGAGATATCGGCAGGAGCCACGGTCGCCATGGTGGCACTGGAGGAGTTGGTAGGAAACGTGAGGTGAGAAGAGGAGAGGCGGCAGAGGAGGTGGGTTTGTGCGCTCGAGACCCTGAAGCTGTTAGAGTGGTGAGTGAGTGGGATGGTTGCAGCTTTAAGATGCAGGGCGCGAAATGCTCGCTCGCTCGGCCAGTGGCGGGCTTGACCCGGTGCGCAACACAGCAACCAGGAACAAATGGAAAATGGTGGTGGAGAATCGACACAAATTTGTGCGCTGATGATTTGTGACGTACGTCGGTGGGCGTGGTGGGCGTGGTGGGCAGGGGAGCCAGCCTTTCCACTCTTTCCAAAACTCTCCACCACCTGGAGCCCGGGATAGGCTTTTTGCAAGGGGAGATACGGATGGTCAGCCGGGCTTTCCACAACCTCGATGTTTCTTATTTCAGAGACGGAAATGAGCGGTTTGGTATCAACTGCTGCTTGTTGTGCAGATAACGACGGACAAAGCGTCAAATTTCTCACCTCAGGGCGATAAGTCATTTGTTGAGACCACTAGAGCAACAAGCACATAACCGTCGCGCAACTCTAATACCATCAAGGCAAGGAAATGAGTTCCCATAGTTCGCGGATTGTTGGGTGTGTACTGCAATTGTCGTAGCCAAAACAGGCTGAGGCGACGAGGCCAATTCTATCCTTCTATCTTGGGTATCACAATTCATTTCTCATCAGTCCGCAGCGCCACCAGTATTAAGTCCGTAGGCTGTCGCAGCCTCGTGCCATTTCGCCAGACCCCTGAAATCTTCTGGAAACCTTCCAACGCCACCCTCCATTACAAACCCTGGTAGGCTGACAAACGCCCCTCCTGTCGGTTAGTTAATGCCCAGACGCCCCTCCAAGCTCCAAGCTTTCTCTCAAAACAAGCATAACGCGCCTAACACCACAACCCCTCCAAGCGGATGCAAAATCCGAATTTGAGGTGCAATATTCACAGCGGGCGGCGTACCTGATGCTGTGGCGGATGCTGAAATCGTTGCTGTTGTGCTCAACACTTGACTCGATGTCGTCAAGGTTGTACTGTGGTGTGAGCTGACCGCGCTGGTTCCGCTCCTATCTTCAGTGGTTGAGCTTCTTGAGCTGATCGTCGACGAAGTTTTGCTCGAGCTCGCAGACAACCGATTTGTTGAAGAGGATGACCCAGCAGATGAAACAGAGCTTGATATTGGTGCGCTGCTCGCAATGCTTGTGACAATTGTACTGCTGGCAAGCGTAGTTCCGACGACAGTGCCTGTGTTCGAAATAGTGGTTGGTGATTGAGAACTGACTAAGCTAATGACAGCGGAGGAGCTGCTTGTTCTTGATGGAGAAGTGGCTGCAGCTGTAGTTATTGATTCTGTCCCCGTGGAACTAGTTGTTGAAATGAAAGCGGTGCTGCTTGTGCCTGATAAGGAACCGGTTGCGGATGTATTTACTGACTCTGTTTCGGCGGAAATAGTTGTTGTAGACGCTGTGGCAGACACCGAGGTGGACACAGACCCCAATCCCGAGGTGGAGATCGAACTGAGGGGTGTCGAGATAGACACTGCGGTCAATGTGTTCGTGCTCGTCGTAGCACTTGGGCTCTGTGGAGCGGAAGCTGCAGAGCTCGGGCTTTCGGATGGTCCTGAACCCGAGGTCGAAGGAACAGCAGATGCAGAGCTCACCGATGCGGATCCGGTTACGGCTGTGACTGATGATCCCTGTGCCGTCGCAGGCTGAGAGGTTGACTCAGGAATCGAATTGGTACTGGTGATTGGAAAGCCTTGACTGTCGTAGCTCACTGGTGTTGTTGGCGCCGCAGGATTGATGGTGACCAGTGTTGGGAATCCTTGCTCGTTGTACGAGGTCGAAATTTCAAGCGAGGCCGAGGCCGAAGCCAACGACAAGACTACTGATGAGGACGTATATAGGGACGGGGATGTCGACTAGTAACCAGTTAGCACATCAACACGATATTTGAGCTGAAGCAAGAGAAGACACCACTGACTTGTCAGCCCGGAAATTGAAGAGCTTACCACAGACACTGCTGTGGCTGTGGCCGTGCCAGACCACGGCCAACCTGTGCGCGTCGCATACACAGAGGAGGTGTCACCGCCGTTCCCAAATGCGAGAGGAGCCGAATTAGGCACGGAAGAGGTAACGGCGGGTGCTGAGACAGATGAGGCCGGTGTACCATCTCCTTGGCCGTTGATTTGGCCGCCGGTGGAAACGATAGACTGCCACGTGCCGCTGGTACCACTGTAGGAATATTGTGACCCGGTTGAGTAGTCCGTGACGTGGACAGACTTCACATACATGGTGAAGGGCCCAGCAGAGTAGTCAGTAACTCCTCCAGCCCACTGAATCGTGCCCTCCGGGTTGGATGGATCACCTCCAGCCCAAGCCCCCAGTTTGATGTACATCGGGGTTTGGGGATACTGGCCGGCTTCAGCTTGGTCTTGGGTCATGGCTCGAACGGTAGTCCCATCGATTGACCAGACAATTTGGTCGGCAGTCCAGTCGATGCTGTAGGTGTGGAATTCGTCATGGTTGTTGGGTGCTCCATGAAACGCTCCTCGATTGTACCCAGTGGTTGTGATGCCTTTGCCAAAGTAATTGCTTTGGGCCTGCGTATCATCCCCACCTATCCACTCCCAGTCAATCTCGTCGAGGCAATCCGACTGCAAAATAGCGGCACTGACTATCCCCGTCCCTGGAGCAGCTTTTACCACGTAGTCGACATGGCCAAACATTATGTACCAATTCGAGGAGATGGTAGGAGCATCGCCGTGCTGGGAGATGGTGAAGGCTGCGCCGTCGGAGGTGTAGCTGACGGCTCCTGACGCAGTGAAGTCGTTCGAGGAGCCTGCTGTGAAATCAATGTCGACAGTCTTGCTGAGAGCAGGGTCTGCTGGACATCCGCCTGAGCACAGTTAGTGGGTTGTTCTGAAACGTGATGGACGGGATGGACTCACTTTGCTGTAGAGGGTTACATGACGAGTATGTCTGTGCTGATACGGCAGATATGAGAGAGTAAAGGGTCAATGTAGTGAGCACTGAGCTCGCAAGTGTGGAATACATTTTGTACAGGGTAAAAGTATCGAACGCCGGAACAATGCAGCAAAGACCGAGCAACAGAAAAGTTGCTGGAAGAAATTAGCAGATTCAAGTTGATCGCATGACAGTAACACAACCAATATTCACTGAACAAACAAAGAAGATTGAGTGATGCGGCAGGAGAGAAATCCATGGACATGGGCACAAAAGTAGTCACCGATGGTTCCCACGGCGAGGAGGCTGGTAAACACGACGTCAGCTGAATCGGACAGCACCACAAACTCCTGACACCGAAACCAACGAAGCGGGAAACATTTTTGAACACTTTAATTTGGGCCCTAGCTAGCGGGACATTCGACCATTGGCCATCACCGCGAGAAAGTGGCTGCTATTCACAGAAGAAAACGAGATGCACAATGGAATTGGAGGGATGGAGGGAGGCTGGAAGCCCAGCTCGAGGCTGACAGCACAAGCGCCAGCCTCATTAGGGTTAGCGTTGGAGATCGGATATTTCAGGACCCTGCAGCGGTGACTGCGACGGACTGGAACGTCGGTGGCTGGAAGCCGTCAAGCCGTTCAAATCTCCCCGGCTTGGCAATAGTCAAGCCACAGTGATCGAGAGGCACCCGCTGGCACCAAGTGGCACCAAGTGGCATCAGTGAGATCCCAGCCACCCAATCGCAGGTTTCACTCTGGCGTCACTCATCACGGTCGCTCCTCACCCACAGCCTCGTTGCCCATAACGTGTCCCTTCATCACAGGCCCAGCACGAAGTAGCTTCCAAATCCGCTTGCATTGGAGTGATGTAGCGTCGAAATCTCTGAGGGCCTGGCTATGGCTTTCCCATCGAGTGTCCCATCAGCACTGACGCTGCTATAAAATGCTCTATAGTCACTCTTCTAGACTTTTGATTCCTCCTTCATGCTGGGAAATGCTGCTATACTCCTTCGGATATTGTTCGATTATCCGTTTGAGTTCTTTCATCTGGACCCGAGCCTCTGGGGTGATTTCCTCATAGACGTCTTCGAACATGGCTCGTACCGGCGGTTTCTTGACTTTTTCTGCGGCCGAAAATTCGCGCAACACTTCTTTGCGTATTGACGCCCTCGCTTCCTTCTCCTTGTCCTCGTCCCAGATGCCTTTCTTCTCCATCCACTTGCGTAGTCGAGTAATGGGGTTGTCTCTTCGTTTCCATTCCTCCACCTCTCTTTTGGCTCGATATGCAAAGCTGTCGTCGCTGGTGCTGTGATGACTCACTCGGTAACTCATGGCTTCCACAAGGATAGGCTTGCAATCACCTTCCAGCGCCCGTTTCCTGGCTTCCAGCATGACTTCTCTCACGGCAAAGATATCGTTGCCGTCTACCCGAATAGTATCAATCCCGTACCCTAATCCTCGACTAGCAATGCCGTCTCCCTTGTACTGTTCGATGCTGGCTGTCGAAATAGCGAAGCCATTGTTGCGACAGACAAAGACAATAGGACATGATTTCGTGGCGGCAATATTCAGTGCTGCGTGAAAATCTCCCTCACTTGCTGCACCCTCTCCAAAGTAACAAGCGACAATCCGCGGAGGTACATTCGGGTTTATGAGTCGCTGCATCTTCAACGCGTATGCAGCCCCGGACGCTTGGGGGATCTGCGTCGCCAGAGGACTCGAGATCGTATGCACGTTGAGCTTACCACTGCCATAATGCACAGGCATATTTCGTCCTTTGCCGTGGTCGTCTTTGTTGGCAAACAATTGGCTCATCATTTCCTTCAGCGTGAAGCCTCTTTGGACGAGAACCCCTTGTTCGCGATACTGCAAGAAACAGACATCTTCCGGTATTAGTGCCGAGGCTGATCCTACAGCAATACCTTCTTCGCCTGCAGAGACCATATAAAAGCTAGTCCGCCCCTGCCGTTGGGCGTCGAACATGATCAAGTCCATGATGCTGACAGTCAGCATGTTCCGGTACCACTGAATGATTTCATCGTCAGATACAGATTGCGGATCTCTGGTATTGTCCACAATGTTGCCGTCTGCATCCATTATTCTGTAGGTGGGCATGGCGTTCTCCTCGGCTGGATTTTGAAACTTCATGGTCGAGGTAAATTTACTTTTCAAAGCTCCTGGGAAGTGCACTCTAGCGACAGACGGTCAGTCGTGGAGACTGTGGACAGACTCTGAGGGTCGTGAAACATACGAATCCGATCCCACTTTCTGCGCAGGCCCGGCAGACCAGGTATCGCTGGCCCATCGGATCCCTGTCCGCCCTATTCGTACACCGTGCTTGTACCTGCAGGATGCCGCCAAGGGCCTCAGAACAGCTCGACCTTTCATTCTCTCCTGTCTAAAGCAAAGAAGCCACCCTGGGGAAAATCGAATCAAAGCAAAGGCTGATGTTACGACAGCAAATTGAGAAGAGAAGGAAAGGTTGGATCACGGACAATGAGGAACAGCCTGTGTTGAAAAGGGACTTCGGTTATCGTCGGTCGCCCTTGGAATGAGAACGCCGGAGCCGGGGAAATCGATGGAGTTTAAGGCGTGGGCAAACTAGGCTGTTTCTGGAACCCAGACTCGCGAAAATTGGCTTGCAGCTCCAAGTCCCGCGTTGGTTGAAGTTGTGTGGCACAGACTTGCACCTGGCCAGGAACAAATGCTTCGCACGTTCTGTCCAAGGCCCGGCGGCCTACTGGGCTGCCGTGTGCGTTCGATATCGGCACGGCAATTCCTTACTACAAGTTCACGGCGACTCCAGCAACTCCCTGGCGAAAATGAACGAACCACTCACTTCGGATTCGAGACCATTTCGGAGACACAAAAGGAGGCCAGAGGTAGTGTTTACAAGCTGATCTTGTTAGTCAGGATGCTTATACTTCATAGTTGGTGCTGTTTTCTCCTCCGTTGCTTCCTCGTACGACACCATGAACGATCTCATGTCGTTGGGCATCCATCGCCTGTGGAAGGACTACTTTGTCCGCAGCCTCAACCCGGGCAGCCGAACCAGCGAAAAAGGCTGGAGTATTCTTGATGTGGCGGGAGGCACCGGTGATATTGCATTCCGCATGCTTGACCACGGCACCAACGTGAACTTGGACCTCAAAACAAAAGTCACCATTGCAGACATCAATCCGGACATGCTAGCTGAAGGCCAGAAAAGAGCCCAGGAAACGCCGTATTGGAATTCAGGCCGCCTGTCATTTATGGAGGGAAATGCCGAATCCATGCCCTTTGTCGAGTCGAATTCTATTGATCTTTATACGGTCGCATTCGGGATCCGCAACTTTACCAACAAGGACGCTGCCATTCGAGAAGCATTTCGAGTCCTCAAACCAGGCGGCGTTTTTGCATGCCTAGAGTTCAGCCACGTCAACAACTCGTTGTTCAACGCCGTTTACAAAAGATGGAGTTTTGGGGCGATACCTTTGATAGGCCAATTGGTCGCAGGTGATCGAGACAGTTATCAGTACCTTGTAGAAAGCATCGAACGATTCCCGACTCAAGAAGAGTTCAGGTCGATGATCGAGGGAGCCGGATTTGTCACACCAGGGCAAGGCTACGAAGACCTGACGGGAGGTATCGCCAGCATTCATCGAGGTGTGAAGCCTTTGTAAAATGTTTCTACTTATCAGCATCAAGCATCGACCGTGCGACTCTGTTCTGCTTGAACAGTCCAAGCGAATACTCCGAGGAGATGCATGTGCCCTCCTACGATTTTCGTGTCAACTGCAGACTACATATTGCAGACACGTCTACTTCGGCAGAGAGATGTGAAGCCGGGCTCGAAAAGTCCCAGACATGCATGATCAATGCCGTTGCCAGCCCTGGTCGCCAGCAACACAATGTCGGTTTCGCGCTTGCCATGGCTCGAGGAACATTTCTCACGCCGACAAGCGACAGAAAAACCGTCCGTTGCGGTCGTGACCGTGCCTCTCTGGGAGACATGCAGACCGCTAATTTCCAGCAATTGAGCGAGATTGTTCCCCATCGGCGAAGCATTTTCAGCCAGTAGGGTGCCATTCGAGGAGGAATAAAAGGAATGTACTATCACCATGTACTTGTATACACTCGCATGTGTCGTTAGCATCACTCTTGATCATCGCTTCTCTGGTCGTTTGATGCATGAAGATGAATTCTTTGAGGAGGCATGGCAATTCAATTCGCAGCTTGCCTCCACGGGCCATCATTGCTCGGTCCTTTGCTTATTAGGTACCTTCCAGGCTTAGAGTGCCTATTTACTGTACGGTGGACAAGCTCCTCCTGATTACGATTACCTCGGGAGGGGGGCCGTGTCATCCCCACAATCCGCTACTCGTATTTGCTTTACGCCGGAGTTGACCTAACAGGAAATCGACCGTGGGATGGTCATCATCAGCTGCCCCCAAACTGCGCTATTGACCAGGGTTGGCTTTGCTGCATCTATCTAGTTTGACGTGAGACCAAGACCTATTCTTGGACTTGTGCCTGTCTGTTGCACGAACACCACGAGATCCTCCTCAGGACGTATTGCTCCGCCGCTTTGGTATCCGGTTCGGATTCTTTATGACAGGCATATGCGCAATCAATCATTGACCTCGACAAAACACATCGATCAGCGAATGCGCCAGAGCACTGCCACCCTCCAACTTTCTGAACTTGGATAATTGGGACCGACCCGGCCGGGATAAACGGATTAACTACATCATCACCACTACTATAACCACCACCATCTCCCACCACATCACCGTTGCTGGCCCTCACCGACGCCGTATTGTGCTGTCGGAGATAGTGACTCCAATATCTCAGGAAGAACGTAATCTCACCCACCTAGGCAAAAAGTGTCAACATTACCACTGTGTGAACCGGTTGTCAGCAAGATTACTTGAACCATGGGCTGCGGATCGTCACGTCTGAAGGGAGCAGATATACCCGACGTCAATACCCAGACAACGACAATTACACAATCGCAGCCAATCAAAAAAGTCAGGACCAACTTCTCGGACGTCGACTACGATCAAGACGCTCGACAGCGGCGCCTCACGGAATATGCACCGCATGAACAACCTCCTCCAGTGAGGGAGGAGAGTCGCGACTTTACCGCTGAACAGAGTTCTTACGAACAGTATCAGCAATACGACAATCGACCTGATCGCCCGGCTTATGACACCGGCGGGTCGGCGACCTATGCGAATGACAGGACCATGTCAGGCGCCAGCGGCCTGGACAGGGATAACGATGCAACTCTGAAACCCTACCAGACCATAGATGGGGGTGACTGGGATAACCAAGACGACCAGCAGCGGAGGCAATCGTCCTATGCCAACGGCATGCAGGACGGACAAGACCCGACTTCAGACTCATCCAAGAACGATTTCGCCTCGGCAAACGACCCGGCGAACCGCAACTATCAAGATGGCTCCCAGTCTGCCCAAAGGGAAAGCCGTACCCAATCTCAAGCCGACGGGCACAACAACGCCGACGACCAGAACACGTCTCCGACCTCGTACAACACCAACCCGGACATCCACGACGACGATGGCGACCACAAGAAGTCGTGGTTCGGCCAGAAATACGCGTCCTTCCAGTCCTCCAAGCGCGGGACGGGCCTCAGTGACGAGGACATACTCAAGTACACGGGCAAGGACAGGAGCGAGCTGAACGAGTGGGCCCAGAACAGGGCCGGGGTCGGGGGCAACCAGGAAGCTGGGAGGATCGGGTCGGACTCGGGCCTTGCGGCGGGTGCGCCTTGGAATTAGGGAAGGACGGGAAAGGGAGGGGAGGGGAGGGAAGGGCTCTATGGACAGAAAGCTAGATATTGCAGGAGAAACAGGAGGGGAGAGAGTGAAAGGAAATTTTCAGGCGAGCTGCGGGACGACCTTGGGAGGTTAAGGCGCCGGCTTCTCCTTGAGACGACGAAAAGACCCAAGCAATCACTTGTGAAATGGAATGGAATCGAGACGAGACGAGCGAGTTGATACATGATGGGAGGGAATCAACCCAAGAATCGTGGAGGGGCCCCAAGCCAGCTCCCAATCGACTCCGCCTTCACTCTGTCTCCACGTCCGGAAGACCGGAAGGCGGAAGAACGGGGGACGAGGATGATGATGCAGGAGTGCATCATGCACTTCGGCGCCTGGTGGGAAACAAAAAATAAAACATTGGGGAGTCGATCTACAGTGTGTGGTCTTCCCCCTATTGCTGGAGAAAAATGTTGGTTTGTACTTTGTGCTTGTATGTAAATCCCCGTGTGAGACAGACCACGCTGGGCACATCACCACCATACTTTACTTTTGCTGTTGTGTTGTACCTATAGGTAGGTAGGAGACGTGCGAAAAGCTGCTTGCTAGGGTTCATTTGAATGAACATGTTTCGCCTTCAAAGCTCTTGGACAGATTGCGTTCTGGACTCCTCGATACATCTCTGTATGATGCATATCACAAGAAACGTGTCCAACCCTCACAACATGGCAATTGCCTGATCCTGCAACGTTATCCTATAATATATGATTCTCTTCTCTCGCTATCTGGACCCTGCACTCGAGGCTTCCTATATCGCAGCACCGTGTCCTCTCTCAGAGAAGGATGGCCATCGGAGCTCGATCCCCAGATGACTTCACATCGACGTGTCTGTCAATCGCCGTGCACACCTCCTCTCTATGGACGTCGTCCCTCTGGCGCACACTATTCAACCACTGCATAAACGCCGACGCCAAACTTTTGATTTATCCAGTCGCTCAATCCATCACATTCTCGCTTTGCCAACTCCACACGCTCTAGACGTCTCTTAGTTGATAAATGTGATGCAGAGGCAGGCGGAAACCTCACTTTTATCACACAAGTAGAGCACCTTCGCAGTTGCCAGAACACGATCCCGGCACCGACCCGTGAGCTCCAGTCAATGTACATCGTCATAGCAAAGGGTGCCCATTTCATCTCCCTTCTGGCAGTACCTTTCCCCAGCACGCGAGGGAGAACTGCGTTGCTCATCGTGGCTTAGCCTGCCTCGATTTTCCTCGAGGATATATTAGGTTCGCTAGATATTTACATCAAGCAACTTCGTTTGTTGTCGGAGAAGCCTTTCAGCTGGCTGTCGGAACTTCTTTGGACTTCCCTTTGTCGCCATCTGGGTGGTGGATGGAAGTGGTGCTCGACGAGCGAGCATCGTCTCTATAAAGATGATTTTGCTCAATATATTCGACGACAGGTGCCGGGATAAGATATTGTACGCTCATCCCTCTCCTCAAGAATAGTCTTATCTTCGTGCTGCTGACGTCATTCTGGATAAGTTGCTGGATAACGTGGATATTGTCGCGATAGTTTTGCAAACTTGCCAGGGCCTCGTCTATATCGGTGCCAGATCTTTCAATGATAAAAGTGCCGTATCTTCCGAGAATGTGATCCAGATCTTTCTCGCTCCAGATGCCCGGGGTTGACATGGTCTGGATCAGGTCGGCCCCGGCGAGCAGAGATATCTTGACTTGTTTCCGGGTGCCGTTTCCAGCGTCGATGCCCTTCCGGACAACATTGATTTCATGGTCAAAATGATCCAACACCTTTGCAGTAGGCTGGTATTCCTTCTTTTCCGCTTCCCACGGGTCCACCATGAGCCAGTGGGAGGCTTTATCAATTGCAAGCTGGCACATCGCAACTCTGGGAAGAACATGTCAGCAATCTAAAGTACACTCCGTCAGAGCCCGGCTTGCATACCTATGTTCTGCTGGGGCCAGGCCTTGCTTCTTGTATGCGTCGGACACAGGAGACAGATATCCGCCAATCATCTCGTAGTCCGTGTTGTGCTTGACGTAGTCGGCGGCCATGACGAACATGCGCAAATGTAGGAAGGTAATGGGCGAGAAAGAGCCGCAAGCAACAAGCAGAAGAGGTGTCTTCTCCGGGTCGTCCATCTTCTTCTTGAGGCGGGATTCGGGAAAGTGGTATTCATCCATCTCGTCGCCGTCACCAGTGATCGCTTGCAGAACGGTTGATCTTGTCTGGATGAAGGTCTTCCCAGTCCTTGGGAAGCCTCGAAGGGAGTGCGAGGGAGACAGGAAGATGGCCGAGGGAAGAGGTGATTTGTCAGAAGAGAGGCTATTATCTTTGGAGATGGAGGAGCCGGATAGCGGGGCTCTCGTGCCTCGTGGAGGATTGGGAAAGGCAGCAGACGACCTGTGCAAAAGCCTGTTCGTGGATGAGTAGGATGGAAGGAAGTGAAGCTGAGGACGACTCAGCATCTCAGGGCACCATTGCCCGAGCTAGAGAGTCTTGTCGGAGGGGCGGGCGTGGTGCAGTTATGTCCGGCTTCGGCAATATGGGAGTGGAGGAGGAGTTGAGGAGGAAAATAATCGAGATTTTCGTAGCAGGCAGAACGAGTGGGAGTTGGAGAGGGTCTGGGTCGATCTCCGACCGGCCTGAACGCCCTTTTCCCAGCCTAGCCAGCCGGCGAGGTTGAGTAATTCTTCCGTGTAAGTAGTTTTGGAGAGTTTTGCTAGTGCGCGCCCAGCTTTGGAGGAAGGTTCAGTTGATCCTGCTGTGAGAAGTGGGGTACGAGGTGTGGCAGGGAAGAATGGAGATGTGGAAGAAGGGAAAAAGAGAGACAAATCCAGGCCGTGGTAGATGGCGCAACTAACGATATATGTATTGACCGCAGCGACCGGAAGGACGGGGATGAGCCGCATTTGTTTGACAAACTCACTTTGATGTTGATTTCAACTCAACAGCGCATTGCGTACAGGACTATCATGAATACTAGGGGAAGAGCGGCATGCATCTATTTGCCCATAACGATTGGGAGCATGCTGGGAAATGATGATAATGATATGACGATGATGGAATTGGGGTGGGAAAAATGTCTGCGCAACACACTCAGATGCACGTGTTACCGAGTACTCATCCGGCCATCGAAACCCATTGTAGGACAGGGTGCAGGGCGTTCAACATTGTCATTTATTCGCCTTGCAGGAATGAGCCCGCTTGAATCTGGCGTCATGCAAGTTGGAAGAGAAATGGGCTCACAATCTGTTCAGCGGTGGGTAAACTGATCGAGTAATGAGTACATGCTTTGCATGCAGGGTGCATGAGTCTCGTCCCTGGGAGCCGTTACCCTCAAGTTGCTAGGAAGATTGACTGTATAATAGTCGAACCCATGGGCTCTTCAAAGGTTCAGTCTCATTAATGGCAGGCCTGATCACTGCAGCTTATGCAACTCGTCAAGGGCTTAGGGGGTCAACCATGGTTACAGGAATGTTCTTCGACGGGTTAGAGGTTGAGGCGTTCGTTGGGCTTTGGGTACCTGTTAGGCTTGATGGGGGAAGCCGTGCCGCCTTATATACTCTGGGCCACCCCTAAGCAGGAGGGGCGATCCCCCCGAGAATTGAAACACCATGCCCTGGTGGCCCGCCCTCCAGTGGCTGAATAGGGCATGGTGTTCCGCTCTGACGCCAACGGGCTACAGGCTGCGGTTGGTTTGGTTGGTTTGCATTGCCGACCGACGTCGTGTTGGTCGGTGGTTCTTGGGATCCAAGCATTCGTCCGTCAAGGCTTCTCGACCAACTCAGACTCTGTTTCTACTATAACACAAGACCATTTCAGACTCATATTTCGTTTCGCTCATCTTGATTTACGTTCCTTTCCCATCTGACCACGATTAGCATCTTCCCGTCGCTGCAGATGGCGGGTTAACATGGCAAATCTGCCTGCACGCCCTTCGAATTCAACCCCCATACACGGACGTGCTGAAGGCCTTCTTCCATCTGATCATCAACCTGCAACTGCAGCATCCGCTGCCACCACCACCGCCCCTGCGACTTCCTTACATCCAAATTCTTCGAATAGCACCCGCGGATCCAGGTACTGCTCACTTGCCTCTGTTTCCACTGCCTTGCACTTCACCTGCGTCGATTGCTTGGCTCAGAAGAATCCCTGTTTCTTCTCCGCCTCGCTCCTCACCTTGGTTCACCAAGAACCACGGCCACCTTAAACCCACACATAATTTACTGCCGCACATCTACACTGTCCTTCTCTCTTGACTTTTGTTCAGAACTACATCCTTGACATCTTTTGGCGAGATCCATTGCTCATGTCTCTCAGAGTCACTCGTTCATCTGCGAGGCTCGCTGCAGAGTCTGGCGCCTCCACTACCTCGCCTGCCGCTCCCTCCAACCCGTCGACGGCCATCTCCACGCCAAACCCGCCCCTCGCCTCCTCGAGAAAACGAAAGGCACCAGCCCTTCAAGCGTCTAGTCCTACCGATCAGTCTGAAGAGACAAGCCCGCCGTCAACCCGTCGTGGAAAGAGACAAAAATTGACCGACCAGGCCCAGCCTCAGCCGGCGATCGCACAGCCTGTCTCTCGATCAACTCGGAGAAGAGCAGCGCAGAACGAGGTGGCGATGTCTAATAATGGGTATGTTGTGAATACCGAGAACGAATTGCTGGCTCCAGAGATCTGACATGTTCAGTACCTCTTCAAAATACACTGAAGAGTCCGAGAAACAGTTACCCTCAAAATCGAGCTCACGTCGCCAACCCAGCAGAAACAAGACACAAGGTAGCTTGCGCTTCACAGGTGGACACTATTTTTTGGCTGACTCTCACGGCAGACCTCTCTCCATCCACCCCGTCCTCGCAGCCGCGCAGACAGAGGAAACGCCTGTCCAAGAAGGACCAAGATGTTCAGATGAAAGACGAGGCCGAAGACGAGAAGCTTTCGAGTCAAGAGAAAGACACTTCCCCCCTTCCTCACCACTCCAACAGCGATAGTAACGACGGAGACGATCATACCGATATGGATGATGACGATGGCCCCGATCCTTTCTCCGCGGCCCTTTTCGGTGCTGGCCGTGGCCCTCCCTCGGGGTTATCGAGTACCCTGAGAGCCTTAAGTGGAATGATGAGCGGCATGTCGTCAAGATTGAGAGACATTCTGAACAATTTACGACAGTCGGATAATCCTACGATGCAAATGGTGGCCTTAGAGGAGTTGTCGAATCTGCTGCTGGTCTCAAATGAAGACAATCTTTCGGGCCAATTTTCGCCAGATCCGTACGTCAAAGAACTCGTGGCTTTGATGCAACCAAACCCCATCACGGGTGAAGAGAATCCCGAGATGATGCTCCTGGCTTGCCGTTGTATTGCCAATCTGATGGAGGCTTTACGAGGCTCGGTTGCCAACGTGGTGTATGGAGGCGCCGTGCCCGTCCTGTGTCAAAAGTTGCTTGATATTCAGTACATCGACGTCGCCGAGCAGGCCTTGAGCACGTTATCTAAAGTCTCGATTGACTTTCCAGGATCGATCGTCCGTGAAGGCGGTTTGACCGCTTGTCTTCAATTCCTTGACTTTTTTGCTACCGGCACACAGCGAACTGCCGTTACCACTGCAGCCAACTGCTGTCGCAACATCCCTCACGATTCATTTCCAGTCATTCGGGACGTTATGCCGATCCTTCTCAATGTCTTGTCCAGCCACGATCAGAAGGTGGTCGAGCAAGGCTGCTTGTGCGTCACTCGGGTAATCGATAGTTTCAAGCACAGTCCAGACAAGCTCGAGCAATTGGTTGATCCTCCACTACTTCGAGCAATCCTGGGACTACTCTTACCGGGTACTACAAACCTCATTGGTGCAAATATCCATACAGAATTTCTCCGGGTGCTCGCGATAGTGGCGCGGGCAAGCCCTCGACTTTCTGCAGAATTATTGAAGATGAATGTCGTCGACACCTTGTACCAGATCCTCACAGGTGTCTCGCCTCCTTCTGAGACCGAGGACGCTGCCTCCAAAATCGACAGTGTGGTCATCATGCAAGCATTGATCCACAGACCGAGGGAGCAGATCTACGAAACCCTGAACGTCATATGCGAACTTCTTCCTAGCCCAAACCTTTCCAATGAGTCCGAATTCGAGGTCTACGAAGACATGGATGATTACATGTCCGACGATGGCAACCATCAGCCAGCGCAGCAATCAAGGACTGAGAAGAGACTCGAGCTGCTAGAAGACTGCAAACAAGAGACACGCCGATTTGCGACTATCCTCCTACCAACTTTGACCGACGCTTATTCAAGCACTGTGAATCTGAGTGTCCGTCAGAAAGTGCTTATCGCCCAGCTCAAAATCCTTTCCAACCTTGAAACCTCTGTCATCGAGGAAGCTCTCCGCCCAGTGCCATATGCATCATTCCTTGCGTCAATATTGTCTCAAGAGGACCACCCGAGCTTGGTCATGTTTGCTCTCCAGGCGTCAGAACTCCTTTTTGAGAGGCTTGAAGATATTTATCAGTACCAGTTCCATCGCGAGGGTGTCATTGGTGAGATCAAGAAATTGGCTGACAGGCCCCTCGAAATCGACATCAAGTCTTCCAAAAGCAACGATGCGAACGGTCGCGACAGCGGCGAAGGGGACAATGGGAGCCAAGCAGAGGGCACCGAGAAGCACGGCCACGGACACGACGGCGGCAACGATGATGAAGCTGGCCAGGAAGAAGGCGACATAGAAAATGGCGAGGATCATGGGGACGACGATCCAGAAGACGAAGACAATGAGGAGATGAGAGAGGACGATGATGAAGACGAGGACGACGACATGGGAGTCCGACATCACCACGATCCCGATCTCGATGAATCTCAGAGTTCAGACTCCTCTGATGATGATGAGATGCCGTCCCCGCTGGCCATCGCCGGAGTCGCAGACCTGGTCATTATACGTGCGAAGAAGTTTTTGGAGAAATATGACACGGCAAAAGGCAGAGAGCTGAAGGAAAAGGCCTCGAAGATCCGTACCGACCTCCATAAATTGGCAACCGATATTGAAAATTTCTACCGCCAACCGAGCCAGATGGAGACTGACAACGACCTCTTCACCCGCCTTGCAAGTTATTTCGACGGTGATGCCTTGGAAAGCATAACAAGTTCAGAGTTGTTGGACTCTGGAATAATTCGTGTACTAGTACAAGTACTATCTGAAGTTCCTCCGGCGTCCAGCACTGCTAGGGCGCACCTTGTTGCGGCGCTCATGCAAACAACCTACAAAGGCAACATCAAGACCACCTCTGCAACGTCTGCGGCGACGCCGTTCAGTGTGCTCATTCAAAAGTTGCAAGATCTACTGAGCCGTGCGGAACATTTCGAGGTTCTCACTGTCAACAACAACGCTTCCGAGAGCAATCGGAGCAGCTCCACTTCAATGCTATCGCGCCAGCTACGCTTGAAACTGTCAGCAGATGCCGACAGCGATATACCTCCAACATATCGTGATATGGTCGTCTCCATTCACGCTATTGCCACCTTCAAAGCACTTGATGATTACCTCCGACCTAGAATCAGCCAGTCCGAACGTCCCGTATCGGCCCAGCGACGCCGGGACATGCTTCAACAGCTTGCAAATGCTCGTCTCGCTCATCTCTCTGGTGCGGCCGAGTCGGGATTGCTATCACCATTCGGTCAAGAACTGAGCTCCCCAGCACCTACTGCGAAGGTAGAATCTCGTCCCGAGTCTCGTGTCTCTTCTCGAACAAAACAACGATCTGACGAGCGCCAGAATCCCGTCGACAAGAAGCCAGCCGAAAAGACCGAGCGAAAGCGGCTGACTCGTCGTACCCAAGCGTCTTCATCAAATCAGGCCCCAGCGCCCGAGCTAAACTCCGACGACACATCTAACAAATTAGAGTGTGCCGATGAAAAGGTTCTCGAAGATGTTGAAGCTCCTGATGCGGAGGGAGAGAGTGCACTCGAGGCTTTTGTAGATGGGCTTGAAGAGGATGGTTCAGATGCAGAAGCACCTGAACCTGGTGCCGTCAACATGGAAATTGGCTCCAGCGGCAAGGTGACGGCTCGAAAAGAAGATGGTACGAGAGTCCTGACACCTCAACCAGGAACACCTGTTCCTGGAAGCACGCGCCCGCCATCTTCAGGACAATCTCCGGGGCCTTCCCCGGCCGGGCCGGGAGGGCGGCCTTCCTATGCCCAGGCCCTTGCTTCGGTCCCTCAAGACTGGCACATTGAGTTCAGTATCGATGGGAAGATTATTCCGAACAATACGACCATCTATCGAGCAGTTCACCACAACCGTGACCAGCCACAAGTTCCGGCGTCCCGGAGCGTCTGGTCCGGTGTCCATACGGTGAAGTTCAGAAAGGTCCGTGGCCCTCCTCCTACACCATCAAATATCTCCACTTCGGACGAAAGCGAAAACCGAGGATCCAAGAATGGTTTGCCGGCTTCGTTCAGTGACCATCCTGTCACGTCGTCTATTCTCGCTTTGCTCAGAATCCTCCACGAGCTCAACGCAAATCTTGACGAACTGCGAGATTCCATTGGACAACCGGAATCAAAGCTCTGCCCAGAACCTCTTGCATCTTTTATCAACACGAAATTGACCGCCAAGATGAATCGCCAGCTGGAGGAACCGTTGATTGTGGCTAGTAACTGCCTGCCAGATTGGAGTGAAGACCTTGCCCGGTCATTTCCATTTCTATTCCCCTTCGAGACTAGGCACCTTTTCTTACAGTCAACCTCTTTCGGTTACTCACGTTCCATGATTCGATGGCAAAATAGTCAATCAGAGAACGACGACCGCCGCGATCGTCGCAGAGATGATCGACCCATGCTGGGCCGACCTCAGCGCCAGAAGGTGCGCATCTCTCGGCATCGTATCTTGGAGTCAGCCATGAAAGTTATGGACATGTATGGCGCCTCACCCAGCGTGTTGGAAGTCGAGTATTTTGAAGAGGTTGGAACAGGTCTAGGCCCGACTCTCGAATTTTACTCGACCGTGTCAAAGGAGTTCTGCAAGAAGAAGCTAAAGATGTGGCGTGAAAACGACTCGGGTGAGAACGATCAGTTTGCTTTTGGTAAGAACGGCCTTTTCCCGATCCCAATGGGTCCGGATGAGAGCCAAAGCGAACCGGGAAAAAAGCTATTGCTGTTGTTCAAGACACTTGGAAAATTTGTGGCTCGCTCGATGCTTGATTCGCGCATCATCGACATCGCGTTCAGTCCAACCTTTTTCAAGATGGGTGGGGCCAGCAATGCACCCCCCTCAATTGGCTTGTTGCGGACGATCGACCAGGACCTTGCGAATTCTCTCTCTCAACTTCAACAATTTCTCAAAGCCAAGGCAAGAATTGAACTTGATTCGTCCATGACAGAAGATGAGAAGCGGCACGCGATCGAGGACCTTAGCATCCGTGGAGCCAAAGTTGAGGATCTCATGCTCGACTTCACCCTGCCTGGCTATCCTAACATTGAGCTCATTCCAGATGGCGCCAACGTCAGCGTGACCATGGAAAATGTCCAACGTTATGTTGAACGAGTGCTCGATCTGAGTCTCGGAAGCGGGGTCCGCGCTCAGATTGAGGCTTTTCAGACCGGGTTCTCCCAGGTCTTTTCGTACTCGTCTCTGAGAGCATTCACCCCGGATGAGCTGGTCATGTTATTCGGCCGCACCAAGGAAGACTGGAGCATCGAGACATTGATGGATTCTGTCAAGGCCGATCACGGGTATAACATGGACAGCAAGAGCGTCAAGAATCTGTTGCAGACAATGTCGGAGCTGACGGCCCCTCAACGCCGTGACTTCTTACAGTTCGTTACCGGCAGCCCGAAGCTTCCCATCGGAGGATTCAAGAGTCTCACGCCGATGTTTACTGTGGTTTGCAAACCCAGTGAACCGCCCTACACGTCCGACGACTATCTGCCTAGTGTAATGACCTGTGTCAATTATCTCAAACTTCCGGACTACACCTCGCAGAAAGTACTGAGGGAGAGGTTGTTTGTGGCCATCCGAGAGGGCCAAGGGGCATTCCATTTGTCTTGAAGACTGATTACAATTTGCACCGGAAGTCCGGACGGATGAAAAGAGACCGAACCAAGAAAAATCCGGGGTTGTGGATGGAAGTGTGCATCACTCTTCCATGGTAATGAGCTTATTCTCGAGCTTGGAAAAGAAACAAGAGGGTTGCAAGTAACGGTTCCCGGGGACTGAGGGCTTCCTCGGTGCATTATCACAGAAACAAACAATATGGCCCTTCGAACTATGGGATGGGGACTAGGTGTGGAAGAGGTCAGGGTCATACGGTTCAGCCAAAATGTATGGGCTGTCGGATGAGTTGACCAGTATTAGGGACCAACAAGCGGGCTGGTGGGTGCAACTGGCTGGAAGGATCATGGGGGTGCCTGGGTTGTTGATGGGATGCCAGGCAGCAAAGCTACCCTGCTCATGGTGCAAGATTCAGAAAAGGGATAAATATGGAAGACGGAGATATGCGAGGCGAATCCTTAGTTGCAAGGGAACCGTGAGAGCAGAGAAGAAAGAATGAAAAAAAGGCCAAAACAACATAGCTTAGTTTTCAACGAAAATGAAACCCCTCATGATGATAGGCAGAAGAGATCTTTGGCCATGCCGGACTCGACTCGAATCGTAGCAGAAGCGACCACCCCCCCCCCC